TTTATTAAACAACTATCGGGTTTTATTAGCTCTCCTCTCTTCTTGCCGTCGTTCGCGAAGCGTTATCTATCTTTATATACGCGTTTTATATTCGTGGTGTTCTTAGAGCTTTGCTTGTATATGGATCAAGTAATCCTAGCTCTTATACTATCGAGTGCTATTAGGCCACTGCTGGTAGTCTTCTGGCTAGGTTCTTTGCAATGTCACCCTGATTCTATCGTATACGTTGGTCCTTTCGACCTTCTATAGGAACTAGTCAACGCCGGTCCCTATATCCCAAACCTACGGGATTAATCGAGGTTCTTTGTTTCGGTCGGTAGGCCTATCGGGCCAAAAGTCGTTGTCAAATTTTGATCGGAAGTAGTATTGGCATTCGTATGCAATATACTAGAACTATAGGACGTAGACATAGTTATATTGCTAGGGTTAGAGTCGAGGTGCATCTTCTTTATAGGTTTCGTAGCACGGGCCAAATCTAATCCAAATACGCACTATATTGCTATCCCTAATACTATTATACGGCTTCTTATTCCAAAAAGTGTCCTAATCTTATAGTTTCTACCCCTTAAGTCTTCGCTAGTTCTAGGCCTTCTAGTATTCAGCCTTGGGGTTTTTAATTCTACTATTTCTCCTATCCTAGCCTAGGTCTTATACTAGTCTATCCTATAAGTTCGAGTAGTGCTCTTCCTAGACCCTGACCAACTTTGCCTTGACGAATTCTAGTTGGCTCATAGCCTAAGCCTTTTCTTCCGCAAGTCTTCGGGTAACCATTCGAAGCTCGGCTTGTTCCTCCTCAGCCTCCTAGAGGCGCTAGGTAAGAAAGATAGGGTTCGGGCCAACGGGTTTGTTATCCGATTGTTATATCCTCCATTGACCTTCTTCGTTCTAGGTCAATTGGAATCCCTAACCTTCTACGAGTTATAATACTACGGCGGCAGTAATGTTATAGCCTATAATGGGTTCTTTGAATATAACATAGGGGCTATTACTTCCTAACCGAGAGGAGTTATCAATGCTTCCTTCAGCCATGCCCTGGTTAATAGCGTCGTTGAAGTCATCCTTGGTATAGCTTGCCATAGCCACTTTAACCACGTGGGTTGACTTATCGATCGTAGCGTTTTCCTTGCCAGGCACCTGCTTCTAGTTCTTCTTACTATAGCATTCCCGCTTAAAGTATCCTTTCTTGCTATAGTTGAAATAGGTGGCTTGGGATTTGTCCTTCCGTCCCTTTTCTTTATGCTAGGTGGCGTCCATATCTATCGGTCTAGCGTAGGTACTATATAACGTACTAGGATATTATTGCTTTTTCTTGTTATTGGCCTTAACAAATATAGGCTACGTTCTATATCCCTTATATTACTAGCGCCTGGTATAAATCCGATCGTCAATACGGATAGCTATAGCGATATATTCGTTAAGCATATCGGGTCGGTCCTTCTAGTATAGTTCGTCCTTGACTTCTTCCTTTAAACTATCGTAGAATAACTATATAAGACCTTCATCGTTGATCTTGTACCGAAATAAATCCTAGCAGAACTATATAGCATAGGCAGCCGCCGACTTTATCTATCTTAGATATACGAGTCGCTCCTATATATAGAGCTTCTTATTATAGTCTCTGAACACCTTCTGGATTTCCTGCTCAAATTTATTATACGATTTAAAAATTTCAATGGTGAAATCGTCCTAAGCGTTTATACTATTGGTTAATTAATCCTTAAGGGTAGGTTCAAACCATCGAAGTACCTTCCCCTTAAGCCGCAAGGAGATAAATATAACTTTGGTAGATTCGTCTATAAACTTATCCAGATAGTACTTAAGGTAGGCCCTTATAGATATAAGGAATCTAGTAAGTCCTTCTTTATTGCCTCTATACTTAGGGGGTGCTTTAAGTTTAGCCTTGTCCTTAGGCTTGCTATTATAGGCCTCGTTAACGAGTTGCTATATGTTGCCGTTCTTAGCCTCGAGCTAGGCGATCTTGTCGTTAAGAGCCTTAAGGACCTGGATGTTATCTTTTTGGGCCTTAAGCTAGGCAATCCTTATGTTAAGGGCTTTAATGACCTGCTACATCTGTTGTATGGTCGCGGTCTGGCTCTAGGAGCCTAGGGTGCTAGGTGTCTGAGGCGCCATGATGGTCGATGGTACCTTCGATCTGAACCGTGATAGAGTCAAAGGGAGTGAGCAACGTATGACGAAACCATAGGCAGTCCTGCCTTTAAAAGGGTTTGCCGGTCGAAGGTAACTGCTGGTCGGACTGTAGGTCTCGGTGAAGCCAAAAGGTTCACAACAATGCTTATCGCAATGTCTGCACAATAGATATAGGCTATTGTTGTAATTGCTCACTGAGGAAGCTAGCTATCTGAATGAGTGGCAGAATGGTAGAACTATATATAGCTTCCTCCCCTAGGTATCCCGTGCCTAGATCTTTGGAACATTTAGAACAATTGTCGTTCTCATTGTTCCATCTGGAACAACATTCCTTGGCGTTGTTCCCCAGGAACAATCGTTCTTGGCATTGTTCCTGATTTCCCTAATCCTCATTGGTTCCTTCTGCCTCGTAATGATTGGGTACAGGCGCCGCCCGTCGACCATGCAGGTCGGCCCCCACCGGCCTCTGCAGGTTAGTTCATGACAAATAACTAATATTTGCCCTTTGTACAGAGTGCTATATAGAAGTCAAAGTGCTTGATCCAATCGAGGCCTATGGCATTGGTAGTCCAGCTGTTCTCGGTGGTCGCGATACACCAGTCGGCCGGGAGGTTGCACTCTTAATACCAGTTGGCGAGGTAGTATTGCACGGCCAAGATGATAAAGGGTGGGATAGCCCAGCCGAGGGCATTAACTCCCTGGATTACCGTAGCTCACTTGCAGTTACCAAGCTAGGCCAGCTTTGCCTTGCTACGGCCATCAGAGGTTATAACTACTATGCCTAGGAAGATAATACCCATTATAAACTCAGTCTCGTTGAAGTTATAGATATTGTCATCCATAATGCTATACTTGGCCTTGACATTCTGTACGAGCGCGAACCACTCGCCAATAACCTCTAGGTCCTCGCACTTGGCCCTTTGGTAGTCGTATCGACGTGACCAACGCGTACAGAGAGTGGGCTGGCGTTTAACGAAGTTATAAGCCTAGAGCTTGCCGACAGGGGGCGCATTGTATATACGTAGCAGTTGGTTAGCCATATCTTCCGCACCATATAGCCTTGGTAGAAAAGCTCGCTCAGATAGCTCAGTTATATACTGGACTATAGCCTTCTCTTCTAGATCGGTAAGCTTCCGTGAGTTGGCTGGAAGATCGCGTTGTATAGGCCGGCCGGTACGTCAGTAGCCGAGGGTTGAAACTGGCACGTTATAGAGCTTGGCCGCAGCTCGGAGGCTTAGTTTCGTATCATTTTCAAGAGCTTTAAGGGCCAAGGTTACCCTAGCTTCCTTTGAAGTGGAAGACATCTTTAGTTATAGGAAAAACGCGTTGTTAGAGGTAGATGAAGAAGGACGCATCATGCTAAGAACTTAGTGTCCCGCTCGCTTATATGTCCCGCTCGCTTATATGTCCCGCTCGCTTATATGTCCCGCTCGCTTATAAGATACGTTATTCGAGCTTTGGTATAATTATTAAAGTGTTTGATCCAGTCTATACTGATTGTCACGGTCGGTATAGGTGTCGCCCCAGGCGGGGGTCGAACCCATGCCCTCCCTGATTGACGGCTGTTGTGGAGCACCGGTCACATGACTGATCACATGACCCACAAATCAGGAATATCTTCGTGTAATGTTCTGAGCCACCGACTCAGAACTTCTCTTTCCTTTCCTCAACCTTAGATTCACGAAATAGAATGACAACAACAGCCGGCTTGACCCTGTTCAATTGCATCTAGTCGTCACACTGATCCTTATTGGTAATTGTACTTTCGATTAAATTACGTAGTAAGGTCTGGTTATCATTTAACAAAGCGATGCGCCCAGAGTATACCGATATGTCCCGCATCGTATTCAGCAAGTAGTCCATTGGCCATATCTTCTATACTAGATATACAGGGGGAAGTCCTTTGGAATCCAGGTCGGGGATATACTTAATAATAACGGATTCTTCTAAGCTAGTCAACTTCCGCGAATTGGCTATAATATCGCGTCTTGATAGTTTGCCCCGTTGGTGGCGGCTCAATTTCGTATGATGGACTGAATAGATCTTAGCTGTAGCTCTTAGGCTTAAAGTCGGGTCATTTTCGAGAGCTTGGAGGGCCAAGACAATCTTGCCTTCATCATCTTTCTGTGGCATGTTGGGTTTGCGAGAAAGTAGGTGTAAATGAGAGATGTCGCGTGGACGCGATTTTGTGGAGCTTTCGGTGATATGGAGCTTTCGATGATAAACCATGTTACAGCTTTTCAAAATTAGTAGGGTGGGCTGTCGTTCATGTCAGAGACAGTTTCACCAGTATGGTTTTCAGGCCCTCCTACATATAAGCTAGTTCCCTAGCTTAGGTGGACACATCCCGTCACCTTCTTCACCTTCTCCATCACCTAGTATTACACTCTTTTCTCTGCCTCTGACCTCTCTGCATACTGCGACACGCCCTAACCCTGAACCTTCGACCTCCTGACCGCTAGACGAAGCTATTCCTAGAATACACCGTTCACGCACGGACTGCCGGGCCCGTCTTGGCTTATTATGAGCAGGTCATCGACAGCTAAGTTCTCTCGTCTTCCTTTTCTTTCTTCGAGCTTAGTGTACTCGTACATAGAGTCGTCGTCAACCAGTTGCAAATATACCTTGTTGAGACGGTTACAGTCTTACAGAAGCAGGGCCGAACACCCTGGAGATTTCGACGTTTTGTAAGTCTAATGTGCCAAGCGTGGTACCTAGAAGGGCGCAGTTCAACTCATGAAAGTAGAGATTTGAAAGAACTCTGGTGGCCACGGATTTGGAATAGCCAACTTCCATCGCAGTGCTTTATTCATCCAGCAAACATCTATCCTCACTTTCAAGAATTAACCAAATCACAGCTGGGACCAACCAGCGGGTGCCAGTGCCATATGCCGTCCTTTGCCATTGAAGCCGGGCATCTGAGACAGTGCCACCCTGTCCCGCGAAGCCTCAGCCACTCTTCCCTCCCAAGCCTTGGTGAGCTTACTGTTGTAGTACGCCCACAACCGGGGGAGGAGATAGACGTCCTGGAGACAATACTGCCTGATTTCCTCACGGAGCGGTCGCTCGTTGAACACCTGGTAATTGCCCCCACGCTCGGGCGCAAAGGCTCTGGCGCCTCGCTCCTTGGTAGCCATCCAGGCACGCCGCTCCGCCGCGCTCAGGGTGGTATCCCGCTCAATGCACCGGGCCAGCCCATAGACGTACTTCCGTGGGGATGTGCGTGTGGCAAGCTCCATGAGTTGCAGGTCCTGGACGCCCGCGAGACAAATCTGGAAGTGGCTGAACAGCGCATCCGAGTCGTTCCGGACGTCGAAGAAGACCTTGGGGATGGTCTCTGACTCGAGAATTTCCTTGAAGGTACGGCCTGTGGTCGAACCAAGCGCGGAGAATGTCGTCTCACCGAGGATGTGGATGTCGACGAGGTAGGTCTGGCGACGGGGCAGAATGTGGATTTGGAGAATGGATATAGTGCCATGTCTGGAGAGGTTGACCCCCTCAAGGTCGATGTAGAGCGATGGTGGCGTGGTGGGCTGGCCATCAAGAATATCCACGAGGGCGGACATAGCCGTAGCGGTGTCGATGAGGCCGCCAGAATCCGGATTCCGAACAGATGTAAAACTTGACATGTTTCTGGGCCTCAGGAGATCTAGACGTCAGTACAGGTTGTCATTCTGATGGGTAGATACGGCTGACATACGCGTGAGGAATGCTCCCTAGGGTTATCGTCAGTGTAGGTAGGCGAGTCTCGACGCAATATAGCACGAAGACAGACGTGTTGGAGATCTCCAGTGAAGGTATTCCAACAGTCCAGCCGGTCACCACAGATCCTAGCTGGGATATTTATCCACGGTATCCCCATCGATTCGAGATGTGGTATCCTATTTCATCGTCTGACCCATGGAATGGCGTCTTGCATCACCGGTGTGTCTCATGTCCGTTTGTCACTGCAGCCTCCCGGCTACCTATTCTCAACGTTAATAGGTCAGGTAGGAAGCTATAACAAACAAACAGACAAAGCCGACGAACCGACGGCCCTCGTCATGATTACAACCTCGTTATCACGTTGGAGACGGACACAATGATAGAGATAATTGGCCGAGAAGTCTTGGAGCCCAGGACGCTGCAACAGTACAGCACGCAACGGCCATGCCTGACTGCTACCTACGGACGCCGGCACGTACGGCACCTAGTAATCACCGCTCTTGGGATGCCCATGGTATGGAGCGTCATTGGTAGGTACACAGGCGCCTGCGGGAGTCGGCATTTGCTTATTTTGCTACGCCTCCGAGAGCCATGGGACTTGTCAACTTGTCTGTTTGTATCTCAGAAGAATCGGCGAAGTCTTCACAAAACTAACTTCTTTAATTCCGGAACTCAGCTATCAGAGTAAACAGTGGAGGAAAGCACGCAGGTGAAGGCGTATCAATGCAAGTTGCAGCCGCAGCGCATGGCGGTCAATAGTGTGTGTAACAGTCAGGCAATTCACTGATTCGCTCCCTCGGCTTCGCAAAGTAAGGTAAGGTTGCAAGCCTTCGGACTTACGCCGCTTTTGAGCCAGCGTAGCAGCCCTCGCATGCCATGGTTGCCCAAAGGGGGTCCATTCGTGGCTGAGATTTTATTTCGATGCTGCCTAGGAGCAGTGCCGGCCCAGGTGGGGTGCCGATGGAGCAGTTTTCCGTGGCGCAGACCTGCAGGACCAAGGTTGCAGGCTTGCAGCAGGATGAGCCGCAGTGCGCGCTTGCAAAGTCCTACGAGATGTGATCAGGCTGGGTGTTAGTTAATATGGCATCGAAATGCTCCATACTTATCCTCTTCGTCAACACTCTCTTGGAACGCTGGTACTTGGTAAGACATATGCGATTCTTTGACGAACTTTGCTCGACGCGAATCGCTCCAAAGCCTCCAACTCCTCGAGGTCCTGGTCAGATATATTTTGTCTGGTTCAGCCAGCTGCTTATCGTCCCCGGTGGAGGCCCAAACAAGCAAAGCCCGACACAGAACATAAGCGTTTGCAATTGTGTGGTCATGCTGCCAGTTCTTCTCTTCTCATTATTTGCGTTTCAGTGGCACTTAGCCGTTCCTCTGCCCCTAGAATGGGAAGACCCCACAGCAGTTCCCGCCACAACAACAACAACAACACCAACACGACAACACGGCCCATGGTCGTTCTTGCCACCGTGCTTCGGGCGGAGGAAAGATCAACCTGCATTATATCAAAAGAGCCTAACTCACGACGATGACGGCCACGTCTTCGATCAAGCAAGCAACCTCTTAAACTTGGACCGCTCCTCCCCAAAGGATCACAATTCTCCAAGGGGCAAGGAGTCAAAACGCATGCGCCGGCAACTCCTTCGGCGCGCCAACGAGGTCCTGGGCAGCAACGCCCTTACCACGGGCCTGTTTGTGGCTCTCATCGTCGTGTCGGTTCTGATTGGGGTGGGAGTGGCGTCCATTGCTGTGTGCGGGTTCGACTGGAAGTGTCATCGCTCCAGGTCAAGCATAGCGGACGATGTTGAAGTGGCTCAGAAGGATATCGAGGTGGTTGAGGCGCGGCCACGGAAGACTGGATAGCGTGGGAGGAAGTGGTGCATTTTGAAAAGCATCTCCAGGACGGGCATATTTCAGTGAAGAGAGCAGGCACGCACTACCTGAGTCAGGATTGTCATGTGTCTTTCAAGTTACGGGATAGATGGGAAGACAAGGCATCGACACTAGTACTGAAGGTATTTGAGAGCGAGATTACGGATATACCACACAGGAGCAAACAAATACAATCTTCAAAAGCCTGACCGGGTACCACCACGAAAACACCGGTTCCTCTCACTGGAACCTTTAAATACAACCCCCGAACCCCCCCCCCCCCCCCCCCCCCCCCCCCCAAAAAAAAAAAAAAAAAAAAAAAAAAAAAACAAGAAAGATGCAGGGGTGTAGGGATAATGGAAGATGTTGTGAGGGAAGAGGAAGCGGGAACCACGGAAGCATGCATTACTTCCATTCACTGTGCCACCTTAGTTGAAGGTGTTTGCTCCTCCAATGTTGTGAGTCACACTTCAAGGCGACATCTCACTTGAGATACTTTGCTACTCTTTTGTGTTGCAACCTTAAGCATTGTCACCACCAGACCACCTGCGTCCTATGTTTAGAGGACGTGGAGCCACAAGGTAGTAGTGCTTTGACTATATCTTCAACAAGTCCGGTAGGAAGGAGAGTGAACAAGGCCACGAATAAAAGCAGGGCAGTTCTGATGCAGTCGGCTCACTGTCTAACTGGTGAATTTCAACCTTGCCCCTCTGGCTGGATTCCACCATCCCTCCATATCCTGAAGTCTGATCAGTGCTAGATGTTCCTCCCAAGCTGTGGCCTCGCCGATGGCAACAGCCTCCCGGACGAGGTACTAGAGAGTGCGGCTTCAATTGCAATACACCTAAGGTAGCTGCTGACTCGTTTACAGAAGTTCATCTCATTCTTGCTTAAATCCATGTCAGAGAGGGGCGAACCCGTTTTCAGGCAACAAATTCAGTTCTCAGTTCCTTAAGTAGCCCTTTAGTAGGTCCGAGTTGACCTGCAGGGATTACAATTGTATTCCTGTAGTACAGGATCAAGTTACAGAGCTTCAGAGAGCGCTGGAATTTGAAGTATTAGTATATTATGCATATACCATGGCAATATACCTCGATGGGAATAGCAAGGCGGCTTCTCACCGTCTCCAACCCTACGGTAAACTCTTTAGGTACCTAGGTAGGTACCGAGGATCAAGTAAGGAGTGGAGAATCAGTGCTATGCTTCTAAAAGCGTATTATTATGAGATAGGTACCTTAGATAGTACTTTGCAAGGGCGAGATCGCTAGGAAGAGCAAGCCGCGATCCGGCATCGCGCGCGGCTCAACACCACCGAGACCAAACAATACAACTTTACAAGTCCAAAACAGCAAAAGTCATCAGTCTAATATAAAATGCGTGACCTGTACCGTCACAACATGTGGTCCAAAGCTGTGCCGGGATTGAAATTCGGACCGAAGCCAAACACAACTTCGGCCAAACAAAGTCGCGTCCAAAGGGGTCATGCGTGTGATCCTTAGAAGCTGGTACAACTGCATGTGTGACAGGAGACACAAAAAGCTTCGGGTGCCGGGAATACGGTCTAGACTTGTTGCTCTGCACACGCTGTTGACGCAAAGTTGTTTCCGCCCCCAAATGCCCAAATGTCAGGCCATCCTCCCGATAAGCGATAGGAAAGGCGGCCCGTCTCCTCCAGAGTCCAGTCCGGAGTCCAGACTGCGAATCGCAAGCAAATCCACCGCTCTCGCCTAAGCATCATGGTCTCATGGTTGGGGGGCCCCGCTACTTTTGCAGAATTTCCCAGAACTGGTCAACTGACGAGTACGAACCTCGGCCGAAGACGGGCATAGGGGTATCTTAATGTGCAGTCTGTGTTGTGCCGATACAGGAGAGAACGCTGCACAGCAGCCATTCTTGCCGGCTTATATCATATATGACGCCTTGTTGACATAGTGAGTTCTGCAAGTTTTGCGGGACGGGGAAGGGATTATACACATCCTTCAATGTACATATGCACATAGATCGAACCTCCACTGTGGCCGTGAAGTGAAGAATGTTGTCGGATGCTCCCGCCCCTGATTTTCAACCCCAGACGGGGGGTTCGCGGAGCCCCACGCGTTAGGTGGCCTTATGCAACTACTCGCGGGCCTGCACTTCCAGGGCTTGGGCACTGATAAACTACGAACGGCATAGGGACAACCCTAGCGTGTCCCTAATTTTCGCTTATATGCGTGTCTAAATTCTCCCTTTACGTGGGCGTGGCAATGGGGAAAGCACGAAACTCATCAAGATTACATCGGGGTAATAATATTAGCGAGTAGAGACTGCAAGACACAACAGTGATGGAATCCCCTCTGGCCCACTACCCAAAAGGGCCATAACCCCGGGGCCTGTGTACCGAGGTAGCCCATCATGATCCTCTTCAGAGGCCTAGGCGACAATCTTCTCGGCCACCCTACCATCGTCGGTGACGACGACCTTGTCCACCTTGAGCGAGGCCTTGACCGGGTTGGGCTGGTTGTAGACCCATTCGAGCTGTTCGAGCGTCCGGCCTTGTGACTCGACACTGTGTTGTTGGGGCAACATGGTTAGTATCATATCATAGCGGGGGGGCAAACGTTACGGTGTGTTTGGGTCAAAGAGGGCAACATACCCGAAGAAGTACCAGATGATGGCCTCGATGACGTCCCAGGCGACAAAGACGTAGATGTACTTGTAGCCAATGTTATCCAGCGCAATGGGGCCGGCGAACTGGTTGATGAAGCCCACGGCGTTGACAATGAAGCCGGAAGCGGCGAGACCCTTGGCGCGGGTGGTTGTCTCGAGGGCCTCAGTCGGGATGGCGCCTTGCAGCGGAGTGTACGTGAAGGAGAAGATGATGTTGAAGAGGAAGTACGAGGCAAGCGCGCCCTGGCCGTAAGAAGGGCTGAAGTCGCCTCTCTGTTGCTGTTGGTCGAGCACGGCCGAAAGACCCGCATTGGCGCCCAGAGCGACGGCGCACATGAAGGTGCCGATGACGAGCACTTTGCGGCGCGGCATGCGATCAGTGAGGCTGACGGCCGTCAGGGCCCCAATGGCAGACAGGCTTTGGCTAAGGATGTTGTAGCCGAGCTGCTGCGGGACGCTGTCGACACCGAGGTTCTTATAGATGGTTGTATTGAAGTAGCCGAGGCCGTTGCCGGAGAACTGGCCGAAGATGGAAATCATGAGCACCTGAGCCATGCGCCAGCGGCCGCTGTGCGTTAGGATGAACGGCCGGTAGTCCCACCAGGTCTTGTCGACGCCGTCCTGACGGATACCGTCCCGCATTTCCTCGAACTCGAGGCGGACGAGGCGCGAGTTGGGGTCGCCGTTACCGTGGTACTTGATGAGAAACGCAAGGGCCTCGTCCTCCTTCCCGTTGGCCATGAGATAGCGGGGAGACTCGGGAATAAAGAAGACGGAAGAACAGACGATGAGACAAGTGGCGGCTTGCAGTATCAGGGGGATGCGCCAGGCGTAGTCGTTTTCCAGGTAGTTGGTGCCGAATGTGATGATCGCAGCAGGGATCGCACCGCCAAACCAACCGCAGTTGTAGAAACCGGTGCAGCGACCACGCCAATGCGGGGGAGCAATCTCGATCGCGTAGGCGGGGGCGCAGACGGTCATGACGGCGATGCCAAATCCGAGGATGAAGCGGCCCACGACGATCTGTGGGAGGTGCATCGAGGTCGAGATAATGATCATGCCGATGATGATGATGACGCCCCCTGTGAACATGCTCTTCCGACGGCCAAGGTTATCCGAGATCACGGCGGCGAACGGAGCGCCGACCATGGCACCGCTGTGATGCAAACCCGTGTCAGCATGACGTGAGGTGATATATGCATCCCGCTCTTCTGGGATGAACCTACACAACATAGAGCGAGAAAATGACAGCGGCCGTCGGCCCAACAGATTTGACACCGAACTGCTCTTGGAAGGTGGGCATAGCAATGATGGAGGTCATCAGAGAGCCATCGTAACCGTTGGCGCAGGCACTGTAATCTGGTTAGCTCCCGTGTCGCATGAGGGCCACCCCTTACGATTCAGCGTCAGTGCCAATGGAAGAAACGTACCAGCAGAAAGCAACAAAGACGGACCCTACGTCGCGGTGGTTAGCAGGTACGTCTATGCCAAGGGACATTCCATCGAGCTGTGGCTTTCTCACAGTAGAGGTGGAGAGATGTCTTGCTCCAGGGGTTGATGTTGGCCTCCTTGATAGCGGCGAAGAGCTCGGCCTGTTCGCGTCAGCAACACTACCATCGCGACATGGCCACGTAGTATACCAGGACGCACATTATACACTTCCTTTTCCTTTCCTTTGACCCTCGGGACTTCGCTGGCCGGGACGGCGGCTGATGCGACAGCCACCTCGGGAGAGCCAACCTGCTTCTCGCTGCTGATGTGATCGTGATCCGACTCCTGCGACGACATCTTCACGGTGGTTCCAGGGGGAGAAGATGAACAGTGGAAGTGGGGAAAGGTAGCGACAAGAGAGCCATCGGGCATTGAGCGGCGACATCACCATACATATAGACAGGTATTAAGGACCGAGAAGTTGAGCTTGTATCACGGTACTGCGCAAATGGCAGTCCACCAAAAGGAGGGTCCAGGTTCCCAAATCGGCCACGGACAGGCCTCCTCCGAAGGCCCAAACGGGTAGCGAGGAGCGTGCAACGGTTAAGCTTCGTCATGATTGATCAGGAATTCTCCGATCGCATTTTAGAACCACGCTAGTGTAGCCTTTCTCGCTTTCTCCAGATCAGCGCCACGGCGAGTCTGGGGTCGAATGCATATCAGGATTGCAATTCGCGGGGCCACATGGGTGCAAGCAGCGACTCACCACGCAAATGTGATCGATACGAAGGGACTCTGGGCATGTGGCCCAGGTTTGTGGACGCCGGAGGCCGGGCCTTGGTTCCTGTCTGCGGGTTAGCGTATGCCCAGCGCGCCCGGTCAGCTTACAGTATATCACGGTACTCACCTTGTGACATGTGCGTTTCTACGGAGATACCAGCCCTATAGCCCAACAGTGACCGCTGCTGGTCAGGTGGAAAGTGATTGAAGTACTATATTGTACCTTCTTTTTTGTTCCAATATCCCCGTGTTCAGGCTCAGATCAGAGGCCTATTGCGGGCCTCCCCGTCGGTCCCGTGACACCGGAACCTCAGACGGGAGCTGCGAGGTTCTAGCCCCTGTGGATACATAGTTAGTACTTCGGTTCGTACCACCGGTGTGGGGTAAGATGGCCGCGGGCCAGAGAAGCTCTGGAAGAAGCGCGACATGTACAATACGGAATAGTGGGAGGTGCAAGTGAGACCAGGTAGGTGTAGGTAAAAGGTGGCTGGACGAACTGATTGAATTGATTGTTGTGAGAATACCTTGACAACTTTGACCGAAACGCCCTTCAAAGGTTCAGGTCAATGGAAACGAGAGAGCTGTCGGAAGAGAGTTCCAACAGAGCCGAAAGTTTACCTGCTGGCGCAGTGGCCCCAGTCTAACACTCAACATCCACCCCTGCATCGCACCTTCCTCAACAGCTGGAGCAAACTGCACCGCAGTGACATTGCATCTGTCGTTCCGTGTCTTCATATTTTTGCATGCCGCATTCTGTTAGCGCTGCCGCCGCGCGCTGCCCATGCCTACCGCCCAGCGCCACCCCATGCTGAAGTCACAGATCGCCAAACCCGATCGAGCAATCAGGCCCACTCAGGAGCCGGAGAATTGGGTTCGTCCTTCCGTCCAGTCGGACCACGCGGCATGTGTACATAGGACCACATATGTAACAGCCCAGCTTTGCACGTACGACGCGGACTGGGAGTCGACCGCTAACTCCAGACGGAGGCTTTTTAGCGCTATGTAGATACTACCTAGGTACCGGATCCTACCCTTGCTACCCACTGCAGAGCGTCGCGCCGCTCGTTCAAATAGTTTCACTTTCACCGGCCGGGCCGTGTGCCGTCTGCTCGCCGTCTCTGCGACCGCGCCAGAGAGGTTGCCGGAGGTCAGGAGTGCCGTTCTGGCAGACCGGGACTCAAACTCTTCGAATGCACGTCAGCTGATGTCCTCTGAGCCTAGGGGCTCGCCTACGGATAACACTCGTCAAGTCGCGGCTAGCAGGGTCATGGAGAATGTTATGTGTATGCACAGTCCATACATACGCCGATCCTCGGCCGGAGACCCCGGTACTGGTCATAGCTTATTGGTATGGGCAGTCCCATACGCAAGTCCCTTAGGTAACTTGTAAATTCTCGTGGGCTCTTGTTGATGGTGCCGGCAAGTGTCACTTTCATGTAAGCACCGCGCATACAGATGAAACTCGATTCTCATAATATTCTAGGAAGTATATTCTTAGCCTGGCATGTGGATCGACTCCGACCCAATCATTTCATGTCAAAAAGAACCTCAGCTCAGTCAATCAAGGCTATCATTACCCAACAGCCTGTGCTGTGCTGCACTGGCATGCTGCATAGACACAACCATGGAGCAGGGCGTACCTAGATCACCCACGCTACAAATACGGAAGACACACCAAGGGCTGCGAATTGCTGCAGATTCGAGCCAGGAGAGACGTAGAGAACAGCGCTGTTTCCACCCAGAGATGGAGACTCGTCGTGGCTGGCACGCAGGCAACATTAAGCCAGTTGCCTTCTTTCCATATGTGTGGCGACCAGCACGCTTCCCGCTTGTTTGGAGGTTTCCGGTTCCAACTCTTCTGGAGCAGGAACCATATAGCCATCTCCGCAGTCCTGCTTTACACTTCCAGCTAGCCAAGGCATACTCCAAGAGAAAAGGAATTACACAAACTGCAGAACGAATCATCCAACCCTCACGTGCTCTCCCGCCCTTCCCAAAAGTCCCGGATTTCTTTATTCAGGTCCCTCTCCCTCGGCTCAGCCGCCCAGCCATCTACCGCCGTCTCCGCAACATCGAGCCACGGCTTCATGGCCTGCCGGGCCTGTTCCAGGCCTCCGACGCCAGCAAAATGCACGAGGAAGTCTCCTCGCCGAGCGTGGTACCGCCGAGCATTTTGTCGCCGTTGAGGGGAGCGAAGTCCTCCGCGTCCCAACCCGGGGGGTAGGGGTTGAGCCACCACTGGGGCACCCAAGCGACGTTATCTCGGAACTGGGGCTCTTCCAACAGAAATCCCATCGCACTCTGCTCCGACCAGGTAAGCTCGACATCGGGGCGGTAATATCGGAACGCCAGAATGGCGAAGAAGAGGTCGACGGACCACCGGTTGACCTGGACGAGGAAGACGCCGTTATTCAGCCCGTTCCAGTCCTTTGTCGCGAGCATGTGTATTTCTGGTTTGCCGTCTTTGGGCTGCTCTGTATGGTTATTAAACTCCTTTTCCCTGGGAGGGAGGAAGCTCAGAGGAGACCGGCACGTGTCGAGGATGATCGTGTCGCGGTCAACCCAGAACAGCCACTCCAACCGGTCGCTCTCTGGCTTCTCCATCTCCCGGAGGAGCAAGTCCAGAATGAAGGCTGGCTTGTTCCACAGGTCGTCGACGATCTTGGTGCAGAGGATGTGTATGCCGGTTCCGTGTACCGCGTTGTGCAGGGCATGCGTTCGAAGTGCTCGTTGGTAGTGTTTTTCGGGTATCCCAAGTTGCGCCGTCACCATGGCGAGCCGAGGGGGCGGATCTCTGAGTGTCGCGCCGTGCTTGAGGCAGAAGTCTTTGTTGTGTTTGACATCGAACAAAGAAGGGTGTCGCTTGGCGGGGAAGCAGTCTGGCTTGCCGTAGCAGTGGATATTGTCTTGGCTGACTGAAAGTGTTCGATAAAACGGTAGTGATGGGAAGGCATGGCTATTCCAGTACTGCAAGATAATCAAAATGGGAGTAGCGGTGAGCAGTGCCTTGAGGACCGCCGTCCTGGATAACATCTTGGCTTTGGGAATAAAAAAGCGTCCCTTAAGATCTTTCGACGACGACACCCTGGGCGTATGACTGTATTTCCGTCATCGGCCGTCACAAAGAGACAAGAGGAGATGTTGCCCCCTAGGGTCCTCTAATACTTGCGTCTATCCCGCATCCTTCGCAACACTCGGGGTTAATTCGTTGAATAGAAGGCGGAAACTCACTTGGGGTGTCTTGTGCACGATTCCCTAGCCGGCAGAACGTTACCTTTTATGGGCTCTATGTAGAACTAGCCCCAATAGTGAATTTTTCCACGCCTCTTGCCTTCTTTGTGTCCTGGAGTTCTACTGGTTGTTCAACTCACGAATACTACTCATTGATGACGACGTGGTAATAAGGCCATTCTTGCCACTGGGCGACGCCACATGCCGATAGGGCATATGCTTGGACCCGGCTTGCTCTCAGCGGGTAGCCCTGGACGCTAAGGATGAACAAACAATGAACAAACAAACAAACAAACCAATAGGCAACGCCTCTTTTGTTTTAGGGCCGGAAGAAGGGAGAAATGCATCTTAGCTAACAAGATCATGGAACGCTTGAAAAGTACCATCTCAACGAAGCTCAACGAGCTCAACCTTCCAGAGGCGGTTTCCTCTAGACGGAAACGTCAATATGGACTGTTAGGCGGTGATATGACTGCCAAGCAGGGAGCTCGAGGATGGCGGACAGCAGGTCTAGGTACTGCGGTATATATATAGCCTTTTCGTCCTGACTCGTCGACAAGCAATCCAGCACGGCTTTCCGATCCTGCTAATCTCTAGGTACCTAGATGGATATTGTACAACGACACGCACAAAGGCATAATGGAGTAGTAATCATGATAGTGATAGTCATGACGGGGTCCTGGAGTTTGGATAACCTTGCTTACAATGGCCCACATGTCGACAATTGCGTCCGCGATCACCTGGAATTTCGTGGCAGGAATCTACAGCTTCTTCCCATCCTCTCGGAACAGCCACTTAAGTGTGTGATAGGATGAGGCGAAGTCACTGACAGTCATTTCAAGAAAGAACCGTGGGAGGGCTAACAGGTGGCGAGCTTCTATCGACCGCTAGCGTATTTTATTGTGAGGAACGACGACTTGGACCTCATCCCAGGTGCCAGGGTGTCGAGATGGTTACGACTGACTTGAACGACAAGGCCTCTGTCATACTGCACCCTCCTACCGCCGCATGCTGCGACCGATATTGTAAACATGTTCAAGTTTGCGGAGGAGGACGGCAACTTGGGGAAGGGGACAGAGGACACGGTGCAGTGGACCATGGAGCAGATCAAAGCGGGCCTTATGGAATGGCTGAGCTTCCGCCAGGCGCCATACCGGGTTGCTATGCTAGTATGAGTCCGATCCGTCTTTGTTGGGACCGGAGAGAATGGACCTCTGCGGGCTTGAATATGCCAGGTAGTCTATCAGCAAGATGCCTTAATCAAGCCAATCCCAAGTGTGCCACATCCCATAGTACCTCCCTCTTGACCTTGTGCCCATAACATAAAGACCTGTGTCGCACCCATCCGGTACTGGGCCGCTCGTTAGCATAGATGAAAGGAGAGTAATCAGATGGCAACCCCCCGAAGACGACGTTTCTGAGCCCAGTAGGCTCCCAACCCCAGCGCCCAAAGCCCTACCAGGACAACCGCCTGCGTCGGCGCGAAAGCGGCTCCACGGACGACGACAAATCCGCTCACCAGCGCAAAGACAACGGGGACCAGAATGAAGGTCTTGTACGGCCTCTCCAAATCTGGCTCACGGTACCGTAGGATTATCGCGCCGAGGACGGTCAGGAAGAAGAAGGTGTACTCTCCCAGACCGTTGAACGTGAGGAGTGCGCGGAAGTTGCCGAGCAGGATGTATGCTGCGGAGAGGACGGTAGAGAGAATGATGGCGTTGATCGGGGCATCCGAATCTGGCGCCTTCTGGGGGTCGTCCTGTGAGCGCTCTGGTTCGGTACCAACTTTGCCGACGACGCTGAGCATACGGGGGAGCCAGTTCTGATTCGCCGCGGCAACAGCCATGCGGCCGGCAACGAAGGAGTTGCCGAGGAGAGAGCCGGCAACCACGAGACAGATGAGTATGGCGGCCACAATGCCAAAGCCGCGGCCGAGAAGGCGGGTGATAGCCGTCTAATATAAGGGCATTGATTAGCAAGAGATCTGCCGGTTCCAATGTCTTGTGCAACTTACTACCGCAACACTGTCCGTCACCGACACGACATCCCAGGGCAGGAGAATGTAGTACGCTGCATTTGCCGTCAGGAAGCACAATATGATGCTTGGGATCGAAGTGTTGATCGCAAGGGGAAGTTGGCGCGCGGGAGCAGAAAGCTCTGCCGAGATGTAAATGGCCTGGGAGATGGTCAGCTCATCAGGGCCTGCGAACGGTTAGGCGTGTGGCCGGCTTACCTTGTCCCATCCAGAATACGCCCACAAGGCAGCGTACAGCGCAGCGGATAGATGCCCAAACAGCTCCCATGGACCTAGCTCAGACCAATGCGTGACGCTGCCATCGGGGTTGAGGCTGTCCCTGTACGCGAACCAAGGCTTCTTATGCCAATCTCCGCCACCGACGTCGCTGTTCGGACTCGCGACCTGGAGGATGACCACGACGACTCCAGCCAAGACAATCGCGGCGATCGTGACGAACTTGGTGGCAACGAAGAAGTTGTTGAGCCGTGTGCTTGCCTTGGTGCTGATCGAGTTGGCTAGGCCGATCAAGACCAACACGACGATCGAGAGTAACTTGTGCTCAACCCTACCGCCTTCGCCCATCACGCCCGCGGCCGAGTAGATGCTCTCAATGAAAACGATGCTCAGAATCGCGAGCGTCGCCGGCATGACTGCGACGACCCAGGTCCATGCCGCCAAGAAGCCGAATATATCCCCAAAGATATACTTGAGGTACGGTTGAACACCTCCTATGACACGATCAGCAAAGCCCATTTGATGAACCGTTGCATACCCTTCGGCACATGACGCGGCCAAACCTACCTTCACCCGGAATTGCGGTGCCCAGCTCGGCCATGGTGCTCGCCCCTGTCCACGCCAATACCCCGCCCACGAACCAAACCATCAGCGCCGCGGCCGGTGACGGCACATTGGTGTCGATCGACCCGGGCGACGTGAAGACTCCGCTGCCGATGACGATGCTGATAACGATGGCGAAGGCTTCGACCGCGCCAAGGCTGCGCGTGAAAGTGCCCCCACCCCCGGCTCCGACAGTCCTCTCCTCATCGCCGACATCGCCGGTCCCGACCGTGATATCCACCGGTTCTCCACTAGCACCGGCAACGGCACCGCCGATCCCATCCCGGCCTAAATCCCCCGACGACCGTAGAAGGGGCGTCCGCTCGTCAGAAGCATCTCCGCCGACTGCTGCGGCGCCCGATCCGGACAAGCCTCCCAATTCCGCGACCATTCCGAACCCTTTTGCCTCGTTCGCCCCGATAACGTTACTGCTCCTGCTGGCCCTGAAGATCCGTGACTCCCGACCGAGCTCGTCAGAACCGCGCGGCCCGACTCTAGACAACAGGGGAGTCGGACTCGGCGGGGGAGTGATGAAAAGCGGGAAGGAGACGAGCGACGATGTGATTGACTCGGCCGACTCCTCCGATGACGATGGGCTTGAGATGGGGATGGATGAGGTGAAGTTCGGGTCAAACGGCGTCATCCGGGCCGAATAATAACCCTTGCCGGCTGCACTGCTGCAGGGAGTCAATGGACCCACCGTGGGCGTGACCGCGGCGGCATCCCGGCGCACGCCATCGCGCGGGTGGCGGGGCCCGCAGCTGCAGGAACCGCTCTGGGGCGTTGACGGCGGCGAGCGGGCCATTTTTTGATTTCTTGGCGGCGCCGCGAGGTTATATATTCTGTTCTCACGGATGCAGGTCGTGAGCTAGGCTGGGCTTGCGAATGAGGTTGACGCCGAATGTTGATCGTTGTGGGTGGCAGGACGAAAACGTTATTGAGTTTGAGTTTGAAAAGGTTGGGATGATAGTTCGCAGGGACTGAAGGTATGCAATGTGTTGATGCGCAGCTAGCATGACTTGACGGTTGAAGGAAAGAACCTACAATGGTGACGCACGTCGAGAGCCACATGTGACAAGTTCACTGCGGTTCACCTGAACTAGTAGGCGGGTTAACGTCACTCGAGATAGGAGTATGAAACCCTTGGGAATCATCACTACTACCGTAAGTATTATCAACGTATGAAATACGCTATGAACATGTGCGATGCATGCCATTGCCCGGCCGTTCAACAAACTCGTACCGTGGTTTGTATGTTCCTCGTGATGTTGTGTTAGAACATATAGTACTATACTAGCTGTGCTACTATCACAGAATGTATCTGTTGATACGGAGTCTGGAACTTACAGCATCCCTTGTCGATCCAGCAAGACCGTTCTTACATGTAGGTGACAGACGAAGGCACTTCGGAATAGCATTTGATACTGTCTTGTTGTGCTTTGATATCTAAAAGCTGGTCGCAGAAGAATTAGCAGTCAATAGCACTTGGTTGATTGGTACAAGTCAAGTTGCTCAGGTAGGTCAAGCTTCTCATAGGAACGTCCATGAGGTTACAAGCAACCTTTCGGGCAGGTATCGAAGAATCGCACAATTTGAAGCGTCTGAGTCGGTTGTATTCCGTACCTCTAGCATGGCGACAGAAGAACAAACTCCTAAGTACAACCTCATTTCAACCCAGATGAGCTTCATGTCGTTAACCGCCCCCCTGTCAACCACATGCGTTCTACGACTTCAGTCTTAGAAAAGTTAGTTTGGGATATGGAAATCTCAAGTCCACAAAACGAGCGTAGGTCGCATCATCCACATCAAGTGAAAGAGCATATAGGTTCATCCAACAAGGTGCCAAAAGAAGCAACAAGACAGGAATCAGTCTGTTATCTGACATTCCATAGACACGAACATGACTTACAGAGAGCGATGGAGTTTTCAGTATTCTATATGACGTGAACGGGGCTCGGTGCTTGGCATCTGCAGCAAGAAAATATGACGACCATTGAAAAGCCAAAATGTTGACCTTGACCACCTGAAGAATCAGGGGCCACAGAAGTCTGAAGACTCGCCAAAAAGCGCCAACGGCGAGACTCGAACTCGCAACATTCAGATTAAAAGTCTGACGCGCTAACCAATTGCGCCACGCCGGCTGACTTCCTGATTGGCTGCTTTTGTGTATTGATTAGGCCATGAGGATGTTGTGGGTTTCCAGCACCTCTCATACCAGCATTGGATTGTCTTCTCTTACCAATACCAAATGACTCGGGAGAAGTTGAAACAAGAGGAGAGGACTCGCCGTGTCTTTTACTCCTCCTAGAAATTGCTAGAGAGGCAACACCGAGCTGCGAAGACCGGGAAATGCCAAGCTAAGCGCCAAACACACCACAATTACAAGGGGCCTCGAAAACACCAACTACGTAAGTCGTAAAGTATGCAAAGCTGTCAGCGGAAGAATAGCTGGGCGATCACCGCGTTTCGGTGACCGAGAACAACAGCTTTGGCCAAGGCACGAAGAAGTTGCAGAGGGGCAGGGGTTGGCAGGTATGAAGATGCGAGGGCCGGGTTGGTGAAAGGCAAAAAGTAAGATGGAATGGAACCAAGGCGGTGGTCGGCCAGCAAGGCGGCCGTTAATTGTTGCCTTCATCACCGGCCGTGAGCCTTGGCCGCTGACGTCAGTTGAGCCAGGGCGTTGTATCACAATCAAGGCGTGCAGCTTCCCTGACCTTAAGCTGACACCACGGGCCCCGGCCCGAAACGGGTGGCAAGATGGGTTGATCGCGCCGAACTGGGAGGTTCGCGCTTCGTACAGCATCACATGGAGTGTAGTGTAAGCGGGAAGCAGTTCTGTTCGCTGGTTCTTTTGAATTTTTTTTTGGCTGCTCGAAACTACACGACGTCCATATTTACACAGCATCCGGAAATGGTAAGGATTTTGTCAAGAGGTATCAACCCTCCATCAGCCCCCGTCTCAGAAATGAACCAAATGCAGTTCTTCCTCAACGCCCGCAATGTAAATGCTTCCCATCCAAAACCCTCACTCGCCGAGTCCATTCGCCAAGGGAATTGGTTATCTTGACCTTGGAGAATATAACAACGGTGGCGTACCCAAGTTGAATTTTCCCTCTCTCTGCGCGGAGAAAAAATAAATACCGAATCGAGTCGCGCATGGTGGTATCAACGTCTTTCCGTCGGTATCAAAACAGACTCGCGCACAATGAACCCCAACTCCAGTAGTCCCTAGTGCCACTGCGACAGAAGTAAAAAAAGGAAAAAGATGTATGTAAGGGTCCCAAGTTCATCAGAGCCCCACGTTAGAGGCGCCAAGGTGTCCGGGCGGTCCCCCAATGCCAATAGTCCTAAGTCGAGGATCGAGCCAAAGGTCAGTCTAATGGCTGTTGTTTGTGTCGCATGGCTGCTCCCGCAAATTCGTCTTCGACACAGCCGGTGGCGCCTAGCTTCAAATGGCACGACCCCGTCCGGGCCGAGATCCCACCTGCCTCCATGCTCAGATCCTCCTGAGATAGCCGCACGATCGTGAGTTCCCACACCAGCCGGCTGATAGATTACCGCCACAACCCAGTTTCTCCGAGATGGCCGTCTTCATTATCCTCCTCTTTCACCCGCGATGGAGGCACCCCCGCAAGTTCCGCGTCGTTGCTCATTTCTTATTGCGGCTGCTGGACGATGTGATCTTGCTTGTCGACATCAGGTCTCCAATGTACTTTTGCAGGAACTTGTTGTGGCGATGGAGTTTGTCGTGTTCCTCCTTTACCGCCTCTATCCGGTTGAAGAGGTTGATGAGGGACTCTTGCAGTGCCTTGGCATGCCTGAGAGCCACTGTTAGCCCGTCTATCCCCCTCATGTGCCCGATGGGGCCGACGCATGGAGCCAGGTCTCGTGTAAGACTCACCTCTGCAGTTCCTCCCTCGCCTCCATACCCAATGTCTGAATATCCTCGCTCGTCCTCCTTGGGCTCATGGCCCTAACGTCGTCTGGCGGTATGTCCACTTCCTCGATGGCTGACGAATCGCGGGGTACGATCATGGTGCCGCTGCTCTTGCGGCTCGGCAGTTGCGGCCGTACGGGGACCGTTGCGTGTATAGGCTGATCGAGGGAGGAGGCTGACGATGATTCCGACCAGCCCGGACTTGCTGCCTTGTTCGGACTGGCGTCTCCCATTATGCAATTATAGGTTCCAACGCGGCTTAATATCGTGCCGGATCGGTCGTATCGGTTAATGTTGTGAACGGGCGCGGAGAAGGTTCGAATAATAAAGAGCGAGCGATGTCTTGAATGTCATATGAGCAAAGAATGTTTGGCTCCTCCCGTCCTTACGCAGTGAAAACCCAGAAAAAGGTTACTGCCGCCACCATTCGCCAGTCCGATGTGGCGCAGGCCGAGGGAGCTCGAGGAGTTTGGGAACTATCTGTTCGTAGGCGGTCTTTGGGCGGTTCTGGAGGAAGGGAGTAAGGGCACACAGGTCTGGGCGTGGGAAAGTTTGAGGGGCGGGTGCAGAAGACAGCTCAGTCTGTGGGCGGCAAGGCGGTGGTGGGCCTTGGGACAGGGTCGCGGGTCCTGCTCGTGGAGTCGTGGGTCCGACTAGGAGCGCTGCCAGCAAACGTCGAGAGACGTCAGTCACCCACGAGACAAAACGGATCTGTGGAAAGCCAGCCTCCGAAGACGGCCACGCATACATACACAAGGGGGACGGCGGGGTGGCCGAAAACAGGACAGAAGCTGAAGGCGCTGGACATACGGCGAAGCGCGATTGGGGAGTTCTTCAAGGCCGGGCAAACAGCGAAAAGTTGGCGAAGGCTCTGTGGGTGAGACAGAGGAGCGGCAACGGAAGGGTGGAGTCGGTTGGGCGGTTGACGGGGGCTGGTCAGCAGATGGCTCCGTGCACCGTTTGCAATGCCGCGATCAGCAAGCTGTGCCTTGGTGTGCTGGACGGCGACTGGTTGCGAGGGGCTCCGTCGGTGTGGTCACAGGAGCGGAGAACCGGGACTTGTTTTGGATGCTGCCTGTGGAAGGCGGGACGTCGATCGGTCGAAGCAACGGCGTCAGAGACTCTCAGAGGTGACGCGCGGGTTGGGGTTTCGCCTCCGACGATGCGACCTGGGGCTGCTCTGCCTTGCTTCGCCCTGCTTCCTACACTAGCGGCCAGCTCGAAGGGCTAGTACGCGCAAAACAGAGCCGTCTGAAACACGGATGGGATGGAAGGTGGTGGGAAAGAGCGCTGCTCCCGGCATGGAATTTGTCGAGTCACGATGCATTGGGCATTCGCGGTAGCGCGTTACCGGAAGCGACCACGACGGAAATTTTGAAATCGGTGTGTCCTTCTCCCCGCCCATTGATGATTCGAGGCGACTAACTTTTACCCACACGTGTCCGCCACCAGGATCTGCCCTCAAGCAAAAGTCAGGGTATGCAGCCAAAGCCCTCGGTGATCGGCATTGATGACGCCAAAGGCTGCCACGTTCATTGGCGTACTTTTCAAAGGGACTTGGAATGCGGCCAGCAGGGGTCAGATGATAATCTTCGAAATTCCATAGTTCCTGCACTGCGAACCACTAGTGTCGGTGGAATGCCACAGTGTATGTAACGTTAAATTTCTGTATAGCAATGTAAATACCTGTCTCATCCACCGCATCCTTCGCTGTCATTACGAGTTGGGCATACGGTACTGTACGAAGGTATCCGGCGTTCTTACTGACCCTCTGCCCGGTCCTGACATCATCAGCGCCATGCGTTGTCAACTGAACGTACGCTGCTGCGGCCATTGATTGTGATGTCGCCAACGTATGGCTCCTGCGGCGCGGACGTTGTGTTCTTATGAATGAGAATGTCCGATTCCGCCGCTGGTAGGTTATGTTGCACCATCAGCGAACCAAAAACAGCAGCGTATTGTATATTACCTGTTAGGAGGGTTGCAGGAAGCACAATCTTGGGTGCGACCCTGGGTTCCCTGTTCTGGCAATCAGGACCCGTCCCTATTCTGGACCCGCCGGCTGACGAATCGAAATTCCAGGACCCTGGAAAACGGCTTCGCACTGTCACCTCCCGGACGTCCACGGTATCTGTCACACGCTGATCCCAACCGCAAAGCCGCTCAACACAGCATTTTATTTCGAGGAAAGGTTTGTCCTTCTCATAGACCCTCTGAGGCTCTAACGGCAGAGTCACACCATAAAATTGTGAGGCCAGCAACCTCAAGAGCTGACTCTGGTTGACAGCCGACTGGCTCCGAAGTCTTGACATACCGCGGCCCGAGCCAATTGTACTCGATGGCTTGCCGAACGGGAGGAGATGCCGGTTCCGCATCCAATCCACGACTCTACCTACTTACAGCCATACGTGGTGAGCATCCTGAGAGTCCGACGACTAACAGTCTAACTTGGCCCAGGACGGCGCCCAATGTTGGTGGCTAAAAACTGCAGTGTCGGGCGGTAACGATCGAGTGGGTGGATCGCTGCATCGCTAAGGAATGAAGCTCACCGCTGGAATGATACCATCACAGCTTTCGCGGGGCGTCGAGAAAAGAAGGTGCGCATTGACGCCCCGATGATAAGCCATCTCATAAATGGAGGCAGCAAATGCGTGTTGGAACTTGGCTCGCAGTGACCGTTACCGCCGTGGATCGCAATACGACTGGCATCATTCAAGGGCTGTGTCGCACTGTGCTGACGAGCGTTGATCACCTCCCAGGCCGACATACCCGACATGGTCTCTAACCGGCCGCCAGGAGCGAATCGCCGGTTACCACCTTGTCACCTGCCGAGCTTGTATTTTCCCCACCGCAAGAAACGAGACATTAAACTGATTCCTAGCGCGTCATGCTAGGTAGGAGCTTCAACAACGTCAGCTGGCGACACCGGTACCAGACTCATCGCTCATATGAGCATGCAAAAGATCTCATTCTGAGCGACCGGCACGCCGATCGGTCCCAAGAGAGGAACGAGCGAGGGGGCTACCGACTCCTAACCAGCTGTGCAAGTCATTCATTGTTTCCGCGGGTATTCTCGTTTTGGCGAGTTTTTAATCAGCCCTAGAGTTCGTCCCCATCGAGGCAGCCCGGCTCTCGGCACACGTAGGTCCGCCAAGACCAGTCACTCAAGAAACAATTGCTGAGCCACATGCAACTCATGGGCATCCGAGCAAACAGGCACTCCCCTGAACGGTTCCCCCTCTCTCTCTCCTTTCCCTTGCGGCCTGCCACGATGATCTCGGAGGCTGACCCCGGTTCGTGTTGATTGCAATGAAGAAGGGCGGAGAAGCCCACGGAAGCTCATCAGAAGTTTCTAAACTGTGTACAAAAAGGCTCGGTTCTGATGAACAGCATTTCGGCTGCAACAATAACCCAAATCAGGGGGGGCGACAGAACCATGGCTTTGCTACCCGACGGTCCCAGCTAGTCCCAGCAAGCCTTTTGGGCCGGGCATTTATGTATTAATCAATCATAAACCCGCCCAAGGATCTGGCAGGGCTGAACCGTCGTCGTTTGTGAGGCGATATCATCCCATTTCCTCGCTCGATGATTACGACACTCCGGGTACCCTATCCCGCTCGCCGGCATCTCCCGCTAGTCCCGACTGAAAATAGGGAATTCGACTCGAGCTGCCATGACTACCCGTCTTACCAGCGTCGATGCTGCGGATAGTCGGGTTAACCTTACATCTACACAGTAGTGAACCCCTATCCGGAGCACGCCGTCACCGTTGGCATGATTCCACTCCCTTGCCATCCTTTATCATTCAAGTAGGCCCGTCACGGTCTGTTAGGAGCTGATAGCAGTTGAAACGGGCGTATAGCTAAACACTCGCAGAGTGATGTGGTCAATTCTCCAGGACGATGTGAGTGAGCTGAGAGCTGAAGTAGGTGTACGTAAGTTATGTAGGACAGGTATTCTGTTAAGGAAAATAAGGGCTACGTTTTCAACATGGCAAAAGCCCTTCTCTCTCCGGCTGCCCGAAACGGCCATACATGTGAACCGCCAACGTACAAACTCTCAGATGGTTCAGCATGGACCCAAGGTAACTAGTTACTACGTACCTCCTTCGTTGGGAACACCGTTACGGCGGTGTTATGACAATGTTGCTGGCGACGCCCGGTCAAACCCACTCGTCGAGATCTTGTATCCCTATAGTTCCATCAACGTCGATTTACGATTCTGTCGATCGAGGAGGGTTAGCAGTGGATTCCGCATTCGCAAACATATACGAATTCATTATCTACCGAGTCTCAAGAGAACTCTCGGAGGAGCACGGGTCAACGCGTCAGCTCGGGCTCGCGAGTCATTGTCGACTAAGAGAATGTTATGTTGCCTGATAGCAATGCTTATCAACTACGACCTCAATAAACATGTGTCTGGGATTCCGCGGGCTAGGTACCGGTAGCTTAGTCCGATTATATCTTGTTGCCCCACGAGGGGGGCCTGGATTTAGAGCCTCGGGGCCCCTATGGCAAGCTTACCGCGAAGACATGGCTTTGATTCTCGAACGACTAATCCCTTCGGAAAGGTCCGATGATGTCGAGGGTAGCCAGTCGTGCCAGTGCTCCCAGTAGCAAGCTTACCAAAGGGCATTGGGCGGCAAGCAACCATGGCGTCCGTGCGGAAGAGCGCCATTCAGACTAGTATCGCCCGGCAGGATATTGCCGGGAATGGTTCTGTGATTACTATATTGGCTCCAAATGCAATGGCGTCCATCGCCATAAGGCGCGTAGATTGTCTTGAGCCGTACTTCGGACTGTTGGCTGAAGCTACGCCTGGTGCTGAGCTATGTGTGGCGGGTAATCTCGTCATCGTGGGCAGGAGGCTAGCCGCTACTAACAGTCTTGTTATTCCTCAGATATCGATTGAGTTGGAAACAAGGGGCTAAATTCCCCCAGCTGGGAGTAATATTATGCAGACATCATAAGAGCTTTTAGAGGCCAACACCATTTCCACTCACCACTGCGTCAACCGGAGGGTACGTTCAAGGCCTTGGACCACATCGATTCCTGCTCCCGCTGGGATCACGATTCGCGGTGGCCTCTGCGGCTCGACCCATTGACGCCGAGAGGATATACCTGCCAACGCGGGCGAGAGGCAAAGGCCGTTTGGTCCTTACCTTTCTTGACTATCTCCTTACAGTGGAATGGATCGTCAGGATTTGGATTGAGCAGGAAGTTGTCAAGGGTTCTGGCGTCCTTTTGATATGCAAAGCGAGCTCGAGAGAATTCAAGGAGCTTCTCACTGGGACGACTTGTACAATACTTCTACCTCCTCGACAGCAACCTCCTCAACTTTGCATGCCGACGTCGAAGCGTCGTCGCGGACATATACATCTGGCAACGCCTCCTTCCTGGCTGGGCGCCGCTACGTCGAATCGGCTCAGCAAAGGGGGCTCTTCATCCGGATGTGGCGCTTTCGGCAGTGTTCCCGCTGCAAACACTTTTGACGGAAGAAGTGGCGCCGTAACTCGAGGCCACAGAGCCCAGGGACAAGATCTATGCGCTGCTGGGGCTGCCATCAGACATCACACCTTCAGACACTTCGCCCCCCGCGTACGCAGTCCCCGTCGAGTCGGTGTTCACACAAGGCGGCTGAGCTTAGGTATTTTGGCCTTCTGGCAAGTCAGTGTGCCCGCCACCGCTGACACTGCTCTCCTTTGCCGGGATAGTAGGCACGCCGAGGAAACTGAGCGGCCTTTACCGACTTGGGTCCCGAACTGGACCGCCGCCGCCGCCTGCCGGATAGGATTCCTAGTTATGTACCACTTGGGGGATAGAGGGAACCTACTTCGGAATTAGTCGCGGAACGGGCGAGATATGACGCCACTTCCGGGGTGATGATATAGTACAAACCGATAGTGATTATATGCCATACCCCCCCACGTCGGGTGCGAGGAGGGTCTGCGGTGGATTATGGCTTCCTCGACGAGTTCCAGCTGGTGTCAGAGTGTTATGTCCGAAGTATAAGGCACGGCGAGGCTGTTGGCTTTGAGGAGGAGTAGAATATCATTTTGGTCTAATAAGGGCTAATAAAGATGGCAAAGGATAAAGACACCGCCGTTTTTGCCAGTCAGGATGGGGGCCCCCAGAATAGCGGGTTTGGTCCGAGTCCGGGTTTCTGCCGTAAATAAGTCCTTCTCGATGTGGCCGACCCTTTCCACGAAGAGCATTTCGGCATTGAAGGACCTCTCAATGACGGGGAGCTGTACAATACAACGCTGACATCACCTCTGTGCTCGGCGCGGAGATTGATCGCATTTTGGGGTTTCTCCGATCGGAGAGATGGCGGGATTGAGTGGGATTCAGACTGTTTGTTTTCAGAAGCGTAAAATGTAAACCGCTTCGGAGAAGTCTATCGTGGGAATTTCAGCAGTTATTGTTGGGATTAGTTCCTGACTCCTTGTTACAGCTCTCATGAATTTGGTGCAGATACCGCGGGGTATCAGTCAGCAATCGAGACCGCATGAGGTAGTATTACTAACTTATTGTTATAGCGAGCTAATGTCTTTCTTACTTCACCGCCGCGATTCAGCGGAGGTTGCGGAGTCAATGTCTCGGAAGAGTGCAAGAGAACCTCGCTCCATCATTCTATGTCGTTCCACTGCATTCAGCTTCGGAAGACGCATGCACGTTGTGAGTAAGATTCTGAATACTAAGCCGATCTAAGCACGCGCGCGGAAACCAAGATCTGCCCAGCGGCAACTTTACCGACTTACCGAGGGCGATCTCGCAGCCCCACACCACCCATTCAAGCATTTTTAGTTGCCCGGCCCGCCCCCAAAAACGCCTCCTCGGCGTCGCTTGAGGGGATGCCTTGGATTCACGATATCCGCAAATCTCAGTCGACTCCACCGGCGGCTCCGTGGAAGCCATGTCCGACGCAGTTGAGCCGGCCGTCTCGCCAGCTTCACTGAAAGGCCCTAAATACCAGGCCTCGGCCGACGCGGGCCCCTCCGACAACGATGCCGGCTCGGAGACCGCAGGGGACACCATGCTCCGGGCGCTACCGGGGGCCAAACCTGACGATGCCCTGGAGCGCCGCATCCGCCGCAAGGTCGACGTCCGGCTCTGCACGATCGCCGGCATCCTGTGCAGCCTCAACCTGCTCGACAGCGGCGTGCTGTCGAGCGCCGCCGTGACGTCCATGCTGGCCGACCTCGGCCTCGACCAGGGCAACCGCTTCTCGGTGGCCATCTTCATCTTCACCGTGTCCAGCATCGCCTTCCAGCTGCCGTCGACCATCGCGGTGCGCCTGCTCGGCCCGCGCGTGTGGTTCGCCGGCGCGACCTTCGCCTTCGGCGTCATCACGCTCTGCACGGGCTTCGTGCGCTCGTGGAAGGAGATGATCGTGCTGCGCATCCTGCTAGGCGCCGCCATGTCGGGCATCTTCCCCGGGCTGGCCTACCTGATCAGCACATGGTACCCGCGCCGCGAGCAGCAGCTGCGGTTTGCGTTCATGCAGAGCGGCGAGGTCGTCGTGCTCGCCACGGGGAGCCTGGTCAACTACGGCCTGAACCGGCTCGACGGCCGCGGCGGGCTGGAAGGCTGGCGCTGGATGTTTGTCGTGCAGGGGCTCTGCACCTGCGTCATTGGCGTGGTGACCTACTGGTGGATGGTCGACTTCCCCGAGCACGCGCACAAGAGCTTCCGCTTCCTGTCGCCCGAGGAGGCCGGCGTCGTCTCGAAGCGCATCCAGACCGACCGCGGCGATCTCGTGGCGCAGGACTTCAGCCTGGGGAAAGTCCTCGTGCACGCCAAGGACCCCAAGGTGTGGGCGTTTGCGGCGCTGTTCTTCATGCAGAACATCGTGTCGACCGCGCTGGCCTACTTTGTGCCCATCATCCTGCAGAGCGGGCTGGGCTACTCGTCCGACGCCGCCATCATCCTGTCGGCGCCGCCGTACTACTACGCCGTGGTGCCCGTGCTGCTGTCGTCGTGGTACGCCGACCGGTTCCGGCTTCGCGCTCCCATAATCGCCTTCAACGCGCTCTGTCTCATCACGGGCTTTGCTGTCCTGGGCTTCGCCAGCAACTCGGGGGCTCGGTACTTTGGCGTGTTCCTCGCCACGGGGGCGTATGTCGGGAACTGGGCCGCGTTGACGGCTTACCAGGCGAACAATGTTGTCGGGTATGTTTCTTCTGTTTCGGCTTGTCACTTCGCGGAGTGTCTGGATGCTAATACTACCTACCTACCTTACTGGTCGGGCAGGCAATGGAAGCGTGTGTTTACTGCTGCCGCTTGCACAATGTTCAACGGAGCCGGCGGGATTGCTGGGAGCTTTATCGTTCGCAGCTTCGAGGCGCCAACTTACACCACGGCTGTGTGGGTGTCGATCGGGTATGTTCTTCTCTGCTGGATGTACGCCAGCCATGGCTCATGCTAACAACAATCCAGGTCGCACATTCTTATGATATTTGTTGTTGCTGCCTTGTCAGTTCACTTCTACTTTGCCAACCGATCGCAAAGCCGAAGGTCTGGCGTCCTGGAAAATACGGTAAGTCGTCCCGAGTCGCATGCTCGTTGAGTTTGTCTTTTGGCTAACGAGATGCAGGAGGGGTTTAGGTTTACATATTAAATAGATCCTCGGATAAAGCAGATTGCAGCGCTTGCTATAGAGGATAGATATATATAACCCCCCGCATCATTCATTGTCTTCGTCCGCTTGAGTATCGTTTCATCACCAAGACCCAACTCAAAAGAATTCAAGCCCTCAACTTTCATATTATTCTATCCTAGATCTGTCGCAAACCCTCCTTCTACACCATATGCGCCCCATTGACCCTGATAGTCTGCCCCGACACCCACTTGCTCCCCTCCCCAGCAACAAACGCCACGACGCTTGCAATCTCATCCGGCTCGCCAAACCGCCCAAAGGGGTTCTGCTTCCGCAGCGCGTCCAGCTGCTGCTCGGTCTTGGGCGCGAGAAACATGTCGGTCGCCGTGGGGCCGGGGGCCACGGCGTTGACGGTGATGCCGCGGGGCGCCAGGTCCTTGGCCAGCACGCGCACCATCTGGTCTACGGCGCCCTTGGTCGCCGCGTACAGCAGGTAGCCGGGCGACACGAGCGAGAAGGTGCACACGCCCGTCGACAAGAAGATGACGCGGCCGCCCCCGCCGGAGCCCGAGGGGGCCGGCATGTGCGGGACCGCCCTTTGGACCAGGAAGAGGGCGCCCTTGACGTTCAGGTTGAAGTGCCGGTCGTAGTCGGCCTCGGTGACATGTGCGAGGTCGAGCATGTCCTGGATGGCGGCTTTTGGTTGTTTTTTTTTTTTTCACTCTCACGTTAGCTTTTCTTTTCTTTTCGTTTCTTCTTTCTTTCCCCGGTTTTATCAACCTGGAAGAACGAAATCAAACGCGGCATGGGATGGGGATGTGAGCTCACCATTTGGAATCACAACATCGATCTTGCCGAACTTTGCTACTGCCGCGTCGACCAGCTTCTCGATCTCGCTGATCTTGGAGGCGTCCGCCTGCACGGCCAGGGCGCGGTCGGCGCCGATCTTGGACACGACCTCGTCGGCGGCCTTGCTGCTCGAGTTGTAGTTGACCACCACGGAGGCGCCCTCGGCGGCCACCCGCTCGGCTATCGCGCGGCCGATGCCCCGGGAGGCGCCCGTGATCAAGATGACTTTGCCGGAGAGAGACATGGTTGGATCCGGGGTGGTTTGCTACCTGATAATAAGGGTTCTTAGAGAAAGGGATGTGTGTGGGAGAGTGAAGAGGGTTAGTTGCAGGTATCTTGGAGTTGGAACTTATTTAGTGTGAGACAGGAGAGTGAGCAGGCAAAGTAGACGGTTAGACCCATCTACCTCCCTTCTGGGCTGCCCAGTATATATATAGGTAGCTCTATGATCCACATATCGAAGTCTTAAAGCCTTAAAGCCCGATAAATAATCGAGTTCAGTTGTCATGACTCAGCACGACGTCGATTAAGTCCGGCGTGCTATCTCCGCAACGTAGGGTTAGGAACTGATTCTGGCGGCCCTATTACTCAGCGCAGCACTGAGCACTCGGTCTTCGCTCGGAGATAGACGGGTATAATGCGGGCTGATAGTACACACTACACTCCAAACAAAACCGCCCACCCCCCCCCCCCCCCCCCCCAACCCCAACCCAGCGTCTCCAATTCTCCATCCTCCGATAAGTACCGTACTTACACTACCTTACGTATTATTTATCAGGCAAGCTCCGCGAGCTTCTCCTCCGCGAGCTTCTCCTCCCCAGCAGCGGCGCCGGCGCCGACAGTGTTCAGCACGGTGAGCGCGCTCCTCTTCTCCAGGCTCTTCTTGACCGGGTCCGGGGCCGAGAAGACCTCCTCGAGCTCCTCGAGGGTGCGGTCCTTGGTCTCGGGGAAGTAGAAGTACATGACGGCAGCCTCGACCAGGTCCCAGAAGACAAAGACCAGGTAGAAGTAGTAGCCGATGCGCTCAAAGGCCGGGCCCGAGGCGTACTGCAGCACGGTCGACGCGGCCGACGAGGCAAAGTTGCCGACGGCGGTGCCCTTGGCGCGCGTCGCCGTGGGCAGCGTCTCGGCGATGTACATGCTCTGCAGCGGGGTCCAGCCGAAGGAGAAGACGACGCCGAAGATGAAGATGAAGGCGATGGTCGTGTTGGCGGCGGCGGTCTGGGACGGGTCGTCGGTGGCCATCTTGCTCGTGCCGGTGAGGATGGCGAAGCAGACCGAGGCGAAGACGATGGTGTACAGCAGCAGCGGGCGGCGGCCGACCACGTCGGTCATGCGCGCGCCGAGGACGGCGCCGATGAAGGACAGGGCCGGGTTGATGCCGTTGAGCGCGAGCACCTTGTGCTCGTCGGTGATGCCGGCCGACCGGAGCATGTTGACCATGTAGTACGACGACAGGCTGTTGCCGCTGATCTGGCCGAACACGGCCATGCCGACGACGCAGACCAGCCGCCGCCGCGCCGAGTGCGTGTTCCACAGCTCGTGGTAGTCGTACCACTTCTTGTCGGACGCCTCGGTCGAGATCTGGCTCAGCATCTCGCGCATCTGCAGCCGCACCATCGGGTGGTCGAGCCGGCCCTCGCCGTGGTACGCGGCCAGCACGCGCGCGGCCTGGTCGTGCCGGTCCTGCGCCATCAGCCACCGCGGGCTCTCGGGCAGCCAGAACACGCCCAGGCACACGATGCCCGACGTGACCATCTGGCACCAGATGGGGATGCGCCACGCGTCCAGGCTGTCGATGAAGGCGCAGCCGTAAACGACCCACGACGCGATGATGCTGCCGATGTACCACGTGCAGTTGTACAGCCCCGTCAGCGTGCCGCGCCACCGGGGATGCGCCATCTCCGACACGTAGCACGGCGCCGAGACGCATGCGAAGCTGACGCCGAACCCCAGCACGAAGCGGCCCGCCAGGAACTGGCCCTGGTGTGTGCTCGGCGCCTGCACGCACGTCCCGACGACCACGAGCAGCGCGCCGACAAACATGCCAACGCGCCGGCCGAAGTAGTCGTTGACCGGCCCCGTGAAGAAGACGGCCGCCACGGATCCGATATTGTACATGGCGAAGACGAGGCCCGTGCTGGATCCGGCCGTGGACCTTTGATATGCCCGCGTCTCGTTGTGAGCATAACATAAACGAATGACGGGGCTTCCGGGGATATCATGCAACAAGGTTCCTAGTAGTGAGTTCAGCTTACATGTTGAAGTATCTCTGATACGAAGTCATGCCGTTGAGCCCGCCCATCAGGCTGCCGTCATAGCCATTGAGGCATCCGCAGAGGTAGCTCAGCGACAGGACCAGGTACAGGCGCACCATCTGCAGCGACCACGGCGAGTACTTTGTGTCGTCGACATCGTGGGCGAGCTGGACGGCCGCCACGTCGGCGTTCGGCTTTGTCTCGTCGGCGTGGTCGGTTACGGCAGCCTCCTTCTCGAGGCTGGGATCCATTTATGATGCGGAGAGAGGGAGAGAGAGGGAGAGAGAGAGAAAGAGAGAGAGAGAGAGTGAGAGAGAGAGTGGAACCCGGGGGGTAATAAGGTTGGGTACTTGAGTGTGGATGACTGCCCCGTCCGTTCGGGGGGGCGGATCGGCGCGAAGTTATATCGGCGGGCCTTGAGGAGGTGTGTGCCTCGGCCGCCAGCCTGCCCAGCCATTCGGTTGTGAGAGTGAGACCTAAAACAACATCAACCTCTCCGGCTATGTGATGGCACACCACCCAGGTCACCGGTTCTGCTCGCTTGTCCATGGTAACTAGTTACCAAGGCTCCCTAGATAACCCCCCGCACCTCACCACCCCCAGAGCCGTAGGTCCCAGACATTCCCATCCTCGGCTGCTGGGGTGGCATAGTGAATAGCCGGTATTGCCCATGCCCCATACTGCGGTACCGTGTTGCGGTGTGGTCGCACCGTTGATTGGGGCGGAATTGGGGGCGGAATTCTGGTTTTGATGCTGAATGGCTGATGCTACGGTGGTAAGGTCATCAAGGTTGATTTTTGAGAATGCCAATGCTGCTCGGGGCTCACTTGCCCGAGGGGGGACTGCGGTTGTTGAGGTAAACGAACTGTGCCGCTTCCCAATGCTAGTATTTCCTTTATGTTGAGCACTGCCAGCTTTTATTTCCCCATTGAGCTTCAGGTGTTACTTACTTGTTTACCTTGCTTGACGTGCAAATGAAATACCTTTGACTATGGATTTTACTCAATCAGCCCTTTATTACACACTTACAGCTATCATGCTTTGTTTCCTATGGCTTGCTTAAATGTGGAAGCACTGGACAAAAACCCGAATGGGCTAGACGGCAGTTAGCGATGAAGATCATCACCCGATTTTTCTTCTGCATCCTGCCCAGCTTCCCCGCGGCTACAATCTGAAGTTCATGCGGATTACATAGCTGATTGGCGGGATATCTGGCGGCACCCAAGTTCTCTCGGTTACAACGTACGACTTCTGGGCTCTTCGGTACCAGCGCTCGAGCAGAAACATCGTATCAAACACGCTTCCCCGTGTCGATATGCAGATCCACAACCAGACGCCCGCGCGTTGCCATCTTGCATTCGCCTACCGTGCGGGGTCCATGTACTCGGTACGACGACACCCCGCATCGCTCTGCGGAGACGCGCGGGCAGGGGAAGGACGATGAGCTGTCATACAATTGACGTGGTGCCGTGTTACAAACACCGGGAAAGCCTTCAGATGGTCTCAAGTCAACAGCCAGAAGTCTGGACATCATCCGCAAGGTGACAGAGTGTCTAGCGTCAGAGCAGCCTGTGACTCCTGTGTGAACAAAGATTCCACATCACCATCGAGGCAGTGATCGATATCGAGGATCAAAATGAGTTCTCCCAAAGGCATTTCCCTCCAACAGGACGAGGGCAGGCCGGACTACGCCAACGAGGCAGTTTTCCGACGAAACACGCTACCTCCGCGGTCCTACTACATCCCGGAGACAGCCATCCAGCTCAACGGCCGCTGGGATTTTCACTACGCCTCGAGCCCACCGAAAGCTCCTGGCCCGACATCTGCGCTGGACGAAAACTGGGCGAAGATCCAAGTGCCTGGCCACTGGCAGCTGCAGGGATACGGCAACCCTCACTACACAAACGTCCAGTACCCCATTCCCGTGTGCCCGCCACACCCCCCGACCGAGAATCCGACTGGCACGTACCGGCGGACATTCCATGTGCCGCCGTCGTGGGATGCCGATTCCCAGCTGCGGCTGCGCTTCGACGGCGTCGACAGCGCCTATCATGTCTGGATCAACGGCTCCCTCGTGGGCTATGCCCAGGGGTCGAGGAACCCTCATGAGTTTGATGTGACGCCGTACGTCCGCAGAGACGGCGCCAATGAGGTCTCTGTGAGGGTGTACCAGTGGTGTGATGGCTCTTACATTGAGGATCAGGACCAGTGGTGGCTTTCCGGTTTGTCTGTCCGGGGTCCCAGTTTCGCTGCAGTCCGTTAGTTGACGGGAAACAGGTATCTACCGTGACGTCCACTTGATAGCCCTTCCGTCAAAGACGAGAATCGAGGACTGGTTTATCCGCACCGACCTGGATGCCGAGTACAAGAATGCAACCCTCGATGTCACGGTCGATGTCATTACATCAGCACCCGCCACAGTTGCCGCGACGCTTCGGGAGCCGCGCGAGAACGGAGGATGCACTGTTGCTACCGCACAGCATGATGCGAGCAGCGATGGCAAGATCTCTTTCAGTATTCCCGTCGAGAACCCGCAGAAGTGGACGGCCGAGACGCCGTACTTGTACTCTGTCGTGCTTTCTATCACCGCGGGCGACAAAGCCCAGCACGTGCATCAAAGGATTGGGTTCCGCAAGGTCGAGCTGAAAGACGGCTTAATCTGCGTCAATGGGCGCCCCATCCAGTTCCACGGCGTCAATAGGCATGACCACCATCCTCGCTTCGGACGGGCTGTTCCCCTGAGCTTCATTCGGCACGATTTGCTGCTGATGAAGAGACACAACATCAACGCCCTGCGCTGCAGTCACTACCCCAGCCATCCAAAGCTCCTGGATATTGCCGACGAACTCGGACTGTGGGTGATCGACGAGGCCGACCTCGAGTGCCATGGCTTCTACGATGCTGTGGCACGGCCGCAGGACATACCTGAGGAGATGGACTACGAGGAGCGCAAGAAACTGACGTTTCCGAAAGCGGCCGAGTACACGAGCAACAACCCGTCTTGGAAGGCCGCTTATCTCGACAGGATGGAGCAGATGGTGCAGCGCGACAAGAACCACCCCTCCGTCATCATCTGGTCTCTTGGAAACGAGGCCTTCTACGGGCAGAACCATAAGGCCATGTACGACTACGCCAAAGACGTTGATCCGGGACGACTGGTGCACTACGAAGGAGATGTTCATGCCCAGTCCGCCGACATGTACTCGTATATGTACCCCTCTGTCGACAGGCTAATCAAGCTGGCCAAAACAGAGGGTGTCAGACCAGACGGGAGCTTTGACAAGCCTATCATACTCTGCGAGTATGCCCACGCCATGGGCAACGGGCCCGGGTGGCTGGGAGACTACGAAGAGGCATTCCGCACCTATCCCCGCCTCCAGGGCGGCTTCATTTGGGAATGGGCAAACCACGGCTTGTGGAAGGAGGACCCGGATGGCAAGAAGTATTACGCCTATGGCGGCGACTTCGGAGACGTACCGAATGACGGCGCCTTCGTCATGGATGGCCTGCTCCACAGCACGCACGAGCCGACTCCGGGCCTAGTCGAGCTCAAGAAGGTTATCCAGCCCGTGAAATTTGGGATTGAGGACACAGACTGGCTGGTTGTCACTAACCTGCATGACTTTGTTGCCCTTGAGCACCTCAGTGCGACCTACACGTTGGAAAGCTTCGGTCTTGAAGGGTGCGTCGGGGTATCTGTCCCTTGTTAAGGATACCGTTGCTGACGCTTATACAGGACCACTCTTCGTGAATCTGGTGTATTAGATCTACCTAGCATCGCGCCAGGCAAGACCGAGAAAGTGAGACTCGGATTCGGAAGCGACTGGCGCAACTGCGGCACGGATACCTACCTGACAGTCTCCCTCCGCCTTCACACCCCGGCTCCCTGGGCCGAGGCTGGTCACGAGGTAGCCTGGTTCCAGCATCGCTACCGCGTGGAACAGCCCAAGATCCCACAGGAACTCCCTCCCGTGGCCCAGAGCCTCGACGTGGACGGCACCGATACCTCCATCACAGTCACGGGCAACGACTTCACCTTCATCTTCGACAAACACCGCGGCTACCTCACCCACTGGACAGCAGGCAGCACACACCTGCTCGAACCCGACCCGGCCACGGGCGCGGCCATCATCCCCTCCTTCTGGCGCCCGCCAACTGACAACGACAAGCCGGCCTCCCTGCCCTACTGGCAGCGCTTCGGCGTCGACGCCCTCACAAGCCAGCTCCGCTCCACCAACATCACCACCACGGACAGCGGCGCCGCTGCAGAGATCACATTCACAACCTTCCTCACCCCGCCGGTCCTCGACTGGGGCTACCTGGCCACAACGACCTACACCATCTCGGCCTCCGCCTCCTCCCCGGGCGGAAAGCTGACCATTTCGGTCCGCCTCGCGCCCGCGGGCTCCTACCCGCCCAAACACGTGCCCCGCGCGGGCCTCAACCTCCGCCTGCCCCGCTCCGTTTCCGACGAAGTCGAGTGGCTCGGCCTCGGGCCGGGCGAGTCCTACCCGGACAAGCGCGCCGCGCAGCGCGTGGGCGTGTGGGGGCCCCTTGAGGTGACGACGGCGGCGGAGGGGGCGCGGATGATGATGCATACCCATTATGAAGTGCCCCAAGAAGGGGGCAATAGGATGGGGACGAGGTGGGTTAGCTTGCGAGGAGCGGGTGGAGCTGGGGGGTTGAGAATTACTTCTAGTACTAAGGGTGACAATGATGATGATGGGTTTAGTTTCCGGGTGTCGAGGTACAGTGACAAGACGGTCCAGGCCGCGCGGCATCCTTGTGACCTTGTTGAGGAAGGGGCGACGCTGTTGCGGCTGGATGCGAAGGTTGCTGGGGTGGGCACGGGCGCGTGCGGGCCGGGCGTCAGGGAGGATTTGCTTGTGCCGGTGGAGGAGATGCAGTTTGGGCTCTGTCTTGAGCCGGTTGGTGTGTGATGGGTGGAATGTCTTCAAGGTTGTGGTGGGTGTCTACTACTACCTTAGGCGAACCAATGGTAGAAATAGCACCTAGGTAGGTGGTTTACGAACGCGCGATTTGAGAAGCTCATACAGAGCATCCTATTAAAACAGCCCAGTCAATGGTGACTTGAGCGCCGAAGGGTGTAAAGATGTAGGGCAAAAAGTGTGTATTTATGGGTGGGAAGGCCCATGTGCTGTCGTTCCTCCCCTTTCATCCTTCATCTTCTTGCCAGGCCATGACTCTTTGAGGGGATACGGATATTGTCCGATAGGTGTCCTTCTGCGATGCAAGCGGCACTTATGCCCTAGTAAGGACGGCCTGAGCATCTCCTGCCATCGCCCACCGGAGAATTGGCTGAACGGTGTCTATCGCGACCAGGCGGATGTACAGCCCAAGGGCGGTGCCGGAACTCAGCACAGCTTATTTCGAGATTGAAATCCTGGAGGGCAGCGTAACTGCATTGGGACCTTGCAACATCACACTGGAAAGTTCGGCGGAAGATGGCCTTGTGTTGCTGCCTGCGCCCTCCACGCTTCGTCCTGGTGATGTTGCCGGATGCGGGACTCTCGGCGACCTTGTCTAATGTAAAGAGAACGAGGAATTCATTCGCAAGCCACGCTCTTGTTCCTGTTTCGTATCCAGCTTGCCTAACATATACCAGATTGTGAAGGAATCGCCATTCCCTGGTATCGGCCCATGTTTCCCCTCATAGGGAGCAACTCGGTGAGCATCGTTAGCAATTTTGGTACGACAATCCTTTCATGTCAAACTTGGCACCATGTTCCTGGCTCAGCTGTGGTACGGTGTATCTACTCCGTACAGGGGTCTGGTTTCCCGTAATAATCCTTCTCCTAGTTCCCTCATACGAGAAATTCACCAGCCTCCTCTCCGGACGGGTTTCATCTCTTTATCCTTTGGAGATCTCGTACCAAGTGCCAACTACGGCTGGGCTAATAAAGTTAACATCATTCAGAGCCAACCGCAGTATCATATGAGTATTCATCCAAAGTTCTGGGGAGATGTGACGTGGACAGCTACGAGTACACGATTACGGACTTCATGCAGTCTGAATGCTTGGAGAGAGAGGGTAGGTAGGGGCCACACGGCGTAACGTCCTGTATGTTCAGTGACGTCCTGGAGCCCTTTCACTTCCTTATTGCGCGGTATCTTTTTGGAGCTCCTCTAGCTTGTCGTTTCTGCCCTGGGAGGAATGGTGATGACTTATAGAACTAAAGGGTCTCACGAGGATTCCTGGGTAACCAAGCTTGTATATTACCTACTAGTACTGTGTGAGGAGTCAGGGACGGGGGCTGAATCAGCAAACACGTCCTCACACAGCATCAAGGACAAATGACCGCACCTGCCCGCGCCGATCCAATGCGGTGCTGGCAGGTACCGGAGGCTTGGACATTGTTCCCGCTCTAAATCACCGTATATTGTGTTGAGTGTCTCCAGACTCCAACTCCCTGTTATTGGACCCTACAGGCCAAATAGCTTAGGTAGGTAGGTATCCAGCAAAGTCACTGCGCTGTTGTTCCTCTTTTGATACTTAACAAAGCATTATCATCCCAGACCCTCGTGCAACGACGGTCGGCGCAAGATGTGCCATGATTAACGGTACGTCGTTCTCATTTGAGCTGGGAAGATCCTGCTTTCCGGCGCGTTTTGCTCAGCTCTCGTCTAGGATTACCCACAAGTTGGAGTCTTGGGCCTCGTTATCAACTTGATACACGGAGGTGTGCCCTAAAATAGAGCTAGCGGCATACCACAGTCCACGGACGTTGAGCTAAAAATTCAACCCCTTTGGATTGACACACTTTATCTTGACTTGGCCTTGAGTGACCTGATGTCTGCATCTTCTTGTCTCCGGAGACGGGCCGACCGGCCTTGGCTTGCCGATCCGTTGCTCGGCGCGCGGCACCAAGAAGTCAATTGCCGGCGATAGCGGCTTGGTGGCGGTGGACGACTCAAGTGCCGAACTTTTGCCGATGGCCGCCACATCGGGTAATCCGTGCCGACCGAACGGCGGTGGGGGCGAGCGGAACGGAGGCCGCTGACGGAGAGGCGGCAACCAAACTTGTTGCCGTGGCGCCGTCTGTGCGAGCCATCGGAGTCGGCGCGGGATGGCTGTCGTCCAAGCTTGATCGGATCGCCACTGTCATCAAGGAACCCGGCGGCGTTCTCACGGAAATTCCAGACCGCATGCCGTCCCGCTTGGAGGCACATTACACAGCTGTCAGTACATATCATGCAGCAGCGTCGATGAGATGATATTCATGGCTTTTTCCCCAACGCACGGTGTGCGGTTAGCATCATCGAGCCAGGGACCTTGCCGGTGTGCCAACCGAGCTAGAAAAATCCCTCGTTTGGGAACTTCGCCGTGGGAGCACACCTGCCCTGAGCGGCCTCACTGGCCGACAGTTAACACTTTGGTGACCGCTTGTCTCTTTGCCGTGGGTCTGTGGAGACGCATAAGCTTGGAAGTGGATAGATTCATGTTGCGGTGGATTTCAGGGTCTTCCCCAGATGATGGCAGATTGCGATAACCCCAAGTCAAGACGTGAGCGGGGAAGATAGACACCACGACTGGTCGGGTTGGCAATGTTTCGAGCAGGTGCAACCTCATGCGCACGTGGGATCACAACGGCACGACCTAACGTTACTCCGGAAGCGCTATCGGAATCCCACGGGAAAAGGAACACAATTCGCCCTGTCTATCATAATCTGAACTTTACTGCCAAAATGCATGTAGGTGCAATGTGAATTATGAATAGGAATTTTTTACCCTAATGGGAAGGAAAAGATCGCCACCGTTTTCCCCTCGCAAGCCTGCCCAGCAGGGCTCCGGAAGGATCACTTTGCATCGCGGTGCCCAGTGGAATGCCGGGTACGGACTGCTTGTGTGACGACATCGACCCACCTTTTCCCCGCCGAGCATCTTGTTGCCTTTAGATCCGACTGCATCGGACTTTCCCAGAATTGGACAAGCGTGCAGCCAAAATGCTTGAGTAAAGATTACCGTGCTGAAGAATCAGCTTTGCGGTACCATCCATTTTGTATGCCTCGGTTGTTGAAAGAGAATTCCACGGGATTTCGGGTTGGCGAAAGGGGCATCGGCCGCATCAGATGCTACTCGTCCCGTATCTCACTTAATTAGTTTACCCCAGGTTCAGGTTCGGCCCAACGGGTGCCGAGAGGAGTCAGCTTGCGCAAAAACTGTTTTTCAAGATACCCACGGAATGACCTCATACTCCACGTCTCGGTGGACCGTATGGGCCACAGGAGGGTCTGAGATTGTGCAACATCTCATCCCGGCCCTATGACAGTGGTGTCTCAAGTTTGAGTCGCCGTTGATCAGTGCTGTACCCGGATTTGTCACACCCTCTGCGCTGACCCCGCCGGAGCAAGATCGTCTTATGTTGCATTCTTATTGCCGCCGAGGAGCATGGATCAACCGAAAAGACTACCTCGGCCGTGCGCTGACCGGCAGGGCCCTCGGCCTGACAGTCGTCCAAAAGCGCAAACCTTCCCCACGATGCTCAGGGCACTGTCTCCATCCGTTCTTCTGCATGTGGCGGCACAAGCGCAGACCCTGGCTCCATCTACACCGGCTCCTGCACGACTTGGCACACGTCCTCCGGCCCCGTGTCTCAGTATTTAGGGAGCCGCCTGCTCGCCCTGTCAAGAGTGTGCCTCCGGCAAGCTGCTTTCTGCCAAGTCCAACCGCTGCAGTCGTCCAAAATGGCCCCTCCAAAGTTCATGGGCCTCACAGGCAGGCCCCTCTCGCTGATGATCTCGACCGTTGCGACAACAGGGTTCCTCCTCTTCGGATATGACCAAGGGTGAGTTGAGCGTGATGCTCCAAAGTCGTTTGCCGGCAGCATGACTGACCCTTCGCTTTTGCTCAAAGTGTCATGAGCGGTATCATCACCGCCCCAGCGTTCAACGATGTGTTCACAGAGACCAGAGACAACGCGACAATGCAGGGTCTGGTCACGGCCATCTACGAGATTGGTTGTCTTGCCGGCGCCATGTTCATCCTTGGCGTCGGCGACTTGCTGGGGAGACGGAGGGCAATCATGCTGGGTGCCTTTATCATGCTGCTCGGAGTCATCATTCAGGTTACCGCCTTCCCTGGTGCAAAACCGCTTGCGCAGTTGATCGTTGGAAGAGTAGTCATGGGGGTCGGAAACGGCATCAATACGTCGACCATCCCTACTTATCAAGGTGAGCGAGTTCCGACCTGGTGGCTTGTCGAGAGGGACGGAGTTGACACGGGAGAACAGCCGAGTGCAGCAAAACAACGAACAGGGGGCTGCTGATTTGCATCGAGGGCGGCACCATCGCTTTTGGCACCTTGATTGCCTACTGGATCGACTACGGCGCGTCATACGGCCCCAACGACCTCGTGTGGCGGTTCCCGATCGCATTTCAGATCGTCTTTGCCTTCTTCATCGTCATCCCTATGTTCTTCCTGCCCGAGTCTCCGAGATGGCTGCTGAGTCACCAACGCGTGGCGGACGCCGACAGGGTCATTGCTGCCATCCGCGGATACGAGATCGAGAGCGAGGAGACGGTGCTTGAACGAAACGTCATTATCGACTCGCTCCGCGCTGCCGGCGACTACGGCCAGAAGAGCACACCGATCAAGGCCCTCTTCACTGGCGGGAAGACGCAGCATCTGCGGCGCATGTTACTCGGATCGAGCTCGCAGTTCATGCAGCAGATCGGCGGCTGCAACGCCGTCATCTACTACTTCCCCATTCTGTTCCAGAGGTCCATTGGCGAAGACCACAACATGAGTCTGCTCCTCGGTGGCGTCAACATGGTTGTCTACGCCATCTTCGCTACCACTTCCTGGTTCGTCATCGAGCGCGTCGGCCGGAGGCGCCTGTTCTTGATCGGCTCGATTGGTCAGTGCTTGAGCATGGTGATCACCTTCTCCTGCCTGATCCCCGGCGATCCCATGTCGGCTCGCGGCGCCGCCGTCGGCCTCTTCACGTACATTGCCTTCTTCGGCGCCACCTGGCTGCCGCTCCCGTGGCTCTACCCGGCCGAGGTCAACCCGGTCAAGACGCGCGGCAAGGCCAACGCCACCAGCACGTGCGTCAACTGGCTCTTCAACTTCCTGATCGTCATGGTCACGCCCATCATGGTGGACAATATCGGCTGGGGCACCTATCTCTTCTTCGCCGCCGTCAACGCCTGCTTCATCCCCGTCATCTACTTCTTCTACCCGGAGACGGCGCGCCGCTCACTCGAGGAGATCGACATCATCTTCGCCAAGGGCCACGTCGAGGGCATCTCGTACGTCCAGGCGGCCAAGGAGCTGCCGCACCTGCAGCCGACCGAGATCGAGCGGTATGCCAGGCAATACGGCCTCGTCGACGACAATGCTCGCGATGGCGCCCCCCGCCGGGATGCACGTGACGAGGAAGAGAAGCCGCAGGTCAGCGGGTCGAATAGCAGCAATGATGTTGCTGTCCATGAGAACGGTGTCGAGGCTGGCCTCGGGGAAGGGCTTAAGATGTCCGAGCGGGCAGATCGAGACTAAAACTTCGAGGGTGCCGCAATTTGTTTTGGGAGGGTAAACGACATGAATGATGACCTAGGAGATACCGACCCTGGAAAGGAATAGGGTGCCGATGTTCCAAAGGGTATTTTTATTGACCTCTTGACAGAGGGATGCTTGGGAAGAGAGACGTTGCGGCCTTGTGCATATTGGTGCTTTGTCAAGGTGTAGCAGGATACCCCGGGTACGACATGTTTTTGAGGGATAGGAGGTATTTGTTTATAAAAGGACACGGATAGGGCTATAGACAGAGTCTAGAAATGTCAGAAACAAACATAGACGCTGCCATTCGAGCAAATGATGAAGGGGCTTCTCAACTATAAAACCGCCTATCTGGAATATATTGGCGAGTTTCTTGCTGAGTGTGCTAGAGATAACATGCAGTATGCCGAGATCCGACTAAGCTCTATGCAAAACGACCCAAGTGTGGGGGACGATGACCCGAAGCAACTAATCAACGAACAAAACACGCGGCTAGTATGTCACTAGTAGTGGTTTGGACTCCGTCTTGAAGTGCAACAGATACCCTTTGGCAGAGCTGCCAGTAAACCAATAGCATGTTATACATTACTAGTACGTACTATTACTACAGGGTCCTCAAGGGGCCCTGGAAAGAAGCGAAGTGAAGAATCCCAAGTCCTTCTCAAAATTCCCCCATCTCTTAACTTTCTTCCGAACAGCAATCCATAGCGAGCCGTATTCTTCTTGAAGCGAACAGGCAGCCTGACGTCAAGAATCACATCCCACTTGTCTTCTCACAGAAGATTCAGAATGCTGCAGCCACAGCCACCATGATACCGACGGCACTGCCCACCAAAGCCTTCCACGACTGTCCAATGATCGAGTTCGCGGCCCCGGTGGCGGGGGGAGCTGGCGGTGCCGGTGCGCCGAGAACCTATATGTGTAGATAAGATGGTCCCCGTGTCAGCTAATCATCCTCATCATACCATCCATCCGTACTAGGTGTAAATGGAGTTGAAGGTATTGATATCAGTAGAAAAGAAAAGAAGACAAGACGAAAAAGAAAAAAAAGAAAAGTAAAAGTAACTCACCTTGCTAATGGTATGCACAGCCCCATTCGTAATAACAGCATCCCCAGCCAAGATGCGCGCCCCATCCAGGTAGACGGCGCCCTTCCCGTCGACAGACACGGCCACCTGCCCGCCGGCCAGGGTGGGGTAGACATCGCCGTCCTGCAGCAGCGGCGTGTAGGCCAGGTAGTCGACCAGGACGTGCTGCTTCACGAGAGCGGTGAGCTGGTCGCGGGTCAAGGTACTACTACCAGTACTATTGGTAGTACTAGTAGTGAAGGTGAAGGCCTTGTCGTCCGGGGCGAGGATGGTGATGGGGCCCGTTCGCGCGTCCAGCTCGGCCAGGACGCCCGTCTGGTTGAGTGCGGCGAGGAAATTATCGACGCCCAGGAAGGGGAGGGTCTCGGAGGCCCGGGCCGGGAGGGTGAAGAGGCTTGTTTTACGCAAGATTCGGGGTCAGTTGGAGAATTGGAGAGCCGGGAGGAGTATTGCTAAGAGAGAGATAGCGGTAGAATGAAATGAAAGAGTCAAGATACCAACCCGTTGACGGGACGGATGATCCCGTTGTCAAAGGGGATGTCGTTGCCTGTGACCTGGACGGCTGCGCCCAGGCCGGAGAACACGACGGGGAGTTCGGAGGCGGTGGCACGTTTCTCGACAATGCTCTGGTTGACGCCTGGTCCGAGGTTGGCGAATTCCGGGTCGTCGAGCAAGGTCACGAAGGCGGATCCAGAAGGAACCAGCTCGTCCCGGTGCCGGACGGGCCTTGTCCCGTTGCCTCCTGCCGGCGGCGGCTTGTTGGTGGGAGGCCGACGGGGCTTGGGGGCAGTGCGGTTCACCGTGTTGAACTGGGTCTTGGCCTTTTGCAGGTCTCGGTCCGTAGCGCGGCGGGCGAGGGTTCCGTTGTCGGCCAACAGAGCGGCATTGGTCGGGGCGTAGATGATGAGGTCCGACGACGCCGCAACAAGGGGTTCTCCCTGGATCAGCGCTGCATATTCAGTGAACCCGTTCTCCTCGAGCACGGTAATCAGGGATTGTCCCAGGGCCGAGACGGCAAAGAGGGCGAGGAAGCCGATGAGATGTTGTCTGAGCATGGTTGAGGAGAGAGAAGGTTGAGCCGGTAAGACAAACTGAGCGATTGGATTACGGTTGACAAAGCCGGGGGAAGAGTCAGAGAGGGGATAATGGTCTTCGCGCAGATACTAATATAGTAATAGGCCTTTATCCGCAAGGCTGCACGAGAGAGGACGAAGCCCGCTCATCTAAGATCACGAAGGGTCGGCAAAGTTCCCATCTCGGTGGGATATTCTACCCCGTCATCCCGACACCTTCTTCTACACCTGCAGGACGGCTAGCTCTTGTTGCAAGAATAGCAGCCGCCGGTCAATCCGCCAGGGAGAATGACGTGCGTGGTCGGCATCTCGTACAGTAGCCAATGAAGGGCGAAGTCTCTCATTATTCTCATGACGGGAGTAAAGCATCCAATAGCAAAGTCGACAGTAGCGAATGTGGGTCGTGAACCGTGATGTCGTCCTGAGTCGAGGCTGAAAGGACGGGAGAGGGGGCAGAGTGGTTGAGTCGTGTTGATCGCCAGTCGGCATCGCGATGCCCCATAAGAAATCGGACGTGTTGTACGGCCTGTAAGGGCCAGGCCGAGAGCGGAAGGGGTAATGCTCCACTTCCTTCTCGTTGCCAGAAAGGGTGTGCATGAGCTGGCTGCTCCAATCAGGATCCCGTGCTGCCGTGCAACGTGCGGTATCCATGGATCTGATTACTGCAGTCTTTCAGCTCGAAGTCGTGGAGTGTGCACAATACTGACACACCCGCCTATGCACGGGAACTTTGGGGACTTCGAGTTCCCAGGGCGAAGCTCAAGGCTACCGCGCCTCCCAAAATCGTCTGATGGATCATGGGCCACTACTATTCCTTTATCTCTCCCCCCTCGTGGCATGAATTAATGGCGGTCTTATAGGGGGTGGGCAGTCGACAGCCTCGTCGACTTCCTCCCTCCTAGTAGTCTTACTGGTCCTATGCTCTGAGCTGAGTCGCTAGGGTCGGGATCGCCATCAGAGAGCATCGGCGGCCCAATGTCTTGGCACAGCATCAGCGACAGCCTCGAGAATTGGTCAGCGCTGAGTCCGAAGGTGTGTCGATGCGGCTCTTACGGTCTCACTTGTCATAACCTTCTGGGTCTTCTCTCAGTCCAGCCCAGAATGTCGCGAGGAAGGCAAAACTCTCCTCTCTCTTTCCCTCCTCCGGAGAGCATCGCTCAGACCGCGAACACTGCTTCCGAGCCCTTCCAAGTTCAAGAGTGCTCTCAATAACATCGTGCTCGCACAAGGATACTTAAGTATTATCCCCTATTCACTACCATGGCGGACGTCTACACTCCGCCCCCGGACTCGTCCTACCTCCTGGTGACGCCCTTCACGATGCCGAGCGACCGAGGAGACCGGTGGGCCGTGTCCTTCACGGGGAACAGCTCGGCGCTCGTGGCGGCGGCGCTGTCCGTCATGGTGACCGTGTCGTTCCTCTGTCTCTGGAACTTCATCTCGTTCGTGGCCGTGCTCTCGGTCCGCGCCGAAACGCGCCACCGCTACGTCGCCGTGGTCACGCTGTGGAACTCCAATGACCCCTGGTTCGCTTTCAAGGAGCTGCTGCACTACACCTACCGGCACTACCAGACCTTCCGGTCCCAGGGCGACAAGCGGTGGGACGACTTCCGCTACGGCCTCGTCTTCTGCCTCCTGGCGTTCGCCGTGTTCGGGTCGAGCATCGCCATGGGCATCGTCGCGCCGTCGCTGGTGCAGATCGGCAACGTGGCGCCGGTGCGGCCGAGCACCGTCTTCTACCCGGCCACGCCCGCGCCCGAGGACAGCGCGCAGGAGCTGCACGACTTCGGGCTGCGCGCGCCGTCGGTCATGCGCGCCCTGGGCAGCGTCGAGGCGGCGCAGGTCACGCTGCGCCAGCGGGTCTCCATCACGCAGAACCAGGACTACGCGCCACTGCCGGACGGCGACCGCAACGTCAGCCTCGATTACCGGTACTCCCTCTCGGGCGTGGAGCTGGGCATCTTCGGGGGGTCCGACCTCCGCCTCACGGTGGAGGGCCACTGCTTCACCGAGTACAGCTGGAGCAGGCCCGCACCACCCGACGGCAGCGACCCGGACGCGGCCGACTGGTACCGCCTCTGGAACGAGCCCGGCACGGACGACGACCAATGGACCCAGTGGGTCCTGCTCAATCAGTTCGACACGGCGCACGCGCCCTCGGCCAGCTTCATCAACCACCCGAACGGGGCCGAGCAACTCGCAGGCGGCGTCGACATGCTGTATGCCGTGCTGGTACACGCGGCCTGGCGCTCCAGCATCACCATCGGCGGGGACCCGTGGTATGTGAATGTTTCTTTCAGTCTACCCTCAGTAGTAGTGGTACCCTGTGAAGCAGCAGCAGCAGTAGCAGGAAACGAAACATTGTGTTTTTCTTTTTACTGATACCCCCTGGGGCCTTTTTGTCGGGCCAGGTACGCGACAGAATCCCGCCCGGCCAACGACCCGCCGGCACCCTACAACGCGGCGTTCCGAATGAAGCGGCGCCGGCCCGTGCTCTCCTGCGGCGAGCGGAACAGCTGGACCTACGCGGGCCACGCCGTCACCTCGGTGCTCGACCTGAAGACCACGCCGGGGATGAAGATCCCCACGGTGCTGCTCGACATCCTCGAGACCACCCTCGGCGGCGGGCCGATGGTGGTGCGGCTGGGCAACGCCAGCGGCGACTCGGCGCTGCGCTCGCGCACGACCAGCCCCAACGGCGTCATCGACGCCGGCGCGTCCAGCATGTTCGCCGACATGGAGCGCCTGATCCTGGCCAGCTACGTGGCCACGCGCAGCCTGTTCACCGACGCCGTCATGTTCGGTGGCGGCGCCGACTATGCGAATGTTGTCGAGGGCGCTGACGGCCAGCCCCGCGAAGGGGCCGGCCACTTCGTGGTCTCGAGCCCGGACATCCAGACCTTCTCTTTGACGGGGATCGTGACGCTTGCTGTCATCCTGCTGGTGCTGATCCTGCTGAATGCTTTGACCTGGCTTCTTCTGCATTTTCACCACCAGTCCGAGAACAATACCGGTACAAATATTACCACAGAGGCTCAGCAGACTGAGGCTGAGGCTGCTGCTGTCAAGGGTCCCAAGCCGGGCATGTTCGGTCTCAGAAAGAAGACTCGTGATATCCGCGCAGAGAATAAGCACAAGTGGACCCGCTTCCACGTCCTGGCCGCCGCCCAGCTCTTCCGCTGCGTGTATGAGCCGGAGACGGGGCCGCCGCCACGCGAGGTGTGGAGCTGCAGTAGCGTTGACACGAACCACTATGAGAATGGCAGTGGGAAGCTTGTCGTGCGCACCTGCGGTGAGGCGAAGTGTATGGGGCATATCGGCAAGGTTTGAAGTGAGAGTGTCGTCGCAGGGACGGGGGATGGCAAATGAGCTGTGAACTTTGAAAGGTCTTGTTGGAGGGGAACTTGCGTCGATGCTGCAGTTGTTGGAGGCTGCCAGTGGGGGATACTAGTACTAATGTTCTGTCTGTTCTGGTGGATGGCGAGAGCGAACCGAACCCTCCCAGGGCGATGCCCTCTAAGCCTAGGGTCGTGGTTGTGGAATGTTTGCCAGTCCTTTTTCTTTTTCTTGAGTAGCTTCCTGTCTACATGTCGAAGGCCAACGTGCCGCTGACTTCCCAGTTGTCTTGTATTTTGAAAGATCATAGATCTGGATGTCCAATACGCTTTTTGATGGGAGCCGAGATGATGCAGTGACTTGGAGGTTGCAGGGTGACCTGGGGTTGCAAGCTCCCGCCCATGTCAAATGCTCCTTCCTCTCTGTCACGCTTTACCTAGCCTTTTCGTCTTGTCCGGTACAACAATCCCAGCCAACTTCTCTCAATAGGACATTGAACTTCCAGCAAATCAGTGTCCTTCAGTGGCCTTGATGCGAAAGGACTCGAAACCCGCGATGGACCGCTCGCAAGACCATCTCATCATTGGGCTGATTGCGCTCACGCCGCCGCTTGGCAGCTCGCTGATGGAGCAGCCAGTGCAGCGGTGGCTGCTGTGTGGTAACACCGCTGTTTGTGTGGTGGTTGGGCTCGGTTAGGCGGTTGTCGTTCTTTGAGCTCATGGTCGGGCACGGCTCCCTTCGTACTCGGGAATGTATCCGGTCCGGCAGAAGGCCAGTTGTAAGGGCACGCCGCCGCTTTGCTGGACGACTGTGTTGCTGAGAGTCCCCCTTGTTAAAATCTTGAGGTCGAAAGTGATACAACTGCAGAGAAGGTGGTCTGTTGGGTTGCATGGCGGCTGTTTGCAAGTCCTTGGGGGGCGCAGGATTAAGGACCGGCAGATGTAAAGTCGGACTCTGCTGGCCTTGCCGTCTGGAGGTCTCTGTCTTTACTGCTGGGAGTATCGCCGTTGGTTGGATGCGGGTGGTTTGTGGAAGAAAGGGCCGTGTTCCTGCAATACCACCGACTAAGGGGGGTGGGGCAGGGAGTAACTGTGAAGGTTTCAGTTGATGGACCTTGACTGGGGTACGTAAGATGATATGATATCGAGACAGCCGCTGAGTAGCTAGGTAAACAAGCTGATGGAACGAGAGTCACCATACCTTCCGTCGTCTATCAGCCATCTTGAGCGAGCAACCACTTGCACTTCGAGGCGTACGGTACAATACCTAGTGTGGCCGGGCTCATGGAATTGATACTGTGAGGAAAAGAAAAGCACTCCACGCGCCAACAGGAAGGAACAAACTAGAAGTTTGGTTTTGAGAGACAAGTATTAGCGAACTGTAAATGCGGCGGAGCTCTGTATCTAGAAGCAGATGCTAATAAAGCTTTAGATATAGGCCGAACCCCCACGTCCGGGTGTCACTGTGTCAGTGCTTGAAGGGAAGACCTGCTTGGCATCCGGCTGTGCCCAGCGGAAACCATGATGCGTTGATACGTCGATGCATCTTTTCTTTTGCCTGAAGGGTCGACAACACTTCGAAGATGTGTGTGAGGGTGGGGTTGTTACAGCCCAAAGCCGGAGTTCCGACTTCCGAGCTATGGGCAACAGGAAGCTATTGGCGTGATGCGTGATGCGTGTGCTTCATCGTGGCTTATTTGAACACTAATAGCTGGAGTTCACGGACAGTGGTCGGCACTACGATCATGCCCAGAGAACTTGAAAAGGAATGGAAGTTCACAACATGGGAACCCTTTCAGGATTGGAACCCCTGAGTCCCTGGATCGAACTCCACAGCCACACGAGTCAAACAAAGTGTCGAACGCCCGGCCAGGAAAGCGCACACCTGATTGTCAAGAGACTGGCCAACCCGACAGAGAGGTATTTAAGGGTTACGGAACCATCGCTCTCATCATACTGTGTAGTGGAGGGCCGCTCACCTGCAGGAATCGGGCTGGCTGGTTCTTTGTTTCAGCTCCTCAGCACCGAACTATCGACAACCCGGCCCTACAATTGGCGGGGGCCAATGCAGAATTGCAGATCCCGCGCTGCCAAGCACCGAACTGGTGTGTGTTTCGGAGGCCGCAACAAATCGGCGACGGCCTTAAAAGCCCCTGCCAACCCCGACGTCGCCGCCGTCCGACAACCGCCGAACGCGACCTTACCGGATCACATTCTTTTCAGAAGTACAGAATGCCCAGCAAAGGCGTGCATGCGTTCACGTACATCGCGGTGCCGGGCTGCTCGATTGAGCTGTCGGTGCCGGGGCAGACCGTGAAGGTGGAGGAGCTGAACCGCTTCTCGAAATGCCACTTGGAGGTCGAGGCGCGCGCGATCGACAGCTTCTTCGACAAGCGCGGCCGCTTCACCTTCAAGGTGTTCCACCAGGGCAACCAGATCACCGAGCAATGGATCGACGTCAACGCGCTCACGGGCAACGCCAGCGGAGGCACCATGGAGTCCATCGCCAACCAGCGGTCCATCGTCCACGGCAACGGCTTCATCATCTGCTACGGCCTGTACGAGGCCGGCGACGGCCATGACCTACTCCCCGCGCAGCACCAGTGCTACATCACTGTGGCGCCCAACTACGCCGACTGGATGCGCAGCGTCGCGCCTCCGGGCTCGGACCGCGAGAACAAACCCTTCTCCCGGCTCGTCCTGCCGGCGGCCCACGACGTGGGCATGAACAGCATGGCAAGCAGCGAGGCGGTGCTGCGGCGGGTGGGTGGCGCCGTGGTATCAACCCTCATCGAGCACGGCGACCCCAAGGTGCGCGAGATCCTCTCCCGTCTGGCCGACAAGCTGTCGGCCGACGCGATCGCGCTGATCGCGCCCAACATCATCTTCAGTCTGGCCATCACGCAGAAGGACGACCTGGCGACCATGCTGCAGATCGGCGCGCGCTACTTCGAGTTCCGCCCGGCGCGCCTGCACAGCGCCGTCCGCCCCACGGGCGCCCTGCCCGACGCGCTGTACTTCCAGCACAGCGCGATCCCGGGCATGGCGTACGACGCCTTCCTGCGGGACGTGGTCGCCTTCCTGCGGGATCACGGGGACGAGATCGTCGTGGTGCAGCTGCGCTGGGACGGCGTGCCGCTCGACGTCTGCGCGGGGCCGGCCGATGACGAGAAGCGGCGCTGCCTGGACGAGGCGCTGCAGCAGCATGCCAACGGGGAGATTGTCGTGGGGAACCTGGACGACATGAAGCGCCACAGCATCGGCCAGCTGCGGCGCGAGCGCAAGCGGCTGATCATGCTGGACAGCGTGGACTCGCTGTCGACCTACACGGACGAGGGCAACGCCACGCTGGATGGGGATAGCATCGTCGAGGCGCTCCCGCGAGTGCTGACGCGCGAGAACCAGCGGGGCAAGGCGTTCGTCAACATCCAGTGCCAGGCGACGGCGTCGAACATCCCGAGGGCGGTGGTGTATTCCGTGCTGGAGGCCAGCGCGACCACGAGCTGTCTGCTGGCGACCAAGGGGATATGCGATTCCAAGACGCTGCCGTGGTGCAGGGATAACGTCCTCGACAAATGCGAGCTCGACCAGCTTGTTGTCTTGATGAATGACTGGATCGATGGTGGCACGGCCGATGTTGCCGTTCAGCTGAGCAGGCAAAGGCTGGAGAGATGAAGCTGTCCGTTTGTGGTGGTCCTTGTCCGGACAGAGGCATGCCAGGCGCTGCTTAGACCCTTATGACGGATGGTGCACATTTTGTGTGCTGTGGGTTTCGGCGGATGTTTGCTTTTCATACTTCCTGCTAGAGGTCAGAGCCGCCTTGGTAGGTAGGTAAATGGATAGTGTGATGATATCCGTATGTTCTTGCAGACCGGCCTACCGGCGTATGGAAGAGTTCGCAGAGCGGCAAACAACTGTTCATCGACAGCTCAAACAATAGCTGGGATGGTGATGTACTACCGACTAGTACCTCGAGCTGGGGAAGTTCCATTCAAGATCAGAGGAGCCTTTGTTCAACTCCGCATTAGCGATTCGACGGTTAACCTCATGAGCGGCTTGTGAGAAGCTCAAAGAAGTCATCCAATGGCAATCTCTTGAGATGATATACTTGAGTGTAAACCGTGCTTGCTAAACAGGAAGTGGCTGCGCATCCCCTCTTGTACAATACACACCACATAGCATTGGAAAGTTCCCTCGCTGCCTGACCTTGGGAACCTTTCAACCTCAGACTAGCGTTCAGCTACGGTGGATGAGCAACCTAGTGATAAATAATCAACGGGGAGGCTAGTCTTACAGATGAACGCCTCTCCACTCCACAATTAAACGAGATCATCCACTTAGCATCTGCCAACGGCCAGCCAGTCGAATTCAGGTCGAGGCTTTTGCGAGTTTGGGGCTGCGAGGGAGACGTTAGAGACACAACCCGTCTTGTTGTCCACCAGCAGCTGCTATGCAAGTGTCTGCAGGGAAGCTGGGTTCCCCCCCCCCCCCCCCCAACCCAAAAAAAGGAATACTGAACTCAGCACGCTTCCGGTGCTCCGTCCTCACAGAAACACATGGATGGTAAGAGAGGAACAGGGATGTGAATCAATTGGTAGTTCAAGGGATATGGGATGGTCGGTTAGACGAGGCCGCCGGCTAGCGACATCCCCCTTCCTTTCCCTAAACCTGTCTTGAACCCCTAGGCAGTGCTACAGGTGCAAGGATGTGCTACATCCCTTGGTTGTAGCAATGAAGGATTTAGGTAGACGTTGGCTGTGGCTCGGGGGGAGACTACGTGTACCAACCCTTGCATGATACGAGTATCACAAACCACTGCTTCACGGTGGCAAAGTTAGATCTGAGGCACACCAAGGCGAGGAACATGTGCTGTGGTATGCATATTATTGAATAACATATGTACTGCGCCTTGGGATTGGGAGTGTCCAAGCAAACAGATCGTATACACGTGAAGTCCTTCTCAAGTCACCAGCCGAAACCTTGAAGCAAAACCGTGTGGATATATTGAACATGAAGCATTCAAATACACGCGCCAATTGAAAGAGAAGGCTCAACCCCTGTCGGGCGCCATTGTATCTGGCGGCGAAGCCGTCAAATCAAGACACTGAAGAGTAGATGCGCCCTTTAGCCGCTGAACCCAACCGAAACCTTGATAGTGGTCTTGCCGGGTACAATGTTGAGTCCAATGCCGTCAAGCGCCTCCATGCCCTTGGTGTAGGCGTTGGTGCCCTTGCCGCCGGGAAGAATGGTCGAGTCAACACCCCCCTCGGACATTTGGCAGCCGGGAACATCCATATTGTAAGCCTGCGCAACCAGAGACGAGCAGTCGGCGCCCGACCAACCCTCGTTGCTGTCGTTCGCGAAGTCGAATTCGGCCCAGACACCAGCATACTGACCAAACTCGGTAGTTGGAACCTCGTTCGGCGCGAACGCGCAGACGCCCTGGGTGTTCTTATCGGCCACCACGGTCTTGGTCTCGCCGGGCTTGAGGGTGAAAATGAGTGGCTTCTGACCGGCGACCTTGAACATGCCGGTGAGCTGCTTGTCGGCACCCATCTTGTTGGCGCAGATAACCTGGTACGGCTCCGACGCCACGTTGGTGTACTTCATGACATAATCGTACTTATTCGCGATGCTGTCGGGAACCGCCATCAGGTTGGAGTTCCACTCGCAGCCATCGGTCGTGCCCAGGTTGCCCGTGTACATGATTTGGTCGTATGTAACCCGCTTGGCTTTGCTGCTGGAGCTGCCGCAGAACGGGATGTACTCGGAGGATTCCGAGGATGCGGAGGGCTTGGCGCTAGAGACGGAAGCAGCAGCGACCGTCGCCTTCGCCTCCTCGGTGGTGGTCGTGGGCTTTGGGATCACCTTGTGCACATTCTTCATGTGCACCGGGCCGTCACGCTTGGCATGCGCGTCCTTGTGGAGATGCGCATGGCCGGAGGGGTGGGCAGCCGCGCCGAGGACGCCGGCGAGCACAAGAACCGGAGTGAAAAGCATTGTAAATTGAGATTCCCTTTTTGTCTATCCCAAAAAAAATGCGTGTTTCGTCGAGATATCCGTCTAGGATTCAATGTTGTCAATTGATCGTCGGATCGCGATGCCGGATGCTGTCGAGTGGACGATGGTTGCAATCGATGCTTGCGATTGCTGAGAAGCGAGAGTGACTTATATCACCTTGTTGATGGCTTAAAGGAGCGACTGATTCGAGGTCTCGAAAAGAATGGACGAGAGCGCGAATGCGGCAGTGTGGCAAAAGGTTGTAATGGAAAGGAGAGACGGGCGGGTGTTTAAAACAGACGAAAAGCTGCAGAACCGCCAAGGCAGGGGGCGGAGCGGTAAATGAGCCGAGAGTTGTGCCTGAGAAAACCCCGGCAGCGCCCCTTGTTAGCCCAACCCCTGGCGATGGCCAGACCGACGATCGCCACCCGGATTGGCTTGAAGGACAGCTTGGACCCACGCTCATAAACAGAGCTCATGCAGGTCCCATTGCAATGCCATTGGTTGTCAACGCAGCATCAGTTCGCTGCCGGCGGAACCCTATCGCAATCCTGTCCGCATCCATCCATGGATGTTTTTCATTGATGCATGTCTGATGCCACCAGCCCTGCAATTTGCCGTCCCTTCTGCATACCGGCAGTGGAAGCTCAGCAACGGTTGGTTATAAGAATAACACGGCGCAAGTACTTCGAACGCGCACCGTGTAACTAACCAATATGTGGCAGTTGCTAGTGCAGTTCGATCGGATGGTACTTCGTGAAGTATGAGGTGATACCTTAGCTCCTGTCCGATGGTGACATATCTCTCTGCTTGGTAGGGTGGCGGATTTACCCACAGTTCGCCTCTCATACGGCAGCTCAAGTTGTCAAACCCTCTTCGACCATCTTTGGTGTACTATGTAGTAGTACTAATATGTACGTATCAAAGTACATAGCACTGTCCCAGTTTGCGCTAATAAACTTGTGTTTCATCAAACGCAGAAAGGCCCCGGCGGTCGCGACCTCCCATAGGTAGGTCGTTTGCCACATTTGCTGCGATCCAATAATCCGACCAAGTCCCTTGGCCATATGGCGCCAACATTGTTTTGATCTGATACTGGTATGGCAAAGCCCATGTAGCCTGTAGGTCCTTATGAGATACTGAGAGCGTACACAGAGGTACTGCGTACAGTAGACGTGCAGTTGCCCCACATTTCATTGCCAAGCCAGGTTGGGCCCGAGCTTCTTCTGCGCCCCGCGATCCGATTTCTTTCTAATTTTGTCGTCAAGAAAGAGCTTCCAGGGTTCGAAGACGATCTTGAGCCAAGAGGCAACAGGCATTGTTGTTTACACCGGCGATCTTGTAAGATCAAGTACTGGCCCTACCACCACAGGCCCGTCTAGAACAGAAAACACGCGATAACCCTTAGCACGTGTGTCAAGCTCGAAGCAGACCTCAAACAACCCCAACCGACCCAGCCAGCGGCGAAGGCCCGGCGATCCACGCCGCAAGCCTCTGCTCTCAACTCAATTGGGTGTACAGTCAGCCGCGGCTGATCTTATTCCCCCCCCGACATCACGCAACCCACGTCCCACCATGCCCCTCGATACATCAACGTACAGCCTCGCGCTGCTCCGCGTCGACGGCCGGAGATGGAACGAGTTGCGGCGTGTCCACGCCCAGATCCGCACCCAGGCGGCGGCCGACGGCTCCAGCTACCTCGAGATGGGTCACACCAAGGTGATGTGCGTGGTGACCGGTCCTAGCGAGCCCGGCCCACGCCGCGGCGGTGTCGGAGGTGGGGGAGCTGGGGCCGGCGGTGGCGGCGGAGCAGGAGGTCAAGGCAAGGAGGCCGAGGTAGTGGTGAGCATCGTGATTGCAGGCTTCAGCTCCGTTGACCGGAAGCGGCGGGGGAGAGGCGACAAGTAAGTTCCATCACCTACAGCATTACCGCGAGCAGGCTGGAGGAAATGCGGAGATAACTAACGCCCAACCCCCTCGAATAGACGCACGCTCGAGATGCAATCAACAGTCGCCAACGCGCTCGCCGCCAGCCTCCACACACACCTCTTCCCGCACAGCCAAATCAGTATCTCCCTACACGTTCTCTCGCAAGACGGCTCGCTTCTCGCGGCCCTTATCAACGCGGCTACACTAGCTTGTGTCGACGCGGGTATTCCGATGACCGATTATGTGGTGGCGTGCACGGCCGGGTCTACGTCCACATACGCTGCCAACGACGAAAGTGCCGATCCGCTTTTGGACCTCAACCACCAGGAAGAGCAGGAGTTACCAGGGCTGACGGTAGCGACGTTAGGGGAGAGCGATCGGGTGGCAGTGCTCGTGTGCGAGAGCAGAGTGCAAGTGAGCCGGTTGGAGGGCATGCTGGCGGTGGGGGTGGATGGATGCAAGCAAATGAGAGAGATTCTGGACCGGGTCGTCAGGGAAAAGGGACGTCGCATGATACAGGAGGGCACGGTGGAGAAGGGGATCGGGCTGAACGAGATGGACGTGGATTAAGTTGCAGTTCCGGACTCCCGGGTGGCTGAATCGGAGTTGGACCTGGTCACAGTCGAGATGCCTCTCGTATCGAGTTTGCCAGGTGAGGTTCCATCCATTTCTCACACTGTGCTCCTGAAGTCCTACTCGTTACCTACGAGCCTACATACATCAGGAGCTCGACCTTATTCTCGCAATGAAGGTGAAATAGTCGAGAACTGCACTTCAATTACTGGCCTCCGCTGACTAGTTATGAAAGTGCATACCAGACAAACAATCCTCCTTACACTAGATTAGAGCTCGTCATGCGCGGTCTCGGCCTCCGCGGTGGGGTCAGTGGCTTCAGTTGACGTGGACTCGGTGGAGTCGCTCGCCGGCTCGCCGCTGGCTTCAGGGGTGACCGGGGTCGCGTCCTGGCTCTTCCCGGCTTCGGTAGCATCCGGAGTGGGCTCTGACGACGCCTCTGGCACGGCTGACGACGCAGGCTCTTCGACCGAAATGGCAACAATGCCCTCAGGCAGCTTCTTCTTGACTCCCTCGCTCATCCGAATTGCATCGATCCAGCTCTCGACGCTCTCGTGTCCAAAATCCGCTCCCTCGTAGTGCCGCCACCATCCGCGGCGCGCGTTGATAGCGACGATCTCGATGTCGCCGCGCAGGTCGAGAGCCTTGAGGAGGGAAGCCGCTCCCTCGTTGCTCTTGGGGACCTCGTAGAAGGGGAACAAATGGCGCTTGCTCTGGGCGTGTTTAAACGCGAGTTCTGAAAGGCTTGCGAGAGCCTGCTTGGCGGTCTCGTCCTCGCTCGAGGAGACGAAGGCGAGCACACATGTGTGAGACTTCTCGGTCAAGCACTCCTTGATCAGCTTCTCGGGCGAGTTGATCACGGGGATCGGCAGGGCCGTTTCCACGATGACCGGGGCTTCCTGCGTTGAGGTCGATGCCTCGGACTCAGTGGTCGCAGACGACGTCTTGGAAGAAGCTGCCTTTGACTTGGTCTTGGATGAAGAGGGCCTATCTGACGCTTTGTCGTCCTTCTTCTGCTTCTTATTCTTGCCGCTGGTCTTAACCGGCGGGTCGGGGTTTGGTTGCCCGGCCTGTGAAAGGAACTCGACCATTGGTGCTTTCTTCATCTCCCCTTCGTAGACAACACCGGCCGCGTCGCCACCCGGGAGTAGCACTAGAGCAGGGAACTTTTCGATGCCAAAGGTCTCGACCGTCTTAGACTCCTTGTTCCGCGCCTGACCAATCGTAATGACGTCCGCAAACTCGATGGCGATGCTCTTCAGCAGCGCTGATGTGGTACCCTTCTCAGTGAACAGGATGGCCTTGGCAGTGTCGTTCTTGTCGCTCAGGAACTTTTCCAGCGACTTGTCCTCGACCTTGACGACATAGTTGTTGATCTGCTGCACGACAGCCTCGACAATGGCGCTGGCTGTCCGTTGGCCCTGGTAGTCTTGAATGGTTGGTTTGCCTCCTCCCTTCTTTGGCCGCACAATCTTCAGGGTCGGGAAGCCCTGGACGCCCATTGATCCGCAGAACGGCTTGTTGGCGTCATCGTCGCAGTTCACCGCAGCTACTTTGGCCAAGCCCTCAAGGTTCTTGGCTGCTTTCTCGTAGGCAGGTTTGAGGTTCTGGCAATGGCCGCACCATGGGGCATAGAACTCGACAATCTGACATCCAGGTTATCAGTAAACCGGTAACGAGAACAGGAGGAATTCCTGACGCACAGAAGTGTAGTTGCTCTTGGCAATCAGACGATCATAGTCTTTCGCATCCACCTGCAAAACAGGCGACTTCTTGGTATACAGCCCGGCCTGAGCTCCTGGGAGGACAGACAGCAGGGCAACTGCCACGGCGGGGAGTGTGGTGTGATGCATTGTCGGTTCTTACAGTGGGAATGGTTCTGGGGAGAATCTACTGTAGATAAGGAGATCGACAGCAACACCTCACTCGAGAAAGTGTGCTAATGCATTGAGGCTTGAGTCAGAGAGATTGTGGTTGCCAAAGGCACACATATATCATTACAGTAGCCGCTTGGCCGGGAAGAATTGAGGTCAATAATAAGCAATCCAGGCTGTCATGTTTCCATCTTTGGCAAAAGAACACATTTCCAATGTCGCCGCCACGACGAGCTCGAGAACCCACCAGAAGCTGAAGCTTAGACCGCGTAGTGGCTCAAGCTCCATAGCCCTCGTGCGAATAGTGGGGCTTATGGGGACCTCAATCCCCACCTCGCCCACTGACGACCTCTCAGCGCCAAGTACTACGATCTTAGACTGACTTCGAGGCAGCAAGTAGGCAGGAGTGACAACGAGCGGCGCCGCTGAAGTACTTTGCTTTCTAAGACGTCGAACGATTCGAATAACACATCATACTCCCCGAGCCTTCCCCGATTTCCACGGCCGGATCCCTGCTGCATCAACCCTCTCTCGCGATGGCCGACCCCGTCCCAGCGGCGCTGCGACAGGCCGATGTCAACATCTGGAAATGCGCCACAAGGGCGGGGGAGTTCCAGCGAGGCGCGCAGGTCGCGAGCGCAAAGCCGGAGCAGCGCAATCTACGACGTATCATGGCATATTGGTGTATGTCATGCACCGAGAGCCCGCGGTTAAGGGCAGGTCCTGACGGTCGTAGGTCATTACTGGGCTGTCCAGCAAATCCTGGCGAGGAACCTGCAAAGCACCGACGATGACATTCGACGGTACACAGAAAGCGTGGTAAAAGTGTTGGAGCATGTTCGTGTCCCCAGGAGTGACTTCCCAGTAGCTGGAGGCTGACCGAAGCTCCCCACAGACGATGGCTAAGTATGCCAACAAGGAGGCCCTGAATGATGATACGGAAGGTGAAGCACACAATATGGCGAGCGAGGCCTACGTCGAGCGCGCCATAACAGATGACGCGGCGGGCCAGTTATGCGTCAAGCAGTATGCACAGCGAGTGCTCGACCAGGGGGAACTGGATGTGGAGATGAACTCGGTCACGCTGTATGTTTTGCATCACTCCGGCGAGGGCCATGCTGACCCGGTATCAGGGACACAGCAAAGACGTTTGAGGCAGCCGCAACCTTCTTCCATGTGGCCAATGTATGGGGTCCACTGGATCAAGAGACTCAGCAGAAGATCAAGTACGCAAAGTGGAATGCGGGACGGATTCTCAGGGCTATAAAAGAGGGCAAAGACCCCAACGAGTCGAATCCGAGACACGTCAACCCCTCACAACCAGACTCGGGTCCCAGTGAGCCCTCGGTAGAAACTCATGGCGCTGTTCCGCCGAGCACCATACCGAGACCGGCGACGGTGGAGGAGGTACCCGACTCGGATCTGGTCAAAGACGCGGCCGGCGTTTCGCTACCTCACAGCCCCGTCTCCCCGGTCTCCGACGGCGGGCTTCAATTACCCGGCGTGCCCACCGATCTCCAAGAACCAGCACAATCGGGTTCTTTAGGTCCGGAAACAACAGTTCCATCGCCGCCAGCGGTTCCGGATCACTCTGGAGCCCATCCAGGCCTGCCAGCACCGCCCAGTGGGTGGACGCCATCGCAACCGAGCCCTGTGAGCCCTCCTCCAGGCGCGGGATTTTATCACCGGCCTTCAGTCCCACCCGCAGCACCGCCGACGTTTGCCACGAACCCCCCACCAACGGCTGCAGTGGCCTCGCCTCCACCTTCGGTAGACTCGTATCATAGGAACATGTCCCCGATGGCGCACTCGGCAAGGCCTGCGGCTCCTACAGCAGCTCCACCTACGAGTTATGCGCCAGCTCAGCCTGGAAACTTTATCACGGACGAGGCGGCGGTGGTCGGGGCGCAAAAGCATGCCAGATGGGCCATCTCGGCTCTCAATTTCGAGGACGTGCCCACCGCAGTAAAGGAATTGCGCAAAGCGTTGGAGTTGCTGGGTGCAACGTAAGGGGCAGAGAGTGAAGATAGGTGCATCCTAATCGTAACCACCTCGTGCTACCCAAGTGCGGGTCCAAAATGAAATGTTGGCACAAGTCTGCCCTGGAAAGACACCACTGTAGGTCACTTCAAGCGCACCTCTTGCCGTGCCGAGGCAATCTGGAAGGTTCCGAGCCATCAGTTGAACCCGGGATCGTCACACAACATGCTCTCTGTATCGCGTAGGAATCTTCCGCCCGCCAACGGATGCGAGACATGGCTACTTACTGTCACCCACTCTTACAATGTAGGAGCACCACGAGACTTACCTATGTACCTAACCAACATCAAGGTCCCCCCCTGCGACGACAGCACTGTGGGAGCCCCGGCACAATGGTTCGGACCGAATTGACTGCTCAGTTCATTGGCTCTCCGTCCCGCGGTCTGTCGTGTATACCCAGCCATCGAATCAGAGCCGGCTGCGGTGCAATCTGGGATCAGGTCCGACACGACTCTCGAGGGGGGATGGAGGCTGGCTGATCTGCGGCCGTGTGGGTATAGTTTGCGAGCCGGTCTATGGCCATTGGCATCCTCTTCTGCTTCACCCGCAAGACTTCCGAAGGGGAGGGAAGGTTTCGGGACTTGGGTGAGGCGGGAGGCGTGTATATTATTTACCTCGAGCCCCTTTGATAAACTCCGCTGGTTAGATCTTCTGCTTTGTTGTTGAAACAGCGCAATACCAGAGCGGTTGCTCTTCAGCTTCATCTTGCACTTATCCTCGCCAGATCGTTGGGTAAGCAGGTACTGAGCGTGCCTCGGCGTCTGTCATTCGTAGGGATTGAGACAGCTAACCAGTTGGTCATCTAGCAGTTTTAGCAACACCCGATACGAGCTCAAGATGGATAGCGAGGATAGCAGCCACTCATACGGCAGCTCTTCGTCGAGCTCTTCAGATGTTGCGATCAGCGACTGGCGGACACGCGTCTATACCCCCTTGCCGCCTCCGTCGTCTGGAAGTACTAGTAGTGGGGGGAAGTCAGATGGGTCTTGCCAGGATAAACAGTGAGGGATTTAGGGAGAGGGTCGGAAAGGGGGTGCCGAGACTTGTGTTCAGAGACACATCAGGGAGAATACTCCGGTCGAAACTGTCGGAACCAAGGGGTTGTCGAAGGTTCATGCATCTAAGCTTTCAGTTGTGGAAGCAGCAGGTTATTGAAATTGGTAGCGAACAACTTAGGTTCTTTACACGTGCTGCCCGGAAACTTACGAACAAAAAAGTCCTATATCACGAGGGGTTGGAACAATAAGATGGTTGTGAACCACTGTTTCTCATATGTTAGCAAGATTACCGACATTGTTCAGGGACGATGAGGGTATTAATTTGGATAACTCATGCATCAACAGTCAACTTAGTCTCCGTCCATTGTAAGAATGAGCATAGTCGAAGTCAAGGTTTTAAGAGGTCGACAGGAAGTGCAATACTCTCTCGAATAGTGATCTTCATCCCGTATAGCATGTCAAGTTACGTCCAGTCATCTTGACAAACTGAGATGGAGGGATAGGCTGACCTGCACATACCAAGAATACACAAATTCATTAGGGGATGTGCTAGATAGGAATGCAACGTGTTTGAGGTACACATGCTCTGTTTACAGCGCTGCCTTCCATAAAGTCGGTCTTTCTGCTTTCTTCCGCATTCACTACTACCTACTTTGCAAACCATTCACGGTCATCGATCGTTGCAAAGCTTTCTTCATCTTCTTCCAGCGGCGATTTTGCTTTATGACCTTAGCAAACAACATATTCCATCGTACAGTACCCAATCTCCTCGCCTTGATAGGTAACCTGCGCGATGATGTCGTCGCTCGTCTCGGCGACCGGGGTCGCCATGCTCTACCTTCTCGACGGAGCTGGCGGCCACATGGTCATGAACAAGCCGGTTCCCTACAACCTGCACATGGCGCCGCTGCTGCAGGTCAACCCCATCAGCAGCGGCCTCTACCCGTTCCCTTGCCACAACAAGTACGACTTCACCGAGCGCACTCCGGTCGAGGCTGGAGGCACCACGCTCGTCAACTTCACCGGTGGCGCTCAGCATGGCGGCGGCTCGTGCCAGTTCAGCATCACGTACGACGAGCCTGTGGACGGAGGCGACTGGAATAAGTCGGCCGTCTTCAAAACCATCTACAGCATCATCGGTGGCTGCCCGGCTGCCTTCACCGACGAAACCCATAATCTCGCGCCGGTGACCCCAGACGAGAACCTGCGCCAGGATGGAAAGCACTGTGGAAATGACGCAGGCATCGACTGCATCCGCCAGTTCAGAATTCAGATTCCGAAGTTGTGAGTAGCAATCCTCAAGAATCAAGGTGGTCATGCACATTGTCCAAGGTACGCGTCACTGACATCTCCGAATAACAGTGTCAAAAATGGACCGGCCACCTTTGCTTGGACTTGGTTCAACAAGATCGGAAACAAGGAGATGTACATGTGCGTATTTTTTTTCAACCTTTTCCTCCCCCACCCCCAAAAAGACGACACAGACTGACCCGCAACTGCCATATTAAGGAACTGCGCTCCGGTGTACATCACAGGCGGCACCGACGACGCAGAGCAGCTCAACAGCCTGCCCAATATCTTCATCGCCAACTACCCAAATGACCCGGCAGTCCCTAACTGCATCACCGGCACCTCGGCCGACAAAGTTGTAGTCAATTTCCCCAACCCAGGCAAATACGGCCGCGTGCTCGAGCCGCCCCTTGAACCAGCCACCAAGCCGGCCAACTACTGCACGGAGATCCCGCCTCCCTCCCAGATCCCCACCTTCCTGCCCGGTCTTCCTCCCCAGGACGGTAATGATGATAACCATCACACAGCCTCGTCGTCGGCGTCCAAAATAACAACAACAACAACAACACCAAGTAGTACTACTACAACATCGGCGGCGTGGTCAGTCGGCCCAGTCATCAGCGCCGAAGCGCCCCCCGCCAACGCCACCATCCCCCGGATCGTCAGCACGTCCCCGCCGGCCAAGACGCTTCCCACCACCATCGCGACCACGTTTGTGGTGGTCGAATCCACTTCCATCGACTTTGCCACTGTTGCTGCTGAGACCACCGATCCTGCTGTTAATACTACTGCTACTGCAACTGCAACTGCTACTGTTCCAGTTGCTGGAGGAGGAGGAGGCGGAGGAGGCGGGAAGGGGAAGGGACGCGTCGTCCCTTGTCCGGCTGAGGACAATGGCAAGGTGGTTTGTGTGGGCGGCGGTGGCGACCAGTTTGGGTTGTGTGACAAGGGCTGGGCGGCTGTGCAGGCTGTTGCGGAGGGGACGAAGTGCCGCGGTGGAGACATAGTTTATTACTAATGAAAAGAGGCATGGCATGGGGCATATAGTAGCTACTTGGTGATGGGGATGTGAGAGCAGAATACTAGATGGATGGAAGTTGGGTTTGGTTGGTGAGTGGTGACCAAGGTATCTCACCTACCTTACGTATCCGGGAAAGGGGTTGGCGAGATTGGGTGGGTAGTATGAGGTCCATGGATCGTGGAAGGACATCGTCCGGTCCTAACCAGCTCCATGGGGCAGGCTGGAGTCTTTAAAAAATATATGGGAAATCTCTCGAGATGATACAGGGTTGAGCAACGCCTGATCTCGCATCATGGACGTTCACGTCGTCGTGATTACATCAAGCGGAAGTGACATCAACGTCCCGAAATATCAATTTCGTTGAGAACCTGGTAGCTTACGAAGGGCAGTCCAGTTGCCATTCAACTGAGCTAGATCGATCGCCCGCCCCTGCAGTGTGTCATGTTATCTCCCTGCGATAGGAGCAGGGCCCGGCATTCTACGACCACCGCCACTTACTGCTACCCGCAGTACTACTACTACTATTATTAACCTTAGCAGTACCACTCCCGCTACCAGCCTTGATGCTAGTGCTGCTGCTTGTCCTAAGAGTGACGCCGCCGGTGCTGCTATTATTAGTCTTGGAACTGCTAGCGACGGTACTACTCCTGTCGTTGGCGTTGCTGCCGGGGTTGGTATTGGTACTAGTACTAGTAGTAGTAGTATTGCCGCCACCACTGCCAGCGGCGGTCCTGGCATTGCTGCCGCCGCCGCTCTCCTGAGCCACATGCACGGCATTGGACAACGTGCGTGGGTTTGATTGTGCAGGCTTCGGGGCTGTCCTCGGCGGCGGCGGCGGAGGAGGAAGAGGAGACATGGACGGAACGGGGAGTCGAGCCAGGTTCCGCTTCGGCTTGTCCAGAATGTGAGCTCGCAAGTTCTCCTCGAAGATCTTGAGCATGTTGTGATTGTACTGCACGATCAATTCAGCAACGCAAAACTCCGTGAATACCTAGGTAGAGAAGAGAGAGGGGAGGATATACCTTGTCGTGCATGGCCGAGATGTGCGGCGTGATGATCAAATTCGGCAGGTCCCAGAGGGGAGATTTGGCTCCAAGGGGTTCTTCGTCAACCACGTCCACGGCGGCACCGCCCAGGTGTCCCTGGCGAAGAGACTCGGCAAGGGCATTTTCGTCCACGAGCGGGCCTCGCGCGCAGTTGATCAGCATGGCGCCCTTGGGCATAGACGCCAGCTCCGGTCCGCGGAGCAGACCGACCGTCTCCGGAAGAAGCGGGGCCGCGAGGACCACGACGTCTTGCTTCCGGAGAAATGCGCGCAAGCCATCATCCTTGCCGTCCGCCTTCACGATCGTGACCTGGCTCAGCTTGGAACCTGGCGTGGCCAGAGATGGCGGAAGCCCCTTCGGATTCATGGCGCTGACTTTGCTGCCCAGAGCCAGGAAGCGCTCGGCGACCTGCTGGCCGATGGACCCGAAGCCAATTATGCCCACGGACAGTTCACTGAGGGGCCGGTAGCCCATCAGCGCCTGCGGTGCCCACTGGTGTTTACTTTGATTTCGCAGCGCCGTGAGCATATTCCGGCCCAGGAGCATCGTGCTCATCAACACCCACTCCGCTATGGCACCAGACCCGGAGCCCGTGCTCGACGTGACTTGGAGGTTGGGGCGGTGGTTGTATGGGCTGTTTGTGAGCAAGTCGAGTCCCGAGGAAGCGAGATGCACCCATTCGAGCCGAGGAAGACAAACCCCGTCCGGCGGCAGCTCGGTCGTCGAGAGGTAGATGGTCGTCCTGTCGAGCACGTACTTGGGGATCTTGGACCATTCATCGGTGTAGTATGAATGTATCTCCAGATTAGGGAAGTCCTTCTTCAGATGATCCAGTTCGTTAGCAAGACCGATAAATCCCCCACGCCTCTTCGTAGTCAAGACTACCGGAAACGTCGGCACCCATTGCTTCTCCGGCGTAACGCCGCGCGGGAGAGCTTTGGGGTTCTGCTTCCACTGCCGGATGTGGCCGCGCCAGTGCATAGCCAACTCGTCGGAATCGGCCTCCCATTGGCGCTGAGGACCCGGACAGACGGGGCAGCGGATCGGCTGCGTGAGCCACGCGCGCTTGTATGCCTCGGCGTCCACCGTCATGCGTCCGGTCCTTTCCACCTCTCCAACAACCTGGTCCAGAGAAATGAACATCTCGGAGAAGACCACTTTCCAGTGCCGCGGGGCGAACATCTTGCCGGTGCTGAGCGACCAGTCCAAGACATGGCAGTGGAGCGGGAACAGGCTGGGTATCACATGGAACCCGACCATGAACATCGGGATTCTCTGCGGATCCAGTCGCATCATCCGGTCGATCTCCTTCCTACACTGGTCGCGAAAACGATACAGCAAAGGGAGGTGCTTTCTGGTCAGGTCGGCGATTTGTTGGATCGATGTGTCCCGAGGCATGAGAATAACATGGTTGGGTGACTAGAGGGCAACCGTCAAGTCAGTCAGGCGAACTAGTACTCTAGGAACCGCGACCGCTTCCTTCAAGGCAGTACCTGGTAGTACCTCACCTTCGCGTTGGCGTCATCTACAATAACTATCTCTTTGTCGAAGAACAGTATGTTCGGGTGCCTTTCCGGGTGATGGCACATGTCAAACAGGGGAGACGCCTGCTGATTACCCGCATATTCTCTGGGGTCCCGGCGATCGACTTGTACAGCAGTTTCCGTCAGGTTCGGTCTCTGAGGTTGCGCCATTTCGTTTGCTGCTTTAAGGCGGGCTGTTGTGTAACATTATAACACCGAATCGAGGACCGCCATGGACGGTGGACCTATATATAAGTATCTAGTAGACCGCCGGTGCTACCACTGACCTGCGCGGCGTGATGTAGCCTGAGACTCTGAGTGAGTCCGGAGACGGTCAGGTCCATGGTCGTCAACAATACAGTTGTCGTGCCCACGTGGCCTTCGATTGTTACAGAAGCCTTATCTTCGCAAAGAGACTTTACTCAAATCCCACTTTCGAGATTGAATAGCGAATTATCCTGCAACTCGGAATCGGGCTTACAGGGCAATTACTAGTATACGGAAGGGGTGAATGTATCAATTCGGAAAGATGTCTAGGTTGCATTTGGGTTTGAAAGTCTCTTTGCCGATTTTCCGTGGTAAGCTGAGACATGACTAAAAACGGTGCAAGAGCTTATCTCAGGATCTCAGACCTCTTTCGTGGCGTTTCTCGTGTTCTTCTCGCCGCAGTTTGTGGGGCCGTAACAAGAGAAAACTAGTATTCGTAATTTCATCTTGTGCAATAGCCACAGCTTCATCGGAAAGGGCAATCTTGGGAATTATCCGAGGTTACAGTCAAGGTTGCCATGCAGTGCTGCCAGTGATCCCCCAGGATTCAGTGCTTGGAGTCACGCCCGTCGGAGCCACGTCTGACGGTGCAAGCTAGGGCGGCCGAAGGAAGGATCAAGTGTGCCACCGTGAACGTAAGCCGTACGCCCCTACGTCTGTTTCTGGTGGTGGAGAAAGCAGGGGGTATTGAATAAGAAGCCAGTCTTCTGGATGATGAAACCCCAGTTAAATAGACATGTGACTTATTATTACACTATAACACTAGTATTCGCAAAATCTTATGTCCGAAGTAAGCTATAACAGGCTCGTAAGCCATTTACCATGTTAGAATCCTGTTTCATAACAACAACCCTCAGCTCGACCATCGCCTGATGACCTCCTGCATCAGATAGACAGAAGCGAAGATCGTGAATAGGTAAAGAGTACAGAATAGAGGCGCTAGCAATAGCCAGTTCCAGGCTTCTCGTGCCCAGTCCCAACCACTAATAAGCACGGAATACACGCAGTCGAGATGATAAACACACCGGGATCTTGACCTCGTCAGGGACAAGCTTCACCATCAAGACCACCTCGTCATCCATACCGGACGGACGGGCCAACAGCCAACCATATCCCCGTCTCCGACAGACCACAGATGGTTGTCGGTGCCAAAGCTGAGTCAACAGGCTGAAACACGATGATTTCTGAAAAGGCCGTGCTGTGCACGGATGACGGACTTCAGTCCAACGGAGGTTAAGCTGCGCCACACACAGAGAAGGTGCACGTCAGCAGGTGTGAAGATGTGCAGGGCAAAGAGCATGTTGGTGGTGAGCGGGATGAAACTGGACGTGCCCTGGTAAACAAGCCCAAAAATGGTGGCTTACTATTACCGCTTCCATTTGGGGCTGTGAAAAGAATAGTGGAGTGAACTTGAAGTCAATTGAAGGCCCACAGAGATGCAATGGAAGCTCAAAACGCCGCCCGACATTCTCACTTGGACTTCACGAACCTTTCTTTGTGTGACAAAACTGGCGTCCAATGACAATCTTTCCGAAAACGGGTGCCAGAACCCGCAGCTTTGTGTTCTAACATATTGACGCAGGAGCTCACGCAGTAATTTGTCCCGTATGGCATATGCTGTCAATGGCGAGGCGTAAGAGGTCCGTCTCCCGGAAGATCCGCCGGCTACTAGCTATGCGACCTTCCATTATTATTAGCAGCGATCGAGCTGGCGTCCAATGCGTATTTGTGACATAGGTACGTCCGTTTTGGACGCGCTGTGGGATTGGGTGTGAGTAGGGGCCCAAAGGGGACTGTGGCTTGGTCCTGGTCGGAGCATTCGACTTCCTAAAAGGATGGAAGGGGCCTTCTCCTATCCCCGGCCCCGGCCCCGGCCCCTTACTCCCTGCTCTTCCGCCCTGTCGTGTTGGGGTCGATGCTAACATTGCTAGGACGATCTCAGAGGCCGCGGTGAATAGAGCAGAGGGGCTGGCAATGGTATGTTGGTAGCACTGGTAGTACCTCCCAGGATTTGAGCCCGGCCATGGCGAATCGGGCCAGCTGATGCGTCAACGGATCGAGTGGCTGCCGGACATAGCCCAAAGTCCCAAAGTCCCAAAGCCCACCAAGGTGCAAGGACACTCTCCAACTCAACTAGGTGGTTAGAGTATAGACTTGGCACTTAAGTTTCGGCATGCATCTTGACGCAAAAGGTCAATAAGGCCGGTCGGCACCGGCACTGAGCATGTGCAGATCTGACGGATACAGGGAGATGTAATCGTACCCAACTATAGACAAATCCCAAGAATAAAGAGCCATGAAAGAAGACGATACCTGCCGAGCTCGCAGCAAACACCGTAGTAGGCTAGACGAGAACCTAAGAGGGAACATTCCCCCCCAATGAACTTCGAACTGCAACGTCGCGTCTACACTCCTGACTCCACCGATAAGGTAGAGCGCCCATGGCAAAGGAGTGATAATAGACACGGTCACGCTAATGGCATTCTCTTGTTTCTAGCTGTCCAACTCACTTCTAGGAATCCCTTCCCTCCTCTTCATTGTTATACAGATGTAGCAGCTGGTCACTAGTTCGCGAATGTTGATGTTGGGTGGCGATGACGGACCTTATGGTCAGAACTAAACCATAGTACGTTTCGACTAATATTGTACAGTCCGCCGACTAGAAACCACTAGGAACTACTTACGTCCTGCGCAGAGAGGAGAGGAGGTGACCCAGCGCACCCCAAGTGCTGTTCGTAGAGAGACCAACGTTCAAAGAGGAGGTCGGCCCAGGCTTGCACAACCTCGTCGCTCAACTTGGCCAGTGTCGGGTCGAGACCGCCGCCAAGAATCCCTTCGGTCGACTGTAGCTCTACGAGGCCCAGACAGTCGGCGAAGTACTTGGCGAAGAAGCCACGGATTTCATCGGGCCGCGTGTGAAATGATTGCACCGTCTTGCCCTGGCCTGGCTCAGACTTCTCGTAGCGGCTGTCAGACAACTGGGAGACGGTTAGCTTTAAATAGTTTCGTTCTTTTGAATGAGTGGGTACTATTTAAGTTGCGTATGAGTGAGGGTTGAAAGAATGACGTATTTAGCGTAGAAGTCCTACAGTTACAACTCGACTATCTTTGCTCGGCACAAGTACGCCTCGACGGTGATGAAGGCAACAAAAACCAAGTCGCCTGCTATCTATCTTTGTCGCAGACCTACCTCGGACATGTTCACTGCGTTCTTTTGCTCGCTTATTCTTAGTCCGCTACCGTTCGGTTGGACGATTCGCTCTTTATCTCTTTGCCTAGGGTACGTTCAGCATTCCGCTTTCGTCCAGGGGCGTCGGAGCCATGGTCCCTCGAGCCCCTGTTGGTTGGGAAACTTGGGGGGGGGGGGGGATGACTTGGCTTTGTCCTTGGGCACCGTCAAATGGGGCTGCCGTGTTGACCGGATCCGGCGGTTGTCCCGGATTAGTACCCAACCTGCAGCCAAAGTTCCAACGCCCGGAAAGCCCCCTTCGGCGTAGCAAGAAGGGTAATAAAGGCGGTCCACCCGGGAATAAAATGGGGGCGTCTCATCAGCATCTAAACTCGCCATCCATGGTATTCCGTCTTGAGCCTGGACGTTCATGAACAACACAAACACACAAACACACACACACACACCCACACACCAGCACCTCATTTCACCAGGCGCACTCTTCGTATGGCCAATACCGAAAGCAACGATGGCTGAACGTACCACCCTACCTTACTTTGCCCCCCGTGAGCTCCTCCCGGCACTCTTGCCGACGGTGGCGGAGATCCTCGCCTCGCCAACGCGGCTGTCGGCCGACTACGAAAACATTGTTGTCCAGGTCGGTGACCACTTCGCCGTCAAGTACGGAGGAAGGACTAGTCTCCAGGAGGGCGAGAACATGCTTTTTGTTCAGCGGAGTAGCCGCGTGCCTGTCCCGAAGGTCTATGCTCTGTTCCATGACGAGGAGACGGACGTGGATTTCATTGTCATGGAGTATATCCCCGGCGAAAACTTGGAGCGTGCATGGGGCAGGCTCGGCACCACCGAAAAACGGGCGATTGCTTCGCAGCTCCGCCGACACATGGACGAGTTACGCAGCATTCCCCCGCCAGGCTACTACGGCGGCATCTGGAGGCAGCCAACGCAGGACTTCTACTTCGAAGCCCCGGAGCAGCATAGCCGGCCACACAAGGACAACACCATCTCGGGGCCGCACGAGACCGAGGAACAGTGGGTCGAGGCCATGTTGCACTGTGTCGAGTCGAGGGCCGTCTCGGAGGAATGAGCCAGGGGGCTCCCGCTCCTCCGGCGGCATTACCACGCCATCTTCAAGGGACACAAGCCCGTCTTTACGCACGCCAATTTCTTCCTGGGAAATGTAATGCTCCGGGAGGACGGGACCCCCGTGATCATCGATTGGGAGGCCTCCGGGTGGTATCCAAGCTTCTGGGAGTATTGCTGTACTGTTGGGGTCCTGAGGTACGAGTGGGATTGGGCTGAGTGGATCCACGAGGTGCTGGACGAGTATATTGCCGAACTGGGCTGGATGCGTCGCCACAGGTTTCTCGTTTTACCCTACGGTTGTTGATTTGCAGACGCATGTCTTTTGGCAAAGGAGCCCGAGGAAAGGGCAAAAGGAGCCTAGGAGGTCTGATGCTCTCATTATTACCTAGGTGCGGTAGGCAACTGGGGGGTGGACAGGTACTATCTAACAAACAAGTGAAGATGTGAAGATCGTCTGGCGCGCTCTATTGCTGGTCATACCGTTACCTTGGTACGGTAGGTACTGTAGGCAACCAAAAGCTAAAACAAGCCCTTCCAAAAAAACATGTATCGCCCCTCCTGCAATCTGCCCTTCTCGCTCCGACGTATGATCTCGAGGTCTCGCTCGGACGATGAATGTAGCCGTCCCCTTTTCCATTCCGTTTGTGACTCAGCTGTAGAAGCGGCGAACAAGCTGGCCGTTATCTGGCGGTCGCAGAGGCTCCAGGACTCCAGCAGCGAGGAGCGCGTGAACGGCGCGGGAAGTCCAGCCATGACAGGGGCACCATTCTCCTGGATTGAGCGGCTGCTCTCCGTCATCCTGCTGCTCGGTCGGGGTCCCGGGTGGTACGCCCTGGCAGACGTTCGTGATCCTCGCAACGTAGTCCTCACGAAGCACCTAGCCAACGCGCCGCATGCTCCTTCCCCTGGCTGATTCGAACGGATGCTTAGCGCTCCAGCTACGCACATGCTCTCCGCTCCGTGATGTGCCGTGCAAAGCTCGGAAGAAGCGACCCTCTCGTCTCGCCCTAAGAGACGGCGTGTCCACATAAATGGTACGGAGATCTCCGTCCTCGCCTTCCCATTCTGTTTCCACCAAAAACACCGGGTGGCGTGTGATTTCGAATTCAGGATCGTCGTAGCGACTATCCATGCCGGTTTCGGGATCGGGTGTTTGTCGGATGAACATAGCGTTTTCTCTTTTTCTTCCTTTTTTTTTTTTTTTTTTTTTTTTTTTTTTTTTTTTTTTTTTTTTTTTTTTTTTACACGTTTTTGGCGAATCTTGCGATCAAGTGAAGCAGAGTGGAAGACGTTGTTGCAAAGCGTCCAGAACACACAGCTTGCGCCTCGATGTCCGGTTGTACTTGTACTATTTCTAAAATTGCGCCGGCGGGACAAAGACACCCGCAAACGTAGACGAGTAAGGGACGGACAAAGCGGCCGAGCCCAAACAGCGGTCAAACGAGGGACTGAGACAAGCTGCGACGGGACCCTAGACATTGTAGACAGTAGAACAATGGCAAGGCAGTCCGGCCACTGGGGCTTCGTTGCTTGAATAAGAACAGGGACGCTGTCTCGGTGTGTTGCTACACTGGGCTGTGTCTCGAACAATAACCCTCCAGGGGTCAATGTTTGGAGTTCGGGCACCTATTCTTTGATACTGCATCCGTACTCCCCAACGGTTGTTTTACCTGCTGACATCAGGGGCACTGTTCACGTAATCAATCGCGTCGGGCACTGCGACTGTTGTTTTTGGATTTGCGCTTTTGAGCAGCTCTCGCAAACGGCAAGGCTTCGTCATGAGCTAAACACACCATGCACCTGGGAGAATGTTATGGGGTAATTGTGAACTGCGGACCCCTCCGAGCTCAGCTTTTCGGGATCATATCGGTGACCTATGCGGCAGGTGATCTGCTCTCCGCAGCTAAGGTAGTTTTATACTTATCGATATAGGTACTATTTTTAACTGCTACTTGAGACTGCTCGGTTATTAGAGTTATAATAATAACCCCTCTTGCTAGGCCGTAGCGGGCGTGCACAGGGCGTGAACAGGATATGAACGGGGCGTGAAGAGAGTGTGCATAGGATGCATAGGGTGTGTGGGGTGTGCGTAGCCTGTCACGTAGGACCTGTAGGTGTAAGCGGTCGAGATTCGGAAAATATAACAGTTACTTATCCTAGGTAATACGACTACCGGCTACGCCAAGGTCACGGCAGTCGTGACTCGTCAGTCAGCGCCATGCAACGCTGACGAACAAGCCAGCACTGGATTGGATGGTCAACACATCGATGGAACTAAGGGCTTACTATAGTAGCAGTACTGCCCCATAATCAGATGCCTGACTGCCGTCGACATAAACCCAAAAGATGGCCGCAAGCTGTCTTGTTTTATCGTCCTTGTTCCCGTCCAATACCTCATCAGTGGTGCGCATCCGTTCAATAGCCCGTGTTTGGTTTGCCGACTAGTACTTGATACTTAGTAGCGAACATCCTTCTTTAAGCAATACGACTACTACTAGTAGTACTACTTGCCCCTCGATCAACGGACCTAGTGCTCTTACCAAACCCCGCTCCCAATCTCGTCAACATGCCCATCAACTTCCACCTCAGCGCAAGCGAAGCCGCCACGCGTGCCGCTGCAGCGAACTTCGCTGAGCACATCCTCAAGCCAGCGCGGGCCGAGTACCTCCAGCACGAGGAGCACCACAGGCGGTTCCAGGCCACGCATCCGGCCTATGTCGCCGCCGTGCAGGGAGGCCTGCTCAAGGGTCAGATCTCGCCGGCGCACGGGGGCAGCGGCGGGAGCCTGGTCGAGACAGCCATCATGGTGGAGGAGTGCTACGCCGTCGAGCCGTCCACGGCACTCACCATCTTCGCGACCGGGCTGGGGCTGACCCCGCTGAACATAGCAGCGGGCAAGGCCGGGCAGCACGCCGAGTTCCTCGCTCCCTTTCTCCGCGGTGAGGGCGCGCCGCTGGCGTCGCTAGTGTTCAGCGAGCCGGGGGGAGTCGCCAACGCGATGGAGAAGGGCGTGCGGGGTTTCCAGACCACGGCGCGTCGCGACGGCGACGAGTGGGTTATCGACGGCGAGAAGATGTGGGCGACTAACTGTGCCGGGTGGGATTTCAAGGGGTGCGACCTGGCCTGTGTTGTCTGCCGCGACGTCACAGAGGGCATATCGAAGCCCAACGGCGACCCGAAGGACAGCGTCATGATCATCCTGGTAACGCGCGCCGATCTCGACCGCAGCGGGCCCGGCGCGTTTGAGGTCCTGCGCCACATCTCCACGCCGGGCCACACGTCGGTCTCGGGACCTCATGTCCGGTACACCAATGTCCGCGTGCCGGCCAAGAACGTTCTCTGTCCGCCGGGGCAGGGTGCGCAGGTTGCCTTCGCCTCGTTCGACGCCAGCGCGGTCCTCGTCGGTGCCATGGGCGTTGGGGTCATGCGCGCGGCGTTCGATGCGGCGCTGGCGTTTGCCAAGCGCGACTCGCGCAACGGCGCGGTGCCGTTGCTGGAGCGACAGGCCTTTGCGGACCTGCTGTCGGGCGTCAAGATGCAGACCGAGGCAGCGCGGGCTCTGACCTGGAAGGCAGCTCATGCCATGGAACATGGTCCGGGGAACTATGATGCCCGAAGGGAGTTGGCTCTGGCCGCCAAGGTCTACTGCAGCGATGCCTCTGTACAGGCCTGCATGGATGTCATCAACGCCGTGGGAGTGTGAGTTCCGCTGTTCCGGTCGTCTCAATGCAATTCGTACCGTTGGTTAATTGCAGCTGGATGCATCATGGCGCTAACACAAGTGACAACGTATCGCAGGACGGCGTATGACCTGAGCCAGCCCTTCGCGGAATTGCTGAACACCGCAATAGTGCTGCCCATCTTCGATGGCGGCAATGTCGGCATCCGGAGACGCCACCTGCAGCAGCTTATGCTCTCGCCAACATACGATGCGTGGGCTGCCACTTTCGGGCCATCATCAGGGAAGCAGTGAGACGGAAGGCGTGGAAACGGACAGGATCAAGAAACGTCGAGGAGTGGATTGACCCAGTTGCCTTACTATTTCATGCTCGCGAGCAGTCAATTGAGAAGACGGCATTTGAGGGGTCGGGCAGCATCGGGATTGCACGATGACCGGGTCACCGGGAGAATGAGCTGCTGCCTGGAGAAGCTGAAAAGTTAAAACTCAGTTTGATGCATCATGCATCGACACTATTGATGACCCGCACACGGGACGCGCTGGCCCCTGTGCTGGGTAGGCCGAGTTCGCTTACATTCACGCCCGAGCTCATGCAACTAAGGTAGCAATAGGTACCTAAGAATGCCAAGTTGACGCGACAGCACGTGCACCTTTTTCCTGACCACTAACCGCTGCGCAATTACGCGAGGGCGTCTCTTGGTGCGGCACTAGCTGTCATGGATGCGTTCGGCTTTGATGAAGGGGAGGGACTGAGGATAAAGCAACAGTCGTGGAATCCAATTGTACAGATTACCCATCCTTCAACTTTTGCTCTGGCTTCCCACCTGTCAGGAATCAAAGTCACGACTCACGCTCCGGCCAACCAACACTCGCATCCTTATACAATAGTACTTACCATACTCACGACGACCTCAACGGCCAACCCTTCGAATTGAAGATTCAAAAATGTCCCTCGGCCACGTTTCACTGCCCACGGGCCCCTCCAACTACAAAGCGATGCGCGACTTCTACCTCGCCACGCTCCAGCCGCTGGGATACACGGTCTACCTGGAAGGGGAGGGCCAGTACTGCGGCTTCCGGGCGCCCATGGGCGGGCCCGACTTCTGGTTGCATTGCGGCGGCCAGGACTTTGTCCCCGTTGACGCTGCCCTGACGGCGGACGAGAACCTCGCGACGCGCGGCCGGACCCACGTCGCCTTCAACGTCTCCAGTCGGAAGCAGGTGGATGAGTGGTTTCAGAATGCCCTGTGAGTACCTATGTTCTTGTCCCTTCGCTCTAGTAATTTTTCTTGTGTGTTATATAGTTATACAACCCCTGGGCTGAAACATTGTGATGTTTGTGGGAGTAGACAGGCTGGGGGCATCTCGAATGGAAAGCCGGGTGAGAGGGAGTTGTATGCAAAGGGGTATTATGCTGCGTTCCTGCTGGATCCGCTGGGGAATAACGTCGAGGCTGTACACTTCAATCCCTTTCCGTGGTGGCTCAAGCACATGGACAAAACCCTCGGCGTTTTGGCTATGTTTGCCGGCGGTGTTGCTGCCCAGTTTGTGTGGAGTTACGCGAAGAAAGCGGGCTGGGCTTGAGGCTTGTCTTAGGACAAGTCATGTCAGAATGAACAAATTGAACTTTGATGCTTACTAGATTTTCTAGACTACCCACAGCACCTTGTAACGGGAAGAATGCCCTGATTGTACTCTATTACTGTAAGGCGGCGGATGCTTGAGCCCCGTACAAGGCCAGGGTCAGGTTAGGAGTAAGTTTACATGTCCCTCCCTCTTATGGCAAGTGTGAAGCTCTGTAAGGTAGAAAATACTACGGGTTCTCTCTTTGTAGCAGAGTTCAAAGTAATATCACCATCTTGATTCTCTCTACAGAAAGGGAGTATATTTTTGTATCAATGATATCTAGATAGGGTGGACAGTGAAACAAGCTTTGTTGACCTGCTCAGTTTCAGTCTGTGTGCTCAATCTTCAGATAAAGCTGAACAGTTCAAACTCCAAATCCTGGTACGCGCGTGTGAGCGTGTCTGGGCGTGAAACGGTAGGCTCATCAGCCGACCGAGATCTGCCCTCGCCACGCGCGACGCGCATTCTGTACGCGTCCGGATCGAAGACACAGAGCCTGACTGTTGGATCAGCGCCGTTAGTCTCCTCATGCGCAACAACGTGAGCCGAAGTTGGCAGCCCGCAGGCCTCGAGCAGCTCTCCAGCCTTAGGATACCTCCTCGCAAAAGCGTTCCGGAACTTCCCATACACCACACAGGGCACATTCTGGGCCGTCAACCTCCACCTTCCTTCAGCCGTGCTGCAGTCTCCAGCATCCTCGGCCAGCCACTGCAAGAGCCACAGGATCAGCCGAGCAATATACCGCTCCTGCTGACCACGACCACGACTACCTTGACCCTCCATCTCACCCCCTTTTACAATGCACAAGTACCACGCCCGCGCGAACTGATCCAACAGCGTCGGCACGTCCATAACCTGCGCCGCACTCGGCATCACCTCGCACAGCGACCCGACATACGGACACGGCGGCGGCTGCTTCAGCGCAACATGAACAAGCGGCCTGACCCTTCCCAAGCGAGCCCACACCTGCGGATTCTCGACCGTCCTCAGCTTAAAGGCCACAACCGTCTCACTCGTGGCGGCGGCGGTGGTGGTGGTAGCAGCACCAGACCCGGGGACAGGAACACCTATCATCTCCCCGCCGCTCCCGCGCCCGTTCCCGCCTCGTCCTCCTCCTCCCGGGGCTTCTTCTTCTTCTTCTTCTTCTTCTTCTTCTTCTTCTTCTTCTTCTTCTTCTTCTTCTTCTTCTTCTTCTTCTTCTTCTTCCTGCTTGGGATAAACATACCACCCGGCCGCCCTCGCCCACGACAGGATGACCTGCTTGTCCTCGGCCGGGCAGACGATGCTCACGTGGGAGGGCATAGTATTATTAGTAGGGCGGCTGCGATAGCCCCAGACCATGAGGGCAGCGTGGCCGCAGACGGCGTAGTGCGTGTGTGAGAGGGCGTTGTCGAAGGTGTCGAGGAGGAAGTGGAGCGTTTCGGGCGTTAGAGGGGCGGTGGATGGCGGGGGGGGAGGCGGGGTGCGGGCGCGGTTGCGGTTGCGGTTGTGCGTTGGCCTGCTTTTGTTTATGATAGTCGTCTCGGTTGGTGTGTGAGCGGTAACGGGGAGACGGGGAAGCGGAGGAGGAGGTGGTGGTGGTGGCGGCGATTGAGGCCGGGTGGGATTATCGACAGCATCTGAACGCTCCTTTGGCTGCGCTATCTTAGCCTGCCTGGAAACGGGCACCATGCTCGGATGGTGCGTCGTCAATGGCTGCGGATAAAGGGACGGGGAAGGTTGGGTTGTGACTGAAGTTTCGGTAGCTCCGGCCGCGTTTACTTCGCTTCGGGTGATGGTGGCGGCCATTACAAATGTCTGGTCGGCCATGCTATGAAGATCCCTAGTCGCTGCTCTTCTGGGAGTGAAAGATAAGTCGAAACGGTATGGCGGATGGTACTCTGAGCTGCTCTGAGTCCCTTGAACGTTGCTGCGTAAACCAAGGATGCCTTCCCTCCGGCCGGGCACATGCAAACCGTCTGATCCCGCCGCTTCCATGTCTTCGTCGTTCCTGCGGTTTAAATATTCTAAGAACGCTCTTATAGCTTCCTCCTCTCTCTTTGTCGCGAAAAGCTTCTCAGTCGGATCAGCGTGGCTGTCCAGAAGCATCCTGGGTTCCGCCGACTTGAGACAACGGCCACGCAACCACTTCAGCATGTACGCAACCCTCCGGGTGATCCCGTAGAACATGGTTGAGAGACGTTGTAGTTCGTACCGGAGAGGTAACCTGGTGGCTTCAGAGGATGAGTTCGGGTTTAAGTGCTGGGCAAGAAGTCTTCATTGACATCAGTTCTCCAAGCCTTACTTAAATCGGATCAAGCGGGCGTGTCCCGGCATTAATGGAGAACAAAGTCGTTGGGAAGATGAGACCTGTTGTTGAGAGCCTCAGGGCGACGGACAGAACATGATGGGACAAAGGGATTGTGCTTGAAACAAAGGAGCTGACTGAACGTCGTCAATAGCCACGACGAAAGACCATGCTTGTCTCGGCATCAATCAAATACATCAACCAGCAGGGCAATGTGACTTTTATGCGTGGCTGCCAGTCTAACTCCCTAGCCCAACCGCCTAGTCATACAACGCCCAGTTCCGCCATGACCGTTTGTCTGAGGATATGCCGAATAAGTCGTGACTTCAGAGTTCCTCTTCGACCTCCATTTGGTCGCCGTTTGGCCCGCCATTCGCGCCTGTTGGCGCGTCCTTCTTTGCCATAGTCGCCTCCTTGTCAATCATTTGCCTCGACACGGCAACGATGTTGTCCTCGATGAGCTGCTGTCCCACATCCTCCAGATGCTTCTTTGGATCTAGTTTGCCAACATAGCGTGTCTTCAGTTGGTCCTTGGTCAGCTCTGTCTCCTCCTTGACCCTCTTCTCGTAGCCTTCGGCGAGGCTGACCAGCCGCTCAAGGCGCTCCTTGGTCCGCTGGCCCTCGGTCCGGAAGTCCTCCATCTGCAGCGCATCCGTCCAGGGGTGCTTGTGCAGATTCATCAGCATGTTCTCCTCGAGCGCCGTCTTCCTGTAGTTGATGCCAATGGAGTAGTAGTGCCTGTTCAGGCCGTGGATGAGCGCCTGGATGGACGGCTTATTCAAGTGCCCCAAATTCGACGTAGTCTGACGCGGCTCCTGCCCCATCATCAGAGACTGCGGGTTGATAAGACGAAACGCATCGATGACCACTTTGCCCTTCACGGACTGGATGGGGTCGACGACAACGGCGACGGCGCGCGGCGTGAGCTGCTCGAAGCTTTGCTGGGTGTTGATATCGACCGAGGAAAGCCAGCAACCGAAGCCAGGATGAGAATGGTACCAACCGACGACGGACTCGGGCCTAGAAAGGAAGCTACTTGTCAGCGGTTTAGAACCAGAGACCTTCTCTGCGCGACACATACCTTCCTGTTTGCCGCAGCATATCCATCATCTTCATCTGGAACACCGGGTCGACGGCCTCTACACTAACTCCTGTCCCGCTCTGGGGCATGGCGAAAACATCCACCACACGAACAGTGAAATCGTCGACAAACTCGCCTAGCATCAAGCCCATCACTTCCATGGGCACACCGGCGCGGCCGTGTCGGAGCATCTTTAGCAGCGCAAGCGACGAGATGTGGACTGTCTCGGAGTTGTCGATCAGGTTTGTGTTATCCTAAGAGACACGGCTAGATCAGTAAATTCTGGGTCTCTGCAGCGCAAAAGTAGCCATGCCGCGCCATCAGGAGAGAGCGTACCGTCCCGGGGGCAGCACCACCCAAGCTCATGCCGCCGCCGAGTAGGGTTCTGAACCTATCCATAGTTGCTGCGGCGACTGTAACGCGAAGCAGAAGGTGACGTAAACGGTGCGGTCGACGCGCTGCGCGTTTTTAATGAAAGTACAGTTCGGAGAGGCTGTCTTCCAGTTTAGGATGCGGTTGCTTGCTGGAACGGACAACAAGGCGGACAGGAAGTCGAGGGTTGGAGCTGATAGGTGATTGCGCTTGCTCGTTGGACAACGGAGCTCGTCGCAGCTGGAGCAGTTGACGAAAGCCCTGGCAGCCTGCTGCATGATTACCTAAGGCTGGCCCTATGCACAGCCTGCTGCCTTTGCAGACCCACTCATGCCCACAAGCGCACGTTCCATCTCTGGCCCCCACTAAATTGAGTACAACTGTGCAGTGAAACTCCGAAATTTAGCCGCACTGCACGGTGAAACTCCGAAGTTTGACCGTACCAATCACCGTCTTTCCATTCGCGCACGGATTACAGGACGCTGCCAGCCAATCCGGGCTCAGAGCGCGATAAGCTAATCGCCATGCCGAATTCATCTAGCGCGTTTTCGGACGCTTCCTCAAGCTCGGTTTCGCACCTTCACCCTCTCTTCCATCGGTCCGCCCACCGCGTTTCTGGTGCCTCCCGAAACGGACAATACAGACCGATTTGGGTTCCCGAACCCTGGGTTGAAGATCTCAACCCGGCTCTATTTGCTCGCTATTTCAAGTCTGACAGCGATCGCGACCAGGAGAGTGACTACGATACTGACGATAGCGACCACGGGGACGACGACGATCACGAGAGCGAAGGCTCCAGCGGTAACGACGACGATCCTGCCATTGTATTTGACTCCGCGCCATTTTATCCAACGATTCCCGCGTTTTCCCCCCCTTCGCCCATTCATTCCAATACCCACACCGAAATTTGGTGTGATACCGACTTTACGGTTAGCAACCACCAATCTGCCACCATGCCTAGGGCAACTGGGATTATCGACCCGGCGGGCGTCGACCGCACTCGGCCTTTGTACGAGATTGCCAGTAACGACAAGAAAAGAGTCGCTTATTTCTACGACTCCGACATTGGCAACTATGCCTATGTCACTGGCCACCCGATGAAGCCGCATCGCATTCGCCTGGCTCACAGCCTGGTGATGAACTACAATGTCTACAAATTCCTCGAGATTTACGTAAGTCACCCATTTCCGCAGGGTCTGGATGCAAGAGCGCACCGACTAACTGCGTCTTTCTTCTGCGAAACAGCGTGCGAAGCCGGCTGTCACCGCCGAGATGACGCAGTTCCATACCGACGAGTATATCGAGTTTCTCCAGAAGGTGACACCCGATAATATGGATGCCTTCATGAAGGAGCAGTCGAGATACAACGTCGGCGACGATTGCCCTGTGTTCGACGGGTTGTTCGAGTTCTGTGGGATCAGTGCGGGCGGCAGCATGGAGGGCGCTGCCCGTCTCAACCGTGAGAAGTGCGACATCGCAATCAACTGGGCTGGTGGTCTTCACCACGCCAAGAAGAGCGAGGCTAGTGGTTTCTGCTATGTCAACGGTATGTGTTCAAATATCGGAGCTTTTTTTTCGTATTCGGTCCGCGGTTCGGCTGATGTGTTGGTTGCATGCAGACATTGTTCTCGCAATTCTCGAGCTGCTGCGCTTCAAGAAGCGCGTGCTCTACATTGACATTGACGTCCACCACGGCGATGGTGTCGAGGAGGCTTTTTACACCACCGACCGCGTCATGACGGTTTCTTTCCACAAGTACGGCGAGTACTTCCCCGGTACCGGCGAGCTCCGCGATATCGGCATTGCCAAGGGCAAGTACTATGCGGTCAACTTCCCGCTGCGGGATGGAATCGACGATAAGGCGTACAAGACCATCTTCCAGCCGGTCATTGAGGCTGTCATGAAGTACTACCAGCCCGAAGCCGTCGTTCTCCAGTGCGGCGGCGACAGCCTCTCGGGTGACCGACTCGGCTGCTTCAACCTCAGCATGCGCGGCCACGCCAACTGCGTCAATTACGTGCGCGGTTTCAACCTGCCGACCCTTGTCCTGGGCGGTGGCGGCTACACCATGAGGAATGTTGCCCGCACCTGGGCGTACGAGACCGGTCGCTTGGTCGGTGTTGAGATGGACCCGGTCCTTCCGTATAACGAGTATTACGAGGTGAGTTGCATTGATGTAGTTGGCTTGTTCCGCAAGAGATTAACAGTTGCCAGTATTATGGACCTGATTACGAGCTGGATGTGCGCGCCTCCAACATGGAGAACGCCAACAGCTATGAGTACCTTGATAAGATCAAGGTTGCGGTGATTGAGAACTTGAAACAGACCGCTCATGTTCCGTCCGTCCAAATGCAGGACGTTCCGCGCCAGGGTCTCGGCATGTCTGACGACCAAGACGATGAAATGGACGACGACGATGAAGACGACAACAAGGACGTCCGCATGACCCAGCGCCAGTGGGAGAAGCGCGTCGAGCGCCAGGATGAGTTCGAGGACTCCGACGATGAGGAAATGGCTCGCGCGAATGGCGTGTATAGACCCAACGGGCGTTCGCGCCAGGAAACCGACTTCCGCAACATTAAGGACGATGACACCATGGAGGTCGACAGTGGCGTCGCAACCCCCGGAGAGCCGCATACCGCGGCCGAGAACGACGACACCATGATTGATGAAGCCGTCTCCGAGATTCTCGCCGAGGTCGAGGCTCAGGAGCGAGCTGAGGCTGATCAGCGTGCCGCGGATGCTGCCGAGCAGCTCGGACAGCTTGCGGAGAGCGACAAGGCCAACGTTGACGGCGACGGAGACGTCGCCATGGATGAGGCCGCCGTTGCCAACATCAAAACGGAGGAGCCCGAGGGCATGGCGGCCACCGAGGTAGCGCCCAACAACAATGCCGACGACAAGGCCGGCAATGAGGGTGAAACTACCACCACCAACCGCGCTTCGGGCTCTCCGGCGATCGGTGGTGACGAGCCCAAGCCTGCCGAGGCAGCAGCTGCTGTCCAGACGTCTGAGAAAGACACGGCTAACGCCGAGAACTAGCCCGAGTCACTGACCGAGGCCTAGTTGGCGTGGATTCTGAACTGATTAGAATTTAATACGACCCAGCTGGCGATTACAGCGATGTGTTTCTGTACAAACAAAGAGGTCGTCATGTGGTCCTTTTTTTGTAACGGCGTTCAGGAATGGCATGGACCGGAATTGGGAAAGGGGCGGCATTGGGTTGACATTGGGCATCGGTGTTGATGGAGTGACCGTCTGGTTTTCTGAACCCTGGTACCGTGATGCTTCGCTGAGACAGCAGCGCATGGTTGTGTTAGCTGGCTCTGGTGGCTGGGCATCTTGGAGTTGTATGGGTTCCTGGTCGATAATCATACTACTATTAGGAACGAAGGACGGATGTGGATTCAGCAAGGTCGCATCATACCATTAATGAGATGGTACTACTTCTTGATGCACCCACGTCGCCGTATCTCTTGTGAACTTGCTTCATGACCTTTCCGTGCTGCGTTCGGGCCGTTCCATGTCTCCTCCATCACGTGCTCCAGGCCCAGCATGGTGGTGACCTCCTCGCAGAACTGTAAGAAGGCGTAGCTGCCCATGAGTTTGTGAGTGACACCGACTACGATGCGGACGGGGTTTCAGGAAGCTCGTGGACATAATTTGTACTAGTACGTAGGCACCTTAGTGAGGTACCTTAGTGATCCCTGAAGCAGCATCCTAGCTCCCTTCTCAGATCATGATGGTTTTCTATCGCCTTGTGCTACTACCGTAACATCCCCTCTTACTCCGTTCCAACGCACATCGGGACGAGGACAGAGGACAGACAGTTCCACCAAGCCTTGAGTCACATTCAACCTTGATGGTCCACACGGTTTTACTAGGGGCTGCTGCAAGCAACTCTTCTATGACGGAGCCAAAAGGTTACTGTAGGAATTTGTTCTCGCTTTCGTGTCTTTCCTTTTTGCTTTATCCTGAATCTAAAACTTTTTTAAGCCCTGTTGACATCTATGCCTCTAATATAGGTTCTGTCATATCTATGAATGTTGTTGATAAGAAAAGAAAACAAAAGAAAAGAAAAAAGACTCCCGCTATAATGCACCTCTTTGTCCACACACACACACACACACACACACACACAAAAAAAAAAAAAAAAAAAAAAAAAAAAAAAAAAAAAAAAAAAAAAAAAAAAAAGAAAAAAAAAGGACCAGACGCCACAGATGTCCAAACACATCGAAACCAACGCCCCGAATACGACAAGAAAGCAAAATTCCCCTGAAAGGCCAATCTCCTTGACGCAGCATCAAACCGAAACTCCGCCAGAAGGGCCAAAGCAGATCATCCAACGCCCCCCGTTTGTCCCCGTAATGGTTCAACCCCCTCATCCAAACACCGTACTAAATTCCCCTGAAAGGCCAATCTCCTTGACGCAGCATCAAACCGAAACTCCGCCAGAAGGGCCAAAGCAGATCATCCAACGCCCCCCGTTTGTCCCCGTAATGGTTCAACCCCCTCATCCAAACACCGTACTACCACCAGCCCTAGTCCTAGTCCAAAAATAAAAATAAAAAAAATAAAATAAAAATAGATTCTGTCTTGGCCTCCTTCCGTCGTTGCCCAGCAAACGAACGAAACCCCTTTCCCTCTTCTCTTCAAAGTTCTCTTTAAGACCCACCGCCTTCCCTCCCCAAAGCAAGAAAACCCTTCCCTCATTTAAAAGCTAAACAACCCACTCCTCCGCTTCCCAAACGGATACACCAACAGCGCGCTCAGCGACAGCCCGACCGAGATGTTGATGGCGACCTGGATGACGCTGAACAGGACGTTGAAGGCCGAGTTGCTCAGGTCGCCGACCTGGGTGGTGGTCATGGAGACGGTGCCGTTGACGACCGTCCCGTTGGCGAGCACCGTCTCGTTCCTGACGATCTGGTCCGCGCTGGTGACGCCGCTCAGCAGCGAGCCGTTGGCGGCTAGGCCCGAGGGCACCTGCACGAAGATGGCGGGCAGCATGGCGGCCGCGGCCAGGCCGTAGCCGATCTTCCTCGCGCGAGTCGTCAGGCCGCCGCTGCCGACAACTGTTGCGGTGGTGGGTGTGACGGAGGGGGAGGCAGAGTCGGTGGTGTCTGCTCTCGGGGGCGGGCCCATCTCGATGTCGTGCTCGACGCGTTCTTTGTGCTGCCGGACCGAGTCGTCGGATTCGCCGGCCGGAGGGCAGTTGTAGTAAGGGGAGCGGTGGTGGTGGTGGCGGCGGTGTCTGCCGCGGATGCGGGGCTCGATGCTGCGCTCCCAGATGTCGAGGAAGTAGTTCTGTGCGTAGCGGCCGAGGCGGGAGTAGAGGTTGGCGAGCACGCCGATGGTGAGGGCACCGAGCGAGCTCGACACGATGCCGTTGCCCTTGAAGAAGCGGGCTGAGAAATTGTTGACGCAGAAGCCGGCTAGAGAGATGGCGACTTGCACTGGAAAAGAGGGTCAGAGACTTGACGGGAGAAGTGTGTGAGCCAAGGGGGTCTTACCTGGCATTTGTTGCCATTTGGCCTGGTTAATGGCGCAGAGACACAGCGTGAAGGGTAAGACGAAGAGGATATAAAAATCCTCGGGCGGCCTCTGAGTGTACCAGCTATCGCCGACGGAGCAGTGCACTGCGCTGACGGCATTGTCATCCATGTACCCGTAGATAACGGATCCGATAGTGAAGCCGTAACCGAGAAAGAGGGTGTAGATCAGAGCATACACCATCCGCACGGAGCCAGATATCATCTGGTGGCTCTGAAGCTCCAGGCTGGCACACAAAACCATGTAGCCAGGTAGAATGAGAGCGATGGACGCCTGGGCGAGGGACGAGAAGCAGAACAGCTGTCCGTGGCGTATCGAGCCAAACACCCGGGCCAGGAAAGAAGTCGCCACGGCGGCGGTGATTTCAAAGACGTTGGCGTATAGTTCGTTGGACGGGGAGAGGTAGAGCTGCAGGAATCCCACAAGGCAGCCCAGGATGAAGCAGACGGGCATGTCGATGTAGCGGCCTTCGAAGCCAAAGGGCGCGACCACAGCCGACGCGACGCCATACAAGAGGATGCGCAGCCAGACGGGGAACTTTGGCTTGCGCTTCGTGATGTCGTTCAGGCGCGCCGTCGCTTCCTCGACGCCGATGCGGTCGTGCACCACCTCCTTGTAAATCTCGTGGACATCGCGCAGGCGGCCAAAGTCCAGGCCCTGGCTGGCCCGCACAATCTTGACCTCGGTCGTGTGGATGCTGCTGTCGTCGAACGAGATGATCATGGTGTCCGGCAGATACAGAAACTGCGCCTCGATGCCAAGCACACGGGCCGACATCCGCATGTAGGCCTCGAGCCGGTGCGTGGGCGCGCCATAGACCATCAGCGCGCGGCACAGCTTGAGCAGGTAGGTCTGGCGGCTGATGATTTCGGCGATGTGGATCTTGATGCGGTATTCGTCGACCTTCTTCTTCGGCTTGCTCGACTTCTTGGACTTTTCCACCTCCTGCTTGACCTTCTCAACCGCCTCGTTGATGTCCTTACTCGATCCGGGGACGGCAAGGTTGAGGGATGACTCCATGAGGCCGGCCAAGGTGTTGGAGGAATGGGACCTCCAGGGCCGTCGGCGACCATCGGGCTTCGGCGTGCTGGATCTCGACACCGGGGGAGAGCTCGTAGGCGTGCTGATGGCGCTCGAATAGGGCGAGGCATACCTCTCGTCCGGGCCGGCGCGGAGCCGGAGCAAGCTGCCCAGAATCCCGCCCCTGTACTTCTCCGGCCGCGGGACGTATTCCAGATCATGGTCGACGGGGGTCGCCGTGCCGGACCGAGACGGGTCGAAAGGCCGGATCAGAGGGCTCTGGTGGCGCGTGTGGCGCCGCACGATCTTCTCGGCCTCGAACTGCGCCTCTGCGCGCGGCCCGAGGTCCTCAGCGTCTGCCGGAGTCAACAGATCGGGGGCCATGTGTGCCGAAGAGCCGTCGAGGAGGGCGTCCCGGTCAAAGGAGGTTCCAGTGTCCGAGTCGACAGACCCCCTGCGTGATACGGGGACTGAGGACGTTCCCACCGAGTATGCCAACCGATCCGCCCGGTTCTTGGCCTCCACCTCGGATTTGTGAGGTGCTGGAAGCACGTCGCCGGAGGTGGGGGCTGTGGTCGGCTTCCGCAGCACAGGCCGCGGCCTGCTTGGGGCGCTCAACATGCGGGAGACAGAGGCGTAAAGCTCATCCTTGTCGAAAGAATCTCGCTTCGCTGGGTCATCGCCATTCAGGGGCGTAGAGCCGGCGCTGGAGGGGGAAGGCCTGAAGGAGAAGTAATCCTGCGGCGCAACGATTTGGGGCTCGCTGGGTGTGGCATGGAACGGACTGCCGAGCGGGCTGTCTTGGGGTCCTCTGTCGCTGGCGAAACCCACCCTCTTCTTCTCCTTGCCCTTCGGTGGCGGCTGTACGTCCCCATGGCTGGTTGAAGAAGATGAAGTACCCGCAGTAACGGGGTCTTCCGTTCCTGGCGCTTGCGGCGAAGCCATCGCTGCTGCGGCGAGACCTCTCTCGTGCGATGAATCCCTGATCCCTCTGTCGATCGGATCTTGCATAGAATGAGTTCAGTTCGCCTCGCCCCAAAACCGTCCAGGGACAAAGCCCGTATCGTCACTTGTGCAATCAAGTCCCGATGCTGGCGGGGCGTGTCTGTGAGGTGGTTCTTCCAGAGATACGGATTGACGCGTGTGGGTCGGTGAAGCGAAGGTTAAAGGGGTGATCAACGATGAAGAGGAGATGCAATGCGCATCACCAAAACACCGCCTCAGGGGAGATCAGAGTGCGAGGGGGGCTACAAATGCCACAGAACAAAGAACGGTCAGGAGAGACAGAGCACAACAGCGCTTTGTTATGTGCGGGAGAAGCTGCCTTGACAAAGGTACCTTGGTGTCCGGCTAGTTGCTCGGCTTGTGGAGCCGGACAAAGTCCACCATGTCAATGGGTCGAGTTGTCAGGTTGTGTGTCTGCCATCTCCTGGGGACAACACTAGCGGTTATCCCAAGCCAAGGTCGTATCTGAGAGCGAGCTGCGCATTGCATTGTTGTCGTCTGCCGCCACTTCGGTGGGCCATCGAGAGATTCGAGGCTTTTTTGAGCGGGGATCTGGGCCAAGAGGTTCCAACTTGTTATCTGCGGGTCCCAAACGTCATCGCATCCGACACGAGACCGCTGAGATGCGATTTCCCAATTGGCATGACCCACCGTCAAGAAGTCGATCGGGCATATCCTGCTACTAGTACACATAATTGCCAGGTTATTAGCATCGTTTGTCTGCTCCATACACTATGCGCGTTAATAACATACAACTTATTATGCCGACTTCCGTTGCTCAGGGAAAAGGGAGGTCAGATAGGCACTCGGTATCCTTCCCCGTTGCGGTTAACCGAGCACCATCTTGGTGTTTTGCCCCCCCGTGACTCAGGTGTCAAGTTCCGTGGATCCGCTTGGCGAGTCTGGAACGATCGATTGCGCTCAACGGAGCTTTTGCACCACCAAAAGACATCCCAGAAACAACGCACGTGTTGGATGCCACAACCCGGAAGGTGTTTCAAGATGGACCGACTGGGCTGACGTTGTGATGTCACTGCAAGGTCGTCTCTTCGACGCGGCTCTCTGAAGGGCAAGGGACGGCCCTGCAAATCAAGCGCGCCAGTACCAGGCACAAGGGACAAAGCGGCGCAACGGTCTTGGCATACATCGTGCATACCCGATGACCAGGGACTCTCTCGGGCTCGAGCCGATCGGGATGGCAAACGGATCGAAACACCAAACAATAATTTTATGGGAAAGCCTTGGCCGTACGGAATACCTCTTTCGGCCATCTTTCGTCTTGGAGTCATCCTGGGCAAAATGAAATTATTCCCTCAACACACGCAATTCGAAACGGACCGCCGATTCTTCATCAATATCCAAAGAAGAAAGACCAACGCAGCAGCTTTCCCACTCCTAAATTACCCCCGGGAGCACTCTCAAGCATGAGATACGATGACAAAATTTGCGTCGTCGTACGGGTGCGCCGAGCAGAGAATGGTGCCATCGTCGGCCTGAAGATGGACCATGGCGGCCCCGTCGAGGCCGATGTGCTTGCCCCCGACCGTTGTCGCCCCCGAATCCATGAACCACACGTCGGCGAAATTGGCGAAGGCGACCTGCTGGCCCGAGACGTAAAAGTCTTCTATGATCCACTCGGCATCCACGCGGCACAGTTCCGGCCCGTTGGTTAGCACCAATGTCACCTCGTACCCCAGGCTGGCGTTGGTGATGACTCTGGGTGATGCGGCCGTCAGTCTGCGCCCACCGCGCGCCATCACTCCGTCCGGCGGCACTTACAATTTCGCGCTGTTCGCACTGGTCGTCTCGATATTTACCGTAACCCAATCCCCGGCCTTGACTTTTAGGCCTTGGATGGTGTAGGCCGCTTCCGGATACCACTCCCACCACGCCGAAGCACTCTGACCGCCATTGGAGTTGACCTGTGTATTGTCTCAGTCATGCCTCCATCGATCAAAAATGCGGCCAGGGGGGGAGCCCTTACGATGTTTGTCACCCCTGCTTGCAACAGGGTCGAGTTGCACTCTGCCCCATCAATGCCCAACCATGCGCTCGCGAACTGCGGCGCCGGGAGTCCAGGCCGCAGCGTCAGGTCGGGAACGGTGAAGGCGCCGAACACACTCGCGACCCCGTCCGATCGCGAGGAATGCTGCGATGCGCCGCACCAGTTCGAACTGTAGCTGACGACATCCCTCTCGGCTCTGCTGTCGCCCCGGCCAGGCCACGAGTCCCGCGACCCGTGCCTACCCCGTGTCAAGGGCGGAATTGGCACGAACTTGAGCGCGGAGGCGTCGACATTGCCTTTTGTTCGGACGCTCGCAACGAAGTTCAGTTCTGCAGCGACTGTTGCTGCGGCCAGTCCCCAGAGGAAGATTGGCCGGATGAAGGACCACATGTCGTCCCGCGGGGGGGGGGGAGGGCAGTTCTGTCGGAGCGATCAATGCGTCGAGATGCTGATCAACGCTTGGCGGTCCACGTGCTTGGTCATGGAAGGCCACAAAATCCAGGGGCCTTATCTCTCTCGAGTCTCGAGCGCGATGCGCGCGAATCCCTCCTCAGTTACGCAGTTACGCTGGCATCAAAGCGGACCCACGACGGCAACGGCGAAATCCGAGAAGAGAAGACTTCTCATCGATGCGGAGGGAGGATTGTGGCAAGGGGATCTGGGCGCGGGGAAAAAAAAAGCAAAAGACTCTTGGTGTCCGGCGCGCATTAAATTCCTTCCTAATCCATCTTCGTCCTGGTGAGCTGAGGCTGCCCTTTCCGGACCGACCCCAAACCCACGGTTCCATGTCCCAGTCTCAGGCGGTCAGTGATTGGGCTTCCCAAGTTCGCGACGGAAAATGCGCCCACGATAACCGGGTTTTCGCCCTTCAATAGTCCAGAATTTTCACGGGCTAGCAACGCCCAGGGTCGCATTTATACCACCCCGCGACCCCTTCCGGAGGTAACGGGGTTCTGGTTAAGGACAGGGGGCCATGTCTTAAAATATCATGGGGCTAATCCGGCAGGGGCGGGCCGCTCATGGTCTCGGCGGGCCCTTTTGGCCGCGTCGAGCCTTGCGCGTCCAATGTCCATCCACAGGCGACGATATGTATATCTGATCCCTTGGACGATGGTCAGCCACAGCGGTTCACACGTGGTGCAGGAAGACCCTGTACAACAACATTGGTAATATCGGCCTGTGCGCGTCTAGGATCCGTTTGACTGACCCGGCAAGTTCCAGACTCTCAATGGCGAGCGGCTCCGTTTCGAAGACCCTTGCGTTGTTATTCATGGTCGGAGATTTAACATCACATGGTATCAAAAATTTTCCCTGTCGTCCCCCATTGATTGTGAACGTCCCAACAAGAAGAACCTCTCGGGACAACGACAGGGGGAGACGTTGATGCCCAAAATCGAGTTGGGGTCTAGCAAAAAATTCAACATCCCTCGAGGCTACGCGCGGTCCTGGATATTGAACTTGAGACATTGAAGCAACATTTTGCCATGCCTTGGCTCGGGATGCCGAACTGGGCCTAGCCGGCGACGAGATACCGACTGTCAGGGACAAGGTCCGTGCATCATGTTCCCCGGCCTGCTGCAACGGGTTTCCCTCCGGCATCAGCGTTGCCACTGAAGTTGAAGAAATGATCAGATGCCTGTTGGTGCAGCGCCCTTTCACAGATGGGCTCATGCATGGGTGCGTGCCACTTATCACTTTGCACCTACCAGGTAGGTAACTTTGGAGAGCAAGGGTCGTGACGATGGAGCCTCTTGGAAGATCAACATGAATTCTATCATGGACCCCAGATTCTCGCACCAAAAACGTTCAAAGATTTGTTTGCTTTACTCGCTGTCCTGAGTGGTTTCCGGTTGCAGTTTGACCTGATCGCAACGCCGGCGACGATGAGAAGTTGACAGCTGCATTCCGCAGCGGCTATCGCGGGGTTGGGCTGAAAAGCGACGTCTGGCTCGCTTGCCTGTTGGACGCCCAAGTGGAAGTTGTGGCAAGTGCCGTTGGACGAACGGCGGCAAGATACCTCCTCTTTCGCTCGAGGCACTTGCGCAAACTCACTTTAAGATGACTCCGGCCAACTTGAATGTCCTGGGAACGCCACCAACACGATCCTCCGTTTCAGCATTTGGGCTGCCGTTCTTGGGCTTGTTTTTGGAAGCGCTGGAGAGGACGACAAAGGTACCAGTTCCTATAATCACGGGTATCGCTGGGCCGGGACGCGGCGGTTGGCACGGTGCGGCGGAGCATGGTCGTGCCTGGGACCGGGTTGAAGTGCAGGAGGTGAACCCTTCTGCCGCAAGCACCCTTGAGCGGTATTGCTCCATCCTGGCACTCCGGGACAACATTCCATGTCAAAGGATTGTCGACAGCGTGTATTACGGAAAACACAGGCAGAGTTCTCAGCTTCACGCTCAGAGATTTGTCAGCGCCGCCGCATTCCACAGACATCATGGGTACGTTTTAGGAATGATAGGTATCTCGGTATCCCGCCCTGCTCCAGTTGAACAGTGGCAATTTGTTGTTATCGGCGTCTCTGGGCGGTTCAGCGGCGCTCTACTCGTTCGCACATCAGCACAAACAGGAAACGGGCCGGTTCAAAAGGATGTCTGCTGGGGATCTGAGCAACGCTCTTGAGGCGTTTGCAACGATTGATCCCTTCACCAACCAGGGCGGAGTGGGAACACTCTTGTATGCCAGGACTCCCAAGCCACTCTTCCCAACCTCTGACGCGAATCAAATTCTGGACATGGACAGGGATCCAATACCGAAGCCGAGGCCGCTTCGGAGGGGAGGTGCAGATCCCGTGAAGCTGGCCAGGGTCTTACTTCAAAAGGGAGCCTCTCCAAACACTAGACTCAAACACGTGACACTCCCGTCCTGGGACGGCTCGTATTGGACGCCGTGGACGGCGACACTTCTCGGCGTGGCAGGGCTCATACGCAAGGGCGAACTGCTCGATGACATTGTGCTCGATGGCATTCTGCTCGACGTGATGGAGCTCTACCTTTTGCACGGCGCGGATCCGACCGTCTGCTTCGTGGGCAGGTATCTGCCCGAACACAAGCTCGAGCTGGTGCCAACTTACCGTGTTGGCCCCGGTGTGTATGTCTTGACAGGAGCGCCGGACCACGTGAAGAATCTCTTTGGTGAGCATCCGGACAGGTGGCACTATATCACTCTACCGCAGCTGCTCGAGCTCGTGGCAGAGCACAACAAAAAGCAAACCGTTGCGGATCTGCTCTATGCCAAGTCATCAGGGGTGGCCTCGCAGTGGGTGAGCGCGGCCGCCGCGAGCTGGGGAGGGAGGGGACGACGGCCTGGCAACAGGTCGTTGACGAACATCAAACTCGAGCTGGCCCAACTTGGGACCTGTTACTTCGTTGTGTCGATGATCGTCAACGAGCAAGAGCTCACGAGTGTGAGGGCTCCAGACTCGGCACAGGCCCGACTTCTGCCGGCGCGGATGATTCCCATATAACTCGAGTCCAGATTGTCTTATGAGCGGTGTTTCTTTAGTTGAATGCTAATGCATAGCTTCTATGGATTACAGGGAAGTAAGTCGGTACCGTTGTACAATGATGCTTGAAGACAGAACAGGGACCCCGAATGTGAAGCACACCGACTGTGTGTGTGATTACCCGGACAACTCCCTGCTATATGCCACTGATTTTTTCTTCATCGCCCTCGAGCCATCCCGCGAGAGGCGACATACCATCCTGCACTGGTGTCACCAATTCGACAAGTCGATGATGTCCACAGACCCTGACCTGTACAACCGATCGGTCATCTCGATCAAAGGATGAGATTCATAGGGGCGTCCCTCCAGCAATGCACCAGATTTGATCTACCACGAACCTCATTTCCGCGTGGAGCGTCGACTTTGGGCAAGTGGGGCAAGAAATCCAACGCCTAACCAACCCATTTGATACTGTAACCTTCACGGAGGTGCTGGGAGAAGTTCTCAGGAAAATCGTCTTCTCTCCAATACGGAACCTCATCGGCAGAGAGAAGATTTCTCAAATACACCCCCACCCCAAAATCCTGATCCATCATAATGTCAAGCGGTGTATCGTCCGCAATATCCCTCGCCTTTGCCCATTGATCTCAAAGCAGAGTAATCTCCCTATAGCTGAAGCGGGCACTTATGTTTCGAGAGTCATCTCTAGAACAGAGGACGTTGAAGAGATCCCCCCACTGATATCGACCCGTCCCTTCGCCCCCAAGACAAACGCATACCGCGACCAGTCGGCGAGATGTAATGTAAGACCGGAGGTTGGAGTGACATCGACGTCCACCGCTGTCTGCAGTTTGCAGAAGAGCAAGTCTCTGCCCGCTCTGCAAGCAATGTGACACGTCCAGCGGCTCTGTCTCCGAGAGGGCCACCAAACCGAAGTTTGTAGGCCAGTCCGATGGCGAGTTCAACTCCCAAACCAGCCACCGAGCAGTTAAGCCTGAGGAGTTGCGATGACACCTGCCCAGTTCGCTGTTGCCCGACCCTCTCGCAGAGGTTCTGTAATTGAACTCGCTGGTTCTGTCGCCTGTCGGCCCCCAGCGAAGGCCTGGTACCTTGAGACGTGGCATGGTCGCCATGAGGAAGCTGGTGTGGATGCCGGGCCCCAGAGCGACTTTACTGAGAAGTTGGGCCATGTCATCGAAGGTTTCATGCCCACATGCTTTGGGGCACGGCAGGCTCCATACAAGAGCAATATCCCTCGGCCCCCTCGACGCCACTCGCTTCGATAGGAGGGTGGCGCCGAGTTCGAAGGAGAAGCTATAATCGGCCGGAACACGCTCAAAGAGGCTGAGAAGTTCCGATTCCTCTTGACCCCACTGTTTAACCTTCAGCTGCCTCATTCGACGGATCAGGTCTCTCACCGAAATGACGCGGTCTTTGGCGCAGAGAAGGTGCAGCTGATTTGAGCCACGGATGCCCTCCAATAAAGTCCACGCTCTCTTGTTCCGATCGCTGCTCTGCCACGCCTCGTGCACCAACACCATGTCCTCCTCACTGTTGGATGCGACACATTGCATAATGCCTTTATCAATGGCTAGGACTACCCCAGCGTTCTGAAAGACGACGTTGATGTTGGCTATGGCCCTTTTCCGCAGGCCGTGCTCCTCCGGGATACATGCGGCGTCGATCCAAAAGGAATCGCAGCGAGCAACGCCCCCACTGCTTTTTCGCGATCGAGCGGTACCACTGATATAGACAAGAGTTGATTCCGAAATGCGGGTGACCGCCTTGCCCGTGGGCCCACACGTGAGATATGGCCATAGTCCTGTGACTTGCCGGAATATATTCCAGTTGTTCGGGAATACCGTTATGGTCGGTAATCTTGACGGATTGAAGACCTCCGCAGTCGAGATAAGATCCCTTATTCCACTTGATGCGGTGGCAGACTTCGGGGTCGCAGAATGGTGAGTGCATGCTCTGGTTTTCGGGTGGTTCAAACGCAGTCTGCGCGGAGTCCTCAGCTTCCTCCTCGTTCCTCAGCCATACGACCTCCTGGCGGGTATCGAGACTACTGCACGGCGTCTCATGAGCGGCCGCAGTGTTGGCGGGCTTCAGAACACCAAAGGAGGCACCAACGTCAATCACAGCCTCGAGTTCGAGTTCAATGTTGGAAGCTGTGATCATGTAAGACCACCGCCGCCCCGCCAAGTCGATCTCGGAGCGAGTCTCGAGGCTGCTGTTCGGCACGTCATGGAGGCCAACAACGTTGCCAGGGTGCTCAATACTGGGGCAGACAGTCACCGCAACTGTACCCTTGTCGGTTGGTTCAGTCGCGAGAACAGCGATCCTGCAAACCAGAAAAGGCCGGGCCGGGTCTTCCGAAGCATCTCGCGCAGTCTCGGAATGAGAACTATCTCCCTGGTCGTTCCCTGCTGTCGAGACGGATATTTCGAGCCTGGTGGCTGTTGCTGCCCCCGCAATTGCGAGATGCGCTGAATGTTCCGCTTCTGAGCCGGTCACTTGGAGGGTGATATCGCTGGGCGCCTGGTTCCCGGCGTCAGGCCTCGATGTTGCAGTGGTTTTTACTTCCGTAGTTTCTCCATTATGGTCGGACGAATGGTCCTCGGTCGATCCTTGGTGGCTGATTACATGGACAATGGGCTCGGGTGGTAGTGAAACCCCTGTTTCCAACGCCCGTCGTAGGACCAAGTAGTCCGCGATTCCCGACAAGAAGCCGTCCACCCAGGGCAAGCCCGTCCAACCACTGCTTTCCCGTAGGGACATAGTAACCATATATCAGGATTTATCTCCGGCCTTGGATGAAACCCTCAACTGGGGTGGGGCCCGGTCGACAGTAGGGCCTGTAGAGGTCACGAGGTGTGAATCGTTGCTTGAAGCGCTGAAATCATGTGCCTACTACGCGATTAGGCCGGTGTGAGTAGCTGGACGTGGAGAATTTAGTTAGGGTCCCTCGGGTATACTAACAGTTCGTTGATTGGTGATGAGTATATCAGAGTTCATTTGTACGCTTCGTCCGGCCAAGTTTTTCAAACACATACACCTCACACGACCAACTCAAGTCACGCCAGTCAGGAAGAGCCGAAAGAGACAGATTCACCATGGATATACCTACCTCAACCTACAGTGGCAGTGCTGAGCGCTTTCTGCAGAGTCATGCATCCATGCACCTTTGGCCGTGGCCAATACATATCAAAGTTTCTCGCCGAGCCTGCAGCGGAGGTTACAGCCACCATCCACCTCGTATGCCCAACTAATCAGGGGCAATCCTGCCTCTTTTTTGCGTCTCCTTCTGGCCGACTACGTTGGGGGTTGACTACTTACCTAGCCAAGCACGTTGTTTCACGGGCGAGGCCTGAGGCTATCCTCAAGCCTGCAGAGAAAGCCCCAACTTGGGTCATTGGTCCGCAAAGCGTAGTGGATGGCACAGCCATCAACTTTCCTGTACAATAGGTGTTTCATGTGAGCTATGGCTGCGTGAACGCTTAACTTCCTGGCTGCCAGCAAAGTCGCATACGGGAAGCACCGCCTCGTAGAGTCACAGTAAGCTGCCCGGAAGAAACAATAATAAGAAGGGCCCACGGCAACTTTGCCTTCTTTTCGGTCTACCTTTACTCTTGACATTGCTTCGCAATTTTATGAAATTGAGCCATGTCAATTACCGGGTCTGAGGACGTCCCTGCCAGTTACGGCACCGCGGCTGGTTTCCCACGCTTCCTCCCAGTATCTTCATCCGGCTCGGCTGTATTTTTCGAATGGGTAGCCACTTGTCGTTTACCTCGCCGGCGGCCGCTTCTCCTACCAGCTTGTGGGCCGGACAGCGCTGGCAAGGCGTATAGGGACTGGTTTCTTCCCACCAGTCGGCGCGCTCGCCGGAATTGCCGACTTCCTCGACCGAGCGTGCTCCATCTCTGAAGTTCGCCGGACCGTTTGGGACGCCAACTGGAGCAGCGTGTTCCCTTGCGCCAACGGGTCGGCCAGCGATATCCTCACCCAACAGGCAGTGCATGGGATCCCCATAGCCGACGTGCCTGGCACCAAGACCTCTCCGATTGATGCCACGATCGGTGGTTCGAACAATTTAGAGAAACAGCTTGCCACTCCAACGGAGGGGTATGCAGTCTCGAAGTCTCAGGGCAGACGATACCAAACGCTCTATATTCTCAATTGCAACTTGGCCCCACACGCTCCGACTACCTCCGCCAATCCGTTTGCGTCTTTCGTTTTGTTGACAACGTTGGAGCGTTTTCTCCTTCACATTGTGTTGGGTCTCAGCTCACTGGCCATTCTCTACGGTCTCTATGGCACCGCTGCATGCCTGTTTGTCACAATCGTCTTCCGCTTGTTGCGGCGTCTAGCACGCGTCACCCGTCCTCCCGGATACCTTTCGAATAACGAAGACATGTCAGTATGCATGCTCGTGGCGATTCATGAAAACGCATCAACCTGGTATCTCTACTGCGGTTCACGTGCTGTTGTTGACACGCTTCTCAACAAATCCATGATACATTCAATTACCTCTCCGCTTGGCACGGTACTCCCTTGGTTCCTCCGCGCGCTTGCAGCTTTTCAACTCGCCGCCCTGACCTTCGTTGCTGCGCAGAAGGGGTGGGATGGTGTCGGGCTGCTTGCACCCGTCACGGTCGATTGGGCCACTGACCGCCTGTGTTACACCGAGGGCCGGCTCGCGCGTTCATGGATGCGACGCGAAGGTGTAGCCGTGACGGCACGTGGCTTCAGATTCAGCGGACGTACCGCAATGCTTGGAGCAATTCAGCTCCTTAAGGAGAAGAAGGCCACGTCGTGGATGGACGGCATTTTGGCGCCTTCACCTCGCCGCGAGGTATGGTTGGCTCGGCTGAACGGACAGACGGATGAAAATCTGATGAGCCTGGAGAAACAATTGAGCTCTCGTGATCAGGCATGGCTAGAACTAAACTCGGGGCTGGCGTACTCGGCTGCGGATGTGATGAGACCGGCATTTGGGTCACCAATAACTGCAGAGTGTTGAGCCCCAACTTTGCCTTAGAACTACAATTCCTGCCCCCCCCCCCCAAAAACGCCCACCGGTTCAAAAACACGTCAAATCGCACCAAAAACAAGAAAAAGTCAATGTTTTCACTTACAAAGGACGCGGCCACAACACACTTCAAAAGTCTTGAAAGTCAGTAGCTAGGTAGATAATTACCTAGAGCTTTTTATTCCGTGGTCGCATTCGAACCTATTCGCAAAGGTAACGTGTAATCCTAAGGCCCGTAAAAAGTGAGAATTTCAGAGTTCGGATTTTTCGGCTTTATAGGGGCTTATAGTCGGCTTATAGTGGGTTGAACTTTCGATCTTTGAGCTCGTTACATACTACTTTGTACTGCTCTAGCTCTAGCGCATTGAAATATAAATCCGAGCACTTTGTAATAACTCGGATTCTCTAGTCTCAGATGCTCAGACCACCTGTGGCGCAGGTGATGTGGTGATGTACCGCAAGGACCCACTACCATGCTCAAGCAATTCCAACCAATCAGAATCCATACACAGCACCAACGCCAGCTGTGTGCGTTCGGGTGTGGGTCCGGTAGTACATCTTCACCAGCCACACTAGCCACCCGTGCCCACCACAACCACAAACGCTCACGAGAGTAAAGTCTGTGCCTCAGAGACTAGGTAGTTCCAACCTAAGGTGCTCCCGTAGCAGATCCGCATTCGCAACTTGAAGAAGAAAAAACAATCAAAGTTATCATTTGATGATCCCGTGGTATCTACCTGTAACGCCAAAGCTCGAGATCCCCAAATCCTCTGACCAGCGTTGGCCCGATGCACTGCCCTCGAGCGTCCCATCATGTGTCATGTAAACGTAGAAATGCCAGCTCTCTTCTCCGAACTTACACATGCTTTAAAAGCCTCCTGTACTTTTCCAGTGCAATGTTCCGATCATTGACCTTCCACCTCAGCCGCTGATCCTCGTCGATCGTAATCACATCCGCATCCATCCCGGCAACCGTCCCCGACGTCGAGGTAGCTGGCACGGCCTGCCGGATCAAGTCTTTTAGCAGGCTCTTGTGCGGCATCGCGGCCCACTCGGCTTCATACACCAGCCATTCACCGAGGCTCTTGAGCTGCGGCTTCACGTCCGGGTTGATCCCGCCGCCGGGACCGCAGCTCAACCTCGCCAGACAGGCGACCAGCATTACCCAGGTTATGGCCTCCGAGGCGCTGGTCGACCCGGGCGGCTGCCGGAACTCGATCGTCCCGAAGCCGCCGCCCTCGTTGAGGTTGACGAAGCTCCACCGGTAGGCGTCGTGCTGGAAATCCGCGCCCGGATGCACCCCGAGCGCCACCCCCGTTGGCGACACGGAGCTGCACCAGTTCATGCGCGCCGCCAGCCCCTCGAACGTGCCCTGTGCATCGATGCGGTCGAAGCATTCGGCCATCGATAGCTCTAGGAAGTAGCGGTTGTTGCGGTTGCTCTTGGCCCACACGCTCTTCTGCCGGTAGGGCGGGACGAGCGTGTCCAGGCAGCGCTCGAAGTAGAGCGCCGCCTTGGCCAGCGCCTTGGCCTGGTCCAGCTGCCAGAAGCCCGGCGAAGGGATGATGTGGACGTGGGTGAAGCACTGGTGCGTGGTGGTGAGCTCAAAGTAGTTGTTGAGCGTGTGGAAGAGGGCGCGGAAGTCGGCCTGCCACGCCTCGGGCCGCTTGGCGAAGCGCAGGAAGGGCGAGACGAGCTTCATGCCGAAGCGGTGGTCGCGGGGGCGCGCTGGGATGCACAGCTCGGACGCGATGGTCCATTCGCGTGAGGAGACTGCCGAGGACGGGGTGTTGGCGACGTGGTTAGGGATCCCGGCGCGCGTGAGCTGGGTGCTGATCTCCTCCTGGAGGCCGGTGACGGTCTTGTGATCGCGCCGCCGGCTGCGGATGAGGAGGCCTAGCTCAACGCAGAAGCGGAAGTCGGGAGGCTCTACGCGAGTGACCCCTTGATGCCGGCGTTGGGTGCGAGCGTCGTGGGCCTCGGGCCGGCGGCGATGATGCCCCGACTCAGAGCCCAGGTAGGTAACGTGTGGCATGGTGGGCGACGACCGTCGGGTTTTCTGAAGAGGAACAGACACGGGGAACGGTGACAATGCTGCCTTATGCCCGGGGTGACCAGCTCTTTATAGAACTCTGGAGGGCGTGATCGTGACACCAAAGTGAGAAGTGTGTACGATGACTGACGTCAAGTGGTCGGTGGCTAACGTGTTCATCAGGTCGGGGACCCGGGCCCTCATATACACGGAAGTGGTCCATGACTGTTCGGTGAATGCGCATTCCACAGACCTGTTCTGCCTGGACGGCCTAGATGGTCCAGGACTTGGACGTCGGAGTCACGGTGAGGACGCAAGCTGCAGAAACAGTGGGGCTCCCGTATGGCTCAGCCGGAGGCCCCTCCATTTCATGCAGCAGAACCACAAGTGAGGACAATTTGTTGAAGCCGAATGACAGCAGCCTGAGGGTGGGGGAGGGGCTTTCAAGGCAGCAGCCAGCGAATTGGGTTGCACAATTTCACAAGGTAGTTTCCCCACGTTTTGCACAGCGGCCGAGGACATCCACCCTGGCAGCCTGGTGGGCTGCACCGCCTTCCATTGATGAGATGCATGATCAACGACAAGAGAGTCCTGCCAGATGGCAGAACTCGTCCCCAGCTGCAGACAACTGAATTGCGAGGCCGCCAAGCGACTAATGGCTGCAAGGTCCAATAATGCACGGTCCTTGTGCTGAGCAAACTGCAAAGCACCAGTCTCGTGGGACAACCAACTCATCATTGAATCATCGCCCCAACAATGGTATGTTCTCAACCCGACAGCACGGAGCCGAATTCGAATGAAGACGACGCTAGCCCCTGGGAACCACTCTCGACACTAATAAGTCGATAAACGCGCGACTACACAGTACACAGTAGATGCCGGAGATGAGCTGCTGGTCGCCAGAGCTGGAATGAATCTTTTGGCGTTTAGCCGCTGAGGGCCAGGGTCGATTGAGAGTCTGAGAGAGCCAACATAATACTTCGAACTGTTTCATGGCATCAAGTCAACCCAGGACTCTGAGAAGCTGACTAGCAGGATATCGTGGCGCGCTGCTCATTGTCACTGACCCAAGTCTGGGTTTTCAATCCTGGAAGTCACTCTCCATTGGGCCTCAGATGATCTAGAACATAGGGCCAGGAGTGGAAGCCAGGGCGTATTATTAACCTGGTTGTTTCACGAAGCGCGCAGTGATGGCGGCAAGGGGTTTCATCATCGCACGCTCGGTTACTGATGATCATGCGTCTACCCTGAGAGGCTCCTTACTTCGGATCGTTACAGTCCAGTCCGCCTGTGTTGTCAGTACTCTCAGGTTCCATATTGAGACTTCAATGCTGGCACATCATTTGGCTGACGCACGCTGTTCTGACATACACCGACTTTGTCCAGCAGAGAAGTGTACTCGGTTTCCCATCGATTACTACCTTGGATTTCAGATCGATAGTTGTCTTCTGCTTCAGGTTATTCCATGCCGATTCCGTTGCTGACGGCCAGAAAGTATTTGTCATAGGCTCTTCGACATCTTGGTAGACGTACATTACTCCAGTCTTGAAGCCCAATTCGTCATTGCAGTCAGTGCGGACTGTTACAGATGTTCCTTTGACTTCCGCATTGAGATGGCCTTTTTTTTGCCTATGGTACTCGATGAACGATGGGAAGTTCTACGTGAGGCCCAACCTATGTTCCTGCTTGTAATATCTTGGAAGGTAGCACCCGGTTCAGCAAATAGGCTCTGGGTCGACGCTATCTGCGTCGACCAAAGCAGCAGCGCTGAGAGGAATTCTCAGGTCCGACATATGAACGAGACCTACAGCAGAGTAGACCACGTGTCCGTTTGGCTCTGTCTGCCCAAGATTCCCGGTGATATCATCATTCCGAATAATCAACTACTATCCATCAAGACCATCGAAGTCGATCCGTGTGACTGATATGGCCGCCTCAAAGACCTCGCCAATCGTTCATACTGGTCCGGGGCCTGGGTGATTCAGGAATTCTTACTTGGTCAGCGCCGTTCTACTATACTGCGGCAATGCTCGGATAGTATGGGAGTACTTTCGGACTATTCTATGCGATGGGGTACAATTCCCTTAGTACCACTATGACAAGAGCTTCGGAAATCTTGGCCATGCCGCGAACGATGCCGCTGCTTCCTTTCACGAGCTGCCGCTTGTCATGGACAGACATGTTGACAAACAGCCCAGACACCTCCAATCGCTCCACGGCCTGCTCTCGAGTCATCGCCGGGGAATGCAAGGACCCTCGGGACAAGGTAATTGGTTTACTGAGGTTGATAAGCCTCAAGAGAGGGATGTCGGAGAGGTTCATTCCGGACTACCAGGTACACAATGTCAGAGGATCATGTGCGGATTACCGCATAGGCCCCACGTTACGCGGTATAATTTAACGCTCTGACGAGCGCTTTAAAGGTCAACACCAGCTCGAAGGAGCTCTGCTTAGGACTGGGTGTTAGGTCGGCGACGAAAAGTAGTATCAGATCATGAACGCCGGTGATGTTTCAATAACAAAGTCGACGATCGCAAAGCAAACACCCCCAGGTGAAGGGAGAACTTGGGTCAATTGTCGGATATATGCTCGTGGTGTCAGCTGTGGTTGCGGTTGGTTGGCGATATGGAGTTCTCAAGCCTCCGCGTACTTGATGTGTGAACTGTTCATAAGTATGGGACAAACGGATACTAGTATGCAATTGGAGGAGCTTGGTAAACCGCCTGTGAGAGGAAGTTTGGATCGGGCGAGAATTGCGTTCCCTAGCGCCGGAGTCCGAGAGGCGGGTTGGTATGCCACGGATATGAACAAAGTCGGCTGGTTGGAGTTGTCCAGGATACCTAGCTTAGTTTTGAAACCTGCAGTCCCACCGTCAAACCACGGAGTGTTGCGAAAATGGGGATGACACGACCCGGGCCATAGTAAGTCAAAGGTGTTACTGTGCTGGTCCCGTAGATTCGGAAACTGAGGATGATTTAACAGGGGTCTGATGGTAACGACGAAGAAGCTAGGTATGTACGGATTACATTGCCCGCAGGAAGAAGAGTTCCAGTGCCAAAATCCCCAAGGTGGCTCCAGTTTTACGCTCCTGCACCCCAACTTGACAAGAGCTTCCATGCCGAGAATGCAGGTGCGGTTTCACAGTACTCAGAGAAGAAGCCCAATACGGCAGCTATAAGTTCATTGTGTCACTACAGTGACCTTAAAGTGATTGGAAGGTAACGTCCGAGTCTTAGATGGGCGAGACCTGGGGGGGTTTCTCGAGTGCTCGAGCTGGACGGCTCCGATTCTTCAAGCTATGACTCGCGGAAATTGGCCACACATTGAGCAGTTCCTACATTAGCTCATCTGGGCGTCTTTTCCGAACCGATATTGTTAGGTGCGTTACACTTACCTACAAAGTCATGAGGGGTTAATAAAAGTGTTTGCACAATCATCCGCATCTACGGCCGACAGCTAACTGAAACAGTCAGTCGTTGGCGAAGCAAGAGCGCCGCCCCGCTTCTGCCCTGCCCATCGGGCGATCCAGATTCCAGACCACAGGAACCCGGGGTCCCGGAATCTAATCTGGGTACACATGTCCGCCCCAGTCATCATCAGTGACCGATAGACTTTGACAAAGGATATCGCTCTGGGATATGGTCGCGACCTGCCAAAGAAAGCACGCTCTATTATAATTCATCGCACATCAGAACCTGGTATTACTTGTGCAACCAAGCAGTGCTACGGTACCAGGTGCTGCTGCTGGGCACTGGGCAGTGCAACCAAGCAGTGGCAAACACCGCCTGATATCCTTGCCCATACTCAAAGTCTTGGGGCCGATCAGAAACGCAAGCCCCGATGGAGTTCGGATTGCCAATCGCGCCCCAGACCACCGACGAAGCCGTAATCGTCCGAAAGCGGAGGCGGCCTGCCTTGGCCTGCGAGCAGTGTCGGCGACGGAAGGTCAAGTGCGACCGGGCGAACCCTTGCGGACCATGCCAGCGCTCGAGCTTGGAGGTCTGCACCTACCGGCCGGAGCGGGCGAGGACGGTCGAGAAGATCAACAACGGAGGGCCACCGCCGCACGGGAGCCGGGATTTGGATCGGGAGACGTCAATTTCGGACTGGCAGCGACAGCTCACCGCCGACGTGCCACGGCCGACGGCTTCCATGCTTCTTCCCGCCAGTTCCGGCATTCCGCAGCTTCCCGACGGTCTGAGGCCCCGCTCCTCGGCCATCTCCGATGCCAGCTCGGCCGACTTGCGGATGCCTCCACAGGGGCGAGTCAGGCTTGGCGGGACAGGTGCCAGTACGACGGACTCGGACCGGCGCTCAACGCCCGTATGCGGCTCTTTCCTAAAGTCTCGCTTTTATGGCCCAAGCCATTGGCTCAACTCCTCAGAAGCGGTGAGTGACGGTTGTATTTATTTTTTCTTCCCTCACTCCACGGGATGACTCGTTCGACTGACACTTGTGTCTGCTGCCGGCCCCTCCCAGTTTCAATACGTCTTAGACGTCCACAGGGAGGCCGAGACAGACGATCGTTCTGAGCTGCACTCTCTGCTGAAGGAGTGTAAACGTCTCTGCCGCATCTGCAAGGCCCAGCCTCATCTGCGAGATCCGGGATTCGGTTCGGCGTCCCTGGCAAGCAATGTGCCGCAGCAGCCGCTTTGTGACGAGCTCGTGCGCCTGTATCTGAGAACTTTTGAGACGGTGTACAGAATCCTGCATGTTCCCACATTCCGCCTTCAGTACGCGACATTCCAGTCAGACCCCAGCGCAACAAGCCCGATCTTTGTTGCTCAGCTTCTCCTCGTTTGCGCCCTCGGTAGCTGTCTCTACGGCGGGTCGGATATCCCTCGGTACAGTCTCCGCGCATCCGCCCTGCAGTGGATTGCGGCCACCCAGGCCTGGATAGGATCTCCAAGCGAGAAGTCGCGGCTGAACCTCAGTGGCCTGCAGACACAGTGCCTCCTTCTGGTCACCAAGCTGGCCTTTCCCGGCGGCCCCGAGTTAACGTGGATATCGGCCGGTTCGCTAGTGCGGACCGCTGTCATGCTCGGCCTCCACCATGACCCGTCCAAACTCCCGGGCATCAGCAGCTTTGAAGGCGAGATGCGAAGGCGGCTCTGGGCCACTATTCTAGACCTGCAAGTTCAATCAAGCATTGAATCCGGCGGGCCACCGATGATATCTGAGACGGACTACGACTGCGGGCCGCCATCCAACATTGACGACGCACAACTAGACCCAGGCGTGAGCGGTGTTGCAGCGATGGCGAAGCCCCTGACGAACTTCACCGGCACGTCGATCCAATGCGCCCTCGTACGGACGTTGCCGGCTCGGCTCGAGGTGGCCAAGTATCTCAATGACTTTGGCTCCGAGCAGACATACGACGAGACGTTACGGCTTGGCAACAAGCTCAGGGTGGTCCTGGAAGAGAACATGCGGCTCTTCCGGTCGTATAGCGGCCAGCAGCAGCAACCAACGGCTTTCCAGGTCAAGCTCTTCGAATTGCTAACCTATCGCTTTCTACTCGTGCTCCATTTCCCTTTCGCCATCAAAGCCAGGAAGAACCCCAGGTACTATTTCTCCCACAAGGTCTGCCTGGATCTGTCCCTCTCGCTGCTTCGTTGCCACCCTGCCGCCCCAAACTCGCTCGCGACGAGCTTTCAGGCCGTCGAGGAGGACTATGCTCGGCTGCAGGTCCTCGGCAGCGGCATATTCCGCAACTCACCTCTCCGAGCCGTCATCTTTGTGTGCATCGAGTTGCTCGTTCAGCTGGAGGACGAGCTGGGCCAGATTGGTTCGACCTTCAACTCTCTCGGGCGGCAGGAGCTGTACAAGATCGTGGCCGAGTATGTGCAGCTGCTTGCAAAGCGGATCGAGGCTGGTGAGACCACGGTGCGCGGCCACGTCTTCTTCAGCGGCTTGCTTGCCCATATCGACGCGCTGCAGGCTTCTAGCCCTTCCAAGGATGACATACGTGCGGCGATGAAAAGGAGTCTCGAGCACGGCCAGAACATACTGAAGGTTATGGCACAAGCCCATTCTGCCTCTTCAGGCGGTGCCATCGGTCCTGGCGCAGTTCTGGAGGACGCTGGCCAGACATTGCCCGGGAGTGCAACGACCGCAAGCAGCGCCGACTCTGGTCTCTTCGACAACAGTCTTTGGTTCGACCTTGTAGGTGACGTCCATTCTCCCGTTCGTAACCCACTTTTGGGCTTACCTTGGCTTGTTGCCCTACCTGCGTCTTGAGATCTGATCATGATTCTTTTCGCAGGGAGCCGGACCGTATGTTGACATGGAGGAGAATTTTCTTCCGTTTTGAGCGTCCTCCCACTCTACGAGAGAAGATGTAGAGCTGAGATTCCCGATATTTTATGAGCACAATTCGAGGGTTGTGTTGGGTAAGGCATGGAGGTTCCTGAACGGGTGATTGTATAAATACTAGTAGCCATCACCATCACCTTCTGTCTCGGAACGGACAGTTGGAAGTTGATGGAATTAAGTGCGTCTCGCCTCTAGAGCTGGTGTTATGCAGTGGCCAATTGCACCCACTATCAGTGACACCTAATTTATCTGTGCAGATTAGGAGGTGGTAACATCACCGCAGGTTCTCCGTTCGAGCCTATACGAGGACCGCCAAGACGGGAAACTGCGAGCATGTCTTTGCAGTGTTCCACTTAGGTTGGAAGTTGGAAATTTGGAATCTCGAGGATGGCAGGTTCGCAGGTTCCGCCTGGTGGTTGATTGCACACAAAGACTGTACGACTACAATTGAGTTCGAGGTGGAAGGGGCATGACACACACACTGCCCGGTCATATGCCGTCTGGGCATGTAGGGACGTGCCGAGCAATCTACACTGTCAAAGCGTGCCCCTAACACGGGGCCCTGGAAATGCCTCCAGTCATGGTACATGTCCTTCGTCCTTCCGCCGTGCCCAAGCACGCCGTGTAGCCGAGGCAACTCACGCGCAGAGCGCACTTCCGGGGGCGTGCCAACCCCCTGCACGCTGCTTTAATAACTGCCGAAAAGGGAAGGAAGCAATGCCAAGCTCCATGGGTTGCTGCTCTTAGCGCAGGAGCTTAAATCAACCTCTCCCTTTCCCTTTGCAACTCGATCGGGTGCGATCCAAAAAAATGGCCTACCGTACGGTAAGTGCAGTCAATGACACCGTATGATAACGTTAACGTGAGGTTGCCTCGGGTAACTCTGGGTGAACACAACCTCCATCATCCATGCCAACATAGCCTGTAGACGGTCTCGGAGTGTCGCATGTGAAGGCATCAAACGTACGATCATGGACGGACCCTGTACGGCTTTTGGCACTGGCGGATCCGAGCGGTGTTTGTTGGGATGATAAGTTGTGCACTCTGTTAGCCCGGATAGACCGAATAAGCCGAATAGACCGAATAGACCGCCGTCTCCGGCAACAGCCCGGAATTCGCCGAAGTCAATAACACTGGCTGGCACACGTACCAGATAGAGAGCAAGAAATGTCGTCGAAGTCGGTTTCTCTTGTTCTCTTCGGGGATCGCTTAGACCGCTTTCTCTTTGCTTTGGAAGAAACACCATCACCTCTTCGCATCGCTCGCCAGAAAGTCTACTCATTCTTTTGCCTTGCTCCGAACCATTCTCAGTACCGCAGGTACCGCGAGGAGTACACCATGGCGACGACCAACCCATCGACCGATTCGGCCGACCGCAATGAGGGGGGAGCCCAAGACATCAACACCGGCGCAGGTGTCGCGCTCGAGAAAGGACCGGCAGTCGCGGGGAACGACGGCGTGCAGGAATTTCCCGAGGGCGGTGTTCGGGCCTGGATGGTCGCAACGGGGACGGCCTTGATCATGTTCAGCACGCTCGGATATGTCAACTCTTGGGGGTAAGTACTACTAGTGTTCAATTTTGTTGTGTTGCGTTACATCGCTCCAGAGTCCAAGGGAAGGCCGACGCTAACGAGATGCTGGGCTGGATTCGCAACTTCACAGGGTGTTCCAAGCCTACTACGAGACACACCAGCTGAGCGACCACAGCCCGGACCAGATCGCATGGATTGGTTCGCTTCAGGGCTTCTTCATCTTCGCTGGCGGGCTCGTTGGCGGGCCCATGTTTGACCGATGGGGTGCCAAGGTGCGTTGTGTGCTCTCCTTACCATACCCCCAGTCTCCCACCTAGACTTGTCGATACTGTAGGGTACAGTAAAGTACGAGCTAACATTCCCTACCTTAACCCACTTTAGGTCATTCGGCCCGGTGCCTTGCTGTACGTCCTTTCACAGATGCTGACCAGCCTCTGCAAGAAATACTGGCAGTTCATGCTCGCTCAGGGCGTCATGGGCGGCATCTCGCTCGGCTTGACCATGTGCCCGTCCATGGCAGCAACACCGCAGTACTTCAACCAGAAGCGAGCGGCTGCCATGGGCATGGCCATCGCTGGGTCGTCCATCGGCGGCGTGATATGGCCGATCGCGCTGTCCAAGATGCTCAACAGCAGCAGCCTTGGCTTCGGCTGGTCCGTCCGCATCGTCGGCTTCATCCTGCTCGGCGTGCTGACCTACGCCACGCTGGCCATCAAGGCCCGCCTCCCGCCGCGCAAGTCCGGCTTTCTCTTGCCCGGCGCCTTCAAGGAGCCCGTCTACACCGTCAGCATCGTGGCGTGCTTCTTCCTCTTCATGGGCATGTTCACGCCCTTCTTCTTCCTGCCGACCTACGCCGTGACCAAGGGCATGAACCAGACGCTGGCCGGCTACCTGCTCGCCATCCTGAACGGCGCGTCCTTCCCGGGCCGGGTCGTCCCGGGGATCCTGGCCGACAAGCTCGGGCGCTTCAACATGTTCTTCTTCTCGGCGCTCGCGTCGGGCGTCATCACGCTGTGCTGGACCAAGTGCGAGTCCAACGCCAGCATCATCGTCTTCGCCGTCTTCTTCGGCTTCGCCTCGGGCGCCATCGTCTCCGGCGCCAGCGTCACCCTCGCCTCGTGCCCCAAGGACCCCCGGAACATCGGCACGTACATGGGCATGGGCCTGTTCGTGGCCTCGTTTGCCGCCCTCATCAGCCCGCCCATCAACGGTGCGCTGGTCAAGAAGAACGATGGCGTGCTGCACATGTCCATCCTGAGCGGCGTCCTGGTGCTTTTCGGTTCTTGTGTCGTGCTTGTCGCCAAGGCCGTAAGCCCCGCCGGCATCTGGTCCAGGACCTAAGACGGCGCCTTGCCTTTCGTGTTGAGAATTGATAAGGGTGTCGATGTTGTGAAACAAGTTCGGCTTGGTGGCCATCGCGGCTAATCTCAGAGGGCCACTGAGGAAGGAGCCATGGAAGGTAAGGTAGGTGCCTATTACTGTTCTCGCTATATTTACATGTACTTTACGATACTTATCGTTTGTAATAAATTACCGAAAGATTTTCTCATGCTTATGTTACCTTCCGTAATCTACTCTAATGATTAGAATGGGAGTTGGCCCATCCATTCCACTCGTGCCACCGTAGACTGAGTCATGTTCATGCCTGACAGTGGTACCACAGACCCGACTGGGGATCTCATGGTTGGCTCGGCGTTCTTGATGGCATCTCGGGCTGGGTGAGCCCTCCGATATGATCCCCGGCGCTGTATGCGACCAAAAACAAAGCGAATGGTACCCCGGGATGTCCGTACACGTTCGGTGCTGCATACAGCCTACAACCGGCCTCTGCCCGTGGGCATGTCTACAGACGAATGATTTCCTACCTTTCTTGTCAAACTTAAACGGGAATCGGGCTGAAGACACTGTATCCGCCGTATCGAACCCCAACAACCTCACTCAACAGCCGCACGGGCCGGGTCCATCGGTTCCCCTCATGAGCTTTGCCCGTATCGTTTACGCTACCGCCGGCAGAACAGCAAACCTTTCAGTCTTCGAGGAGACAAAGCGTAGAGATCCATCATGCTTTCAGCTACCCTCGCCTTCGGCTGTGCCGCGCTTCTAGCAACCTGCTACTACGGGCTGATCAGACTGTATGACGCCTGGCAATACGATCGCAAGCGGCGGGAGCATTGCTGTCCCAAGATGCCGCACTACAAGCACCGCGACCCCATCCTCGGGCTCGACTTCGTGTACGCGATGGTGAGCGCTCTCAAGGAGGACAGGTTCCTGCCGTTCTGGAAAGACCTCTTCGCATCGCAGGGCAGGAAGGCCTTCACGGCCACCTTCATGGGCGCCCGCATGGTGTACACGACCGAGAGCGAGAACATGAAGGCCATGTCGACGTCGCAATGGGAAGACTTTGGGGTCCAGCCCATCCGGCTGGCCAACGGTGCCTCTCTGCCCTTCACCATGCACGGCGTCTCCACGACGGACCCGCCGTTGTGGGAGTACAGCCGGAATCTCATCAAGCCATACTTTGAGCGTGCCGGATACGCAAACCTGGCCAGACTGGAGGTGCACGTCGACAACCTGATTAGTCTCTTGCCCTCTGACGGATCATCCTTCGACTTCCAGCCGCTGGTAAAACGATGGGTAAGAATGGCGCATACTAACTTGCCCGCTGACCCCCTACGATATCGGGGCGAAGGTTTATGCTGACTGTGCCTGACAATACAATACATGGCAGTTTCTCGACACCTCAACCGAGTTCCTCTTTGGCCAGTCGATCCACTCCCTGCAGGACCCAGACAAGGCAGAAGTCGCCTGGGCCATGATGGACGTCCAGGAGGGGCTGCGGTTGCGCCTGCAGCTGGGCCGACTGGTGCACTTCCACCACGACGCGAAGTGGCTGGCCAAGGTGGACCTGGTGCACCGCTTCCTCGACGCGCACATCGACAAGACGCTTGCCGAGGTGGCTAAGTGCAAAGAAGCCGGCAGCGCTCTCTCGGACCGCACAGACTTGCTCTGGGTCATGGCGAACAAGCTGCCGGACAAGCTGCCGCTGCGGTCGCAGCTCATCGGCGTCTGGGTCCCCTCCAACGACACGACTTCCGTACTCATCAGTAACGCCGTCTACGCCCTTGCCCGCCACCCGCGCGTCCTCAAGAAGCTGCGCGACGAGATCCTGGAACATGCTCCCCCCGGAAAGCCCATCACATGGGAGCAGCTGCGGTCGCTGCGCTACCTGCGATATGTGATTAACGAGAGTATGTTTTCTCTCTTTTTTCCTTTTTTCTTTTCGCTTCTTTTTTTTTTCTCTTTCCAAATCTCCCCATTCCGCAGCAGTTTCGCAAACCCAACCCGTACTCACCCTTACTCACCATCACCGAATCCTGCCAGCCCACCGCCTCTACCCCAACAGCCTCCAAATGGTGCGCATCGCGCTGCGCGACACCACGCTGCCCACGGGCGGCGGCCCGCGCGGCGACCGGCCCATCTTCATCCGCAAGGGCGACGTCGTGCACGTGAACCGCTACCTGATGCACCGGGACCCGGACACGTGGGGCCCCGACGCCGAGGAGTTCCGGCCGGAGCGCTGGGAGTCGGAGCGGCCCATGTGGCGCTTCGTGCCCTTTGGTGGCGGGCCGCGCATATGTCCCGCCCACGTGCTCGTCGATACCGAGGCGAGCTACGTCCTGCTGCGCCTGCTGCAGCAGTTTCGGGACATCGTGCCGCGCGACGACAGGCCCTACGCGGCCGTCATGCGCATCGGGCCCAGTTGTAAGTGGGGGGTGCAGGTGGCCTTGGTGCCTGCTTGATAACCTTACCTAGTATTAGTTAGTGTCTTGGGAGGATGGGAAGGGTGGCGGGGCCTAGTTTCACATGTGTATCGTCGGAACATTTTGTGGGATCTTTTGGATTTGTCCCCGTGGAGATCACTGGCACTTGAGAACGTCCATGAGCTGTATCCATAAATGCCAGTACCACTGTACCGGCGGTAGGGTTCAACGCCTTACTTCGTACTAGTATACCTAGCTCCCCTACGATAGTACCGTATCGTACAATATATACTACGTTTCTTCCAGCCTCATGGATAGCAGCAGAGATGTAATTTACCAGACCCTTATTAGGGAATGCCTGCCTGTAGGTACCTGACGCATCGTACCTAGGCTGCAACTTTGCCGTTCACCCTCCGCCACCCACAAGTCGAAAATGAAGTCAAAACACGTTGGTAAGAATAATGCTGCGCTATGAATGTCTGTAATGACACAAACCAGCTGTACCTTCACCAGGTTCAATTCTCATATTTATGCACTCCCATCCTTTCATTGTTCGAGACAAGACAAAATAGCATTGAATACTTCTGCTGGTAATGACTAATAGCGTACAGGTACTCTAGGTCCTATGACGGATCATCCCCTGCATCTCGTGAGCTGCACCCTCAAAGGCGGTTTGATCCAAACGTTGTAGACAGGCAAATCAGCCTGCCATGCCATGTCCGACTCGGGCTCCAACTCCAAGTCAAAATTGAGGAGAAGCTTCGAAAGAATGAGACGCATTGTGAGGTTGGCCAGTCTGTTTGATACTATCCGTCAGCTTCTGATGTTGGCTGCAGTGCGGCTACTTAGGTAGTCTTAATGAAAGCAAACGTGATTTGGAAACCTACTCCTGGCCAACACAGCCCTGCGGCCCAACGAGGAAGGGCTTGAAGGAGGCATGGCAATCCTGCGCGAATTCGGTCGCGGCCCCGGGCAGCCACATCTCCGGGAGGAAACTGTCCGGGCGGAACCAGTTGCGCTTCTGGCGGTAGGTGGACAGCTGGGACACCACGACGATGGTCCCCTCGGGGAGGCGATCTCCGCAAACGGATGCGCCTCCGGCGGGCACCACACGCTCGTTGCCGTGGGGGACGGGAGGATACATGCGCAAGGCCTCGTCGATGCACGCTCCCAAGTAAGGGAGACGGAGGATCCCCTCCACTGTCAGGTCTGCGGTTGCGTCCGAGGCAAAATCCGCCCCGCGGATTTCGCTCGTGAGGCGCTGATACACGTCCGGGTGCTTCAGCAAGAGATAGGTCAGGCACGGCATCAGACTCGCCATGGTCTCGCCGCCCCCGATCATCAAGAAGGGGGAGAAGTCGCGCAGCTCCTTCTCTGTGACTTGCTGTTTCGAGTTCCTCGACTCCAGGACAAAATGCACGACATCGCATCGCCCACCGGTGGTGCCTCCCTTAGAGCCTTGCGCGGCGCGCCGCTCAAAGCGATCGAAGCACGGGTTCATGAAAGCGTCTCGCGATTTGGCGCCCGCGAATTTGAGCAGGAGGCGAATCACCAATCGTGCGAGAGGGAAGTGAGACTAGTAGTGAGATGTAAGTTGGCTAGCTCGCCCAACGTGAAGCATGGATCAGACAGGGCATATAGTAGAGAGACAGGATATTCTGGGCATTCATACCAGAGCTGCCAGGGCAGTTGTTGCTTTCGCGAAGCCAACCATGGAGGAAGCCCACTGGTGCAAGGCTGCGTCGCTGAGCAGGTGAAACGACTCCCCAAGGAACAGATCAGAAAAGATGTCGTAAAGCGTGAAGGTATAAAGACGGCCCATATCGACTGGTCGGCCCTCCCTCGCGGCGGTCATGAGCAGGGCAACCAGCTCGTCGACGTGACGCATTACCAGCGGCACCTGCTGCCGCAGGGAGGCCATCGTGAACGCCGGAGCTAGTGCCCGGCGCATGCGGGTGTGCTGCATGTCGGCCTTGTGCTTGGAGGGGTCCGGGTTTGTGGCGTGCCCCCCCACCAGGTCGTTGAGCCGGTCGTCCTTCCTCATGCCGAGCGGCGCGGCACGTGTTACGCCACAGATGTCTCGCCAGGCCCGCTCGTCGGTATAGCTGAGCTGGTCGGGCGCAATGCGCACCACGTGGCCGTATCGGCGGTGCATGGCGTTGATTTCGTGAACGGCGCGGCCTCGGAGAGTGCTAGCCGTCAGGAATAGCCGCGTGGCTGCCCAGTGGCGTGGCCCGGGATACCTGCGCAGGGGATGCAGGAAAAGGTTGTATGCTGCGCCTGAGACCCAGTACTGAAGATAGTCAGTACATGTATAAGGCAATGAGCCTCAATGAGGTGCAGTATTGCTTTTGTGGGAACTTAGCCGGGGCTGGACTTACGACCAACAGCAGCACGCAAGCAACACATGCCAAAGGAATGAGGCCGGCCATGGTGGCGACAGTTGTGCTGTTAGCCACCTAGCAGTTGCAAGAAGGACGTTAAGAGTACTAGGATGTACTAGTATACGGGCGGAAACAGAAAAACGTAGGGTTCCAACCCGAGAGCTTTGACTAACAGAGCCTGACCGGGAAGGAAGACATAAGGAACCTGGAGGGTATTCTTTGGCTGTTTCCCCGCTGGTAACTGTTGCAATCGACTTGCCCGCTTCCATGTCTCGGAATCCGAGGGTCGGATCGCGAGTGACTGCATATGTCGGCCCTTCCAGGCGATTGCGGAGAATTCGGGCCCGCGGCCATGGTCGGCGGTAAATTCGAAGAGAGCGAGCTAAGGCCGGGGCTGGCAAGAAGTGTCTTAAGTGTCATGTACGCTGGTTACTTCATCCATGTACGACGCGTAAGGTAGGTAAGGTAGGGTAGGTAAGTAACCAAGAATCCTGACCGCCGCGCGCAGCGTCGCAATAGCGATGGTGACTCTACAACACGTCCGAAGGCACAACAACGGCCTTCGGAACCGGGCTTGCGGACTGGTCGCCGTCTTTACCGGCGCAACGAGGGGCATCGGCCTCGCGACGGTACGGGAATTGCTCCGTCATCTAGTCGAGCCGATCATTTACCTCGTGGGGAGGAGCGCTGCGAAGTTTGCAGACGAGGCCCAAAGACTGCAGTTGCTCAACAGTGGCGCCCAGATTCGCTTTATCGAAGCAGACGTTTCCCTGCTGCGGGAGATCGACCGCGTGTGCGAGCTCGTCCTGGGCGCCGAGACGAAGCTCGACCTGCTCTTCATGAGCCAGGGTTTCATCCCACTGAGTGGCCCGGAGTGTATGTTGCTGTTAGATCCAACTGAAACTCGCCCGGCCGAACCCGGCTAACAGAGTCCTGGCAGACACCACGGAGGGCATTGATAGCTGCATGTCTCTATCCCACTACGGCCGTGTTCGCCTTGTCCACAAACTCCTCCCCTTGCTCCGCCTGTCCGACTCGCCGCGTGTCGTCAGTGTGCTCGCCGGCGGGTCCGAGAAGCGCTTGGTAGAGGACGACATGGGGCTTCGGGCCACATACAGCATGATGAGCGCAGTCAACCACATTGCGTGCCTTCAGACACTGGCATTGGCCCATCTGGCGGCCAACAATCCCGAAGTCTGCTTCATCCACGGCCACCCGGGCTTGGTGAAAACCAGCATTGTGTCGAATGCCTTTTCCACCCCCGCCCAGGGCTTCTTTGACGCCGTCACTCGCTTCTTCGGCTCATGGGTTGTCGGCCCGCTCTTCAACATGATTGCCATGTCCGAGCAAGAGTCTGGCGAGAGACATGCCTTTCTTGTCACAAGCACCGACTACATGTCGCCCGCAGCATCCAAGTTAAGGGGCCGTGAGCAACACCAGCAGGTCGGGCTGATGAACGGGCTGTACCTAGTCAACTCCTACGGCGAACTCAGGGCAGATTGGCCTCTGCTTGAAAAGTGGATGAATGATGGAGCAGTCGAGAAGGCGTGGAGCCACACATTGCATGTGTTTGACACCGTTCTGACCTAAAGCCTAAAACGATTCGAGGCGAGCTGCCGTCCACATGCATGGGGAATCATATTCTGTAGATGCCCCTCGGAAGCGAGGTACAATACAAGTGATACTGACTTGATGAAAAGCATCGATTTGCATCATTGACTCACTGCTATCGCTGCCCCCATTGCCGGATCCACAAAACGAACAGTCATTCCCTGTTACGGACTGCTGCCGCCACTTGGAGACATCTCCACAGCTTGAACGACAACAGGCTTCACTTTGCTTGTGTCAAAGCTCTCAAGCCCGTCACCTTCGTCCAGCTCGACGGCACTATCGCGATGTCTCCAGCCAGCCCAACGCTCATCCTTCACATGTTCCTTGAACTGCCGTAATCGTTCGTCTACCTTGTCCTGATATCCCTTTCCCAACTTCAGAAACCGGATGGCGTTCCTTGCTAGAATCCCAGCCCTCTCCTCCCAGCTCATGAACCTTCCAAGTCGCTTATCCTCGGTGAGCATTTTCCCCGCCACCGGGACCTCGCCCAGTGGGAACGGGTAGTCGCTTCCGAGCACGATACGGCCAGCTCCACCAGGACCCAACTTGCGTATGACATATTCCATCAAGTCCGGATCATGCATCAACGAGTCGACCCATATCTGGCCCTGGCCCCGGCCCGACTCCAACTCCTCCTCGGCGGTCGAATGCGTATCGCCCCTGAAGTGTTCCGTAGGAGTCACGCCACATGCCTGCGTCGCCACCAGATCCGGCCGGCAGTCAAACCCATGCTGTATCCTCCCCAACAAGGCCGGGAACGCGCCACCCCCGTGCGCAAAGCACAGCCTCAGCTTCGGATGTCTCACCAGCAACCCCGAGCCCATAATCGCATGCATCGCCAGCGCCGTCTCACACGGCATGCCCACAAGCCACGAACTCCAGTACTTCCCCCATCGCGCCTGATTCTCCCTGGTCAGCGCATACCCAAGCGGGTGCGCAAACACGGCCACATCCCACTCCTCACACTTCGCCCAGAACCCTTCCAGCCTGTCGTCATCCAACATCACCACCGCCCGCCCATCACCTTCTCCGTTCTCTGATCCCTCCACGCTCGTCCCAATCTGCACCCCAACCATGCCCGGCAACCCGCGCAGCCTATCCAGCTCCTCCACCGCCGCCGCACAGTCCTGCAGCGGCACCGTGCCCAGGCCGACAAACCGGCCCTGCCACCGCGGGTCCGCGCAGACCCCGCTGACATGGTCGTTCAGCGCGCGCGCGAGCTGCCTCGCGGGGTGCAGGGGCGCGTCGTAGCAGAAGAGCACGGGCACCGTGCTGAGCACCTGCACGTCGACGCCCGCGGCGTCCATGTCGCGAATGCGCGCGGCCGGGTCGTAGCATGAGGGGGTCACGCGGCGGAAGAACTGCGCGCCGACGTACATGTCGATCGCGCCCGTCGTGGCGTGGTCGGCGGCCTTGTGGAAGGCCGGCCATGGGTAGTTTGACTCGGATGAGGTTGTGAAAGAGAAGGCCAGGTCCGGGAGGGAAGGAGGCATGATGTGCGTGTGCATGTCGATGCGGAAGAGGGAGGCTGGTGAGGATGGGTCATGGTTGTTGATAGGTGTTTGGTCGCCGTGGGCGGATGTCGAGGCGGAGGAGGACGAGGAGGAGCAACAGTCTTCGCGAGGTGAGGTCCCCATTGTTGGCTTGCCTAACTTTCTGGGCGTTTCGATTCGAATCTTTCGATGGTGCTGGGGAAGTGGATGTTTAGATGATCATATGATGGGGGATGTGTTCGCTACGGCAGAGCCAATTGGAAAATGAAAGGGTCAATGAAGGTGTATCCCAGAGCTTTGATGATGAAAGCGGGATGGTTGGGACTCGATGGAAAGTCGGAAACTGGGACTGCGGGTAGTAGATGAATTGTGGAAGTGTACACAAGTCCTATGCAACTTCCATCAGCTGCCTGTGAAGTGGTAAACAAGGTGATGTCAGAATTCCTCTGTAAGTCGCGCCTGCCCAAATCGGATCGCTCGCCTGAGTCCGATCGGATCCGTTCCGATCCGCTCGGAGACGGATCACGGATCGGATGTAGTTGGCATTGCTGATTGGCTCTACGCACCTCTTCCGTCCAACGCCCAGGTTACCGTCGCACGACACACCAGCGAAGACGAAGCCGTGGTCGATACCGTTATTTGTGCAACCAGTGCAGTGCCATAAACCACTACAGGTAGTTACGTGAAAAATCAGGACTGATAACGAATCTCCAATCCAAACTAGTATCCAAGCCATCCTCGAGTCACACCACACTACAATCATGCGGGGAGGTGCATCGTCCTGACCACGGTGAAGACATCCCTCGAGTAATCCCCCCCTTCCCTCCCCGTGCCGCTGTTTTTCATCCCGCCGAACGGCGTGCCTAGCTCCCTGACAAGCCAGCAGTTTACCCAGACCAGGCCCGCCTCGATCTGCTCGCCGACGCGCCTCATCCTGGCGCCGTCTGTAGTCAATAGAACGGCCGCGAGTCCGTACTCGCTCGCGTTCGCGAGCCGGACCGCTTCCTCCTCGGTATCGAACGGCGTGACGGTGACGACCGGGCCAAAGATCTCATCCTTCTGCATCGCCGATTCGGGCGCTACGTCGGTCAGGATCGTAGGCTCGATCCAGTAGCCTTGGTTGGCATACTTGTGCAACGTGGGGGGAACATCTCCCAAGCGGAACGTGGCATTTTCCTCTAACGCCAGTTGGAGGTAGTCCTTGATCTTGTTATAGTGTTGCAGGCTCGCCACCGCGCCCATTGACCCCTTCGCTAGGCTGTACTTATTGCGGACGTATAAGGTGAGTTCATCGACGAAAGGCTTGTAGACGCTTCTTTCGACGTAGATACGTGAGCCGCAGAGGCAGATCTCGCCCTGGTTCTCGAAGGCAGCCATAGCTGTCGTGCGAATGGCGCGTTCCCGTGTGGAAGCGTCGGCCATAGCATCGGCAAATACCAACGTCGGGTTCTTGCCGCCCAGCTCTAGCGACAGATGCTTGCTGATCTGGTGGGCCGTGGCACGGCGGATCGCGATACCGGTTGCTGTGCCCCCGGTAAAGGACACGCCATCAATCAGCGGGGACGCTACGAGCGTTGCCCCCGTAGTGACCCCGTCACCCAGGACAATATTGACGACCCCAGGAGGGAGTTCCGCCTTCTGCAGGAGAATACCCAAAACTAGCAGAGCGTCAGCTCAATAGCTGAAGACACCATAAGGTCTTCGCTTGGGCTTACGGTATGCAGACATGCTCGTTATCTCGCTTGGCTTGGCAACCGCTGTGCACCCGAATGCTATACATGGAGCGATCTTCCACGTAAGGAGATACAATGGCATGTTCCACGGTGAGATCAGAGCAAACACCCCGGCTGGTGAGCGGTGCTCGTAGGTGAGGGCGACGCCGTCGACCATGCGCGCGGCAGTCTGCTCATGGAGGATGTAGGTCGAGAAGTATCTGATGGGCATCAGATCAATGTCCTGCCTTGAAGCAAGGTTGTCATGGAGTAACCCACGAGAAGTTTGAAATGGCGCGGTCGACCTCAATACGTGCCCGCTCAAGCGTCTTTCCCTGGTCAATGCTTTCCCACACCGCAAACAGTTCCCGGTGTTCGTGGAGCAAGTCGCTCACGCGGCGGAGATGGCGAGACCTCTCTGCGCGTGACGTCTTCCTCCATGTCCGGAAGGCGGACCTGGCATGCTGAATCGCCTCTTCCACGTCGCTTGGCTGGGTACACGGAAGGCTGTAGAGCCGTCTGCCTGTTTTAGGTTCGAAGGAGTCAACATAAGTCGTCGATGGTGATGACGGTAACTTCAGTTCGCCGGCGACATAGTTCGGCAAAGCGATCAGGGCAAACTCGCTGGGTATCGATTGCATGAAGGCCGTTGCCTTGTCAACTGTGTTGCAGCTCCATATTGCGTTGGCGCAATCCCTGATGTTCTTCGGCGACGGTTCTCCCGCTTGCTCCATATCGGCCATCAGCCCACAAGGTTATGGGACGAGGAACTGAACCGATGGACGACTGGTGTTGATTAGCGGCTCGACTATGTCCAAGATATACTGTGGCGTCTGTCTTCCTGGCCACAAGAAGCCGGATACTGGACATCAATGCTATCTTGGTTCGTACTATGGATGATGAGACAAACTTCTTGTAGCTGCTTCGTCGTCTTCTAAGTCCTTCGTCGTCTTTACCTCTCTGGTCTACATCTTCCCCCGTTCTCTTTTTCTTTCATTATTACCTTCCAAGATCTTGAACTTGCTGGAGTTGAGGAGATGTGTGTACGACCTTTTGCGTTCTTACTGCTTGTATCTCGGAACGGATCACGGATGTCAACGTGGAGGAAGGTGTATGGTGGCCTGAGCTCAGTGCGGAGGTGGAGCGGAGAAATGCGGGATTGCGGGGTGTCCCCCAAGTCCCACAGCTCGCGGGAAATGGACTGTCGAGTGATTGATCGATAGATAATTTGCGAAGAGGTCAGCGGAAGGGGGAAATTGTGCTGGAAGTCACACCAGCAACCCCGGTTCACCAGCTTCTCAGCTCATTTTACCCTGGAACCTCGACACGATGGCATCACCCAACGGGACAGGTTATCTCCTCCCATCCGGGGCCCAGGGCCTCGCCAACTACCCTCACGCCCGAACCATTCCCAGCACGGCCAAGGCGATATTTGTGTCGGGAATCTCCAGTCGCCGACCTGACGGCACATTTGAAGGTTGTGAGACGAGGCCTGACGGCTCTTACGAACTTGATTGCGGCGCACAGTCAGCGGCTGTGCTGCGGAACATTGAGACGGTCATCCGAGGTGCTACCGACGGCAAATGCGGCCTAGAGAGCGTCGTTGACGCGACGGTATTCCTGGTGGACATACCGCGCGATTATGGGGCCATGAACGCCGAGTGGAATAAGATCTGGCCAGATCGCACCAAGGCCCCAGCGCGGACGTGTGTGCAGGTTGCGGGGTTGCCGAACGCGAAGATCCTTGTCGAGATCAAGTGTCAGGCAGTCGTGTCGGATTGACGAAGGCAACGGACGGCTAGACGGCTCTCGGTTGGCAAGTTGTCTTGGGAGGCTGCCTAGCTAGCTTCAGGAGGAAGTGTGAGCCGGTCCAGCCGGAAACATCGGAACCTTGGAACCTGGGAACCTCGAAGTCTGCTTGGTGGAGAGCGAGAAAGGGGCTGATGCGGCTGAAAGGAGTGGAAATTGATGAGAGCCTTGCTTTCATGGTTCTTCTTTGGTTATTGTCCATGCAAAGATATTCGAATGTCTCTTCGACTATGCAACCAGTTATCCTCCTCCTAGCTCCTTGTGCGGTCGACCGAGCAATAGCTGATTGCTCCAAGCATCTAGGAGGCAGTCCTCCCCATATTTGTAAGGTTTGAACTGAGTAGCCGCTGCCGAGACACGTCAATCCCCGGCAATGGTCTCAAGGAACCTCGCAGTTCATTTATCCTCTGCTTCCCAATTTCTATGTGACCATGAGCATGACCAGGAGCGAAAGTATTCACGAATCCTAAATCCCCCCAAAACACCTTCACATTGTGGCCCCTGTGAAGTGTTGGCAGTGTCAAGAAGACAATTCGCCTCGGGATTCTAGAATCTATAGATCGGCTCAGGAGGTCCCCAGGTGGGCCCCTCAGCCGCGCCGTCTTCGAACTAGCGCAGGCTCCATTGGTGTCCCATGCGGGGAGTTCTCGAAAATTCCCGTGCATAAGCGCGGTCCCCTGGCGGGTATGTCCCAGTTGCGGATCAATTCTTGCCGTCTAGAGACTCGAGACAAGAGTGATGAATCAAGTTGTACACCTTATTGGGCTGGGGGAGAACCCGGCGAAGGAGCTTGACTAATCGCTTCACATACACCAAGCTCCTCCGCTTCTGGCACTCTAATAATAATGAGCTTGGCCTCGGTTGAAAGGCCGAACTCACGCCGAGTGTACGGAGTATGGAACCGTGACTGACTGACCGCCCTGACTGGCCTTGGCGTCCTGGAAGTTCGGCTGCCTCTGCCTTTCGTGGGGAAAAGCTTCCACTTCTGTGCTTCTGCCCAGCTTGTCGGACGTTATTGACAAATTAGGAAAAAGAGACCAGTGTCGACAAGACCGCAAAGCTTACCTGCTTCTCTACCGACTTCGGAGTATCATCCCTGGCGCAATCAAGTTGCTTATCTGTGATGTTCGGATAGTCGCGGTTGAAAAATCAAGCTAACGCTGACATGAAGCAGTTCGCGTGTGTGGGTCAACGGCATCAAGATCCAAGACCCCTGCACTAGCGCACTCGGCAGTGGGCTCCCTTGGCCCAACTAATACGAAATAGGAAGGTCAATAACATGTCGACTGGGGTTTCCCCAAACCCCACATATGCCAAGGCCGGCGACGGTATCATCCAGCATGTTTTCCCCTCATCCGCTTCCCCGGACACGGGGCCGGTAGTGGCCGTCCCATGTTCAAATCCACGTGCCAAAAAGTCGCGTCATGCCGTGTTTATTATCATGTTTCTTGAGACCATTCTGCTGTGTTGGTGGCTGACAATCTTTCCTCATTCCACCTCAGCTATCTCGATCAACCACCTCTTCGAGGCGCAAGTCATCCGAGTTCCACATACTAGTGTAAACAGACGGTCCGATACGCCATCGTGGATCCCCTCTTATCTCTTCCCCACCGCGTCGCATCGTTCGCTCCAGGATCGGCGACGTGGGGTCCTTAACAGGGCTTTCCAAAAGATAAAACGAGAGGCTCTCCCGTACAGATATCAATCCACCATCAACCAATTGCTGCCGACTAGAGGCGAGTAACCCGACGGCACCGACAAGATGAAGGACGAGGGAGGCTACCTTGACAGCCCGAGTGCCGACGAGGCGCAGGCCGGCTCGCAGGTCGTCGTCGATGGCATCATTGTCCTCGACCGCGCCGCGCAGCTCCAACGGGGTCTCAAAAGTCGGCACATTCAGTTCATGGCACTCGGTGGCGCGTACGTCTTTGCCCCTTTCCCGTATTTTTCGCCGAACTATCAATCGCTGACGCCGGTTTGAACAGCATCGGAACAGGTCTTTTCGTCGGGTCTGGCGGGATCCTGGCCATGGTCGGCCCCGTACCATTATGGCTGGGATATCTCTCCATGATGCTTGTTGTGTGGATCGTCATGAACACCATCGCCGAGATGACGACATATTTACCGATGAAAGGCATCACATTACCCTACTTCACCGAGCGCTACGTCGACAAGAGTCTGGCATTCGCCCTGGGTTGGAATTACTGGTACGCGTATGCGATCCTGGTCGCAGCCGAGGCGACTGCGGGTTCGATCTTGCTCGAGTATTGGGATACGCCGGTCCCGACTGCTGTCTGGATCACCATCATCCTGGTTGTCTGTCTCCTCCTCAACATCATTGCGGTGGAAGTCTTTGGTGAGGCCGAGTTCTGGTTCGCCAGCATCAAGCTGATCACAATCGTCGGCTTGGTCATCATGGGTATTGTCATCATGGCTGGCGGCGCCCCTCAAGGCGGTGCCATCGGATTCAAGTACTGGAACAATCCCGGCGCATTCAAGGAATACGTTGGGACGGGAGCGACGGGGCGATTTACCGCTTATTGGACAGCGTTCGTCCGCGCCGGCTTCAGCTTCATCACCTCGCCGGAACTCATCGGTCTCGCGGCGGGCGAGACAGTCGCCCCCCGCCGCAACATCCCCAAGGCCGCACGCCGCTTTCTTGCTCGTCTGGCCCTCTTCTACGGCGTCAGCAGCTTGATCATCGGCTGCCTCGTTCCTTACAACGACCCCCAGCTGCTTTCGCCCGAGTCTAATGCCAACGCCAGCCCTTGGGTAATCGGCATCCAGCGGGCGGGCATCGGCAGCCTCAACCACGTCATCAACGCCGCCATCCTGACCTCGGCATGGTCGGCTGGTAACGCATTCCTCTACTCAGGCTCCCGCATTCTCTATTCTATGGCGGTAACGGGACAGGCGCCCAGCTTCCTCGCAAAGACGACGCCGCGGGGCGTGCCCTACGCCGCCGTGCTCGCAACCTGGGCTTTCGGCTTGTTGGCGTACCTAAACGTGTCCGAGAACGGAGCGAAGGTCTTCCTCTGGTTCTCGAACATATCGACGATATCGGGATTCATTGCCTGGATCGTCGTGCTGATCACGTACCTTCGCTTCCGTGCCGCCATGACCTACAACGGCATGATGGACGCCCTGCCCTTCCGGACGATTGCGCAGCCGTACGCGGCGTGGTTCACGCTGCTGATTGTGTCCCTGCTGACACTCACGAACGGGTTCCAAGTGTTTTCGCCGAGCCGGTGGAACTACCAGGACTTTCTGGCTGCGTACATCACCATCCCGGCCTTCTTGTTGCTCTATTTCGGCCACAAGCTGCGGTTCAGGACGCCCTTCGCCAAGAAGCTGCACGAGATTGATGTCCTGACCGGCAAGAAGGAGATGGATGAATTCTGCGCCAACGACCACGAGCCTGTTCCCAAGAACATTGTGCAAAAAGTCTGGTTTTGGATCGCATAGAGGAGTTGGGGGTGGGGCGGCGCTGTATTCAGTATGTATGCATGTGTTCAGCGAGTATTTCGGCGGTGATATTCAAAAGGCTCGGTCAGTCTCGGTGTCGCATGCTAGATGATAGAATCGTTGAGACGGTTTAGCATATTTGAGATGGATATCACAATAGAATAGCATTTCTAGCCTTCGCCAACAGCTCTTTCGCTTTGCTCAGTCCAAAAGGGGAAGAAAGGTGTTGGGTGCGGTCTGCCCAACCCCTGAATCCAGTGAACGAATAATACCTGACCAGCATATTACCTAAGTATAGACCATCCAAGCTATCAATTACTAGTAAGATTTCGAGTCATTCAATAATGCACTAAAATAACCAAAGATGACCCTGTCCCTGCGCGCAACCCGACCGCCGGCTTTGCTACTTCGGACTAGTAATGTTCACAACAGCCGAAACCCAATCCCCGTTTCCTTCGTCGCGGCAGTCATCCCCTGCTGCTGCTGCTCCCCACCGCCCTTCTCCAGCACCGCAGGGCGGAGCTCATACCGCTCCAGCACGGCGATGACCGTCATCTTGAGCAGCAGATCGGCCATGTTCTTGCCCATGCACTTGGAGGAGCCCACGCCCCAACGGATCATGGAGAAGCGGTAACTCGACGCCGGCAGGCCGGCGAAGCGCTCCGGGCGGAAGGTCTCGGCGTCCTCGCCCCAGGCTTCGCGGTTCGTGTTGATGCGTCGCACGTCGACGATGCACGAGGTCTGGGCGGGGATGCGATAGCCGCCGATGATCTTGTCTTCGGCGGTGCATTCGGGGGGTGAGAAATCTTTTATGCGCACAGGATTTATCTGGTCAGTCTCGATAGGGGGGTTGAGATTTGATTCAGGAGTCCCGAAGGAAGGGGACGGAGTAGGCTTACGCAGCACGTTGTTGAGTCGGAGTGACTCGAGCGTGGCGTAGTGTAGCAGCGTGTCCTGCTTGCCGGCGTAGGCTGCCGCACTGTAACCGGACTGCTGCTGTTTCTCGCCGAGGATCTCGGCACGCAGCCGCGCTTGGAAGTCCGCATGTGCGGCGATGTTGTGGAGAAGTCGGGCGAGGGCCAGGCCGGTGATGTCGATGTTGGTGTAAAGCATTTCGTCGAGAGATTGGAGGAACTGTCAAACACTTTGAGTTCACAATCCTTTGGAATATCAGGGGCCGAAGTACTATGGACTGTACCTCAACAAGGCTCATATCTCCTACTTCAACACCTGCATAGATGCGCTCGACGGGGCAATTGAGGCCGTCCTTCCTCGCCCTTTCGATGGCCCCGAGATTGAATTGCTCCCACAGGCGGTTGAACTCTTTGAGTTGCCGCCTCTCGGTGGTTGGAAGCATGTTGTACAGCCTCGACGATGTCTTCAGATTGAGCACCATAGTCATCATCATCTGCTTGTGCATCTGGGTCAGGCTGTTGAGCTTGGCAAAGGTCTACAAATCGCGCTCCAATTAGTGGACAGTACGGTAGAGAGAATGATCGTTTTGAGCCTTACAGCATCGTCCATCACCTCGCCATATGACATTATCGCCAAAAGGCGAAAGGCGAGAGCATGACAAGACGTCAGGGCATCCTTTGTAAATGCAGATGATGTTGCTGCTGGAGGTAATGCTTCAAGCCAGTCCCGAATGACTTTATGGAAAACAGGCTCGGCCTGGCGAGCGGCATGGTTGGAGAAGGACGGATCGAAGTGTGAGCGCATGAGCTTCCACTTTTCGCCATGTTGTTGGCCGACACAGCTGCCTAGCATGCGCGCAGCATAGTCTCCTAGTCCGCCTCCTGGCACTTTCTTGTGGCCTGTGGGCGAAAGTCAGCAACGTGAAGTATTCTGAGTTTATGCACTAGCACGGTGAACTTTGAAGAAGGTTCCGACCTTTGGAGTCATTCGCCATGAATTGCCTCAACTGGTCTGGCGTGGCAATAACCAGATGCCGCAGACGACTGCTGTGCACGAGGTACGGCTCATCTCCAGCAATAGCCTTTCCACGGTCTGATACTTCTGCTCCCTGGACGAAGCGTGCAACACGCGTGTCGCCAGGGAGCACTTTGATGTGCTCACCGGCGGCGTCTCGAAAGTCCAAGGAATTCTTCTTTGGCTTTCGCAAGAAGAACAGAGCGGCAACAAGGACCAAAAAGGAGGCTGCTATGCCGGTGGCTTCCGGCGTGAGACTGAATGGGCTTAACAACTCTCTCATTGCAGGCTCCCAAGGCGCGGAGAATGGTGAGTTTGTTACCGCACCAGACATCTTGAGGAACACCGGGTTACTATACCGAAGGAAAAAGGCAGATGCAGGGAATCAAGATACTGAAAGTCTGAGTTTAGGATTGTACTGCAACATCCCCTGATGAGGGACTTAAATGCCAATGTAAACATCAGGACATGGAGGGTTGGGTACCAGCTCCATTCTGCTTTCTACCTCAGTTAGGTTCCCCGCATTCTCGGTTTTTTCATCGGTCTCGGGAAATAAGATGACCTTCTTGTAGTACACAGCAGTAGCATATCAAGTCCGACTAGGGCTCGCCGGGGGCACTCGGCATCGGCGTTGTGCTCGGTGATGAGACCACACTATGTTTAGGAAGGAGCGAGATGCGGCATAGGTCGTAGAACAATTCATGACAGGCTCCTTCCAAAGCCCGCTCGCTCTCCTCTCCAATAAGGCAGCTAGGTGGTAGGGTACCTAGTACCACTAGTAGTACGGTAGTAGTTGTGCAACCTAACTGCATGCTCCGGAAGATCGTCGGCTAGGTGGCTCGACTTTTCTTTCTTCCGAGGCCCCCGCGGTCTCTTCTAGACGGAGCATTCATTGCATTCTGACTCACATCAATCATGATCGCATCCATGAGCACGGAGACCGACACGAATGCGCTGCACCCACAAATAGTAACTCCAGCCGACAATGGTGTGCGACCTGAATCAACAGCCGCAAGGGTGGCATTCGGACTTAACTGGTCTGTAAGCTACGACACGACTCCCGTGAAGCGTGCACCACCCACCGGATGAGGACAATGAGCTTCACGCAACAGTGGATGCTTGTGGTTTCCAGAGTTGAATGATCCGCTGACCAAGCATACTGCCCTGGTAAGTTCGTCAACCACCGCTGGTTGACTGGTCTACCCGGCTGCCTAGGTAGACAAAGGCTAAGCACTTATTTTTCAATCCGATAGACGAGCTTTCTCCCAGCCGCGAGCCCCTTCCGGACCTCATCAATTCCGTCAACCAGCCCCCTCAACCCCCCTGATCTGACCTCATGACTGTGTGGCTGGATCTCTCCTCTGTCCAACATCTCCTGCGCAATTGAGAACCACTTCTCCGCAAAAGCCCTCTCAGCGGGCTTTGCCTCGGTAGTAAAGGGCCGCTTCCAAGCGATGGGCGTCCCGAACATGGTCAGCGCCAAGACCCAGGAGGGCCGTACGCTCCGGCGGGTGTGCGTCCGCAACGGGAAAGGGTCCAGCGACACATACTTCCCTCCGCCGCGACCGATGGCTCCGTAGCACACCGCCATTGATGCTGTCGTGGTGATGCAGTCGACGGCCATGTCCAGAGCGTCGTTGGTGTAGGCTCGGATGTCGGCCCCAACAGTCGGCGAGCGGTAGTCAAACGCCTCTGCTGCACCGAGCGCTTTGACGCGCTCGAAGCGTTTGGGAGAGCACGTTGTCACGGGCACGAGGCCGGAGCTGGCAGATCGTTAGCAGCGCCACCGACTTGCCATTGAACACGAAAACACTGGAAATTGTGGGAACGAACCGAAGCGCCATCTGGATTAGGAGAGTACCGGTGGCCGTTCCCCCGCCGTAGATCAAGATATATTGAGGCTTCGCACCAGCCTCGCTTTCCGTGGCAGGTGGGTCAGGAAGAGGCAAGCCCAGATGTCGGTAGAGCGCGAATCCCACGGTGGCGAGGCCGCACGGGAGGGTGGCTGCTTGATCGAGGTCCATGCCGGGCGGTATGTTGAAGACCAGATCTCCCGGCGCAGCAACGTACTCTGCAAACGCGCCATTGTCGGGACGCAGCGGGTTGTTGCCGAACGCAAGGCCGCAGACGCGATCGCCGACTCTGAGCTGCTTCTCCACAGCGGCGCCCACAGCGACAACGTCACCAGCGAAGTCACTGCCGACCGTGGCACCCGGCGTTGGGGAGAAATCGGCCGATTTAGCGTCGACGGGGTTCGTGGCAACAAAAACCACGCGCACCAGAACCTCATCCGGCCCGACTTGCGGGATATCCGCGTCGTCCACCACCGCGAGCTCGTTTGCTCGAACCACCTTGAGGGCCCTCTGCTTGCGAGGGGCTTGGGCCATCGTCATTGTTGAGTTGGATGCGTGGGAAACCTTTGCCGGGCTAACGACTTGGAATGTATGCAACCAGCTTGCGAGAGGGAGCATATCATTATGGACATGCTGGGAGACGACGGTGGGCCTTGGGCAACACATTCATTGACTCGGAGTCTCGGACTGATGCAGGTGACCATACATTACCGGCAAAGCATGCCGTTTACAAAGCCGCCGACCAAGTCATGTCCGACTGCCGAGCCCCTGACCTTGCATGCTCCGGCCGTATCGTAAAAGACCGAGTGCTGCAGAGTCGCATTATGTGTTCGGCCCGGAGACCGACTCACTTACATGGTTTCGTGCTGTCGAGCACCGGCTTCAGGGGGCCGGCCCACGGATCATCAACCCTTTGACTGTATGAGCAAAGGTGTACGAGTGCCCCGAGGGCTTGCAGCTCGGCGGCTTATTTGCGGGGCCTTACTTGCCTGCTAAATAAAGGTGTCCTTACCTAGGTACTACTTATTTGGGGTGGGAGTAGGGATGTCGGAGACGGAAAAGAGCGGAATCGATGGTGTCCTTAATTACTAGTACAGCGTCACCGGCTCCAGGTCGGTGAGTTCAAGCTCCGACACCACCGGTGGTTTTAGTCTTGCAAGTCTTCTCAGGTCTCTTCATCCTACGCTCTTCTTGGTACCAAGGCCTGGAGGTACTTGTCATTACGCGATATCGTCTACGCCTCGATGACCTCCCGTAACAATACGCTTTCATCGAGGATTGACTAACTCAGCATGTCTGGAGCTCTTGGTGTGGAGCCCATCGCCATCGTCGGCTCTGCCTGCCGCTTCCCGGGAGGCGCCTCGTCGCCCAGCAAGCTCTGGGGCTTGCTGAATGAGCCGAGGGATGTGGTCAAGGATTTTAAATCGTTCCCCATCAGGCCAAACCTGGACTCGTTCTACAGCGCCAATGGCGAGCAGGCCGGGAGAACCGAGGTCCAGAGTAAGGCATACATCCTGGAGGAAGACCCCACCGTCTTCGACGCCGCCTTCTTCAACATCAGCCCGCTGGAGGCTGCTGGTATGGACCCGCAGCAACGCATCCTGCTAGAGACGGTCTACGAGTCCCTCGAGGCGGCGGGATGGCCACTGGACCGCATCCAAGGCACGGCGGTTGCCGTGTTTGCCGGCTGCATGACCAACGACTATTACGACATCCAAGTCCGCGATCCCGAGACCATGCCGCGGTACAACGCCACGGGGACCACGAGAAGCATCCTCGCCAACCGCATCTCGTACGCGTTCGACCTCAAGGGACCTTCGCTGACCGTCGACACGGCTTGCTCGTCGTCGCTCGTCTGTCTGCACCTCGCCGTGCAGAGCCTGCGCAATAGGGAGTGTGAGTCGGCCATCGTAGTCGGCAGCAACCTCATTCTGGACCCTACTATGTTCCAGGCCGAGAGTAGCCTCCACATGCTGTCGGAGGACTCTCGCTCGCGCATGTGGGACGCCGGAGCCAACGGGTACGCCCGGGGAGAAGGCTTTGCCTCTCTCGTGCTCAAGCCGCTGTCCCGGGCCGTGACAGACGACGACCACATCGAGTGCGTCATCCGGCATACCGTCGTCAACTCAGATGGACGCACCACGGGTATCACGATGCCGAGCCCCGGAGCGCAGGCGGCCATGATACGCAGGGCCTATCTCGACTCGGGCCTCGATCCGGTGGCTGACCGGCCCCAGTTCTTCGAATGCCACGGCACGGGAACCTTGGCGGGCGACCCTGTCGAAGCCCAGGCTGTCCACGATGCGTTCTTCCCTCCGGGACATCGGGAGAACAGCAGCAGCAGCAGCAGCTTGTTGGATGCCGATGCCCAGGCCAAGTTGTTCGTTGGCTCCATCAAGACCGTCATCGGCCACCTCGAGGGCTGTGCGGGCATCGCGGGCATTTTGAAAGCCTCGCTCGCCATTCAACACCGCAAGATCCCGCCTAATATGCTCTTCAACGAGCTTAATCCAGCCATCGCCCCGTTCTACGGCCACCTTGAAATTCCCACGAGAGCCGTACCCTGGCCGCCGGTGAAGAAGGGTCCCCTGCGAGCCAGTGTCAACAGCTTCGGCTTTGGCGGGACAAACGCACATGCAATCCTCGAGAGCTTTGAACCGGGCACCAACACAGCGGCCCTTCCTCAGAACACGTTTCAACAAGATGAAATCTCTGGTCCCTTTGGCCCCTTTGTCCTCTCAGCGCAGACAGCGGGCTCTCTTTCTGGTGCGGTCGTGCGGCTCATGGAGTACCTCCAAGCCAATCCCGACGTGAGCCTGTCGGATGTGAGCGCCATGTTGCAGCTCCGGAGATCCGTCTTCCCGCTCAAGACATTCTTTTCCGGGACGAGCCGCGAGGACCTCATCCGGACGATACAGCAGCATCTGGCCGAAGTCGACAGCGGACGCAAGCCCATCGGAGTCAACGCGCGGCTTGTCTCGCAGCCGCCCGAGGTGCCCGGCACGCTCGCCATCTTCACCGGACAGGGCGCGCAGTGGCCTGCCATGGGCGCCGGCCTGTTGCGGTCCTCCAGCGTCTTCCGGAGCGCCATAGAGGCCTGCGAGCAGGCTCTGGCGACGTGTCCAGACCCGCCATCCTGGTCCCTGAAGGACGAGCTGATGGCCGAGGGCTCACGGTCGCGCGTGTCGGAAGCCGCCCTCTCGCAGCCGTTATGCACCGCCGTGCAGATCGGCCTCGTCGACCTTCTGCGTGCATGCCGAGTGAGGCTGGACGCTGTCGTGGGGCATTCGTCTGGCGAGATTGCTGCCGTGTACGCCGCCGGCATCATCTCGGCTACGGACGCGATCCGGATTGCATACTACCGCGGGCTCTACGCCAAGCTGGCACGCGGCACGCACGGCCAAAAGGGGGCCATGCTGGCGGTGGCCATCCCGTATGATAACGCGGTCGACTTCTGCCAAGAGAGCGCCAATGCGGGCCGGCTTGCTGCCGCCGCGAGCAACTCGCCGTCCAGCGCTACCCTCTCGGGAGACCGGGAGGCCATCGACAGGGCTAGAGAGCACTTCGAGAAGCACAAGATCTTCGCGCGGCCGCTGCGTGTCGACACGGCCTACCACTCGCACCACATGGGCCCCTGTGCCGCTCCGTACCTGGAGGCGCTGAAGAATTGCAATATCACGGTCAAGCCCCCACGCCCGGATTGCGTGTGGATCTCGAGCGTCTACGGCGACATCGGCCTCCCCGACGGCGGCAGCCTGGACTCCCTGGAGTTGCTCAGCGCAGAGTATTGGGTGCAGAACATGGTCCAGCCCGTCCTATTCTCGCAGGCATTGCAGACATCTCTCTGGGCCGGCGGTCCCTTCGACCTGGTGGTGGAAGTCGGGTGTCATCCGGCACTCAAAGGGCCGTCCAGCCAGACCATCCACACTTCTTTGGGTACGACAGTGCCCTACACGGGCGTGATGGCCCGCGGCGAGAACGACCGCAAAAGCTTCGCAGAGGCGCTCGGCGCGGTCTGGCAGATCCTCGGCCCATCCGCGGTGGACTTTGACGGGTACATCAAGGCGTTTCAGCTGCCGGGTTTCAGCCCGCCGCGAGTCGTGAAGGACCTCCCGACGTATGCGTGGGACCACGAGAAGTCGTACTGGAGGGAGTCCCGCATCTCTCGCCGGTACAGACGGGCGGCGAACAGGCCGCATCCGCTGCTCGGCCGGCGCATGCCGGACGATTCGGACACCGAGATGCGCTGGCGGAATGTATTTCGTCTGGGCGAGCTTGCCTGGCTCAGGGGCCATGTATTCCAGGGGCAGGCCATCTTCCCGGCGGCCGGCTATGTCTCGATGGCGCTGGAGGCGGCCATGGCGTTCGCGGCCGGGAAGAGCATCCGCCTTATCGAGGTGCTGAACCTGAAGATGAGCCGCGCCCTGGTGGTGGAAGATGGCTCGGCCGGTGTTGAGGTGCTCTTCTCCATGTCTCGGTGTCCCACCCCGTCACCGGGCGAGCCCGACGTCGTGCTCGCCGAAGTCACTTGTCAGATATGCACGGACGAGACGTCGGGAGAGCTGGTGCAAAACTGTTGCGGCAAGGTCGCCATCTACCTTGGGCCACCTTCCTCCGGCAGCGCCCAGCTCGCTGCCCGATCGCTGGCACGTCCTAAGCTACGGCCCGTGGATCTCGAAGCCTACTACGACTCGGTCGAGCGACTGGGCCTCACCTATCACGGCCACTTCCGGGGCCTTGTCGCCGCGGAGCGGACCCTCGGGCATTCCAGAGCCTGGGCTGCTTGGCCGCACGGGGTCGACGTCGACTTCGGCAACGTACCACACCCGGGATGCCTGGACACGGGGTTCCAGTCGCTGTTTGTCGCCTACGGGTCGCCGACAAGCGACCAGCTGTGGGCTCCGTACCTCCCCGTCGAGATCAAGCGCTTCAGCTTCGATCCGCACGTGGACTACCGGTGTGGGGAGGAGGGAGCGAGAATGGAGCTCGAAGCCTTCGTCACGCATGGCTCGGCCAAAGTGCTGCAGGGGGACGTCCACTTCTTCACCGAGGAGGGCGGCGGCCGCTGCGGCATCCAGGTCGAGGGCATTGTGCTCCACTCGTTCACGGAGCCCAAGCCGTCCAACGACAGGCTGCTCTTTACCCAGACGCTCTGGAAGTCCGACATGCTGGGCGGCTGCCTCGACGCCGAGCTTGCGCGCGCGGCGGCCTCGGCACCACACGATCCCGAGCTCATGGAGGCCATCGAACGGGTGGCGTTATACTACTTCTGCCGCCTCTCGGCCGCGATCCAGCCCGACGAGGTGGACAGTATGAAGTGGCATCACCAGCAGCTGCTGAAAGTCGTGCGGATGAGGATAGCGGAGATCCGCGACGGAGCGGACGCCGTCGCCAAGCGGGAATGGCTGGAGGACACGCGCGAAGACATCGAGGCGCTCGTATGCAAGTTTCCGGGGCAAATCGACCTCCGGCTCGGCTCGGCCATAGGGGACAACCTCATCGACATCGTGCGCGGTAAGACGGAGGCGCTGCAGGTGATGATGGAAGACGACATGCTGGGCTGCCTGTACAGCGACGGCTGCGGCTTTGGCTTTCTGAACAACTTCCTCTCGCTCGCAGCATCACGCATCACGCACAAGCACCCCCGGATCGACATCCTGGAGATTGGCGCCGGCACGGGCGCAGCCACGCGCCGAGTGCTGGATGTCATCGGGCAGTGCTACGCGTCTTACACGTACACCGATATCTCGGCCGGCTTCTTCGGGAAGGCCGCCAGCAAGTTCTCGGACCACGGCGGCAAGATGAGCTTCCGAGTGCTCGACGTCGAGAAGCCGCCCGGCGAGCAGGGCTACGCGGAGCACTCGTACGGTCTCGTACTGGCCTCCAACGTGCTGCACGCGACCCGGAGCTTGCGAGAGACGCTACGACACACCAGATCCCTCCTGAAGCCGGGCGGATATTTACTCTTGGCCGAGGTCACGGGGGAGCTTCTCCGCTTCCTCCTCCTGATGGGCTCGCTGCCCGGCTGGTGGCTAGGCGTCGACGAGGGCCGCACCACGGGACCGGGGTCCTCGCTTCTCGCCTGGGACCAGGTGCTACGCGAGACGGGCTTCGCCGGCGTGGACATCAGCGCCATCGACAACCGCGACCCCAAGATCCACTCCTTCTCGGTCATCGTCAGCCAGGCATTGGACGACGACTTCGCCCTCATCCGCGACCCCTTTTCATGGATCCCGGTGGCCGGTCCTACTACTACTACTACGACGGGCTCGCTTCTCATCATCGGTGGCAAGACGCTCGCCACGGCAAAGCTCATCCAGCAAACCCAGAAGCTGCTGCCGTTTTCCCGCAGCAGCACAGTGGTCGTCGATAGCGTCGACCGCATCCAGGGCCGGCACGTGGCCGCCGCCGCCGCCGCCGGTACATGCGCAGTGCTATGCCTCGCCGAGTTGGACGAGCCCATCTTCGCGGCCGGCGGCGTGATGATGACGGACGAGCGGATGCACGCGCTCCAGACGCTCTTCGGCAGCGCCGGCAGCATCCTGTGGGTGACGGAGGGCCGCCGGCTCGGCGGCGAGCCCCTGGCGAACATGACGGTGGGGCTAGCACGGGCGCTGCTGGAGGAGCTGCCGCACCTGACCCTGCAGCTTCTGGATGTCGATGATGGGAAGGAGACGCTCAAGGCGCACGGGCTGGCCGAGGTGTTTCTGAGACTGCTGGTGTCGACCGAGCTGGAGAATAAAACGGGGAGGAAGGGGAATGGGAACGGGATGATGCTGTGGACTATTGAGCCGGAGCTTTACTACGACGGGCAGGCCATCCACATCCCGCGCATCGTGCTCGATCGCCCTGCCAATGACAGGGCCAACGCGTCGAGACGCAGGATTGCACGGCAGGTGGACTTGAACGACGAGACGGTGGAGATCCGGCCGGGACAAGGGGGCCTGCGGCTGGTCGAGAACGGGAACTGTGGGTCAGCGCCGGAGCAGCAGGAGCAGCAGCACGGCGGCGGGTATGAGACTATCAGGGTTCGGTATTCCATGGAGCTCCACGCCGATGATGTGGCACGCAACGAGGTCTTGTGTCTTGGAGTCTTGGCCGTTCGCGGAGATGAAGATGACCAGAAGATGGTGATGGCCTTCGCCGACGCACACGCCTCCTTGATCCGGCCGGCCGCCGACGAGGTGTATGTCCTCCCGGACCACGAGCGCGGCTGCGCGGAGTTGTTAGCCGCTGCTGCCCGCCAGCTCATTGCCGCGGCTATTCTCGCAACACTTGATCGTCATCCTGCTGCACTGGCGGTTGTCGTCCACGGGGCGGATGAAGGTCTTGCCGACGCTGTAGCGCGAAGAATCAAGGAGCACGACGACCGACGGGGGCGGGGCGATCTGCACTTCTCCTCGAGCTGCGCCCCGGACGCGCTGCCTGAGGATTGGCTCAGCCTGCATCCCAGCAAGACCGCGCACTCCATCCGGCTCACCCTCCCCAGGGTTTCTGGTTTGTTCATAGACCTGTCGGGCGATACGAAGGTGGCGTCACGACTCCCTCCTACGTGGGCCGTCCACCGATATGACAGGTTCGCGTCTTCACCGGCTAAGCAGTTGGATGATGCCTTCACCCATGCCGTGATGGCAGAAAACACGACGCCAAGGGAGAAGCTGAATATCCTACCAGTTGAAGAGATTGCTGCGTCTCCGGGTACTACTACCTTTGTGGCGGCCTGCCCGGCCGTGGTGGACTGGACGACGGCCTATCAACTCCCCGTGGACATGGAACCGCTGGACGCTGGGCGGCTCGTCCATCCAGACAAGACATACCTGATGGTCGGTATGACCAGTGAGCTCGGCTTGTCTCTCTGCCGCTACCTGGTTGTCCACGGGGCACGCCACCTCGTGCTCACCAGCAGGAATCCGAGTATCGGTCAGGACTGGCTGGACGAGATGGCCCGCTACGGCGCAACCATCCGTGTATACGCTGTGGACGCCTCCGACATGCCGTCTCTCCGCTCCGCCGTGGACGAGATCTCGCAGGCGATGCCCCCAATCGCGGGCGTGTGCAATGCCGCCCTTGTTCTGTCCGACAGGCTGTTCCTAGACATGAGTGCCGAAGAGATGCAGGTGCCATTCCGCGCCAAGGTCCAGGGAACCAAGAACCTGGACGCCCTGTTTTCGAATACTACCGGCTCGCGCCCGCCCCTCGACTTCTTCGTCTGCTTCTCCTCGCTCGGCAGCATCACCGGCAATGCCGGCCAGTCGAACTACCATGCCGCCAACATGTTCATGGCAGGTCTCGCAGCCCAGCGGAGAGCACGAGGGCTCGCGGCCAGCGTCATCCACATTGGTCTGGTTGTCGACGTCGGGTATGTGGCTCGCGCGGGACGGCAGATAGAGGACCACCTGCGGTCGCGATTCTATCTGCCGCTTTCGGAGCCAGACATCCACAATGTGTTTGCCGAGGCCATCCTGGCCAGCAGCCCCGTGTCGGGAAGGGCCGAGATCATATGCGGCATGGAGCCGTCCAGCAATGCGCCCGGGGCCAAGCGGACAGCGCCCTGGATCAACAACCCTCGCTTCTCGCACATGATCATGGAGAGGAGCACAGCCGCGAGCCAGGAGAACGCTACAGCGCAGCAGCAGCAGCAGAGCGTGCACATACGGCAGCTCATGGAAGAGGCCCGTGACGACCCCGAAGCGACGGTGCGGCTTCTCACGACGACGTTCCTAGCCAAGGTCGAGAACATGCTTCAGCTGGCGCGTGGTACGGCCAAGGCAGAGGCGCCTCTGGTCGACCTGGGCTGCGATTCCCTGTTGGCGGTGGAGATCAGGGCCTGGTTCCTCACCGAGGTCAACGTCGAAGTGCCCATCCTGAAGATCCTCAGCGGGGATACCATTGCCGAACTCTGCACCGCCGTGGCCAACCAGTTTGTTGCCGCGCTCGCGGGCAAGCCTGAAGCGGCCACATCCGACGTCCGCGGCGCAGTCCCAGTTCCCCAGACTTTCGAGGAGCCCGAGCGACCCGTCCCCGCCGGCTCGACAGACCAAGGAACTTACGGAGGCGCATCGGGCGTGTCGGAGCCGGACACGTCAACGTCAACGTCGAGAACGACGCGTGGGAGCACATCAGCCGACACCGAGGTAACAGCTAGCCAGGCTCTGCTACAGACCCCCGTGCTTGAGGAAGCGCCTGCTGAACGAGATCTTGTCAGGTGTGAGCCCATGTCGTATGCGCAGGCCCGGCTCTGGTTCCTGAGGACCTTCCTACCCGATCCAACCACCTTCAACATTGTCGTTTCGTTCCGGGTGGAAGGCCGCCTTCGCCCTCACCGACTGCGAGATGCCTTTCAGCAGGTTCTGTCCCGGCACGAGTCCCTCCGTACCTGCTTCTTCACGCATCCCATCAGTGGCAGGCCGACCCAGGGCGTGCTACCGGAAGCTCGCGGGGCCATGGACGTGGTCTCGAGCGGGGGCGATGCTGCCGTCGTCGAAGAAGTGTTCTCGCGGTATAAGACGCACCATTGGCAGCTTGAGCGCGGCGACGCCATGCACGCGACCTTGGTTTCCCACTCTCCGGATTCGCACACATTCGTCCTCGGCCATCACCACATTCTGATGGACGGCACGGCGCTCTACCTCTTCCTGCGAGACCTGGATCACGCCTATCGGATGGCGACCGCGACGCTGCCTCCGGTGTCCGTGCAGCCCTGCGACTTCGCCCGTGCCGAGCGAGAACAGACCACGCCGAGCAAGCTGCGCGCGGAGCTGGAGTACTGGAAGGCCGAACACGCCAGGCTGCCCGATCTGCTTCCCTTGCTTCCCTTCGCGCGCGTCAAGTCCCGCAAGACGTGCGACACGTGGGACGGCAACACATGCGGCCACGAGATGTCGGCCGCGCTGACGGCCAGGATCAAGACGGCGTGCCAGGGGCTCGGCATCACGCCGTTCCACTTCCACCTCGCCACGATCCAGCTGGTGCTGTGCAGGCTGCTCGACATCGACGACATCTGCATCGGCATCGCAGACGCCAACCGGGCGGACGACGGGCTCGCCAACACGGTCGGCTTCTTCCTGAATCTCCTCCCACTGCGCCTACGTCTGACTCCGGACAACAATGGTTTGTGTGATGCTCGTTTCGCCGACGTCGCCAGGTCCGCCTCGGCCAAGGCGCTGGCGGCCTGCAACCACGCCAGGGCGCCGTTCGACCTGATACTGGACGCCGTCGGCGCGCCGCGGTCCTCCAGCCACAGCCCCCTTTTCCAGGTGGCCGTCAACTACCGGCCCGTGACGCTCACCGAGGCGCCTCTGGGCGACTGCCGCATGGTTGTGACGTCGCACCACGACGCCCGCAACCCGTATGATCTGGCCTTCAACCTGGTGCAGACGCGGTCCGGGACGACGTGTCTGGTCGAGCTGACCACGCGGGATTATCTGTACTCGGCCGAGTCGTGCCAGCTCCTCTTGCGGATCTACATCGACGCCCTGGAGCGCCTCTCCACCGAGCCATACTGCTCCGTCAGCGAGCTGCAGGCCGGGCAGCACGTCATCTCGGACCATCATCCACCCAGCATCAGCCGCGGGCCTACCGTCGACTTTGGATGGCCAACCACCCTGGTGGAGCGGTTCGACGAGATGGCTGCGGCGGACCGTCATGCACACCACGTCGCGGTGGTTGACGCGGCGGAGCGAGTGACATACGCCGAGCTAGCGCAGCGCAGCCACCGAATCGCGGCGTCGCTCTTGGACATCCTGGATCATGCCAGGCAGGGCGCCGCCATGGCGGTGCTGCTCGAACCCACGGTCAGCACGGTAGCCGCCATGCTCGCCATCCTCCGCATCGGATGCATCTACCTCCCCCTGGACCTGAGCATCCCGCAGGCCCGGCACGCCGCCATGCTCGAGGACGCCAACGCGGCCGTTCTCGTCTGCGACGATGCCACGGTCGTCCTCGCGCACCAACTCCTCCTCCAAACCACCATCGACTCAGAGTCAGACTCAGGAGTACGACCAGTAGTAGACGGCAAAAAGAAACTCAAAATCCTCAACCTCACCACCGATCTATCACTACCATCACCCCATCACCATCTCCCCATCCACAACGCCTCCTCCTCCGCCTCCACGGCCAACGCCCCTTCCTTTCTCCTCTACACAAGCGGCTCAACCGGCCGCCCGAAGGGGATCCTCCTAGCCGAGCGCGGCGTGCTCAACTACCTGGCAGCAAAGTCTGCGCGCCTGCACCTCAACGACGAGTCTGATGTCGTAGTGGCCCTGCAGCAGAGCTCGCTGGGCTTCGACATGTCGCTCGCGCAGATGTTCAACGCGCTCGCCAACGGCGGGCGCGTGGTCATGGCGCCGCGCGCCGCGAGGGGCGATCCGGTCGCGCTGACGAGGCTCATGCGCGACGAGGGGGTCAACTTCACGATTGCTACGCCTAGTGAGGCCGCGCTGTGGTTGCGGTATGGTTATGGTGGTCTTTTTGGTAGTACTGCTACTAGTAGTAGTGACTGTAATAAGTGTGAGTGCGAGTGTGAGTGTGAATGGAGGTGGAGGTGGGCTTGTCTTGGGGGGGAGGTGGTTACGCCGGCGTTGAGGGAGGAGTTTAGACGCTTTCGGGATAGGGCGGGGTTGGGGGGAAGGTTTGTGGTCACTGAGTAAGTTTTCAAGTTCTTAATTTTTTTTTTCTTTTTTGTTTGCTTTTGTGCTTCAAATGGTTGGTTGCTGACCGACCGGGGCTAGTTGCTATGGCCCGACCGAGCTGTCCTGCGCGACGAGCTTCGAGACGGTTTCGCTCGACCATCCTGAGTGTCAGCCTGTGCTGGATGACTTCTCGAGTATTGGCAAGCCCATTGCCAACACGACGATTGTCATCGCCAATGAGCTTGGCGAGCCCGTCCCCACCGGCTTCCCCGGCGAGATCTGTGTCGGGGGCGTCGGCGTCGCGCTGGGGTACTCGCCCTCGGCTGCGTTGCACGACGACCGCTTCGTTCCGAACCGCTTCGCCACGGCCGAGGAGCGGGCGGCGGGACTCACCACCATGTACAGAACCGGCGACAAGGGCCGCCTTCTCCGCGATGGATCGCTCGTCTTCATGGGCCGCTTGGACGGAGACAGCACGGTCAAGCTTCGCGGTCTCCGCATCGACCTGGACGACGTCGCCAGCAACCTCATCCGCGCATCCGGGGGGAGTGTTGTCGACGCGTGCGTGGTGGTTAAGGGGGAGGAGGAAGAGACAGAGCGTCTTGTCGCCTACGTCGTGCTGGCCGAGAACGCGTCGGAAACCGTGGCAGAGCTCGCTCGCGCCATGAAGAACATGCAGCTTCCCCGGTACATGATCCCTTCGAGGCTCGTTTCCCTGGATCGCCTGCCGACGAGCGCGAACGGCAAGGTCGATCGCCGTGCGCTGGCGTCATTGCCTCTGGCGCTCGTGGAGGACCCGGAGTTCGAGACGAAGCCGCGACGTGAACAGGGGCTGACGCTGCTGGAAGGGCAGCTCAAGCTTATTTGGGAAGACGTGCTCGGGCAGAGCGCCGACCGGGAACCGTTGGCGCGGGACTCGGACTTCTTCATGGTCGGCGGTAACTCCCATCTCATCGTCAAACTGAGGGCGGCCATCGAGGAAACGCAGGGCGTGTCTGTCCCGCTCCGAGACCTCTACAGCGCCAGCACGCTCGCCTCGATGGCCGCCACGCTTGCCGCGGAGCTCGGAGCTCACAAACCGGTCGAGATCTGCTGGGAGACAGAGCTGGACACCTTGCACGCGCGGTTCCTCGCCAGCGAGGGCGCGTCAAGCGCCGCCGCCGCCGTGCCGCGCAGTCCCCGCCAGCCCAACGAAGAAGGTATTCAGGTCGTGCTGACGGGCGCAACCTCCTTCCTGGGCATGGCGATCCTCAGAGCCCTCCTGCAGCACGACTCGGTCTCCAAGATCCACTGCCTGGCCGTTAACCCGGACGACCCGTCCCTTCTCCCCACCACCACCACCAACACCACCGCCGCTTCTTCCCCAGACAAAGGCAAGCTGGTCGTCTACCACGGCAGCCTCGCACGCCCAGACCTCGGCCTAGCCCCGGCGGAGTGGTCCGCGCTCGAAGCGAACACAGACCTGATCCTCCACGCGGGCGCCCACGGCCACTGCCTCAACAGCTACCACTCCCTCGTGGCGCCCAACGTCCACGCCACCCTCCGCCTCGCCCAGCTCGCCCGCGCCGCCGCCGCCGCCCGGGGTGGTAGTAATGGTGTACCGCTGCACTTCATCTCGTCTAACCGTGTCGCCCTGCTAGGCGGCGGCACTGCAGCCCTGGGTCCGGTGGCCGTGCCGCATCACATCCACCCGCCGCAGGACGAGGGGGGGTTCACCAGCAGCAAGTGGGTGTGCGAGCGCATGCTCGAGCGCGCCGTCGCCACCACCCCCGCCAATGATGATCATCGGGATAGGGGGTCTTCTGTGTGGAAGGTTGTCATCCACCGGCCGTGTGCGCTGGTGGGCGAGGACGCGCCGGCGCACGACGCGCTGAACGCGCTGCTGCGGTTTGCGCGGCGCATGCGGGCCGTGCCGGACACTAGTACTGCGAATATGGCCGGGTGGTTGGATCTCAAGTCTGTCGACGAGGTGGCGGCCGATGTGGTTTCGGATGCGATGCGCGACGCTCTGAGTTATGCTACTACTAGTAGCACTAGTAGCGGTGGTGGTGGTGGTGGTGGTAATAAAGATGATGATGACGGTGATACTCAAAGGGAGAAAGAAGGAGGAGGAGGACCAGGAGGAGCGGTGGTGAGGTTCAGGCATCATACCAGCGGGGTGAGGGTGCCAGTGGCCAGGTTCAGAGAACGCATGGAGGAGCTGTATGGCGGGCGGTTTGAGGAACTGGAGATGGGGGAGTGGTTGGAGCGGGCGAGGGGCTTGGGGTTGGAGGAGCTGATTGTGAGTTATTTGCAGAGTTTGATGGACAAGGGGGAGACGGTTGTGTTTCCTTACATGGGCGAGGCTGATTCTTCGTGAGAAGAAGGGGACGGGAGGGAGAGCTGGGAGTTGTTTGTTTTTTCAAAGGTTTATATATCTCCTGGATTAGTACCCAGCTAGGAAGTCCGTTTCTCTTTTTTCTATCTTTGAATTTCCACCAAACATTCTGTACCGGGGAAGTAAGCATCATTGGTCGGTATATTTTGAGCGGTGTCTGCCTTGCCCGGAGACCATCCTTATTATGGCAGTCGCCAAACCAGGTGACGGGCTTGCTCACTGTGTGTCTGTTACTTTGTGATAATAAGGGAGAGACGATCGATTTGAAATCAGCCCGGGTGGTCGAAAATGGATTGATGAACGGCTCCCCTGCTGCGAGCGCGCCCCGCTGGCGCTGGCGGGGGAGGGGCACGCTGGTTGGACCGCCCCACTAAAATTTCGACCCCGTTGTCGGAGCTTACAGCTTCGTCCCGCGATTGAGTCACTCATTGACGGGGATTTCCCTCATGCCGGCTACCTACCACCTTATATTTGAGAACGGAGGCCCGCTGAACCTGCCTCCCGGGACCCAGAGCTGACCATCCGCAACACGTCGTCCACAATGGCTGAAATACCAGACCCAACAATCGACTTGGACTGGTCGGGCTACGTCGGCTCGATCCAAGAGCACTTCCGAGCCCAGGCCGAGGCCCATCCGGACCGCACATGTGTCGTCGAGACCAAGTCGTCCACCATCCCGGAGAGGCGCTTTACCTACCGCCAGATCTACGAGGCCGCCAACACGCTGGCATGGTACCTGCACAATGCTGGCGTCACCAACGGGGACGTGGTCATGATCTGGGCGCATCGCTCGGTGGACCTGGTGGTGGCGCTCATGGGCATCCTGGTATGCCCCTCTTCGGTGTTGTAATTGCCTGCCCATTCTGACACCTCGGGTTTATTTCACAGGCTTCTGGCGCGACTATGACTGTGCTGGACCCCGCGTACCCTCCGGCACGACAGCAGATCTACCTCGAAGTCTCCCAGCCGAACGCCCTGCTGAGGATCGGCCGGGCCACCGACGAGAACGGGCCCCTGGCCCCCTTGGTTCAGAAGTACATTGACGACGCGTTGCAACTGAAGACCGATGTCCCCGACCTCAGACTCCGTGACGATGGCATTCTCTACGGCGGCGAGGTCGACGGTCAGGACATCTTCGCCGGCGTGAGGGGACTCGCTTCTGCCCCTCCGGATGTTCTCGTCGGGCCGGACTCAAATCCCACGCTCTCCTTCACATCCGGCAGCGAGGGGCGGCCGAAGGGTGTACTGGGTCGGCACTTCAGCCTGGTTAAGTACTTCGGCTGGATGGCCGAGCGTTTCAACCTCTCGTCGGAGAGCCGATACACGCTGCTGTCCGGCATCGCCCATGACCCCGTGCAGCGCGACATCTTTACCCCGCTCTTCCTCGGCGCGCAGCTGCTGGTGCCTTCCAAGGAAGACATCCAGCACGAGAAGCTCGCCGAGTGGATGCGCGAACACAAGCCCACCGTGACCCATCTCACCCCCGCCATGGGTCAGATCCTCGTCGGCGGCGCGACCGCCGAGTTCCCCAGCCTGGAGCACGTGTTCTTCGTGGGAGACGTGCTCACCACGAGGGACTGCCGGGCCCTCCGGCGACTTGCGGTCAACGCCAACATCATCAACATGTACGGCACGACCGAGACCCAGAGAGCAGTGAGCTACTACGAGATCCCGAGCCGGGCGCGGGATCCGGACTTCCTGGACAGGCTCAAGGACACAGTCCCCGCTGGGAAGGGGATGCAGAACGTCCAGCTGCTGGTTGTCAACCGGGAGAACCGGACCGAGATGTGCAAGGTGGGGGAAGTGGGCGAGATCTTTGTGCGCGCTGCCGGGCTTGCAGAGTGGGTTTCATGTATTCCTCCTTGTATCCTCGTGCTCTGCTAACCCCCGACCGTCCGTCTTAGGGGCTACCTAGGAGACCAAGCGTTGAACCAACAGAAGTTCTTGATGAACTGGTTCGTCGACAACCAGAAGTGGGTGGAGGCTGATCAGAAGACCAACAAGAACGAGCCGTGGCGGAAGTACTACAAGGGGCCGAGAGACAGGCTATACCGTACCGGAGACCTGGGGCGGTACCTCGATTCAGGAGATGTCGAGTGTGTCGGGCGCGCCGACGATCAAGTCAAGATCCGCGGCTTCCGCATTGAGTTGAACGACATCGACAGCAATCTGAGCCAGAACCCGCTCATCCGCGACTGCAAGACGCTTGTGCGGAGAGACCGTAATGAAGAGCCCACTCTCGTCAGCTACATCGTCCCCGAGATCAGGGAGTGGCAACGATGGCTTCATGACCGAGGTCTGGAAGACGTGGAAGACGAGGGTGTCGAGATGGGCCCCGTCACAGTCTTCCTCAAGAAGTACAGGAGAATGCAGACAGAGGTGCGGGATCACTTAAAGAGCCGGCTGCCAACCTACGCGGTGCCCACCATTTACATCGTGCTCAACAAGCTCCCTCTCAACCCGAACGGCAAGGTTGACAAGCCCAACCTCCCGTTCCCGGACGTTGCCGAGCGTGTGGAGGACGCGTCAGAGGAGGACATCAAGAGCTGGGAGTCACTCACCGAGACCGAGCGGACCGTGGCCCAGCTGTGGGCCGATGTCATCCGCGGCCTCAACCCGAAGACCATCAAGAGGGACAACGGGTTCTTCGATCTCGGCGGGCACAGCTTGCTAGCCCAGCAGTTTCTCCTGACGGTCCGCAAGAGCCTGGGCACAGATGTCCCGATCAGTACGCTCTACGGACACCCTAGCCTGGCCGGTTTCAGTGCCCAAGTCGACAAGCTCCGGAGTCACGAAGGCGGCGATGTGGGGCCTGAAGCCGGGGAAGACGCCTATGCCAAGTCTCTGGATGAATTACTGCGCCAGCTCCCCGAAACGTTCCTGTCTGCGGACGCGGAGACTCTTGCCTCGGCCGAGAACCTGACCATCTTCCTCACTGGCGCGACTGGTTTCCTGGGGTCATACCTTTTGCGGGACGTTCTCGACCGGACAGCCCGAAATGTCAAGCTGATCGCGCATGTCCGTGGTGTCAAGGAACCTTCAGCGGCTCTGGCGCGCCTTCAGCGCTCCCTCCAGGGGTACGGCCTGTGGAAGGACGAGTGGGCCGGCAGGCTAAGCGCCGTTGTCGGTGACCTTTCCAAGGCTCAGCTGGGCATTGACGATGCCACCTGGCAGACCCTGGCGCAGGAAGTCGACGTCGTGATCCACAACGGCGCTACGGTTCACTGGGTCAAGAGATACCAGGACATGATGGCACCCAACGTTCTGTCGACTGTCGATGCCATGAGGCTCTGCAACGAAGGCAAGGCCAAGGCATTCTGCTTCGTTAGCTCCACCAGTGTCCTTGATACCGACTACTACATACAGCTGTCAGAGAAGCAAACCAGCACCGGCCAGGGCGCCGTCATGGAGGAGGACGACATGAACGGAAGCCGGACCGGCCTTGGCACCGGCTACGGCCAGACCAAGTGGGTCTCGGAGCAGCTCATCCGGGAAGCCGGCAGGCGTGGTCTCCTGGGCTCCATCGTCCGGCCGGGCTATATCCTGGGCGACTCCGAAACGGGCGTCTGCAACGTCGACGACTTCCTGATCCGCATGCTGAAGGGCTGCATCCAGCTTTCGGCTCGCCCGCACATCATCAACACCGTCAACGCCGTCCCCGTCAACCACGTCGCTCGGGTTGTCGTAGCATCGGCGCTCAACCCGCTCTCCAGCGGCGGCGTGCACGTTGTCCACGTCACGGCCCACCCCCGCCTCCGCATGAACGAGTACCTGTCCATCCTCGAGTACTACGGCTACAAGACGCCCGAGGTGAGCTATCAAGCGTGGAAGGAGGAACTCGAGAAGTTCGTGTCGGCCGGCGCGCTGGAGAAGGACCAGGAGCAGCACGCGCTGATGCCGCTCTACCACTTCTGCATGAACGACCTGCCGGCCAACACGCGGGCGCCCGAGATGGACGATCGCAATGCCGTGGCGGTTCTCAAGGCGGACGCGGACCGGTGGACCGGCGTCGATGACAGCACGGGACATGGCATCAGCAGGGAGGATGTCGGGCGGTACCTGGCCTATCTCGCCGAGGTCAGGTTTGTGCCGCGGCCGAGCGGCAGGGGCCGGCCGCTGCCGGAGATGAAGCCCGAGGTGTTGGCTGCGCTGGCCGCGGGTGGCACCGGCGGGCGTGGTGGTGCGCATTAGACTGTAGAGTGGGTTAAGTTGGGTTTGTGTGGGCTGTGGCAGTGAGGGAAAAGATAAAAAGCGCGGGTCCATTTACTCTCGACTGGGTTTGACAAGCCAGATTTCTAGCCATCTTACGTCCCAGGTTATAGCGTGCTTTGCATGGATTGACTGATGAATGTCTTGCATTGCATTCTGGTTCATTCCTTGAGGAGTTTGCCTACAATGGTGTATACTGTTTGTTCCCTTCGCGACACAGCAACGGATATGGCCAACCTCTTAGCAGGGTACGTCCTCGCAACTTCAGCAACGCTAACCGTCAATCTATAGCTAAGGAATGGATGCGGCTCAGTTGATGATTGCCTTAGGTGGCTCAGCTTCGAATCCTTACTATCATGGTGGGTTTCGAGGAAGGTCAGCTAGGCCCACTAGTTGCACCACGTAAGCGCTGACAGTCGGATCATGGATGGTCAGGAGACATCCGTCCAGAACCGTTATAGCGCCCCCCTCGGCAGTTGTCGATTTGGCGTTCGATAATGCCCCAGCTCTGATTCACTCAAATGTGCTCAAAAGCCTAGCCCAACCCCCGCACACCCACCACTCTGGGCAGCTCCTCCTGCTTTGGAGAGCGGCCGTCCTGCGAGGCAGGCCCGGCTCTTGTTTGCAGACCCGAACGCGGTGCCACCGAGGGGGGGGCGGCAATATTTCAAAGTCTGCGTATCTGCCGTGGGATTTGCCTTACAAGACGGGGGGGCAGAGATATCCTAGTATATTGCTTAATACCGGCCATAGGAGATCACGGGCGCAGGCAGCTTTATTAGCCGGTCGAACCAGGATCTCAGCTCGGCGGTTTATGATCTACATGGGAATGCAACACCAAAAAGAGAATCCCGTATCCGCCTTTGCATCAGTGCGATAGTCTTGAATTTGTCCAGAGAGCTACTCCGGAAAGCTGGACTTGGTTCAATCGCAGTCTATGTCGTTGCGAATGCCTGTTTCTGAGTAGAGTTTACTACCCGGACAGTGCACAAGCTCTCGCATACTAACAATATATCCTTACTTAAACGACCCCTAATATGAGACTGTGCTGACCAAGGAGGTCTTCTGATTTAGCCTCATAGCAACGCTCCATCTTGTGCCTACTAGGCTGCTGTCGTCTTCACTTGTACGGTTATTTACACAGTTTCCCCACAATGATCCCTTCGTTCGGTACTTGGGGTTGTGCGGCTACCGCGCTGTCAACCCTTTTAGCTGAAGGATGATCATAAAGGAGCTGTCCCCCCTTTGCTCCTGGGTCCCGGAAAGCTGCTTGTCGTTTTCGGTGGCGTGTGCGCTCCAACGACCTCACTCACCCTTGCCACTGCCTAGTAGTGGGACTCTCAACTTGTCCCCCAACTCTCAAGTCAATATGAAGATCCCTGCTGGAACCATCCTCCCTTTCGCGCCCTGGATCGCTCCCAAGGCGGCGCTGAGAGGGGTCCAGGACATCACGTCCGAGTCTGCTCTGAGCGTCATCCGCGCCGCGGGCGCCGGCGCAAGCTGCGACTGGTTCGAGCAGCCTGTCGACCACAAGAATGCGAGCCTCGGAACGTGGCAGCAGCTGTACTGTGTCAACCCCCAGTGGTGGGCGGGCCCGGGATCTCCGGTGAATACACGCTTCTCAGAGTCGTCGTCGTGCTTAAACTCCTTGGCTATTATTAGCCTATATTAGAGCTTCAGCTCAGTCCCATTGATGATAGAAGCGACCCACTGATTCCGGGAATTGTTGCCTGGCAGGTCGTTCTGATGACCCCCGGCGAGAACCCCATCACAGCCGCCATCAACTCGGGCCGCGGATACACGTACCTGGACAACACGACCCTGTCGGGCGCGTACGCCCAGGCCCTCGGGGCTGCCGCAGTCGTGGTTGAGCGTGCGTATTTGTCAACCTTTTGCCATCCATCACACACATCACGAACCTCTGAACTGAGAGATGGGTTCTATGCTATATGACAGATCGGTATTTCGGCGGATCCTCTCCGTACGACGGCTTCGACTCGGAGACGCTCCAGTACCTCACCATGGAGCAGGCCGCAGCAGATATCGTGGCCTTTGCGCAGAACGTGACGTTCCCGTTCGACAAGAACCAGACGAGCGTTGCGTCCAAGACGGTGAGTCGAATATTGTACTTGACAGATGAAAAGGCACCAACGATCAGTACTGACCGACCGGCGGATACTTACCTTATATAGCCGTGGGTCTACTGGGGAGCGTCCTACTCGGCCACGCTGGGCAGCTGGATCGAGCATTTCAAGCCCGGCGTGTTCCATGCGTTCCATCTCAGCAGCGCCTCCGTCGAGGTCAACACCGACAACTGGTACTACTACGACACCATCCGCAAGGGGATCGACAGGTACCGCAACGACACGAGCTGCAGTCTCGCTCTCAACGAGGTCGCCAAGTACGTCGACAGCTTGCTGCTGGCACCGGACGTCAACCAGACCAAGGTGGACGCGCTGAAGCAGTTCTTTGGCGCCACTTTCCCAATTGCGGATGACGATTTTGCCTAGTACGTTTCTTCTACTAGTACTAGTACTACTAGTAACTTTGATCTGTCCCAATAGCCATAGTGAGTGAGTACTCGTACTGACCGGCCTTGCCTCAGCGCGATTGCAACACCGTTCAGGTACTGGCAGGAGACGGGCGGCTACCGCGACGTGCTTGAGATGTGCGATGCCGTGGTCGGCGTCAACGACACGGTCGAGGACAAGGTGCTGGGCACGGTGCCGGCCTCGGTGGTCAACTACGCCGCCTACTTCCGGATGAACTTCCGCGATTCGAGTAAGGGGCTACTCTCTTTCCCTCGCCAGTCCCCACAACCCCCGCCCCCCCCGCCCCCCCCCCCCTTTTCATCTATTACCGAACACTTAGTAGTAACGTATGTATCAATGTCCACCAGCCTGCACGTACTTCGACGTCTGGGGCCAGGAAGACCCGCTGTGGTGCCTCAACACGCACGACCTGCTCAACCCCTTCTTCGAGGCGCGCACGCTGGGCAACCCGTGGCGCACCTGGTACTGGTTCCTGTGCAACGAGCCGCTGGCCTCGTGGGCCACGGGCGCGCCCGCCGACCAGCCGCTGTCGATCGTGTCGCGCAAGATCGACAGCCACTACTGGCAGCGCCAGTGCGAGATGCACTTCCCGCCCGAGAACGGGCAGAAGTACGGCAGCTCGAAAGGGTTGACCCCGGATACCCTGAATAAGGAGACCGGCGGGTGGGGTAGGAGGTCGACGAGGGTTATCTGGACGAGCGGGTGAGTATTTACTTTACTACTATACAAGTATTGTGTATACAACCGGATCTTACTAAAATGTATTGTACCCTACAGTGAATTCGACCCCTGGCGAGCGACCAGCATGTCGAGCGAGGTGCGGCCCGGCGGCCCGCTGCCGTCGTCGGACGACGTCGCTGTCTTCCTGATCAAGAATGCCGAGCACGCCGATGATGCCTTCACCGCGAGGGGGCTGGCCAACCTGAACATGAAGGTCAACCCGGAGGTGGCCAAGGTGCAGGACCAGGCGCTGCAGATCATGAAGAAGTGGGTGAGCGAGGCCCTTGTCGCCCACACTGGAACGTAGAGAGGTTGAGAGGGTTTAGGAGGCTGGAGGGAGATGGGGGTGGCTCATCGTTCCGTGTTTTATGATTTGGAATGCAGTTAGGTGTATGATACGAGTGACGTGCAGAAGATACTGATATCTGGCACTCTGAGCATGAACTTTGCTCCGGTTTTGCGATCATTGCACCAGTGAATCAATCCTTTTCGCGCTTATTAGTATGGAGTCAGCGTCAAAGATCCGTTGCTCACACCTCACTTCGTCGCTTCATCGACCTTTTCCCGCTCTGCGCCTTGCGACGGTAGAGAGCGTGGGAGATGCAGGCGGGTCAGATTGGCCCAGGGTCATTATTTCTTTTGCTTTCAAGTTCTAAGAATTACGTTCTTTTGGGGTAGGAGACTGGGTCTGTTCTGAGGAAGGTGCGTAGCTGGGGGCGACTGCTTTGTTGAGAGGAGACCTGGTTCAGTGTGGAAGGAGCAACTGGGTGTCTGGTCAATCGATGAGTAACCTCAGGTAGGTCCGAATTTGCTCGAGACGGCTCGGGATTCTCCAAAGCCTCTTACAACCAACATCACCAAGGCGCTCATCAGTTCTTGCTTTGGTTCGGTTCCGGCAGCCATCATATGTTAGGATTAACTCAATGGGTTACCAAGTCATCAGCTTTCCAGATCACTTTGCATTTCTCCAAGTATAGTGCCTGCTCAGCAGGCAAGCGAGTCTATTATTCAGCACTAGCAGTAGTGCTTGGTACCTAAGCACAGAGAGTGCTCCGACTGCGGCAACCAGCGCCAACATGATCCGGAGTCAAGAGTAGCCCAGCCCTCCCATCTCTCAAAGGACCCCGCCCGGAAGGGCAACAGGATGTTGGTAAGTAAATGGTTACCCCTTAACGACGCCTACCACTGCCACTACCGCCGCCGCCACCACCGCGTCTCTCGTACCTTTCCTCGTAGCGGGTCAAGTCCTCCGACCTCTCGCTGCGCGGCGGCCAGCTTTGACTGCCACCACTGGTGCCGGTGTTGCCGCCGCGGTAGTCATTGTACCGGTCCCGCTCAGCGCGGCCGGAGCGGTCGAGCGGCTCGTAGGGGAGGCGGTCGTAGCCTCTTGCGTTGCCTTCCGGGTGGCGCATCATGCCGACGGGAGAAGCGGTGCCGGTGCCGTCCCGGTTGGCGCTCGAGACGGCGCGGCGAGAGCCCGCGTCGTTGGGCCCGCCCTGCGCTGCTACACGGCGGCGGTCGTTGGGGTGCAGGTTCTCGGGCTGGGCGCGATCTACCTGCCGCAAGGTGGCGGCGCGGCGGTCAGGGTCGAAACGCGTGGGCGACGACGGCGGATGCACTGGAGTCTCGTAGTACCCCTGGGCAGCGGGGTTACGCTGCGTTATGCGCGGGTCAAAGTTCTGATGCTGGTCGGCTCCTCGGCCTTCGCTGTTGCGGTACTCGCCCGGGTACCCGCTGCGTCCTCCGCGGCGCGGGTCGCGCGAGGACGACTGCGCGTCAGCGACCGACACCGGGTAGCCGCCCTGCGACGTGTGGTATTGCTAAGACCAAGAGTGTTAGTCCCAAGGCACTCTGTAGGAATAGCGTGTCGTACTCACCAGGCCGCGCCGGTCCGTGTCCGTATTGCGCCTTGGACCTGAAGACATCTTGGTTGGGTAGATTCAAAGGGAGCACCGGGCTCAGGATAAATAAGAAAAGGAGCGTATTTAAAAGGGAGTGTGGGTTGTTGTTGTTATGCGTTGTTATGTTTGCTTGTTGTAGTACGGGAGAAGTCACATCTCTGCCCGGAAGGGAGCGCCCCTTTTATCTCCGTCCGGATTCGACAACACTCCCCTTACCGATGCTGTGGTCTTCCCGTCCTGGCTTCAAGACAACGGGCTCGGCCAGACACGCCGCCGCAAGGTCGGGGATGGTCATCGGCGTCTCACCGCGGTCTCCGGCCCGCCTCAGACACTACCAGTTGGACGGTTAGACCCCTTCGATGACATGAGCAGCTACCTTGCGGGTACGACCATAAGCATTCGTTGCCGGTCGGCAGCCCGAGAAACTGTCAGCAGTTGGCCAGTACGTGCCACTCCGGGCGGCGACAGGTTTCGCGATGGCTTCAGACCGGGGCCGCTGTGGGAACGCTAGGTAGGGACTGTTAGTCGATGAAAGGGCAACGAGCGTCGTGAATGTCAGACAGTCAGACAGTCAGACAGCCAGACCGGTCAGGGCGGGTCAAGGTTCGTCTAAGGATTCTGAGGTACTGAGTCCTGACCGGAGCCGGCTTGCTATTTCGGAACCTGCTAGGCAGGTCTGAGGCTTTGCAACTCGGACCGTGGACAACTTGTCATTGTGAACAGGTGGAGCACAGATCCTCCTGTGTGGCAGTATGTACAAGTACCGCAGTACCAAACTACCTGACCTACCGTATTGTATGGCTATTAGGAAATCAAAGCTCGGCATCTCTGTGCGGTGTGAGGTGCGATTTGCGAATAGCTTCCATGGCAGCGCCGCTCCTCGCCGCTCGGAGTCGGACCGGACTGACGTGAGTGACGTCTGCGTTACCCGAGTAGGCTACTTACGTCAGAACTATGATACACTCCGGCTTTCTGTGCCGCCCGGGTGTCACCTGCATGATCGAATAAGCAGTGCGGCCTCGCCATGGCTGCGCCGCTTGACCCAGCACGATAATTGGCTGCCATCGGAGACAGCCCCACGGCTGCAATGCAAACTCGCGCAGCTTGCTGACGGTTCAGCCCGATCCTACAGATCTATCTGAAGCACTGCATCTTACCATCGTGCTGTGTTGGGTCGCCTCTCAACAAGCGCCTCACAGCCACAGAAAGAAAGCTCTAGAGACCGACTGGGCGTGTGGCGACGTCACCACACCCCTTTTTACACTTTCTCCCTCCTCTGCCAGACTTCAGGTCTTCATACATCTTTGTTCTTACCGCCCTATGATTGCCTCTGGTTCGCACTTCAGGAAGCATCTAAAACATCAAGACCCTTTGCTGCTCAACTCCCAAATTCAAGTTTTGAGAGACAATCAAACAGCTTCCGCACCACAAAAACAAACAAGCAGCAGACATGGCCGCTCCTGGCAACACCCAGCAGCCAACGCCCGCGTGGCTGGCTCACATCGACGCGATGGCATCTGAGATCGTCCCCATGACGGTGCCCCTTGAGCTGGACACGCTCGCCATCATCAAGAAGATGCTGCTCGCCCCGGCAGACGACAATGACGGCGCCGTCGACAGAGCGGTGCAGGAGCTCCGCACCTACTACCGCACCACCGTTTCGTCCCCCGACGCGAGCGGCGGCGTCCAGGACTATCCCGCCAAGCTTGTCATGTTCGTTGTCGGCGCCGTCGTGGACCACGTCTTCGAGCTGGCCAAGGTCGTGGACCGGCGTGACCCTGCTCACAAGCGGCTTGCCGATCTCCTGGTCGGCCTGAAGCGGAGCGGTGCCGCAGTGAAGTTCGACGCCGAGGCATGTCATTTTGCATCCATCCATCCCCAATCTCTTACCGGAGGATACTTTTCGTACTGACCCCAGTATCTTTGCTTGGTCCAGAACCCCCAGCTAGGGTGGGAATCCGAGAACCTAGACTGGCACGCAGCCGAGATCTGGCGAAGTTTCACCCGTACGCTTTCTTTCTTCTCCTTCCCCCCTTTTTGTTTGTGTTTTCTTTTTCTTTTTCTTCTTCTTTTTTCCTTTGCTAACACATGTCCCCCCTCCCCCTTTCCCCACCCTTAGCGGACCACACCTCCCCAGCAGAAGAGTGCACCTCGGCCCTCAACACACACGCTCTCCTCGCCCGCCTCGTAGCAGGCGACTTATTCCCCGTCGACGGCGGCTGGCGCACCGCCAAGTGCATCTCGGAAGGGCTGCAGCACCCGCCCAGCCAGGAATTTGCCATCGACACCCCGCTCGTGCGCGCCTGCCGGGCGGCCATTGCCGCGCAGTACGTGCTCCTTGCCGGGGACGTGCTCGTGCGCCAGCTCGGCGCCGAGGGCGACGCTGCGCTGCGGCGGGCGGAGTGGCCTTCCTGGGCGGAGAGGTTGAAGACGCTGGCTGCTGCAGCGGCCGAAGACGGTATTCCGGAATGGGATCTGAAAGGGAGCGCGGCCGAGGCGGCGAAGAAAGTGGAAGGGTGGTTGAACTAAATCAGGTAGTTAGTAGGTAGCAAAGTGCCTCCGACGATGAAGTAGTCCTGTATGATTAGCTCTTGCTATCGGGATGATCAAATTTGGTGCTTCGTGTCGTTCCAAAAGGTCTAGCGGTCATTGGTTAGCTGAGTCATTGTTTCGTTAATCTCGGCTTTGTGACACGTCAAAAGCTGTCGCTGTGTAACGGCTTCATTCGAGTCTCGGGCTCGGCAACGGCTGTCTAAATAAAGAGAGGTGAGACAACGTAGAAATGAGCTGCAGTAAGGTAACCATGAGCCGTCGTGGAACATTGGCACAGTAGCATGCGATAATAACGTCACATAGAAAACTCAGGTTGCTGGTCGAGTGTGAAGCGAATATTGCTTTGAGGTCTCTCACCAGATCCCATATGTATATGAACAAACGCTTCCTGTCCGCCCCGTCAAATAAGGCTATCATATGAATGCATTGACCTGATGAGAACGGAAGGTGGAATATCACATAACGAATGGGAAAGGATGCAGAACAGAAAGAAAAATATACCTAAACATGGTGTTGACCAAATTCCTCCCTCTAACCTGCCTAACCAGCTTCCTCAGTTCCCGATTCCAATCCTCCAGTGTACTCGCCGGGACCCAAGACTCAATTCATCTGAAGTGCTCCTTCCACGGCCCTCTCACTCTGAAACTGACCGTCTAATTGGTCGCAGCGCCCGGTTCGACATAACCGCAGCAGAACGAACGGCGGGCACAGCAACGTCTGACGGTCCGGCTCCAGAGCCAGAGTCGCCTTCAATCTGCAACCGTGCGACGCCAACCCCTAGCTGCTGGCTAGCATCCTATGCTACCCTCGCAGCGGGCTTCATCCCGCGACGGCCAAGCAGCGTGGCACCATCTAAGTTGAGCTCGAATGGGCCCTTTTGCTTATTACGCTCGCGCACCTGTTGCCTCGCAGCTGCGGCAACCGTAGCCGAGTGCTGGCCATAACCGCGCTGCTCGGCAGCTGCCGCGGGTGGCGGGTGCGCTCTCCTCTCGCGGTCACGGCCCCGATGCTCCTGCTCGCGGATCTGTGTGTTTTTCATGCGTTGTTCGATTTGCTGAGTCGAGGAACCGGTGCCGACATTAGCATTTTGAAGGACTTGCGCGATGTTCTCGTCCTCCTCCATTTCGTCGTCTTCATCCAGCTCGTCAAGACGTGATACGCCAGCCTTGCCACCAATCTGTTTCCGCCGCTTGCCTTCCTCCTCCTGCCGGTGCACTGCGTAGCCGACATCGAAGACCTCGCGGAGGTTGATGGCAGCAGGAGACCGGAAGTCGTAGCGTTTGTCGCCCTCTACGAGCGAGCCCATATCAAAGGCGCGCAATGCCTGATCTGCCGGCAATTTCTTTTCCTCCCGTGGCGTAGGCCCGATCTCGCGGATCCAGGGGTGGGCGAGGAATTCTCTGATCGTATATCGCTTCTCCGGGTCCACGCAAAGTAGATGTGAAATCAAGTCCTTGGCTGACTGGCTGATGTCATCCCACCACGGCGAAAGGAATGTGTATTGGCCCTTGGCCACCTTCTCAGTGAGCACCTCAATGCTCTCGTCGTAGAAAGGCGGGAATCCACACAGCAACGTGTAGAGAACGCACCCCAGAGCCCACATGTCGACTGATTTCGAATACCTTTCGTCCTTGACGATCTCGGGCGCTGTGTACCCGACAGTGCCACAAGGTGTCATGGTCTGGTTGTCCCAGACGATCTTGGAAAGCCCGAAATCGGCAATCTTGATCTGCCCAATGCCACCGGCGCCAACGCCCCTGATGAATTCACCCTCGTCAACCTTGTCTTCATCCCCGGGCTGCTTAGGCTTCGGGTGCTTTGACGGGATGAAGGGTATGGGATTGAACAGGATGTTCTCCGGCTTGATGTCTCTGCGCGTCTCGGTCAGCGAATGCGTGATTCCACTGACAGGGACTACTGCCTACCGGTGAACAATTCCCCTCTCTTCATGTAGATACTCCAACGCCTTTGCGACCTGAGTGATGACGTGACGAGACAAATCTTCGCTGAAGTAGGTCAACCGCACGATTTGGTGAAACAGCTCTCCTCCAGGGGCCAACTCAAGGATGATGTAGTAGTATTGCCGAGACTCGGAGAAGTCGATGAGCTTGATGATGTTAGGGTGGTCGATCTGCTTCATGATCTGCACCTCCTTCAGGATATTCGCCCTCTACAGCCATGGTTAACTCTCATTGGAACGCACAGGGCCGGTTACGAGGTCTCCGGCGCTTGACTCGGAGTAAAGGCAGCCCCGCTGCCAAAGCACAAGTGCGCATGCGATTTAAGGAAGGGAGATTCCTCGCACCTCTGCAGCCTTTGGGGCTTTTGTCTTAAAGTCGGGATGAAGATGCTTTCTGCTCTAGAACGGCCCTAGAGTTGGTAAAGGAAACTTGAAAGGGGACAGAAAAGGAAACCCGAACAAGCAAAAAAGCAGGGCCGGCCAAGACGTGCACGAGTCCCATACTCCACGTACCTGCAAACTGTTCATCTCGAACTTGCGGACGACCTTGATAGCTACCTCTCCCAGGATTCCTTCGCGGTCTCGGGCCCGATAGACATTGCTGAAGGCACCGTCGCCCATCTTCTCCACGAGTTCCCACCGCTCGAGGCCCGGGTAGACGGGGAACTTGCTTTTGCTCTCGTTCTCTTCAGCAATAAGCTTTGCAATGTTTTCGTCGGGGATGCGCTTGTGTTGTTTCGCTTTTACTTCTGCGGCTTGGGGTTGGGCGGGGTCAGCGCGATTTGTTGCGTCGCGGCGATGTCTATCGGTATTGTCGCCCAGCAAAGGTTCTGTTGCTGCCGTCTTCGGAGGCTGTTGATGTTTGGGTTGCGGGTTGTCGTACTTTGCGCTTGCCGACGATTCGTCGGCCACCCGGGCTTGCTTGCCTATTGCGACATCGCATTAGCCCATCGAGTCCAAGGCACGAGCGGCAGGCATCGTCCTGCTGCTGCCCCTCCCGAAAAGTCATAACCCACCATGACGGATGAAATTTTTGAGTTGTTGTATTGTCGACATTTTGGCTTGCAATGATCCCTCTCCTTTGTTGCCGGTTTTCTAATCTCGGTTTGGCGATCTCGACGTTGTAGGGCACGAGGAAGTGTTGTGGACGGCTCAAACCGGAGGGGCGGAGTATCACCACTGGAAACGATGTAGAAGGCGGCGGGTCCCACCAATTTGCGTGAATGAGGCGGCCAAACACAAACGCCCCGCTGAGGATCGATCTGGAATGGCCAGGGGTGCTCGCTAAGTCGTAGATGTCGATGCGATTGCGGCGGATCGTGTGCGGGCGTGATGTGGTGGACACGTGGGAGCACTGGGGTTTGCTGTGGACCGGACCTTTGTCGATGAAGATAGCGAGGGATCAAGGTCTTGGTGGAGGGCAGTGGGATTGGCGAAAGTGAAATAAAATAAAATAGCGGGTGAGGGTTGAGGTCACTGTGACTGCAACCAAGGCACCGAAGTGATGAGGCCCGGAAATGTAACTGTTGGTGGGGGGATAGGCCTCAAAATAATCCTCGGTCGTTGCTCAAATGGTTGCCGTCATCATCGTTTTTCTGCATACGATGAACGTGATCAAGGATCAGGCGAATCCGGTCAGCTGGTTGACCCGCGCCGCGATGACAGTTCCCTTGTAATTGGCGGCGCTTTTGCAGAGCAAGGAATCGTCGACACGGCGGGTACTAAAGGGGGAATTCAGCTTGACACACGAGGCAAAGCCGAATGGTTCAAGGTGAAAATGTCGGACGCCGGTCAAAACAGAGGCAAGTCTTGAGGTGGAGGCGACTGCTTCTGCTGCTTAGAAACCACAACATGTCATGGAAAGCCTAATAAAGTCACGCTGGGTTGGCGCAGCATTGGGCAGGTGCCTTGGCTTGAATGGGCTGGGCATTTCAAAGATCTGCAGATATTTGGTGCAAGGGGACCCCCCATGACGTAATGCCTGGGCATAGCGTCATTTCCATGTTTGGCACCTACTCAATTAGCGCGGCAAGCTGCGCAGCCTGCGTCACCCTTTGCCAATGAGATGAGGCCTGGTGGCTGACCCGAAAAGTCCGAGATCATTGGATGCTCGTCGGGTTCTGAGTTACCTCGACAATATTCCGCCCTATTTCATGCGTAACTGAAAAGCCCCTATAAACAGCAGCAATGTCCCAACCGTTAGGGCCATTCAATCGCTTGCGCAGACGCGATTTAGGCCCTAACAGATTCCCCGCATTCTGACTGCCAAGCCGACGACAGACTGCCAAGCCATCCGCAAATCCCTCTCGCCGCTCGGTAGACCGGCATGTGGAGGACCCTGAGTCGCGTAGTCGCGTGTGGGTAAGGTACTAACTGAAGACGAACACCAGACGTTATTGAGAAGCCACGATGCTGGTCAATAATAAATCCAGCGTCCCTCTATAAGCTGCGGCTGTTCCATTGCTGGTGAAACCGTTCGTCGCTTCGATAGATTTGTCGCGGTTCGCAGTTTGCCGATCATTCTCGTCGACGTCATACCGAACACATCTCTCAAATCGCGCAGTGGCAATAGACGACAAATAAAACGATTCAGCAGTCCCAGGTCATGCTACATCGGTAAGCACTTAGAGACCCGAATCCTGTAATCATGTCGTATATACTACACGTACGGTAGTACAGTATATTTGTGCGCGGGTGGTCCTGGTCACTTGCGAGTGGAAATGGGAATTGATGAAACAGCAATGGTTCACTGCGTGCATGGACGTCGATCTGAGCTGGATTGAACTCCGCCTCCCCGCCATCACAGAAAGCTTGCCAGCATGTAGTGACATGGACCTTAGAGGTCCTGGATGCTGGCTGCAGAGCCTGCAGCCCAGAACGCCGAAAGAAATCTAGGGAAGCTGAAGATTCGCAGTACCCTCGACTTTAAAACGCAAAGATGCTCCTTTTTACTACGAGAGAACGTCGGCGGACTAAATTTATGCTTATCACAACGTCCCGGATGGTTAAATCCTAAGGTGCTGGCATCGCTAAATGGTCTTTCCTTTCATACTTACCCGTCACACCACGAGATGAACCATGATGCGAAAGTCCGGTGAGATATGAGGTATGTCACTCGAACCTTCCTCCATTGTCAATAAGCGTTTCGAAGCGACTAAGGTTGCACGTCGTTATATTCTCGGCCGGATGGCTCAGGGAAGACCACACGCTTCAGCGTATAACCACAGTCGCCACCGAGTCCTGAGACTTGCGCCTCGAGTTCACGCCTACTGAAACTTCAAATATGCAGAGTTGAAGGATCTCAACTTTTCAACCAACAGGAGACCCCGTCAGCTATGCCGACATCGACAACGGCCTTACCCCCTTGCTCTCACCTGATATATCGACCTATGCGCAACCTATTAGTGCATTCGACGAGTAGGCGGGCTAATGATAGGTTAAGAGCACCACTAACAGGACGGCGGAGAGACGCTGCTCCAGGAGAATCTGCGATAATGAGCGACTGGATAACGATTGCCAGCTCGGAAGGGCATAACTTCCGAGGCCTGAGGCTGACCGTAGAGATCGGTGCCGGGACGACGAGCTCTATACGCCGCATTGCGCCGACTCTGGCCCTGGGCGAGACATGTCCTTAAGGAGGCCGTATACATTGTCTCAGCTGAGCAAAACTTCTACTCTCACTCTGAGCTCCCCGTCCGAGCATGTTGTCTTTGGTATCGAAAAGGCTAAGGGAAGTTGTCGCCGCGACCTCGAGCTGTTGTATGCTGCCTTTGATCACCTTTCTCGCCAGGGTACATGATGGAATGCGTCACAACGCTGTCATATTGTTGAGCTACCAAGACCTTTGTGGCCTTTATGTAGAGTATGGCTTCCAAGCCTTCTCACATATAAGCCAGTTGCCTGGCTTCGCTGGGCACATCACCTTCACCTTCAACGATGGTTTACAACTACCTATAGGCTATACCCTTTCGACGCGCACCGCTGATGCCCTTTCAGGGCGACGCAGCGCCACACCTTCAATACGCCGCGGGTGTCTGAATGGTACCTACGTATGTGGCGAGCGGTAGGTCAACATTTCTAGTGCCTACTTATTATAATACAGATTCCATATCTACTCGGGCCCAATACCCCAAGTCCTGGTTAACTACCAGATTACCGAATGACTATGGCGTGCCTTCGTTCGCATCAGGGCATTGCGACAAGCAGAAGAGAAGCAAAAGGCTGGAAGATCTTGTTAACGAGCTACTCCATCTTGTTACGCTATGCGAGGGATATCATTTCGTGCCCAAGACGCGTATTCCGGTGGCTTCGGGGCGTGATCCCGAGGAAGCCAGGGTCAACGACCCCCTGTCATTCAACAATCCCCTGTCGTAACGTGCCCAGCCGGCGGCGATGTGGATTGGTGGAGCTTAGCGGTCGGCAGCCCCAACAGTCCCAAGGCCGTCTCCTTCCGAAATACCTGGTCGGGATTAGGGCCGGAGCCGGGGGGCTTTCCGGTCTGGGGAAAATGCATCATTGGCATTCTCCCCGGTCCTGAACCTTATTTTGAGCAGACACCTACGAGGTCTGTTGCCTGTCTACACTACCGTAGCGCCCGGCAACTCTAGTCAATGGAGGTAGGGAGGACTGCTAACGTCCTCGTTTCCGGCTATGTCACCCGGGCCAGTCACGCATCTGTGACACCCTCCTGCCACCTCCTCGGTTATGCGAGTTGGTGAGAACGGTCGCAGAGGAATCGGGCTAATTTGCTTGGCCTCCGATAACATCTGATCCTCGGAAGGCGTCTCTCCATGGTGGTTGGCCGCGTCGAGGTCAAGGGATTGGTCGGTGGCATATATTCCACATATCTACGACGTGGTGATCCCGAGCCCACTCAGGAACCGATGTGCTCAGATTTTTCGAAGCACTCGAGTTAGGATTGGACAACATGGTGATGGCAGTAACCGGCATCGCCAAAGTGGCGAGCATCTGGGCTGGGGGGCTTCTCCTCGGTCTCGGCATCCCGTACCTTCCGCATCTATTGTCCCCGCGTCTTACATCCCTCATCGACGACTTCCTTGTCCCGGACTCACCCTTCGCCTTCCCGTTCCTCAAGAACCACACGTCAAACACGACGATTCTGGCCAACGCCTCCTTCGTTTGTGATGCATCGCACGCCTACCGGACCGAACTGGTCTCGCTGGAACCGTTGATCATCTACATCCACGACCTCGTCACACCGACTGAGATCGCTTCTCTGCTGGACATGGCCGAGCCGAGGTTCGCGCCGTCCCAAGTGACCAAGCAAGGCAGGCAACAACAGACGCCGGACCGCACCTCGAGCTCGGCAGGGTTGCCTCGCGACGACCCGGCCGTCATGTGCGTGCTCAACCGGACAAGACGCTTCCTGGGCACAATGATGCGCGACGGATGGGACGAGATGGGGCCCCCACAGCTGGTGCGTTACACCTCCGGACAAAAGTTCAACATGCACCACGACTGGTTCGAGAACCCGCAATGGGCGCCGGACGGCAGCATACGAAAGTGGAACCGCGTGGCCAGCTTCTTCGCCATCCTGCAGGATAACTGCACCGGCGGCGAGACATACTTCCCCTACGCCAAGCCGATTGTGCCCGCAGGTCCCCGGGGACAGGCCATGTGGCAGGGCCATGAGACCCGGAGGCAGTCAGATGGAAAGGAGATGAACCCCCTGTGGAGAGAGCACGAGGAGGGAGGGCTCGCCTTCAGGCCGGTTGCGGGAAACGCCATCTTCTGGGTCAACCTGCATGGGAATGACACCGGAGACGTGCGGACAAACCATGCCGGTCTTCCGCTGGAGCAAGGATTGAAAACGGCCATGAATATCTGGCCAAGACGCTATTATCCCTATGAATAAAGGCACTGGTAGTAGCCGCAAATATCATCGCGATATCTAACGCTCGGAAATCTTCTCGTCCGCCCTCTGAACTCGCGATAGCTAGGCGGACCAAACCTTAGTTCCGTCAAACCACGTCTCCGTCACCTTTGCCTGCATGAGCTTCTCCTTCTCCCACTCCATGTCCACCACGACGAAGTCTGCCTTGTGCCCCTTTTTGAGCACACCTATCCTGTGGTCGTCGAAGCAGCTATACGCCGCACCCTCGGTAGCCGCGGCAACGGCTTCACACAGCCCCAGAGCAAAGTGCGGGTTCACAGTCGTCTCCATGGCCGGTTCCCGGTAGGACCTCCTCGTCGTGCCAACATAAACATTCCCCAGCGGCGCGTGCGGTGCCGTAGGCGCATCGCTGCCCAACGCAAGCCGCGCTCCTAAGTCGGCAAAGTCGCGGTATGCGAACGCCCTCCCGCACCGATGCTCGCCCAGCAAGCGCGGCCACGCCTTTAGGATCGCCGGATCAGCATGTACCGGCTAGATCGACGCGGTAATACGGCCCCGGCGCAAGCGCGCGGCGTCCTCCTCGCTCGTCAACTCGAGATGCTCGACGCGCGGGCGCCGCTCCGGCCTCGCATGCTTCGTCAGGATATCGACCACCATCTTCACGGTCGCGTCGCCGATGGCATGCAGCGCGACCTGCAGCCCGGCCTCATCCGCCCGCTTCACCACGGGAGTCAGCTGCTCCGCGGTCCACAGCGGCACCTCCATATGCCCGTCATGCGCATACGGCTCCGACAACCCTGCCGTACAGGCGTCCATAATCCCGTCACAAATCACCTTGATGCCCACAACCCTACAGTCCGGCGACGTCTCGGCATTGAACTCCCGCGCCAACTCCAACGCCCTTTCCACCTGCTTCATCGTCTCCTTCTCGCTCCCCAAAGGCTTAACCAACCAATAGGCAGCAATGCGCATCGGAACCCCCTTCTCCCTCCTCCCTACAATAAGCGCCTGCAGCGCCTCCCACGCGCCCTCGTCCATAGTCATATCAACCACATCCGTGTACTCGGCCCGGTGGTACGCCGCCACAGCAGCCTCAATGGCCGCCATCCTCTCCCGCATGGTCGCGAACTTCCCGAGATACGGCCACACATACGTGATATTGGCCGCCTCGCTAAACACGCCGGTCAGCCGGCCCCCTGCATCCCGCTCGCTCACGCCCCCGGGCAGGCACGTCGGCCCACGCTTCGGCGCCGAGCGCCGCAATCTCCGCCGTGTTGCACCACGTCGAGTGCAGGTCCATGGAGTCGACCAGGATAGGCCTGTCCATTTTCACTTTCTCCTTCTGTCCTTCCACGTCCATGTCCACGACCGCCAAGCCATTCAGATCCGACGCCCTGGCGCCGTGCGGCGTCATGCTGTGCATCCACCCGCGGCAGAGGATGCGCGGCTCGCGCGGGTGCGCCGCCGCGTATGACTGGATGGCGGCCCGGATGTCGGCCAGCGTCTGGCACCCGCTCAGGTCCAGCTTGGCGAGGGATTGCACGAGAAGCATCAGGTGCATGTGCCCGTCGACGAAGCCCGGGAAGATGGTTTTGCCTTGAAGGTCGTGCACCACAACGGTCAACTTATTATTCTGCCGACGGTGTCCCCGGCTTGCCGTCTGCTGGCACATCTGCACTATCAACAAAGCTCCGCATGATGCCTTGTCGCTGTACACTGACCAGCAGCTCCTCGACTCCGCGGCCGAGCAGGCCAGAGACAGATAGACACCACTCCGCAGTCATTTTTACACTTCACCTCGGACTTTTCGTTCCTGATGCAGCTGCCTCCGCTTTTCTCCGCCTTGTCCCGGCAATGATGGACTCATAGTCGGGATACTTGATGTCCAGCTTCACACCCGTCTTCTTTTGTATACGCATCACCATCACCGCCCCAATCGCCGCTGGGTTACATGCGGCACCCACTTGCTCCCAATACTCGACATCCGGATCCCAACCCTCGTCCTCGTGCCACCCCTGTTTGTTCCATCGTTTCTCCAGCTCGTCCTGGAAGCGGCACTGTGCCAGGTCGACGATACGCGGTGTGTTCGACCGCCGGTCCACGACCACATTGCGCGGTGCGCAATCCTTCATAATAATGCCGTACTTGTTAATCTCGTGCGCTGCATCAGCGGCCGACTGGATGATCTGTTGCCATTCCTTTAGGTTACTTGGTGGCGGAAATCCCGTTAGGTCGCTTAAACAATATCCGTCGATACGTTCTAGAAGAATACCCTCAATATTAAAGTAGGACGCTGCCTCCTGTGGTATAGTAGTCGCGAGCTTGGTAGGCGATAGGCTTACGTGGGCAAGCATGCGCGGAACCAACTTGCCCTGGAGATCGGCGAGTCGGCGATAGGCCTGGGTCTCGCATTCAAAGTGCTCGATACAGTCATACCACAGCGCCGCTTCGTACTTGGCAAGGCGTTCGGTGCGATCGGGCTCTTCAAGGAATTTCCAAGCTGCGACGGCGAATTGCGCGGTCTCGTTTCTTTCGTCCAGGTGGCGGAGGAACCCGGGCATCATTCCCCGCGCAACAAAGGTCTGAAATGCGGCCTCATTTTCCTGTGTATATGGCGCGGGCTCGTTCCCGAGAACATCACGCAGGGATGAGCCAAATCGACGGTCGTAGAGTTTGAGCACACAGTGGATAGGCGGGCCATGCCGGGTCTGGAATTGGATGCTGACATCCAGCACCACGGACATGGTCATCGAGAGCACCTTGGTGATAGTGGCGGTAACCCGAGACGGTAGGTCGCGGGAGTAGCTTTCGCACACTCGGAGGTCTAGGACCTCCCCTTCTCGGTAAGGAGCAGGAATAAACGTAGCGGCCCTTCGTGGGAAGTATCCTGGTTAGCGAGAACGGTCAGCGCCGACGGGGCCTACTTGGCGTATGCTTACATTGTGATGCGATCATGCGAATCTGCGCTGGCGGTAAAATAGGCCTCAACCGCGACAGAGTCACGGGAGGAGAGCGTATTTTAAATATTCGCGCGGGAATGACGGTGCCCTGATCAGATAGTTGTGAGATGTCGGCTCAAAGGGGAAGGACGGGAAGTTGTCAAGTTGAAGGGCGCTGGAGATGGTCAGCCAGCCTTAATAAATGGCTGGCGGCATCCATGCATGGAATGTCAGGCCGCTGACTCGGCCCCACATGGCCTCAAAAAGTGTAACATTTGAGGTTTTTTACACTCGGATCGCCAATGGGCTGGTTATTTAGGCTACTACGCAGTAATGTTTCGGACTCGGCTGCGCGGGGCCAAAAGTCGACAGGCGTAGGTACGGAAGCCTAATCTTTGCCGAGACTTTACTCAAATGCAACCTAGACGTCTTTCCAAATTGATACATTCAACCCTTCCGTACACCAGTAATTCCCCCGTAAACCGATCCCAAGTTGCAGCATAACTCGGTACTCAACTAGTTATTGCATCGTAGCCACATCTTGGCCACAGCTAGTACGATAAACGCAGGCAACAATATACTGGAGTTAACCGCATTCGCATGCAGTGAGTTGACCATATTCGCAACGTGGTAAGTCGGCTGCATTTCCGATGTGGTAAGTTAGCTACATTCGCGATGTAGTAAGTTGGATATGTTAAGTCGGCTACGTTCGCAATGTGATAAATCGGCTATATTTGCGATGTGGTAAGTCGGCTGTATTTGCGATGTAGCAAGTCGGTTTGCGAGTCCCGGTAGTAAGGGGGGCGTGGCACGGGTATCACCAATTACCGTCCAACGACGGGCCAACGACCAACGACAATAAGTCTACATTGCGGCATCCAGGCTGTTGGCTAGGAACGTGCGCTATGTCTTGCTTCGAAGTTGTTGCTACCCATGCAAGTTGGTGGCAGGCTACGGCAGACGGCTGCCACAAAGCGTACATATGGAGTTTTCAGTGGTTGGTGGGCACCTAAACATGGGCAGGCGACTCATCCCCTACCCCGAGCTGTCGCCGATGAGGCCGGAAGGAAGCCGTGCCATAGTTGACCGTGAAACGGGGCTCAGGCCAGCCTTCAGAGACTACGGAGCCGGCTGCCTTGGGACTTTGTGGTGATTTCTCAGAGGATCAAGGCTTCAACTTGCATCAGGTCTCTGACTGATGGACCACGGTCTGAGCCTGCCGGTGTGTCTCGGGACTCGCATCATGTAGAGTAAGTCTGTAAGATGGCAGGTATCCATAGCTGCGAATAATCAGAGGTTGGCGAGGATAAATGAGACTTGAAGTCCGTCTCCCCCGAGTCATAACTTAAGCCTCTCAACACTCATTGACTTCCATTCATTTCCAATATCTCACTTCATCCACCTTTCCGCTACAGCATCCCTACTCGCTGGTCGAGACTCAGGATCTACTCCATCTTCATCAGTCGAAGCTACCTGTACTAAATCCACGCTAATTAACTACCTAGGTACCTCAGTACCTTACTATTTGTCAAGCCAGAAAAGGAAACCCAGGCCAAAATGCCGAAAAATAGGCCGACCGAGGTCGCGTACAATGCTGTCAGGGACGACATGCAAACGTACCTCGACAACGCAGAACCGGAGCAGATCTCGCTTCCCCAATGGGGCGTCACGACGTGGCAAAATGCGCACGGCGAAAGGCGGGCAAGCTCGAGGCACACCTTTCACATCGGATTCCGCTACATGAGGGACACAGGGGACTACTGGACTTGTATTCTCGTCGATACCCGGACCGAGGGCTCACTCCCGGTCGCTGGCACCTTTATAAACTGGGGTACCAACCCGCCTACCCCGCGTGAGGTCTTGCTGCTTTACCAAAACGCCAGGTTCCCGCTGTCACGAGACTTCAAGCCCAGCAGGTCCGGCTCGGGAGGAGGACAAGGTGGCGCCGGCGGTGCTGGCGGGTCATCCAGCGGCGGCGCTTCCGGTTGGAAGAAAGAGATTCACGAAGACGGGTACGGTGGATACTTTTACTACGACGCAGACTGGGAGTACCACCAATGCGATAGAAACGGCAACGACACATACACCACGCAGGCAGGAGGCTACCGGACAAGCAACCCTCACAGCTTCAAGGCGGTCTTCGGCCCTCCCCCGAACACGTACTACTACCACCGGGGCAGGCGGATGCCTTGCAAATTGAATACTGATAAGCGGAACCAGACGTGGTTCGAGGACGCCCAGAAAAGAACATGGAACGCCAAATATTATGCAAGTGAGCCCAGACATTCGCAGTCATCCTCGTCTGCGAGTCATCGTTCTGCTACTACTGCGTCTCAGAGCCAGGGAGGTCACAAGACTTCCACTCAGAGGAAGTACTTTACCGACGAGGAATCTGGGAAACGGTACTACGTGGATTCCGCTGGTAAAACACGCTGGGTGTAAGGACAGTAGGTCCAGAAGGGGGAAAAGGTCAAATGTGTCCCGCGGGCCGGGGCATCGAGTTGTATCTGGATGACAGCTGGGATGCCTGGGAAGTGTCACGAGTTGATCTGCGCCGGAAGCTGCGACCCTCGGGTGACGCTGTGTCACGAGTCAAGCCAACTGGACTCGGAGGCATCATAGACGGGAGCAGGAATATAGTCACTCATTAGGTCGTGATACAAATAAATTGAAGTCAAAGGGAGGGTTACTCAATGCGTCGTCTAATCTCTACCAAGTTAGTAGTTAGTTTGATCTCAAAAGACAGTAGACTTCCAAGTCTAATGCAATTCACGTTCTCGGCTTCCTCGCAACAACCAACAGCTTGTTGTCTTCGGTGTTGTTCAAAGGGGGCAGTTTCATAGCCTTATAGCTACCTACCGGTTCTAGCACTTCTGGGCAGACGGAGACATGGAATCTGGAAACCACTCCCTCCCTTTCCAATAACTTTCAGACTCCAACTTTGACTTCTTCGAGCACCATATTGTTCTGCAAAAACTCGGTTACAGAATTCCGGTTTCACTCGCTTTTGCCAGACCGAGTCGTTCGCCACAAAGCCGACAAAGCGCGTCTCTAGCGTCCAGACCCCAAAGATGTGCTCCGTTTGACGTGCTCCGTTTGACGATTGCAGCTGCTACCCATGCCCAACCTTTGCCGCCTTGTCGACAAAGCCGCTGCCCGAAACCGCGAGTTTCGACGACATAGGCTGGCTCCTCCGTATCCAGTACCGCTGCAAGTCAGCATCATTCCGCGGCTCCTCCGACCTGGAGCCTCTACGACAAAGGACTGTAGGAGTCGTCGCCTCTCTCGCAACGCGTCTGGCTGCGATCGCCATCGACATGTCGTCGGCGAGTAGAAAGGTTGTCTCGGCCACGACGGCCGAACCTCCCTCCAAAAAGCGCAAGATGGACGCCTCGGAGCAAAAGTACTACGCCGTCCGCGCGCGCTTCAAGCCGGGAGTCTACACGAGCTGGGCCCAGTGCCAGCAGCAGATCGCCGGCTTCAAGGGGGCGCAGTGTGGGCTCTGTCCATCCTGCTTGAGATCGGCCGCGTTACTAACCCGACATGTCACCGGTCAAGCCGTTTCCGACCTACGAAGATGCCGCGGCATTCGCGGCAGGACGCAGCCCATCTTCGGCAACGAGCGATAACAAGCCGCCGCGGTTCTATGGCGTGGCCGTTGGTCGGAAACCAGGCGTGCACACGGAGTGGTCGGCGGCGCAAGAGGCAATCGTAAGCTGGAAGGGGCCAAAGTACAGATATTTTGACACGCGAGCGGAAGCTGAGGAGTTTCCATGCCGCATCGTCCCAAGGCCTCTGGCATGGCGTCGGGCATGGCTAGCGCGGGGAAGATGGCCAAGAAGATGGGTGCTGGGACTACTGAGACTAATACCATGTTTGTCTCACCAAGTAACGCTGATGAACGAACTAGATATGCACCGACACAGGGGAATACAGGGTCCGATACGTCGGCTTCGGCGCGCTCGGCCTGGGCTGCCTGCATTGTACATGTTGATGCGGCGGCAGAGTACGGGCACGGGCGGCAGCATCATGACGCAGCCGAACGATCTCGCTGCACAGGAGCCTGGTGAGGGTGCCAGTGTGGATCGAGTACTTATTAGGCGTGGTACCTGAAAAGCGGGGATTCTGCCTTGGGAAACGGAAAGGGGTAGGGAGATTGCTGATAGGGTGATCCAGAGAGTGTGAATAAGACGCCACCCAAGTCGCATCGCCCCGCCCAACCCAGCTTAAAATGACCAAGCAGGCCCCGGAAAATTATTTTGACGTGGAGGATATTTTGAGCGTGAAGGTGAAGTACTGGGTCAAGTGGAAAGGATATGGGCATAAGCACAACACTTGGGAACCTCCTGACTCCTGAGCATTTCGACCCCCGGCTGCAGCAGCAGTTCCACGAGGAGAAGGGATCGGTGGAGGCATGGATCGCGCGGGAGATACGGGACCTTGAGACCGCCCCGGAGGGACGTCCGCCGTTCAACAGAGGATGACGATAGGGTGTTGATGTATATTGATAGTTAGTAGTTTGTACGAGATATTGCGGATTAGGCGAGCCCGTGACGGTGAAGTGAACCCGCAAAGAAGGGCCGGTTGAAAATCCGGTCACCGTGTAGAGAGTATACTTTCTTCTTGCTTTGGAGCTGTGGAACGGTAGGAGTTGTAACGTAAATAAACCGAACACATTCCCTCGGACAGCCTCGGCGTCGTATGCTGCTTGAAAGGTATTAGGTATTGTCACGCATGACATATCGCACCACTGCCCGATAGCCATCACTTCTCCTGCCAAGGCAATTGCAACGTAGCAGATCCATCTGCCCCTTACCTAGCATCTCCCATTGTTTACTCTCTATTGAATGTGCTACCCCAAACCTAAGTCGGTCGCGGACTGGTGAGACACTACTGTTCATCATTATTAGTAGGTTTGACGTTACAAGGGACCATGATCGTGCATAGAGATTAGAGAGTAGGAAAAGGGGTTTCTCCATAGGTAATATGGTACCTTATCAATCTGTGTGCCTTAATAAAGGTCTTAACTTAGAAAGAGGTACATACTTTAATACTTACATAAGTACCGTAGTTGGGTTGAAAGATGTTGGAGCATTGGTTTCTTTTGGTTGTATTATCAATATTGACTAACGTACATTATCAGCGAGCGGGACATATCAGCGAGCGGGACATATCAGCGAGCGGGACATATCAGCGAGCGGGACATATCAGCGAGCGGGACACTAAGTTCTCGGCACAACGCGTCCTTCCTCATCTACCTCTAACAACGCGTTTTTCCTACAACTAAAGATGTCTTCCACTTCAAAGGAAGCTAGGGTAACCTTGGCCCTCAAAGCTCTTGAAAATGATATAGAACTAAGCCTTCGAGCCGCGGCCAAGCTCTATAACGTGCCAGTTTCAACCCTCGGCTACCGACGTACCGGCCGGCCTATACGACGCGATCTTCCAGCTAATTCGAAGAAGCTTACCCAATCTGAAGAGGAGGCTATTGTTCAATATATTATTGAGCTATCTATACGAGCTTTTCCGCCGAGACTACGTGGTGTAGAAGATATGGCCAACCAACTGCTACGTGTACGCGACGCGCCCCCTGTTGGCAAGCTCTGGGCGCATCGGTTTGTCAAACGCCAGCCAGAGCTCCGTATACGTTATTCGCGAAGATACGATTACCAGAGGGCAAAGTACGAGGATCCGAAGGTCATTGGCAAGTGGTTTGCCCTTGTACGGAATGTTAAGGCCAAGTACGGTATTGTAGATGACGATATCTATAACTTCGACGAGACTGGGTTTATAATGGGCATTATCTTCCCGGGCATGGTGGTTATAACCTCGGATGGCCGTGGCAAGGCGAAGCTAGCCTAGCCTGGCAACCGTAAATGGGCGACGGTGATCTAAGGCGTCAATGCCCTTGGCTAGGCTATCCCTCCGTTCATCATCTTAGCAGCGCAGTTCCACCTTGCCAATTGGTATACTGAGTGCAACCTCCTAGCCGACTGGTGTATTGCAACTACCGAGAATGGCTGGACTACCAATATAGTAGGCCTTGATTGGATCAAGCACTTCGACTACCATATAGCGCCTCGGATAAAGGGCAAATACCGGTTGTTGATCCTCGATGGCTACAAAAGCCACTACTCAACCGAGTTCGAGCTCTACTGCCAGTAGAACAATATTATCACGCTCTGCATGCCTCCATATTCCTCCTACCTCCTCCAGCCACTTAATGTTGGCTGCTTTGGGCCGTTGAAGCAGGCGTACGGTTGCCAGATCGAGGACTTGATGCGCGTATATATCAACTATATAAGCAAGCTCGAGTTCCTTTGTACCTTTTATGCGGCCTTCTTTGCCTCTATCACCAAGAGGAATATCCAGGGCGGTTTTGCAGGGGCTGGCCTTGTGCCGTACGATCTAGAGAGGGTACTTTCGAAGCTAGATATCAAGCTTCGTATACCAACACCCCTAACCTCACGGCCAGGCACTGTATAATCTTGGGTCTTTCAGACACCATACAACCCCCGAGAAGCCAACTCACAGTCAACGCTCATCAAGACTCGCATTGCCAACCATCAAAATAGCTCCCCGACTTCGATGTTGGCTGCTGTAGACCAGCTTACCAAGGGTACAATGGCTGTAATGCACCAGGTGGCCCTCCTTCAGGCAGAGGTGTCTTCGCTCTGTAAGGCCAACGAGGCGCTAAGCAAGCGCCGGAGAGCCAAAAAAAACACGTGTACGGCTTGGAGGATCACTTACTGTGCAGGAGGTACAGGAGGTGGTAGGCCAGGGGGCTATAGGTGGGGAGGCAATGTAAGAAACATAGCTGGATGGTAATGGTGCTGGGGGGGGGTCGTACGAAGGTTCGGTGCTGTGGTGTATGCGGCAAGCCTGGTCATAATGCCCGCACTTGCCAGGAGGGTGCAGAAGGGTCTGATTCATCTGTTTCTGATGTAATTGTAGTTGGTTCTTAGTGTTGTTGCATTGCAATTGAGAGTAGTTGTTATAGAGTAGTGGAGAGTGTCCCGCTCGCTGATATGTCCCGCTCGCTGATAATGTACGTTACTCCTCTCGCTGGGCCTCGTGAAACGGCGATCAAGTATTCAAGTCCCCGCCAGCCCAGCGAGTAGTAAAACCGACTGACGACCGTAAGCAATCGCAAGAGAGCAGGCCACCTGTATCGTCACTACTTAAACCGCATTAATGCAGTGGCCCATTCATGCAATTTGAGCGTCATACGGTCTCTCTTGTGTATGATGTAGATACGAAACACCCCAAAACTCTCTACCAAGTGAGGGCTCGATTTGCCCGCAGTAACCTGGAAAGTCTACGCCCGTTGGAAGGCGGGGAGTACGCCGTAAGTGCCACCAGGTTCGACCATGAGTTCGTCATGGCCTTTTCTTTTTCTTTGTTTTTCCTTTGCTTTTCATGTTTTGAAGTGATGTCCTTTGGGGGCTGCTTGCCGGGGGCAACCACAAGGCACATAGGCGGAAGATCGATGAAGAAGCAGACGCAATGCTAATGAGGTAATCCGTACATACCTTGAGTAGGTACTAGTAATTACAGTACAATGCGTACCTAGTTATAGTACAATACATGACCCCAATTCATCATCATAGACGCATCACCCGTTGCTCGCCAATCCTTAGGAGTACCGCTTTTCAGAAACGACAGGCGCCCACCTCTCCCCGGGCCCCTCCCCAACATCGTACTTGTCCAAGCCGAGCAAGCTCGCATTCCGTCGTAATTCAAGTACATAAGATGGTGGCGTCATCAAGCCTTAGATAGCCCCACAGGTGATGTCGTTGTTAAGGTGACGCCACTTCTCTGTGGAAAAGAAATCTTCTCCGCATTGAGAAGTCGGATGGCAGCCGCGTGGACGGGCGTGCGTCAGACCTCAAAGAGCAGCAGGCCCGGGCGAGATGCCGAGAGGTCAAAGACTTTCCCGGCAGGGTTATCCGAATTGCCGAAGGCCTCGGGTGAACAAAGCCACATGCCCAGGGCCGTGCTCGGGACGCTCTCCATGCGCTGGAACGTTTCGGCGTCGACTAGCGACCCGTGTCTCGGGATCTCTTCCTGGCGGGTACGACGCAGCCAGTGCTCTTGTTCCACGTGCAGGTAAGCCGCCAATTTCTCCCGCCACGGGGATTTCAAGAAGGGGTTGTTCTGCCTCGGGGGCAGCACCGTAGATTTGTCGTGGACTGCATCGTAGTATGACTGCGGAGCAGGCCAGTGGATGTACGGACAGAGGTAGAAACGGAACTTGTCGTCCGGCACCCGCTCGGCAATCCCGAATGCCCTCTCCATATCTTCCCAGCTCCAGAGGCAAGTGAGCGGGTTTCTCCGGAAACTCACGGCGCCGAGGTCGTGCTCGACTCCCCACCGCGGATCGGTCTCAAGCCAGCGGATGTTGCCGGTGCCGAAACGGTCCCACCGTTGATTGGCGTGGAGAGGCATGGTCTGGGCAAAGTGAGATTTGTCGCCATCGACCGTGGGCTGGATCCTGAAGGGGCCGTTGCATGGGACGGGCTGCAGGACTGTTCGGAGGGTGTACTGCAGTATCTCGGCGAAGGACACGGCTGCTACGGGGTGGATCGTCGTGGGGCTTGGTAGCCGTGAATGTCCCGGGCACGTGCCATACATATCAAGAGCAAGGTGAGTAACGCTGTGGACGTTGTTAGCGGTAAGGCTCAGATTACAGAGTACAGCAGAGCCCAGGTGATTGTTTTCTTACCCTCGGCCCTTGCGATCGTACGCCCTAGCGTCATGGAGGAAGTCTACCAAGCCTGCTCCCGACAAGGACCAATCCTCGATATCCACGATATCGTGCTCCGGGTTGAAGTAGAGCACAAGCTCCTCCGTCTTGTTCCCACAAGAGGAACGACCTTGAATGGACGTGGGAAGATGGACGCGGTAAAACCCTAGCGCAGCCTGCCTCGACTCGCAGGTGACCCAGAGCAGTGGGCTGAACAAGGCTGGGCGGTTAGGGTGCAGAATCTGGGTAGAGTAGCTGCCGCCGCTGACGAGCTTCCCCAGATGGTTACGAGCCATGAAGTAGCGAGACTTCGACTGATCGCTTGACTTGGCCCAATCCTCTGTCCATTCGGTCCAAACGGCCACCTTGATCATACGCTGGCGCTTGAGGGACAGGTACCAGATCCTAAGCCGCAGCTCGGCAGGAAGGCGAGGAAATTGAGGAAAGGAATGCAATGTTGCCGAGGAGGGCGACCCGCCAATGCAATTGTAGTACACCTCATTGTAGAGACGCGGTGACTGTTCAGTGGTGCCGCCCGAACCGCCGTTGGGGACGGCTGGCCGAGTATTGGTGTTCTCCATAGGTACAATACTCAGTTGGTGAGGCCACTGGAGAGTTATGACTTGAGAGATCTTTCGCGGGAACGTGTTGGGTTAGAATAAATAAGAAAAGGTTTGGGTCGGAAACACAGGACCTGGAAAGGTCTGGTGGGCGTTGACTTTGGGATGGCCAAGCTGCTAGTAGTCATCAGGAAGAAACCGCTGGAAAGAAAACTTCAGGTAGTCGGTCGCGCTCATGCTTCCACGCGCTTGACTTCCACGTGTCTTGAAGTTCCCTTGCAATTGACCTAAAGTGGAAGCTCTGGCTGCTCTGATAGCCCTTCTGATCCGTATCTACATAATTCCTTGTTGATAAGCCCACATGTTGAATTTGAATATGTTACCCGATAAACAGGAACGTTGTTTTTCTTTGATATACAAGTGCAGCAGCCCACCAAAGGCTAAGTCCCCGGCCGCCGTTCACAACAGCTGACACTGAAACAAAGGCAGGTATTTCCTGGCCTTCGCCTGGTATATCCTCTTCGCCTACCAATCCGAAGTGTTCTGGTGATCATTATGTTGGATGTACCAGCAGAGGTGATGCCAGATGGGATTTCTCTCTGTGTGACCACTGGTCCCCTGAAGGAAGCACCAACTTCCTTCTGGTCCCCGAGTAGATCTCCGTCTATAAAACATGGCCTTCCCCGGCTGTACGGCGGGCTTCTGCTCCACGGTGCCGGGGGATCGAAATAACTTCGACGATGCACCCGGAGCTAGCATGCCACAGCTTCATAACGGAGACACTAGGCCCCTGGACATATATTCACTGATATAAGCTTGCCCACACCTGAAAGCCGACAATGGCGAAAGACCTAGCCTTGACGTACCGGCTCTTGCCGTTGCTCTGCTCTCTTGTGTCCTTCATCCTAGTCATGTTAGCCATCTTCGCGGGCTACTCTCCGGGTATCTTAGAGGGCTACGACATCTTACTAGTACCGAAGCCAAGCTCTCACTCCAAGCCAAGAGTTTTCTTTCTGCCTAGTTACTAACCAGCTGTTCAGGTCAACATCTCGGGTCTAAGGAAGGACCCTGTCAACATGGCCACGGCTCTGACTTCCACACCAACCCGAACGAATACTACCGACAACGTCATAGACAACGACGTACATATCCCGGGCTTCTTCACGCTACACCTTCTCACCATATGTGAAGGCGACTTCACCGAGAACGGGAGCCGGGAAGTCTCGGGGTGTCATCGCTTCTTCTCCAGTTCGTCACCCCCCCTCTTTGTTGTCTTCCCCTCCCAAAACCGCAAACCACGGGGACAACATTTTTACTAATACTAAATCTAACATACCTCCCCCCTCCAGGCGAACCCACCAAAATCTCCCTCCTAAACAACCACCTGCCCCGCACCCCCTTCGGCGACGACAGCAACAACAACACGCCTCTCAACACATACCTCGGCATCAGCGACCACCTCGCCGCGGCGCTAGACAACATCACCACCTTCGCCCAAGCCGCCGCCGTACTGTGCAGCATCGGCGTGACGCTCACATGCCTCTCCTTCCTGCTGTCCATCCCCTACTACCCCTTCCTCAACGACAATAAAAACAATAACAACAACAACGATGACGTCGTGGCGCCGCCGCTCGTCTGGGCGAATTTCGGTGTCACCGTCGGGTCCCTCTTCTTCCTTCTGCTGGGCGTCTTCGTGGCCAGTATCGGGGCGGTGGCGTCGCGGGATAGGGTGAATGATCTCGGGGAGGACGCCGGCGTGGGCGCCGTCAATGGCACGCGGTGGGTGGTCTTGGCGTGGGTGGCGTTTGCGCTTATGTTGGTGGTCTTGGCGACGTGGGTTTGGGAGGTGGTGAGGGTGTTGAGGAAGAGGAAGAAGGAGAAGAAGGGAGAGTTGGTTGGGGAGGAGGCGGAGACGGAGGCGGAGGCGGAGGCGGAGGGTGTTCCTCATTCGCCCCCGGTGCCTCCGCCTTCGTTTGGTCGCCCTCCTCCTGCGCCCCCTTATTATAGACCTTCTTCCCGGGCGAGAAGGTCGAGTTCCCGCAGGAGGGAGGAGATCGAGTAGCTCGAGCACGTCGTCGTAGATACTAGTGATTTATGAGTTGGCGTGGTCGCCAGGCAATCGGCGAGGATGAGGCCTTGGAAGGCGAGGCAGTGGCCGCTTTAAATCTTACAAAAGAGAATACCTTATTCGAGGCCAAAGGCCCTTTGAGCAGAACACGCGGTGGTGGCTGCACAATGTGTGGGTCTACTAGGACGTGGGGGGAAAAAGTGCTTCCGGACGGATTCGAACCGCCGACCTTCTGCTGTTCAATACTAGGCAGACGCTCTACCCCTGAGCCACGGAAGCAGTCACGAGAACCTTGCGTAAAGCGCTCACGAACATTGCGATTATAGCTCAGAAGATCAGGAGCCGTTTGAACTGTTACCACACTCTACCAGGTAAGGAACATGCTAGCAGGACTACAGCATCGCCGCCCTCGCAACCCAAGAGCAACAACGTCAGGTGCCCTATAGTACTACTAGCCTCCGCTAGGGCGACAACATGTCAGGAACAAACCACAACTCTTAAAAACCATCCTTACATCCCCCGACCAGCAGTCTTATTCCCCCCAACTCCAGCGTCTCCGAGTCCCCTTCCACCACCACTACTACTAGTAGTCGTAACTCGAACCCCCCACGACCAATGCCCCCTCGGATCCCCCTCAGCCAACCGTCTCATCGACTCCAGATCCCTCGCGTGCGGTCCAACCTCCCTCTCCAGCGCCGCCACCGCCTCGCGCGCATATTCCCGCGCCTTATACTCATTACCAAACATAGAATAGATCAGCGCCGCGCGGGTGTATGTCGGCCCCAGGTAGGCGAGCAAACTCTCTCGCAGGTACAGGTCGATCAGCCTCGCGCCCATTTCCGGTTTCAACTGGCCACCACGGGACATGATGGCGGTCTCAATCTCGTCTTCGAGCTGCTTGATCTGGCGGATGCGGTTGTCGGATGCCAGGGATTCTGAGGGAGGCAGGGTGCATTGCTTGCAGGTGCAGACAAATCCCCATGAGCTGAGGAGGAGGGATTGGCGCTCGGATTTGGGGGCTTGTGGGTAGATGTAGCTGATGGTCAGTTCTTCCCCCGGGAGGATGTCGCGGATGGCGATGGTGGTGTGGGTTAGGTTGGTGATGCGGTAGTGTATGCTTTCGGTTTTGCGGCGGAAGGGGTCAGTAAAGGGTTTTGACGTGTAGAAGAAGATAGATGATCAAGAAACAAAAGAAAAAAGGACTCACTTTGGCCGGCAGTCGTGGTTGAACCTGCTCACGTCGGGAAACACGCCCAGATGGAGAGAATGCGTGTGGTCGCTGCCGTCGAGGAACATGCGGAACGCGTTCTTCTCGACCTTGTCGAAGAGGGTGTTGCCCATCTGGCGCAGGAAGCGCTCTCGTGTAGGCCCAGGCAGTCGGTCCACGGCTGTCTGGTACAACTGCTCGCGCACCTCCGAATCTAGGTCCAAGTGCGGCGTCTCCTGGATCAGCAGGGCCGGCACCCGCTGCATGATGATCTCGCCCTTGCGGATGGTCCGGTTGACAATCAGGCCGATGCCCTTGCCGGGCACCTCCTCTTCGTAGAAGGCCGTTGACTCGACCCCGCTGGCGGGAGGGACGGGATAGTGAGCGGTGAGGTAGGCGTTGCGGGATGTAGTGACGAGGGCCATGCCCTGACTCGCGTCTCGGTTCGAGAAGAGGCAAAATTCCGTGAAGCAGTGTTCCGGCCCCGTCCATGGCGGTGCGAGCTTGTAGCTGCTTGGCGGCTGGTATCGCTCCCCATGGTCATCCCATAGCTCGGGCGTTTTAACGCTCCAGTTGACGGTCGGTTGCGTCGGTTTGCTGGGCTGCGGAGCCGCACATGTAAGGTGATCGTTTTGAATCAGTAGCGGGCTCGGCCTCCATGAGCAGTCCTTTGCCTCGCTAGCATGGCGTGAAAGCGCAGCTGCGGCTTCAATGGTAGCCAGCGCGGCGATGAAAGGCAGTATACGCATGTTCCTAAGCAGCTAGGCTGTGGTCTAAGGTTCCTAGCTTGTGTTGAAGGAGTTCGGTTTGCTACTACTAGTATCAAATAGTACAGTTCACTTCATATTGTCTCCCAGCCGCTGATCCCTTAAGTGGAACGTGGCCAGTGTCCTTATGAATTTGCCTAAATGCCGTTGAGTCTGGTTGCAATGGCGCCAAGTCGATCAACCGGAGGAACTGCATCCATTTCCCGGAATGCGAGCCGGATAGCTTACTTTATACAGGGTGCTGGACGATGGGGGAAAATGGGAACCAAGAGCAGGTTAGAAAGGGTCCGCGAGGGAAGTCGGAGTGTAACCGTGCTAGGGCACGAAATACTACATTCATAAGGACTTTACCAGTACGCAAGGAAGCAGAGTGATTCCAGTAGCTGACACCGCGGCAGCATCGTCATGTACGTACCATAGCTAGTACCAGCAGTGAGGATTCGCGATCTACATTTGGTGCTGAAGTCTCTTGGGGACTTGGCCGAGCAAAGGTCTATATATTTTCATATTACCTAAGTACTAAGTAAGTAGCTAGTACTCGGGTAAATCTATCAGAAGAGTGACTCGGGTTTCTTGATCCTTTCCAATCTCCAGTCTTCGCTGCCCGTCCAACTTCCGCGGCCATGCGGATAGCGGCTCAGGATTCTCCAGCCGCCAGCGTCAGAGTCCTCAACGATGTGGAATTTCCCGCCGCCCACTTCCTTGTGCCTCCAGACGGCGCCAAAGGGGAAAGGCTTGCCGTCCATGAACTCGACGGGCTCCTTGTAGAAGTTGTACGAGACGCAGTAGTCGCAGTCGATCTCGACATACACGCCGCAGTGCTCGCAGTTGTCGTCGGGGACGGCCTTGCGCCGGCTCCGCCAGTCGCCGATCTTGAGCAGGTCGTTGGACTTCCACCGCGTGCAGCGGCAGCACTCGAACCAGTAGCGCCAGAACCGGTTGAAGGGGCCGACGCCGTCGATGAGGTTGAGGCCCCTCATCGTCTCGATCGGGTCGCCGATGCCGTTGACCAGCGGCGTGTCGGCGTCGGTGACGTAGCCGCAACCCAGGTAGGGGCAGGTGATGCCCTCGCGGAAGACGCCGTCGGCCGGGACGAGGTCGACCACGTGGTTGATCCCGGGCGACTTGCACGCGTGCCTCCACCTCCGCGGCTTGACTCGCGACGAGAGCTGGATGTGCTCCACGTCCGGGTTCCCGCGGTACGCCTCCATCCAGCGCTCCTTGAAGCCGGGGGGATAGTGCTTGTTTGAGACTTTGGCCGGATCGACGTGGCGGGCCTGGGCGACCGAGTTGGCAATCAAGGTGCCCGGAACGAAGGCGTTGGGCAGGTGTGATTGCTCGGGGGGATTGGTCGGTTCCGCCATGGCGGGTGAATCAACGTGACGCCGACTGCGCAACAAATAAAGGATCAGACCACCACCTCTTGCTGCCTCTCGGCCAAAGGAGTGTGATGACTTACTGTGAAGAAAGAGATATAGTACTAAAGTAGCAGAGCTCTTCAAGACGGCCAGCATCTCTATGTCCCAGCCCGCAATCCAGAGTAGCGGAGGAGGCTGGCTCTGGGCGGGATGACTGGTAGGAAGACGGGTGTGGAAGGAGCACGGCGGGATGTTGCGGAAAGAGGAGTCCGAGAGGCAACTTTTTGGAAATAAACCCAACTTCCAACAGAAAACCTAGGCCGTCCTGTGCACATCTGCGAGTTCCAAGTTTCTTCATGCTGCTTTGCCGCGTTGCGGCTACGGGGGAGTGATGTCGTGCGGATATGCGACTTGAAGGTGCGGCTTAGGTGCGGCTCCGGGGGGTGCGACTGTTTCCCCTTGGATGCCCAAGCCATGTTTCCGGGTATCTGAACTCCCCTTGGCTGCGTTACCAGGCTTTCATACCCAGTATCAAACGGACAGACAGACGCCGTCCCATCATTCTGTCATCCAAGTAGTACGCCAATAGATTCGACGGACATATGCCATCCGAGGGTCGTGCCGTCCGGTTACTCTTCTGTCGGATGATCTCGCCGTCGGAGGTGCATATATACTTTGAGGATGTTCAGACGATGTGAACGGCCCTGGCGCAGACAACTGCTGTATATGGGGACTATAAGTTTCTACTCCACGAGGGTGAACCCGGCCACCTACAAGCCTGGTATTGACACTCCCTGCCACATGAAGCCTCTGGTGGTCATCATTGTCCCGACTCGCAAGGGCTGGCGGTTCAGAGTTCTCAATAGAGCGCATAAGTTCTGCTATCCTACCTATGCTGTCCCGCCGCTCCTGCGCTGTGTATGTGGGCGGAGAGCGAAGGGTGAAGCCCTGAACTCTTAACTTCTTTATGAAGCGGCAGTAATAAGGTGGGACACGAACCGGCCGGTATGTGGTTCTCGCAGTGAAAGAGGGCAAAGATTCTTTGATTCCACAGATATGGTAAGAATGGGCTTTAGGGGAGCGCCGTAGAAATCACGCCCATGAATAGGGTACCAGAGCGAGACTGCTAGGTCTAGGAATGACCTGGACCGTCAGGGTGTTGATATCCGCCTCGATGTTACGTGTTGTTTCGCCTTGCTGGACAGAATGTTATGACAAGCGGGCTGTCATCGATTCCCAACTCAACGCAGATTTCTATGATGCGATACTCGATATGTACTTCCATTAGAGAAAGCCGTTCGTATAACCGCATCAAAATCCAGGCAAGCAAAACTCAGTACCTATCGGACAACGAGGCCCTGTGCCCTCACCCCCCTAAATCAAGACTGCTCGTTTTAGTTATGCACCAGGCCGCAAACGATAGTAATCCAGCGCACACTACCCACCATATAGACAGTCCCATTTAGCGGCTGCTCCTCCCGAGTTTCTACCCTGTCCTCTTCGGAGTGCTGTGTCAATCTCTATATCTCGTAGCTCTCCTCCAGCGCTCATAGTATGCTTGGGGCACTCTTTCCACCTCGGCGGCGACCACATCCGTTAGGCTTTCTGTCGAGGAGAGCGAAGGACTGCGGCAGCGGCGGCGGTGGTGGTGGTGGTGAAGATACGTAGGGTATAGGTCTGAAGTTGATACTCGACGGTGTAAGTACGGCTCAAATTGCAGGGGTCGGAAAGCTTCAGGGGAAAGAGGGAGAGGTCTCCGCGCTGGCCGCAGAAGAAGCTCTGGGTTGATAGGTTCTCTGAGAAGAGGTTGTCTGAAAAGAGGCTCTCTAGGAAGAGGCTCCCGGAGAAGAGGTTCCCGGGTGGTGGGCGGCGGAGTGAGCGGTGGGCGAGCCAATGCTGCTTCTTCAGGGGGCCGTCTCTGTTCACGCGCACGCTGTGATATTTTGTCCAGCTTTAGGACAAGTCCCACGACCGCACAGACTGACGACAACGTAAGCGCCCGGCACGCCCTCTCAAAGTCGGTGCCATCGTGGAGATGATCGGGCATCTCATCGAGCACACGAGAACGGAACTCTGCAATGGAGTCTGGGCTGCGCCCCTCCATGATGGCAACCGCGCGTGCGTGGAGGTCCATGACCCCCTTGTACACGAGGTCCCCGGTGCAGAGTCTGGTCGGCTCAAGGAACTTGTTGCATCGGACACAGTCCCGGCATTCGCTCTGCGTGCAGTCGGCGCAGTGAGCGCAGCCGTTCTGGTCGTTGGCCATGTAGCCCCGTAGACTCCAGCACCGGCAGCACCACATGAACGAATCCTGCGCGCGGCTTTCCATGAGATTCGCACCCGACACCGTCGTGATGTCCTCCTTCTGCGCATTGACCAAAAACGACTCGTCGGTGGCTTTTGCCAAACAGCCTGGACGAGGACAGGTCGGCAAGTCGTGTCGTTGGACGTCAAGCATCGCCCCCATGTCCCATCTGTGGAAGCAGTCGTTCGGCGGGCATCGCGGGCATCGCCAGTACGCCGGAAACACCTTGTAGTGGCAGTAAAACCACTTCAGGTCCGAGCGACCTTTCACGACAGTTGGCCTGCCAGGCTCTGACGGAGGCGCAAATGGGTCCTCCACGTACTCGTCCATGTCGCGGAGATCGAATGTGCCAAAGAACGTGTCGCTTGTTTGCCGCCGCCGTCCAGCCGCAGGTGAGCCTTGGTGGTTGTTGAAGTCCCATGCGTCCAGCCCGTTTGGCCGCCCTGACGCAAAGGCAGGGTTCCCGTCGGGAGGAGGCGGTCGCGGGTCACTGAGACTTTCGTAAGGCGGAGGGGGATCATCGTGATTATCCAGTCCATGGCGATCCATGATGTCGTGAAACGGCTGGTTAAGTTACTACGGATATCGCTGGTGTGGATCGGGCCGGGACGACGAGAGTTAACGGGTGGCCAAAAAGGAGGATCGTGAATATCTTAGGCAGGGAAACAGAATCTAAGGTGCTTTTGTATTAGATCTGCGGTCGCCTTCTAACCTGGCCACATCACACCTCCCATGACCACCGCAACTGTCGGACCAAAGTCATCTAAGTCATCGAAGACCTTTGTGGTCACACGTCCTTGGTGGTCCTATGGTGTAAGAGGTTCTTGCACCGCCATCTGAATGGGTTCTGTGCCCAAACAAGTCAGAAGACCAATTTGACGTGAACCCAAAGCAAGCAAGGCAAAAGAGGCATGGCACACAAGAAATCAGAGCACGTAACTGGCCTACAGTGTCACTGGCTTTGGCTATCACGGGAGAAGCAAGTTAAAAACAAGCAGTTGGTCCTATGGTAGTAAGCAACTTCCTTTAAATAAGGTAGGTAGGTACGGTAGGTAATCTTCAGATTCTGCTACTAGTTTACGATCCATGAAACAGCCCTAAACCAATTTGACCCCGTTTGGTACTATCGTACATCAAAATGCCCAACAGTTGCTTCCATCCGCATCACTTGTCCAGTGTTGCCAAGTCATTCTGGAACCCCGTGACCATCAGGTACCCAAACTCGGCCGCCTCGATGCACTTCCCAGCCATCTCATCATATCCCAGCGCCTTGTACGCTTCCGCCAGGTTCCTAAGAGCAGCCACCACGTGGACCGTCATGAGCGATGCGTTACCAGATTTGGTGTACATGTCCCTGGGATCCCACACCGCCGAGCCGTCGTCCGGCACCCGAAAGCCAAAGTTGCGCAACACCTTCAGGGCGTACTTGACCACCTTGGCGTAGTTCTTCCGCCCGCGATGTGCCGCAACGAGCCAGTTGCACGGGTAGATCAGGGTCAGCCGCGGAAGGCCGTCGTATACCTCAGGTTCGTGTGCGTCCTCAAGCTGCTTCATCAACCGATCGACGTTGCGGATCGTCGCCTCCGGGATCAACTCCCTGCGCGGAAGCTTCTTGTTGCACAGCTTCTCTACCGCTGCGAGCACCTCCTTCCTCTTGGCCAGCATGGCCTCCGGACTCCGCCTCTCCCCGACACATAAGACACAATCGCACTCAAACCCCCACCCTTCCTTGAACTTCTCGTTCCGCACATCCGGCAGCGGCTTGACGGGGATGTACTGCTGGAAGAGCTCCTCGCCTTCCGTGATATCCCTCGTCGCGCGGCTGATCAGCAGATCGCCCAGGAACGAGCGCATGGTATTCGGCACGCAGCTGTGGTTCATGCGGCTGGCGTGCAGCCACAGGCCCTTGGCCTGCTGTCCCTCGGGCGCGCTGGGCGCCGTATCCAGGACCGTCGCCCGCGGCGCGCTGAAGCAGTTGGTCGTGCGGATCCGCTCGACCAGAAACACATCCACGACGGGCACGCCATCCACAATAGTCCCCTCCTTCCCGCTCCGCTCATAGTACCTGTCATCTCCCCCGCCAGCGCCACCTCCAGCATACAGATCCAGCACCGGCCCGGAAAGCGACGACGGGTTGTCGCACAGCTGGCGCACCATGAGCGCGTACAGCGCGGCCGACGCCCGCGCCGGGTCGTACTGGTTCGGCATCAGCGTTGCCTTCTCGACAAACACCAGCTCGCCGGCTTTCATGTCGCGCGCCGCGAACAGCCCCCGCCCGTGGTGCGCCGACTCGGCGACGCGCGTGTTTTTGCGCAGGAAGGAGCCGCGGTCGAGGTGCACTGCCACCGCCGTTGTTTGACTTTGACTTTGACTTTGACTTTGCGGGCCCGCCACCACGACAAGCGAGGCTAGGAGGCCCGCGAAGTCGTACTCGGTCTCGTCCCCGTTCGCTTCCTCGCGCAGCCGCGCCTGGCAGCGCGCGTGCTCCCTCTGGATGCTGGCGTTGGAAGGGTTCAGCTTGAGCGCCGCCGAGAGATACGTGTTGCTCTCGCCGTAGTCGCACAGCCCGTACGCGGCCCGGCCGGCGTTGTAGTAGGCTTTCCAGTCCTGCGGTCCCCCCGTGCGCGAGGCGAGGGCGTCCGCCTTGGCCGCGTCGTACCGGCCCAGGATGAGGTTGGTGCCGGCGCGCTTGGTGTAGATCGGCGCTTGGAAGGCCGGGTCCTCCGAGGCTTCTAGGGCTTCGGTATAGCTGCGGAGAGAGAAGGCAGTTAACGACCTAGGCCTGCTTCATCGGGCCTTTTGACACAACATTTGGGTTTTTTGCTGACACTCACCAGAACACAGCCGTCGGGAAGTCCTTCTCGATGAAAGCTCGGTCGCCCGCAATCTTCCATTCCTCTGCCGTCTTGAGGAGCGGTCCAAGCCTCAGCGCTTCCGGGATGATCGGGTCCGTGAACCGCAACAGGATGACATCGGACGGGTGGTCGACGCAGATCATGAAGTCGTCCTCGGCGCCGTTGTTCTTGTAGTACGGCTCCTTGACCGCCACCACGCATCCCTCGGGCGCCCCGGAAAGGATGGACGAGTCGGGCTGGTTGTAGATGGCTAGCTTGTCGGCGTTGCCGAACTCGTCCTCTACGATGCTCACGGCGCCGGCACCCACGAATGGCGCGCTGATCACCCTGACGATGATGCCCTTGCCGCGGTGGTGTGTCTCTGCGCCAAGCTCGCATAATGGGATCTGAAGACGGGGTTAGCAAACCCGTAACGCTAGAGCCCCCCTGGCGGCTTACGATTTCAAGCTCTCTAATAGATTTTGTCGATGGCGGATATGCATCCGACAGGATCGGCTGCTTCACTGGCCGAGGTGCATTTGGCGAGCTGGCCTGCTTCTTCAGATGTGCTTGGTGTGTTTTGACCAGCTTCTCCTTGCTCGGCCTCGACGCTGGCACCGCTGCTACTGCGTCTTTGGTTGCCGCCATCTTGAGTGCGGAAGCTAATATGCTACTATGGTGGTTGTAGACGGCGATAGGAGTTCGCTTTCCGATGGTGAAAAGGTTCAAGACGGGTACATGCCAAACTGAGAACGCCGTTCATAGCGGTCTGCGGGAGTGAACCAGCCATCAGGTGTTACACACCGGCAAGTTAAATAGGTAGAAAGGTGTCATTCTCGGAGGTTGAAGAGCCGCGAGCTGTATACGACTTAGCTAGTTGGCTCTATATGTATTAGCCGTGCTCCGAAATCGTTCCATAGCAGGGGGAAAAATGCGGAGAAACCTAGGGGCTCTGGTTGACGGGCCGCCAAGGGGTTTCCTATTCGGGCAATCGACCGTAGAACCTCAGAAATCCAAATGGCATCAAGGCAGGCGGCATGACTGCCAAGCCGGCCCAAAGACTCTATTCGAGGTGGCTCGAGGCGTTTTGGTCTATTTCCAAAGCTACCGCAGTGAGTGCACAAAGATGCCTCTAGACCTTGACACTCTTAGGCGGCCGCCTCATCAGCGCGCACCGGTGGACTCCGTCGGGGGCCCGCCCCGCGAGACCGACAGCGATGTCCTGCCCCCAGTTGTCTCCCTTTGTGTTCGCCACACCCCATTTTTCAGTAACCGGAAGATCTAACACATCGAAATCCTCAAAACCGAACTTCTTGTAGAGACGGTAGCCGGCAGGAGAAGCCTCGAGCCGGCAAGGGAGCCCAAGGCTGTCGGCAAGGTCAACGCCCCACTTCATCAGTGCCGATCCGGCTCCCAAACCTTGCCGGGCCGGGCTGCAGGCGAGGAGGCCGAGGACTAGTGGAGTTTTGTCTCAGCTTTCGCAACGCCAATCCAAGACGGAGGCCACTTACATAGCGCGGCTTCACCTTTGGCGTGGTCTCGTTGTTTCCGTGTCATCCCACCGATGAAGGCGTTGATGACAGAAGGATCGCAGCCCGCGCCAAATGTGTCGGCTGTTGCGTTGAACTCGTCGGCTTTCCACTCTTCTTCCGTGCGCGCTTCGCGATAGAGATCCCACTTCCCAAAGGCGACAACCTCCCATGGACCATCGGCAGGACTGCCCTCGGGCAGATATTCGGCGACACAGAGAAGGCTTTCTCCTTTCTCACCCTCAGGGGTTGATCGTGGCAGGACCTTGGCGGTGAACTTTCTCCTGGCGTCTTCGGACGGACCGCCCGGATACATCAGCTGGTCCATGACATTGTCACGGAAGGCCTTGTAGTAGATGTCCACGATCGCGTCGACATCGGCGGGAGTTCCCTCGCGGACGCGGATGCGGGAGGTGGTGGCCATGGTTTTTAAATCACGAAAAACTGAGAAAGTGTAGAAGTGGCCAGGGTGCGGATGGCTCCAACACAAACAAGGCTGTCCGTCCGTATGGATGAGGAAGTCCAACGCCGTAATATAGTCCGGTGTCTACATTTACGGAGGCGGTCCCGGTTGAGTCACTCGGCTAAGCGCTCTCGACCGACCGGCTGGTGCATGCCCGCCAACTTTCCCCTTCTGGAAAGTCGCGCTCGTGTCATGAGAACGCCAAGACGCTCGGCGGTGTGTAGTGCGGACACTCGGCGGTTCGGTCCGCCGTTGAAACTCGAACCAGCCGTTGAGGCCGAAGAACTGAACCCATGTATGTATATTACATACTAGGAAAGACGCCATCGGCACAGTCGCCCGCAGACACAAAAGATCTTTAGATGATTCTTTATGGCTATTAAGTTGTGATAGGTGCGAAGTTGTCATTCTGAGTGAAGAATATCAGGTGCTGACCTAAGGTGGGGTGTCGGAGTCCGGGGTCAGATGGGGTGGGCTTCAAAGATCAGACAGCAGTATTTATTAGCATCGGGCCCCACTTTCACAGCTTCCGTCGGCGACACGGCGTCGCAACTGCCTCGCATCGTACGACCTCCGACCTAGCGGTTGCGTCCTCTCATCCAGTCTCCCATATGCTGCAATGGGAGGCTTTAGTAGACTTCCAGCCATTTTGGCAACCGTCTTCTTCGTCTTTGGGTTTATGCTCAGCCGCTCACCGTTCACAATGACTTCGGTAGCCCCATCAAAGCCTTGGGCTGATGGCCCCTTGAAGCTTGTCGCGACTCCTCAGTTCCAGACCAAGAATGTAGGCTCGCATGCTATGCGTCTTCACTGCCTCTAACGAGGATTCTAACTCTCCGCTTCTTCAGACTGATATCTTCACGTCGGGAGCCACGCATATGGCTTTGCTGCGTACGTTCTGCACGACTCCACTGCCATGATCCGCCGTGCCCTCTCCAAGGTCTTTCGAGCAGCCGCGACGACTCGGAAGAGCCGGACTAACCCGGCTGCCAGACAACTCGATTCTTCGCGGCTTCAACTCGATCTACCACCAGGCTCCGCGCATTTCCGACCGAGACAAGGCCGACTTTGTTGGCTACTGCCTTACCTGGTTCAAGTTCGTCAAGTCTCACCATGACGACGAGGAAACCAGCTTGTTCACCAAGATCGAGGAGCTCTTGGATGACAAGACCATATTCGAGGAAACACACAAGGAGCATGGTCAGTCGTGCTCGCCACAGATGCATCTACCCATCCATGCCACTGACTAACATACCTTCCTCCTCCCGCAGAATCCTTCCTCGCCGGTCTTGCTGAGTTCGAGAAGTATCTGAGCAGCCTCAACACCCCTGCGGACTTCTCAGGCGACGAGCTCCTCCGCATCATGAAGTCCTTCCAGGACGCCTTCGAGCAACACTTCCACAGCGAGATCGCTACCATCTCGAAGTTCTCTGAGCACCCGAACGCACCGAAGCAAGGGACGCCCGAGAATGACGCTGCCGCAGCCACGTTCAAAGCGTGGGGAAAGAGCACGGTAACCAAGGCCGGAGTGACCGACGTGGTTCCCTTCTTCCTGCTCAACCTCGACCGCACCGTCGAGGACGGCATGTGGGCTAACTGGCCGCCCATGCCTGCGCCTATCAAGTGGGGGCTGATCAACCTTGCTGGGGCGTGGCACTCTGGGTGGTGGAAGTTCGCCTCGTGCGACGCTGCCGGCCAGCCGCAAGAGCTGTGGGCATATCGAGCTGCGCATACGGCTGAGGCGAAGGCTTGAGAAGGTATGTGTTCGCTTGTAATGTAGGAGGCGTTTTGCCAGGAATGACTTACGACGACTTAATGAATCCGGATTCCCATGTTGGTAATGATGAAAAGCATGCCCCAGACACTTCATGGGCCCACTGCGCGCCCGAGACGAAGCTGTCTTCTTGCATGCAGTTTTCACCTTTAAACGGCCGATAGGGCTTGTCTGGGTAAGCCCCAAGGATCGCGCGCAGAATCCTGGACACCCGTTGTCTGTCGAACATAAAAGTCCCACCTTAGATGACGCCGTAGGCAACCTCGAGCGCATTTGTATGCATTCTCCCAATTATCGTCGCTTCTCAACAAAGGCCGGCCAAGCCTGATCTGTAGTGTTCGGCCGCGCTTACAAATCTAGCCCCACCGCCCACCTCTGTTTAACCTCCACCAAGCAGCATCTCACAGTACTCTCTGACACCAAACTTGCGCGCAATCCATATATGCTTGGTGCCACCATCTGTATGTATCAGAACTGAGAGATTCCATGGCGACGAAAATAAGAAGTTCCGGCGGATGCTGGACGTGTCGCCTCCGACGCAAGAAATGTGACGAGGAACGGCCGCTCTGCAAGGGGTGCCTTGCCCTAGAAATCGACTGCCTGTACAGCGAGGAGAAACCGGACTGGATGGATGGCGGCGAGAAGCAGAAGCAGAGGGCCGAATGGCTCAAGAAGGAAGTCAAACGCAAGGCTGCCCATCGGCGCGAGCTCCGCTTCCTCCAGGGCTTGGAGGTCCGGCTCGAATCTCTCGACGCCTCGCTGACCGATGACAGCGATACCCCGGCGCCTAAGAACCTGGTCAACACGGTGCCGGTGTCTGCCCGTCTGTCGGATTCGTCGACGCCGCGCCATGGAACCCTTGATACCACGCCCAACTCGGCGTCTCACGGTGCCACTCCGCCGTCGGATACTTCTGTGTCCGTGCCGTCTCCAGATGATGGGCGCTCCGGCAGACTGCCTTCGCCCAGCTTGGACCTGAGGCCGACCTTGTCCCAGGAGGAGGAAGCGCATTCCGCCATGATGTACCTGGATTACGTCTTCCCCTTCCTCTTTCCCTATTATCGACCTTCGTTTGCCGATGTCGGTCGGGGATGGCTTCTGGTCCTTCTCACCAAGAACAAGGCGCTCTTCCACTCTGCTTTGAGCCTGGCGGGCTACTTCTATGGCATCGTACTCGGCCATATCCAAGACGCGCCCCGGGCGTGTCATGATCATAATGCGGAAGTACTCCACGAACGACAGGGACTGGCCCTTCAGTGGCTGCAGCTTGAGATGCAGGACATCATCACCCGAGGCGTCAAGGGGAATCTCCGGGAGGCCAACCGCGTAATGGCGAGCATCATCCAACTCATGACGTGTGATGTCGCGATTGCGAAGCCCGGCAACTGGGTTATGCATCTAAGTGCTGCAACGGAGCTCTTCAACGAGATCATGAAGCACCATGCAGCAACACCGCACGGCACAATTTGTTTCATGGCCGTGCTTCTTCAGCTCGGGTCGCGCCCTTTTAGCTGGACGCCCAAGAGCCACCCCTGGGGTTCAGACCAGGCCACATTGCGTTTCTTCACGGCCCAGCTTCTGTTCTTCGATACGCTGGCCAGCACCGCGCTGCAACAGCCTCCACGGCTGCAACAATGGCACCAGTATTTGTTGACAACGCTTGATGATGATGAGGAGACCAGGAGGCACTGGCCGGACAGCGAAAAGGAACAGACACTGCCGCACATCAACCTCCAAGAATTCCTCGGCGTGGAGAACTGGGTCATTGCCTCGATCGCCGAGATAGCCACGCTTGACCACTGGAAAAAGGAGATGAAGCGAGCCGGGTCCTTGTCTTTCACTCAGCTGCTTACACGCGCGGCACCAATAGCGCAACGCCTGCGAACATGTCTGCAGGCGCTTGAGGAGACCACCCGCACCGGACAGGGAGGTCCTGCGTCCGTGGATGGGCCCCAACATCTCCTGCAGTACTTTGCCGGAAGCTTTTCTCCTCAGCTGATGCATGGGGTAACCCTAAACACGCGCATCTGGGCACAGGCGGCTCTTACCTACCTGAGCCTGGTCCTGTCCGGCTGGCAGCCCTCGTGTCCAGAGATACAGCACTCGGTCGCGAAGACAATCGACATGCTGCAGAGCCTTCCCAGCCCGGACTGCCTGCGGACCCTCGTGTGGCCGTTCACCGTCACCGGCTGCTTGGCGAGCCGTTGTCAGGAGCAGATATTCCGGGACATGGTCGACGGTATGGGGCCGCTGAAAGTCTTTGGTACGATCAGGGAAGGGTTTGCCATCATGTGCAGGGTGTGGGAGAACAGGGCAGAGATCGACGAGCATCCGGACCAGTGGGACCTTGCGGCCTGCCTCAACTGCCTGTCTCAGCCTGCTTTGCTGATTTGAGTGGGAGTGAGTAAGTGTTATGAGCAATTTCCTCCTAGCAACGCCTGTATGCCGTGCCCATAGAGCGGAGGTATGCCCACGACATGAAATCAGGTATGTATTTCACATTATATTACCTCTGGATGCATTGTACCTCGCGCCCTTCCTTACTGACCTAGCTCCAGGTCATCACCCAGCATCAGCACTACTACTACACCACATTGGACGGATCATAGGCTGCCTGCGGCCTATCAATCACACTGGCCAGTGCTCCCCACCACCCGCTCTGTGCGGGCTCCTCCTTCAGCTGTTGCCGTCCCGCGTTGCCCCTTTGGGCCACTGCCAGTGGTTTCGGCATCAGTGACTCATGTGGGCTGTTCAGGATACCAGATCCAGTCGGAGAAGGCTGGAGATCTTGCCTCACCAACCCCGTCCGACCTCTCCTGCCCTCCGGATTATGGCTGTTGGGTAGAAGACGGGCGTTATTTCCGTCCTCTTCCTCCGTGATACTACTGGGCGCCTTGCCGAAAGAAGCATACTGCGAGGGCATTATGGCTATCGGGATGACGCCAATGTTGCTGCCCCTGACGGTGATGTCAGAGCTGGCGCGCCTCCGCGAGTCGTGCAGTGGGCCGCTCGTTGAGGACTCGGGCGTCTTGCCCTCTGGGATGTCCATGCTCCCGTTGGAATGTGCGGCCTTCCTCAAGCCGCCCTTCGCCCCCTCGTTGTGCGTCCCCTGCTTACGCGCTTCGACCGTCATCCCCGGTGTTTTTGTTTTCGCTTCTCTCCGACCAGGCGCCCCGAGTCCCTAGCCGGCGCGGGGGTTACCGGGGAGGCCGAATCCGTTTTCCAAGTGCGGCGGTCGTCGCAGTCTCGCGGCCGCCGGCTGGTCAAGCACCTCGCCATAACCGGACCCGCTCGACGTCATGGTGCCTCCGACCCTTGACTGGCCTATCGTGACCGGCCGGTTAAGGTTCAGGCGGTCCTCGCCAAAGCTAGGTCTCGGGGGTGCGTTTGAGTAACCAAACTCGTTCGTCCCGGTCCCCGCACTTCCCGCCGCATTCCAAGTCGCGTCCGGTTGGGCTATTGCGGTCGGTGCAAACTCCCTACTACTGGGCTCATTGATCGGTCGAATGTACGACGTCGCACCACCCGCTCCTCCTCTTGGCTCCCGTTTCGCAGCGAACATCGCCCGTGCCAGCTGCCTCTCTCCCATGTCCAAAAACGCAACCGACAGCGCGCTCACAGCAAACAGCACACACACCGCAATCAGCACGCCCCACACAATGTGCAACTTTAAACAAGCTGCTCTTCCATCGGTGGGGAAAGCAATCCTGCCGAAGGCGGTCCCAGGTGGCGCGGTGATCTCGAACCTCCCGTTTGCGGCCACCGCCGCACAGCGCGTGTCTCCGAGCGGCAGGCCCAGGACGACGGCAATCGCGACAAACGCGAGGAGGAAGACCAGATCCACCGACCAGGTCGCTGCGTAGGGGAGGTAGCGCCGGCTGTAGCCTGTCCAGGATAGGAGGGACCATAGGAGGGCGGCGCTGGTCTGTGGTAATAATATGATTCCATCAGCCCCATCTACTCCAGTCCATTCTCTTCATAGCTCAGATACTGGGTCGGGGGGGAAGTGGAGGGGACGGATGGCCTTACAAAGAGGACAACCGCGATCAAGCTCGTCGCTGGAGCTTGCCTGCCGCGGGTCTCAGTGGAGAGCAAATCGGCTACCAGGCCTGTGACGACGGCGAGGGATGCGATCTGGGCTACGCGCGTGATGAGGAAGGCGTAGCCGTAGAACCCCTGCGGGCGGAGCGAGAGGGTATCGCGGACGACGGGCGGCATGATGTGTGGTGAACGAGGGGCTACGAAAGAAAAAAGGAAAAGAAAAGAATATGGCCGGCTCTTTTGCAATGGAAAAGTTATATAACGCCAAGTGTTGTGCGTGCGCCGTTGGTTTGGAACGGGCCATGCATGTGTCCTCCTACGTTAGGTACCTTAGGTAGGATGAGAATAACAGGCAAGGACAGTAGACAGTAGGGAAAGAGGTTGTCGGGGGGGGTATTGGGTAGAAAAGGCCTGACGGACGGGTGGCGGTGGCCCAAGGAAGAAGTCGGGCCTATTTGGAGGTGTTGACGATCAAGCATAGGGCAAACAGTGGGAAATATTGGAGAACTTGCCTACACGTATGTGGTTATGGCGTAGGATGCTACTGTATTGTACAATATATGGTCGACTTCAGGGCCGCTCTTGACCACACGGGAATTGGCAATGGTACATGAATCATACACTTTCCACAGGAAGGCGCATTTCCGCGACTCCGATTAAGTCCACTGTACTAGACAAATGTTGCTGCATATGCCATGTGAGCGATCTGTGCTGTATGTATAATATTTGATGAAGCATCTGATCCGCCATCTTGGACAGAGGTCTGACACATAATAGCGGCCGTGGACCGGCAACTGTGGGGCCGGCTTCCGCGGCCGGCCGGCCGGGTGGGGTCACGGGGTGTGTCGCATGCAAGACACTCGGGCCGGACCTGTTGGATCGCCGGCCGTACCAAACCTGACAGTTGAACGCCTGTGACAAAAGACCAACGGGAAAAACGCTGGTACCTAGCATCTCGTCACAGTTACGATGGTGTATTGCGCTAGAGGAAGGCCTAAAGGGACCATGTAGGCGTTCAAATGGATTGGCCTCATGTCGCCAGCTTGTCGAGTAACTGAATCGCACGTCGCAAATCCGACTTGACGGGGGAATCTGCGAGGCGCATTCTTTAGGTGGTTTGCAGTCACCACGCCGCATAACAACCATGGAAGTCGTCAACCACAACGTTAATGATGTTTGATGGAGACAAAACCGCGCTAGTGTTTCTCGCCTTTATACGCCTCTACTCCTACATAGCCGCCTGAACTTCTCATAGCTTGACCTGCAACCAAAGAGTGTGCTATCCCCGCCCATATCGGCCTAACAACCTCACTATCATAGTGCTGGTGAGCCCATGATTTCGAGGGCAGAGGAATCATGTCTACATCGCATGAGCTAAGTAGCCCGCTCCACTATGACAGAGACTAGCTAACCGAGCAAGTCGTCCAGGCCATTGCCGAGGGGCTTGGTATCACCGGCAGGCTTGCTGGTAGCCGATGGCGCCGGTGCGCCCCAGATACCCGCGCTGCTCTTTTCCTTGGCCAGCTGGCCGATGGTTGGACCGGGGCCGGTCGAGTCCTTCTTTTTGATGCCGACGCTAGCCTGAGACCATAGGGCGCCGAATGCATCACCGCCGGTTGCTGGCTTGGCGGATGCCGAACTGGCGGCCGGCTTCGCCCCACCCAGTGCGGAAGATGCGGCGGGCTGTGGGGCAGCCGATGCCGCTTGCACAGATGAGAAGTAGTTGGGCCCTGACGCTTGGAATCCGGCAGGCTTCGGGACTTGGGTCGCTGGGGAGACCGTGCTGGCAGTGAGCGGCGTGGAAAAGGCCGAGAAGTTGTTGGCCGGGCTGGTGGTGGAACTTGGCGGCGGGGAGATGGATGACATTGCGACCATGCCGCTGAGGTTCGCTTGCTGGGGTGCAGATACGGGTTTGGGTTGCACTACCGGGAGAATGCTCGCTGTTCCCCCGATGGGTGGTGGAAGTGAAGCTTGAGGGGCCGCTGCAGCCGGGGTTGCGGACTGAAAATCGTCAAACTCGTCGTCGTCATTAGCGCCACCGGCGAGTGAGTCCAGTCCGGATCCTTTCGCAGCAGCAGGCGCCGAAGCAGCTGATGTGCTCGGAGCAGCAGGTTCGTCAAAGTCAAAGAGGTCCACCTCAGGCTCCTTTTTCTTCAGCTGCTCCGTCATTTTCTTCACTCCAGCCCGCTCAGCCGTGTCCCGCGTCGCCCTCGAAGCACTGGCCGAAGCAGCGGGGCGCTCTCCCTCGTCGAACTCATCGTACTCCTCAAACTTGTCTCCTCGCGACTGGGTCCCACGGTAGTCGTCGGATTGACCACCGAAACCGCCTCCATCGCCGTATACCCCGCCGGAGTAGCCGCCGTAGGTGGAACTGCTACCGCCGCCGTAGGCTGAGTCACTGCCAAACCCGCCATAACGGCTTGAACTGCCGAAGCCTCCACCGCCCTGCATGGCAGTGAACTTCCCTTTGTTGGCGCGTGCCTTCTTGCGCTCTGCTCGGATCCGCTCGACATCGCTGAGGAGCTCGGCCAATTCCTTGGCACGGTGCCGGACATTCACGCCTTGGTCCTTGCCGTTCTGGTCGATGTAGTGGAACTGGCGCAGCATCTTGAGGAGTGTAATGTGTGACCGGGCGTCGTCAATGACGCGCTCGGAGCCGTGCTTGATCAGATACTCGAGTAATTGCAGCGCCTTGTAGATTTGTCGCCATTCCTCTGCCGACTTCTCCGTGAAGCGTCGGTAGATCATGGGCATGATCTCGTTCAGCGTTTGGCTGGTACCGGCATCGATCAGCTCCCGGGTCTCGCTAGTGGAGCAGCTGCGGGACACCTACTAGTTGAAAGTGCCATCGGCAATCTCCTGCATCTGGGTCGACGACGCTCCCCATGGCTCATTGTTTGTGGCTTCGCGCACCTAGTAGCGGTTAGGCCGGGCTCCGAAGGCACTCCGCTGCAACATGACATGCACTGCCACTAACCTTTGCCTCCATTTCGGTGTAGTTCATAACGGCTGTCCAGACATCAGCATGAGAACGGAAGCCCGCCATTCAGCGAGGACGACCTGCCATTTTGCATCTTCCGCACCCCAGCCTTTATGTCGTACAGCGTCAGGTTCGACACCGTGCTCTTGAGGGTGTTCAGATCCATCGTGAAAGACGTGGTGGCCGAAGCCGTCGCGGAAATGAATCTGCAGTGTTTGGGAGAGCCTCGAGATGACGGATAACTGCGACGATCTTCTGTAGCGCAGGCTCTCGAGTCGCGCCGACGACGTCCGCGAACTTTATTAGGGAGGATGGGCAGCAGCGCATGGTCGGCCCCTTGCGATTTCCAGCCGCGAGGACAGTGGGCCGCTTGCAGTTGGTCTGTGCTTGGGGCGGGTCACGGGTGGCCGGTATCCGTATTCCGTAACTATCAGATCTTCATGCCTCAATCGTAAGGCATTTTCATCTCTTGGTCCGTGAGTGGGAGCTTTGGCAGCTCAAGACAAAATTTCATGATCCTCTTGTCAACTGCCCATTCCATCGTCAGCAAAGTTCAATTCGTCTTGTACTTGACCTGTACTCTCTACAAACCTAGCGAATTACGGTCACATAGAACGGTGCGTTGTGTCTCCTGGCATTCTACGCTTCTGCCCCGTCCCTTCCCTTTCGACTTGCGGCTGGAGCTGGCTTACGGTGTATGAGTCTGGGCGCTCCATTTCCCGTTGGAGCTGGCCCTGAACCGCGTTCTCCAGCTACTCCCCGGATATGCCATCAATCGGCTTTTGTCTTGGGTTCCCAGTCGGCCAACAGTCTTTGGCGTCCACCTCGGCCGCTTGCCATTGCCCCGTCTTCAGGTTGTTGGTCGGGATGAGCTGAACTCACACACCACAAACCATCTTATCCACCAACTCTCCCACACAGACAACAGCGTGGATCCTTCTCTGCAAGGTCAGAGTCGGCACAATCTGCACCAATGGGGTCCAGTTCTAGTCCCGCTTTGGTCACGCTCCTTGCATGGTATTGCAACTCTCGATCATGCTAGGGATCGGGACCTGTGGAGGGCCGCTGTCCATGATACCTACATGATGGCGGATACTGGGCAACCAGGCCACAACGTTGTTTGCCTCCTCGGTGTACCTACACGCACGATTACGGGTACACGGATGTTGGCAGGGAGTTGTCCCACGCCTCTTCCAAGCGACACCGGCTGTTTGGTTGGCCCAAAGCGGCATCGCAGGAGCTCCGTGTTGTTGCCAGCAAGGTTCAGTGGGTTGGTTCGGTGCCAAGAACAGACCTCCATCATTTCGATCTGCCCCTCACTTGTCACGTGAGGGGCTACGTACCTGACCTTCCGGGTCCTTCCCACACCTTCGTCTCCATCGTCTGATTGGTGCTGCGGCGAGCGCTAACCTTGCTCCCCAGAGCGGAAAATGTTTCGACCCCTCCTACCCCGCCATTGCTCTCTATCCTCCTCCCTTCTACGCAATCTTCCTACCACTCCATTCACTTTGTCCTGCTCGCCATCTCTTCAACCGACCATCAGATTCTCAGTCAGAGCTTTCTCTGCATCTTCCGTCAGAATGTCCGGCAACGTGTAAGTACCAGAGCGTTACACCGCGCCACTTACAAAGCTTGGCTAACCAAAAGCTAGCTTCCTTGAGGTCGAGTGGAAGGGCCCTGTTCTCGATGAGAACAGCCGGAAGACCGGGGAGATCAGAGGTAAGATCGAACTTAGATCCCAATCTGTTCTTTCAACTGTGCCGCGTTTGATTGAGTTGTTATCTACCCCATTGCATTCTACCTACGCGGGCAGCATGCTGTCAAAAGTCCCGTTCGATCTCGGCAGCCGTCGGTTACGAGACCAGGCGAGCTTGCTCCTTGCCCCTCCAACCCCGCCAACAAACCAACAACGCCATGCCCACTCAACCCCCCGTAGGGTACTTACGAACGTGTTGCTGACTCGAGGACAGAGCAGAAGGGCCGCATCAACCTCGAGCTCTTCGACGATGTCGTTCCCCGGACCGCCCGCAACTTCCGTGAGCTGTGCACCGGCCAGAATGGCTTCGGCTACAAGGGGTCTACCTTCCACCGCATCATTGAGAACTTCATGATCCAGGGCGGCGACTTCACTCGCGGCAATGTGAGCATCTCTTATGATGTCTACCTTGCTCCAGTGCGACCTCGAAACTAACTGTCACAGGGCACGGGCGGCAAGTCCATCTACGGCGAGAGGTTCCCCGATGAGAACTTCAAGCTGAAGCACGACCAGCCTGGCCTTCTCTCCATGGCCAACGCCGGCCCCAACACGTAAGCTTCGTCCATTACCGCCGTTAGTATTCCGAACCAGGCGTGCGCTGACTTTAGTCTCCTGCAGCAATGGTTCCCAGTTCTTCATTACCACCGTTGTGACCTCCTGGCTCGATGGTCGCCACGTCGTTTTCGGCAAGGTCGCGGATGACGACTCCATGAAGATCGTCAAGGCTCTGGAGGCTACTGCTGACGCCGAGAGGGAGTCAACGAAGCCTGTCATCGTTGACTGCGGTCTGGCCGACCAGGCCTAAACGTCCCATGGAGTTGGCGAGAGCAACAACGACCGGGATGCCTGGGCGGCGTATATCAAGCAAGCTCAACAGACATGTTTGCTAGCTCGAGAACTGAAACAAAAGCATTCCGTTGCCGTTCTTGCCCACTGTCAAGTTCATCCTCGCATTGTCTATTGTGATTACTTTCCGACCGACTTCACAAAATGTTCCAGATCGCAGCTCTATGGAAGTTCTCTGGCTTGCCTTCCTGTTTACTGGTGTAATACAACTAAATACCTTCAACTCCGCAGCCCATAAGTGAAACCATTAGTATGGGTATAACGTCCAAAGTCAAAATACAGTGTTCCCAGCTCCATTCCACCCCCCTGCTACACCGCTTACCCGGTGCTCATGACGGAAGAGCCACGTTGGGTGCCACCGCTGCTGGCGCATCTTCCATATCCAACCACTGCAGGAAGTAGACGCAGTTACTCGGGCTCACCGGGCCCCCTTCCTCGCACAGCTCAAACACAGGGCAACGCCCGCACGGTGCCTCCGTCAAGCCATTGCTGAGCGGCTCTGCACCGACAACAAGGGGCTGATCTAGCCCAATGCCGGCCTCCCGATCCTTTTGTCGCTTGTGGAACGGAACTGTATCCTGCCTCATGGCGCGTGTTACGCGGTAGCCTCGCCGTCGGCCGACCCTCACCGGCTCAATCAGCCCGTCGTAGGTCAGCACGTCTACGAGCTGCTGGATGTCGGCTTCGGCGAGTGTCGTGTTGTTAGTTATGCCTGTGGCATGGATGAACGTGGCGATTTCAGCTACGGTCGGGTACTGGGTGTACCCTGCGGGCATAGGCAGGAAGACGGCGCGGGACTTGGCGCTGCCTCCTCGCGAGGTGGTCGGAGTGGGGGCGGGAGAGGTGTCATCGGTCGAGATTTCCGTTGCAGCACGCTTCGTGCCGCGGATGGCGGCCTCCCCGCTGGTGACAGCGCCCTTCCTGGGCGCCTTGGCGGCGCCGCCGCTAGATGATGCCGCTCCACCAGGTTGCGGCTGGGACCCGCGGTAGGCGCTCTTCGTTTTGATATACTCGAAGACGATGCTCTCGAGTTCTGAGATGAACGCTGTGTCAAGCTCACCTTCCGTGAACCAGGGCCCGCCCGTCGCACGTTCCGAGGGACGCAAAGTGGCCTTGATGTACATTTTCTTGTTAGGATGCTCAACATTCTTCATGCTCGCGATGTAGCCCTTCTGCTCAAGATACTTGATGCAGTTCTTGACCACCGCCTCGTGCATGTTGAGCCTATTCTTGATCGTCCGGTTCCAGATGCCGTCGGCGCCTGCCTCGTCGATGATGGAGTACACCATCACGGTCTCATCGTTGGGTAACGAGGTGTACCTGTTGGGCAACTCGTCAGTACAGTTGTTCCCCCATGCCGTATTGTGAGCAAATTGCTTACTTCTTGGCCTCCTCCCTGCTGCGCCATCGCCATGCGAGCCCGGCATGGTGGTTTGTTGTGCCAACTAGAAGCTTGTCGTCGGTAAGCGCCTGGATCACCCGGACGAGTAGGGTCACATCGTTCTTTGGGATGATGTTGAGGTCGAGCAGGTCTTGTTGACCAAAAAGGCGTGTTTCGGAGCCATGTTGCCTGATTTCGTCGTACAGCGCATCTTTGAGGATCTGAAGCTTGGCAGAGTCATCCGCGATGCCGTTGGTCGCCATGGCTCGCGATAGGCACAGCTCGGCTGCTAAAGAATAGCGATAGATTGTAGATGGCTCTGGCGATCTAAATTCGCGAAACTCCACTCAATTCTCACTTCGCAGGGCTGAACAAGAAGACGATCAAAGGATTTGGGCTACGATTGTGAGTTGATTCGTTGATGGTGGGTTGAAGTTGACTCGTTCGGCAGAGAAATTTGGGGAAGGTGCCCCTCCATCACAGCCTTGCAGGAAGTCCCCACAGTCCGTTAACGTTACATGCCATTGGTCAATCGAGAACAAATGTCCAGGGGCGCGTACATGCATGCCGAGGCTGCTTATGGTACCTTGCCGTTTTCGGCTCGACGTGTCCCGAGTCCCGACCTCTAAGTTCTACCTAACCCGTTACAGGCCCCTACCTTGATGTTTCACATCACACACACGGCGATTCTCTATCAGGGCGTCCGCTTCGATCCATTCGTCGGTCCTCAGCTGTCCGACAGTCCGGCTCGATATTTCAGTACCTCATTAGAATGATTGCATGTCCAAGTCCAATAGGTACCAGTATGAAACCAAACTCAGAGCAGTAATAATGGCTTGCTAAGCAGCCTGATTCCATCTACGACTACCTGAGCAGTTGGCTCAAACGCTAGCTTAATTTCACGCGGTCTTTTCGAGTCCTCTGGGTTCGCATTGGAGGTCGCTCAGCTGAGAGACGGCTTCATTTACAGGTGCTTAGTGATGCTACGTTTCTACTGAAGACTACATGCTCAGCGCCGGACACGTTATCTGCCATTTCAACCTAGAACTGTGCCACCGAGCCTGCACAGCTCTTCGAATTAGAATCCAATCATCAACCCTGCCCGCATCATCACACCGACCATCGCCACAAACATGCCAGCTGGTGTGCCAAGGCAGCCAATCTCTCCATCGTTCTCGGCCTATGGCATGACTCTATCGAGCAAACAGGATGTCGCGATATTCCTGAAGCTTCCAATAGCTCTTGCTTGTATCTTCTATTCTTAGTTGGGGAATGTAAACAGTGGATGACTTACACTTCTGTTTTCATGCTAATAATGGCTGATGATGGTCCAGCAATTTCCCACGGCCAAGAACATCTAACATAAACACAGCTGTCTTCACGAGATACCGCGAAAATCAATATAGGGGTCGAGGGAGCACTTAGTACGTCTTCTCCCAAAAGTCAGCTTTAAACTCCCCGGGCGCTCAATCGCGTAGAGCAACCGAGCTAATTCGTTTAAGTACCAATCAGTATGGGATGTCGGGTGCGGTTGCCAAAAGATGGGCGAGTTATGGAAGGGGCCGCTTATACCAGTGCTACGGTAGTTTTCAAATAACACCTCAGGCGGTGCGCTTGGATGGGAAGGATAGGTTTCATTAGCGGTTAAGCTGCGAGTTTTGAACGAGTGTTTCGCCGGCTGGAAGAAGGGGCGGAACTCTGAGCCATGCATGCTTGGCCCCACGGGAGCGAGTCGTCTCGAGGCAGTCATGTCGGTGTTTGCGGTTCAGTCGACTTGGGAACGTGATTCCCATGGACCGCTGGCTTTTATCGGGAGTTCCCAGTCAGAAGATCGGGGACGACGTGGAAAACGTTTGTGGCTCATATGTAGCCTAATATGGATAGAAGGGGCTCATGAGCGCGAAGCGGATGACGGAACCAACTGGAGCAGAGTTCATGGCTCACAGACGGGCGGGCTCAATGCAAGGCAGCCTTGGAACGCACATGATCCATCACCAATGTGGATAGGAAGCAAGGAGTTGCCGAGGCACCGTAAGAAGTCACCTGAGTGCACTGACCTCAGGACGGGCCCGAGGGGCATTGATACGGGACGGCCGCAACACAAGCCAATAACTACTTCCCCCGAATGAGTCGCTTGGCTCAGCGGTCAAGCGTCTCACACCGGGGGGAGGCCGTGTATGTCACTGGTCGGGAATCGACCCTCTTCGGAGGTACCCGGTTCGATTCCCACCTACTGCACGGTCGGAGCAAAAACCTAGCGCAATATCATATCCTCGCTACGGCCGGGACGGGACTTTGCCAAGGATTTTCGTAGCCGGGTACCTCTCTCCGTATAGCGAAGAGGGATACCCAGTGAGCTTTTACAGTTTTTTCTTTGATCGTCCTTGCTTCTTGACCTCCAGTACCGAAGATACTTATTAGGATTATCTCATTCCTGATTGCCCGTGTTGAGCCAGCAGCGGCATCGCAGCCATAACCTCCTTGCCAGCGAGGGGAAGGGTGGCTTTCCAAGCGTATCACATCGTTGGGGAGAACGTCAATAATGCCCGTAATGAAGCGGGAAAGCCGCGAGTGGAAGGTTACACATGCCCCTAAAGATGGTGATACTCCTCGAGTCCTTCCTGCACCTGAGGTTGTCAACTTTTCGCCTTTCCATCCAGTTTCTAGCCCGTGATTGGGGTTGTTTTTCAAATTAAGACTGTGGGTGACACGACGCTGGTAGATGCATCCAGGGAAGGTGGGAACTCGCTAGCCAAGGCCACTAGAGAGTGCGGAATGATTGGATTGGTGATCCATTTGTTGGTGTTGTGCGTGTAAGGAAAGAAGAGCACCGCCACAGCTTCTGACTAAGCTGATTAGGCTGTCCGGGTCATTGCGCTACTAAGAAGCACTGCAGTTGTATATTGGGGGCGCCTGCGCCAATTCAACCTTCCACCATGCAGTTAGAAAGTTTGGCTCACAATACCATCAGCCTCATTTACGACTTCGAGTTTGACCCTGCCCTCGATGTGGCTTGGTGGCCATCCTCCAGTGCTAACCTTACCCTGCGCGTTCTGCTCTTCCTTCCACTTCCGCTTGTTTCTCTTCTAGAGCTTCCTTTGTCTTATCCTCTCACCCTATTTGATTGCCAGTCCCACTTTCTTGCAGGATCTCTTCTCCCCTTCCAGTTCCACTCCCCTGTCCTGTGTCTTCGACGTCTTCTTCTCCATCATGCTCCTCACCGTAATGAGTGTCGTCAATATCATCCACTAACCAGGGATGTTCCAAAATTTGCCTCGCGGTGATGCGCTTCGCGGGATCGAATTCGAAGATCTTTCGAAGCAGGTCGAGGAAAGGTTCTGCGTCTCCCTTCTGGATAGGTACCGTATGCCGAGCGAGGAATCTCTCTTCCTCACGGCCACGGTCCGCAAGCTCCCAGGTGGGAAGTAGAAGACAGAACTTCTCGATCCCAGCTTTTCCGCTCGTGGTACCCCTGGGACTCCGAGGCACGCGGATCTCCTCCACGAGCTGCTCTAGCGTGGGTACAGTCAATCCGCTAACGTTCTTGAGGGAATCGTACTCGACTCCCAGCTCTAGCGGTTCGTGGACAGGGTAGCCGCCGAGGAAGAGAAATGCCAGCCATTCCTGTGGCAGACTTCCGAAGACCTCGTAGATTCTAAGAACAGTAGACTCTGGATCGCGGGCCATCCAGTCCTGGAAAAGCAGTCGAGGCACCCTGAGGTGAAAGGGCAAAGATCCCAAGGCCCAGATATCAGCGGCAGGACTGTTGTTTAGGTTGAAGATGGCTTCCGGAGACAAGTATTGGGGAGAGATGTGCGCTAGGTCTCGGGGTGGATCCTCGGTAAAGAATGCCTGATCCCAATCAAAGATACAGATCGCAGTGGACAGGTACTCTGCGGGCAGAAAAGTAAGTTTGCCAGTATCTACTGCATAGCCCGGGGCTGGTGACGGTGTGTCCGGGAAGTAGCGCTCCAGGGATTCCCATTCCGGGTCACCAAATATTTCTTCAAAGTCTTCCTCGGTTAAGGAGTCGAGAGACTTATCAAGCTTGATAGCGACATTCTTGAGCATGAAATCTCTGAGTTGGTCAGGATTAGTGGTTAACGAGGCTTAGAGCAAGCGGCTCACCACCATGACGGATACCCAGGGAGTGCAAAGTGTCCAGAGCTTTTGCGAGTTGCCGTGCGAAACTCTTAGCGAACGGCAGATATAGCTTGTCGTCGAAAGTGTTAAACGAGGCGAGTGACGGCCCCAGCACAGGGAAAACCTGACACAGGTGCCGGCCGTTTCGACTGGTGTGGAAAACATGTTCGAGTTCCAAGACAAAGAGGCCTGGGGATCCATTATCGCGCTCAAACTGCCGGAGCCGATTGACAACGGCGGCTGGTTCGTAGTCTTGGGACCAGCTCGCACTCACCACCTTCAATGCGACGTAACGGCCGTGGCGCTCGTCATCGTCCCGAACAAGCCATACCGTCGCGAATCCGCCGTAACCAAGCTTGTGGAGGACGGTGAAACGGTTCGCCAGGCGGTCACCGAGCTCAATGGGACAGAGACCGCCTTCGCAGTACTTCCCAATGTCTTCCGTTCTGGAGCCGTTTCGAAGCCATAGAGATGACATTCCGACGAAAGGCGAACTCGTGTTGATGGGGTTAATGACAGAAGGATATGGACCCTGGGAGCGGTGGCCGCGATTGCAAGCGGCTACCTGGCTGGTACTAGTACCGAGCCAACCGCATTGAGGACGGAACTGGGGAGGGTAATGTTGAGGACGTTGGTTCGCGGGCCGCCAGTAAACCCGTTGGTACTCGGACAAGTAATTGACCCGTACCCACGCCCGACTTTGCTCAGGTTGAATAAAAGACCGTCCCGGCTGCTTCCGCTTTCCGTCAGTGCTAAAGTCAGCCCGTATTGGGAAGCGTGCCAACGCCCGACTGCTAATTTGAGCCATCTTGGGGGCGGGAGCCAATCATACGACCAACCAGGTAACAATGTGTTGTGTAGCAACAGCCGACTACCGTACCTAAGACAGTTCGACCTTTGGTCGCAGCGTCTGAAACTCACTGCACCTGTCTCGTATCCAAACCTGGAATCTGGCCGCGACAATGATTGCAGCTAAGAGCTGGCTGCACGGCCCCCGAATTCAGCGGCGTAACTCAAAGTCTCTCACTGAGCTTCTCCTATTCGGTACCGGGACGCAGAAAGGAAAGCCTTTCGACGAACTGACCAAGGTGGGAGGTGAGTATCAAGTATCCGCCGGCGAAGTTCGACGAAAGCAGCAGTTACTCCATTCCGCTTGTCAACTATCTCTTTATCGGTCAGATGTGAGAAGTCACTGCCTGGCACGCTGAATGCTTAACGTATCCTTCTTGGGGATCCAGACTCAGGTGAAGTTGAGCCCGTTTAATAATAGCAGTTCGTCTTCAGACGTCGTCACACCCGCCAGCATTCGAAACCAGAATGGCCTGTCATGCGCCGCACGGCCCAGTCTCTGGCTTTCGAGACGTCGGCGAGCATGCAGCCGCCTCTGGCGAACCTCATCTCTGACCAGGGCGCAAATTAATCCAAGAGTGACTTGGTTATGCCCTCGGGATTTTGCAGCCTATGGCTGCTGTCTCCAGGGCGCTTCATACGCGCAGGCTCCGGCATATAATACGTGGACCTCCGCCCCAGAGACGTGCTCCCCTAAGCATGCTGCTACGGATGTTAGTCACAGGGAGAGGTACAGGTTACGCACGAAAGGGTCAAACCTCCGACGATGTCCGCCACGAGCCCCACGCACAAGCCGTCTTCTACTTCTTTTCAATCCAACAACGGTCCCAAGCCGAAGTCCAAGCATACCCTCGGAAAGTTGCGGCAGGGTGACAGAAACGAGCCCTATCTAGATGGGCATGACAATCCAATTCCAAAGCTCCCGCCGCCGAAACCGCTTGTTACCTTAAGCGAGCCATTGCGGAATGCGGGACTCCCGGGTCCATACGTGGATGCCATGATTGGAATAGTGAGGGAAGTTGCCATTACAGGCGGTTGGGATGAAGCTGAAATCACGTACATTGCTTCTCAATCTCGATACCTTCCCCCAGAAGCCCACCCCGTTCTATCCTTCCCCCGCATACCGGAAAGCCTAGAAGTTTACACAGCCCCCGTTCCTAGCTGAGGATGGATGAGACCAATCGCGACAAACCGTCTGCGGGACTAGGTGGGCTACACAGACTTGAGACTGACAAGACGTTGAATATCTACCAGGGCCGATGTCAACGACTCATCGACCACGGGTACTCATCGGCCTTCTTGTCAAGCTCGTGGCGTGACTGTCATTGGGAAAGGACGGTCCGTGCAAGTATCGCCAGATGACCCCCATATCACTGTTGCGATGAGATCGCGCGACTTCTCAAGCACCAACACTACCTACATATCCTAACCACCGTGGCCGATCCTGCACTCAGAAACCCGCGACGACGCAGAGAGATACTCAACAAGGACCTGTACCCGAACGGGTTTCCGTTTCATCAGCTAAGAGGAAAAGGCTTGAGCGCATTCTCTGCGGGTCTCACGACGCCTGCGCAGGCATATGGTGGCATTTATCAGCGATGGCAGCGAAGGGAAACGGAGCAGTGTAGGAAAGAGGCCATGAAGCACGGTAACTGGCCTGGGGACGAGGAGAAGGATGGTGTAGCAGCAGTGCCCGCCGGTGAGTGCCCCTATTTACTTATCCGCTTTCCCTATTTCTCTGCGCCTCCATCTGAAACGATGAATTACCACACAATCCCTCTCGCGGTTTGGCTGGAGATGGGACGTATTCCGCGAGAAAGGTGCCGTGATTGTTTGAAAGCTAACGACAGGTCACATGGTTGATAGGCCTCTCGAACAACACACCCGACGGCTTGACATCAGGAGTCTCGGGTGCCAATGGGCGCAGACAGGGGCTGCCTAGTCAACGAGGTGGTTCGCCAGCATGACGGCTAGGGGTGAGCTTAGGAAAGGATTCACTCCTGGGAAATTTGAAACTTTAGGGACCAGAGTTGCCTTTTCCGTTGGGCGTTTCGAAGCGTAAAATTAACGCGGCCTGGATAAGTAAGGTACTATTGTGTTTTGTGAATAGTGGAAGAAAACGGACAGGTTGGTATCAATCATAGTGAAGCCATGTGTAATCCCGAAGTTTTTGTGAGCCAGTTGTTACGGACACCGGGTACGACCTACCAAGGTTTCTTTTTGCGCTTCTTAGGACTCCGGCGGTGGAGATGCTGAATTTGTATGAAGGCGGAGTCGACTGGGCTCTGGATCTTCGTGCTAGGTCCACCAGGAGTCCGGAACGGCGACGAGGGTTCACTTCGGAGGTGTGGAGTCTGAGCACTGAGGAGTCAGGACGACCGGAATGAATGATATCTCAAGTCACATCCCGGCTGTCAAGCTTTGGGGCCAGTCCAAACATCGTCACTGAGCCTCACAGGGGCGTTGCAGGAATCTTGCGATCTCATCATGTCTTCCACGCGCAGTTTTTGACGCAAATGCGACAACTTCGCCGCTAATACCTCCGAGAAAATCACGGTCTTACAAAGGTTTGTGGGAAAAGGACATGTAGTCCCAATCGCTAGGCAACGGCTCCTTCCTGCCATCCGCATATAGGCTCTCGTACCGCGCGCCCATGACGTAGCGCTCGAGGTATTGCTTGAGGCTCTTTTTGTGAAGCCACGGGTCGAACCACGGGCCGGGCCGTCGCGGCTCACCGGGCAGGTGCTCCCAGGACCTCTCTTCAGGGTACCGGAAGTGGGCGTAGAAGCGGCCGAGGCCGGGCCGCTCCAAGTCCGCCGCCAGCCCCCGGAGCGGCCGCACGAGATCCGCGTACGCCCTCAGCAGCGCCGCTGCCTCCTCGGGCGTAGCCTCGCCGGCGCGCTCCGGCGTCCCGTTGCTCTCGTCTATCACCATCGCCCGCAGGGTGAGTGCCGGCAGGTTGAGTCGGTCGCGGAGCCAGGCGACCGTGGCGAGCCAGTTCCGCGCCGCCGGGTGTTCCGGCCCGGGCCAGGTGGCGGATGGGTAAGGCGGGAAAACGAGCTCGAGGAAGCGGAGGTGGGCGAGGGCGGACGCGGGCACCACATCGCGGAGGAACTCAGACGCGGCGAATCTCTCGAACCGGTACGAGTTAGGTTCTGGTGAGTCGTCGGGTACCCGCCAGACCGGGTACGTCTTGTAGTCGTGGATGATGAACCGGTTACGGGCAAAGAAGACGTACTGGGCCTCCTGGGACAGGGTGCGGCATACGAGGAAGAGAGCCGGCCCCGGCGGCGCCCAGCACGTGCAGTGCGACGCAAAGGCGGCGTGACGGCGCCGGCAGAAGCAGCCCTCGGGTCGGCCGCGGTAGCACTCGAAGAACTGTGTATCGTGTAGCTCGTCCAGGTCGATATAGGGGGGGTCTCTTGCGCGTCGGAGGCGGAGCAGCACGTACGCACGGTCCTGCCGGCTCCAAGCCACCTGCCTCCGCGGCGTGACCAGGTCGGTGTACTCCAAGATACGGACGCGGAGCTCGCGTGGGAGGCTGGTCAGGGTGACGGTAGCCGCGGCGCCGAGCTCCGAGGAGGCGGCGTGCGGAACAGGGGTGGGCAGCCCGCAGGCGTGCACAGCGGCGTCTTGAGCGAGCTGCTGGAGCGGTCCCCCGTCAGGTGTCTTGGCGAGCCGAATCCGGCATTCGGAGAGGTAGGAGCGGGGAAGGAGGGACAAGGGCGCGAGAATGGACTCGGCGAGATGGAGCGCCCGCGGGTGCTGCGGGTCGATGTCGCATACGAGCGAGAGGGCGAGGCGGCCAGGGGCAATGCGAGAGAAGAGCTGGGCGGCGGCCGACGTTGTACCACCATCGCTTAGGAGCGGGGCTTGGTGAACATCATTGCAATGCTTCTGGCGGCACCACCGCGAGGCGGACCAGTCGTACAACCCTAAGTCATCACGGCCTTCGCAGCAGCAACTATCGCTGGAGTCGTTTTCCGTCACTCTATTGTGGCAGGCCGCCTCGGTGAGGACAATCTTGAGCTGGGAGAGCGACCGGAGCGACGGCTCGGTGAGCCTACCGAGGGCGTGGAGGCCGGGTAGCTGGGCAGGGGCGTAATGGTGGACGACGAAGCTGTTGGCCGAGTACAGTAAGGCAGCTGCCTCGGTGTAGATGGTACGGCAGGAGATCAGAAGGCCATGGAAGTCGATCGGGTCGGGCGGGCAGCCCACGTAATCCCTGTAGCTGGCTCGTCCCCCTCGCAAGTCGAACTGATACGGGCTGCCGTCCCACGATGCCAATCCCAAGTAGCGGTAAAGGTGCAGCCGAATTTCTGGCGTGAGGCGTAGGAGCCGGGGTGCCGATGGCGGTGGCGATGGCGATGGTGAGGGTGAGGGTGAGGGTGAGGGTGAGGGTGAGGGCGACGTGTGGGCGGCGTCGGGGACGACGACGCACGCCATAGTCCAAAGTGGGTGTAGTGCCCTAGTGCCTTACACCAGTGCCTACCTACCTACATACCTAACCTGGCGGATTATAAGATACTAACGTAATTTATAAGCGAGTATTACATATAAGCGAGTGTTACAGCCCCCACCACAACGCGTCCTCCTTGCACATAACATCATTCTTTTCTACAACCCAATATGGCTTCTACTTCCAAGGAAGCAAGGGTAATCTTGGCCCTCAAGGCTATTCGAAATAACAAAAGTTTAAGCCTTCGAGCCGCAGCTAAGCTCTACGACGTAACGGCTATAACCCTCTCCCGACGACTCCGTGGCATGCCTATACGACGCGACTGTACGGCCAATTTGAAGAAGCTCACTGAATCCGAAGAGCAGGCTATTGTTCAGTATATTATTGAGCTAGTTGCACGTACATTTCTACCCAGACTGCAGGGTATAGAAGATATGGCCAACCAACTACTACGTCTACACGACAAGCCCCCTATTGGGAAGCTCTAGGCTCACAACTTTGTCAAACGCCAGCCAGAGCTCAAGATGCGTTTTGTTCGTCGGTACGATTACCAGAGGGCCAAGTGCAAGGATCCAAAGGTTATTGGCAAGTGGTTTGCACTTATATAGAACGTCAAGGCCAAGTACGGTATTGTCGACGACGATATCTACAACTTTGACAAGACTAGGTTTATAATGGGTATCATCTATGCTGGTATAGTAGTTACAACCTCCGACGGCTATGGCAAGGCAAAGCTAGCCCAGCCCGGCAATCGCGAGTGGGCAACGGTAATCCAGGGAGTCAATGCTCTTGGCTGGGCTATCCCTCCGTTCATTATCTTGGCTGGGCAGTACCATCTAAGTAGCTGGTATACCGAGGCCGGCCTTCCACTTATCTGGCGGATCGCAACTACCAACAACGGCTGGACTACCAATGAAGTAGGCCTCAATTGGATCAAACACTTCGACTACTATATAAAGTCCCGTACAAAGGGCACCTACCGGATGTTGATCCTTGACGGCCACGAGAGCTACCACTCGACCAAATTCGAACGCTACTGCCAGGACAACAATATCAAGACTCTCTGCATGCCCGCACACTCGTCCCACAAGTGCCAGCCACTCGACGTTGGCTGTTTCGGACCACTGAAGCGGGCGTATAGTCGCCAAATTGAGGATCTGATCCGGGCAAATATCAACCACGTTAGCAAGCTCGACTTCCTCTGCGCCTTTCGCGAAGCTTTTTTTGCCTCTATAACAGAGAGCAATATACAGGGTGGCTTTGCAGGAGCCGGCCTAGTACCGTACGACCCAGACCGAGTACTCTCTCAACTGGATATTCGGCTTCGTATGCCAATGCCCCCAACCTCACGGCCCGGCACTGTATAACCTTGGGTCTTCCAGACGCCACACAACCCTCAAGAAGCCAACGCACAGTCAACAGCTATTAAGACCCGTATTACCAACCACCAAAACAGCTCCCCGACCTCAATGTTGACTGCAATAGACCAACTGGCCAAGAGTACAATGGCCGTAATGCACCGGATGGCCCTCCTTAAGTCAGAGGTCTCTTCGCTCCGTAAGGCCAACGAAGTACTAAGCAAGCGCCGGAGAGCTAAAAGAACACGTGTGCAGCTTGGAGGATCAATTACTATATAGGCTGCGCAGGATGTGCTAGCCCAGAAGGCTGTGGGTGGGGAGGTAGTTGAAGGAATACAGCCGGGTGGTAGTGGTACAGAGGGGGTCCGTACAGGTGTTCGGTGCTATAGTGTGTGTGGCAAGCCTGGCCATAATGCCCGTACCTGCCAGGAGGCTGCAGAATCGTCTGATTCAGCTATTTCTGATGTGATTGTAGTTGGTTGATCCTGTTGTTGTTGTATTTTGGAGGATAGTTGTGGTAGGGGTAGTGGGGACTGTAACACTCGCTTATATGTAACACTCGTTTATAAATCACGCTAGAGGATGGAGTTTTGGCAAGAGGCACAAAAAGCCACTCGATCCAATCAGCACGATGCAGAGGATGCAGAGTATGGTTGCAGACGTACCTTAGGTTTACTTATTGCTGATGATCTGTTAATTGGAGGAAGTCGGTTGCAGACTGCCGACACGTGTAGTGGGAAGTCGTAGGTGGGTTTGATCACGTGGCCACCTGTGGGAATTAATCGTTAACCATCTTAGTGCGTACCTAAGGTACACAGTACTACGACATACAGCAAGTTCTGCGGCACGGCGGCTACTCGTTGGGGGCCTTGGTCACGAATTGAGGGGCTGGCGAGGTTGGGACTATTGGCCTGGGCCGCCCCCAACCGCGACGGCTCCCCCGTTGAATGTACATGTATGAATATACATGTACAACTTTACAAGCAGGTGTATTTACACCATGGACGCTCTTAGTGTATTGTATTGTATTGTATGTGGTGCTCATGACATATCTTGGGAAATGTACAGTCAGATGGTAACAGTTGCCCTTTCGGTTTAGCCGCCGGGCGTTAATAAAATTGTATTGTATTGTATTGTATTGTATTGTATTGTATGTGATGCAAATATGTAAGAAAGAGGCGACGGGATTGTTCGTGTTCGTTAGGTAGTGGCTGTCCTGGGACGTGTGGCTGTTCCTGGGACATGTGGAAGAGACAGTCCGGGTCGTGGAAACAGTTATGCCAGGGCGCTGTCATTTATAGGAACTGCCAGAGGGCGATGCATGGTTCAAGAGGGGTGAGTTTTCGCTCGAGGGATATTAGGATGAGCTGCAGATGTTCGATGTCCTGATCAAAACCGTGACGCGCATCTCGCTGTCCCTGATATCCCTGTCTGCCAGTCACATAATACCCCTGAACTGCTCTCCTGACCGTCCGTAAGTCAATACAAGCCTTTTGGGGATCAGCTATAGGAATTTTCACTCAAGTCTTGGTAGCGCTGTCAACAAGTCAAGTCAACCAAGTCAACCAAGTCAAGTCAAGTCAAGTCGATGCACCGACTTGACTTGACAGACGTGACACTCTCTAGGGTTAGGGTTATGTGTGGTAAATTAGCCGGATTTTAGTCATTTTGTCCAGGGTCAAGAGGCTGAACATATCAAAAACGGGCTTTTACCCACTTTCCGGCCCGAACTACGGATGTACTGCGACGCCGGTCGGGCTGCCCAACAGTCCTCGAGGCGGTGCTGCCTATCGCGGGCTGGACAGCCAGAAGTTGATCCTCCAGTGTAACGGCGCTTGTTTGTGGTTCGGGGAGTTGGGCTGCGGCTCCTTTTCCTGCGAGACGCTGGGCTACGCTGTGTCGAGCGACGTGGCTCCGAATCCCTCTCTTCCTCGTCAGAGGTCTGCTCGGCGAAGGTGACGAAGGCGCCCTTGGCGATGGTGGCGGCTTGAAGTCGTCACTCCGTCTGACGCGCTCGCTGAAATCCTTTAGAAGCTTCTGGAGCATGAATTTGTTGTTGTCGATGGCATCTTGGTTGCTGTTGTAGTAAGAGTCGCACCATCCGTCGTATCCAAAGCCTCGGACGGTGTTGTCGATCGAGTCGTTTGTCCCTGGCACTTTGGCCTTCTGCGCCTTCAGAAGGGCCAGCTCCCAGCCTCTGAGCCAGCTGAGCATGTCTTTCGGTTTGCGGGAGAGCGTCTTGTTGGCGGTTTCCCATTCTTCCATCGCTCGTCGGAACTCCTGAAGGTCGTTGGTGCCTCCGCGTTCCTTGAGAGCGGCGTACCATTCGTGGATCCTTTTCTCGGGGTCGCAGGTTGTATCAAACAAGTTAGCAGCCACTGTCTTGGTGATCCAGGAGCACAGGAAGGTGATGTTCTGGAGTTCCCTCTCGTAGTCACCCTTCTCTTCGCGGTATTCAGAGAGGTCAATCTTGTATGCGTCACGCCCAGCTGCGGTCATCTCGGAGGCGTTCTTCGGTTTGCCGCCAGGCACGACCACCTGGGAAGTGCCGCTCGCAGGCGTATTGCCACGGGCATTGCTGGCAGGCGCGTCGAGGCGCTTCTCGTGGTTGGCGACGTCGGACTTTGTGGGCATGGTTTGTACGCTCCTTTGGAGGTGCTCGTCGGGTTGATGATCTCCCAGAGCCCGCGGTTGGTTGCCTCGGCGATGAAGCGCGTGTTCCATGCCTTCCAGTTTTCGGAACCGGTAAGCTTGACGATTTCCTCCATCAAACTCATGGTTGCGGTTTGGTGGTGGGTGAGCACTTGAACTGATGTTCGTGGCTGTTGCTTCGGGTTTTTCGTTTCAGGAAGCCTTTGTTGCGAGCCGGGCTCATAACTGTTGGAAATACCAACAGCCACGTATCCAAGATTATCACACAGATGATGGGAGCTTACAACAATGGGATTGAGGTGCTTGGGAGCAACCCAAAAGTGATTAATTGAAGTCAGTGTTGATTGTCCTTGTTCTCGTCGAACTTCCAGAGTCCTCCAGAGCGGGTGGCTTTATACTAGATCTCTCCTTTGTCTCCCTTGGGTTAATCCATGGTTATCCGAGTCTTTGTGCTGACAAAATGCCATGATTCTGTTTCCGGGTGTCATGGCTCCGTTTCCGGGTGTCATGACTCCGTTTCCGGATGCTAGGACATTCCTGATATTCCAACACCAGCAAGGCCAGCAAGGCCAGCACACCGAGGCTCGAGGGTTGGGCGCAGTTGGTTCGCGTCCCCGAACCGGGGACGCGATCCTGGCGCCAAAAAATGCACCGCCATCGCGAATGCGTGGGGCGCGTGCTGAGGGGACTCAGTGGGGTGTGAACCAAATAGAGCGGGCGACGCCTTCCGGCCTCCGTCGCCGATGCCGTTTGCATTCGTAACGGAGCCGGCCCCACTCCGGGAACGCGAACGGGTTCTCGGCCGGCAAAACTTCGGTCGAGGCGCTGGCCCGTGCTTGCTGAGTCATCAAAAGCAGTTGTGCGAAAAGCAAGATTTTGCATAACGTTAAGTGGTGAAGACTCCGACGATTTTCACAAGCTCTGATAGCAACATTCCACTGGTCAATTTTGGATACAACCACTGCAACGTACTCCTGTAGTCAATCAATAGTAGTAGCATCATCTTCAGCAGAGATGTTTAGGTCTACACCATTCCCAACATCTTACTCCTCCCGCCTCAACTTCGCCGCTCTCTCCATGCGGTGCGCCGAAATGAAGGCCAACCAGGAGGGTGATCTCCGTCTGGTGTGAGAGGCCAAAGTGCCACGTGATCGAGGCGACGGGCGAGGAGTAGGTCGGGTTGGCCTTGAGCTGATTCTCCACGAGGATGGCAAGCTGCTGCGCGCCGCCCATCAGACACCACTATTTGGTGCCATCGCTGTAGTCGAAGTCGAGTGACTCGAGGACCGTCTCGCTGAAGGCCTGGTCGTACCAGCCTGATGGGTAGTAAAAGGTGAATCAGTAGGGGAATGGACATCGACTTCAGTACAATCACGTGTAATCCTGTTTGTGCATTCAGCTCAGATCGAACAAGCGAGCAAAGGTCGCGGGTGCTAGTTGTCATGCAGTCAATGTCAAAGAGGGAAGGGATGGGGACATGGTCCCAGGGACAATGGGAGCTATCAAGGTTGAGTACGTACAGGTGGAGAGGCCTAGTCTAGGGGCCCTGATTGCCGCGGCCGTTGCGGCTGTCTCTCCGACTAGACCGCACTGTAAGAAGTCTCACCCGTACTAGCCAACCGATGGTTGCTGCTCCAGTCGCTCTATCACCCAAGACAGAGTCTGACCCCTGTCTAGGGATTCTGGGACTCGATCTAGCAGCTGGCGGAGAGCGACTGTGTCGCGAACCGACCTTTTGACCTCTCTCATCGCGCACTGAAACTTCTCGGCAAACTCAATGCCAGCTCTGTCGACGATAATCACCAGCTTGACATTGGCCAGCGAGGCAGCGAGCCACAACAGCAACATCTTGATTCCAGGGTCACCACAGAAAGCCCCACAGCCCCAGAGCCCAGTTCGAATTTCTCGGAACGAGTTGGAAGAGAAAGCTGTGTATGCCTTCCTGAGCTCACGGTCCAAGTTCCCAGGGAGCAGGTCAGGGAGCGACTGCCCGGCCTCGGCCATGTCCAACTCGAGCGCATCCATGAACAGCATAGTCCTCTCCTGCCATGCTGCGTCACCGCCGTCGGGCGCTGATATGTCTTCAACTTGAATGTCCCGACGTTGACCCGTGATATTGACCATCGGCTGGGCACCCCTGACAACCAGGACCTGACCATCATCCCTCAACGGCGATGTGACGAGCACGGCGGGACACGCCTCGGGCGACGAGCCGACATGTATCTCCTCCTGGGTGGCCGACCGCCCGAAACCGATGTACTTGTTTGCGGGAACAACTGCCGCACCCCCCGGTACTCCCAAACTTGTCGGGGAGATATCGTAGCGTTCAACCACCTCTACAGTCACCTCTCCCAGTGGACACCCTGATCTCTGTAGGAGGTCCTTAAAGTCGTGCTCCTCCACTGAGCGCAAGGTATACCTCACCTCCCACTCCCCGTCATCGAGAACTTCATCCTGACAGACCACCTCCTCAAAATACCGCATCAGCGCCGCCAGATACGCCCTCGCCGCACTCGGCTGCCTCTGCTCCGCCTCCCCGGCATACCACAGCCCAAAGTCGTGAAATCCACCCTCCTCCTCCTCCCCCTCTCTCTTCCACTCGGGCGCGACCAGCGTCCTCAAGAACTGGTGCACAACCAAGCACGCAACCTGCCGCCGCGACAGCCCCAGCTCGTCAACAGCTCCCGCTCCAGGCCCGGTGCCTAAGAGGGGGAGCCGGCCCGGGGGAAGAGCGCCGGCATCTGCAACGCAAGCTGCACCAGGCGCGGCCAGACATGGCTGAAGAAGAAGAACCCGTCGTCGCGGCCCTGAAAACGGGAGGTGATCGCCTCTCTCAGGAGGCCGTAATCGCCAGCTGGGTGAGACGTGCCGTGGAGCGTGACTGAGATGGTGTCGAGGAGGGAGGTGAGTTCGGGAAACGTTGTGATTCTGTTGTTTGTTATTGTAGGGTTCAGAAGGGACTGTAGCAGGGGCCAGAGGGGCACTAGGCCTGTGGCTGGGTCTTCTGAGATGGAGAGGTCGTTGTCGTCGTTGAGGAGGGAGAAGCGGTCGAGGACTTTGATATCTGGAGATGACAGGAGGGGGTAGTGGTTGAGAACCATGTTGGGCGACACGAGCGGGTAGGTGTTGAATTCTTGAAGTGGGATGGTTCAAGATGGAGAAGTGGTTGATGAAGGTGTTGTACCTACAGTACTAGTGCAGTTGTAGTTCAGCTCAGTTGAGAGCAACCTTTAATGTTCAATTTTGGCACAGCCACCTTTCAACTAAGCTAGCTAAAACTACCGGCGTGACTCACGTTTGACATGAGATAACATTCAACTGAACTTTGAATCTGGACATCAAACACTACGATGAATCGTCATTACCGTATTTCAATCAATTGCCACAGAGCCGTCTCATTGAGCTGATCTGTAGATAGGTATTTAGGACCATCATGATCTTGTGCCTAAGACTATATTTGTCATTCGATATCGAGTCTAAATAGCTACATTCGTAAATGCAGCACCATATCACACGATTTCTGTATTGATTGCCTACCTTATTCCGGGTGTGATTTTTGAAACGCAAGAATGGAAAGAAAAAGAAAGAAGACAAAAATAAATCTGGGAAGTGATCTGGATACAAGTCGAGAAGAGAGTAAAAAGGAACGACACGTTTCCATGTCGATGGCAAGGCAAATATGAACCTGGAAACTACACAGTATGCATCTGCCTTAGGGAAGAGTGGAGATGAATACTAGCATCTGAACTAGAAGTTCATCGTGTTGATTTTGAATTTTGGAGTTGAGGGGCAGTTTCTTGGCAAGCGGCCCCTCAGTGACCCCTCGAGCCCCTCCAAAACGCTCCAGAACCACTCCGCCCTGGAGGTGGGGAGCTCGACTTCCCCTCCAATCACGAGCTTGGACGTTCATCGAAAGACATCGAAGGCCTAGAGCTTTCCACGAGGCTCGCGCGTGTGCAGGCCTCTGGGAACTGAAATACTTCAAACGGACCATATATTCTGACTTCCCTACACATAAGATCGGATCTAAGCTCAAGCTGAAAATACATACTTCAAGTGATTGAAGATACAGTCGACGTTTCGTGTTCTTCAGGTCCCCTGGAAGCAACAGTTCCCAGCATGTCGACCGCAGAAGAGCTCAAAGCTCTCGGCAACAAGGCCATCGCGGCCAAGAACTTCGACGAAGCCATGTAAGTGTACCGCTCTAGGATGGAATCTCTCTTCAAGTCCCTGGATACTGACTGACCACCAACCCAGTGACAAGTTCACCCAGGCCATCGCACTCGACCCCAGCAACCACATCCTCTACAGCAACCGGTCAGCCGCATATGCATCGAAGAAAGAGTGGGACAGCGCCTTGAAAGATGCCGAGAAGACTACCGAGTTGAAGCCGGACTGGCCCAAGGGCTGGGGGCGGAAAGGTAGTGCGCTGTATGGGAAGGGCGATCTGCTGGCCGCACACGATGCCTACGAACAAGGATTGAAGCTCGACCCCAACAATGCCGGCATGAAGAATGACCTTGCGTCCGTGAAGAGAGCCATGGAGCAAGAAGCCGGAGGAGCCGGTAAGATTCTTGACTACAAACATTGTATCCCATCAACCGCTAACTTTGTTAAGGCCTTGACCCAACTGGTGGTATTGGCAAGATGTTCAGCGACCCGAACCTTATCCAGAAGCTGGCCAGCAACCCGAAGACCAGCTCGCTGCTTGCTGATCCAAGCTTCATGGCAAAGCTGCAGGCGATCAAGCAAAACCCCAACAACATGCAAGACCTGTTCAGTGATCCCCGGATGATCCAGGTGCTCGGGGTGCTGATGGGTGTTGACATGGAGCTGCGCGATACTCCCGACGACGGCCCCGGTGCCTCTGGCTCGCGGGTCGAGGCTGAGGAGGATATCAAGATGACAGATGCCCCGCCGAAGAAGCCAGAACCGGCAAAGAAGGCCCCGGAGCCTGAACCGGAGCCGGAGAATTTGGACGAGGAGGCTCTCGAGAAGAAGAAGGCGAAGGAGGCAGCCGACAAGGAGAAGCAGCTCGGCACCGAGAACTACAAGAAGCGGAACTTCGACGAGGCGATCAAGCACTACCAGGCGGCCTGGGATCTGCACAAGGACATCACCTACCTGAACAACCTAGGCGCGGCCTACTTTGAGAAGGGGGACTTCCAGGCCTGCATCGACACCTGCACGAAAGCGGTCGAGGAGGGACGCAGTCTGTACGCCGACTTCAAGCTCATCGCCAAGGCCTACGCCCGCATCGGCACGGCGTACGAGAAGCAAGGGGACCTCTCCCAGGCCATTGACTTCTACAACATGTCGCTGCGTGAGCACCGCACGCCCGAGGTGCTGACCAAGCTTCGTGCCGCCGAACGGAACAAGATTGAAGCTGCCCGCAAGGCCTACATCGACCCGGCGAAGGCTGAGGAGGCTCGCGAGGAGGGCAACAAGAAGTTCAAGGAGTCAGACTGGCCGGGCGCCGTGGCGGCTTACTCGGAGATGATCAAGCGAGCGCCCGACGACCCGCGTGGTTACAGCAACCGCGCAGCGGCCTTTATGAAGCTGCTTGAGTACCCAAGTGCTTTGGACGATTGTGACATGGCTATTAAGAAGGACCCCAAGTTCATCCGTGCCTACATCCGCAAGGCTCAGGCATACTTCGGCATGCGCGAGTACAGCAAGTGCGTGGACGCCTGCACTGATGCGGCGAATGTGGACGTTGAGCACCACAATGGCCTGAATGCCAAGGAGATCGAGCAACAGCAGCAGAAGGCCTTTGCCGCCATGTATGCCTCACGCGAGAACGAGACAGAGGAGCAGACTCGCGAGCGGCTGATGCGGGATCCTGACGTAAGTCTTAAGTGGGAAAACAGATGTCCTTTGCGAAGATACTAACAAAATGGCTAGATCATGGGCATCATGCAAGACCCGGTCATGCAGGCTATCCTGCAGCAGGCGCAATCTGACCCTGCCGCGCTGGCAGAGCACATGAAGAACCCTACCGTCCGCACTAAGATTCAGAAGTTGATTGCTGCCGGCGTTATCCGTGTGGGAAGGTAAAAAGGAGGTATCATGGCTTCGGGAGATGGAGTTAGGGTCATAAGGGCGTTACGGGAGGGGGCCCAAGAGGCCCGAGATTTGGATGAGGCTTGCTTCTCTATCTAGCCTATTAGTCCGCCTGCTGTGGAGTGTAAATAGTACCTAGTAATGAATTGCATGAGACATGAACCGGGCCATCTTGAGCGGGGAGTTCCAGGGCAAGCAAAACATTCGCAAATCTCTACAGAGAACATGCTCATTTCATCAGCCCAATTACCACATCTGGCCTCTTTATCTTCTACCACTTATGGGCCTGCTGGTAAGCTTCTTCCATGCGGCAAGGCGAAGGCTCCCCTCCCAGCCCTGCTTCTCAGGGGACGGGTCTCACTAGGCCACCATCACTGCCCAAACAACCTCCTCACCTCCCTATCATCCTGCCTCACAACCCGCACCCCATTACCCTCCATCTCCCTCTTCACCTCCCCCCACAATGCCGGATCCACAGGCCTCGTCCCTTCCTCGATCACATACGCCTCAAACCCTTCCCGCACTGCGTCCTCCGCCGTGCTGCGCACGCAATAGTCGCCCGCCAGCCCGACCACGTACACGCGCGTGATGCCCTGCTCGCGCAACAAGCCCGCCAACCCGCTGTCTGATACGCGCGGCAGGCTCAGCGGCGCGTAGAAGGCGCTGTACATCTCCACGCGCGGGTCTGTCCCCTTCTCGATCACGTGTGAGAGGCGGGCCGTGTCGAGTTCCGGGATCAGGGCGGCGCCCGGCGTGGACTGCACGCAGTGTGTCGGCCAGAGGCGCGTGGTGTACGTCTCGGCCGCGTTGTGCGGGTTGGTGATGGTTGTGGTGTCGACGAAGGCCCGCTTGTTCTTGTGGTTGCTTGCGAAAGAGATGTGGTTGGGCGGATGCCAGTCTTTGGTGGCTACCTTGAGCCGAATGGAGGGGAGGGCCAGAAGGATGTTGATCAGCGGCGTGACGTCGCGGCCTTCTGGGACGGCGAGCGAGCCGGACTGCGGTGTTGCCCGTGCGGGTTGGTAAGTGATGTCCTATGAAGGAAGAGTGATCTAGGGTTGAGGGAGGGGGGTGGAGCTAGGGTAAGGTCTGGCAGAGAGGGGAGCGGTTCGGGTTTGAACCGGAGCGGCTCATCGATACTAGACATTGGATTGTAAATGAAACGAGGACGTGGTGGATGTAAACCAAGGAGCGCTTGGGATTAGGTAGCGCCTTGTGGCATGAAATCGGGCTCTCAGATTCCGGCTCCATGAGGCGCTGTACACTCATGGCATACACGCGTGAGGCTTACCGGCGGGCAAAAATCCTCTTGCATATCGATGACCAGCAGCGCTGGCCGGAAGTCCGGCTCATCCATGGCTGGAGCTGAGGGAATTGATGCCTACACGCCCATCCCACAGAGGCTTGTTCTGTAGTGCAGCTTTCAAACCGGGCAAAGCTTATGTAGGACAGAGGGTTTGAGTTTGTCAGACTGTGAGGGGGTTCTAGCCTCTCGGAATGGGGGGGCAGCTGTCCGATGTGCAGTGACACGATAAGAAGCTCAGGAACCGAGTAGTGTAAGTTTGTCATCTTGGCGGCGGTGACACAAACCGTTGTGCAACCTGTGCGCTGCAGAACACCGTGCTCCTCAGCCACGTAATCCCAGGTACCGTGTTTGCCCACATCAATCTCAACCGCTACTACTCGGGGCCCGATGCTTCGTACGAGTGTGAATACCTAGGTCGGGCTTTGCAGCTTTTCACAACATGAGGCGCTGTTGGGGAAGCCGGGATGATGTTATTAACGACAGCATCAGTATATCGGTGCACCGTAATGTACATTACAGTACTGTATGTATTACTGAAATGGGCCGGGGTCTGGTAAGGGAACGTTGGAGGAGAGCCTGGTCCAACATTTGGAATTCAATGAAAACAGGAGCCTGGTACGGACCATACGATGTCTCAGTGGAACTACTAGTAGCTAAGGTACGGAGTAGAGCACCTGTCGTCTCTAAGGCATTTACGTTTACGCGCAGATTATCGGCAAGTAGAGATGCAACACATATACGTAGCCATTGGGCCAACAGTGTTGTCATTGCATACCGCCGAAATCGTTGGCTCCATTTCTACAGATGCCCTACCACACTGGCAGTCTAAGTGGGTCGTTGCAACTTGCTGTCCCTTGCTGACCAGCCGTCCTGTGCCTTGGTTCTGCGTCGGGGTTGGATGATGGGCGGAAAGAAGGCGCGGACGAGGACGGCTGGTGGAAGACATTCTACTCCGTAATACGGATAACAAAGGATGATCAGCAACAATACTAAAAAGCCACTTACGTGGTACATAATCATTACATTGTCAAAGCCCCCTGATCGCCTCTCAGAACCTGCGATGTCGACGGCCTCATGTAAATGATGACCGTCTAACATTCCATCCGAACTGTCAACAGCAAGATTGGAAAAGGGTGAAAACAACTGAGCTGACATCAGCACAGCCCGGCTGCGCAGGTTGTGTAACCGGCTCAGACCAGCTGCGCGCGAACGGGGCCAACTCCCCCACGTTGCCAGGTAACTTGGTGTCGGCGACTTGCGCCAATCGTTAGCGGCGTTGGCGACAAGGGGTCTGGAACAACGTGACGGACTTCCCTTGGCATGCAGAAACGGTTAGGCCCGTGTCACCCCTATCAGTCCTCAGTTTGTTCGTCCGAAATTCTTTTTAGAGATCGATCACCGCCTCGAACAAGCGGAGGAGAGCCGGTTTTTCTCGGAGGGCTCATTTTGTCTCCTAGGACACTCAAATTCAACATTATTGCCCTATCTAGTCCTTTGTCCCACGAGTATCCCTCTCCGGCAAAGAAAACGCCTGACTCGGGTGGATTCATTGGTTTGCCGCAGTTGGCCGCAAGGAGACTTCCCTGCCTGGGGAACCCTTTTCAACACCACACACAAGGTCTTCGCTGGGCATCCAAACGACGTCCCGGCGCACGCATAACTGGCGCACTGCATAACCAAGTCAATTGCAGGCGACCACTCACCACATCGTATGTAAACTTCTTATTCCCAGAACCGCTTCGAAGCTCAGTGTGAGCAACCATGGCAATGGCACCGATCCTCGCCGGTTTTCGCGCCATTCGTCGTTCGGGCTGGCTTCCGTGCCAAATGCGCCGCGACAGAAGTCTTGTGGATTATGAATTGCGGTCAAGACCAGCAGCTAACAGCGTCTTGCCAGCTTCATGTTACCTGAGCACCGGTAGTCTTCCTCCTCTTAGTCATGAATGCCCTCAACCTCCTCCCATCCCGGTTCCGGGGGGAGCAACCGCCGTCACAGAATGTGGCACCGTCCTGGCTTAATAAGAAGATCACACCGTTCCTCCAGGTCCTCGCTCGGATCACGTCGACCCACCCGATTCACACTATTGTCCTTGTTGCGCTTTTGGCCAGCTCTTCATACATTGGGCTCCTCGAAGAGAGCTTGTTCGATGCCACAACAAGTGTCAGAAAGGCGGACTGGTCCTCGCTCGTTGAGGGAAGCCGGCAGCTTCGCGCTGCCGAAGACACTGCTTGGAAATGGCAGAACTACGACGCCGATGCCCCGATTCCTCCTACTGCCGATCACCTGGCTCTCCTGACGCTCGTCTTCCCCGAGTCGTTGTCCGCCGATGCGTCCAAGACCGCTCCGGTTGTCAATGCGGTGCCCATTCCCCAGAACCTCTCGATTCGACAGCTGCCTTCGACTTCAAACTCTTTCGGGACCTACTCGCAAGACAGTGCTCTGGCTTTCTCCATTCCATATAGCCAGGCTCCCGAGTTCCTCTCGATTGCCCAGGAAATTCCGAACGACATTCCTTCGCAGGAGACGCGCGAGACGGAGCACGGGCGGGAAAAGAAGATGTGGATCATGAAAGCAGCGAGGGCGCGTACCAGGAGCAGTGTTGCGAAATGGGTGCGGAATGCCTGGGTCGAGTTCATTGACCTGCTGAAGAACGCTGAGACGCTGGACATCATCATCATGGCCCTGGGCTACATCTCGATGCATCTCACTTTCGTCTCGCTCTTTGTTTCGATGCGGCGCATGGGCTCCAACTTCTGGCTCGCTACTAGTACTTTATTCTCGTCTATTTTCGCCTTTCTCTTCGGCCTCCTCGTCACCACCAAGCTCGGCGTGCCCATCTCCATGGTCCTACTATCGGAAGGCCTCCCGTTCTTGGTCGTGACTATCGGCTTTGAGAAGAACATCGTACTCACCCGTGCGGTTCTGTCCCACGCGATCGAGCACCGCAGGCCAGACGGGCCGTTCGCCGAGCGTTTCAAGAAGGCAGATGTGTCAGGCAGCGTCATCCAGTCGGCCATCTATGTCGCGATCAAAGAAAAGGGATTTGGGATCATCAAGGACTACGCCATCGAGGTGGGCATCTTGATCCTCGGCGCTGCATCAGGCGTTCAGGGTGGCCTCCAACAATTCTGCTTCCTAGCTGCTTGGATCCTATTTTTCGACTGTATTTTGCTGTTCTCCTTCTACACGGCCATCCTTTGCATTAAGCTCGAGATCAACCGCATTAAGCGCCATGTCGAGATGCGCAAGGCGCTCGAGGATGACGGAGTCAGCCGGCGCGTGGCCGAGAACGTCGCTCAGAGCAATGACTGGCCCAGAGCCGACGGCAAGGATCAGCCGGGAACGACCATCTTTGGCCGCCAGCTCAAGAGCACTCATATTCCCAAGTTCAAGGTGCTGATGGTCTCGGGCTTCTTCCTCGTCAATGCTCTCAACCTCTGCACTATCCCCTTCCGGAGCGCCAATTCCATCTCAAACATCTCGTCATGGGCTCGCGGTCTGGGTGGTGTCGTCACCCCTCCGCCCGTTGATCCGTTCAAGGTCGCGTCAAACGGCTTGGACATGGTCCTCGACGTTGCCAGAGAGGAAGGGCGGGAGACTATCATTACGGTTCTCACACCGATCCGCTACGAACTGGAGTTCCCTTCTGTTCACTATGATCTTCCCCGAAAAGTCGGAAAGGATGACGAGGAAGGCTTTAGCGACCTCGCCGACTACGGCGTCGGTGGTCGGATGGTTGGTGGCATTCTCAAGAGTCTTGAGGACCCCGTCCTGTCCAAATGGATCGTGGTTGCGCTGGCATTGAGTGTGGCGTTAAACGGCTATCTCTTCAACGCAGCAAGATGGGGCATCAAGGACCCTAATGTCCCCGACCATCCAATTGACCCCAAGGAACTCGCAGCGGCGCAAAAGTTTAACGATACCGAATCCGCTGCTCTTCCAGTCGGAGGATACACGCGGTCAACGCCGTCTCCGCAGTCTGTCCCGCCAACTCCCGCATTGACGGATGATGAAGGCGAGTCCATAGGAAAGGTCACCCGGTCGGAACCGGCAGTGCCGGAACAGCCAATGTCTATCCGCAGCAAGGAGGAGATGGAACAGATGCTCCTGGAAAAGCGCACCCACGAACTTAACGATGAAGAGGTCATCGCACTTTCGATGCGCGGCAAGATCCCTGGCTACGCATTGGAGAAGACGCTCAAGGACTTCACTCGCGCTGTCAAGGTTCGCCGGACTATCATCTCCCGGACCAAGGCAACTGCGGACTTCACGGGCCTCCTCGAACGGTCCAAGCTGCCTTACCAGAACTACAACTGGGCCCAGGTCCACGGTGCGTGCTGTGAGAACGTTATTGGATACATGCCCCTGCCCGTCGGCGTTGCCGGACCGCTGGTTATCGACGGCCAGAGCTACTTCATTCCCATGGCCACCACCGAAGGCGTCCTGGTCGCAAGCACGAGCAGAGGGTGCAAGGCTATCAATTCAGGTGGTGGTGCTGTTACAGTTCTGACTGCCGATGGCATGACCCGTGGTCCCTGCGTCACCTTCGAGACGCTTGAGAGGGCCGGTGCCGCCAAGCTCTGGCTAGACTCGGAGAAGGGCCAAACGATCATGAAGAAGGCGTTCAACTCTACTAGCCGCTTCGCTCGCCTTGAGACCATGAAGACGGCTCTCGCTGGGACCAATCTTTACATCCGGTTCAAGACGACGACTGGCGATGCCATGGGCATGAACATGATCTCGAAGGGCGTCGAGCACGCGCTGAGCGTCATGATGAGCGAGGGCTTCGAGGACATGAACATCGTGTCGGTCAGCGGGAACTACTGCACGGACAAGAAGCCTGCGGCCATCAACTGGATTGACGGGCGCGGCAAGAGTGTGGTTGCCGAGGCCATCATCCCTGCTGACGTGGTCAAGAGCGTGCTCAAGACAGATGTCGATACCATGGTGGAGCTCAATGTTAACAAGAACCTGATCGGTTCCGCCATGGCAGCCTCGGTCGGTGGCTTCAACGCGCATGCCGCGAACATTGTGGCGGCCGTGTTCCTCGCAACGGGTCAGGATCCGGCGCAGGTGGTGGAGAGCGCGAACTGCATCACTATCATGAAGAAGTGAGTATCTGATATCTCTCTTGATTTTTTCGGGGACTGTTCGGCTAACATGCATCAGCCTCCATGGCTCCCTTCAAATCTCGGTCTCCATGCCCTCACTTGAGGTCGGCACCCTCGGCGGCGGCACCATTCTCGAGCCCCAGTCTGCCATGCTCGACATGCTCGGCGTCCGCGGTCCTCACCCGACCAACCCGGGCGAGAATGCCAGACGGTTGGCCCGCATCATCGCAGCCGCTGTTCTGGCCGGCGAGCTGTCCCTCTGCTCCGCCCTGGCAGCCGGTCACTTGGTTAGGGCTCACATGCAACACAACCGCTCTGCCCCGCCGACTAGGAGTGCGACGCCAGCGCCGCTGGCCATGACCAGCGGCGGCCTGGAGAGGGCTGCATCCACGACTGCACTAAGCGCGGCCGCCGTCGAGCGTCGCCGGCACTGATCGTTTTTCTCCGTCGCGGTCTCTTGTAAATAATGCAGCGAATGAAGCGTTCTTGGCGGGTAATGTAAATACAGACTAATTCTTGGACCTTGCGTGTCTGTCGCGTTGGGAGCCTGTTCAGACGGGAAGACGGATAGTTAGAGAGAGTGCAGTGGTTCAGCGCCACCGCTTTGCTTTGCCAGCCGACAATGCCTTGGATGCTACGGGGTACCGTTGCCTTACATACCTACCTAGAGATATATCCATAGAAGCAGTACTTAAATACTGTTAGACACTCTGGTGGTGTTTTTGTTCAAAATTCTTAATGGCTCAGATTATATGGTTCACCACAACCTCTTTTCGGCAGACTCGACCGAAAGCTGGCCTAATGATCGGCCCGAACGATTGCTTGCCATCCCGATGAGTCAACCGGCCTAATAAATCCCGAGCACCGAAGATTAGGTAACTTTATGCAGTGAGTACAGAGGCAGAGTTGCAACCAAGGATAAGAGAAAAAAATTGGTTGATGAAACTGCCGTGTTTTCGGGGCTAAGCCGGACTTACGAGCTTCTGCCTATTCTTTCCCTCCCTCCTACTTTCGCCTCTGCCCTCTCCAAGACTTATTTGGCCATGGGGTTTAAAATTTCCTTCCGCGGTGAAGTCACTTCGTCGTTCTTGTTGCCTTCACCCCCGGTAGGTAGACACTCCGATGAGTCCGATTTGACTGGGGAAGGTAACGGGACTGAAGAGCATCGTGAGATCGGGTCTTTTGCTTAGGAACTGGGGATTAAAAATAACGTTACACGTCCGGATCGTACAGCGGTTGCTCAACTTGCGGCCCCCTTTGCCTCCAGCCGGGTTCGGATCCGGCCGCCTCCACATACCCCCCCCCCCCCCCACCCCCCCCCCCCCCAGGGGCCAGTACTCCGAGCGGCTTTACCGCTTGTTACGCTAGGAAAACATTTATAATAGCCACGAGATCGCGCTGCCGTGTCCAAGGTGCCGTCATCGGGGGAGAGTCTGCCGGTTTCTTGCCCGCACGAGACTTGACCGCACACTCTCGCTTTATATTGCTGTTAAGTTCTGAAGTTTGGTGGACCATAACTACCTTTCAATGTTTTAGCTTTGGTCTTCCCATTATATCCCCCTAAGATCTTAGCTGGTAGGGTTTTGTCTCACCCCAACCGGCTCATCGGGTCGCGACGCACGCCATCCGATTCATTGTCTCAGCCTCCGGCACGGGTCCGCCCTACCGGGACCGCATCCGCATGATGGCCGCCGCCACCGCCAAGGTCGTCTCCACTGATCCGGAGAAGGAAATCATGGCGAGCAGCGACGACACAGCGTCCTCCACCAGCACCAAGCAAAATGTCCTCGATGATCCGCTAGCACCAGCAGCGGCGACAAACCATGATGCCCCCAACCCGGCCAACCTCCCCGCTGGGGAGAAGGGCACGGACACGGCTGCTGCCGACGCCTCGGCCACACCACCACCGCCTCCTGAAGAAACCCGCACGGCGCTCCAGACGACGGTCATCATCCTCGCGCTGGCCTCGGCGCTTTTCCTCGGCGCCCTCGACATGACCATCGTCACGGTCGCCGTGCCCACCATCTCGGAGGAGTTCCACAACACGGCCGGGTACACGTGGATCGGGTCGGCCTACATGCTGGCCGCGGCCTCCACGTGCCCCATGTGGGGCAAGATCTCGGACATCTGGGGGCGGAAGCCCATCATCCTGATCGCCGTGGCCGTCTTCTGGATCGGCTCGCTGCTGGCCGCCGTGAGCGTGAACATGGCCATGTTGATCGTGGCGCGGGTGATCCAAGGCGTTGGTGGAGGCGGCATCATGATCCTGGTCAATGTTTGTATTAGCGACCTGTTTTCTATGAGGAAGAGAGGTAAGGCTCCCCCATCCCCCCGCCCCCAACCCCACTTACCCACTCCTTCCCCGCGGAACCTGAGGTCGTGTGGTTGAGGTTGAGCCCGGTGCTGACGCTGGACGGCGAATAGGGATCTACTTTGGGGCGATGGGGTTGGTCTGGGCCGTAGCCTCTGCCGTTGGGCCGGTGTTGGGTGGTGTGTTCACCAGCCAAGTGACGTGGAGATGGTGCTTCTACATCAACCTGCCCATATCCGGGCTCGCCATGGCGATCTTGGTGTTTGTGCTTAAGCTGCACAACCCGCGGACGCCAATGCGCCAAGGCCTGGCTGCGGTGGACTGGCTCGGGTCCTTGACTATCGTTGGCGCCACGCTCATGATCATGCTCGGCTTGCAGTTCGGCGGAGTCAGCCACCCGTGGAACTCGGCGACGGTCATCTGTCTGATCGTCTTTGGCGTGGTCACGACTGGCATCTTCGCGCTTATCGAATGGAAAGTGGCCGAGTACCCGATCGTGCCAATGTACCTTTTCCAGAAGCGCGCCAGTGCCGCCTCTCTCGCGGTCGGGTCATTGCACGGACTCGTCTTCATCTCGGGAAGTTACTATCTTCCCCTCTACTTCCAGGCTGTCCTCGGGGCCTCGCCACTCATGTCAGGTGTGTACATCCTTCCGTGGGTGCTGACTCTCTCCCTGGTATCGGCGGTCATCGGCATCATCATCAAGAAGACGGGCAAGTACCTGCCGTCCATCTTCGTCGGCATGGCCATCATGACTCTCGGCTTCGGACTCTTCACCGATTTGGGCGCCCGTGCGAACTGGGCCAAGATTGTGCTGTATCAGATTGTGGCTGGCATTGGGACGGGGCCAAACTTCCAGGCGCCTCTCCTCGCCGTCCAAACCACGGTTGGGCCACGCGATATGGCCTCGGCCACGGCCACCTTTGCCTTCATGCGGCAGCTGTTCAGCTCCATTTCCATCGTCATCGGCGGCGTCGTTTTCCAAAACGGCATGGAAAAGCAGTACCCGAAGCTGCTCGAAAGCCTCGGTCCGGATACTGCAAAACGCTTCTCCGGCAGCGACGCTGCTTCAAATGTGGGCCTCGTTAGCCAGCTCCCCGATCAGCAACGCCAGCTGGTACGGGAAGCATACTCGGACAGCCTGCATACCATGTTCATCATGTACGTTGTTTTCGCGGGCCTTGGCCTGCTAGTCGCCTTCTTTATCGGCCAGCGCACGCTCAGCAAGGATCACACCGAGCACAAGACGGGCCTGGACCAGCTGAAGCTGTCGAGGCAGGAACGTTTGGATAAGGCGGGTAATAAGGGGGGGAGCACCAAGGCGGACGAAGAGAAGGGGCCGGCAGTCAGTGGTCCGGAGACGGGACAGGCGGAAAAGGCATCATGATCTCCGAGCGCATATGATAGGTCAACCCTGAACTAGCCACGGAATAGCCAGTTGCTAGTAAGTGTGTATATTCAACATATTGCTTTGTTCAGACTGGGCTTTCGAGGCCCAGCAGGAACTCGTGTGTATTGTACTGTAATTAGCGGGAATCCAAGCACATCAGGAAAGAAGAACCGCCCAAAGGAACAACAACTTAGAAAGTGAGATGCAAAGAGATGCGGGCCAGAAGCCGTGGTCGGAGACCACGTGGGTGCCATAGGCTTTTGTGTCCTATCAGTATGCTTTGAGACCGGATGCGCGATATCCACAGATTTCTTTGTGGTCCGGTTCTATGGGTCCTGAGATCTGTACCTCTAGACTTCCAAGCTGCCGGGATGGAAACCGTAGCACTGCGTGTTCTGTTTGAGTCACGATGCTGAGGTGGTGTGGTGTCATCGATCAGGCCATTCAATGCAGCTTGAATTCCGCTAGGCCTGGTTTCGTCATGGAAGGAATGATGCTGGGTAGTAGCGTTTGAAATAGGTATACCAGGTAAGTCAATTTAGCTCCGTGCGACGACTCGGACTCGGACGCAGTGCCAGCCGACCCGGAAGGAACGAGCGACCCGATGCCGGGATAACGACCCAACGCGAGTACGCCTTCCTTAAGCCAAATGGAAACTTAATTCACTGGATTTAACGCGATCTTTCTCTTGACCGACCTCCCAAATAAACATACTACTACAAGTATCTCGTCAACATGCCTCATATGCACTATTGACCCTGCCGTGCTATTACTGCCGTATCCTCAGACAATTCCTCTCCCGCAATCTTACCGTTCCCCTTCTCATCCTCTGCGATCTGGAGTGCCTGCCACCTACAGCCTCGGCTGGGGAAACTCATCCAACACCACAACGTCCCCATCCCCGCCACCAACCTCAAACTCAACGTCTCATCACTGCCCCGTCCAGATTGATCCACATCCAACACCAACTTATACCGTCCAGGATACAGCACCCTATTACCCATCTCATCCACCCTCGCCAGATCCCCGACCTTCACCTCCACCACCCCGGCCACCGTCTCGCCCGGCCGGATCCCACTCAGCCGCGTATACCCCACCAGCGTTCTAGTTGGGTACGGGCGCGGCCCAAAGTCGCCGGCCACGAACACCAGCGCGACATAGTCGGACGTGACGTTCCCCTGGTTCGACACCCAGACCGAGAGTGGCATCTGTGATGGCGGCGGGAAGGGGCAGAGGTCCTTGTACTTGTGCTGCTGCGTACTACTACTAGTAGTGCTATCCGCAGCAGTGCAGCCCAAGAGGAGGGACGACGGTCGGGGGAAGCGGAGCGTGGCGAACTCGCCGAACCGGGCGCGGAAGCTGGTGTAGTGCAGCCCGAAGCCGAAGGGGAGGACTGTGCTGTTCGTTGGGTACCAGCGGTATGTTCGCCCTGGGGAGCCAGTAGAGGAGAAAGAGGAGGCGGAGGAGGGGGAGGTTGATGGGCGGAGCGCCATGTCTGTCATGGGGATTTGGGAGGTGTAGCTCGCCGGGTATTGGGTGACGGGCAGACGGCCGGCGGGGGCAGAGCGGCCGGTGATGGCGTTGAGGACGGCCACGCCGCCGGACTGGCCCGGGTAGCCTGCCCAGAGGATGGCGGAGACGTTGGGGTTGCGCAGCAGCGGGGTGTCGTCGACTTGGTCGCCGAGCTGGGAGATCACGAGCGGCTTGCCTAGGGCGGAGAGAGTCTGGATGAGGGTCAGCTGTGCTGGGGGCCAGGCAATCGAGTCGCGGTCTTTGTCCTCGGCAGCTATGGTCTGGTCGGTGCCGCCGAAGTAGAGGATGATGTCCGATTCGTTGGCGGCGGCAAGAGCGGGAGCTGTCCAGGTGTCTTTGGTGGCGTTGTTGGATGGTGCGACCGGCCCCGACGCGTAGCGATATGTCAAATTCAGCTGGCTAGCGGCATAGACGGGGCTGTGCAGGTAAGGCGGGATGCCGCTGTACCCGCCGAGCATCTGTCTGGTGGCGTTTGCCCAGTGGCCGATGAGTGCCACCGTCTTTCCCTCGAGGCTTAACGGTAAGGTGCCGTCGTTCTTAAGGAGGACCAGCCCGTCCGCTGCTGACTGCAATGCTAGGTCCTGTGCCTCAGGGGTGTTGACCTGGGACCAGCCGATTGAACGATAGGGGCTGGCGCTGGGCGGGTCAAAGTATCCAACCCGAACGAGGCCCTCGTACAACCGTCGCAGAGCAGTGTCAATAACCGGTTCGGGAAGCAGGGTCTGGTTATACGCCCCAACAACATCTGTGAACGGGGGGTAGCCTGGGACCTCGCAGACCGTGTCTGTGCCGGCCTTGTAGGCGGCTGCTGCTGCTTGTGCTGCAGTCTGAGAGAAGTTGTGCCATTGGGGTAGAAAGTCCTACGGTGGTTTTGTCAGTTGGTCAGTCTGCTAAACCATCATGATGCCAAATAAGGCTTTATCATGTGTATGACGACCAACCTGGATAGCATTGCAGTCGCTGGTGATGTAATTGTTTTGCTCGGTCCAGTTCCAGTGCTTTCGCAGAATGTCGTTCATGAGGTAAGTGCTTGCGCACGCCGGTGTGCCATTGATAGAATTGTATGAGCACATAAAGGAGCCGACCTTGGAATCCCGGGCACACTGCTGGAACGGGGGGAGGTAGTACTCGGAGAGGTCTTGCAGTGAGACGACAGCATTGAACCTATGCCGGGTAACGCCCTGCCACCTCTCCAAGTCGTATACTGCATAGTGCTTACAGGTAGCAATCACCTTCTTGACAGGGTCTTCCCCTTCCAACCCCTCAAGAAGCGCCTTCACATAGCCCTTGATGCGGACGGGGTCCTCCCCGGGCGTCTGGACAAGATGATTGATTAGCACCAGCATCAGCACAACTCTTATCTACTACTACGGGGCTTTTGCGAAAGCAGAGCAGGCCGCAGTGATTGTGGGCCAGGCTGACCTCATAGCCTCTCCCCCATCTTGGGTCCTTGTAAGGGTTGATGTTGGGAGTCCAGTAGTCTAGACCGGCAAGTCCGGCGTTGGCAAATGCGCGCGCCTCGGTGCTGATGACATTGGCCACCCGGCGCACCAGTTCGTCGTCAAATGCTGCAGAAATGGTGATGGTGTTCGCAAACGAGGTGGCATATGAGAAGGCGTCCCCGGTCCGATTGAAGACCACCCCGGGAGACGAGGCAACTCCATGGAGTGCTTCACTCCACCATGCATATGGAGGCAGGCCAAGTCTCTCGGCCCCTTTGCTCATACTGTCCGTCGTCTTCTGTGTCAGAAACCAAAACCGTCTTGACATGCCGCGGAAGCCCGGCTGCACACCACTCACTTACTCAACTAAGTTCACCAGTTTTTCATCAATTTTCATGGCCTTCACCAGCGCCGCCGCGCGGTCCGACGGGGATGCTTTTGTATCGCATACTGTGTTGTTTGCCAGTGGGCCGTTCGTACAGTCAGGATACCGGAATCCCGCCACGACATCGGCAACAATGACGCTGGCCATGGCCAATCGCAACGGTGACAACACCTTCATGGTCGTAGACTCGTAGTCGTTCAGCTCCCTGATTCTCAATGCTATCTAACATTGAATTCGGAAGCCCGGGCAGTAGAGATAGATCAGGGGCTGCGTCTTATTCTTAAGGTCACGGCTGTACATTGAACTAACCGCCCGGTCGGCAGAGTTATATGATTTATGTCATGTCGCGGGGTTCCGCCGTTCATTCAAGCCATCCGCCGGGTAAAGTCAGGTATTCTCTCGCCAGTAGGTTGTTACCCGTCCCGCGCCAGTTGAACCCCTGGATCGATATTGCCCATACGTCTCCCTTTTCTGACCCGGAAGCTTTCCCCAACATAATAATCTGGTGTATGGCTCCCATTGGGGCGCCTGTCTGTGGAGCGGAGAACACGGGAGGGACACAGGGGATGTCGAGGCCTGTCATGAGTACCTGCCGTACATGCACCTTGGACCCGACACTGAAAGGTACACACATCTAGCCGCCCCGTAATGGTAGGAGTGAGTATCTAAGGTAAGTAAGACTGTTAACTCGAAGCGATGGAGTGCTGCTAAGTTCTGGTAGTAGATTTTACTCCACACGCTGCCACCTTCCTCATGAACCGCTCTCAGCTTCCATTCAATCACATACGACCATATCTGGTAGAAAGCTCGGGATCCCGTCCGCTCTCCCTTAGATAAGCTACCAAGAGCCGAATCAGTACTCAGGTCGGTGACGACTGGGGAATCCTCGGTGTTGTATGTATATTTTGCTTCACCTTTTTCATTTTTTGTTTTAGCTGCTTGACTATGGTATTCATTCCACTTGGGCTGTCCTTATGAACTGGTGAACGTTTCAAGTTCGCCAATCGTTTGTTGGGCTGCCATTGGGCGTGGCAAACCGCATGGATGATAGAACACCACACCAGTCTCTTCCCAGTTAGTACCCACCAAAACCCACAAGCTCCGTCTCTAGACCGCATCCATTCTGAAATTTTCATGCTTTTTTGCGGTGGGCGGTGAGCAGGCTCAACCGAGCATCCACCGAGACTTTGGTGAGTTGTGACTGTGAGCAGGACACGACACGGCAACACAGTATCATTCACCAATGACATTCACCATGGACATCCGTTCCGAACCGCAGCAGCGCGATGCGCTCTCAGAGGGTCGGCGTATATACCTGGGCAATCTGCTCTACACGGTCAAGCCCAACGACGTTGAAGATCTGCTGAGGCGGACCGGGTTTGGCGAGTCGTTTGAGAAGCTGCATATTTCCGTCGACCCCGTGAGCGGCAGGAATCCGGGCTACTGCTTCGTCGAGTTCAAGACGCGGGAGGAGGCCGAACGGGCGCTGGGCTCGCTGCCCAACACGCCTCTCTTCAACCGCCCCGTCAAGGTCGGGCCGTGCCATCCCAAGACGCCTGCCCAGTCCCGCTGGCGCGGGAGTCGTGGCGCCGAGTATAAACCTATGTTCCAGCGGTGGGGGGACTGGAAAGGGGGCGATGAGAACGCGGACCCAAATGCGCCGCCGCGAGCAGAGGAACAGGGCCCGCGCGTGGCACTGCAGCATCTGGATATGAGGAAGCGTCGCGGCAGCAGAGACAAGACCCAGCTCTTCATCGGAGGTCTCGATATGATGATCAATCAAGAGCATCACGACACAGAGATGCAAAAGCTCCTGGAGGGCTTCGAGTAGTATGTGGCTGGTCCTGTTTTGCCCCCCGTATTGGGGGGTCCCAATACTTTTGTTGTCTTGTAGCCGACATTGCTTACACATCGCTCTTCAGCGTCGCCATTGGGAAGCGGATCACCCCACGAGCGGAAACCCGGTCCATGACAGGCCATCACCATTACTGTTTCGTCGATTTCCGTACTATTGAAGAGGCTGAGCGAGCGGCCAATGTATTGCACGGAACGCCGTTCAAAGGGGGCAACCTGCGTGTCAGTTTCACGAGAAGTAAGTGGACTGACGAGGGATGGAAGAGAGTAGAACCAGTAGATAGAGGGTTTAGCCAGGACTGGAAGAGAGCAGAGAGAGCAACTGACGGCTCTCGCGAGTCCAGTCAGCCTGCAACGGACAGGCAGCAACAGGACGGTCAGGAAGGACGGGACCGGAAGGAGCGAAGCGATCGGCAGAGGGCGATTATGACGGCCACCAGTTGGCGACGGGGAGCGAGCGCCAGCTGAGAACTAGAGAGTATGATAACATATTGAAGCCTGGTTGAAGGCTCATATATGTGGCCCTACTACCAGGATTTTTCTTTCTTGCAAGTTCGTCCCAAACGGAAGGCTGAGCTATTTCACCCTCAGCGATATCCTTGTGCCGCCTTCAGGGGCGATTTAGCCTATGATTTCGGGCCACCTCCAAAAAATTACAGCTGGGCCGCAGAACCACGCTTGAGTGCCATGTGAGACTTGGTTTCAATATCAAACAACACGCCAACCGTGAGGGGTTTCTATAAGCGCTGTCGTCACGTCACACAGAAGAGGGGTAGTGGTGACACACGGAGCTTGTGTCCGGTTATGGTTCGGGAAATCTGCTCCGAGTCCCAGTCACCTCGAAGAAACCGGCTCATCCTCACCCCTCAGTGGCAGCGGTGTGGTAATGTAGTGTGGAGCGGTTGGTGAAGCCTCGTTGGCCCTCAACACCGACCGTTGAATTGCCAGGGCGGGCTTGCCCGATACCGATGAAGTCATTGGTGAACAAGGCAGGACCGTGGTCGCGCCGCGTGGCTGCCTACCTGACTGGTTCACAATCACATGAAGAGTAGCACATATAGACCGCCCTCACATCCGACTCTCGCATTCCCTGCGGACCTACTTGGTCATAGACCGATGAGGTGAGCTGTACCTGCATGGCTTGCCGCGGGAGGCATTTAAGTCATTAAAGAACCGCATGCCGGTCCTGGACCGCGCCATCTTGCATGAGGTTCTTCGATTGGGTCGCACTTCCCTTGCCCTTACAACCTACCAGAAATAATGAGGGGACTTGCCATCGTTGTTAATCTACTTCTGGCTTTTACAGCCCAGTACCGCCATCTGCCTGGTCCATGGTTCAGCTTGAGCCTTGCTTGCGTCCCTTCCCGATCCCCTTTGCAACATCATGCGACTTCGTCGTACCTTGAACTCGGAACAGACTACCTAGCTTTACTTCGGTACATTTGCCGTACCTCACCTATATACAAGGTACGTATAAGTTGCTTCTTATCCCTACCCCCAACGGCCTACCCTATCCTCGTCCGATGCCACCTCCAATCCTGCCTGAGTCACGACAGGACCCCAGCTCTTCACCCATCATCGATCCACGCTTCCAAGGCTGAGGTGTACTTGAGACTAGCGAGTCAACGGCCCCGACCCCTTGTCCACCTAGGCAGGTGGAACCGGCAGCATGAATGCTCGCCGTGCTGGCACATCATACGTGTCCGGCCCCATGACGCAAGGTCGGGACTGCCGTTGGATTGAGAGTTACCCAGGGTAATACAGATGGCTATCACGCAAGTCGGCAACGCAACAGCGAGCCGGCTCAACTGGCATTCGAGGCGGTCTAGATATCTTAACGCGATACCTAACGCTATAGTGCTGGCTATAACACCAGATTGATCAGATAGGGCAACCTTGAAGGAACGGCCAGGCGAAACACTCATCACCAGACAGCAAGCGAGAGACACATCGACGACATCAAAGAATCAAAAACCCAGTTGTATTCCACCGGCTCGGAATCAAAATCTTGGTTTTTCCCTTGCTCAACTCCTCGCTACAATACAGCCTCCGATACATTCATCATCGTCTCATAATATTCATGGCCATGACATCAAGCTGTCATCACACACCGACCTCCCGCACCGGGCAACTCTTTCGAGGCCCTAGCCAAGCTTTTGAACCCAGGTAATACCCAAAACAATACTCCCATCGCCCCAAGCAAGACCGCCGCCTCTAAGTTCGGTCGAGAGGCTAGACCGCGCGACCCTGCACCCTATTTATCATCATCATTCATCATCATCATGTTACAACCCCAATATTTCAAACTGAAACCCGTCGACACAAGCTACTAGTACTACTAGTAGTGCCCTACCGACCTTCCTTATACCCTAACCCCCTGGCCGAGAAACCGATAACACAAAATGCAAATACTTTGCGGTATTATGCCCGCAGATCACTCCTGGCCACGACGACCTGATCAGGCTGATCTCGACCGAGCCTTCCACTTCCACTTGCACTTCCATTACTACCATTCCCAGTCTCATTCGAATGGTGCTGCCGGAACGCGGCCGAGGCGACCTCGGCCGCGTGGCTGAGGTAGCCTTGGATCAGGGGGCAGTCGCAGCCGGCGTGGCGGAGCAGCTCGTTCTTGAGCCGGAAGAGCTCGTCGCGCAGCTGGCTCGCGCAGGTCAGCAGCGACTGGCGCCGCACGCTGACCTCGCGCTCGGTCGCCTCCAGCTGGGCCAAGGCGGCCTGCGTCTTGGCGCGGTAGCGCGAGGCGGCTGCGCGGTTGCGGTCGCGGGTTTGGGACTGTGTTGTCGTCGTCCGGCTGGCTTGACCCAGGACGCTCACTCGCGAGTTTGATGATTGGGCGGCCTGGGCGGCGGGTTTGCTTGGGGATGTACTTGTACTACCCCTATGATTATCAATAGGGGTGACTGGTCGTGTTGGGAATGTTGAGCTCGTCGTTGTCGAGCTTGTTGTTGTGCTGTGGCTGGGAGTGCTCCTCGCCGTGCTCGCCGTGCTTACAGCAGCGTCGGAAGAAGAGCGCCTGGTGCGGAACCCCTTCCGTCTCGGCGACTCCGGAAAAGCGGTCTGGCCGGGGGTGAACGCGGTGCCCAAGCTAGGTGCTGCCGTTGCGGTGCCGCCGCCGAGCTGATAGTGGGAGCCCGAATAGTAGGCGTCGGCCAGGTCAAATGGAGGGACGGTCGCGCTGTTTGGCGGTGATGGCGTGGTTGGTGCATGGCTCATGTCCGAGGTTGAAGCCCGGCTGATGATGGGGGTGTATCTCGGCAGAGCGGCGTTGGCTTCAGCTGTCTGAATCGGTGCCGGCGCGCGCCCCCTTTTCTTCCTCGGCCCCACCACTTCCTCGTCCGCATCAGTATGCGGATCCGCTCTTCTCTTCCTGTCATGGCCAGTGCCATACTCGCCTGTCGGTTGACGCTGGTAATCCGGTAGTCGGGCCCACTCGCGGTGCTCCAGGGGCACCGAGGCGAAGAGACTTGACGACGGGCCGGCCTCAGGGGGCAAGAGAAAATAGCCAGCGCCGACAGCGGATTGCACACTAAGTTCGTGAGGCATGATAACCTCTCCAACGACGCCTGGAGCATGTGTGCTCGGGATCCATTGCACTGCGTCCGTCTCGGGCAGCTCCGACACGAAACTGTCGTTCGAGGTGTTGCTGCCGCTGAAGCTTGGCGGTTGGAACCATTGGGCGGAGGCCGGAGTGTACGGATACCCCTCTCGAGAATCAAGGGGTTGGCGCCATTCCATCGGCATCATTGCTTGGTAGAGCGTCGCCATGGACTCACCACCGAAGGCCTCATCTTGGAGCGTCGTGCGGGTGATGGGCACCGACGCAGCTTGGAAGAGCAATTGGGAATTGGACGCTCGAAACTCGGGGCTGGCAACTCGGTACGCCATCTTGGCAAACTTGGGGGGACAGACGAGTAATGTAATGACTGGATTGAATGGCACTCTGCTCCACGCCGAAGGCTTGAGTTGACGGCCAACGTCCGCCGCGTTGGTTTGTTCGATTGGACAAGCGCTGTGAAAGAAGTCTTGTATGTTGTACAACAACAAACAAGTAGGTCAGACTCAGACGAGGAATAGATGCAGAAGCAAGAGAATGAAGCTGAGAGGTCTGCTACTGCTTCTGTGCCAATCGTCAAGTCCACGACTCATCGTAACCCGTCGAGGCTCGAGCCAGTAAGCACTAAGCACGACGACCGTCCTGAGATTGAATCTAGGATTCCAGGGGATGGGACGTTAGTCCAGAGCAAGCAGACGGGGGGTGACGGGAATAGCCACCACTCCCCATTCCCAATCTGCCAATGCACTCGCCTCCATTCACACACCTTGAGGTCAACTGCACCACATCGGCCCACATGGCGCAAATACGCAATGGCTGCTGCGGCTGCAGGACATGGACGTCAACGATAAGGACTTTGTCATGATGTCTGGATTACATACACGATGGGTTGCATGAAGGGGGCGATTCCACAAGCCACGAATGGCGATGTCGGCTTGGCTTCCATGATGGAAGTCACAGTCGTCCCAGGCTTCTGACCCTGTCGTGCCTGTGTACCTCGAACTGCGCTAGTACTAGCGCGGATATGTAGGGCCAAGCCAACGCTTTGGATGTAACGTGGGCTCATGCACTTGGCGATGATTGGCGAGCAGCAGATCAAACAAGTTTGATTGGTGGCTTTGCACTTTGCGCTCCACAAGTCTGCCCAGCGGCCTCACTGGGTCAAGCCCACACACGGAGATCGCCTTCCCCGCCATGACCAATTATCCGCGATCTGTTCGGGCGAAGGTCGATTTCGGACCGCTCGCTGTTCCCGAGCACGGCTCCCGAGACACTGCTTCTTGCTTCTTCCTACCGACATCCGCTATGACATCCGCCGTGGCTGGGTTAAGAACTTCAAGATAATATTGTCTCATGTCTGGCACTTTCGTGACTGGAAAGGTCCTGGTGCCACTTATCCATGGCGCAATGATCATCGCCCCTTGATCCTTGCTATCTCAGCGACAGTGGACATCGTCGACTCGAGCCTGGATCTCCGGCGGGGGAGGGGGTTCTCTGAGAGAAAGCCCACTTGTAGGGTCGTGTAGGGTAAGCGGGGGGCCTCCAAAGTCTCAACCCCCCCAGAAGGTGAATTTGCAAGTCCTAGCGAGGGTGCAAAATAAACCTGCGTCTGCTCCAATGCCGGCAACAACTGCCTAACGGTTTTTTGATTTGACGTCAAGGGCCTTAGTAAGTGAATACGGCAGTGATCCGCAGCATGAGATGGGCAAGGTAGGAGCGGAACTTGGGAGCAGCGTGGTGTCTTCGAGTCTTCTCACCGGTTGTCTATTGCCGCCACTACCCTGTCGTAATGGACGAGACTGGATTAGCGCTACTGCATCTAATGTAGGTTTATCATGTCTCGATAATGTCCGATCTGCCGTTGGTTCCGGCGACGCTAGTCTGTCCGAACTCTTACGCAGTCCTTCGTCAAAGCGTAGGATCGCCGGTCCGATCAAGCTCGAGCTGGGTACCGGGAAGATAAACGAGCTCAAGGGGCCCCAACAAGTTGGCGATGGGACGAAACGCTAGTAGTAGCAGTTCCTGACTGCGCTAATGAGTCCCAATGGCTCTCGAAGACTCGAAAGCTGGGGTTTATCACGGTTGTCTTGGTGTGTCGAATCTGAATGCTTGTTCATCGAGTTGGCTGCGGGCCAATTGACAACTGTCTGGACTCTAGACCAAGGTTAGTCCAACTGCCATCAAACGCTCCAGCAGGTTGCTGCCGTCTTGGTGTGACAGTTTGCGCAGAATCTAGAATAGTGTATGCACACCACTTAAACGAACGCAGGATAACGGTGTATGGCCTCGGGCTCGCGAGCGCCCGCGAGGGCCTATCATCGACCTATCATGATGTCGTCCACGGACGTTGATTTCCACTAGTGGATTCGAGTTGTGACTGCCGAACGGCACCCCAGGCTGGTCCCCAGCACCCTTTGTGCAGAATCGGCGCGGATCTTGGAATCGTCGAGATCAACCCCTCCTCCCCCATGCAATGAAACTTCAAAACCGGAATTCAATTAAGAGAGAGGAATGGCGCGTTACCATCTTTCGCACTAGTTTGGACGGTAGCGCTGAAGTCAGCACCGGGTCTGGGGCCCCATTGCTTGCAGTTATTACATGTAGGAACTCAGGATTTATCATATACCTACACCCTGTACTGTGGTATCAGCCCCATTGTTGTGCGCTAGTCGCTTCCATTTCTTGCCCTCCGCATGCATCTACAGTAGGTGGGGAAGCCATGCCTGACGCCCGGTCACCACTAGGGCCACAAGGCCTGCGCAGCTGCTTGTCATGTAAGGTATGTATTGTATACGGCAAATCACCGATGAGAAGGAGCCCTCTGGGTAGACTCGGTCTAAGTTCTAACTATGACCAAGCAACAGTGCAGCCCTTCTCATGCGACTCCCTCGCCAGCTCGATGATCCTCAGCCCGTCCCTTGCCGTCTCCGGTTTCACAAAGACGTCTTCCCTTCCCCGAATGGCCGCCGCTACGTTCTCGTAATATCCCCTATACCAGCCCGGCAGACTAGGGTACTGGCCAACGTACGTCTTGCTGCCCTCGTCAAAACGCTGGCTTTCCGCGTCGAACTCGGTTCGCGTGGTGAGAGTGCCCCATATCCTTGGGTCTTCGACACCCCAGTCCGGGCGGGTTGCCGGCTGCCCTGGTGCAGCGATGGCCTGGCTCTCTTGCGGACATGTCCCAAACTGCATCCTTGTTATTAACGATGGATATCCTCACCCTCCTTCCCTTTACCCCTTTCCCCCCCTTTTCACAACGAACATGGCCTTAGGAAGTGGGGAGTTGTCTCACCTTCAGATAAGTCCCCTGGGTGCCTCGAACGAAGAACCGCAGCTGATCCTTCATGACGGTGACAATAGCCGTCTTCACCGTAACCAGGAGGCTCTTGTGCTTCCCACCAGAGTACTGCAGGATGATGGTGAACGTGTCGTCGATCTCGCTCTCGACGCCCCGGTTGGAGCGCAAGAACCCCGTCACCGAAGCAGGCCGACCGAAAAGGTACAGTGCTTGGTCAAGTGTGTGCGTGCCTAGAAACGTGTCATGACTGCTGCTTAAGCTGCATAGTTCCTGACATTCCCGCCCACACACAATATAATAAAATTACACCGGGATAGAGTACTAATTTTGTGTAATAAGAGAGAGGGAGGGAGAGCTTACCAAGCCCGAATGTCATGCCCTCGCCAGGGATGTATTCTATTTTCCCCGCCCACCCCGAGATCCAGCCCGGGTCGGGATAGTCGAAGTGGATGTCTGCTTCCAGCACATCGCCAAGCGCACCCTGGTTCATGAGGTGATGGAGCGTACGGAAATCACTGTCGAACCGCCGATCTGGGATTATCGTGCACACACACACACACATGAGCTCAGGGAAGAGGAAACCGGGCTTTTGTAAGGCAGGAGGGGGAGAGGGAGGTTCTCAACTGACTGTGGAAAACTGTCAAGACCTTGCCCTTCTCCTTGGCCAGGGCAATGAGTCTATCGGCCTCAGCACTAGTCGGAACGAACGGCTTCTCAACAACCACTTCGATTCCCATCACCCGTCAGCCCACACAGATATCTCTCTTGACGCAATATCGGAACCATCTCGTTATTAGTATCGACCCACCATGCTTCCCCGCAAGGAGTGCCTTCTCGACGTATTCTCCATGCGCGGTTGAAGTAAGCACAACAACCAGTTCAACCTGTCCGTCGGCGAAGAACTCGTCCGCTGTCCTATAGTGTTTCGCTTGCGGGAAGTCGACGGTGCAGTGGCCCCAGACCGGCGTCTTCTGCGATGTCTCGCTGGGAGGCGCTGCCCGCTGTAAGAAGGCGTAGACCTCGAGCTCCGGGTTGGGGAGGATGTAGGGCAGATGGAAGCATTTTGTTGCGAAGCCGTAGCCGATGATGCCGACTTTGATGGGAGCCATTGTGACCGCAAATTCAAAGATTAGTGCTACTATGCCGCGAGGATTCGCAATGCGTGGCTTTGGAGTTGTGAACAACTGGGCGTAAAAGTTAACACTTTAAAGATTCAACATCTAACGATATTATGGCTCACTGCGGAGTCCGGTTTGCCCCTAAGAGATGGGCCGTTTAGCCGGCTTTGGATCATTGGCTGGATGTGCATGACTACAGCATTTACCCCAAGCCAACGCTAGACCATGAAAGAGAGGAGAGAGGCTTTTGCCACAACTCCTGAGTGTGAAATACTTGGATCCAGGGCAGCGATGTGTGGTTGATGGGTGGGTAATGGGCATATTTGAGTCTGACAGATTCTGGATATCCAAAAATGCGGCGGGATAATAATGATAAAGGATCGATGATATTAATCACCACATCACGGTGCCAGGTGAGGAGAACTGCGAATAACAGAACTACCAGACAGAGCAGGGGGCCTTACACTAGTGAATGCAGAGTACGGAATTGAGACCGCGGGTTGCCTATGAGATAACAGAACCATGGTCCTGGATTTCTAGGCCGACTTGGCATATGCGGATGTCTCGATTGAGAGATGGTGTGTGAGCCAGTAAGCGGCTGTGTCCACTGGTACAAGCACATACGAGGCCGCAAAGCATTTCCTATTATTGCCTGAGGCTGGGTACTCTTCCCGTCGTCCGGCGTCCGGACGTCTCGATGTTCTTCATACTGTTGTTCTCTTGAGTTGTTATGATAGAAGAACCTGCTGGGCAAACATTCTTGCGAAGGTAAGGTAGGTTAGGATTGAGATGTTACGTGTACGAAAATCGAATTCAATGTCGTCATAGCTAGGTAGTCATTGGTAACTGCGATGCACAGCTATGGTAGTAGCCATGCTACCACGACCAAGGTGCCGGCAATATCGGGCTTGCATCGATCATCTCCCGCTGTGACCAAAGACATGCGGTTGAAGGTTGATAGTGATAGACCGTCACCAGCAAAGTCTGCTCACCTTTGTGTCTCATTGGACCCAGCAAAGAACCACCGAGACATTGCAGGCCGCACAGTCCAGGGAAACCTGGGCTTTCCCGATCCGGCATTTCGGGGCAAAATATCAGACCACTTTGGCGATCCAACAAGGAGTGCAGCATCTGCAAGCCGCCCACTTTGTTGATTCCGACAAGTGCGGGTGGGGCTATCCAAGGAAACATCGCTCGGCATCCCGCAGTTGCAGTTATATCGACCAGGATGCCGAGTTAAGCTTGCTCGTTTCCAGGACTTCAATCCTCGGAGGAGCATCAGCAGTTCGATTTGAGGTAGCCGTACGGAGTATGATTGTTCTGTTCGTGACTCTGCCGTAAAATCGCCGATCCAAGCCACAGAGACAGTCCATGACTCCATTGAACTGTGTTCCCTTGAAAACGGTGATAATGCACAACCTCAACACCTGGAACGAGAGAAATGGGTTGGACGTTGCTAGTATTGCAAGACACATGGAACAATGATCCTTCTTCGGGGGAATGTCCAAGCCATGGTATTCCAACAGGTTGCGCCAAACAAATTGATCCTGACCCCTTTCTATACGCAAACACCATAGGTAACCAAGAAACTCCACCATTGTAGTGTAACTGGAGGAAAGGACAGAACAACACCTCAATCGAAGCGCCATAGCCGAGATCATCTCCAACGCTGGTCACATACGAGAGAAGGAAAAAACACACAGGCTCCACATCCACAACCTCACGGTCCTCATGTCTACAGGGACGGTGAAAGGAAAGAAGAACCAAAGGGAAAGAAAGAGTAGAAGAGAAAGATGAGAAGCACACGCCAACCATTGCATCATCGAACATCAGGCATACATCCCTCACCGGCATACCTCTCCGGTACTCAATCCCACTCCGTCGACCTCTGCTGACTGACCACCGGCGCCGCAATACCCAGTCCCCTCAGCATCACAATCTACCCCCAACCTCCCCCCTCCTGCTCCTCCCTCCCCCGTAGACGCCGCCGCCAGAACGCCATAGAAACACCTCCTCCCCATCTCCCTCACCCTCCGCGCCCTCTCATCATCATCACACCCCCCTCCAACCTCGCCACCCCCTCGAAATCGTCCAGCATCCGGGCGCTGCTCCGGGACACATACCACAGCATGCCCGCGATACAGCGCGGGTCGACGGGCATGGGCGGGCACCGCACGAGAAACAAGCTCCCACCGGCCAGCAGCACGGCGAGCATGAGGGCCAGCGAGACACAGCTCAGCACGGCGCAGACCGTGGCGGCCGTGCGCGTCTGGGCGAGGTGGAAGGGCACGTTGGAGAGCACGACGGGGAGGAACTCGGACAGGATGGCGGCCAGGGAGACGGCGAGCAGGAAGGGCTGGCGGTGGCGGAGGGCCGAGTAGAAGCCCGAGAAGGGGTTGGTGGACGGGGTGAGGAGGATGGATGATGAGGAGGTGGTGGGCGGCTGCGTGGAGCGGGAGAGGAGGAGGAAGGGCGTCATTGTGCTTACGCCTGTTTTGTACTTAGTACTACTAGTAGGTAGGAAATTACTGGGGAAAGGTTGGGAGAGGGGGGGCCCCAAGGGCGGACGAAGGCTTAGTAGGACTTACTGAGAAAGAAGGATTGCCAGCCGAAGGCGATGATGACGCCGATGACGGCCGACACAAAACGCACGCCGAAGGTGTTGGCGTTCAGGAACAGCCAGAGCCGGCCGTTGTCGCGGATGCCGCCGCGGTAGTAGGCGTGGTAGTAGATGACGAAGATGAGCACGGCCAGCTGGAAGAGGGCGAAGGCGATCCGCCAGGGATACCGCAGCGTCATGAAGGGCAGCTCCTGCTGGTGGCTGCACCCTCGACTAAGACCACCATCGCCGCCCCATTTGGCCACCATTGCCGCGGGGTCATCATCATCGTCACCACCACCACCCAACATATCATCTGTCTCGCCATCACCCCTCCTTCGATCCTCCCGCAGACCCCGCCCGGCCTCGTCCAGCAACACAATCCCGTAGTCTTCCCTCCCAGCGGCATTGGTAAAGTACCCCAAACCATACCGCTTATCCGCCATGGCGCGACGCATGGCCGCTTCGCTCCCCTGTCCCACATGGAGCTGCTCATTCCCGGCCACTAGCGACGCCGCCCCGGCGAGATTCCACGGATTGGCATGCAACCCCGTCACCCACCTCCCCAGACAAGCCAGCACTAGCACCAGCATCACCACCACCGCGCCCATCAGCCCGACCAGCGCGTACGCCGGCACGGGACTCACGCCCAACGCGGGCCCACAGCCTGGACTCGCCGTATTGAGGTAGCATTCGCCATGCAGCTTGAGCCCCACGGCCTCGGTGGCGAGGGGCACCATGAAGGAGGCGCACAGCACCATGAGCGTGGTGAGAAAGGGCACCGGCGCGTGGCCGGGTCGCAGTAGCGTGGTTACGACGAGCGGGGTGAGGAAGCCCGACGTCAGGCCCGTGTACTGCAGGAGCAGCGTCTCGGCGCCGAACCCGCCGCCCGGCCGGGCCAGCGTCTGGAAGGGCTGGTACAGCTTCGCGTTGAGGTCGATGATCCGCAGCGGGATCACTAGGGCTACGCCGAGCAGGGTGGGTAGGAAGGTGCCCACGAAGATGTCGGCTTCGGTCCACCGGTATACTCGGGTTGACGACGGGACGACGGAGGGGCCCGGCGGGGGGTTGGTTGCGGTGGCGGAAGCGATTGCTGTTGCTGTTGTTGGGGTGGAGGTGGAGGTGAAGGTCCGCGTGGAGCGCTGTCTCGTGGAGAAGCTGGTGCTCGGGGACGGGGTCGAAGTGATGGTCCGTAGACTGCCCGATATGGTGGTCAGGAAGGTGGTGGGAGGGATTGTGGTGGTAAAGGTGCTGAGCGAATCTCCGGGTGTGGAGACGAGGGTGAGGGTGATGGGCTCCGTGCCGGTTGGAGTTGTGACCAAGATTTGGGTGGCAAGCGTGCCTCCCACGGTGGTGGTGAAGCTGGTCACCGGCGGAGTCGTGACCCGGGTTACCGGGGTGCCATTGACGGTCTCCACGATGGTCGTCGGGCTTGGGGTGAGGGTGATGACGGTCGGGGTGCCGCCGACATTGGTGGTGATGGTGTAGGAAACAGGTAGGACTGCAGCTCCTTCGAGATCGAGCGTTGTGACCACGAGCTGTGTGACGGGCGTGCCCCCTACGACATCGACAGCGGTGTAAGTGATCGGCTGGCCGGGAGGCCCTGCTGGAGTGGTGACGATGACCTCGGTGACCAGAGTTCCTCCCCCGGCATCTCTCACCACCGTGTAAGAGATGGGTTGATATGGCGGCCCAGCGGGCGTGGTCACGACGACTTGTGTGACGGGTGTACCCCCGACATTGTTCACAACGCTTTGTGTGACTGGCTGCCCGGCCGTGATCGTGGTGAGGACTCCGCCCTCCATGCGGATAACTGTCTGAGGCGGACGTGTCTCGACAATGGTACACTGCACGCCATCGACCGCCGTCACCAACGTTACTGGGCCCGGGGAATCGATAACAGTCACAGGAGTGCCGCCCAAGTTCGTGACCACCTCGCCCTGCCTCCCCGCCGACGGCGTGATCACCACAACGCTCGTCACAACAGACCCTGGCACCCGGACCACCCCTGTGCTGACCTGTTGCCCAACAACTTGGGTCTTGACCTCGTCTGAGGGAACCGCGACGACGACTGGCGCTTGGGTGTGCACAACAGCTATGGTAGTCCCATCAACAACCTGAACATCTGTCACCGTGATAGGCTGCGGCGGTGGCTGAGCAACGGTCGGCGGCGTATTCGGGGGAAAGACGGTGGCGTAGTAAGTAATGGTAACCTCGCCCGTGCTGGGGATAACGACGCCGGTAATGGTGCTCGTGGCCGTAATGGTTCTGGACGCAGTCACCACGGTCGTCCCCACCACGGGGGTTGTTACCGTTGCAGTGAAGGTCGTCAAGCCAGTGTTGGTCATCGTCGTCCACAATGTCTTGGTGGGTGTGTTGTCTTCTGTGCCAGTGACCGTGAAGTACGACAGGAACGTTGTGGTATCGACGTTGGTCACAGTGGAAACAAAGGTGCTCTCCTGCGTAATGTCGCTGCTGAACTGGATCGTCTCGGTGGTGGTGACCACCGTTGTGTAGGTGCTTGTTGTGACAGGGACCGTGATGTTGGTGGTAAACCTCGACACGGACACGGAAACGGGCATCAACTGCGCACCGCTGGGCAGGCTGGCTGTCGTGGTGGTAGACATGACGAGAGTGTTTGAGAAGGAGTCCGTCGTAGCACCTAGGAGATTTAGATCGTTGTTGCTCACAGTCCCCGAAGACAGGTTGGAGGTAGTTGTCGTTTCTCTATTCTCGGCAGAAGAAGGGATTGAGGATGTTGGGCGGGAGGAGGATGGAGGATCCGAGGAGGATACTGGACTCGTGGAAGATGCTGGACCAGAGGAGGACGCTGGATTGGAAGATGACGGAGTCGAGGAGGATGCTGGACCAGAGGATGCTAGACTGGAGGAGTATGCTATGGTCTCGGCAGGTGGTTGGGTCGATGTAGACGCCGCAGCCGTTGTCGCCGTTCCTTGCTGAGATGGCGTGGTCGTAACACCTTGAGCTAGCACACTATTATCCTCCTCACTCGAGGTCACACTTGTCTTCGGGGTCTGCGAGGGAGTTGTGATCACAGTAGCAGGGTTAGACAGAGTTGGCGCGTCAGTCGTAAGCTCGTACGTCGCGGAAACTGATGTGTTACTGGGTACATCTCGAGCAAACCGGACGGGCTGTGAGGCGTTTGGGTGTAAACCCAGGATCTTGACGTCTGTGTCCGAGTCTGGCATCTGTTTCACAGCAACGATGACCAGCACAATGGCCACGAGCAGCATGGCAATGACTGTGCTGATGAAGGGCCATCGGAGCGCCTTTGGCTTGTAGTTCGGCGTGCTCCCAGACCGCCATACGGGAGTGCTCGGGCCGTAGACAGCATCGTCGACCGGCCTTTCATAACGATCTTCGGTGGCCTGGATGCTGTACTCGTAAGGACCTCGCTCGACTGGTCGGTAGATGAACGGCTGCTGCATGTCTTCCCGGTTGCGAGCTTGTTTGACAGAAGTTTCCCGGTCCCGAGAGCGTGAACCGGTATCCGAGACGGTGTATAGCAGACTTAGGACCCTGGTGCTTTCAGTCTGCTGTCCCGGCTGCTTGCTGTTGCTGATCCCCCCCTCCAGAGTCGACGTTGATGTGATCCGTTCTATGTTAGCCGCATGCACAACCTCCCATGACGCTTCAACCGAATGGAGTATGCATGTGAGCCCCAGAAGCCAGCTGTAGGGCTGGAAACTGGCACACCCATATTAGGCAAATGGCCTCGCATGGTCTGGCTTCACCGTCTCCCGAAGCCCGACCGGCCGCAGTGCGGCTGAAGGCCTGGTCCACCCTTTTTTTTTTTTTTTTGTCTCCCATGACTTTATTTCAACCTCCTGGCCCCTCATAGCCCGTAGCTACTCCGCCGTCTTGGCGATGGCTTTGGCCGCGACAGGGCTGGACCATGCTAGGGAATCACACCATCTTCGTGGAACTGCTTGTCGTGTCGGGATTGGTGACGGCTTTATGAGCCAGCGATGGGGGTGACACAGCGTAGCCGACTGGGACGTTCAGATATTTCCGTTGCAGCTGCATCTGCCGCCACCTTCGGCAGTGCCAATGCTGTCGACCATCCCCGTGGCGCGAGGTAGTGTCCATAGGCTGGGTCGGAGATTTCTTCCAGATACCATGGAGCGAGACTTCTGACTCCCAGTGACCTGAGCGCCAAGTCTGGACCATTCACGTTAGTGGGAATGAGGGCCGTTCTAGCGGTACGAAGCGCAGTAATATTGATCGCTGAAGAGCGTCGTGTCGCAAGACGGGCGCCTTGGGAATGTACCTAGACTTCGACGCGGCCCCTTCCGCTTCAGTGCTACCGGACCACCGGAGGGGAACACCTTGTTCAACCTTGGCCTGTTTTCGGGCTTCACAGACGAGTCGGGAAAGAGCACCAACCACGGATGACGGAGATAGCTTGTCATTCAGAAGCTACGGGCGCCATCCTTCGCCCCGCGAGATACTGGCCAAGACACAAGAGCTTGCGGGTGACTAGAAAACGGACGCGTTGAGAACCAGAAGCATTATTCGTGAATAAAAGCGCAGACGAAACGCCCCGAGGATGGTATTGTGCTTGTTGTTCCGCGTCCGAACCACCCATGCCCATGTACATGTTCCTCTATGCCCGACTCCCCCATGTCAAGATCGAAATCGCTTTTTGGATTCCCAACACATGGCGGGCAGAGCCATGCAAGGCCAGCTTCCAAGAAAACCCGGAGGCCATGTCCTTATTCCGTCACCGCCGACTTCCCCGACCGCAAGACGCTTAGAACACGAGGGCAGCACCCTTGGTCTTCTTGTCACCACTATCCCCGAGTGTCAGAACCAGCCGCCCAGAACGCTGCGCCAGATTAGGAGGGACCGCCGGTGCAAATCGATGCTGACATGTAAGGCTGCGTTATAGAAGCCTGGACGGCCCTGGAACGGTCGCTTCATCCCGCTTAATTCTGATGAGCGGGCTCGGCAAATCGCGGCCGTCTGAGGTCTGCCGTAAGAGAGCATCGCTCAGACCCTCCTCATATCGCCATGATGCGTCGCAGAGCTTGGACAGAACCGCAAAGCTCTGCAGTCCCCATCAAATGCCTACCCATCTTCGCCATTCGAGTACCGTCGCTCCGAGCAAGCGTTACATATCCCCCACTTTCCATCGTCTCTGGTAAAAGATCGGTCGCAGAGTTTCGTCGAGACTCGGTATGCCGCTGCTGGCACCGTCGGATTGGGAAGTCGCGGTATCGAATGCTTCCGGCGGTCCCTCTCGAAACAGGCAAAACGAAACACAATGCAGGTTGGAGAAAAACTCACCCAAGCTCGAAGTGCTTGCACCGCTTCAGCGGCAGCTGCTTCTTGGTCTTGCAGACCGAGCATTCCTGTCCAACAACCCCAGTTTAGCGACTTTCCTGCCTCTCCCCCCATCATCCCCAAAACCTTCCGACAAACGACGGGGCGGGTCATTCTCACCAGCCGGAGCACGATCTTCTTGGTGGTCTTCGCCTTCTTGTGGAAGACGGGCTTGGTCTGACCACCGTAACCGGACTGCTTGCGGTCGTAACGGCGCTTGCCTTGCGCGAATGCCGAAGCCTTGCCGGCCTTGTACTGAGTGACCTTGTGCAGGGTGTGCTTGCCGCAGTCGCGGCCCTTGCAGTAGGTCTTCCGGGTCTTAGGAACGTTCACCATTTTGACGGGCTGAGTCCGGTCGTTGGGATGTGGTGAGGTTGGTGGTCGTGGCGGGATGTCGTCGGTCGGTTCGGTTCCCCCCTCTAGTGGTTTTTCGCCGAATTTGCAAATTTCGACCAGGGCTGCGGTGCGTGTGTGGGTGCACGGTCGAAAGATGACCCGTGCCGGTAAATTCCGCTGCAATACGTGCCTTACCTAAACGGGTAGCGGAGCTGGAACCCGATTTGAGCTTCCCGACCCTTTGCCCCACCTCGCCCCTCACCCACACCAGTTAAAGAGTCTCAAGACTCCGAATTCCAAACGCAACATCAACGATGCCGATTGACGTACGGAATCTACAGTGTTATTGCTGTTGAACTTTCTCGTCGTGGCAGAAGACCATGTCATGTTCGTGGCCTCCCAAGCCTAGATATATTGGAGCTCGCAACCCTCTATCCCGGGGTGCACGAGTACGAAATCCGGATACCACCTCACCAAACTCTCTTGCAGGACTTATAAATGGAGGTGTAAGTGGGCTAGGGTTATTGATATGCAACAGCGACACTTGGAATGACCGCGCTATGGAACTACGAGTTCAGAACTCGACGAATCCAGGGCGCCGTAAGTTATCCCGCATTGCCGTTGAGTTCTACATCTCAGGGCCGCGGCTTTGTACACGGCACACGGCTTTAGTGATCCCGAGATCCAGCCAGACACTGAGATAATCCCCGCCCCTTCCCCGCCCCTTCCCCGCCCCTTCTCGAGACCGCAAGCGCTCATTACAGATTTGCAGCCTTCATTGCCTTTCACTGAGAGTACCGACGACGATTTGTGGCACATCATCCACCCCGCCAACCCTGAATCTCGTCTAGGGTTAGAACATAGTCGCTGGTGTAGATCTGGCACGGTGTAAGTCTCTGAGAACCTTCATCATGACATCCAAACGGCGAACTCACTTGTTTAAGGGCATCCAGTGTGTTATAGCTAGGGTTGTTGATGAAGGTGTCACCCCAGACAGCGAACCAGAGCCAATGAGCCTCATAGGCCTGCAGCAGGTCCGGGAGAGGCGCCGAGCCCACCTCGGCCGCGGCGATCATCTTCTTGTCTTTGCCCAGATCAGTGAGTTGGTTGTACTGCGTGGACATGGGCTAAGGTCGCAGTCAGCCTTTATGGTTCCAAGTTCGTCAAACGTCAGCCAAGGCTCTCTCGCACTCACCCCGTTGCCCTGCGCGTAGACATCGGCGCTCAGGATGTCAACCGTGTTGTCTCCGGGATACCACTCGGGCTGGATCGAGTTCCAGACCCAGAGCAGGTTGTTGATCTTGTGGTAGTTGGTCAGCCGGTCGTACAGCAGCGCCCACAGCTTCTTGGCCGGCTCCGGGCCCTTAGCGCCCCACCAGAACCAACCGCCCTCGGCCTCGTGCAGCGGTCGGAACAGGACGGGAACACCGGCTGACTGCAGCCGCTTGAGCTGGACGGCAATGGCGTCAATGTCCCGGATGAGAAGCGTGTAGTTGGCGTTGGTAGTCGAGCTGAGGGCCGCCTCCACATCGAAATCGGTGGCGTCCGTGTAGAATCCGCTCCACCAACGGTGCTCCTCGGTGTCGTAGAGGCCCGTCGGCGCGTTCCAGTGCCAGAGCACCGAGATGATGCCGCCTCGGTTGCTGTGCTCGATTGCCTCTTCGACGGCAGTCCCCTTGGTACCCTTCTCAACACGCGATGGTGAGTAGTCCATCAGGTCCACCGAGACGAGCGCCGGGGTTTTGCCTGTCTGCTCTGCGATCCAGTTCGACCACGAGAGTTCCTGTTGGCCTGAGATGATCTTGGTGCCGTAGATGGAGCGGAGGTAGTTGTACAGAGCCCTGGCGTTGTTGTCGGTTGCCGGGTTCACGGGTGCTGGGTTGATCTGGTGAGGTGGGCGCGGCACCGAAGGAGTGACAGTGATGGAGTCGACGAGATACCATCCCCAGTTGCTGACAATTTCGATGGTGTTGGACCCTTGGTTGAGGAGAAGCTGCCCGGCCGCGATATTGGTCCACGTGTCGCTGGCTGGGAAAGACACATCGCTGCTTGCCCCGCCGTTGAGGACGACCGAGGTGTGCTTGTCGCCGTAAATGGCGGCCACCCGGATGCTGAGGTCATACAGTCGGGTGGTGGTACTGTTGACGGTAAACGTGATCTTGTCCGTTGCCTGGTCGAAGCCGGTGACATAGCCAGTGCCTAAGATTCAAAGCATGTTAGCAACTTACCATGGCAATAAGTGTCCATGAAGACCTGAATTACTCACCGGTGAACCCGGACTGTGCTGTGTCAACACTTGTCCCGCTCAGCACTGCATCTTCAGCCTCAAAGGTTCGAGCTGCATCATCTGGGGTTGCCCGGCATCTTGGTGCCGCATGCGTGCCTGTAGCGAGCGCTACGATGCCGCACAGGAGGAGCTTGAGTGTTCCCGCCATTATGGATGCTGTTCATGTCCACGAGTCCAAGACACGACGGGGACCGAAGCTAGGTGAGTGCTAATCCTTCCATCTAATTACTAAATATACCGCAAACCCATATGCCACGTCCTACTACGTTGATACACCGGGCAGAATTTCCTACACCAAGATGTGAGCGACAAGCTCTTGATTTGTGGGGTTCGTTGTTTGTGAGCTACTAATGTCGGAGGGTAATGCTCCGTTGAAGCAATCCGGGTTATTCCACCGCAAAAGCCTCAGAACTCGCTGGCACATTCGCGGAGAATTAGGATGGTTTCCCATCGCAAGCTCTTGGCTAGCCGGAAGGGTCCCCAGATCAGGATATTTTCTTCCCCCTCGTCCGAATTTCCGCATCGAAGGGCTACGAAGAGTGCCAGGAAGGAATAACCTTTAACTTTCTGAATCCGGCTTGGCATCGCTTGGTTTCAGTCACGGCATCCCGGCCCGCTACTAGTAGTACCTGGTGGTCTCGACATAATGACTGTAGAATAGAAGAGGGTCTGCACAACAACGATCAGTGTCTTTGGCGGGCACCTTACGAAGTGTGTCGGTGCAAGGCTAGAAACTTCTGTTTATTGAAGGCACTGATGTGCAACTAAAGGGCTAGTAATGACGACATCTTTCTTCACTGAGATAGGTAATGTCAACCGTAGGTATACTCAGTATCACAGCACTCGCAATTCTCCTTGATTCGAGTAATAGAGGGAGATATGCCTACAATGTACCAAACTTGGTATTCGTGCTAAGCTGAAAGGAATATTCGCAGCGGATTGCCTGACTACTTCTTCCCTCTCCACCCTCTACAGATGTGGTGGCACGGTTTGTGTGTAAGCCACCTTATATGTATGTGAAGTGCACAAGCGGATTCCTAATTTCAAGCACTACGAGACTTTGCCTTAAGGTTCTCGAACGCTTTCAAGTACCCGGATGACTTGGCGGCCATTGCTGCTCGCATCCTCTCCTTGGACATTCTACATATAAATCGTGCCCTACAATGCCTCATTAACAGTAACTAAACTCACCTTCCTCCTTCGGTTTTACCGCATCTTGCCATCAGGAAAGATGCGAAGGGTCGTCTTCGCATCTTTCGTCGCCTTGTGGTCGATATCGCAGCTTCTCGTCATTATCCTCACATGTTCACCGGTCCACAGATTCTGGCTCCCAGAAACCCCAGGAACCTTCATTTCTAACCTTCCCTTCTGGTACATCCAGGGAGGAGTGTGACCGACGCCACCGTTTTCGTGCTGCCGCTCCCACCGCTGAGCCGTATCAAGCTCCGCGAAGGTCAGAAGCTCGGTCTGATAGGCGTGTTCTGCCTCGGCTTCGGTCGTGGGTCTCAATGAAAAGTTAAAACTATGTCTCCTCAATCCCTGGTACCCTAACAATGAGCTCTCTCCAGACATGTGCCATTTCGGTCATCCGTATCCAATACTTCAAACTCAGCGCCGACGTCGCCTGGGATAACGCGGCTTCCTCCTACTGGTCCATTGGTCGGCTGTGCTCTGGCATCGCTTGTGCCTGCCTGTGCCTCCCCACCCTCAGACCCCTTATCGCGGAAATCAGATTCACCTTGTCACATCAATCGGCCGCGAAGCGCAGCCTGGTACCTCGGGACGGCGGCTCTCCAAACAGCATTAGTCACTGCGACGCTGTGACGAACACTCTCAACAAATCGTTTCACTGGGTGGAGCGAGAAGTTCAGAGCGCGGCCGCTCTCCTCGCGATGCACTCCACGCGATCTTCTGATCATCGCAAGGGGAGCGATTGTGGCGCGCGCCTAATGTCTTGGCGCGGTCCGGAATGTCTGCCGTGGCGTCCGACCCGGGCCGAGCCGTGAAGAAAAGAAACACGAACAACACGTTGCACCAGGCGGCTACACTACACGTGTAAATCGGAATACAACAGCGTAGTAGCAGCGCGTCTTGACGCATACCCTGTATCCGTATCATGTGGTCCTCAGTGGATGCATGTATGGAAGAAGAGTGGAGTGTTTTGATAGGCCGGTCAAGGCTGGTTCAAGGTTGCGCCAGACACCTTGCCCCATGCACTGACCTTACCTTAAGTGTATAATGTACATGGTAGTATTCAGTTGGTTCATATCTGCTGCAGGCGCAAGGCACAGTTGGTTCCGTGAGGGGCACCAGACCCAGAAAACAGAACTCCCATTCACCAACTAAAAGTACACTGTACACCACAGTCCAGTCACAGAAATACATGCAAGCGCGCAAACCCAATCACAGTCGCACCAACCTCCCCACCAAACCCCCCCTTCCCCCCCTCCAACCATCTTAGCTAGGGGCTGCCGTGGGCTACACTTACCTTTTTCCCATCCTGCCAGATTGTGCGGAAGGTGATGTCGGTGAACTCGTGGCTGTCGAGGTCCAACCTGCCCAGGTTGTTGACCATCGTGCGCTTCTTCGCAGCGTCGACGGTCTCGGTGAGGTAGTTGTGCAGCTTGTTGGTGGGTTTCTTGTCGACCTTGAACAGCACCGGGTCGTCCTTGGGGTCCGACTTGAAGAAGGTCTGGGCCTGCGTGCGGTTGTCGGGCGTGACTACCATGGAGAAGTGGGCCTGGAAATCGACGCCGGGGTCGCGCTTGACCAGGATGCTGGCGCGCAGGCCGACGGGCACTCCTGTCTTGTCCTCGGGGTTCTCCATCAGGGTCCAGCTCGCGGCGTTTGGCTCTCCGTAGTTGCGACCGATGATCTGGACGGCTCCGCGGACTGTCCCCGCATTTGTGACCTCCTTTTCGACCGTCCGCTGCCGCGTCAGCTCCCCGCCGACCTCGGCCCCCAACACGTTGCCGCCCAGCTTGCTGTTGAACCCCAGGGTGACTGTCTCCTTCTGGGTGGTGGGGTAGACCCAGAAGAAGCCATCTGCCGAGATCTTGTCGACAACTGGGTCGTCCTGGTTTCTGTCGACGGCTGAGAAGCGGATGGTGGTCTGCACCTTCTTGATGCGCCTGCCCAGGTCAACTGGGTCGAAGCGGAAGTGCAGGACAATGAGGCTGCATTGCTGCGGTTCTCCCTTCTCGTCATCGACGCCGTCCGCGTAGAAACCGTGGACAACGTCTTTGCAGACGCAACTGGCTGACACGCGTCCGTTGTTGCGCTCAATGACTGTCTGCCGTTGCCAGGCGTTTCGCGGATCGTTCTGGGTATGGAAATATGTCGTCGTATCGTCGGGGACCTCATCCAAGTTGATGCTGAAGGCAGGCGCTTCCCCGGCGTCTAGCAGCTTGCTTTGAAGAACCATTGCGTTGGCTGACTGAGGTCTTCGCTCTACTATGGGCCGGTCTGGTGTCTGAAGGTCTGTCCTTATTGAGTGCTGGCTCACACAAGCGGATGGGTCTGGAATGGGGAAAGGAAAGCTTGATACAAATCCCCTTCTCACCATGGGCGATCGCCGAGGTGATCATTCCGCTTAAATAGTACGTGAGTCAACGCCGGTACCGTTCCAGACCCCTGGAGTAGGTCTAGGACCGCGGCTAACTGCAAGTCGTGTCACGCTGGCGACCTGGTTCCGAGGAGCGACGATGCTTGATTCGCAGAGCCAACATATGCTGTACGCCCCTGGAGACTAAGTGCCCAATAACGTTAGGGGGGTGCTCTTAAGTCACCCTTGTCGGCGTATAATACGTCCATGTTTCTCTTCATGAGTCGTAAGGAGTATACATGTATAGACTTATATTAGGGGGCATGAAACCGCCCGTCAGGCCGAAGAGGCGGGTCGAGTCTTGTCAGCCAGCTCACAGAACCAGGCTCAGCAACAATTGCACAACCTCCAAAAAGCAACTAGCAGTTTAGAACGATATCACCCCTCTTCGTTCCTCTGTACTCGGCTTCAGCAATGCCATCGGAGACTACAAGGGCAGCCGGCATGTCCGCAGCGGAGGATCGCGGGACGACACGTCGTGATCGCTACTACACTACTCGCGAACGGAATGAGCAGGCACGCAAGCTAAATCTGCAGTCATCTGTTCAGGAGTGGGAAGGACACACGAGGACGGAACGGGGAGAAGACAGTGGGTGGGAGGGGAGTGAGGTAAACAGTGAAGAAGGATGGGAGGGAGAGGAATCCGGAAACCAGGACAAAGTGGGACGCGAGGAATTGCTCCAGAAGCTGGGCGAAATAGAGTTTTGCCTGGCCAATGCCAATTTCGTGAGGGAACTCGACACCTGCCGAGAGACGCAGTCCCGGTTTCTGCAAAACTACGGACGCTACATTGGCGAGCAGCCGCCGCCAAAGACGGACAATGTCCTGCACTTTATGGCTGGGAAGCGATTCGTTAGCGTCTGGCTGTTAAGGCACATGCTCGATCATCACAAGGCGAGGATGGACGGCATAGACAACGCGGGACGACGGCCTCTCACCCTGGCCATCGAAGAGAGGAAGGAGTTGTTCATCGAGACCGTCCTGGAGAGCAGCTACGACGGCAAGGACCTCCAACGGAACCTGCGCATGAGTGCGTCCTCCACGGGGAACGGCATCCATGTGGCAATCAATGCGGGCCTCAGCCCTAGGCTTACCGTTGCCCTCATCAACCAACTGTCAGACGATGTCTTGAGCCAAAGGGATGGGGCTGGCTGTACCCCACTGCACCGAGCGGTAGAGTATGAGAGGTGCAAAGAGGGACAAATCGAGATTGTGAGGGCCTTGTTGGAGCGAGGCGATTCGGCCCTCGACGAGAAAACAAATGAGAACCTATCCGTTTACCAGCACCACCTCAGTACTCGGCCGGCGGACGAGAACACCAGAATAGCAGGCATTGCGGGCAAATCTCGGCTGCCTCAGCAGAACGGGGCGAAGAAGGGAGTCGCCGACATGATTGCTGAGGAAGTGAAGGTGTGGTATCTCCGTTCCACATTCGAGAAGCGCGGCGGCAGCAAGAAGCAGAGGAACCATGACAGTGCAGTGGACTTTCTCTACGGTGATGGCGAGAGTGAGTGTTATGCCCTCGATTAACGAAAAGTGTATCTGCTGACTTAGTCCAGCGGGACGTATTTGCTTCAATTTGCTCCAAAGAGACAGGCCCATCAGAGAAAAGTCCTTAACAAAAGGTGCCTATAGCCAGTTTGTCTTCGACACGGCACTACAGTTTGTGGCCCTCGGCCCATTTGTCATCAGCGACCAGAAGGCGCAAGCCGCGCCCCAGGCGGAAACCGGGCGCCGGGATATGGTGGCCGTCTTTGACTGGTTGAAGACCAGAAACGTGAAGCACATCATCAAAGTGATCGTGGATGACGGCAAGCTCCCCTCCCACTCCGATGAGGCAATTGTTGAAGCCTTGCGTCCCTTCACGATTGACATTCTCGATTGGAGCAAGCCTAATCTACGCCCCGAGACCATCCAACAGGCTTGCGGAAACGTGCGGAAGCTCTACTTGTCGTGGAACGGCCTGGACGGCATGTTGGTGGCCTGGGGAGGGAGGAATGGATTGGCCAATCTGCCGTATCTTACCGACGTCTACATCCGACAGACAGGCAACGTGAGTCGCAGATGTGATCCCGAGGCTCTCTCGGCCACTTACTTGTCGGCATGGTTGCGTAGCTGACATTACCTTCCAGCAACTGGATTCCGAGGAATGGGCAAACAGAAAGCTGGATGAGTTTGTGAAGTTGCTCAGGAACTCAAGAGACTACATCAGGGCTCAACGTCGGGTAGCAGCCCCTGAGCTGGAACTCGCCGGCTGGGCCCCAATCAAGGTGCATCGTCTAAGAGCGCAGATCATCAACAGCAGGCCGGCAACACCCGCCACAGCGGTGACGGAGAAGAACAGCCAAGAACCCATCAGGGACCACCAGTGGTTGAAGATCATGGACCGTTTCGCGAAAGCCATCTGTGGCCTCCCGCCCAACAGATACGTCAGGGAGCTGCCGAATCTCCCAGCTGAGCTGAAGCGGGATATACGCGTTTGTCTTATCGACGATGGGGTGGACGCGGACCATCCAGGCATCTCGGAGCGCATGGATTATGCACACGGGAAGAGCTTTGGCACATGTCCCGGCGGAGAGCACCCCGGCCTGGAGCTGCCCTTCTACGAGTCGGCCACACACCTCGGCACCGTGATGGCCAGCATGATAACCAGGGTGTGTCCGTATGCTAGGATCGTTTCCTATCGACTGGACGCAACGCAAGGACAAGATGGTCGGCCACAATTCACGGCGAAAAGCGCTGCCGATGTAAGCAACATGTTCCCTTGGAAGATGGAGGCCGGGAGTGAGTATCACCTTGAAGAAAGACTCAACTAACTCATCTCAGGCACTAGAACACGCCGCTAAGCAGGATTTCGATATCATCTCCATCTCATGGTCCGTCAAAGAGCTGATGGGATCCGGCGCGGACAACTCAGACACCCGCCGACTAGATGATGCCCTGCGCGAGGTGGTCAGAGACAAGCTCGTTTTCTGTGCTTCCCCGGACGTAGGCAACATCAGTCTCTACCAGCTGGCAACCTACCACCCAGTGGGTTCCGAAGTCGAAGAACTCTTCCGGATCGGGGCGGCTATGGCGGATAACAGCCGGTGGAAGCCATCAGGCGGCAAGCGCATCGTCGATTACATTCTTCCCGGCCATGGCGTGCGAGAGGTGAAGGGCTGCGAGGTGTTCCCGGGAAACGAGCCTCTCGAGCCCGGGTCTTGGATTGCGACACCACTGGCGGCGGGGCTAGCCGCGCTCCTGATTCACATTGTGCGAATGGCGGCCATCCACACCTATCTTCAGGGGAAGGAGAGATCCAGGGAGGCGAACCGGCCCACGCTTGAATCGCTTGAAATCATCAAGTCGTTCGACGCGATGCGCAGGACATTCGACATGATGGCTAACAAGGCAGGCGGTAAATCCTACGTGCACGTATGGGGATATTTCCACCAGAGCTGTCTAGATTTTGAGGCGGCTGATAACGCACTCGATGGGGAAGGTGAGAAATGGAGGATCATCCTGGAGCTGGCTCGCGACCTTGTTCCCCGGAGAACGTGGAGGAGACCTCTCAGGTTTTGAAGCAGAAGCGTCCCAACCTCGTAGACTGGGAGTTGGGTCTGGGAGATGGAGTGAGTGATGAGCTTTGGTAACATCACATAAGGCTCGTCATAGTAACCCTGTCTGTCTCGCTATTGCGGTTTTGGGTACCTCATTGCATTGGTTATATATTATCAGTCCCAAGTATCTTGTAGATTGACAATGAACAAAATAGTGCTGGGGTATGATGTCCGTTAACCGGCAAAGGCTTGAATAGCGGACGAATTCCATGTTGATCTGCACTCGAAGGGGTTCGAAAGTACGAGCCAGAAGATGCTTATAACCAAGGGTCCCGTAACAAACTCTCAGTAACCTCCAAACTCCAGCAACCTCTAAACTCCAGACAGAATTAAAACAAAGTCTCCGGGGCGGGAAACGCGAAACGCGAAACGCGGATAGAGTTCCCGCGCGCCTTGTATAATTATACAATCCGGTGCCTCCAACCCAAGGGTATCCAACAATCCGGGCCAGCCCATTGCGCTCTATCCCAAACTAAAATCTCAGCCCCAGGTCGTAGCCTCATTAAACAATCAGCAAGTTAAAATCCCGACAACCCCTCTCACGGTCAACGCTCAAGGACGCGCACTCGACGGCTCAATCACAATCTGTGGGACTTGTTGCAGTCTCAAACTTGGCCGTCTCGGCACGCCGCCTCTTGTCCTAGCGTTGTCGTCCCCTCGAGCCTGGGCCGCGAGATCTTCCATGTGCGCTGAAAGCCGACTGTTTCTCGCGTCGGCTGGGCCGGGGCCTGGGTAGTCGGGCGGCGGGTCAGGATACGGGCTCGCCCTCCCCGATACATCCGAGCTCCGGGGCGAATGCATCGGCGTCACTTCGCCCAGGCTCACTTCGTCGTACCCCGGGGGCGGGATACCAATATCCCCCAGGTCGGCATCCTCAGCGTCGACGAGCTCAGGGGATGACCCTGCCAGGGGGGTGGTCGAGACGCTGGGAGTCGGGATCCTCGGCGTGGTAGCGCCCGAATTAGTTCGGGACCGAGTTCGCCCCGCGCTAGCCAGCCGATACATCCCGCTGCCGCCCGTCGTTGACAGCGCCGGGGACTCGGCCCGGTCGTGCAGCGTGAGCGATGTGTCGATGCTCAGCGTCGCGCTCGCGCTCCGGTCCCGCCGCCGAAACAGACTCCCCGCCGAGATGCTCGCGGCATCGGACAGCAACCCGATCCGTTCGCTGCTCTCGGTGCTATTTGTGCGGACGCGCGTGCCGTCTGCGTGAGCAATGCCGACGTCGGCATATGCTATGCTGTTGACGGCGCGCTGGCGCGCCTCGCGCACGCGCTCGTGCGACTGCCGGAGCCCTTCGATCACGGACGTATCGTGCGTAGTGGAGCCGCGACCCTGCTCGCGGATCTGGCGGAGGGCGCCGAAGTCGTTGTTCTCACGCGCCTCGCGACGCCGGCGCCGACGCTCCTCACGCTCCTCGATTATCCGGCGGCGAGCTGCCCGAATCTGGTACAGCGTCTCCATCTCCTCGTCGCGAAGCGCTTCTTCCTCCTCGGCCGTGCGCATCTCTACCACCACGTCCATCCCGTCACGCTCGCCTTCCCGGCCGAGGACAACCTCGGTTTCGGTCGGCTTGGGCCGGTATGGGGGCAGCGTCATGACACTGCGGACCGAGGCGCTTCGATGGACCTCGGAAACGGCAGCCGTGGACGGATTGCTGTCATCGTTCCGCACGTACGCATCTGTTAATGCGTCTTCTACGGCGTCTTGGTGGCGGCGGCCGATCTGGCGTGTGGCTGGCGAGTCCTCTTGGTGAATCGCCGGCTTGTATCTGTAGCGCGAACGGAAGAACCTGCGGTACAGGAAGCGGGTGAGAAACATAAGGGCCACGCCGCCCGCAAGACCGGCGAAAATGAACACGGCGAGCTAAGAGAGATACGGTCAATATCAAAGTACAGGGAGACGAAGTCGGTGCCACAGACGCTCCAGAGCTGACATACTTGAGCATGGGGTTTCCCGCCGTCGTTTTGCTCATCGCGGACTTGAAGCTTCGACGCGGGTGCGACGGGCAGCGGCATCATCACCGGGACCGGTATCCGAAACAGTGGCGGGGACATTGCGGCGCCAGCAACGAGAAAGCGTGGAAGAAAGATACGGTCGCGCTGCTACGAAGGCCTGGGCTTAGCACGCCCGCATTGCGCTATCCCCCGCAAGGGGACACAGAGATGTTTGTTGACTTGTGGCTCGGATCTTGTGTCGCGCAATACAACACTTCCGGACCGTTCAATTTCGGGCAAGCTCGAGGAGGGGTTCCCGGCGCGTCTGCGTATGTAATGCGGGATCGACAGACCAGGCTTCGCAACGATCACCGAGTCCCCTGGGTCGATTCAGATTCGCGGTGTATTATCAATAGAAACGGTGTGAATACCAAGAGCAGGAATTGAGGAGAGAGAGCTGGATCAAACTCGGCGGCAATGGGTGATCTTGTGCTGCAGGAGGGAGGCACTGCTGCCAAGCCTGGCTGCTCAGTCCGGTACTAATAAGGCTGGACGGACTGCTGGCCGGGCCAGAGTCCGAACATGGGAGCCGCCTGCTCCTCGAGTGGAGATCGCCAAACTCCTGCATATTTCGGCTGCCAGTGTACGTACTAATACAGTACATACTGTACAAACACGCAAAGTTAGTGTGATACAGGGGTGCTTGTGCGGTGTTTGATAGGTCAGATCACACCCGGCCTCGTCGCACGGGCCTTTTTGACTTCGCTGACGCACGTGACATGAGCTTGTGGGAAGGTGGGTGGTGAGGGGAGCCTGCGGAGGACCACCCTATAGATCCCGCACATTGCACCCCGACTTCCCCACGTGGGACTGTGTACACTGTACAGTGGCTTCAGAGGGGCAAACTAACATGAACTCTACCCCTTCGCCTAAGGTACCTTAGTCAGCAAGTCTGTGTATATGCGTCGAACCCTCTCAACCCTGACATTCAGTGGACGTGTATCGGCCCCGTGCTACATACCTTACACACGAAGATACGATACCGGTAACCGCTGTGTTTAAGTCCCAGGGACTTATTAACGCAGCGGCGCTGCGATTTATAGGCAGGAACTGGGGGAGAAAGCTCCAGCTTTTCGGCCTTGCGGCCCTCAGCTTCCTTTACACGGTACGCTGGCGATCAGGGCGGCTAAATGGTCTTGCTGTTTCCACGGCAAGCTCTGTCCCGCGTGGCTGGGACGTCAGAAGTAACGACAGCGCCTTGCCTCCTGCATACAGGCAAACGCTTCGCCGCCAAAACCTCGATCGCAACTGTAGGGTACCTACTAGTACTTACCTACCTTCCTCACCTTATTAGTAGCACTGCAGTGTACCACACTTCAGATGCTCTCTGAGCGAACTGTCTGCTGCCTCAGCATGAGAAAATCCTTTCACTCGCTAGCCGTGTACCTTGCAGCAGCATGTCTCGGATTCTTTTAAAATGACCATTCTCCGCCCCTCCAACGCACGCTCCCTACCCGCGTCAGCTAACCGGAGAGCCAATCCCAAGGGCAAGGGACCTATAGCGCTCTGCAGTGCACCACCCGACAGTACCTAGGTAGTACAGTATTAAGCATCAGGTAGCATCTGCCCACTGCCCCTCAGCTCGGGTCGGCAGCCACCCAATCGCTGGTAGCCAGGCTGCTACCGGCTTCTCGGCGACGCCGTCGAGAATCCTTTGGATCTCATTCCCAGCTAAGCTATTGCCCCATGCTCTTCTATACTCGCGTCCCCCCTTCCGGGCTACCACTGTGTAATGATCCATTATGCGGAACACACCACCGGAATTGTACATAACTACCTTACCTAAGGTAGTGCTTAGATTACAAGTAAGTCGATACTTACCTACTACTACTCTACAATAAACAACAGAAGTCCCCATCAGCGATATCGAGAGTAAGGAGACTTGTTTGTATAGTATTAGAGTGCTGTGGCTTGTTTCAAGTACATACGTGCCTCTGGTATCCGGTCATCCAAGCCTCGTGTTTTTAGTCCAAGGAGCTTGGATTCATGATGAAGTTGTGGCCCGGCGGTTATTGGATAAATATCCGACAGCAGCGACCCGCGCACCACTTGACTCCGGGCACCCTCCCGGATATGCCCGGCCAGCCGGACCCGACCCGGCCCAGTCCGGCTGCCCCACTTCCACTGGCAACCTATCCAACTCCAACATCGTCCCGTCACATACACGGGTTGTTGCCATCACCGGACTCTCATGCACACAGCTGGCTTCAGAGTGTCTGTGTCCGTTCGGTCCGCTCTACGAGTAAAGCCACCATTGAAAGTGCAGCATCACCCTCTCACAGTACCCATCGTTGGACCTCGGTTATCAAAGCGGAGGCGCTCGTCTACCATGGCTTCCCATGATAGACCAGACTCGGAAGACCGGATCGTGAAAGCACTGCAGGAGTTTACAACGTGAGTAGTAACCAACGTCAGTCCCAACTTCAAGGTGTAGGTAGACAGAGGCTCGAAAGTACACGAGAGCTCAAATCGCCACCAGATGCGATGTCTCAGACGCGCTTGTCAAACTTGGCTTGCACCACGGCGGCTTCCTTCCGGGCATCACGCTGTGGTCACCGCAGCGCCAGGACGGGCCTACCAAGATAGTTGGGCCAGCGTATACCGTCCAGTACGCACCGGCTGAGGACCCGAGGCCAAAGTGGCCCAGTCACTATGTCAGTGCCGCACCCTATTTAAGTGAGCTTCTACTGCTGCGTGACTCTGGCTAATAAGACGGTATCCAGATCGACTCCGTCCCGCCTGGTGCCGTCATCCTTGTGACCTGCAGCCCCCGGACACCCAACGCTCTCTACGGCGGCCTGATGAGCACCCGGGCTAAGGCGAGCGGAGCAGTAGGGTCTGTTGTTGATGGTCGTTTTCGGGACGTGCAGGAGCAAAGGGACTTGGACTACCCAGTAAGTGACCTTCTCCACTTGTCAGATTCGATTGAAGACTTTTTTTTTGAAGAAGCCTGGATTAAATCTCAGAGCAGGTGTTCGCTCGCGGTGTTGGCACGACGCCTCCAGGTCCTCTGTTCAAAGTTGTTGCTGTCAACGAACCCGTAACTGTTTCCGACGAGGGTCAAGAGACCCAGGTTAATCCCGAAGATTACCTGATTGGAGATGTGAATGGGGTTGTTGTGTTGCCCAGGACACATGCCGAACACGCGCTGCCGCTCATGGCGAAGCAGGTCGAGGCGGACTCCAAGATGGCGGTGGAGATCCAGAAGGGAATGACATTTACGGAGGCGAGCAAGCGATTTAGGTCGTGAGCCTAGGTATGGAATGGCTTGAGTCATCGTAATTTATTAGTGGTACTGGTATACTGCGAGTCGCAGCCTCGCAGCATCGTTTGATTAAGATATTTGCTGGGTCACAGTACTGGACGTATCGTTACCCCTTACGAACCTTTGTGACGAAGGAAGGAGCCATCCCAACCCCAGCTCCGGATCCGAGTCCTTGATAATACCTAGAGAAATGATGCACTGGGACAGTGTAGCACCTGTTAGTGCAGCCAGAGATTCAGTATGATGAAATCATCCTCTCGACTCTTAGTACTTCTTTTAACGGAGGATTCAAGCTCGGCTTCAAAACACCTCCACGTCGTCAGGTTTCTTTCTGCTCTTCTCATTGAGCCAGGACGCACAGCCAAGCAGCCCGGTCCCGAGTCCCGACCAACATCACGACTTCACAAAAGACGATCAAGCCAGTCAGGGTCGTCCCGTCCTCACCGCCTGCAGAATCGGACATAATTACCCCCTGGATAGGCAGACCAGTCAAGCTAGCTATGGCAACGACGGCGAAGTAGCTGCCGAGCATGGCACCGAACTCATGGCTGTGACCGCCATCCACCTCGATCAACGCAGGCGTCATGAGGGACACGAAGGCGCCCGACGAGAATTCGAAGACGATGAGAGAGACGACGAGACCGCCAAGTGACTTGTAGTAGCTGATGGGCAGCCAAATGACTAGAGTTGAGATGGCGAACAGCAGGGAGCAGGCAGAGGTGGCCCTGAAAGAGGAACCAACCCGGTCAGAATACATATTCGGTAGGATACAGCCCGGTATGGAGGCGGCGTTGATGATGGAGACGGTGTCGAGTGCGATTTCTGCGGTTGCCGGATCTCCGGAAGCAAACAGGGGCAGGTAGTCGAACGGGCCGAAGAGCCCCCAGTAGACAAAGAAGCAGCCCGAGACGAAGAGGAGAAAGGTTCGTCGCTTGAACAGGGCGAGGCTGATAAGGGAGCGCCGTCCTGCGAGCCCCGTGGGCGGGAGCGGACTTGAGACCAGAAGGATGGCGATGGCGAGCATGATGCCGATCATGAGGGCCGCGTAGCGCAGCGTCGCCCGAAAGCCGATCTGGTCGAAGAGGCGGGCTAGCATAATAGGGAAGATGACACCTCCTGTGGGGGGTCCGGAAAACGATCAGTCACGACGAAGTCTACACCGAACGATTCACCAAGCACAGCACGGGATTACCACATGAGCTGCCGCCCGAGACGATTCCCAACACCAGGGCCCTTCTCTTTTTGAATTATTGTCCGGCGGCGACCAGGCCCGGGATGAAAGCGCCCGTGGCACCAAGCCCGAAGGTCAACGACTACGCCAGGAAGATCTGCCAGTACTCGGTGGCAAATGACAGAGCGACGAGGACGCCCACGGAGAACATGAATGCGGGTATGAGGATCGCACGCGCGCCAAACATGTCCACGCCGAGCCCGACTGGTTGGGAGAGGAAGAACATCAGGAACAGCTGAGTGGTAAGGATCCAGGAGATGTTGGAGGACGATTCGTCGGGCAGGATCTCCCTCTCATAGGCGAGCTGGAATGTGCCGAGGCTAGACAATTTCCATACATATTGTCAGTCAGTTTCATATACTAGTAGACTCCTCATCCGGGTGGTGGTCTTTGTCTCACGCATTGATGAAGCAAGATAAGCAGAACTGGCAGATCCAGCCTCCGGCGACGGTGAGCCAAGCTTGGGTACCACCATCTGGCGGGATTAATGCGGGTGTCTAGGATGCTCTAGTCGGCGTCGGAGATCTCGCGGATGTGGGTGGCTGGCCTATCGGTTCTTTCTGCTTCGTTTCTGCTGCCATTGTCGTCGGGACAATGGGTACGTAACATATAAAGCTGGCTCCCGTTCGTGAGAGCGGTGAAGAGAACGCGTGGCTGGGTACCAAGGTAAGGTAACAAACATGTCATTAAAGATAAACGTTGCGACACGCTAGACAATACCATTCCTCGCTCCGCGGGTTATCCGCGGACCATGAAGCAGGGGCTCCAAGATAGAATCCTAGAAACTAGCTGTTGCTCCGATCTTAGAGATAGTTCCGTAATAGTTATTTTGACCGTGACTAATACCTAGTACTATGCTTGATTAATGCACCTGAATCTTACAGATTTACCCTCTGTGACATTAGTGGTGGTGTTCAAATGCCCGATGCTAGATCTCCCTCGTGCCTTCGCTACAAAGTAGTAGTACCCATTATTGACTCCGTACTCTGCGCTCGCCGCAGTTCTAACCAGAAGCCGGTAATCCTAGCGGAAAGCGTAACAAGCAGGCCAAACGTATCGGCGCCAGCATGCCACCGGTCCCAGTCTCGGGCCTTGCGGTCCTTGCCTTGGTCCGGCTCTCCCCCGTTCAGCGATGCAAGGTCTGCGTTGTTGAGGACCCCGTGTTCTGCCGTCTCCAGCAAGTACGCAGAGTATTCGATCGCCCAGTCGACCTCATTCGAGGCCTGCCACAGAGTTTTGGGGCAAGGGAGAGGCGCGGAAAGCCACTCGGGCAAGTGAGGGCAAGGGATGGGTATCTCGGCGTGGTGAATACCGTACAAGATGACTGCTGTAACGAGGGTTCTGCCGCACCCCAGTTCATTATTAGCCAGTCCCGCAGGCGTGTCGAGTGTGTTGCGAAGCTGGGGAACTTTACCGACGGCGCGACTCCTGGAAGACCCAGTCCTGCCACTGAATCATTTGGCCCGCGAGCTCGGCGTCGCTGACGACTGGACCATGCTGTACGGTCAAGGACTTGCATAGCGCGTTCATGGTGACAAGAAGTTGGGTATCGAAGTTGGTATACTCCTGGCGACCCTCGACAACCCTCATGATGAGGTACAGCAAGACAGCCTGAAGAGACGCGAGAAGCTCCCATTTTCCGAATTTTCGATGCTATTACGTTTATCGGATTAGCTAGGGGCGGATGGCCGTCTGAACAGGAGCCGTGCTTTTGTAGCACAGGCAGAGAGGAATTGGAACCTGACGTTGTAAATGAATACTAGTAGAGTCTAGTAGAACTGATCGTACCTCGTACAGCAGCCGCTCCTGTTCCATGCCGATCAGGCGCCACACAAAGCTCTTGTCGGATCTGCGGTGTTCCAGGAGCATCTTCGAAAGCCTCATTGCCGAGTCCAGTGGATGCGGACGCATGCTACTACTAGTAGTACTAGTAGTGTGGCCATCAATTAGGTCCCGATATTTTGGGTGGATGAAGGGAGGAAGCTGAGCCTTGTCGGGCAACATGGATGGATAAGACCGCAAGATGCGCATCGCATGACTGCTGGTCAGGTTGAGTTCGGCATCTGACTGAGCGAATACGCGGCGCTCCAGCATAGTCGAGGGAGCCCGGTAGGATAACAAAGCCGAGAGCGAAAAGGGTACTTGGAGGCTGATGGTTTCCGGCGTCGTACTGCTGGTATTGCCAGCGCTCAAGGCCCGGTGAGTCGCTGGCAAAAGGCACTGAATGCCCCTTGAGAGGCAGCGAGAACAGCCCCCTGGATCGAGACTGCATCGAACCTTGGCGCGCACGCACTCGTTACACGCCTTCCGTCGAGCCACCGGGCCCAGCTGACGTTTTCTTCGACAGTAGGAGATGTGCCTGCCCTTCCGAAGTGCTAGTCCCTATCAGTCATGACTCATGCTCTCCGCCGGGGCAAGTGAATTGAAAGTGACTCGGTTGACTTACGGTTCGTGAAGTCTTTGTTGCAACTGGGGCATCTCTGTAAAACGTCCCCGCCATGTTCACCTCGGCCCATTTCCATTGGAAATCAGATCTCCGTTGATTCTCGATTCCGCAGATTTCGACGCTGTGAGTCGGCTACCTTGACGCTTGCTAGGGAGGCTTGGTGGCAGACCTCCGAGGCTTTCAGCTTAGGAATCCCAATAGCATTCGATCTACTAATCGCCTGACACTATTGTCGACGGAACTCCGCTGAATTCGTCGCATATCACGGATAGCCGTCTCAAGAGCTGATTGCGGATTGGTAATGTGCTGTGCTTAAATAGCGGGCTTGGTCAACATATTGATTACTGATCGATCAACGCCACGGAGTCCAGGGTCCAGACATGGACTGCCCTCTTGCTTGATCTGGCAGGTTCGAACCACCAGTATCTGATAATCGATTGCGCAATGTCTTGATTCCCTGTGTCCCGCTTCACAAGACATCGGTCCCAATGCCCGTTTCATCCCCACACAGTCATGGACGGGCTCCCACATGCCGTGCATTCACCGAACAGGCCGGTAATCGCATTCCTCAGGATTAGTTGTTTGGGGATACGGAGTTCCGTAACAGAGGACAAAGATTACGTACGTCACAAGATTTTGTCAGAAAAGTGTGGCAACGTTGAACAAGCATCCTCAGTTATTTCAAGTAGCCACAGTCCCAACCATGATTCCAAACGTGCTTCCGCAGAGCTCATTCGCAAAGCACGACTTTTCCGCCGTCAAGATCAAGACCAGACACCAACTCGCCACAAGTCAGCATCATCATTCATGTCTTCTTCGGAGACTACCGTGCCCAAGGGGTCTTGGGTCCTTGTCACCGGCGTAAACGGCTGGGTTGGCTCCCACGTAGCTCAGCAGTTCCTCGAGCGTGGGTACAGGGTCCGAGGCACCGTTCGAGACCCCGTGAAGTCGTCATGGCTCGTCGACAGCCTCTTCAAATCTTACGCGGACCACGGCGACTTCGAACTCGTCCAGGTTACCGACATGGCAGAAGAGCATGCCTTTGATGCTGTCGTGAAGGGAGTTTCCATCATCGAGCATGTTGCTTCTGTTCTCAGTCTCAATCCCGACCCCAACAAGGTCATCCCCACGACGGTGAAGGGCGTCGAATCTATCTTGCGGTCGGCCCTCAAGGAGCCATCGGTCAAAGAATTCGTCTACACAAGCTCGATCCTGGCCGCTACAATGCCCTTGCCTGCTGAGGCGACGCATGTTGACCGCAATACGTGGAACGAGACGGCCGTGGAGCTAGCATGGGGCCCTCCCTCAAGCGAACGTAGCCGCGGCAGCCTGGTCTACATGGCCAGCAAGGTCGCGGCAGAGAAGGCATTCTGGGCCTTTGTTGCGGAAAAAAGGCCTCACTTCACGGTCAACGTGATCAATCCGGCGCTCATCTTCGGTGAGCCACTGAACCGGTCTCAGTCCGACTCCCCGGCGTGGTGGCTCAAAATCCTCTACGACGGCAAGATCGATGCCTGTAAAACACTGCCAGCTTGTAAGTTCCCACAATCGCATCCCACCCTAGCGGCTTGCCGTCTTCTCCGGGTCATTTACATTTACACGCGGCTGATGGGACCAAATCAGTCTTCGGCGTCAACGTCAGGGATGTCGCGCTGGTCCATGTTGCGGCCGCACTTGATCCCGAGGTCCAGGACGCCCGGCTGCAGGCCTGGGGGAACTACACCAACTGGGATGGCGTCCTTGCCATTGCGCGGAAGCTTTATCCCAACCTGAAGTGGGCCGATGACTTCACCGGCAGTGTGGCTGCCCACTTGACAACGGACGAGACTCAAGTCATCGGGCTGCTGAAGAAATGGGGCAAGCAGGACGGATGGACGCCGCTCGAGGTAACAATCGGCGAGGGTCTGAAGCCTCTGGTGGCCTGGTACCCGCGTGAGTAGGAGCGAAATTTGAGCGATGGTAGTACCGTGACGGTCGTGTGGTCAGGCCTGAACCGGAACATCTTTCTTCTGCCACTGCGCAGGCTCTCAATTAGCTTTGCGTCGAGATGATATTCAGATTTCGTTTCGACTCATGAAATGGACAGGTCGTAATAGACTGTCCGATTTCAAGTACTAGTAAGGATGCGTTAAATTCCGTTACTATGTCTGTAATTTACGCCAGTTGCGTGATGTCCTCATGAAATGCCATGCCGAAAACGAGGGTACATTTATTACCGTCAGAAATATCCATAATCCGTACTACCTTACACAACATCCGTATCTATCTCCAGTATGGACCGCTTTTCAGGCGAAAGCTTGCCAATAGCACGGGCAAAGCAGAAGATTCGCCGTGCCATCCTAGCCAGTGATGATATATGAATGGCATATCTGCGGCAGAGTCACCACGTAATCAATCCTTCAAGTTCGCTTATTATCACTCTACTCAGCAATAGTCGGATAGTCCGCGGATTATCCACGGCGCATCCCCTAACAGGATCCCCAAGCCCCCGGGCCCCAACATCAAGCATTAAAAGTCTCGCGAGAGTCCATGGATTGTCCGGAGCGCCCAAGACCGGTGCAATGCACATTGTTCCATCATGAAGCGGAAGGCATTCGATACAGCCGAGGAGCCGCAGCACGGACGACGTCAACCGCAGACGTCGTGCGACTCGTGCCGGAAACGGAAGCTCAAGTGTGATCGCGGATCGCCATGCGCCAACTGCGTGGCACGCGGGCTTTCCTGCATGGGTCCACTACTAAGGAATAGGCAGCCTGAAGCCGTCTTGCCGAGCGACAGCATCCTGCGGAGACTGCGCGCTCTCGAGGAAGCCGTCTTCAACAGCAGCAGTGGGAATTGTGGCCCGATTCATGGGAGTGGACGACAGGATGACAACTTGTACGCCAGTCCATCCAACACAACATTATCACCGGCGACGACGTGCGAGGATACCCAGCATGCCCAGACGGCGAAGATCCTGGATGCCTCAATCGAGCATCATAGTCCCTGTGTAGGTGATCATTTTCAAAGTTCTCAAGCGTGTGGATCGCGCCCGGAGACCTGACCCGTTTCTAGGTTCAAGTCCTTGGGCGCTTTGGTAACCTCAGGTTCGGAATTGCTCCAACCTCATGGCTCCTCGCGGACACGTCGACGACTGAGAAGGGGGTTGTCTGGATGATGCCGAGAGAACAGGCCGCAGCACTGGTCCAAGACTACGTCGACCATGTGTATCCCCTGCTCCCCGCCATTCACGGACCAACAACTCAAAACCAGGTCATGGATTTCTATGCCAGACTCTCTCGCGGAGAGCAGATCGAGCCGCGCCTTGCTGCCCTCATCCTCGGCATCGGCGCGGTCAGTGCGTATTTCTGGCAGCCCGATGCGGCGCACCACAGCCGCTTCGCATCCGCCGAGGAAGCCGCACAGGCATCGTTTGCCTGGCGAAAATGGGCATACGACATCCTGACTGAGGCTCAGGGGTCCAGCCGCAACAGCACACTAGAGGACCTCCAGGCCTGGACGCTCCTCTCCTTCATGGTGCACAACGTCGACGGCTGTTCCTACCGCTTCAGGTTCCTGCACAACTGCGCGCTCAATGCCGCCCGGGAGTTGAAGGTCCATCTCGTGGACAGTCCGCGGGCTGAGACCAAGGACAATCGGGTCAGTCGGGAAGTGAAACGGAGAATATGGTGGCAGCTCGTTGGGACGGACTGGTAAGCCACTCACGCACGGTTCAGCAGAAAAGAAAAAAAGAAGAAAAAAGAAGAAAAGAAAAGAAAGAGAAGAAAGAACGCGACAGACAATACTGATTGCCCCCTCATCCTAGGATGCTCGGCTTTATGGGAGGTCCCACCGAGGGTACATATTCAATTCACCCGCGGCACATGAACGTGAAGTATCCGAGAAACCTGAATGACAACGACATCGCGACGTGGGACGAGTCGACCACAGCTCCTCTCAACGTGCACACTCAGATGTCGTTCTCTCTGCAGAGGATACGCATTGCGGAGATTGCCCGATCCATACTGGACGCCCGCCAGCCTGGAAGCCCGGAGGTCGACGTCACAGACTACAACCAAGTCCTCGCTCTCGACCGTCTATTTGAGCAAGCATTCATTGATCTACCCCCCTTCTACCACCTCCACTACGGAAGCCCCTTCCACCCCGAGAGAGATAGTTCCCTCGAGCTCCAGCGCGTCCTCGTTCAGCTAGGCTTGCTGTCTCGGCGAGCCCGCCTGCATCGGCCCTTCCTCCTGCAGGGCAACCGAGACGATCCGCGACACCAGCAGTGCCGCGAGATATGCCTCCAGTCCACACGCACCGCCGTGTCCATCTCCATCAGCATTATCGAGTCTTCTCTGGGGGCCTCAAATCCGAACGACGACGAGTCGCTACGGCCGCCCCATCCAGGCCGGATTCGCCTCTCAGGCCACCGCGTCGGCACTATCATCAACCACCTGTTCATGACATGCACCGTCCTAGCGTTTTACGCCGGTGTCCAGGGCGGACAACAACAGGAGGCTGCTACTGGCAACACGACAACTGCAGCAGTGCAAGCCGAGCTCGCCCACGCCTGCCATGTCCTCGCCGTGCTCGGTGCCCAATCACCAGTGGCCGCGGGCCTGGTGCGCAACCTGGTCGGCCTGCTACGGCGATACCGCGTGCAAGGTGTCGATGGCACTGCCATGCTTGACCAGCTTAGTGGCGATCACCACAGCCAGCAGAGGACAGCAGAGGGTGAAGGGAAAGCCCAGGCCGCTGCAGCAGGTTCTGCTCTGGGACATGTGAGACCGGGCCGTAGTAGCCTGTCGGGAAACCAAACTGGCATCACTCTGTGTGAGGATGTGATGGAGGGCGCCCAGGGGGTGGCAGGAGCGGGGGCGAACCCGGCCATCGGGACCGACGAGCCGGCGGCGGGCTTGAGCCTCGATTGTCTTGATGGGCTGTGGGATGATTTTATCGTGGCTTCGAGCGACGATTACAGCCAGCTGTTTGCCGACCTGGATTGTTACTGTGGGACTACATGATGTGGGAAACTCGCATAATCCCTAATTTGGAAACACTCTAGGACTCTGCAGACTGCTCATGGAAAGGTTGGCAGATCCGTAACATCTTGAGTGCGTCCCTAGGAGGCCAGGACCCTAGACTGTTTCTCAGAAACCAGCCCCTAAGCACCTAGTTATTAATGGCCACGTATCAGAGTCCTTTTGCACCGTTAGCTTAGTGTTTGATTTACAAGCAACGTGTGACTCAGTGATGCTCCTCTGACCGGCCATTGTTACCGGACCTTACTCAGATGCTGTTGCGGCTCGGCCGCATACTGTGTGGGAGGCCGGGCTCGGTATCACTAAACAGAAAAATAGGGGCCCACTTTCTCGGCTTCTCAACATTTCTACATTCCTCTTTCCCGCTTCGACTCACTCAAACATTGGTCATATCAACATACGGCGAGATTGCTTCTAAAAGCAAGCAAGTGGACGGAAGTCCGTTGACGTGCTTTTGCATTCGTGAGCGCTTGGCTTAGAAATGCCATTCCCACATCCGGTACTCGTTCCCGAACCGCGACCTGCCGGAACCAAGGCCCCACATCTACGGACCGGCCTCTCTTACGCGATGGGGATTGCGAGTGGTGGCCCAGACCAAGGGCGGGGGAGAAACCTACACCCTGGTTATATCCGAACCGAAGTCGCGATAGATTGGTGAGAATGGGTTTCCAGTTTGTTGAGTCGAAATGTTATAAAGAGATGAAGTCCCCAGGGGGAAAAGGAAGGGGATCAAATCATATCTCAGGCCAACAACCCGACAAGAACGCTATTTCACGTATACATCAGAGGGAAAGCTCGCCGCGGACCAGGACGGTAGTTGATTGAGACAACGACAACAGACCCGTTGTCCAGGCCCTGCGTCACAGAGAGGCTAAGTCGGCCCCTCAAGCGGCAACCACGCCGAAATGGAAAAGGACGCGGACAAGACCTACAATTCTGAGTCGGACCGGACAGAGGGCGACGCCTCCATCCGAATTCCCGACGACAAGACTGTCGAAGCCGCTGACGCCGAGGTCGGGAACCCTCCGGCACGCGTCGACCCGCCGCCTTCCGCCCCGAACGAGATACCCGATGGCGGACTGACAGCCTGGATGCAGGTGGTCGGCTCGGCCGCGATCCTGGTCAACACGTGGGGCGTGATCAACACCTTTGGCGTCTTCCAGGCCTACTACGAGACCGAGCTGCTGAAGGACCACCCATCGTCGGACATCTCGTGGATCGGGTCCCTCCAAGGCGGCCTGCTCTTCCTCGTCGGCGTTATCGCCGGCCCGCTTTACGACTCGGGCTACTTCCGGGAGCTGCTCCTGGTGGGGCTGTTTCTAATCGTGTTCGGGCAGTTCATGACGTCGCTGTGCACGGCCTTCTGGCAGGTCATGCTCGCGCAGGGAATCACGATGGGCATCGGCATGGGGCTGACCTTCCTCCCCTCGGCGGCCATCCTGGGTCAGTACTTCTCGCGACACCGGGCACTGGCCCTGGGGCTGGCCAGCGTCGGGTCGCCCGTGGCGGGCGTCATCTTCCCTGTCATCTTCGACCGGGTGCGGCACGCCGCCGGGTTTGGCTGGGCGACGCGCGCGATCGCCTTCATCCTGCTCGGCATGTCGGTCATCCCCATCGCCTTCATGCGCATGCGGGTCCCGCCGACGGGCAAGGCGCGCGCACTGATCGACACGAGCGCGCTGCGAGATGTGCCCTTTCTGTTGTTCGTCGCGGCCGGGCTGTTCTCCTTCCTGACGCTGTACGTGGGCTTCTTCTACATCCAGCTGTTCGCCACCTCGCAGAAGACGACCAGTGAGAGTTTCGCGCCGTACCTGGTCACGCTGCTGAATGTGGGCTCCATCTTCGGGCGTGTCATACCCAACGCGTTCGCCGACCGCTTCGGTTCTCTCAACTTGATCATCGTGTGCATCTTCGCCAGTGCCGTCCTGGCGTTTGGCTGGGTGGGCATCACCAACGTGGGCGGATCTGTGGTGTGGGTGCTGCTCTACGGTGCCTTCTCCGGCGGCGTGGTCAGTCTGACGCCGAGCGTCATCGTCGGCCTCACTCCAGATATGGGACGCGTCGGGGCGAGAATGGGCGTGGCCTTTGTGGTCTCGGGTATAGCAATCCTCGTTGGAACCCCGATCGCCGGAGCAATTCTGGGTGACCAGCATAACCCACGTTGGTTGGGGATGATATTATACTCCGCCTTTGGAATGTTGCTGGCGACCCTGTTCTACGCTGCGTCGAGGCTTTTGTTGTACAAGCATAAAGGGACCTGGAAGGCCTGAATCTCAATGAAAGGAATCGCAACTGTATCATCGCATCTATCGCATTTTGGAGGCTTAGACGCGTCTTGGAAAACGGAGGTCTTTAGCCAACCCGCTGGGTTTAGATAGAGCAAGGCATTATGAAATGGGATGCTTACCCGGTATGGATCTGCAGAGCCCGCGAAGTCATACGGTGATCGTCGAGTTCGCACTGCTCGTAACCTCCATACTGTGTCCGACAGCATTAGCTCCTGCAAGATCCTGTGTATTGTACAATACCTATTGTCACAAGGCTGTTCCGGTATACGTGGAACAAACCAAGCCCATGTTGGCGTGGGGTTTTACCGCTGAGCAGCAGTTGCGTAGTGTGCTGCATTAATTCGCAAGGTTGTCGCTGACTGAGAACACCATCCGGGCCTGTCTCCAGGTGTTGTGGTTAGGTGGTCTTCAATGTGCAGGGCTTGGTCGTTTCTTTGGAGGCCCGCATAACACCCTTCAGCAAACCCCCACTCACTCAGCATGATGGCGCGCCTCACGCCTGCCCCAATTCGGGAGAAATTGTGCGAAGCTGATGAATGTCCCATGCGCTGCGACGAGCTCCTGCGAACATCGGCACGGGAAGCCCCGAGCCCGCGATGAAGGCACTAGCTACTGTTTATCGAGCGGATTATCGCAGATTTGTCAGGGGTGAATAAGGTAAGGCTCACATAACAACGCAGTAATGGATGACAGCGAGCTGTGTGGGCCAAAGGACGTCCGCCCGCCAGCATTTCCTTCCTAGTAAAACGCTGTAAGCTCTTACTCAGCAGTTTGACAGCGACGGCAGTGTGGGGCTTGGCAGGAGGTGTGGAGAGATCGGGGATCTCCAGCAGCGAGGGGTTGTGAGATCAGGAGAACCTCAACCACCCCTACGACAAACGTACATGTAGATCGGGACAGTCCGAACTCATCGACATAGCATTGTACGCGATACCGCCGCCCAATTATTATGTAAATTGTAAGTAGTGACGTACTATGTAGTCGACGTGCATTGGCTCCCAAATCTGAAGTTCGGAGCCGGACAAAAGCCTATTGGATGTTGCTTTGTGATGGGCAGCTTGATGACAACGTCCCCCTCCTTCTAGATAGAGATCGAACCGCTGCAGATTTTACGTGTATTAGCCGATCATGACGAGAGCGGGCGAACTGCAGCAGAACCCACTCCCAAGGCAACTTCCAGGTACATCCGTTGGAGCTAGTCAGGGTGCCCCATCTTGTATATAATGCAGCTGGGCTCTTCCTCGGCTTCCAGTTTGATCTCCCATCATTCACCACACTCATCCCCCAAGCCAAACACATCGAACCTCCCAACATCGTCGTACCATTGCGCACCATGGCTCCTAAGATTGCGATTGTCTTTGTACGTTTGTCCTCGGTGTCCCGGCTCCTGAATGTGCACTTCGCTGCCGGGGCTGTGGAATAAGGAATGCGCCTTCCTCTAAGCATTAGCTAACATGGTCCGGCAGTACTCTATGTACGGCCATATTCGGCAACTTGCCGAGGCCGAGAAGGAGGGTATTGAGAAGGCCGGCGGCACTGCCGATCTTTACCAGTATGTTTGGACGCACAACTTGTCGTCTAGACGAAGGGACAAAGGGCTGACCCGTCGCACACAGAGTCCCCGAGACGCTCCCTCAGGAGGTGCTCGACAAGATGTACGCCCCGCCCAAGCCGACCGACATCCCCACGCTTGACGACCCTTCCGTCCTGGAGAAGTACGATGCCTTCCTACTGGGCATCCCGACCCGGTACGGCAACTTCCCCGCGCAGTGGAGGGCTTTCTGGGACAAGACTGGCAAGCAGTGGTCGACGGGTGCGTTCTACGGCAAGTACGCCGGCGTCTTCATTTCGACGGCGAGCCAAGGTGGTGGTCAGGAGTCGACGGCCGTTGCCGCTATGAGCACCTTCGCTCACCACGGCATCATCTACGTGCCTCTGGGCTTCGCCAAGGCGTTCGGTATCCTGACAGACTTGGCCGAAGCCCGCGGTGGCAGCGCTTGGGGGGCGGGGACCTTCGCGAGTGGTGATGGCAGCAGACAGCCGAGCGAGAAGGAGAAGGAACTGGCGAAGATTCAGGGCGAGGAGTTCTACAAGACGGTTGCGAAGGCCTTTGGTGCGTGATTTTTGCAAAGCACCAAGGAGACGCACGAGATGTAGCTAATGAGAAGTCGGAAAGGGGGGAGCAAAGGAGCCGCCAAGGCGGTGACGGTCTCCGCGCCAGACATGAAAGAGACGCAAGAGCCTCCCACGGAGAGCAAGAAGCCTAAGGAAGGCCCTTGCGGATTACCAATCAAGTGCGTTCTCATGTGAAAAGCAGATCAGCATCGAATTGGCGTCTGTGTGTTTGCTGCCGAGGGTGTAGCTCTTCTCGTGGTGCTTTGGAAGGGGGACATGGGGTCTGGGAAGGCAAGATGATGCGAAAGAACCTCGAAGGAAGCGGGCGAAGGTATCCTGCCCGAAACGATAAGGATAACCTGTAATTACACTATACCCATCTGTGACTTGTAACATACGGTAATCATTCTCTCGATTCACTGATCCTTACGAATACCTTACGTTGATCAACAGTTCAACAGATAAATGGCCACAGCAATCAACAATGGAACAAACCTGGTGCACCCACTGCTGCTGAGCTCGCATGTGTGAAACGGATGTCAGAGGAGGTGACTGACTCTCTCCATCAACAGTTCAACATTGTCCCCATCTTGCTATTGCTCCACTGTCCTGAGCGCGCTGAAGGCATGGAGTGTGATTTAGACCTGGGCGTTCCAGTCTCCAGGAATATTCCACTGCCAGGCGCTACAACACCTACGGGATCTTCAAGCTGTGATCTGCATCTGGGTATCTCAATCATGCCAGGTCATAGTCTTCCTCTCGTCGCTCATTGTCAAATAACCTGAACTTGAAGGGGACCAGCGACTTACAAGGTCTGACCATGACTCGGTCACTCAGGGTTAGGGCTTCTCACTAGATCTGTTAACTGGAACCCATTCAACTTTTCACTTGCTCATGTTTGTTTGCATTTTCACTGAACCCATCTTCAACAACCAGCCAAACAAAACTCTCATCAGTTTACGAAGACTCTGAACCAACAGTTCAAAGCCAGTCTCATTTATCCATATCACTCTACGAACTCTTCTCACAAACCCAACGGGAATTATGCTCCTCCGGAACACCGGCCCTCAGGAACAAGACCCAGACATCTTCCTCACCATGTCCTCGCACACTTCCGCCACCCATTACCATAACGAAAACCCTTACCACCGCCAAACCGAAAACGACACCCTATCCGACATTTGGGAGGACGCCGAAATCCTCGCCACCATGACGCACTCCTATCAGCCCCAGCCCGGGCAAGTAAGCGACATCCCGCGCCTCTCACAGGTGCATTCCACCGCCGGCTACCGCGACGGCATCGCCCTCGCCAAATCGCGCACAGCGCAGCAGGGCTTTGACGAGGGCTACGGGCTGGGCGCGACCATTGGGCAGCGCGCGGGCCAGTTGCTGGGCGTGCTGGAGGGCCTGGCGGCGGCTGTGGGGCTGCACTCGCTTTCTCTTTCCTCTCATCAGCAGTCACGGCAAGGGCAAGGGCGGGAGGAGGCGCGGCGGATTGAGGGGCTGCTGGCAGATGCGAGGCGGGAGCTGAATGTGCGGGGGGTTTTCGGGAGGGAGTTCTGGGCCGAGGATGGGAACTGGCGGTATGAAGTCGGGACGGGGACGACGGCGGAGGTGCCGGTGTTTGCGGATGTGGCCGACGCGCATCCGCTGTTGAGGAAGTGGAGTGCCATTGTACGGGCCGAGGCGGCCAGGTATGGAGTGGACTGGGAGATCCTGAAGGATGAAGTGGGGGAGGTTAGGAGGGACGAGGAAGATGAGGACGAGCATCAGGAGCGGGAAGGGAGGATGAGGAGAGATGGGAACAGTAGGGCAGTCGTGAGGGAAAGGGAGACGGCGTTTGCTTGGTGAGCGCGGGCATGGCTTGGAGGAGCGGCAATGGACGCTGGTCATCCTTGGAACGCCAGCCAATTCCGGGATGGGCTAAATCACCTGGCTTTTTGAACGGCATCCTGCGTCTCGGAAGTTGAGGCTTTCAGAGACCGACTGGGAACGAGTGATTCACCCGATTCCTCTCAGCAGTCTCGCGGCTTGTCCGTCACTCAGTTGCCAGAACGCACGAATTCGATACAGAAGCCCATCCCAAGGAAAGATATGGACACGTTCAGTGTCCACTGCATTTTACATGAGTTATGCGGGAAGTACATCTAAAAGGTCTTGATAGAAACTGCAACTGCGAAGTTCCTAAGCAACATTTCCTTCTCTCCGGCACGAGATTACCAGTTCGTCACTCATGCTCTGTCCGGGCCCATCCCTCGCTGTGTTTACAAACTTTCTCACCCAAACTTCTTCTCAAACTTCTTCAACATGCCGGTAACACCTCGCTCAAGCCTCCCGGCTCCCTCCTCCAATTTCCCCCTGACCTCCTGCTTCGGCTTGTACTGATTCTCAGGAATGTAAAACTGCTGGTGCACCGCATACTCATTCGGCACCTGCCCTTGCGACGGCGGAGGAGAGAGAGGCATCCCAGTAGTGGGGGGCGCCGGCGTATGCGTCACACCAGGCGTGTACTGTGCGTGTCCCGGGAATGTGCCGACGCCGTAAGGACTCGCGAGCCCCGGGCTTGCGAGCGGGCTCACGATACCACTATTCACCGGCATCGTGACGGAGCGGGTGATGCCTGGGTGTGCCGGCGGGTGTTGAGGCGGTCCCGTGATTTGCCCGCCGAGGGAGCCGAATCCCTGCGGCGCAAACCCGGGTGAGGTAGCGCTGTGTTGAGGGGGGCCGGGGAAGACCGGGGCCCCGGGCGGGTGTTGAATGTTCGGAGGCGGGATCCCAGGGCTGAGCGGGCCGAGGCCGCTCGGGACGAGCCCGGGGGAGAAGGGCGTCGTGGCATCGTAGGCAAGCGTCTGGTGGAGCGGGTTTGCTATGCCGTCTTCAATGGGCGGTGTCTTCTCGCGGGGGCGGACCTGCTCGGGAGCAGGCGGCGCCGCAGGATTGTAAGCTATGGGGGCAAACTGAGGAGGGGCCGAAGCCGAACTTCCATCCCCATTGCCCGTGGCGGCGGAAACAGGAGGACCGGGGAAGGTTGGTGCTGTGGCGTGGCTAGACTGCAGACCTGCTGGCGTAGCCTGCACAGAACCCGGGTCGGAGATGGCGGCCTGTTCCAGTTTCTGCACCACAGAGCTCACATCGCCCGAATGGCGTGGCGGTGGGGCCGGTTCGTCGAGGATCTCGCATTGCGCCGGCGGAAGCACGCGCCTGATGCCATTCACAAACTGAACAGCGTCCTGCGGAGTCCAGAAGTATATGTCAAGCGAGTGGAGCTTGTAGTGGTATTTGTTCTGGTTGTGAGGATCGTAGGTTGGCAGATGCCACTCCTCATGCCCCTCAACCTCGCCGACGGTAAGGGTTACGAGGCAAGTGTGCTTGTACGAGTAATGTAGGCGAACATTGTCAAGGTCTAGAGAACACCCTTCAGCTTTCCATGCCTACAATTGAGATCAATGAGAGCAAGGCAGCGCTTACAGCCATCAAAGGCGTCCAGATCATCTGTTCCTGGACGGTTTGCGATTTCTAGACGGGCGCGCCCTTGGTTCGCATCTTCAAACAGGTAGACGTAGGAGCCCTTGTCAAACCGGTGATGCGGCGGGTTGTCTGTTGGCGGACCGTAGAAGTAGTGGACATCCCCGTAGCTTCATATGAGATGTCAGACCGGCTTGTGCGTGATGGTCAAGCAGTTGCAGGTCATGACTCACAGCGTCGCTACGTTCTCCTCGCCCGGCCTCGCAGCCATCCTTGAGCTCGAGCTCCGACGAGCTGTACAAGTTGGTGAAGGGGAAGCTTCAAGATAGGGGCTTGCCCGGCAAAGCTTGCGGCAGGAAATCCTCAGCAATGATAAATGGTGCTAGATGATGATTCCGTCCGTCTTCAGTGTTGTTCTAGTTCAGTTACAGGTTTGAGGTTTAAACCAGACACAGCCTGAAGGGCGACGATGAGAAAAGCTGGGAGAGAAACGCGCAGACGGAATCACACAGCTTCATGTATGACCGGCAGCGTGCTGCTGGGCCCCGCTGCACAAAGCCCATCCCGAGTCACTTGGCTTTGGGCTCGTCCGGTCATCAAATCAAGTCTCAGGAGCCTGGAACTCTAATGGATGATCCCACCCCGGCCTGGTCATTGAGCCGGCTGTTGCTTCTGGACGGCCACAGCGAGATGGTGACATATGCTCGGCGCTTAAAGTGGGATGGTGTTTGGCCAATTGAGTTGCCATGGACAGCAGTGGGGCTAGCGGGGCATGCAGGCTGCGGAGCACGGACGGCCTCAAGTCTTTTCCGTACCAGAGCCCTTTCCGGCGGAAGAAGCCGTATCAATCGCAAACCCACCTGAAATTTACAATGGAACTTGAACACTTTTGATATCGAGACGTCGACCGTCAACGACGCCGCGCAGCTAAAGCCAGGCCCCAATTCTCATGTTCACGGACTTTACATTTGTAAGCATTCGCCAGACCTCGATCCCACTACGCGCCATATTGCGGGTTCAAATCCTCACCAATCTCAAGTGAAACCATCCACGATCACGATCCATCACCCCGACTAGGGGGCCACACCACGCATAATTCATCTTCGAGTCTTGGGCAATCCGCCGCGAGGCCGCAGCCTCTAATAACCCCGATATCCGCCAACCCCGATCTCTCCCGGACCTAAGCAGAACAACATCAAGATGGGCATCCACAGCGTAACAAACGCGTGCATCCACCTGCAGAACGCAGCCCGCGCCCGCCTGGGCTTAACATCGATCCCCAACACAAAGTACAACCTGCGCCTAGCGCTAGCAATGCACCGGGCAGGACTTCTTGCATCCGTGACGCGGGGCGGGCCGCGACCACCGCCGCCAGAGGCCCTGCTGGCGCACGAGTCGGAAGAGGTGACCAACGAGAACGTGGCGACGCGCCGGATCTGGGTCGGGCTCAAGTACTGGAACAACGAGCCGGTGCTGCAGAATGTGAAGCCCGTCTCGAAGCCGAGCCGGCTAGTCACCGCGACGCTAGACGAGCTGAATAAAGTCGCAAGGGGCTTCCCTGTCGGGCAGCTCAAGGGGTTGACGTTGGGGGAGACACTGTTTTTGAGTACGGATCGCGGGGTGCTGGAGGTGAGGGAGGCATTGGATAGGAAGGTGGGAGGGCTTGTGCTCTGCGTGGTATCATGAACGAGTCGAATCGATAGACCCCGGGGATCAGGATTCGTCAGTATAGAGGGGGTCAAACCAGTGAGGGAAGGTCGCGTTGTACTATAACAGGCAGGCAAGAAGCTGCCGGTTGTGTGCGGTTTCGGCAACTTGGCAGGTGTATGTCAGGTGGTGGATGCGCTGGAAGAGGAGCGCATTGGCAGCTCAAGGCTCACCATCCTACGACGCCGTATATTTTGTTGCAGGATCGACCAGTCACCCAACAAATGTATCATATTTTATCAACACCTTCTAACCGCTGTTTCTCCTGCAAATGATGAAATGCATTCCCTTAACTCACAGTACGCCTGGTGGCTAGCTATTCTACCTTACATAATTCTCACCAACTCCCCGCTTACAAAGTCCGGCCGTTTTCCCACAAGGTATCATGAATATGGGTTTTCTCCAACAAATGCTACGGCCTCCAAATGGAGACACAATGAAAAGAATAGAATCGCGGAGCAAAACGAACCGAACAGTCTGCGATCAACACAAACCTCGAACGAGCATTGCCTACGCAACCGTCGTTTCCGGCGCATCCCCTTTCTCCTCTGTCGCTGCTGTTTCGGCACTCGAAACACCTTCACCAGTTGCCACTCCGGCTTTTGACCTCTCGTCGCTACCATCTGCTCCCAGCTCTGCAAACGAGGCCACAAGTTGAGGCTTAACTTCTTTGGCTGATTGCTCATCGGCGCCTGCAGCGCCGGAAGCCTGAGCAACCGCAGCTTGATCGCCAGCCGTCTCGCTTTGCTCTGGAACAGGTGCGTCAATGGGAGTCTTCTGGCCGGTGGCGGCAGCTGAGCCGGCTGTTTCATCCACCTCAACTGCTGCCGCACGACCGGCATCCGCTGTGGTGTTGTCAGCATCAGCAGCTGAACCTTGGGCCTGTTTCGAAGAAGCGGCAATCCCGGTAGACTTAGGGACGATCTTCTTGATAGGCTTCGCGGTAGCAGCTTTCTTCGATCCTGCAGCGGCTTTGCGGGGTGGACTGGTGTGCACCCTTTCGGCTACCTTGGAAGCAGACGCCTTGGTTGGGCGCATCATACGCGCAAGGAAGCTCTGATCCACTTCCTTCTCACTCTTAGTCGGCGGATGCTCCTTAGCAGATTGTTTCGGGGGTGGTCCTAGGCTTGGGCGAGCCCGGCTAGTGGTCGAGTTTTGCCGGAGAGGACCTTTGGACGGAGCTGCGTTATGGGTGCCTCCGGCAGTGGAACCGCTGGCTCTACTTGCAGGGCGTCCTTGAGGGCCGACAGAGGAGGCTCTGCCGCTGGCACGGGACATCGACTGGCGGGGTGCATTGCGCGCATGAGTGTCAACAGAGGGAGCTCTACTCCCTGTACGAGACAATGACTGGCGGGGTACGTTGACCTTCGAACCAGACGAGGCCGTATGCGTGGTCAAGCTCGGAGGGAGTTTGATGGGACGTGTCGGGGACTTGGGCTTGGGTTTAACGAAGGTGGTATGCGCAGGGGACGACTGAAGCGACGGTGGTTTCTTGATCGACGATGGGCCCGAGGGCTTTGCAGAGGCGGCGGTAGTCTGAGGGGTTACGGGGTTCTCCAGTGGCTGGGCTTTCTTCTCAGGTGTCTTCCTGGGGGCAGGATGGTGGGCTGATGTCGCAGGAGGGGTCCTGGGGCCTTTGTGCGCAGTCGGGGACTTCTCTGCTTTCGTTGCAGACTTCCCCCCTAAAGGAACGGAGAGCGGCTTTGGTGCCGACTTCGTGGTGCGTGTGGCGGGCTTGCTGGACTCCTGCTCAGCTGTCTTCTGTGGCTCCTTGCCGCTTTCTGCTCCGTTCGTCTTTACCGCTTCACCCTCTGGTGACCCGGCACTCCCAGAGGGGCCTTCCTTGGTGACCTCTCCATTCGGTGTCGACACCTTGGACTGTGCATCAGAAGCAGGCACAGTGACCTGTTTCACGCTCTGTGGCTCCTCGGCCGGCAGCGCTACATCTGGTTTGGGAGAATCCGCTTTCGGTGACTCGAAGATGGGTTGGGTCCTGAGACTCATCCTTGCAGGTGATCTAAGTACACCCTCGAAGGGGTTCGACTTCTCACTCCCAGCAGTGGGCGTCCCAGCCGTGGGCGTCATCACCGCGTTGCTGTCGCCGCTGAGTTTCCGGATGGCAGAGATCGAGTCCTGGCTTCCCTCGCGCTGAAGGCCGATCCTACCATCCTTCTCAATCGCTACGAAGCTCGTTCGAACTTTGGAGAGCGGTCTCGGGGAGTCGGGACCTGGGAGCTGCTGTTAGCTGGAGGAAGCTGCGCCTGTCAACCGATACGTGTGTCCAAGGAAAGAGTTCAGGGCGCACATCGGCTGCGAAAGCGGGAAGGTCAAAACGGGAAGGCAAAGCGCCTTACCGTGTGGAATGCCAGGCGACCTGCCTCTTTCCGGGGGGCTCGTTTCCCCCTTCTGCTCGAACATGGCTCGGAGGTTTTTAACCGCGCTCATGGCTGCGATTCTGGAGCAATGGCCCAGAAAAAGGAAAACTGGTTAGAATCAAGAGATAGTCAGGGTTGCGGCGCAAGTCGTGACAAGAACTGCAACGCGCTGATTTGGTCGTTTGCCTTGTTGAGGCAGTCGCGGTTGGCTGCTTTGGGGAGCCCCTTTTCGGCCGTCGAGCAAAGGCGCGATGGCCCTTCCTCAGCTCGGGATAACCAATGGCAGTCTGAGGTGGCCCGATGATGCGCGGTGATCTCAAGCCTCTAGGCCTACAACACAAGCGACAAATGCAGACGAAAAGGACAGCTTTGCGGTAATTTGTGGGTGGGAGGGACAAAAGACCAGCAAACGAGGGGAGACGCGTTGCTCGTGGTGCCGCTACCTATTAAAAATGCGAGGTGTCTCAAATTAGAAGACACGGGCAATTCGGGGATGGCTTGGGGGGGTGTCAAGGGGTCGCTGCGGAGCCACAAGCTGCGCCTGATGGTGCGTACACTATAGCCCCTAGTGGCGCGGGACAACAGTTATGTAGCGTAGAAGCAGGTGAGTCAGATCGAGGGAGAATATCCCGTCTTGAAGATCAACGGAGGCTACTGCAATGTGTTGCGCGATCAAGAGCTACTACATAGGTACCTAGGTCCATACCTTAGGTAACTTGAAGCTCCAAGCTTTGGTGTGGTGGCCTGAGACGGTTGCTTGGCGCGATGTGAAGCTTGGGAGTGGAGACTGGAGAAAGTTGTCCCGGCGCGCGCCCGCCCCCTTGCCAATGACACATGTCAACACGAGAAGGTATCCGAATCTCGAGGAACCTCATTGCAATGAAGTCTTTCTTGGAGGACATGTCGTAGCTGGTTTCAGTGAGTTTAGACGATCTTGACCTGGGTACCTGGTTTAAACAGTAACCTAAGCGTACTACCAGCCGCTTCTTAACAGCTTCCAGGATCCTTCGATGAGTGACATGTGGAGAAGCACTATTAGCTGGGTTAGGGTCGGAAAGTTACCAGAATGCATTATACGTAAGTTACGGATATAGGTAAGGTACAGATGTATCCGTAAGTTTACTAGTACGTAACACTACCACCGCGGGCTCTCTCCGATTCCGGCGGGTGGTTGCGGCCGAGTTTAGGTTCCGATGAAAAGTTGTAGTAAGGTGCGGCACGACCTCAAGCAAAACTTAAAAGCTCAATTGAGGCGCAACCATGGCAGCCAGGACTCTCAGGATTGGTACGCAAGCTGCCCTACCCAAACTCTCTTAGGTGTCCCTGCATTGACGCCGACACCCTGTCTCAGGCCTCATTCCGGGCGATGGCATCGGCAAGGAAGTCATCCCCGCGGGTCGCCGCATTCTCGAGGCCCTGCCCGCCTCGTTGGGTCTGAAGTTTGAGTTCGTCGACCTCAAGGCCGGGTGGGAAACATTCGAGCAGACAGGCGTCGCCCTTCCGGATGAGACCGTCTCCGTTCTCAAATCCGACTGCGACGGCGCGCTCTTCGGCGCCGTCAGCTCGCCGACCAAGGCCGTCAAGGGCTACTCGTCGCCCATCGTGGCGCTCCGCAAGAAGCTGGATCTCTATGCCAATGTGCGGCCCGTCAAGACTGTCGTCTCGGCCCCGAAGCCCATCGACATGGTTATCGTGCGCGAGAACACCGAGGACCTGTACGTCAAGGAGGAGAAGACGTTTGACACGCCCGAAGGCAAGGTCGCCGAGGCCGTCAAGCGCATTTCGCAGCGCGCCAGCAGCCGCATTGCCACCATCGCCGGCGAGATTGCCCTGCGGAGGCAAAAGATCCGTGCCGGCGGTGCGCCGAGCATCCACAACGGCCCGCTGGTGACCGTCACGCACAAGTCCAACGTGCTGTCGCAGACCGATGGGCTGTTCCGCTCCACGGCCCGCGAGGCGCTTGCAGACCCCAAGTTCAAGGACGTCGCCGTCGAGGAGCAGATCGTCGACTCGATGGTGTACAAGCTGTTCCGCCAGCCCGAGGCGTACGACGTGATTGTCGCGCCAAACCTGTACGGTGACATCCTCTCCGACGGCGCGGCGGCCCTCGTGGGGTCTCTCGGCCTCGTCCCCAGCGCCAATGTGGGCGAGGGCTTCGCCATTGGCGAGCCCTGCCATGGCAGCGCTCCGGACATTCAGGGCCAGGGCATTGCCAACCCGATTGCCACGCTCCGCAGCGCCGCGCTCATGCTCGAGTTCCTGAATGAGGAGGCCGCTGCTGCCAAAATCTATGCCGCTGTCGACGCCAACCTCGAGGAGGGCAAGCTCCTCAGCCCTGACCTGGGCGGTAAGGCCAAGACGGAGGAGGTAGTGCAGGATATCCTCCGCCGGCTTTGAGCCGGATCATTTAGGGATGCCAGAATCAAAAAGCTATAAACCGCTCATTGATGCTGTGTATACGCCCCTCTTTCCTTGTACACAACCGGATGTGAACGAGGAAACGACGAGAGAAGCCTCTCAAGTCTACCAACGCACAACAATCAAGTAAAACTACTGTAGAAGAACCCGAGTTCGTTCCACAAGGGTGTCAGGGCAGGCAAGATGAGAGGATTGACGTGTGTTCCATGATTATATCCAACTGCAAATGGCTACATCGTGTATCGTACATGCATCATATACATCCATACTACCACTCCGGCTATAAATACAAGCTCCCTCCTGTATCTTACGGCGCCTATGTCCTCATGATCTGGCCCGCCCATCCGTAATCTATCCCAAACATGAAGTCTTATAACCTTACCCGTCATCCTCGGCAAGAATCATGTCCCGGTGCAGGTTCAACGCAGGACAGCCTCACTATAGTCCCACAGTCTAAAACAAGAGTTGCTTGGTACTGTGACCTGCGTCGGGGGTCGGCGCGGGACAATTGCGCTGACACCCAGCTTGAGTGGAAGCAAGGAGAAAGTCCAGAGAGCACACCTGGTGTCTCTTTACTTGGTTCTCTTGGCGTCCAACTCTTTCTCATACGCCGCGATGAGTTCCTTCCTGTAGTGGTGATGTATCGGGTCAGTCACGCTGCTCCAGGGATACAGTCTACTTTTGGCAATCACTTACTGCAGATGTGGTGGCGCAGGCGCATAGTGGCTGAACTCTATGCTGAACTCGCCCTTGCCCTGCGTGGCAGCACGCAAGTGCGTGCTGAAGCCAAACATGGCATTCAGACTGCACTCGGCAATCATGGTGAACTCGTCGGCACCAACCTCGGTGTCGACGATGGAACCGCGCTTGTTCATCAACATCAGGATATTGCCCTGGAATTCGGCAGGCGCCGTGATAGTGGTCTTCATGAGCGGCTCCAGCACTGTGCCACCGGCCTCCAAGAACGCCTTGCGGAAGGCCATCTGCGTGGCCAGGTTGAAAGCGTAGTCGCTGGAGTCGGTAACGTGGGTGGCACCATCGGTGACAACCAGGGATGCGCCAATGACCCTGTGGCCGAGCAGTGGGCCCTTGAGACAGGCCTCCTCGAAGCCCTTGCCGCAGGCGGCGATGTACTTGTCGGGGATGCTACCGCCGACCACGCGTGACTCGAAGTGGTTCTTCTCGGCGCTCTCGGCATTGGGTTCGATCCAACCAACCACACGGGCATAGTCTCCGGGACCACCTGTCTGGCGCCTGAGGAGGTAGTCGAAATCAGCACGTTTGCTGATGGTCTCGCGGTAGGCGACGCGCGGCTTGCCCGTCTCGCACTCGACCTTGTACTCACGGCGTAGCCGCTCGACGTAGATGTCGAGGTGGAGCTCGCCCATACCGCTGATAATGGTCTCCTCGGATTCCTCGTCAACGTGGAGCCGGAAGGTGGGGTCTTCACGCATGAAGCGGTTCATGGCCTTGCTGAAGGCGTCGGCGTCGCTGCTGCGCTTGGGCTTGATGCTGAGCGACATGACTGCCTCCGGCACATACATGGAGCTCATGCCGTAGGGAAGGCGGCCGTCGGTGAACGTGTCGCCAGAGGCACACTCGACGCCAAAGACAGCACAGATCTCGCCGGCACCGATCTCGTTGACATCCTCCATCTCGTTCGAGTGCATGCGTACGATACGCGGGATGCGGACCCGCTTATCGTTGCGCGAGTTGAAGAGGTACTGCCCCTTCTTCAGGGAGCCTTGGTAGACACGCATGTAGGTGAGTTGGCCGTACGGGTTCTCTTCAAGCTTGAAGGCGAGGCCGACGAACGGTAGCGAGTTGTACGGAAGAAGCTTCACGGGTTGCTCGCCCTTGGAGCGGTCAAGAGCCGTGTTGTCGACGTTGCTCGGGTTCGGGAGATAGTCGCACACAGCGTCGAGCATGGGCTGGATCGACTTGTCGGCAAGGGCAGAGCCCATCAGCACTGGGGTGAACTTGAGCCCAATGGTCGCCCTCCGTATGGCCGCCTTGATCTGCTCGGGAGAAGGTGTCTTCTCCTCCAAGAATAACTCGGCAATCTCGTCGTCAACATCAGCCAGTTTCTCGATAAGCTCCTGCCTCTTCTGCTGGGCCAACTCCTTGAGATCCTCCGGGATCTGGTTCGAGACCTTGACGTTGATACCCCGCTGGCCCTCGTTTCGGATGGCCCTCATGTGGATCAGGTCGACAACACCCTCAAACTCCTTCTCAGAACCGATGGGGATCTGGACGGCCGCCGCGGCGATCTTGAGCTTGGAGTTAATCATCTCGACAGCCCTGAAGGGATTTGCACCCATGCGGTCCATCTTGTTGACGAAGCTGATACGCGGGACGTTGTACCGCTTCATCTGCCGGTCGACTGTGATGGTCTGACTTTGCACACCGCTGACAGCGCAGAGAACCATGACAGCGCCGTCCAGCACTCTCATGGCACGCTCGACCTCGATCGTGAAGTCGATGTGCCCTGGGGTATCGATCAGGTTGAAGTGGTATGTCTCCTCCTTGCCGTTCTCCATCTTCTTCCAGTCGGCGAAGGTGGCGGCAGACTGGATGGTGATGCCTCTTTCCCGCTCCAGCTCCATCGAGTCCATCTTGGCCCCGACACCGTCTCGCCCCCGGACCTCGTGGATTGCTTTGACACGGCCGGTGTAGAAGAGAATGCGCTCGGTCACGGTAGTCTTGCCGCTGTCGATGTGTGCCTGCCGAGCTGCTCAGTCTGTCTGCCGCTCCCGCAAATGCCAACATCCGGGTCATCCACACATACTGCGATACCAATATTCCGGACCATCGACAACCTCTTGGCCTCCTCGGGAGTCATGCGCGCTGCGGCGGCTTCTGGGGTCATGTTCGCGGCGGCAAGCTCCTTGGCTTGCTTCAACCTGGATTTCCTTTCGTCAGCTCAGGTTGCCAAGACCCAATTGGGGCCAACCTAGGGCATCCATACGCAGCCTCGGCGGCAGTTGAGGCCCGGGACACTGGGCTCCTGCTAAAGTGCCGGAGACCACTAAGCCGAAAGCTGTAGTGTTGCGCCGACGGTGTGCTGAGAGCGGCGCGGTAGGCAAGGCCCGCATAGCGAGCGCCTTGCCTGGTGCCCACAGCACAGTTGCTGTTGAGGGCTGCCACAGCCCGTATCAGCCGCATCTTCACTGGAAAAGAGAACTGATTAAAGGAATGACGGGTGGAACGAAAGAGGGTTCCGACTTGGGAACCATGCGGACTCTTCGCGGGGCCTGATGCTTCTCGGCAGACGGGTCGCGAAATTTTAAAGTGGAACCCGGTAGGCGACGGCAGCTAACACGGCGGAGTTCGGGCGTGCCGCCCCGGTGCTCCCGAGGACCGGCAATTGATACACCGAAGACAAGACGGCACACTGGATCTGTTAGTAGTATTCAACCCTTCAACGCGGATGCAACGACACTGCCAACACCTCGATTTCAACGGACGACACGAAACGAAAAGAACCACATGTGTAGCAAATAATGTGTGCGAGGATGTTGTACATATGATTCAAATGGCCAATCCCGATCTATAATCAAATCCCGCCAACAACCCCCCTCTCCCCCTTCCCTCCTTCACCCGGCTATCCCTTTGCTGATCCGTGAAAGACGCAATCCGCTGTACAAACACATAGAGATCAAACCATACCAGCTTCAAACAGAACTATGAATGCCGACGGAAGCGACCCCCCTCCCCCCTTCCAAATTGTGTATATTTCTTCACGGTCAGCGTTCATGAAGGCGAACGCCAAGGATACACTCCGCTATATATCCGAGATGAGTTGGAAAGTCACCCGGCCAGTACACCCTGGCCCCTCAAATAACAACGAATAAGCCCGAGCCCAGCGTCACCAGCAGCATGGTGACACCGACTACAAGGATTTCGCCCTTCCCAAAGCCCGAAGGCATATGCGGCGCTGCATTCTCTTCACCGCCAGACGCAGGGACTTCCTTGAAGCCATCCCTGGCCGCATACGCCGGGGTCGTAACCTCCGAAGGAGTATTCGTGACCTCATTTTGGTTGGGCGCCACGGTGGCCGACGGGATAGGGGCGCTCATGCTGGGGAAGGCAACGATGTTGCTCTTCGTCGAGTTGAAGTCGGTCGGAGCAATGCCGATCTCGTTGTTGACCAAGTCGTAGACCACGTACGCAGACCGTAGGAAGGTGTCGCCAAGCAGATACGGGGACGAGCTGAAGTTCTGGATGCCAAACGCGCATGCGTCTTGGCCACTGTACTGGCCTGTAGAAAACCGTGGCGCTCGTCCAGACGTCATGTCCAGCACGAGCTCGTCCATGGTGACGTTGATCCGGGGCCCGTTCGGACCGGCGAGGCCGAACGAGAAGTAGCCCCCGCTGTTCTGCATGTTGCACGGGAGAACTGCCGCTCCTGCCTCATTCGACCAAACCGCCCCGACTTCTGTCCAGATTTGGTGAGCTAGGTCCGTCGGCAGGTACGACAGCGTCGTACCAGAGTCGAGGACCACGGCAATGGGAAATTCCGATGACGTGAGCGTATCATGACCGCTGGAGCTGTAGGCCTGCAAGGAAGTCAGGGCGACGGCGAAATGGGAGTAGATGTTCTGCTGCGACGGATAGATATTGATCCTCGTGAGCTCCCCCTTGTACTTCTCGGTGTCGATGCCACCAAAAAGGATGTTGCCGGAACTGGCATCTGGGAGGTCATCAGAATCTTGGAACCCGCACATAATGTCCAGCATTTGACTTACCCAAGTCGTTCAACCACAAGCTGTAAGCCACTGTGTTGATCAGACCCTCGTCGACCATATTCACGGGCAGGTTTGGGTAAACCGAGGACAATGACTGGGTGTCTCCCACAATCGCCTCGTTGACGGCGTAACCGACGCCCACTAAGCCGTAGTTGATGTCCGTGGTAAGGCCTAGCCCCATCGTCATATTCTTTAGCGTAGCGCCGCCGATCTCGAAGACATCGGTAAAATAGTCGCCCTGTGATTTGCTCCCGTCCACGTAAGCGATGTCGAATTCTCCCTTCCCAACGACCGTGAACGAAGTCGAGTCACTTGGGCTGACTAACCCTGCAAGTCAGCGAAAACGAACAGGCGAGCAAAAATCCCGAGGCCGAGCGTACATGATCCAAGTGTACAACCCTCACTGCGCTGCTGCTGGCACACCTGTGCGGTGGAATCCGGAACCCAGATGTCGCTGCTTCCAGTGTCTAGCTGGAGCGTCAGGTTTTGCCCCGGTGTTCCCAATCTGCAGGTCGCGAAGTAGCCTCCTCGTGCTTGCTCGTTCGTGACGACCTCCTCGAAGGTGCTGGCGCGTTTCCTCAACCTTCTGAACTCTTGCGACCGTTGCGTCCTCTGGATGTCCCACTGGACAACGCCATTGCCGGAGCCGGCATATACCGCCCCGGCGAGCAGTCCACCGACTGTCACAGCGCTGGCTCCTCTCATGGTTGTGATTGCGATGTGTAGATCTGCCGAGTTGCGCAGCTCCGGAGCCCCTGGATTTTCAAGTTCGGTTCAGGGATAACGAGTCACCCGCCCAGCGGATGAACAAAGGGAAGGCCGGACCGGAAGCGGCACGATGGCCAAGGCTCGATTGGAAAGGCAAGATGGAATAGGAATCAACGAAATGATCCGTGCAGCAAAGGGATCTCCAATCTCCACAGCGGGCGTCTCGGCGGGAGCGAAGGCAAGGCACGGATCCGGGGAAGATATTACGAAATCAGAGTCGTCTTAGACCCGCTGTCAATCTTGGCGGTTCAAGGGGGGGTGAAACGGAAGGCAACTACCACTTATAGAACGTCAGAGAAAAGAGAGCGTAGCAGAAGAGAGCCGGAAACCTGCTGAAAGGAATGACGATGAGGCTGAGCCTGGGGGACGCGTGTTCGCCCTGTTGCCGCAGCTTCGGTGATTTCCTACCATTCAAAAACGGAAACTCTCCACCATTCCGACATTCCGGTCTCAGTGTTGAGACGCCGATCGGTGATTGGCTGCTGACTGAGCCCACACACGACGACGTCATGCAAATTGCACACACTGTGACACAGTCCCAAGTGCACTTCGAGAAACTCTGGAGTTGGTGCACCGTTCACGGAACAGCGATGCACGTTCGAGAGCGTCTATATATAAGACGCAATAAATACATACAATAACACAATAGCGGGCGAGTGGTCACGCATAAGGTCTGCGTGAACCGGGAGTCCCAAACTCCCAATCGTGGGGCAGTAAAGATCTGGAGTTGAGATTAAACTATCAATTCTCAGGAGGCGCCTTCAGGTGTTCCTCAATGTACCGGCCTAACTTCTCTAACCCTTCCACCAGCACCTCTGTTTCACACACGTATCCCAGCCGGACGAAACCCCTGAAATCTTTCCCAAGCCCAAAGCAAGGGCTCGCTGGCATGAACAGGACTTTGGTCTTGTCCAACAGATCCAGGACGAAACTAGCGTCGTCGACAGGCTGGCCGTCCTTCTTGAACAGCACCAATGCGGTTGTCCCAGCCGTCGGCTTAACCCACGAGCAGACCGAAGCGTACTTTTCCATGAACGCAGTCAACAAGCCAAGGTTCGTCTGCGCTAGCGCCATGTTGCGCTTCAGCAGCGGTCCGAGAACTGGTTTGGACAGGGCATAGGCGGCAACCTGGTCATCTAAATGGGACACGCTAATGGTTGTATAGTCGCGGGCTGTCGCTACGGCGTCGATGATAGCTTTGTCTCGCGAGCCTATCCAGCCGGTGCGGATGCCAGCGAGGGCAAACGCCTTGGACATGGAGCCGGTGGCCACGGCTTTCTCGTAACCGAGTGCGAGAATCGATGGAGGTGCTTCCTGCCCGGGAGGGAGTGAATGGTAAAGAGGGCTGTAAACCTCATCTGAGAGGATGATGATTCCTCTTTGCTTTGCAAAGGCGACGATGTCCTCCAGGACAACCTTTGGTATGGTGCTTCCCATGGGGTTGTTGGGATTGTTGAGGACGATCATCTATCAACGGATTAACAAGATGGCTCTCACCATCGCGTGGAGACGATTGGTTACCTTACCTTTGTGTTAGGCCTCACTAGGCCCTCCAGCTCACTGACGTCGGGCACATAGCCGTTTGTCTCCTTCAGCCCCCACTGCGACACTTCCGCTCCGAGGCTCTGCGGGACCGAGTAAAGTTGCTGGTAGGTAGGATACACGCAGATGACATGGTCACCCGGTCCGACCAGGGTGTAGAAGAGCAGGAAGTTAGCGGAGATGGCGCCCTGAGTGATGATTACGTTGTCGGCCGGGAGAGGTTCGGCGTCGGATGCCCGGTCAAAGAGGGATGCAACGCGCTGACGAAGCACCTCAGAGCCGCGGATCGCGCCGTAGGTCAGCTTTTTGGAGAATAAATTAGGACCGGGCACACTCTTGTCTTCGCACATGTGCACTAGATCGTCGAAGGAGACGGAGGCTGAGCAGGTTTCAGCAATGTTGAGCACCCCAGGAGTGGTCTCCAACCGGTCCATCCACTGCTCGACTTCGAAGGGTTCGATCTTGACCATCGTGACGACTGGTATACAACGATGTCTCTGATAATCAGCCGTGGTCTACTGGGTCCAGCCGAGCATAGAAAAGCCAAGGTAGATCAGAAGCATAAGCGTTATATACCGTCTTCCCCAGCCCGCTTTCGAAAAGGCTCCGTCTGCTATTTAATAGTATCATGTAGGCGGGATTTATTAGCGCGCCCTTCGGCCAACTTGAGTTCCACACATCAATGTTTACCTTACTACAAGCCTAAGTCCCGACCCCTAGGGTCTATGCTTGATCTTATGTGACACCCATCGCGTTCTAGTAAGGGAGTAAATTTTTTTGGCATCATACTAGTCAGCTCAGTTTCCCTTTCAGTTAATGAGAGTAACCTATTAGGGAGTCGGAACTTCAATTCGAGACGGCAGCTGCATTATAAGGCTGGAAATGTGTGTACTGTACTATACTGTACTGTACTGTGCTCTACTGTACGATCCTTATTACATAGGTACCGAGTACAATACGGATACACATACGGTATTGACATAAACAAACTTCTGGAATCGCGGGGTCTGTCCGTACTTTATCGGTAACCAACGGCAGCCCGCGTTCCGAGGTCAGATCCCCTGTCCGCTAGGCTCCCATCTCCAGCCACGTCGAACGCACCCCTGATCAACCAAGCCCATGGAGCTCCACACCGACATCATCGGAGCAACGCAGCGCAGTCAAGTGCCTCCGTACCTAGTTCGAGGCGACCGCTCTTCTGCCTTCTAGCATTTACCTGTCCACCGCATGTCGCCGCATAGTATCAGAGCTCATCGCTTCTTTAGTACGGCTCGTGTTCGCTTTGTATTGGCCCAAAGCTCGCGGCGAGTGTGGCGTCAGTTTTCTCGTTGGCCTGCCTTCGAAGGTCCGGGTGCCGGATCGGGGCCATCGTCCCGTTGAGCCGGCAGAGCTGTCGCAACCTGCCGGCAACGCGCTCGCCGATCAGGCCAGCTTCTCCGCATTCTGAATTTCCCAACACCCACATCACAACTCCCTCTAGCTCAAGCATCAGCTTTGTCGTCCCGGCCTTCACACTGGCCTAGAACGACGTCCGTACGCCATCATGGCGCTCCGGCTACCTCGTGCGCTCACTGTCGCGGCGCTATCGCTGTCATGCGTCGCTTCGGCCTTGACCAACTACTCTTCCATCGATATGATGCGAGCGCAACTAGCCCTCATGGAGGATCGGCCAAAGGATTGCCCTCCATGGTATGATGCCGAACTGTTCTCTTATCCGTCTTCACTCGGAATGCTAATGCTTCCCAACTGACAAGCTTCAACTGCAACCTCCCAATCTACTCGTGCGGTCAGTTCGCGCCATGTAGCGAATACAGCGGGAAATGCAACTGTCCTGCGGGCTTCGGCGGCGACAACTGTCTAGAACCTCGTACGTTTCCATCACACATGACAGCTTTGAGGGATTAATCAATGCTCATGCCCATGCTTCAGTGTGCGGTTCTCTAGCGCGGGGACCGGATCGCTCCGTACGACAAGGGAAGTCCTGCGAATGTGACGAAGGCTGGACGGGCATCAACTGCAACGTCTGCACAAGCGACAGAGCATGTGATGCCATGACAGAAACGGGAGACGGCGGTGTTTGCTACACAGGAGGTGAGGTAGTAAAGCAGAACTACCAGATGTGCGATGTCACGAATAAGGCCATCCGGGACCTCCTCGGCGCTCAAGTGCCCCAGGTTACTTTCACCTGCCATAAGGAATCTGGGGAGTGCGATTTTCAATGTGAGTCCCACTTCCCCAGCCATGTCCGTCCCGCTTGCTTACAGCTCGCAGTCTGGGTTGATGAGCAAGAGTCTTTCATGTGCCACCTGAACGAGTGTCAATCGAGCGCCGACTTCGACCAGTCAGGAGGGAAGAATTCGACGTCCTACAAGTGTGAGAAGATTCGATGCGAGTGTATCCCCGACCGCATGCTTTGCGGCAAGGATGGTTCCGTCGATATCAGCGACTTCCTCGTGGAAGAGATCCGCGGCCCCGCCAAGTTCGAATGCAACCAGCGATCCGGAGAGGAAAAGAAGTGCGCGTTCCAAGAGCCAGCGATGAACAACCTGATCAGCGACATATTTGGCGACTCAAGCATCCTGCTCACTTGTGGAGCCGGGGAGTGTTTATACCACACAGAGGTGCCCGGATATGCCCCCGATGTGCCCAAGATCAATACTCCGCTCATCGCCGGAGTCATTGCTGGATGCTCCCTCTTCTTGGTTGCTGTTATCCTGGGGACTTGGTACCTATCCAGGCGACAGTTCAAGTATGGGGCAATCCACCTGGATGACTCGGACGACGAGGCCATCAAGCTCATGACCGACCACAAACCGGCATCGCTGTACTTCCGGAATGTCTGCTACAGTCTTAATGGCAAGGATATTCTGTCGGGAATCCAAGGCATGGCCCATCCCGGTGAGCTCACGGCCATCATGGGGGCGTCTGGCGCCGGCAAGACTACCTTCCTGGATATCCTCGCCCGCAAGAATAAGCGCGGGAATGTCTCCGGAGAGTTCTATGTCAACGGTGAAAAGGTTAGCGATGCTGACTACAAGAATGCCACCGGATTCGTCGACCAGGAGGATACCATGCTTCCAACGTTGACTGTCCACGAGACGATTCTCACAAGCGCCCTCCTTCGCCTTCCGAGGGACATGACGAGGGCAGCAAAAGAGCAGAGAGTTCTCGAGGTTGAGAAGCAATTGGGTATCTACCATATTCGGGACTCTCTAATCGGATCGGAAGAAGGCAAGGGTCGCGGCATCTCGGGAGGCGAGAAGCGTCGTGTCAGCATTGCTTGCGAACTCGTCACCAGCCCATCCATCCTGTTCCTGGATGAGCCTACGAGCGGCCTGGATGCGTACAACGCCTACAACGTTATTGAATGCCTTGTCACATTGGCCAAGACATACAAGCGTACCGTCATCTTCACCATCCATCAGCCCAGATCCAACATTGTCGCCCTGTTCGACCGCCTGATCCTGCTGGCCCAGGGAAAGACCGTATATTCTGGTCCGCTGCATCAATGTCAGGATTACTTTGACCACATCGGATATAGCTGTCCTCCTGGCTTCAACATTGCCGATTACCTCGTCGATCTTACGATGCACGCTGGCTCCACCACGTCATTCGATGATGGAACTCTGTTGACAGATGTGGCCAGTGTTGGTCCTAGTAGCACCAGGGCAGTCAAGTCGGTCGCCAGCATTTCTGGCACTAGTGTTGGCGATGACAACAGCACAGTCGAAGCATCATCGTCCCGCCCGAAGAACAAGCGCCGCGACTCAGTGCGAGTCAGGCAGGAGCGGGAACTCTACACTCGACGCAAGCACGCGGTCGACACGGCGGCGTCCTCGGATGCTGGTGATGAGATCGGGGCTTACAAGCTTCAAACACAGCCTACACGCATCGTGAGCCCTTCCCGGGCTGACGACCACGACGATCTCCCTCCTCCAGCCGCCACCGGAACCGACCTCGACATCTTAGTACAGTCTTACATCCAGTCCGACATTGCCGGAAACACCCACGACGAGATCCAGCAGGCCGTCATGGCAGCAGTCAATAGCAACGGCCAGAACTCCAATGGAAACATAGGAGACGGCAACATTAACACTGGTACGATGGGCAAGGGATACGCGCGTGTCGGCTACTGGCGGCAGTTTGTCCTTCTCTCCCAGCGGACCTGGCGCAACCTTTACCGAAATCCGATGCTGATGCTCACGCACTACGCCATCGCCATTCTCCTGGCCGTCTTCGCCGGCTACCTGTTCTACGGCCTAACCATGGACATAGCCGGATTCCAGAACCGGCTTGGTCTATTCTTCTTCGTCCTCGCCCTCTTCGGCTTCAGTACCCTGACCACTCTCTCGGTCTTCTCCCAAGAACGCCTCCTCTTTGTGCGCGAACGTGCAAATGGCTACTACTCCCCCGTCACCTACTTCGCCGCCAAGGTCCTCTTTGACATCGTCCCGCTGCGCATCATCCCGCCTATCCTCCTTGGTGCCATTGTCTACCCCATGACCGGACTGGTAGCGGAGGTTGACAAGTTTCTTGTCTTCATGCTCGTGCTCGTTCTCTTCAATCTGGCCGCGGCGGCCATCTGCCTCTTCATCGGCATTGTCTGCAAGGATGGCGGCGTGGCAAACCTGATTGGCAGTCTCGTCATGCTGTTCAGTCTGCTCTTTGCCGGCCTGCTGCTCAATCATAACGCGATCCCGAAGTCGGCACTCTGGCTGCAGTGGTTATCGATCTTCCATTACGGCTTCGAGGCGCTCATTGTGAACGAGGTCACGCAGCTGACACTGATCGATCACAAGATTGGGATTGATATAACCGTACCGGGGGCGGCGATCCTGAGCTCGTTCGGGTTTGACAACCAAGCCATGTGGCCGGATATCATCAACCTGGGGGTGTTCGGGGCCGTTTTCATCGTCCTTGCGTATGCAGCGATGCATGTTTTGCTTGTAGAGAGGCGCTAGTTTAGGCGCTATGATAATAACTGTTGGGGTATCAGATTTACACGGATATGGCTTAAGTGTAGAAAGCTAGTCGGAGCAGAGCGGGACCTTGTGTTTGATTAAATTTGAGCTAGAGGATTCTTTCATTTTTTTTTCGTTCTTGATGCTACCTGGAGGATAGGTCAACTTCTGAATCGGCGTGGGTAGGCGCTCGGGTCTCGGGTCTTCCTTACGGTGCACGCATCGCATAGTAGCAATGGGTGTACACCGTACATATGGTTCTTCTTCGCGAATAGAAACATATACAATGCATATATCCGTGGCCAGCCTTAACTCTATTTGTACAGTACACCTCGTCATCCAGTTTGATACATTCGCCGTCAGGCCAAAGCAACCCGCCACAAGCCCTCGACTGCAGCATGATGGTAGCAACAAAGCCCAGTGGCATCTCAGAGCTTCCCGCCGGTCAACTCCTCCGCCACAGCCTTTTGTCTCAGCGTCGTCTTTGTCACCGGCGTCCTCTTGAAGTCTCTTAGGTTGTTCGTCGACCCATCCATCTCGGCCTGCATCTCGGCCACGCTGATAGGCGCCCTGTGCACGTCCCAGATACTCTGTCCGCGGTCATGCCCGCCGTACTTGTGGTGGTCCGCCGTGAAGATGGCGTTGACGCGCGCCTCCAGCTCGGCCTCGTCCACGATGAAGTCCTGTGCCGCCACGTACAGCTGCGTCAACGCGTCTCGCCGCGCCTCCGCCTTGAGCTCCTCCTGCTGCTGAACCCGTGCTCGCGCCTCCTCGGCGGCCGCGAACCGGTCCGGGTCCGGCTTGACCGTCGTATCCAGCGCCGTCGCCGCGCGCACCGTCGGCCGTGTGAGCACGTCGTCCAACCTTTCGGGCGCCGTCGCGGCCGCCAGGTTGGCTTTCCGCTTGGCTTCGGCGCGCGCCGTGACCCGCTTCACGCGTAGCGACTTGCGCATGTACAGCCCTCTTACGCCGGTCGCGAAGGCGCTGCGGCGGGCGGCCGCCATCAGCCGGCGCCGGGCCTCTTCCTCGGATTTGGGGGGTTCGCCGGCGAGCTCGGCCTTAGAGAGGGGTATGGTGGACTCGATGTAGCTGGCCTTCACTTTGCGTTTACCCTCGCGGGCGGGGAAAATGTCGCGCGGGACCGGGAGGTGGCCCTTGATCGGGGGCAGTTTGGGCTCCGAGGACTGGGGCGGCTCCGGCATGGTGATGAATTTGGGAGATTCGGGTGGCACTGCAAAGGACTGAGAGGCCACGGGAGTCGTACTGAACACCCGCCATGGCGAGGATGATGTTGCTGCCCTAGTCGTCGTCGAGATGCGGCACGAGAGGGCGGATTGTAAGCCGCATATTGACGGTCTAGAAAGCGAAGGCGGCATTTCTTCGACTGATGGAATGCGATTCTACCTACAGGACGGTAGAATCGGCTGGTGGACTGGCGACGTTCGGGTTTAAGGCCGAGATTCAGATTCGGGACCGGAGATGTGGGAAATTCTGAAGCTCAAGTGTTGACAATAAGCGAGCTATGCTAATTCGGGAATGGTGTGGTTGACCCCTTGCATTATGCCATGCCACACCGCCAAAATAACCAGCAAAGTGCCCCAGAGCCTTTCTCAAGATCCACCCCGCCAAAAACTTCATTAAGCTTGCTTCGTCTTCTTCCCCGGTCCTTCTCAGCCTTTTTTTTCTTCGTCTTCCACCATCCGCTTCCCCCGCGGAAGACCGCTGCGATCCTCCATCGCAGGCCGGGACCTTTCTTTTATTTGTTTCTTCCAGATTTCGGTCTTGATTGGCGTTAAGCAATCTTCAATATGGGGACCGGTAAGCAGCTGCCCTCAGCCTGTGCTTCCGTCAATCGCTGCTAACCGAGTCACAGGAAAGAAGGAGAAAACCCGCATTGAGCGGCAGGGCAAGGTCACGGGTGACCCCAAGGTTAAGGGCGAGAACTTCTATCGCTCGGCCAAGAAGATCAAGACCCTCAATATGTACAAGGATGGCAAGGCCATTCGGAACAAAGAGGGCAAGATTGTCAAGGCCGCCTCGTATCAGAGCAAGGAGGTCCCAAAAGCTGTCATCGAGCCGAACAGGAGATGGTTCACCAACACTAGAGTCATCTCCCAAGATACGCTCAAGTCGTTTAGGGAGGCAATCGCGGAGAAGGAGAAGGACCCGTACTCGGTCTTGCTCAAGAGTAACAAGCTCCCCATGGGTTTGATTCGGGATGGTCCCAGCCTCCAGGATGGACTCAAGAAGCACCAGGCGAAGATGACGGTCGAGAGCGAGCCGTTCGCGGAGGTCTTTGGGCCTAAAGCACAGAGGAAACGACCAAAGCTCAGCTTCAACACAGTGGACGAGCTTGCCGGCCACAGCGAGCAAAGCCTCGACTCGTATCAAACGCGTCTAGAGGAAATCAAACTGCTCAATGGCACTGCAGGGTCTTCAGCTGGAGACGGCGATGCCCTGGTAGAGGAAGACTTTAGTGTCGCGACGGCTAAGGAGGCCATCTTCAGCAAGGGCCAGTCCAAGCGGATCTGGAATGAGCTTTGTGAGTCTCCGCTCGTTCTGTCGCTAGTTATCGCCACCGCTAACACACCCTCAGACAAGGTGATCGACTCATCAGATGTGATCCTCCATGTAATAGATGCCCGGGATCCGCTTGGGACAAGATGTCGGCACGTTGAGAAGTATCTTGCAGCCGAAGCTCCACACAAGCATCTCGTTTTTGTCCTGAACAAAATTGACCTTGTCCCGTCCAGCACAGCGGTAAGCTCTTCTCTCTGTTCTTGCATTCCACCACCTCATGTTATCAGCGCCTCCCGCCAGGCGACCCCAGGGCTTTCGTCAGGATCCTTCCGCATTGTCATGCTTGATGGGAGATTGTCCGTTACATCCCTGGGAGAGCGATATCCATTTCCAACGTCCCTGGTCTGGTCTTCGGATTGGGGATTGATAGGCTCCGTTTTGGGGTTCTATCGCCGGATACCGGATGTGTTTCAGACGAGTTGAAGGCCGCCACTATCCGTCTTGGATAGCACGTGGCGGTCCTCTTAGTGATGATTCATACATTTCAACACGTCATGTTGTTCTCTCCATCTCATCTTCCTACAGATGCTGACAGATGTAGGCCGCCTGGATCCGAGTGCTTCAGAAGGACCACCCCACCTGCGCGATGAGATCGAGTATCAAGAACCCGTTCGGACGTGGTTCGTTGATCGACCTTCTCAGGCAGTTCAGCATCCTCCACAAAGATCGCAAACAAATCAGTGTCGGCTTGATTGGTTACCCGAATGTCGGCAAGTCGAGTATCATCAACGCCCTCCGCGGCAAGGCGGTCGCTAAGGTTGCACCCATTCCCGGTGAAACCAAGGTCTGGCAATACGTCACACTGATGAAGAGAATCTACCTGATCGACTGTCCAGGTATTGTGCCACCTAACCAGCACGATACTCCGCAGGATCTACTGCTCCGCGGCGTTGTCCGTGTTGAGAACGTTGAGAACCCTGAGCAATACATTCCCGCTGTCCTCAAGAAAGTCAAAACACACCACATGGAGAGGACATATGAGCTCAAGGGTTGGAAAGACCACATAGAGTTCCTCGAGCTCCTGGCCAGGAAATCCGGCAGGCTGCTCAAAGGCGGCGAACCGGATGTTGACGGAGTCGCCAAAATGGTTCTCAACGACTTTATGCGAGGCAAGATCCCGTGGTTTACGCCTGCTCCTGCGATGGAGGAAGGTGACGAGCCTGTCATCGAAGGCAGGCAAGGCCGCCTTGGCGAAATGCCACTAAAACGGAAACGCGAAGAAAATGAAAGTGTCGCGGACACTACGTTGGCTGGCTCAATCGTAGCAGCCGGCGAGGAAGACGAAGAGTCCGAAGAGGAAGAGGACGACGATTTCTCAGGCTTCTCAAGTGACAGCGAGTCCGAGCAAGGAGATGCCCCTGGAGCAACAGCTCAAAAGGACGGTGCGGAAGATATGATACCCCTAGGCGACTCGAGTGATGGAGAGGAGGATAAGGAAGGATCTGAGGATCAGGGCGGCTCGGATGGTGGCAGTGAGGAAGTAAACGGCGAAATCGAGTCTGACGTTGACATCGAAGGAGCTAGTGACGTCCTACCGTCAGAAGACGAGTCAGAACCACCGGCACCGAAGAAGCGGAAGAAGGCCAGGTAGTTGTCCGGCCGACGGCCGAAAATACAACTGCGAGGAACTGCGCACAGCCTCGGAACATCCGTTTCCCGTGCAATGTTGTGCAATCCTGTGCCTGATGCCTCGGTGACACGATCCATCATTTGCTCCCTTAGCCTTGCTCTTCTGGCGCGTTAGGGGCCATCAAGACGTTCTCTACTTCGGCCGTTGCTCCTTGAGCGAATCGAACCCAGTGAAGTCTAACAGACCCGTTGCCGATATAACCCCCCCCCCCCCCAAACACAGACTATGTCATAGTTACACTACTCTATGAACTTGGTCAAGCCGTGGTTATCTCCCCTGCAGTGACCCTTCTTTTCGGGTGGGAGCCGAACGGATGAGACCATTGTCGATATGCGAGGTTCACTGCCGGCCCGTCGTTTCTTCGCCATGGCCACGGCCGAGAGGATGCTGCTTCTGTCCAGATTGTCTCAGGGCCGCAACCGCAGCCCCTCATCGTCATGCTGGCAGGCAGGCATACCTAGGTCGTTCCACGATGCACTGCTGCGTCTATAAAGAGGACGTAAAGTCGTCTCATTTGCCATTCGTCCCCTCAACGTCAGAGAGTAAACCGCGGTCTCCACAATCTCGCAGAAAGCTGCTCACAATGCTCGTCCTCTTCGCTACCATCTGGCTTCTGGCCTGGGTGCCCTTCACTGTACATGCCCAGGACGAGCCTCGGACGTGCGTCTTCCGCCTCATGTCAGCCGATTTCGTCCTCAGCCAGCTAGACGGCGGCCAGGTCCTCGGACTTCAGCCTGCCGATCCCTCCTCCTCCAACGAGGGAACTGGCACTCTTTTCCGCTTGCGCCAGGGTGCTCTGTATGATGGACAGCTGCGAGGATGCTGGTGGGCGGGTATGTCTCCTTTCAACGCTGCCTCTCTTCTCTGCCCGTATCCGAGTCCCAGACAGACAAGTTGACGATGATAATATGTATATTATGAGCGAGCATCAGCCCCCTCCACTGTGCTAGTCTGCGACATCTTGCCCCCCGCGCAGCCAGATCCACTGTTTGAAGTCGACACGACGCAACGGCTGGTGTATAACTCGTCTATCACCTCCTTCTGGGCTTGTCCTGCCAACGCTGGCAGCACCCGCGATGGCCAGCAGCAGCAGCAGTATCAGCAGGCATCGGCCGCGAACTTCTATCTGGAAGTGCCGGAGCATCTTCAAGACAGAGATGCGATCGACCACGCCAGGTCGAGCGGTCCCTGCAAGCGGGTAGCCATCGAGGTGGCGTTTATCGATACGTGGTTCTGCAACCACAATTTTCCCGTCGTGGAGTCCGCTTCGGTGCGGCGGACGGCTATAGTTGCCAGGGAGACTAGTATTGTTCTTTTTGACACGGCTTCGGCTTCTGTTCGGGAAGCTTCTGGGCCGGTAACCGCCGCTGAGACTGGGTTCCTGGAGACGGCTACTGCTCGCAAGATTGAGATTGTCCCCGTGTCATCGGAGAGTGGGACAGCGACGACAACTTTCGCTACAGTGACGTCCACGGTGGGGAACCATACTAGTGTGGTTCCTTATTCCGAGACCGAGACTGTGCTGTGAAGTTGAGAAGCTACGGATGGGTCAGTGACTACCTGGTAGTTGTCTGGTGAAGGGTCTAGACTCTGGATAAGAACCTTGTGTTCGTAAATGAGGAGATAGGGCCATGGGCTAATAGTAGAATTTCGTTGCCATTAATTCTGGAAGCATGTCTGTCATGACTGTACGAATGTCTCAGTTGGGACCAAACAAAGACGAAGACAGAGACTCCTCAGATCTACATGTGGCTTTATGCTGCGTGAATACCACCATCCTCTCATGACAACAAACAGGTCCCATGTTACAAAGAAGAATGTCAATTATAGGGGGCGAACTTTAGCTTGAGGAGGCTATACCATAGGCAGCAGTTGAGTGAGATTGGATCGGTGGATGGGGGCAGGTAATGGGACGTGAAATGTAATGAGGCGGGGATACAAAAGAGGAGAGACAAAAGTTTCACCACCAAGCTCCCCATTGGATTTGTGGCAAGGGAGTTTGGTGGCCACGAAAAACCCCCACCAGGGATTTTACTTCGCTGGTTACGGTAACTAGGAATCGAACCACGCCATCTCAAGGGAGATGGTCTACGACGCCGTGGCGTGTGGGTGCACCGAGGTGACCACTTGGCCACTTTGTGGCGCCGTTGGAAGTCGGTTCAATGATGTTACCCATGTACTACTAGCATTGTGTTCTTCCAGCACTCAGGGAACATTCGTTCCAGTTGACTCCCAAAAGCATGGATGGATAAGTTCCAATGCCATTGTTCAACGCCGCTGTAGTCCCTGCAGGAACAAACTCTTTGTCTATAGACCTTCCTCTCAAAAGAGGTCTGTAGGTATATAAACACATAGAGTGTAGATACGATGCTGCCGTATGGAAACATCCAAGAAGCCTTCCGAGTCAGTCAGGCTTGGGTAGCAGCGTTTTTGTGTCACTTCTCTACTTGCTGCCCTGACAACGCAGAAAATACTCGATTCGTTGCCAATAACAGGGCAGGAAAGCTACAAGTCCCCTCTTCATCTCACAACGCCGCTCGTCACTCACAGCATAGCTGACATGAAGCAGCGGCATCAGGTACTTGTACAGCCTCCCCGGAAGATGGGACGGCGTCTCTCAGTGTCAAGAGCCTGGGTCCGCTTCCCCTGGGGCAGCAAGCAGCAGGGGGACACAGACTCGCTGTTCAGCAGACTGAAGACTCAGGGGTTCTTCAACCTGAAGCTAACGCCGACACAGGAGGAGTTCTGCTCAGATGATGACCATGACTGGAGTCCGCCGGTGTATTTCGACTGTGAGGAGGAGGACGACGACGACGGCGGCGACGAGTTCTTGCTCTACGGGCAGCAGCTGAGAAGCAACCCTCGTGACAGGGTCCATGGCCATTGTAGGTCAAACTCCGTACTCGAGAGCCGTCGGCCGGCGTTGTATTGGGCTTTCTTTAGCTGAGGAAAGGGGGAGATCCATTCATCAACACCCCCTATTCCCTGCATGGAAGGTGTCTGAACGAGGTTGTCCGCCATGTATTCAACCTAAAGGCTTGGTAATGAATGGGCTAAGTAAGATAGAGGTGTAAATGGACGACAATGAATTATCAGATTGTGTTGCCGTCGCGAAATTCAGGAAATGCTGTGGTGGATTGCGTCGACATCAGAGTGCCTTCCCCTCAACACCCGCTTTCTTCCCCTCCAGCTCGACAACCCTCGGAATCTCCTCCTCCAACGACGGCCCTCTCGCCTCCCAACCAAGATACCGCCTCGCCCTTTCCGCAACACCCTTCGAATTCGCCGCCCACATGGCCCCTACCTCGTCAGTGATCTCTCTTTCTCCCAGCGACACCACCTTAGGCAAAGCTTCCTTCAACAGCCCCTGCCTGACCGCCTCCTCGGCGATGTCGACGGCCACCTTTCCGCAGGCGTGCGTCCCACTTGCGCAGAAGTAGTACGCCCGTCCGCCGAAGATCTCCTCCGGGTTGCGCTTCCGCGCCGGGTCGAGCGCGGCGTCTACGAGCCGCACCAACAGCGAGCTCACGTCCGAGACGTGCACGTTGTCCCACTCGTTCCGGCCCTCCCCGATCACGGGCGCGTAGCCGTGTTTGAGGATGAAGCGGGTGAGCAGCGGGAGCGCTATGCTGGATTTGTTGACGGGCCCGCGGCCGGCGCCGTAGATGGTTGGCGGCGCGACGATGGCTGTTTTGATGCCCGGGTTGTCGTTGGCGGAGAGGACGATATTGTCGACGTTGCGGTGAGGGGCTTGGTCCGGGAGGTTGACGAGGCGGTCGATGCCGGTAAGGTCGTTGTAGGCCTGTTCGGGAACCGGGGCTTGGCCGTACCGTGATTGGGCGTGGTCGTACTTTTTGTGTGTCGTGGGTGATTAGGACCATGATGCTTTCAGATGGGAGCTTGTTGTTGGGTGGGTGTGTGGCCTACGTACCCAGGTCAAGATACCAGTGCCGCTGATGTGAATCCAATATGCTGGGTTCTCGGCGGAGCGGCCGGCCGCTTGTAGTCCTCTGAGAATAGCCGTTGCTTGAGCAACATCATCGGCAGAGTCTGCGGTATCTGAGTGCCCGCTCATGTATCAGTTGCGAAGCCCAGTATTCCCCATGATAAGGGACCAACGTACGAAGAACGACATCCGCCTTCTTGGCCTGGTCCTCCAAGACCTCCGTGAATGATACGGACGGGCCAACCTCCCCCGGATAGAGGACCTTCACTTTGTCCACATTGCCGTACTGTCCACGGACACTCTCTGCTCGTTCTTTGGTGCGTACAAGCAAAGTGTAGTCGAAGTCCGGGTGAGCCTCGTACAACGCATGGAAGGCGTCACCACCAATGTACCCTTAATAAGGAGTGAGCATGTTGAGCTGCTTGAGCTGAAGGATACCGTGACATACCAGTCACCCCGGTTCTGTCCGATTTCAATGGTCATTGACTGCAGATCTATGTGAGGCAAGGACTGTAAGCCAACTTACACTACAACGCGTGGAGCCATGTTGATAGTATATCTCGAATAGATTCCCAGCTCTCTTGGCTAGCGCATCTACTCGTTCGCTTGTGCAGCGATACTGTAAGTACTGGCACAGAGTGAGTTGAGTGAGTCCAGTGTCCCTCGATGATGAACTATTCAGGGGATAATAAGCAACAGTGACCGCGATCCTGTGGCATTCAGTCCTCGGGAGCTCCGGATACTCATGCATTGCAACATGCAAGGCACGGCATGATGTCATGCCGTGTTTGGCTGCGAGATGGAGAGGGTTTAGAAATCTGATTCGGCATTTGTCAGCCCGATTCCACGAACCACATTATTACCCTCCATGTCGACTGTCTTCAAGGACGGGGAAGCACCCATATGCAGAGATCATCATAGATACATAGCTTAGGTACTTAAGCGGTCGTTGAATAAACACCAGTATCAGACCGTGAGCTAGGGGGTCCAGACCACAACTTCATGGGACGACAACACCATTCGCTCCCAACTGCGGGAGATCCTACCGATGGCGGGGTCGGTTGGGCCAGCCGCCAATCCATGTCCAGTTCAGCAATGCAGTATCCCCTCCTGAAGGCTGAAACCTACTTACTAATTAAATAGCTACACCAGTGTACTGTAGGGGGCCGTCGAACTCGCTCGGTCACAAGTTGTTGGTTACCTCACTGGAACTACTTACTCAATCCGCAGGCCGGATATGAGAGGATTCGGGGTTCTGGTGCGAACAGAAACTGGGTGTTAGCAGTCGCTCAAGCAACTCATCTTCCTGCCTTGCTGTCTGGTTGGTGTCGGTGTCAACAGGCGGAAGGCGTACATAGGGACACCTTATTGTAACGCGATGTGTCCATGGCATCTTGGCAAAGTTAGCATGGTGCAAGTGCGAATCGATTTGTCAGTTGGTGTGGCCATTCTCCGCAACAATAGAGACCATGTGATGTGGCTGTGACTCAAGACAAGAATCCACTGAGACGAGGCGAGCACGGCGAGCAAATCGGAACAATAAGGTGCAGAGGAGCTCAGTTCTGTCGATGTAACGATGTTGGGGACGGAGACTTTGAAGTCAATCTAACTTTGAACCTTACACTACGTGAGTTTGCCGTGTTGAATGTGACGATTCCTGAGCACAGACCACCAGTACGTACCTCTTGCCAAGGCTCGCGCGATCCGTGCTAGCGCGGGCAAAAGCGGCCAACAAGGACTTCCGACCAAGCGAAGTTTGGCGAGGCTGCAACCTCGTGACTGGTGACCTTGACAACATCGACATCTCGATTGTGCATGCGGCAAGCACCACGCCGGTCCGCGCTGCGAACCTTACAGACCGAACTCTGAACTGCTTACCTGTGCTGCTCCGCCTGGAGGCGGCATTAAGCAGACATGCTGCCCTCATCTGTCCGACGAGTCGTCGCTGCGGCGCCTCAGTCGCCTGCGGCTCCCTCCTTCGCCTCTTCTGTCTCGCGAGTCGCCGTCGCCTACAGTCTTCCGTACAGGCAGAACGGCCTTCATCAGCGCCGCTATTCCTCGTCGAAACCATCCAGCCCCGATGACGGCTCCAAAGATTTTACCGCTCGAGCTTCCGTTCCTACGTCAAGAGGGTCAAAGGCAGAGAAAGCAAAGGGCCAGGCAAAAAAGGTTACGCCACAGCCGCCCAGTGTTCCCAGTACCAGGCATATTGGGGATGAAGGTTCGTTTTCCAAGAATTCGCCATACTCCAGGCCACCGCGCTCGCAGCACTGACATGTGCCCAGGCCTCGCGCTCTCGACCTTCTTTGCTCTTCATCGGCCGATCTCAGTGACACAGCTGTTGCCCCGTACAGTGTCCGAGGATGTCTTCGCCAAGATCTTCACTCCACGAACGCGGAACAATAGAGTAGCCGAAGTTCTCTCGACGCTCTCGCAAACGGTGCAGGATCTAGAGGAGCCGCTCTCGAGAGGGAACCTTGTCAACGGAGATAAGCAGCAATCGCACGACGTGCAAGATGCCGAAGACGGGATCAAAATGCTCAGCCTAAAGCACGCCGATGGTTCCGAGACGGACGTCCACCTGCGGCTTAACTCCATGTCGGGCCACTTCCTTCCATACACCCCGCCGCCTGCACCTAAACCCGTCACCGAGGCGGCGCCGGCCGAAGCCGAGTCTGCCAACCGCGCCATCGTTGAGGAATTGGCCGAGCAGGAGCCGCAGACACGCGTGTACAAGGCCATGGTGACAATCGAGGAGACGGTCGAGGCCAATGGCCAGTACAAGGTGGTCGCGCACAGCCCCGAGCTGGTCGAGGAGGACACGCCGCCACGGTCGTTCCTGGAGCGCATGGCGTGGCGCCAGCTGCGGTACGACGAGGCGCGCCGGCAGCAAGGCCGCACCATGCAGGCCATCAGCGTCGTCCGACGACGCAAGCTGCGCATGAAGAAGAAGAAGTACAAGAAGCTGATGAAGAAGACGCGGAATCTGCGTCGGAAGCTGGATCGCTTGTAAAGAGGAGTGTTGCTGGTAATATCTCCGTGTGTAAATATCCCCACTACCGAATTTCCTCTACTTCTCATCTTTGTTTAGAGACCACCATGGTCCCATGGTACACGGGCTACATCATGCATCTACAAATCGGCTTTCATTGGTGTCAGGTTCTCGTGGCATTTTGATTTCATGTCCGCATCACTACACATAGAGAGGAGGAGACTGTGGAGAGCAAGTACTATCCCTAGTCTCACGCAATGGCATGGCCAGCTAAGGTACTTACCTGGCATATCGCGAAGCGTGAGGTCGCCGCGCAACCCGCATAAACCTTGGTCACCTCGACCAGAGTCCCCTTATAAAGCACAATTGGATACGCCCCGGCGTCCCTTCGCAGACTCTGGTTGACTTGGCACCACAACAACTTACATAGGCATGTACCTTCTCGTCGTCCACCCTCTCCAGTCCTCCCTCGATCTCCACAAGCCATCTGTGAGCCAGTACGGAAGGGACCGCTCCGTTGGGGATTTCCGTGGTTGCGAACATGCTGCCGTAGATATAAGATGAAAACCCTCGAGATCCTGAGACAGGGAGCTAGTGGGATTGGTCACACCAAGAACTTAGCATCGAAGAATCGAAGGGAGTGCTCTTCGTGATAGAATGGTAGAAGGCAACGAGTTCAACCCCTCAGCTTGGAGCCGATCCAGCAGATCTCCCAGCTCAAGGAATCTGGGAGCCGTGTGGCTCGCCACGCTTCGCATGGTTTAAGCGGTATATCCAACGAGCTGATGACCCGACATATATATGCCAGGACCCCATCACTGCTCTGTCGTGATGTAGGCCAGCACTACTTCACTTCTTCTCCAATGTAAAGTACACCTTTACCTCCACCTCATTCGCCCACCCGCTCTTGAGCCCCATTTCCTTCCACGCCGTCTCGATGTCGACATCCAGGACGTGATTATCATGCTTGTTCGCAGCCACTGTGTGAGGCGGGATCGGTTGTCCCTGTATGGTCACCATGAAATCATCCTGTATCGACAGCTCGGGCAGCGTCGAGATATAGATGCCTGCCGGACATGTCAGTATTATGCAAACAAGTATGGATCTGCCGCCTACCTAGTACGCCCAGGGCCTTCAGTGTCGCATCGATCAACATCCTCCCATTCTCCCGCACCTCGTACACGGTCCTCAACACAGCTGCGCAGCCTGTCATCTTGCCTACCAGCCCCAGATTCGCGAGCAGCAAGTCCCCCGTTGTCCGGGAGTTCACAGTGTGCAACGGGTACGCACAGAGAACATCGGCCCCTCTCGCTTCAAGCGAAACCGTCAGCAGCGGCGTCGGACCTCCCACCTCAAGCGGCGACGTGACCGTCCCACTCCCATGCGCCCGCACTACATACCTCCCCGAAGCGACAACCCCCGGAAACCGGGTCAGGGGGATGATATCTGTCAACGGCCTCGCCGAGACATTGAACACAGCCATGATCGACGTACCCTCCGCCGCCCGGCCATGATACGCGCCAACCTTCAGCAGCGCCGGGTCTCGATAGCCGTTGTACGCATCCAGCGTCCTGCCCAGCACGCCAGGCCGCAACACCACCGTCTTCCCCCGCGGCGTCACGCCCGTCATCTGGTCGATCAGGCCGACGTCGTGCTTCCCCGGGACGTCGGTGATACACACGGGCCCGCCACTGACACAGCGCGCAACGGCGTGGAACGCGGCGTAGTCATGCACGGTCTGGAACATGTCCCAGTCCGGGAGGACGTTCAGATGCTGGGTCAGCAAGGCGACGTGCGCGTTCGCCCAGATGTGCCAGGGCTGGGCGTCGGGCTCGCCCGGGAAGTAGTCGTCCGAGTTGCGCAGGACGAAGGGCGGGCGGCCGCCGCGCGGGAGCTGCGAGTGGAACAGAACGGGCGGGGCCAGGGACATGCACGAGATGACGCGGCCCTGGAAGTGGCGCAGGGAGGCGAGCGTCCAGGCGTCGAGGTAGGCGGGGATGAGGGAACGGCGGGCCGAGGGGGAGACGAAGGTGTCAACCAGGTACTGGCCATCGGTCTTCACGCCGTCGATGCCGCTGGCGGAGAGGAAGCGGTAGAAGTCGGAGTAGAAGGCCTGCACGTCTTCACGGGCCACGACGGTCATCTTGCCGTGGATGGGGAGCCAACCTTTATCGTCTTCGCGGAGCAGCTGGACGGTTCTGTATCGCTGGGCCAGGGGCCCGTCAGGGGCGAGGCCAGCCCAGTAGCCCAGGAGGGCGTGCCACACAGCGATGTGTTGGATGTTTTTGTGCTTTGCGCGGATGTCGGATACGAGGGCTCTGAGACCCCGGGGGAAGGTTTTCGGCTCCGCCTCGAAATCGTTCCAACCGTGTTGCCATTGGTTCTCCCCGCGGTAGTCGATGTCTTGCCAGTTGTCGTCTATGATCAAGCTGGAGATGTTGATCTTATTCTCAGCCAGGGTGTCCAGTGCCTTCAGCACTTTTCCCTCTGTCAGATTCTGGCCCAGGGAGTTCCATGTACCTGGTAAGGATGGTCAGAGCGAAGCACGCAGGTCCACGAGGGTGGTGTATTCCCACAGTATCCCAATCCATCGTACCAGCTTTCATACCATTCCGGTCTGATATCGCTCCGCGACGTAGTGTCTGCTCCATCTTGAGCAGTTGCCGCATTTGCTGTCATGACAAGAGTACGTGCGTGATACATAACAGAAGCGATTGTGCTCTCAAAGTTGTCACCAACAGCTACCAGGACGGTTCCTTTTGTGGATTCCAGGTTGTCGCTCCGGATCTGGTTTGCACATCAGTCACGCCAGCTGAGCGGCCAGCCCCAAGGCACAGATATAGCATACGTGAAGCATCAGATGCCCGGAATCTCCACCACGGAGTAGAGTAGTAACATCATTTATACCGCTCATCCCAAGGAAAACCATGTGCTTGCCCCGGGGAGAGAGAAACGAGCAGACCAGCGCATCTTTATCGAGTTTGAAGTCTGACAGGGACCTGCCTTGCCTCGGAGCCAACCACGGCGTCCACTGCCTGACCAGGACGAACCACCTGCCCTTGGTCAGTATCAGGCAAATAGGGGCGAAGAAGGAGACGGAGCAAAGCACCGGTCTCCCACCGTTAGTTAGACCAATCGCCTCTTACCTGAGGAACTCTCCCCATGGGATGCCCAGCGGAACTGTGACAAACGTCGACTCGTCCTCCTTTGCTTTATCCACTCCTGCCTCGACGGACCATAGTCGCGTTCCGGGGGACTGGCTCATGTGGCTCTGCCACTTGAGGTCCCGATTCAGAAACCGGATCAAGTCCGGCAAGTCCTCGGGGTCACCCTCTTGAGTTAGTTTCTGTTCCATCACCACGACACCATCATCCGAGCTCTGCTCATTCCGGACCCATTGCCATTCACTATCGCCCGCCGCCTGCCGAAACTTGACAGTGAACCTCAACGATCCGTGCACGGCTTGGTTGGCCGTAAAGTACAGCCTGACCTTGCCTTCCTTAGCCTCATGTAAGCATATGGGCTGGGTATCCGGCGTATCAGGTAGAAACTCGGCCTCGGTCCATCCCCCCTTATCACCGTTCAGATACCACAGTGCGAGCTGCCACGGTGATGCGGCGGCCGCCTCATTGGGAACTTCGAGGACCGCGCGGAATCGCACACTAGGGTCGTGTAGCTGTGTCACCTGCCCTAGGGGCGGGTATGTTGCAATAAAGGCTGTCATTTGGGAGATTGGGCTGAAGCGTGGCCTGAGGCCCGGAGATGAAAGAGGCTTGATGTGAACCTGGAACAGTACTTCAAGGCACCGGTAGCATCTACAACAACGACAGCAGCACAGCTCAAATCTAACTTCACATGGCTCTGTGGATCGGTTAGATGTTTTAGTGCCCAAGACCCGACGCAGCGCGCGGGGAGCGCAAGCCGCAGGTTACCTAATTGGCCTGCCTGAGCCTGCGTCCCATCATAAGCAGTCGACTTATTATTACTAGTTGCACCGAATGAACGTTGAGACACAACAAGAGAGAACCAAAAACCGGAACTCGCGCACGACTGAGCTTCATGTCGAGAAGGCATCGCTGATGTGTTTGTCGGAATCATCCGTCTTCTTTCGCCAACAGCTTGGAACACCATTGTTGTGTTGAGTGACTTTCGACTCGGCTTCTGAGAACGTGTCGTGACCAATCCCGAAAGCCGTATTTCCAAATGCCAAGAAGAGTTGCCGGGCGGACGGGCAGCCGAGCCACGTGACAAAAGCTCCCGTTCCCGGCGCAGGAGCTTTGGCCCGGGCGTTTCCGAGCTTGCCTTGGATGTGAGGCAAAATTACGCTGCATACTGGAGGTTTTTTCGAAGTGACGAGCCAAACTCGGGCCTCCCCTTCAAACCGCTCACTTTCCGCACTCCTCCCTTTCGCCCATCCACCTCCATGGCGTCCCGGAGACTCGCTCTGAACCTCGCCCAGGGCCTTCGTGGCCGGGCCGGAGGGCTTTCTGTGCCATTCAGGCGAGGTCTCGCGACGCCGCATCACTCGCCTGCGATCAAGACCGAGACGACAACACTCAAGAATGGCCTGACTGTGAGTTTCCCGCCGCCACCAATTGGCCGCGCCAGACCCGTATCTGACCCATATTGCCCTCTCCAGGTCGCGACTCAGTACTCGCCCTATGCTCAGACGTCCACTGTCGGCATGTGGATCGATGCCGGCTCCCGCGCCGAGACCGACGAGACGAACGGCACCGCACACTTCCTCGAGCACCTTGCCTTTAAGGTACGGACCTCTTGCGCCGGCGCGCGCGCCATTACTGGCAATGATGTGGCTAGTTAGTGCCTGGCTGACCATGCTTGCTGCTTTAACAGGGTACTTCGAAGAGGACACAGCACCAATTGGAGCTCGAGATCGAGAACATGGGCGCCCACCTCAACGCCTACACATCAGTTCGTCTCGCGCCTACAGGGTACTGCCTGGCGAATGGGTATCGCTAACCGCGGGTGCAGCGCGAGAACACCGTTTACTTCGCCAAGGCCCTCAACGAGGACGTCCCCAAGTGCGTGGACATCCTGCAAGACATTCTCCAGAACTCGACGCTCGAGGAGTCGGCCATCGAGCGGGAACGCGACGTCATTCTGCGCGAATCTGAGGAGGTGGAGAAGCAGCTCGAGGAGGTCGTCTTCGACCATCTGCATGCCACCGCCTACCAGAACCAGGCCTTGGGCCGCACCATCCTCGGCCCCCGGGAGAACATCCGCGATATCACCCGGACCGAGCTCGTGAACTACATCAAGAACAACTACACGGCTGACCGCATGGTCCTGGTCGGCGCCGGCGGTATCCCCCACGAGCAGCTCGTTGAGATGGCCGACAAGTACTTCGACAAGCTGCCGTCCAAGGCGCCCGAGTCCAGCGCCTACCTCCTCTCCAAGAAGAAGTCCGACTTCATTGGCTCTGACGTCAGGATCCGCGACGACACTATCCCGACCGCCAACATTGCTATTGCTGTGGAGGGTGTCAGCTGGAACGACGACGACTACTTCACCGCGCTGGTCACCCAGGCCATTGTCGGCAACTACGACAAGGCGCTTGGCAATGCGCCCCACCAGGGCAGCAAGCTCAGCGGCCTCGTCCACAAGAACGACCTGGCTACCAGCTTCATGAGCTTCTCCACGAGCTACAGCGACACTGGGTAAGGTCGTACGCTCTCAAAGTCACAAGAAGCCTGGCTAACCAACCACAATAATAGTCTCTGGGGTATCTACATGGTCACAGACCAGCTCACAAGGATCGACGACCTGGTGCACTTTGCCCTGCGCGAGTGGTCGCGTCTATCGAGCAACGTCTCCGAGGCCGAGGTCGAGCGCGCCAAGGCCCAGCTGAAGGCCTCCATCCTCCTGTCCCTGGATGGCACCACCGCCGTCGCCGAGGACATCGGCCGGCAAATCGTCACCACGGGCCGCCGGATGAGCCCCGCCGAGATTGAGCGGGTCATCGACAACATCACCGAGAAGGACGTTATGGATTTCGCCAACAGGAAACTCTGGGACAAGGACATCGCCATCAGCGCCATCGGCAGCATCGAGGGTCTCTATGAATACATGAGAATCAGGGCCGACATGACCAGGAACTACTAGAGAGGGCGACATGGGGATGAAAAGGAACGGGTGAGAGTGAGGAAGGGGAGACGGGCATCCGGGTTCAGTGTATTATAATGCGGTATTGCATCCGAGCCCACCATATGACTGTACTGTAGGGGGCGGTCGCCGGCGGGTAGACATAGATCAATCGATCCTGCTTCTTTTGTGTGTAGCCTGGCATAGAGGTGGGAGGTCCCAAGTTGTACCGCAATTTTGTGGTTCGGTCTGTGATTTGTGCTTCTATAGCTGGCATGATGCGCGGGTAGCTGGCATGATCTTGGGCATAGATAGGACAAGGCAAAGCAGTCTCGGCCAACCCGAGGTCGATTGGGGTCGTGGGCAGGGGTAGGTTTCACAGCATAAGGTCGACATCACTACTGAAAGAGTAGCATTTAGCTCGCTAGGGGTGTCTTTCCAGGGGAACCACCGAGGTACGTCCATGTAGATGCATCCGGACGGTTCTGCTTACTTTGTTCGGGTAGTCCACTAAGCATCTATTTGGACGCGATCAACGTCGGCAAGGACGCAAGAAGTCCTGGGATCAGATTACTAGTGGTGCTGCTCGGTGATGCTTTCAGCGAGTATTTCGATGTTGTGTCACCATCAAAGGCGGACGTTCAAGCGTCCGGCACACAACCTGCTACTCTACTCCCGCAATGTCCCGGTAAGTTCCTGGAAGACTAAGGTAGTCTGACGTTCCTCAGTCCAACAGGTCTTGGTCTTTGCCGGTTTGCCGAGGCAAAACAGTGGACGACGGCAAGGTCCCGAGACCTGAGCAAGGAAGACGTGCTGGCACTGTAACCACTGGGCTGAACTCGAGGTGGACAGAAACCCACAGCTCTAGTTCGAGTATTGTTCGAGCGGCGGAACGGGAGAGAGGCTTCGGATTGTTCGGTTGCTCTTTTAGTTTCAGACGAGAACTGTGCCCCGGGTCTTAACGGCGCTTCCTGGGACCTGCTTAAGTTTCTTATGTCTTGGGAGTCCCGTTTGGGGCTTCCAGGGCCAGACACTCGCCATGCCGACAACTAGGGAATCTTTCGATACTCCCTCCCCTTGGTAGGTTTGGTGACCCGAAGCAAACAGAGTTTCTTAACCTAACACTAGTCTGAGTGACAGGCCTTAGTCTACGCTTAAGATGGCATATGTGTCACTGATGTCTCGCTCACCGCTCCGAGAACCATGGCGTGGGACTGCTGCTGTCAAATCCTTGAGGCTGAGTTAGTGTCACGAGACAAGGTGAAACTGCTCTGCAGCGAGTGTGACATTGCTTCTTCTATGGCATTCAGCAGTACGGTCCTGTCTCAACTAGAAGTCAGGATTGCCGGCGGCCGTAATCATCCGTGAGCACAGCTTGGCCGTTGGCGATCGAGGCGGGTGATGTCATGTCAGACACTTGACGCCTTTGTGAAGCGAAGCACCAGACATCTCGTCAAGATTTTTGATTCCCCGGAACCGATTGGAGACAAATGGGAAGAGCTGTGTTTCAGTGTAGTCGGCGACGACTAACACAGACGGGACTCCCCGAGCATCGAATCGTGTGGAACCGGCCAGGTATTGTACCTACCTTACGCAGGGACGTTGCATTCGATCTGTATTGTACAACGGATAACTATCTGCCAAGGCCTGACGCAATCTGTGATCGATTCGCAATTCCCCAAGCGGATAGGGTAATCAACTAATCGGCGGCGAGCGAAGTGGTCCGGAAGGAGGTCATGAGGACAGAAAGCTGCCAAGACCACGGCACTTCCTTCAAGTTTCTCGATGTCACGGTGACACAAACCTGCAAGCGGGAGTAAGCGGCGGAGAAGGTGATCGGACGTGGTGGTGTGATAGTCACAATCTGGGTTGCCGTCTTTTCGCGAACTGGATCTTCCATGAAGATGGGGGCCTCGAAATCCCCCACTGCCACCGGAAGGCCGTATTCCCGGCGCTGTTCGCGGTGGGACTACGTGCACTGTCCGCACCAGCTGCGGAAGACTCGGCTTGTTCGGCCTTCCGGTCTTCGTGGGTTGCGTGTCGTGTGTGGTTATCACCTGACTCTTTGCCGCTCTCGTTACCTCCACGACCTCTCAGCATCTTAATGTACCCGCCCGAGCGAAATCCGGGGTTGACCGGATCGAGTGGAGAAACTTCGGCTGCGGCGGCGTGGAGCTAAGGATCCGGGATTCCCGGGGTTCCGGGTGCTGATTGTTCTCGCGAGGCCCGCCCGCGACCACACTGTCCCATCTTTGTGAATTGAGTTGTTTGCGCTCATAGTATCAAATACTAAACACGATGCGTTCTCAGCTTTCAAAGTCACGCTCGTTCAGTCAAGTGATGACTACTAGTAATCTTATGCTTATCCTACTGGCCGGATAAGGTGTAAGCCTGATTTTAGGAGGCTGGGATCCATACCTATCATTGCGAGGAATCACCACGTCGGGCAGCAGGACGCCTTGGAGGATTGCCGTGGAATCGCGATCCGGAAATGCTGATATTGTATGTACCACTGGATCCCTTTATTGTATGTACTTGTATTATTTACTATCGTCTATGGCGTCAGGACTCAAGGCGGTGTTCGGGTCAGCGGCCACCAGACCAGACCTAACTTTACTCAAGGAACAATCCAGTCTCACAGCGACGGTATGTTCCGGACACAGCACCGCAACACAACATGCAAGCTTCTCAGGGATGAGGTCGATCAAAGAGAGGCTTTATCTTCTGATGCGGAGGGATGACGACGCACAGACATTGGCCTGCTGTGCGACCCGCTGTATTTTCCCGCACCCTATTGTGGTACGGCAACGAGAATTGCATTACAAGGGAGACTGCAACCACTACGTATCCCGCTGGGCCAGAGCCTCGAGATATTCGGTCCCGTAAGTCGCATGTTCATAAGCCATAGGCATGCTCTCGTGCGATAGAGCCGACTCTTCGAACTTTTTGCGAGCCAACTAACTACGTCGTGTTAAAGTCGGGAGTACCGACTTGGGATTCAACTCGAGAGAGGAGTGGTCTCGTTTCCTGTGATACTGTGCATGTATGTGCTTACGTCTTGTGCTGTACATACGTGGGCACAGTACAATAGCTCTGCAGTGCCGATCAGGCCGCCTTCCTCTACGCCCGTATCAAGGCAACTACGAGGTATGCAGCACAATCTGTCATGTGCCATCCTTGGCTCGCAAGACTGCATGTTTGCATCCTGCAGATGAGCGCCGCATCTCCTCTTGTGCCAGAGAACTGTAGATAGAAGCCTCCCTTGATCGCCCTGCATGATCCAGAGCAATGCCACTCCGTCATCCTAGTGTCACCATCGGGAGGTGAATTCAGGCACAGCACATGGAGCGATTTGGATGCTGCGGGCCCGGGTTCGGACCGGGTATTTCAAATGCTCTCGGCCCTCTTCCGACATACTCTATACTATACTGTATTGTACCTACCCCTAAGTTGGTACATACCTACTGCTGCCTCTAAACTTGACCCATCTTCTCCATGTAGAGATCCCGAATCGCGTCCATGGGCCGCTTTCTGGACGGAGGTACAGATAAGCTTAGTTTTGATGAACACTTTATGTACTGTACGCATACTAGAGGTATGCCAGCATGTCAGGAAACTTACACAGTACGTCAACACGGTCCTTGGGTCTTCTCCCCCCTTCTCGTTTACATTACCGTTTCGGTCAAGGTTTCTAGGGCCTTATCTTCCATGTGGTCCGTTCGACGACGAATGTACACAAGCTGGTAGATCAAAGAAATTACCGTGAGGTGTGGCTTGTCGCATCTCATATGGCACTAGTTACTCCGTACGCAGGGTCGTATTGCTGGGCCGCTGGGGGACGGCATGTAAAACACAACCAGGCGGGTTCGTACTGAGAAGATGAGGCGCAAACATCGCAAGGATGCCTTTCCTCCATATATACCACCATAGAGTTGAAACCATCGCCGGAGGTTTCACCTTGAGTCCCCCTTCGCTAGCGAAAACGATGGAGCTTTGCATATTACTCCGTAGGTAGATTTGGAATTCGGCCACCCTCCAGATTGATGAGGTGAGCAGCATCACGGGCAGTTCCAGGTTGGATGGAATCAAGCATCCTGTGGTAGCATTACCAGATTACTCGCACCCTGATCTGTCATTGGCTGCGTGATTTCGCGCTCTGCATCGATGAACAAGCAGCTTGCTGTGGCGTCCCCGGGCTTGGTCGGGTGTCGCTTGGTACCAGCCAGCTTTCCAAATCCCCAGCTTGGCAATTTTGGGCTTCTTGATCAGGTCCCGCTGGTTCCGGCCCTCCCATCTCATGTCCCACCGCCAGCTTGCCTGATGTTGCTGCGCAAGTCGTCCGTGCATGGAAAGGACCCGCTCCACAGGCCCGCACCAGGCCCTGCTGCTGCATCTCCACACGAATCCATTCAGCACTGCCCGCCTCGCGCCCGCCTCTCTGCTTGTCTGCGTTCCGGTCGCAGACAGCGACACCCATTTCAAGATCCTTTGTCCCCCCATCTTTTTCTCCACTTGACTTTCGGAGTTGCGCTGCATTCACTTGCCCTCCATCGACCCGACCTTGTCAGTTGCATCAATCACTGTTTCCCAGCCTTCCCGAGGGCTCATTGTGAACTGACCATCGCCCGCCGCAATTCAAAGGTCAGGTCTCTAGATTCCTGCATGGTGGCGACTGAGGCATCGTGTTCCTTGGTCGGCGGTCTCAACCGTGCGCCGCGCTATAATCGACGACAATCGCCCATGGACGCCCTGCAGGTATAGCTCTTTCAAAGTGACCTCGAGCCGTGGATTGTCTCTGGCAAGATGGCGTTCATAAATCCGGTCGTGGTGGAAGGGGCACGGTTCGCGATAAGGCAGGCGGCGTCAACGGCTTTGGCGTCGACCGCTGAGGTCATCTCTCAAGCGGCTTCAACTCCGAGCGTCATATCCCCTACTTCTGCGAATCCCCCCCCTACGACTCATGCTAGTCTCACATCTGCTGTTGCGTCGCCGACCGACAGCAGCACTCTGGTCAATGGAGGTGCGAACCCTGGGGGAGGTGGAAATGGAGGAAACAACAACAGCAATGGTGGTGGAGGCAACTCGTCATCTTTACTCTTCTTCGTGGCGCTCGGCTTCGGCGTCGTCTTCACCAACCTATGGTGAGTCCTGGAGGGAATAGGATCGCGAGTAATGGTCCTTCTGACACCTGACAGGATCATCGTCGGCGTGAAGTACTGCTTTAGGTATAATGCGCGCAATCGCCAGATGCGCAGCGAAGATGGCGAGATCAACATGGAGAACGTGCCTCGGCCTCATCGCCGCCGGCGAGAGAAGAAGCTGATGCCGATTGACGAAGTCAACGAGAAGTTCCCGATGCTGAAGTATAAGACGTGGGTTGCGAGCCGTGCACAAGAGGGCCTGCCCACACAAGGTGGTGTGTCGGCTCCCCCAAGCAGGCCGAATAGTATAAGAGATGCCGACGGCGTGGTTCCTGCAATGTCATCAAAGGATGTTATATCGCCGGACGACCAGCCAACAACGAGTGCGACGGCGACCGAACCAACAACCGCGCCTGGAGATCCAGAAAAGGCTCCAGTCCAAACCCCGCAGCATGCCCCCAAGGAAAGCACGTCGAGTACTGTGGGTGGCTTCGAGGGTCACTCTCCACCACCCAACCTCTCCGCCGCCAGGATATCCGCGGATTCAAATCGCGATGCCGATATCACTGTGGCACACAAGCGCTTCAGCGAGGTATCGCACGACGAGGATGATGATGATGAACACATCGACGCTGCCCTTCCGCCTGAGTGTCTGGGAACGTCAGGCGATACTTGCGCCATTTGCATCGATACCCTCGAAGATGACGATGATGTACGCGGCCTTACGTGCGGTCATGCGTTCCACGCCGTCTGTATCGATCCGTGGTTGACGACGAGGAGAGCCTGTTGCCCGCTGTGCAAGGCTGACTACTACACGCCGAAACCTCGTCCTCAGGCCGCCGAGGGTGTTGATGGTACTACCGGTGTCATCCATGTAACGCTGCCTAGCGACCCTCGAGGCAACAATCGCATGAACCTGCCGAGTCGACCTCGACATGCGTGGTTTAGTTTTGGAAGAATGAACCGGGGGGGGCCAATGAACCAGTATACGTCCAGCGGGCGACGCACAGTCGGCGAGTCGCAAACGAGAGATGATGGGCATTCCTCCAGTCTTGCGTACTCGGGATCCCGAACCGGCTCTGGCCCTTCGCCGCAGAGCCCCGGCTCTACCGGCCTGTTGTCAGTTTTCAGAACCGCGCTCCCAGGGCTAAGGCTCGCCAGGGGGCGGAATAACCAAGACCAATCCGGACCGGTAGCCTCTGGCGCCAGTCCAACTGCTACTACTCCATCACAGCTTGAGGCGGGAATCCGGAACCCGCAAAGCTAGTGACGATCCCCGCAGCAATGCGTTCAAGGAGGAACACGAGAACACATAGAGAAGCGCGACTCCATCTCGAAGACGTCGTTTCTCAGGGCCATAGGCAAGACATCACTAACATCACTACTACTCGATCGAAATGGGGATCCTCGATCCTTCGACTCATCCGCAGCGACACCCGCTTAGGCTGACCGCTGCTGAAGAAGCAACTCACTGAAAATCTATCGTCCCCTTCCGCGGCGTCGACGACAGTGGTACCTACCTATACGGGTAGGTAGGCAGGCTGAGTGGGGAATATAACGACTTCCAATGTTGGGGGAATTCACGAGTTTCAGACCTACCACCGTCCCCGCCTTACCGACAAAGGTTGTGTCGGCACCCCCGCGTCGACCAGCACCATCTCGGCCGACTGGCACATCATCCAGGACGTTTGCAACCAGGAGGGTTAGCAGCGGACCAGGAGCGGAACTTTCGTTGTCTTTTTCATTCTCCTTTTCTCATAGTCCTTCAGCTCGAGGACTTGCATTGCACAGTGGTTCTATTGGGTTGGCCGGGGCACAGTAGCCCCTTGAAAGCATGGAGTTTTGCGGGGCGGGTGGATAGGTTGCTTGGTGGGACTGAGGGTTAGGCTGGGAACGGAAGGGAGGGGATGGGCCGGCGATTTGTGATGCCCGGCCTTGCCTGCTGCATTGTGTATTTGGAAGCTGAATATATGCTGCCTGAACTCTTCGAAGCATCATCGTTTTATGTACTGTCGCAAATCTCGTGGTGGCGTCTCTATCATGACGCTGGCGCCGAGGTATGAGCATTGAGCGTGGCGTGGCACTGCTTGGCCTGTACAATACGGAATACATACGGAGCATCGAACCTGTGCTTGGCTCTATATCACGCCTATATCCGACTGTAGATGTGCGAAGAGCATGGCACGTCTCCCTTCCCCGTCCCTATCTTCTTTTCGGACTCATAAGTACTTGCCACTCTGAAACCTTCCTCCAAGATTCGCCGCCCGATTCAGCAGCTCCTTCCGCTGCGAGTGACTGATCCGCCCTCCCACTTTCATATCCTTCTCCCAGTCGAAGGCCCTCTTGCTAGGATCATCCTCCTCGTCGTCGACACCGCCCTTCGGGCCCCACTTAGCATTGTCCCCCTTGCTTGCCACAGCAGCCTTCCCCGCCGCCCTCGCAGCTTGATGTTCTTCCACCAAACTCCTCCCCCTCGTCTGCTCGACGAATGACCTAACCTTCGTTTCGTCTACTCTGCTCCTGCCGGATGTTGTATCGGGCCGTGTCACACCGGTAGACTGTGAGGGGACGCCGCCGGGATTGTTGGGGTCTTCGCGGCCAAGCACGGCGTTGGCCAGCCGGCGGGCCTTTTCCTCGGGCGTCTCGGTCCAGATGGAGCTTATTCTCGCCGGTTTGGCCTCTGTCACCGCGCGCGGGCCGCTCGCAAACTTGCGCGCTCTGATCTTGGTCGGGTCGGGCGCGCGAGCACTGTTGCTGGTTGGTGGGGCGAGCATCCAGTCGTCACGCCTGGGCGCGGCCGGTTCGGCTTGCGTAGCGGAGGGCAGCGTTGGACCGGAGGCGGAGCCTGCTGTTGTTGTTGAACGGGTGCTCGGGACGGTTCCGGGTAGCGCGGGGCCCCAGTCGTCGTCGTCGTCGTCGTCTGAAGAATCTGGGTCGGTGGGCGGCCGTTCGGAAAGGGGTGCCGGCGGCGGTGCTGGACCGAAGACGCGTTTGGGAGGAGGCGCGGCGCCGACTGTGTCGTCATCAGAGCCGTCGAGGAGGATCTCGTCTCCGTTGGCTGGCGCCGCTGTTGGGGGAAGCGAAGGACCAATTGAGCGCCTCTGCTCAGCTCGCGGAGGCGCGCTGCAGTTTGCGACTGCTGGTGCTGGAGAGGGGCCGATCACTGGACCTGGTCGAGAGAGATTCTTTGCGCTACCGTCATTGCTGGCGGGAGTTGGAGCGCTTGGACCATACTCGCCGTCCGAGTCATCGTCTAAGGGAATCTCATCAAGGTTGTCTGGACGGGAGGCCTTGGGCGCACGCGAGCTTCGCTCCGCATCATCGTCCTCAGGACTGCGCTTGCGCTTCTGGAGATGAGGTGGAAGTTGTGGACCTATAGACGCCATGATATGTTGCTTTCGATCCGACAAATTAAAAACGGTTCAACTTGTAGTCACTCTCGTTGAGCGCACTGCGCTAGGGGTGGTAACGCTGTGTTGTTGCGTGAAGGCTGAAGGACTGAGTTGCATGTGGACGCGGAATGATGGACGCGGTTTAGATCTCCCATCCAGACTCCAGACCAGTCTTATCGATAACTTAGGTAGGCCAAAAGGATCCTGGTCTGCAGGTCCACACAGTATGAACGCTATCCTTTCAACTGGATCTGACCGGTTAGCGGGACGGTGGGGCCTACCGATTGGAGGAAGCTGCGCAATGCCATGCTCCATCGACATCTCGAGGTTGCAGCAATCCGGCCTCTGTCTCAATGCGCCGAGCGACCAAACAAGCGTGATCCCACCCTTTTACTCTTGGGTGCGTCGATTGCCACCGACGTTGACTGGATGTCTTCATGAGCCGCAGTGGTTGCCTTGAAACTCCGCTGCACTGTTGCTCATATTGAAGCTCGCCGTGCCAAGAGCTGCCCGAGCTGAGGTCGCGAGTCGAGCCTACTAGCCCAACCGTCCTTATCGCTCTCAATCCGCGTGGCGGGCGCATTGATTAGCCTCCTGGGAGCAATGCCTTCCATTGCCAGCGCCAGATGAGTCAGAGTCAAGCGCGGCGAGACGATGGCCCAGCCGACGCCATGGCCGACGAACCCGAACTGGCTCGAGCTGACGGCGAGAGCTCCGGTTCCGACGAGGAGACGGTGAAGGGCGATCGAGACGAGGTCCACATCGCCGACGTCCTCAAGGAAGAAGACCGGCCCAACGAGTCCCCAACGTCGACCGCCGTCCCAGGCTCCACCGCCCGCCCCTCACGGGAACTTGTGCAGGCCGAGCAAGAGACGGCGTCGGAAGATGGGGCGACGGATGCCATACCACGTCTTGCCGCAAGCCCTATGGGCTCCATGCTCTCCGTCCCAGACGATACGCCGTCTTTACAGGTACGAAGAAAGAGAATCCTACATGCAAACGCCCAACTGACGGCGCAGCGCAGGGTTCCATGATATCCTCACCCGGCAGCGGCGTGTTGCCTTCCCGAGCCTCCCGTCCCGGCTTAGCCAGTCCGACGCCATCGTTCAGGCCTTTTGATCAAAGGTTCCAGTCACGCATTTCCTCGCCCTACCTCTCGTCACCACGCCCTTCATCCCCCTCCTTCCTAGCAGGTCACAGTCGGAATGTCTCGTTCGGCAGTCAGTTTCTGTTGGATTCAGGAGACACCGAAACCCCGTCACCGCCATGGGAGGTTGTGCGGTGGACGAAGCTGAAGAAGCTCAATGCGCAGGTATTTTCCGAGGCGGGGAGGAGGAATTTCGGTTCTCCCACGTGCCTTGCCGTTTCGGCTGCGATAGTGTTGGGCACTTCGAAAGGGATCATCTTGGTGTTCGACTACAATCAAAACATCAAGATGATCATAGGTCCAGGGACCAAAGGTTGGGAGCTCGATACACCAGCATTGGCATTGTATGACTGACCTTCTCAGCCGTCGAATCCGGTCCCCTCACCGCCATCGCGATATCCGCAGACCATACCACTATTGCGGGCGGGCATGCGAATGGCAACATATTCACCTGGGATACCACGCGGCCAGCGAGACCGTTCCTCAGCATTCCACATCTGGATCCGTCGCGCCAGCACAACAGAACTGCCGACGGCCATGTACCGAATGTTGCGATAACGCACTTGGGCTTTCTCGGCACTCGGCATACCGCCCTTGTCTCCGCGGATGATAGGGGTATGGCCTTTTCACATCTCGCAACCAGGGGTACCGGCGCCCTTGGCAGGACCGTGAAGACGACCAGGATATTGGGCCGGTACCCGGATTCAGCACCGCCGCCAGGTAAGACACTGAAGCCGAGCACCGTCTTGGCTTTTGCTTCGCTCCCTCTCGGTAATGTCGAGATGGCCACAGATGCCATGGGGCTCACGGCGATGCTCACGCCCTATTTGTTGGTCATCGTCTCCACTACCCCTATTGCCCAGACCCAACATAAGTCTGCACGGCCAAAGGAAGTGGCGGCCCACAGCGCCTTAACCGGATGTCTGGCCTGGTTCCCTGGCGTCAAGCTGAAGGTGGCGGATCCTGTGACGGGGAGCCAGATCTCCAAAACCAAGCTAGTTTATTGCTGGTCAAACGTCCTCACAGTCCTCGACGTGGATGAAATACCGGCAGAGGACAAGGACAAGCCTCCGAGCCTCAAGTTTAGGGCACGGAGTCGATGGAAGTGTGAGGAGCCCATCGTCACTGTACAATGGCTGAGCCGGTCGGTCTTGACTGTGCTCACCATTTCTCAGCAGTTGATTGTGCTCGAAGATCGGAGCATGCGCATGACTGAGGCGTTCGACCTCATACACAAGCACATCTACCATGTCGACCGGTTCTCGAAGCAGCTCAGTGCTCTGGTGGAACAGCTCGACGAAGAAGATCCATCAATGCACGGCGTTGTTGCCGACGCCTTCTACATGAGCTTCAAGGCATACAAGGGCCGGCTCTTTCTCCTAGGATTTAACGACGTGTCGATTGGGACCTTGTCCAACTGGGCCGATCGGCTCATCAGCCTGATGGAGAATGGCGACTATGTTGGTGCTATCAAGCTGGCAACGTCATACTACACCGGGGACACCAACAAACTCACAGTGGGACTCCCAGAAGACACGGACCTAAGACATGCAATGGTCCAGGATAAGCTCATGGAAATCATGAGCGCATCTTTGAAGTACGCCTTTGGCCAGAGGCAGAAAAACAGGGATTCGGTGGACGACAGCCACCTGGAGGAGCTGGCCCGGACATGTTTTGTGGGCTGCCTGAGCGTCGGGAAGGTTGACTTCCTCTTCGATGAGATGTACGAGTGGTACGAGGACGCAGGAGTTGAGGGCATCTTCCTCGAGACGCTGGAGCCTTCTATCCTCGAGGAATCCATCACCGCGATCCCACCGACGGTTGTGAAAGCCATGATTACGCACTTTGTCCACAACGGCTGGGAAAGCCGGCTTGAAGAAATGATCTGCCATATGGACACCGCTACTCTCGATCTGGACCAGGTGACACTCCTCTGCAAGCAACATCACCTGTACGAAGCCCTGATCTACGTCTGGAATCGGGCATTGCACGACTTCATCACCCCGCTTTTCGACTTGCTGTCCCTGCTGGTACCGCTTACACAGAACGGCCAGTACTCCGGCAGCCCCATGGAGGCCGAGATGTACAGCGTCAATGCCCTCAAGATATTCCCTTACCTCTCCTACGTCCTCACTGGTCGCGTCTATCCGACAGGTGACCCGCTTCCCGAGGACGTCGCGCAGAAGGCGAAGGCCGAGCTCTACTGGCTTCTCTTCTCGGGGAAGAGCATTACATGGCCAAAGGGCAGCAATAAACGCCTTCTGACCAGGCCTAGCTTGTCGCAAGAACCATCTTTCCCCTATCTTCGGCTGATCCTCAGCTTTGACGCTGCCAGCTTTCTGAGCGCGCTCAATGAAGCATTTGAGGATTCCTTCCTCAACGACTCCCAGGAGAAGTCGGCGAATGGTGGCTCCGGCCGTGATCTTCCTGAAGAGCAAGTATTTGGGTTGACGGTGGACAGGCAGTACATCGTCTCCATCTTGATGGAAATCATGAGCTCATCCGACTTCACCCCGAACGAGACTATTTACTTGGATATGTTTATTGCCAGGAACCTGCCGAAGTATCCGCAATACCTCCTATTCCCCGGCTCGACACTCACTAAAGTCCTGATCGGGCTGTGCAAGTATCCCGGCGCGGATTTGGCCGAGGATGCTCAGCTCAGTGCCGAGTACCTGTTATCTATATACCAGCCACCAGACGTCACGGAACTCATACCGCTGTTCAAAGAAGCTGGCTTCTACCGGATCTTGAAGCGCATTTACAGGATCGAAAAGCAGTACGGGAAGCTTATCCGAACGTACTTTGAAGACCCAGAAGACCAGGAAGCCGTGTTCAACTGCATTGACGTCTATCTCCGACCGCAGGCGGGTCTCACACAGCGACAAATACAGGATGTTCACCGGGTGGTCAAGGAGCATTCCGCAGAGTTTGTCGAGCTGGATCCGGCAATGGCAGCGAAGGTCATTGCAAGACATGCGCCGGAGCTACATCACCACGTTTTGGACGCGGTTGCCGAGCACCCGGAGTTGCAGTACGCCTACCTAAAGACAATACTAGAGCCGGAGAAGGACGCTGTTCCCGGCCGTTCAGCAGACAGAGATCTGGTGGAGCAATACTTGCGGTTGATGTGCAGATTCGATCCGGAACGTGTGTCGGACTACGTTGGCTTGGTCCAGTCGTCCAACCTGAGGCTCGAGCAGCTGCTCCCGACAATGGAGGAGATGGGCGTGGTTGATGCTGCCGTTGTCCTAATGGCGAAGGACGGACAAGTCCAGGAGGCCATGGGCCGGTTGGCCAAGCATCTCGAAACGCTCGAGTCGGCGCTTCAGGGAATCATCGCAGGGTCCCAGGACGAGGCTCGTGGCATGCAAGAGTCAGCGGAGGAGCTTCTGCAGGCACTGCGCAAGTTTGTTCTGGTTGGCGTCTGGCTCTGTCAGGGGCAAACTAAGACTGCTCGAGCTGCCAGTTCTGGCCACCGAGGGCGAAAGGCACCAGCAGATGGGACCCTCTCTGCGGATGAAAATCTCTGGCTCGATTTGATCGATGCGTCGGTCCAGATCACAAAACGGCTGTCCTCAAGCCTGCATAATTTGCCAGGGAGAAACTCGCTTCCCTCGACGAATGGCGACGCTGATCAGCACTCACCTCCTCCTCTTGATTTCGACAAGCTCCTCACACTGCTCCGCTCACTCGTCCAAACCACCTTCACCGCCCTCCTGACCTCAACCTCGAGCCCGTCGAACCTTGCCCCACCGCCCAGCACCATTATGGCACCCACACCTGCTGCTGCTGGCGCGATCGGGATAGGAACCAACCTGACCTTCCTCCGCATCCTCCGCGCCTTCCTCGCCCGCGCGGCCGCGTCCTCGCCCAACCTAGCCGACCTCCGCTCCGTGCTGTCATCGATCTTCTCAGCCTATGCCTACGAAGAGTCGATCCTCCGCCTCTCCAACCGGCTGCTCGAGCGGAGCTTATTCGTTAGCGTAGCCCAAGCCGTTGAGCTGCGGCAGCGGGGGTGGAGGCCGCGCGGCTCGACGTGTGAGGCATGTGGGCGGCGGGTCTGGGGCCCCGGCGCTCAAGGGGCCAAGATCTACGAGGCGTGGGAGGAGAGAAAGGCGCTGGAGGAGAAGAGGCGGTTGCAGAGGCAAGGAAGCAAGTTGGCGATAAGTGCGGCAAGGGGTGATGGTGGTGGTCAGGGGGTTGGAGGCGCTCAGGAGCCGGCTTATACTGGGAAGGGGAAGGGGAAAGACCTGAGCACGACGATGCAACAGCCGCAGGAGGAAAAAGGGGAAGATGGCGGGGGTAGTCGCGATGAGAACAAACAGGACCCGAGAGTCGGGGTAGATGATACCGGTGCTACGAGCTCCCGGAAGACGGATCAACCGGCGCTGGGGTCCTTGGTTTTGCTGGCGTGCCGGCATATCTACCACCAGAGTTGTCTGGAAGCGCTGCTGGCGAAGGATGGGCATGGCAAGGAGACGGAGTACAGGTGTCCTATTGATGGGTAGTCAAGGCGGTGGGCTGCCGGGTGTATACTAGGTTGTGGGCAGCATGCTGATTGGCATAGCCTGTCTGTAAAGTTTGAAGGCGGCATTTGATGCGCAAGGACATATCAAAGTGAAAACTTGAGTCCATGTTGAAAGATTCAAGCCCATCCTACCCCTACTGGCTAGGTAACTAGTACGTAGGTGACCTTAGGTACCGCACTTGGTACGGCACGTTAAGTGGAATGCACAGTCCAATTAGCACCATTTACACAAACTCAAGCTGTCGTTGATCAGTGGGGCAGCCGCTACACTAGGGTGCCGCTATCGATAGGTACTAGTACCGTGGTTTCCATTTGGATGCGAAACACCAGAACACAACTCACCATATTCAATGCATGGTACCATGTCAGTAACTTCAGAGGATGACGGTGCAGAAGACGACGGCCGCCTCCTGGACAGCAGTTCGAGCATGCATAACCGGTCTTACCCGCGCAGCAGCCCGTCAGAGGCCAGTCATCAGAAACAATTTCCGGATCAGGGCCCCAACGACGACAACGCCAACGACAATGACAGTGACGACAAGGACGAACAGGCCTCCGGGTCCGGTACCGAAAACGACTCTGACGCCGACGAAGATGACACCGACCCTCTCCCGCCACCGCCGCCCGTCTCTCAGCATGCCTTCGCACCGCCATTCTACGGCCGCCCGCCCACGCCCTTGCCCCCATCCCCATCCCTGACCTCCCTCCTCCGCCCGTCGCGCCCGACAACCCCAGACGCGTCGGAAGACGAAGGCGGCGGCGGCGGCCACCCGGGCGACCCGCTGCCGCGCGCCCGCCCCAAGGTGCCGACCTACGAGTACTACGGCTTCGTGCTGTACCTGTTCAGCTCGCTGTCGTTCCTGATCTACCTGCTCTGGAGCTACCTGCCGTCGCCCTTCCTCCACGCGCTGGGCATCTACTACTACCCGAACCGGTGGTGGTCGCTCGCGATCCCGAGCTTCCTGGTCATGCTGCTGGTGTACATCTACGTGGCGCTCGCGGGCTACAACGTCGAGATCCTCACGCTGCCGCTGAACAGCGTCGAGACGGTCGTCGATGAGGCCGCGCAGGTCGCGGTGGTCGATGAGCGCGGGAGGATCATCCGTAGTGGGAGGAGGGTGGACAGGGATAAGGTGGGGAAGGCGGAGGGTATGGTCCGGAGGAAGGGGAGTGTAAGGGGTGCTAGCGGTGGTGACGGGCTAGATTTGGATTGGAGGGAGGTCTGGAACGAAGGGACGGACGCTGTTATGGATGTGCCGCTCGCGGGGGTTTGTGAGGTGCTATATGGGGAGGGCAGGGACTGGGATAGCGAGTTGGAGGATGATGACGTGGTGATTACGAGGGTGTAATAAGTCGAGATCGGGACCGTCCATCGGGCGTTACGGCATGGCGTTTGTTTGTGCGTGGAATCCGAGGTGAAGGTGCCAGTTTTATCACGATACCCTGGGCAGGTGGTTTGGTTGCGGGAGTTTATGCAGTGCTATTTATTTTGTTTTGGAGTCTCAGCGACTCAAGGCATCAACCTTGAAGTACATACCTTATGTTATCCGCCTGCTTTGTAGAGACAATGTATAAGATAGTGGGGGACCCTCCGGGTGAGGAGCTAAGGGCGTGTCCCTGCCTGTAAGTAGCTTTTATTAGCCAAAGGCAGGGAACCTGGAAGCTTCCTAACTTGTAAATAAACTCAGTGCCGGTGTGGATTACTGGATATGTACGTATATGTAGAAGGAAGCCTTGCTCGCGTTGCATAGACATCACCTACCTGAAGGTATAATTAAGGGGGTAACGACGGGAGGGTGGGTACGGATACCTACACATAGGTACCTTAGGTACGCTCGGTACGTCGCGTTAGAACCGCCCCACTTCCATGGCGCGTTAATAAAGTTCAAGCACTGCTCCCCGCGAACTTGGGGAATCGATTGGATTTGGCAGCTCTCCCACCCGACTTGCAATTCCATCAACCTCTCCCTCAGCTCAAGTGCAGATCTGTAATTGCATCCGTGCTCTTGAATCTTGAGAATCGTTCACAAATACGGATACCAATTAGAATTCAGCAATATGTCACAACAACCACTTTCCTCGTCGGTGCAGCCGACCGACATCTATGGCGGAGGTGAGCTGCCAACCAGGAAGGAAGCTAACAAAAAGAGCTTCCCAAACTCTGCGGTCGCGCCACAATTGCTGACTGCTGCCAGATGAGGTTTCGGCACTTGTTCTCGATCCCGGGTACTGCAGCACGCGCGCCGGCTTCGCAGGCGAGGATCACCCAAAGCTGGTCATCCCTACGCCCTATCACCATATCAACGGGCGAGATCTATTCGGCGACCCCATCGTCACACCGCGTGCTGGGTTTGAAGTTCGCCACTATATGAACCGCGACAGCGTGGTCGAGGACTGGGACGCCGCCACTCGCGCATGGGAGTACCTGCTAGTGCAGCGCCTGCAACCGCCGCGACCGACCCCTCCGAGCAAAAACCGCCTGAACGTGGGCGACGACGGTGATGTAGAGATGGGAGAGGACGGCGCTGCAGCGGACGCTACCGATGCGCTCGAGAAACCGCTCGCAGAGAACCCGCTTCTCATGGCCGAGGCACCGTGGAACCCGCCCAAGGCCCGCGAGAAGGCGATCGAGGTGTGCATGGAGACTTGGGGCTGCCCCGCCTTCTGGCTCGGCCGGACCCCCGTCCTGTCTTCTTTTGCCGCCGGCAAGCCGACGGCCCTCGTGGTCGACGTTGGCGGCGCCAACATCAGCGTGGCAGCCGTTCACGACGGGATACTCCTTAAGAGGTCCGTCCAACGGTCGCCGGCCGCCGGTGTCTGGCTGAGCAGCCAGATACGCTCCATGTGGAAGACCAACGAGCCGAAAGTCGACGTCGTGCCTTTCTTCATGGTCGAGAGCAAGAAGCCCGTCGAGGCCGGCGCCCCCCCAGATGCAAGGCTGCGCACCTTCGACTTCCCGATTTCCGACTCGTTCCGTGCCTTCGAGGAGGAGCGCGTCGTCAAGGAGTTCAAGGAGTCGGTTGTGGAAGTATGGCGTGGACCGGGACGCTTCATGGCTCCGGGCAACGAGGACTATGCCAAGTCCCAGCCGGGCCGCGTCTTTGAGATGCCGGACGGCGCCAACCAGATGTGGCGCGAGCAGCGCTACCGCGTGGCCGAGGGCATGTGGGATGAAGCGGCGGCGTATCCCGCGGCTTCCGCCGACGAGCCAAACCCGTCCAAAGCGCAGACCATTCCCGCCCTGATCAAGGCTGCTCTAGACGGAGTCGACGTTGACCTACGGCCTAACCTGTTGAGCAACGTCGTAGTCACGGGGAGCACGAGCTTGCTGAACGGGTTCAACGACCGGCTCAACCAGGAGCTCACAGCCATGTACCCCGGTGTGAGGATTAAGATCCACGCTGCCGGCTTCACTAGCGAGAGAAGGCATGGTGCCTGGATTGGAGGGAGCATCCTGGCTAGCTTGGGAACCTTCCATCAGATGTGGATTTCTAGACACGAGTACGATGAGAACGGCCCGAGCATCGTGGAGAAGCGCTGCAAGTAGGGAGGCGGTCTGATCTCGAAGGAGCAACGGAAATTCCTTGAAGAACGAGAGCTAATGCGCCTGGAGCACGACTGGAAGGAAGAGGAGGGGACAGTGTGGACGACCTCTCACACTAAGGAAGGGGTCGATTGTCATGGTTAAAGGACTAAAGAGGCGTACGGACGGTCAAAACTTGGGACCTGGACGGTGGTGTGTTTTGGAATTTAAGGTTTTGGGGGGGGTCGCATGCTTATTGTGCTTACCACCGCTGCGTATAAACCGTGTATTCTTAGGTCACACGTCCACTAGGTCGGTGATAGACTCCTGAAGTCTTATAAGATGGAATTTCGGAAGAGACTCCTTCCTCTTCACCATCCACGCCACCTCGGCCAGACGTCGATGACTTCATCCTCGCGGCCCGTGTTCCTACTATCGACAACCAAATACCAGTCGAAGCAGGCGCCCGTGATGCAGCTGTGATTGGGCCACACCCGAACTCTCTGCCCGTAGCAAAGCGGCACTTCGTCCTCTCTCTTCCCCTGCCAGACCAAGATACCGTGCTCCTGGCTGATGCGTCCAACTTGCCAGCCTTGGTGCACCCGTGGGAACTCTGGGCCGGGCAAGGGGTTCTTCAGCCCCCACGGCATCAGCAGCCCCCAGCCGGAGTAGTCATGCCCCGGCACCTTGCCCTTGTCCGCCACGGGCTCGCGCCCGAGGGCTAAGGTGCCGGCGTTGATGAGGGCTTCTGTGGTGCCGTTGGTCCCGCGGCCGGGGTATACTGTTGTATTCATCCACATCCAAGTCAGTTTCACTATCTCCCCCAGGAATCAAACAAGCATGCATCTACCGGGAAGGCGTCTTACGGGAAGCCACCTCGGCAACCACACTGATGGCGATATCGTCCGCCGTCATCAGCGACGCGTCTCGGGCGTGCGTGGCCAGCTGCTGCAGATCCAGCGTCGGACTTCCTTTTAGTTAGCAACCCATCACAGCCATCTTCACTTGACAACAAACAGCCCAACGACAATCAGCACAGACTTACTAGACCCCGGCATGCACCTCCAACGCAAACCCCTCCTGACGCAACCGCTCCACCAACTTCTTCACCTCCCCCATCCTGCTCCCTTGACTGTCCTCCAGAAACCCGCCATGCTGCACAACCATAGCCGTGGGCGTCGCCCCGACAGATAACACCAACTTCTTCTCCTTCTCCTTCTCCTTCTCCCTCTCCCTCTTCTCCCCCCCTTCACCATCCATAGCGTTAGCCACTCTCTTAGCCTCAATCAGCCTCGCTACCTCCGCCAAGCCGGCGAACTCGCGCTCCAAATAGCCCAGCACGTCGTCCAAGCCGTCGCGCGCGGCATAGCTGTGGCCCGCGTGCGAGTACACCCCGTGCAGGACGCAGGTCCCCGCCCGCTCGGCGGCGAGCACGGCGTCAACGAGCTCGGCACACGCGCCGCCCCCGGACCCGGACCCGGACCCGGAGGACGAGGACGAGGGCGGCGGCGCCACGCCGGCGCGGCCGTACGAGGTGTCGATCTTGAGGAAGACGAGCGGCCGGTGCGTGCTGGCCCGCGTGATGGCGGCCAGCGGCTGGAGCTGGCTTGGGTGGTCGATCATGACGGAGAGGGAGTCGCCGCCCAGGGCGGCGGTGAAGGCTGCGAGGCGGTCGACTGCTGTGGGGAAGAGGGGGAAGGAGAAGAGGACCTGTTTGTGGTATTTTATTTATGTTTTGGTGGTTAGAAAAGTTCTGCATAAAAGGTACTAGGTACCTAGTTAGTGGTGAGTGTGAGAGCGGGGGTGAGATTTACGTTGACGGGTCGGCCGCGGGATTGATATTCTTTGAGGAGGGGAAGAATGTTTTCTGCTTCGAGGATCGTTGAGACGATTAGGGAGACCGGGGCCCCGAGGGAGTCCCCGACTTGAAGGCGGGTGAGCTCCGTTGTCTGTAATGCTGGCTTAGTCGAGCTGCCGCTTTGAGTGTTCATCACAGGAGGATAGTGACTGTGATGAGTGCCGTGCGGTCCCGTCACGAACTGACTTTGTGAGACTTGATGTGAGCCCGCCACAGCAGGCCGAGTCTGTCGGTTGCTTCAAGCATGCGTTGGCAATTCACCTCGAGCTTTGCCAGGTCGAGGACGACGGAAGGCGTCGGAACCTCGTTCAATCTCTTCCCCGCGAACCTGGCCCGGAGCTGCTCTTTGACCTCGGTGCTGGTCACTGTGGCTGCCATGTTGGGGTCGTTTCTACCGAGGTCTCTTCAGCACAGCGTCTACGTTGTAGCAGTCAGGGTAACCTCCAGCCTATTGAGAATAGAGAGGTTGAACCTTTGAAGTGGTAAGCAACTGCGGGGACGGTGCAGCTCATATGGTCCACCATGCCATGCCACATGAACCGACCCCGGAGCCACCCAAACTGAACCCCGTTTTTGAGCAGTGCAGCACTTCAACAAGTGAGTTGGGAGATGACCGCATCGTTGTTGCTCTTTTATGTCTAGGCCTTAAATCACCTCTCTTCCTGGCCAAGTAGAGTCATACACTTAGTATCGACGTCACCTGGACTTATTTACGCCTTAGACAACTGAACGAATTTTGTCAGCTCCCGATTCTCCTTCTTTTCCACTACTATCCCATCACTTACCGTCTTCCCCGCCTTCTTCAATATCTCGTTTGTATTCCTAACTTCTTTCTTGATGCCTTCTTCCTACTTATCTTTCTTTCTTTTTTCCTTCACGTCTCTTTTTCTTCTAATTTCTCTTCTGGTTTCTTCCTTTTCATTTTGGGGGTTGTTTACCCAAAACTTGGAGAGCTTTGCTACGGCTTTCTTTGACTTGAGATAACCACCTAATAGGCAACTTTGACGGCGATGTAAGCTCAGTATGACTTGAATATTCAAGGATGCCACGAACAGCCCTGCGATTGTTGTAAACCGAATTATCGGGTCTTCAGCTGAAGCTGGGGCTAAAGTTTATGAGGCAGATATTGAGGCCAGTGCAGACTTGAATGTCGGTCCCGGAGAGTCATTCGGCATGATGTTGGAGCTGTTGGTTTAGATGAGAGTGGACAGCGCGGCTTGCTGCGTTTCTCGGAGGATCGAAACCTACGTTGAACCTTGTTGGTTCCGGTTGAGTGTCTTGAGAGTGGTAAAGCTCCCCCATCAAGACACAGACGCGGTCTGATACGCATAGTCAAGTCTGAGTTGAACTGAATGGGTATGAGTCGAGGATGAATTCATGATATTTTATGTAGCAGCTAAGCAGATACCCGGGCACATCGGGCCGCAAATCTCCACTCATGGAACTTGGTGCCCCACTATGCAAGTGATCCACCAGTCCAGTCCACAGTGACCGGTGTAACCTTGCACTGTATGTCATGTGACAACATAGCGCTCACAAACTGTGTAAGTAATCCTTTGCCACTGCACCCCACAAACCCAGCCGAGAGACCCATCTTAATTGCCGCACGCGGCATGCCTGAGTCCTTGGCAACTTCGAACTCGCATCTTTCGAAGCAGCGCGACCAACCAACCTCATCTTGTCCTAAACCACAACCACGACTTGTTCTACATATCCGCACACAGCGCACCACTGCACCGAGGGACATTTACGAGCGCTGCGACAAAGAATATCATGATCTAGCCTCCCGCGCGTCGCGCAGCCGCTGGGAGGGTCTCGAACCGCGATCGATTGCAAAGGAGCAGCCGAGTGGAAAGAGCGATTTGGCATGGGCGTCACGATGGCCGGCGACAAGGAGGCTGACTTCAGCGCCCTCAACGAGGAGGACTGGAGGGTACAAGAAGCGGCCGATGACGCGGCAATTCAGAAACTCAATGACGGCCTTGCCAGCGGCGTCTCGGATCTCCTTAGCAAGATCGAGGGTGGCGCCGAATTCGACCAGGCAGGGAAGGCCGATGATGCCGTCGACTACGAGGACATCGACCTGAGCGACGATGAACTGCCTGACGAAGAACTCCCTGCCAGCGGCGCGAGCGGTGACGGCCCCGGCTTGACCGATGACAATGATACCGATGACCTCTTCGGCGAGAATCTCCCCTCCTCTCCTTTGGACGCGCCTGGTGACCTTGCGTCATCACCTCATCCCCTGGACGCGGATGGCGACGACGATATGCACATCGATGGCCCTCCGCGCGAGTCTCTTGCGGAGCTGATCGCTCTGAATTTCGACCACGGACCGAAGCCAAGCGATGCTAACCAGGATCCCAACATCCCCCCTCCAGCCGAGAGCCTTGCCGAAGCAGTCAAGCAAGCTTACCCGGGTTTCAAAGAAAATACTGTTCTCCACTGGAACGAGCTTCTTCGCCCGAAACAGGCCCATTGGATTTCCAAGAAGCCCGCGAAACCCCCCAAACCCCTCGTGCCGACAAAGCTCAGCTTGGAGCTTGAAGCCGATCAAGAGAAGTTGTTCCGGATCCCGGGTCCGGCCACATCGTCCGTCTATCAAAGGATCAGCAATGCCGAGGCGCGTGGTCTCGTTTCGCTTGAGGAGCCCGAGCTCCTAGAGCAAGCAGATCTCGAAATCTTCAACGTAGACGACGGGTCCGATTCTGAAACTATCGGAGGCTACACACTCCGCGACATCGCCGTAGTTTGCGATGACTGGGACTCCATGATCCGCCTTGGCGAAGCCTCCCCTGTTGAGGCTAGCACCACCCAATCCAACGCCATCTCCGACAACATGCTCATTAAGGCTGAGGTTGATGGAGATGATGAGGACTGGGACAGGATGTTCCTCGACGGCCCTGCCCATAAGAAACGGCGCTCAGAGCCACCTAGAGGCCTTCCCCCCGTTCCACGCTTCACTGCTCCTAACTTCGATAACTTTGAAGAGGCCACCTCCAAGCTCGGCAAACGCGTCATTCTTGACATGAATGACCCATATCTTCTCATTGACGACGTTGAATCTGAACGTGTTGCCAAGAGGCGCAAGGTGCAGCACAAGACGGTACGACTGGCGAATGGACGGCTCGGTCGGGATTTGTCGCAGCGCTTCAATTTCTCATCCGACACTGCCTACGACGCCCTGAAGGAGAACAGCCAGAGCAAGGTGCGCGCCACTCTGGCCGCAATTCCGGTCGAGCACAGCATGACGGCACAGAGGCTGTCGTGGCCTTACTACAAGGTGAAGCTCTCCGCTAGCGATCCTCACAGTTACCATCGCCCTCAATTCCAGCCACGGAGGGAGGCTTTCCAGCCTGTCAGGTTCAAGGCGCCGACTCTTAAGAGAAAGCGGCAAGTTAAGGGCAAGAGGGTCTCTGAGGTCTTCCAAACATCATCAGATCTCACCATGAACGACAACTCGACTGCCATTCTCTTCGAATATTGCGAGGAGATCCCCATTGTGCTGTCAAATTTCGGCATGGGCCAGAAGATCATCAACTACTACCGCCGCTCCAAAGGCACAGATTCGAGACCTGAGAAACGGGAACTCGGCGAACCCTATATCCTGATGCCCGAAGACCGCTCGCCATTCTCCATGGTCGGCCAAGTGCACCCCGGCGAGACTGTTCCAACGTTGCACAACCAGATGTTTCGGGCACCTATCTTCAAGCACTCTCCGAGGAGTACTGACTTCATCCTCGGCCGTAGCTCTACGGGCAAAAATGGCTCGACATGGTATCTGCGGAACATCGATCACCTGTTTGTGGTTGGGCAGACCTTGCCGTCTATGGAGGTGCCCGGGCCACACTCGCGGCGTGTCACCAACATCGCCAAGAATAGGCTGAAAATGGTGTCTTATCGACTGCTGCATCGCAGCGACAATGTCACATTGACAGCCATCACCCGCCATGTTGCTGACTCGAACGAGTCGCAAAACAGGCAAAAGCTGAAAGAGTTTCTTGTTTTCCGCAAGGAACAAAGGAATTGGGTACTTCCCGAAGGGGAGGAACTTATGCCGGAGTCCGAGATCCGGTCGCTCGTCCGACCGGAGGACGTTTGCCTCCTGGATGCGATGCAGGTGGGGGCGCACGAGCTTGAGAATGGCGGCTATGAAGTGAACGACGCTATATTTAAGGATGACGATTTGATGGAGGCTGGCGACGAGCTTCCACCGGATGCGCTCGCTAATAAAATGGCACCCTGGCGGCTCACCAAGGCTTTCATCGACGCGAGCCATGGCAAAGCCATGATCGCTGTCCACGGTCCAGGAGACCCCACTGGAAAGGGTCTCGGCGTCAGCTATCTCAGGACCTCTATGAAGGGCGGCTTCCTCGAGCAGCTGCAAGGCCCACTGGCGACGTCAGCCGATGCCATCGAGCGGCAACGGAAGGCCAACGGTGGCCACATGTATAACGTAAAGAATCAGGATACGTTGTACACCGAGTCTCTTCGAGACATCTGGACGCGGCAGAAGCAGAGCCTGGAGGATACCCAGGAGCACGATGACGACGACATCGTAGCCCAGGAGGACGAGGACGAACGCTTCAATATGCAAAGCCAGGGTACCCAGCCCACGGCAGTACCCGATGGCTTTAGTCAAGTGAGCCAGAGCCAGGCTAGCGCCTCGAACTGGCGGAAGTTGAAGATCATTCGCGAGGTCAGGGGTGAAAACGGCGAGATTCAGACGGTGACCGAAATTGTGCATGACCCTGTCGTCATCGCACAATATCACAAACGGCGCCGTCAAATGGATTTCGAAAACATTGAGTGAGTGACCTGCCGTGTCCGTTACAGTGTATGACAGTACTAACGGATGTTCCAGCATTTACAACGCCCAACTCACTGGCGATCCCGAGAAGGACGAACTGATCCTTGAAAAGTGAGTTTCCGTGACCAGCTTTTTCATGTACGCATGGGATGCTAACTATGAGCAGGGCCCGTATCGAGCAGGAGCGTCTGGAAAAGAACAAAGAGCGACGTAAGAAGCGCGAGAAACAGAAGAAGCTCCAGCAAAAGATGCGGGATGGCGGCGCTGGTGACGACGGCTCCCCTGAGCCGACGACGGAGAAAGTTACGGGCACGACCCGGAAATGCGCCAACTGCGGGCAGGTCGGCCACATCAAGACCAACAAGAAGTACGTAGGTATCCATTTGCTCTTAGGAGGATCCTGGCGTGGTCGGTAGCCTGGCAAGCGCTATGGCCGAGACGAGGCGGTTTTGCTGGGAGATGGGCGTTTTTAAAAGCATAATGGGCAAGACCCATCGCCCAAAACGAACGTCAGCCCATCGACCGCCCGCTGGACCCTGCATGCTTTTGTTCTTTCCTGACTCCTTTCTCCCCTTCCTCTGCTTGGCTTCCATTTTCCTACCGGTGCTCGTGCTAACTGTTAACTCAAAAGACTGTGTCCACTTCTCAACGGCTCACGTCCCCGCGACGAGAACCCGGACGACGCAGTTAGCCTTGGGTCGACCAACGCCCCGGTTGCCGCTAGCTTCATCAACCTAGGCTGAGATGCTCAAGATTTTCTGGGCCCAGGACCACAAGAAGATAATATTCTGCTTTCTATGTTGGGTTTTCTGCGCTTTCTTTTGGGTCTTCTTCCACTGGGTTTTTTTGGCAGGGCGTTTCATTGCAGGAGGCGCATACAATGCTTACAGACAAGTGGATATGGTGAACTACCATGGTCTACAATTGGCGTCATATTAGGGTATGGTATGAGATGGGATGATTTCAGATAATGGAATCGCCGGTGATGGGTGTGATTTCTACAGCGCTTCACTAGGCAGGGTATCATGATGTTTGTCAGGGGGCATTCCCCAGTATTCTGTTACGTATATGGACGGGGTATAGTAAGGCAGGGGCAATATACCCTATGGTTCTCACTCGTGGTTGAGTTTGTTGCGAATGTCGGGGGTCCCCCTGGCTCCGGGAGCGGTCTTTATTCTTGGTAGTAGTGCTAGGTTCTGCTACGACAGCAGCTACTTCGGGGCTCAACCTCACTCTAGAAAGCGGCTTTCGAGAACTCTTTCTTAAGCTCCATCCGAATGGCCCAGCCTAGTCTTACCCCAGCGTCATCTGTCCTTGACATGCAGCGAGCGGATAGCATCTCCGCAGACCTTTCGTAGCACAGAGATCAGGTGGGAATGACCGTCAGAGCCCTCTCGAGCCTGGAGGGTTAGTCAATGCAAACTCTCATAAGAGGTACCTAGGTAGGGCGTGGGCGCATGCGTTTCCTAGAGCTACGTCACATTATGAGTGCACACCCTCAAAATAGACTACTCTACTTCTCTACCTTCACCGAAGTTGACGCTCTCCTAAGATAGGGAATCGTAACTCAACCTCACTCCGCGATCATCTACCTGCCTGTCACGTCTCGGCAATGAAGCAATTGTGCGGCGAGGCTGCGCCTAAACTAGGTAGGTATCTTACCCGATCGGCCGGATCTGGCATCTGAACAAGACCACAAAAGACTCAATGTTGCGCCGTGCCGTTGCATGAGGGTGGGATTCTTAGGTATGTGCCGGCGCTTGCGTTCTAGATTCGGCTTTCGCTACCGGACGATCTATCTCCCCCACCTTCTCAGCCTTACCCCGATTGTCTGATTGTCGTCACAATGTATGTACAGATCAGGACGCACTCTTATTTGATCTAAGTTGGGAACCTGGGAAGGGCAATATCTGCTGCATGTGTGGGTGGTAGCTAGCGGTAAACTAGTGTGATGGGCGCCGTTGATGACGGAACTAAGACCGTTTGGTGGGTAGAATAGCCTCCTAGTGAGAGGTATCCTTGGTTACGAGTTGTCGAGGCTATCACGGTGATTCCCTAGCTTATTCCTGGCGAAAGACTCGCAAAGGCATACACATCCGTCATTTACCACCTAAATAGGGACTAAGTAACGTGCCCAGAGCATAGCGTGTAGCTCGATGGAGAAGAAGTCACCTCACAAGAACTCTACGACTATCGTCATGGCACAGGAGGTACCTTGCTTAACCGCCGGTCCCTGGATACGACAGCGTCGTCATCCCGAGGCACTGGTCAAGGCATACCTTCACCGACGGGGCCGTCGAACGGGATGGAGGCCGTCCCGCTCCTCCGGCCCGGGTGTTGATATTTGATCAAGATGCGCATATGCAGCTCAGAATAGCTCCCGGTGGTCAGCTCATGACTACTTGCTGGCGTGTGATGGATGATGATTGATGCGCGGCCATGATTGACAATGTTTATTGGCGGCAAGATAGGACACCATCACGGCGAGACGTAAAGTGGTGAGTTCAGGGTCTAATGGGCTCAATGGAATGCAGCCATGGGTGAAGGAGCCGGACGGTAGACGTTGGGTGGCACCTTGACCGACGGCCCCTGCTCCGGTGGAAGCTGCAGGTGGTTGTGCTAAAAATAGCTAAAAATAGATACCGCTAATGCGGAGTGCCGGGGAGATCGCAAGCGGGCAAATTGTTCGATTTGCCCAATAACAGTGATTTAACCCTTTCGGCGCTTAAACTGGGCTAATATCTGCGCATCACCCCACCAATCACCATCCCTATCATCCTAATAAGGGTCAGACCAGCTGTTCGTCCAATGACAGACGGTTCGGCAGTCAACGAACTCGCCAATGTCCACCACCAAATGTCCGCGCCTTCAACCCGCTGCGAGAAGGTTTCTGCAGCTGGGACGTATGTGAACGTGAGTCGGCCAGCGTCTGGCCTTGGTAGACCGCATCGTCAAGAGATCCCGGAACCGTGATGATGCCATGCTTATGACTGCCATCCTTTCTGTTTCGGTCCGAGAATAATGGTACCAAGTGACATAGCGGTATACAACTGGAGCAGCAGGAACAAGTCTAACCTGGAGAGCCTTATTATGCACGAAAACCGTTGTATATCTCACCCTCTCGGAATACGCCTTGGCGTGATGGAACGTCTATCGCAGTTGCGAACTGTTCTCAGGTCAGCGAAATACCTGTCCGCGCGGTATCTCCTGTACCCAAGGAAGGTCAGGTACCCGATACCGTACATCTCTAAGGAACAGAGATATAGATAAGGTAGTAGCCGAAGTATATGCCTGCGGGTAGGCGGCGTGGCGGTACACTCTGGATGAGAAACCTCCCTCGCTTTTCATGTTCCCATGTCCTCATATGCGGCTCTTATCGACCGGCTTGTCTGCGAACCGAGAGGTAGCACGTCTGAGGTTCTAACCGTGAGGGCGACGGAGCTGGCCTGCCGGATATACACTAATGGCCCCACAACCTAAGCTAGTCGGGATCTGCATCTGTCCGAGGCTGAATAGCAGCCAACGGGAAGGAGGCTCGGAGGGTACAGACGAGTCCTCCGGTCCGGAACATCGGGTGCGGTTAAGTTCATTTCCTGTAGGCTTTCAGCAGTTTGGGACCTCTACTGATGCTAGTGTATACGTCCAGACTACCTTCCCCCACCACACCATGGAAGCACTAGAAGCCGTCTGTGACACAAGCTCTAACGGCTGACATCACGTTCGAGCAGTGAGCACCTATCGTTCTTTCGCAGTATTCCCGGCTTTGTCTGCGGCAGCCCTACCGGAAGCACAAGCTTTCAATCCTACGGTACCCATCCCGCCCTCTTGGTGCATTGCAACTGCACGGGACAGTGGGTGCACTGCGAACGTCTTAGCCGGGCATTGACCCGATTTGCGGTATCCAGAAGTGTCCCAACCGGACATACCTCATGATATAGGGTTCGAGGAATGCCGGATCATCTCAGCATTCTTACCATTTCCAGAACTTATTGTTCGCCACCCCATAACATAGGGTGCAAATAATCCCCTTCTCCATAATTACGTCGGAATCAATATAATCACAGGGTGGGTCCTTTCATACACAGTAGTTTGCCTGTCCCATGGAAGCATCGTGATGTCTTTATCCGTCCCACTTCGAAAGTTCGAAGTACAAGTACCTGGAAGCGGACAAGGGCGTTGACAGACTTCGGATCAAGCCAGCCAATCGCGTCCGTGATGTACCCCTTGTCACACAGTGCCACTTGTGGGCCCGCCAAGCCTGACTCGTGGCTTTCCCGACCTCTGCCCCTGCCCCAAGTCCCAGCGGATCCCCTTGCTCCAACTTCCCCGGGGTCTCTTGCCTTTTCCCCTTCCCACTCGTTGCCCACCTTCTGTCTCTCCGTCTTCTTCTGCGAGCTATTATTAGCAGCACCAGATCCAGCCTCATCGCTCTGAACTGCACGACGTCGCCGCAAGTACCTGAGTATCTTTTGGCTACCATTGTCGCGGACAAGGAATTTGACGTCGACGGTCGAAATCCACGGTCGCTTCTCCGTAGCAGGGCACAAAAAGAAGGCCCTCGCCCCAACATCACCGTTTGTCGCGGTTCGTGGGTTTCAAGTATCACGTCGCGGCATCTCCACCGCGAACTGGCCTGCCCCCGAAGCCCCGCTAGCGCATATACTGGCAGCTCTCCGTCGCACTGTTGACGACTCAGTCGGCGCTTTCTTTTGCCTCTTCGGGTTTTGTGTTGGCTAGCTCGCCGTTCTCCCGTCGATTTGGAAATCATCAACACTGCTATTCGATACGCTTGGGAACCAGCAGCCATAGCGTATTTCCAGATCGTCGCCGTCTCGGCAGCCACGCGACCGTCACAATGGGCCGCAGGAAGATCGAGATTAAAGCCATTAAGGACGACAGGAACCGCTCTGTGTAAGCAAAGACCCGCCCGGATTCCTACTACCTGCCACCGCTAACTGTCCGTTTTGCGACCAGCACCTTTCTGAAAAGGAAAGGCGGTCTCTTCAAGAAGGCGCACGAACTATCAGTGCTCTGCTCTGTGGACGTCGCCGTAATCATCTTTGGCAGCAACAAAAAGCTGTATGAGTACTCGTCAGGCGATTTGAGAGAGTTAGTGGCGCGGTGGACCTATGTATGTTGACTCGTCCAACCTAGGGTCAAGTTCGTATCCGTACGGCTAACAGGGCCCTTCATAGCACGGTAACCCAAACGAACACAAAGGTCCGGCGGATTTCAACGGTGCTGATGAAGACGATGACGACGAGAATGGCACTCCGCCGCAAGGCGAAGGCATGGATAGCCATGTGTTCCCTTCTCACATGTCGGCGATGCAGCCTCCCTTCCCTCATATTCGGCATCACACGCCCTCGGCATCGCCCCCGATTCCTAATGGTGTCTTCGGTCAGCACCCTGGAAATGGTCCTCGCGGCCACACCCCGCAGCCTCAGATCGGCTCGCGGCCACCATCGCGGAACGATGTTCGCCGAATGGGCCCGACCATGGTGGGCCAGCCGGTTGGGCCTCCGGGAGCTCAACCACCATCAGTTAATGGCTTTACATTCATGCAACAACCGGGCATGTACAGCGCCCAAAACCCTTCCAGCATGCCGCCTGCCATCCCGCACGGGCTGCCCCAGCCTCACCACCCGTACCCCTACCCACAGCCGCAACCACAGGCACAACCACACCAAATGCACTCATACGTAGACGAGCGAAGACCCTCGGGACCTCCTCCATTCGCTCCCCAGAGCCAAGGTCCCCCGGCAACCCGCCATTCCGTGTCACCGCCGCAGCCGCCCGCTGCGCAGCTTCCTCCGCAACCGGTTCCGCACATATCGCCCCCTCCCCCACAACCTCAGGTTCATCCGATGCAGAGCCCACCGCACACTCAGCAGCATCTGCCACCGCCACCCCCGCCTCCGTCGACACAGGAGCCCCCGTGATTCGGCGTCCATCCCAAGAATCCCAGACATCCGTCCCAGTGAAACCCGAACCACGCCCAGAACCGGTGGAACGGGCACGCCAGCCCCTTCTCTTGGATACCAACATCAAGAAGCAACCGCCCCGCAAAGGAGGTAGCATATTCACGCCTATAGATGAGAACCAGTCGGTTCTCTTGCAGCACATAGCTGCGTTTCAAGAGACACCGCCCAGGTCCCAATCCATCGACGTTGGCAGCGTCTCGCGAAGTAGCAACTCTCACTTGCCCGCCGCCCCTCATCAACGCCCAAACACCCAAGCACCACAGCCACAAATCAAGAGGAACGGCTCTTTGGGGACAATCCCAGATACCGTTTTCACACCACCGTCACGATCCAATAGTATGCAGGCGGGTGGTGCCGCGCGGCCACGGTTGAAGGTACAAATTCCGGATGAGTCGGATGGCGGGAGCACTACCAATGGCTCAACGTCTCCCCGGAGAACGACATCGACCGACGTCACTTCCCAGCCGTCGAGACGCCCTGCGGACTCACATACCTCTGGCGTCGTCCTCCCGCCTCCTTCACCATCAGCTTCGGCAATGCCGAACGAGACGCTGCTCTCGGCGGGAGCCACGGGGCCGCCGAACCCCTTCGCCAGGCCGCTCCCTCACCAAAACAACAACAATAACATGAACATTGATACGCCAGTGTCTGCCTTGCCGTCTCGGTTCCTCAACAACGAGTTCTTGCCGAGTCCGAGCAGCTTCTATCCGGACTGGAACTTCCGCGGTAACGATAGCAATACACTTCCGAGCCCGCTGAACTTTGCGACCCCGGTGGTTGGAACAGGCCCGTCATTTCTGAGAGACGACCCTTTGTCGTTGAAGAGAAAGAGTCCAGAAATTAGCGGTTCTAATGGAGCCCATCCTGAGCCGATTGACACGGGGAGCGATGCGAAGAGGACGAAGGTCGAATCTTGAGATCTCAACTCTCTCGATATATGTGTTACGTGGAAGTAAGTTATGGGAAGTGGTTGAACATCCTTCGCTTCGGCTCTGTATCATATTTTTTCCCCGCCCACTGGAACTCTGGGGCTTCAGTTTTAACGGCTGGGTTTGACAAGCCTAGTTGCGGTTCTTTGGCAGGTTGGTTTGCGAAGGGCATTGGGATGCCCCTGGCGTTGGGACGAGGTCCAAAAGGGATGATGGCACTGGTTACGACCGAGATGAGTTTGGGAACTTGTGAATGGTTTGAGACGCAGTTGGCTTATGGAAGTCCGGGTTATAGGCGTATTTTGGGGGCAAGGAGTTATTTTGCACGGATCCTGTGCTGTGGAATGACGTCTATGTGCTTGGATGTCTCAATATAGAGCTAGACTGCTACCTATACTTTAGAGAGCATCCAAATGTTTACCGGCGAACTCTTCCAATGCAGCGCGGTCGGTATGTGCTGCTACCTGGAGCGATGCTCACAACCAAATAACATATAAACGCCATAGGCGCCAGGCCTTCCCCCCACAATCTGCAAGCGAGTAAGGCTGGGCGCATGGCGGCCGAGGACCGGTCCGCTGCCGACATGTGGCCCGACCGGCACGGAGTCTACCCAAGGGCGTCCCGGTAGTTCGGGAACCCTGGGTGTCTGCAACATTCAGATTGGGTGAGGTAGCAATGGAGAGTGGAGTGCCATGGGCTCGAGGCGGCTCTGTTTCTATTCTTAGCTCGACCTTCCCACCGGCCGGTCACCAGCTGCACTGGGAACGTATTCCACTTTGCCTGGATGCGGTCTACTTCATTTTCGAGTCGACTAACCGGTCCATGGTCGGCTCAGCTACGCTGGCGCCGACATTGTACATTGATTCCTTACCTACCTTAGTGTTTACTCCATATGGTATGCAATGCGATAGATAACTGGAGAGTAAGTGCTTTACAGGGGTCGTTTGGCTGTTGTACTAGTATACCAGTAGTTGGGCTATGGAAGTTGGGTTTTCCCAAGTTCTTGCTGTCCCCCTTTGCTTGTATAGCTTTCTGGATAGTCAGTCTCGTCTTGCAAAAAGTCCGTTCGTGTACAGCTCAAAGTCCTTCTTCTACCTTCTTGTCGAGTTGATGACAATGGGGGCAAGTTCTTTTGCATCGAGATATCCTGCTCATGAAGAGAGGATGAGCGTGAGCACCCTTCCGATTGCCAATGCAAAGGAGGGAAAAGAGAATGCTTCCGGACGGATTCGAACCGCCGACCTTCTGCTGTTCAATACTAGGCAGACGCTCTACCCCTGAGCCACGGAAGCAGCCACAAGAAGCTTGTGTGATGTGCCCACGAACATTGCCATTACAATTCAGAAGATCAGGATTCGTTTGAACTGTTGACACTATCAGTTAGGGAACATGCTAGCTGGATTACAGCAGAGAATCATATTACATTTCATTCCTGTATCATAACCCAACATAACAGTATCCCGTAAACCTGGTCCATTCTGACCTCACCCAAACTTGTCATGTTTACTCTTGACCTTGAGATCCAACAGCTTCTCATGATAATCCCCCTCTCTCCTCGCCTTCTTGAGCATCTTTACTTCCTCCTCGGATAGCTTCCGCCCGGCAGCCTCCTCCAGCTCGCGCCTGCTGATCTTCTCCTTTGCCTTCTCCTCCTTCGAGGCCTTGATCCGCGGCTTGAAGCGCGCCTGCATGCGCACGCGCAGCGTCGTGTTGAACGTGATCTCCGTCTCGTCCCCGCGCACCTCGGGCGGCGCGTTGGCTTTGGAGGAGCGGGACGCGCGTATGGTCAGGAAGGTATCGCGCAGCGTCTGGACCTGGAAGGTGCCGGGCGTGTCGGCGGTGGCGATCAGGCTGAAGGTCTCGAGCGGGGAGATGGCGTCGGACGTGGCGGTTAGGACGCCAATCTTGTCGCAGGAGAGGTACTTCCCGTGGTGGCCCTTGAAGCGGAAGTGCTCGGTGCCCACGATCCGGTTCGCGACCCAGACCTGGCGCACATCGTGGGGCTCGGCGGTGGATGGGTTGCCGTCGACGATGTTTTCGATGGGCAGCGCGAAGACCTTGCCATTGGCATCGCACGCCAACGCAGACGGCGGTTCGCTTGGCAAGACAAACATGATGGGCCCCGCGATGTCGGTCACGACGTCGGCCGAGACCCAACTGTCGTCGTTGTCCGGGTCGACGACGAGGTCGGCATCTGCTTTGGCCGCTTTGAGCTGCCGCTCCGGGTTGTCATCTTGTCCTGCGCCCTCCCCGGCGTCGGTGCGCTTCCGCTTTTTGGGTTTCTTGTCGCCTTTGAATGTGAGCGGTTTGACCATGTTAACTGGCCCCGTCGTGGACGGGTAGGAGCAGTTATGGCTTCGAAGGTTGCAACTATCAGGTATGGAGATAGCGACGAGGCGAGCTAGGATAGTGTTATCGACGCGATAGCGTCACAACTGTAACGCCGCTAGTCTCCACAGCGGGTCTCGCCGGCTCTTGGCGGCTCTGCAAGCTTCCACGAATGCTTAGCGTCCACCCCACCATCTCTGAGGGGCCGGGCACAAGACCAGCTCAGGAAGGTCATGACAGGCGTGATGGATCTTAGAAAGTCTATGTAAAATCATCATACACCCGCTACCAATCCTGATGTGACACAAATAACATTGTTCACACTATGGCACCCATCGCGCAAGCAGTGACGGTGTCGCTGCAGGACCTTAAGAACGGTACGCAGGCTTAAACAGTGCAACGAGCGCCTTGTGTAAGTGGCCTCGGCTGACAAGCACGTCGCGGCGACAGGGAATGTCTCATTGGAAGCTCTCCATGAAGCTTTCGGGCCAGACTCACTCGGAATTCTGGTGGTCAAAGATGTCCCCGCCGAATTCGCCAGGCTGAGGCACCATCTGTTGTCATACTCATCGTACTTGGGGAATCTGCCCAAGCCGCAGCTCGGTTCGTCTCTGCTCTTGCGCGCGTGCGACAGGCTGGCCCGCTGATAACGTAAAGACAAGCTTGAAAACGCAAAGGCCAAGTATTTGACCGGATGGTCCCTTGGAAAGGAGACGTTGAAAAACGGCCAGGTGGACACGCTGAAGGGCTCGTTCTACGCCAACTGCGCCTTCTATGTCGACCCGAAGCTGGCTTGCGCTGTGCCCACAACGCAATTCAACCCGGATAACTTCCCCGAGTACCTCTCACCCAACATCTGGCCCGACGAAGACACCTTGCCTGGGTTCAAGGAGACATTCGAGGACCTATGCCGTCTGATCATCGACGTAGCTGTTCTCGTCGCGCGGGCATGCGACAGGTTCGCGGAGAAGGAGATCGTCGGCTATCCCAGCGGCTACCTGGAGAGGGTCGTGAGCACCTCGACCACTACCAAAGCCCGCTTGCTGCACTACTTCCCCGACGACCCCACCAACGAACCGTCTCCGGTGGCGATGCCGGACGACGTAGCGAACAGCAACGACCCGGACGAGGATGACTGGTGCGCAACCCACTTGGACCATGGCTGTCTGACCGGCCTGACATCGGCAATGTTTGTCGATGAGTCCCAAGCCAATCCGACGGTAGCTGCGCCCGAGATCGAACCAGCTTCGCCCGGTCTCCCGGCACTCGCTCCTCTTCCCGAGCTCGAGGCGTCGCCCGATCCGGCAGCCGGTCTATACATCAAATCCCGCACCGGCCAGACAGTCCACGTCAAGATCCCCCGCGATTGCATCGCCTTTCAGACGGGCGAGGCGTTGGAGCGCATCACGCGCGGAAAGTTCAAGGCGGTGCCGCACTTTGTCCGCGGAGCCCGCGCCGCGCTGAGCGAGGGCCGCATTGCGCGGAACACGCTGGCTGTATTTACCCAGCCGAACCTGGGTGAGGAAGTGGATATGGACCAGCAAATCACCTTTGGAGAGTTCGCTCGAGGCATCGTTGCGAAAAACACTGTTTCTTAAAGGATCGTGGGTTAATGTACGAAGGTCGAGATAGGTTGGGAAAGTAAGGTACTCAACTTCAACCTAAAAACGCAGATGAGGACAGGCTGGTGCACAACGAGTGTCCCTAGTGTAGGTATGTAACTTGGATACTGAGGTACTTTTATGTCTGAGGACAATCGAGGAATTCACTCTAGATGGAAGCTGAAGAGGCCTGAGAACAGGTTGAGGCAGAGATGGCCGAATCGAGAGTCGCGTGAGACAGGCTCGTACCCTTGTCTCTCAGGCATTCAGCTAGGGGCTCCACCCGCCTGGACTTAGCGTGTTTTGCTCGCGGGGCTCTTCCATGTCGCGCGACCTCCAGCTGGATCCCTGCGCGAAAGATCCGGCAGCCAAAAAATTGCCGCTTCGAGGCGAACTTCGATGTTGCCCTGAGTCGGGATCTTCTCGGCTGTCCGCTCCTTCATTGTCTGTATCTTCGAATGTTTCACAATATAATTGAGTTTTTCAGTATAGATACGATCGATTTAGTTGCCTCGACTACCTGCTAGAATTGTCTGGATTGAAGAGAAGACGACCCTTCCCGACTTATACGGCTCTGCCGAGCCATCCGAGCAAGATGGTCACCTCCCAGTTCTCCTTATCCGCATGGCTACTGCTGCTAGGAACTGCGGCAGCAGTCCCGAAGCCTACGGGACTCGTTGCTAGGCAGGCTGCCGACCTGGACAACCTCTGGGTCACGGTTGACGAGTCTGGCGTCCCAAGAACCGTCACGCCCGTCCTGACAACCATCAGCGGCACTCCGACGCTGCTCAACGCCCCGCCGCACGATGTGACGGCCACCGTATGGACCAAGCATCCGTATGGCGAAGTGACGACCATCACAGGCCCGGCCCGGCCGAAAGCCACCAACGACAAGGGCGCCGGCGCCTTCGCGGCCTGCCGCAACATTGATGGCGAGTTCAAGCCATTCTGCATGCCCAAGAACAACGACGTGTACTACCCGGGCTCAACACACTACAGTAAGAACACCACCCCCGTTCCCCCCTTCCACCATGCTTCTTCCCAGGCCCCCTTCATACTAACTCCTCGGTCCGAAAAAAGTAACATGGGACCCGGCCTTCTTCAGCTCCTCCAATACAACGATCAAAGTCCTAGGCTACTACGTCAGCAACGACACCGACATCCCCACATCGGGCCCGCCGTCGGGCGAGGAAGAGGCCTTCAGCTCCGACTACATGGCCGCGTCGTGGGCCTTCTACCAATGGCGCCTGGACAAGTCCCTGCTGACCTCCCAGTCGGCGCAGGCGGTCAACATCACGCTGCGCATCGTCGCGCTGCCGCGCGGCGGCCAGGCCGCGCAGTGGCTCGCTGGCCCCACCATCACGCTGCGGTACAAGCAGGCGCCGCCGCCCAAGAAGTCCAAGGCGCCCGACACGCAGGCGCTGTACGTGGCGCTGCCCATCGTGTTTGGCTTCGCGACGCTCATGATCGGCGGCACCTTCTTCTACACGCGGCAGCTGAGGAAGATTGATGTGGGCGCCATCGTGCGGGCGGCGAAGAATGCGAATGCGAGGAGGAGGAACAAGAGGAGGGCTGCGGCGGCGGGTAGGCAAGTCGGGGCGAGCAGGAAGGATAGGGCCAGGAATAAGGATAAGGAGCAGTCAATTCGGCTGATGGATCGCCAGGGTGGGGGGAGCACGGATACGGAGGAGGAGGAGGACTGGGAGCAGGGGTGGAGGCATGAAGTCCCTGGCAGGAGAGATAGTGAAGCCGGGGTGGGGGCAGGGACGGAAGAGCCTTCCTGGAGGGGGCAAAGATTGGATAGAAAGCGGGCGTAGGAGTGTCTATTTTGGGTCAAGGTTCCAAAACATAGATTGATGGCTCTTAAATTCGGGAAGTCCATTGGACGTCAATAACAGGTAATACCACCAGGGGTAAGTATAACTCTAGTAGATTTCTCGAGTAATCCCCATTGGGTTGTTTACTCGCTTCCTGCTCCGCAATGGTTTTCATAGAAACAGCTATCCAACTCGCCATATCCAGAATCGTCACATACCGGTAAAAATCTACTACTGTCCCCAGCTAATCTCCCACTCGGTCGCCCATGCCCCGTGCGGGAATAGCTGGTTTAGACCACGCAAAGACAGCAGTGCCTTGTCCTCTGAATAGTTCCAGCACGAAGGGTCAAGGTCGTCCCCGTTGAACCACACTTTCGATGGGGCCTCACGTAGCCCAATGATGGTGGCATTCGCAAGGGCGTTCGTATCGACGTAAGTCCCCTCTGGTCTCACAGTCAACGAATCGGTCTTGGCAGAGAACTAGGTACGGGTAGTTATCAAAACCAGTCAGTCCAACAATCCTCCATGACTCCTTGTACAACACCTTCCGCACCACCCTGGAATAGTAACATACCTGCACCCATGTGACAGCACTCGGCTCCAGACTCTCACCGTCGTCAAGGTAGAGGCTCCCCGTAGCACATCCGTCTCTATCGAGCGCCACGATCAAGCCCCACGGATTCTTCCGGCTCTCCGTGGTAGTCATACCTGGCTCCTGGATGGGCAGCACGCTGCCGCCGCGCAGATACACCGGAATATGTCCGAGCGGGGCGTCGATGGTGACATTCTGGCCCGGCTTGACCATGGCATCCTCCACTGCCGTGAGAGTGTACCAATCATACCAGATCGTCCCCTGAGTAGCAGCGCCGGGGAAGACAGCGCCGACGGTCGAGGCGCCCTGTTCCAGGCAGGGGGTGACCATCAAGGCGCTGCCGAGCATGAACTGCCGGTCGGCGTGCGCCAGCCACGGCTCGCTGGGGAACTCCCACGCCAGGGCGCGCATCACGGTGCTGCCGTCGAGGCTGGCGCGCGCCATGAGCGTGTACAGGTACGGGAGGAGCGAGTAGCGGATGCGCATGGCTGTCCTGGCCGCGTCGGCGACGCTGCTCCAGACGTAGGGCTCCTGGGGGATGGCGCCCAGGACATTGTGGTTCCGGTAGAAGGGGAAGAAGGCGCTGAGCTGCATCCAGCGCGAGCAGAGCTCGTAGTCGCTGTTGCCGCCGAAGCCGCAGGTGTCGACGCCGAACATGGGGATGCCGAAGATGGAGAAGGACAGCGCCTGCGGGATGCTGAAGTACATGTACGCCCAGAGCGCCTCGTTGTCGCCGCCCCAGTGGCCCGCCCATTTTCCGGACCCGGCAAAGGTGCTGCGCCCGATAATGAACGGACGTTTCCCTCCGTGCACCTTCAGTAGGGCGTGGTACGTGGCGTTGAGGATCAAGTGGCCAAACAGGTTGTGGAAGTCGTACTCGACGTAGCCGCCGTGGTGGGTTGCGTTGGGGCTCGTGGCGTGGACGGCCAGGTCGCCGTGGTAGTTATTGATCACATAGGGCGGCCAGTTTACGTTCCGCGCCCCAGGCGTAGGCGTGGTACGGTGGTAAGACGTCGAGCTCGTGGTGGGTGTACTCGTAGCAGCCTGTGATTGCAATGCAGACGACGCTGAGGCTGCCTCCGTGGAGTTCGTGCGCTCGAAGCCTTCGGGATACTGCAGGACAAGGTTGCCTGGCTCGCCGGGAAGCTCAAACGGCGGATGGGCTGGATTCAGGGTCAAGTTCCCGGTGCCACAACTCCCAACGCAGAATGAGGCGACCTAGATGAATTAAGTTAATAAGCGATGAATGCAGATATGGCAACTGCTGTACTTACTTCGGACATATCGATCCAGAGGCCGTCAAACTGCGCAGGCGTCTAGGTCAGCTGCATCCTCCTGCCGTGGCTTTAGAGCAGAGGGTTGTTTCTAGGCCCTCTGATCTTGATTCCTACTTACTGCGACCTTCTCAGACCACCTCGACACTTCGTCGATCCACCAGTCAATGGCACCACTGCCGTTAAGAACAGCGCCGACACAGTCGGGGAATACTACACCACAGTCAGCACCCAACTTGCTCGTAATGCATTATACTTGGTGTCGACGAACTTACCAGTATACCCAGGCCACACCGCGCCGTAATAGATGGACCCGTCCGGATTCAGAACGAACGCATTCGCCTGGACCCCGCGCTCGTACGGAGGATAAGCGTCGCTGGGGTCCTCCGGGTTCGGGGCGTAGATGGCCGAATCGACAATCGGTACCCAGTGCTTATGCTTCGCATGGAGTTTGGCCAAGAACTCAGCACCTTCGCTGTAGCTGTACTTCACAGGGTCGTTCTCAAAGTCCCGGTACAGCTTCATGTAATCAATGTCGGCTGCCATGATGTGACATATCAGTTCAGCGATTCTCATCCCCCACGCTGGGCGTATACTATTCGACGACAGGCGGGCCTCAACTCACCCCAGATGGTCTCCAGTGGGATCCCGGCCCTCTCAAAACTGTCGACCACTTCCTGCAAGGCCGCCCAGCTCTCGTATCCCCAGCGGCACTGGTGGTAGCCGAGTGTCCAGTATTGCTGCATGGCCGGCAACCCGACCGTGGTCTGCTGGTAGGCCTTTGCGACGTCCTCTGCACTCGGTCCGCTGTAGAAGTACAGATCGATACTCCCACCCAAGGTCCTCCATGTGATGCCAGACGGCCGGAGAAGGATCTCCTGCGCGTGCGCGTTTCGGAGGAACACACCGTGCGTGTACGAGACATAGTTGGCCGCCGTATCCGTCGCATCGGGCACATAGGTCAGCTCACCTGAATCGCTCACTTCGTAGTATCTCGTGTCCAGATAGATGGGATGGTTCCCGTAGATGTTGGCATCGATCACGTCCCCCACGTCAGCGGCAAACAAGGTCCCTGGGGCTCGGTCAGCAAGATTCACCTTACAAAAACATTGTTTCGACCCGATGACTTACTTGTCAGATTATTGCCCAGGCGGAACCCGTGTATGACCTCACCAAGCCCATACAGATTATAGTTCTCGGGAAGCTGGGAAACGAATTCGATGAACTGGTCCTCATACACAAGCACCTTCCCTTCCGTCGAGAAGATCGTCTCCCCGGTCTTCCTGCGTCGCACAGCAAAAGAGAAGGTCGGGTCGTTGGACCAGGACACAGCCAAATCGCACCTGGACTGGTCGTAGCGGGGATCGTGAGGGGGCCGCGGGACAAGCACCTCGGGAAGAAGGAACCAAGTCTCGTTTCCGGGGCTGATGTAGCGGGGCCGGATCTCCACATGGACCCGATCCTCGCTCTGAAACTCGACAGACAACGCCAGGTGCTCGATGTCGTTCCCGTATACATTGCATGCCGGGCCGGCGAGGTCCAGGTCGGCCGTGAAACCGCTCTCCGACTCGTGCACGTTGGACGCCTTGTAACCGGGACACACCCCCTGGGCATCCACGGCCTCGGCATCGTTGATGTTGGGCAACACATTCATGCCCCAGTCCGCGGAAATCGGAAGCGTGAAGACGGGGCCCTGGCTCGCAGCAGTCTGGCTGGCTGTCCAGGATGTCCATGAGTATTGACCGGAAGCCACGCGGAGGTGTAGGCCCGTGATCGCCATTAGTGATGTCAGGGCCAGTAATGCCATGGCTGGCAATGTAAGCCGTGTCTTCCTCGTGCTGTCGCCTTTTGATAGTCTGGAACGGGCCAGGAACCGGTACGCAAGTCCCACCGATAACAGCAATAGCAGAAAGCCGAGTGCAATAATATATGCCGGCGATCCCCCAGACCTGCCAATGCCGGACGGGCTCGTCGTCCGGTCGGGCAGACTGTGCCCTGCAACAACTGATGTGGAACACGTTGGTATCGCAGTCCGCGGCCGTAACTCTTGCTGGTCCCAAGCAACACATGTATCGCTTGCTTCAGCAAGTGCCGTTTTGATGCCCCCGATTAAGATGGACGATGTGAGAACTGTAACTAGGTCCGAGAGACATAACGGCACCGGCGGTCTGGAAAGGCCGAGGAGCAGCACCTTATTACCAAACAAGCCATGGTCTTCGGCCGCCGGATGTGTCGAATCCGGAGTTGATCGTGACGTAACATGACTTGAGCTTGTGCATGTGGTCGTATCCCGGCGGAGAATCGTGCTTGTTCCACGGCACCATCTCCCAGCCATCCCTAGGAGAGGTTGGATCGGCGGCAGGAATACCAGCTTCATGGTCACGTTGGGTGAGTGCCGTAGGCTCAAACCAATTCGTCCAATCCTAGGTATATCGGACAACACTCTCCATTCCTGGAGGAAATATATCTTCGACGTGCTGAGGTTTTGTAGCGGTCAAGCCCCGGTGTCACTCTTGATTACTACGGCGAGCTGCAGATTCGGTAAGGTTGTGTGCAGTGTTCAGTTGCGTAATGGCCTCGAACTCGTTTTGCTGCCGCCGCTCTCGCCTAGATCGTCCATTCATGAGGCATGAAGTGTGTTGTGGCTGGAAGCGGGGCAATGCAGAAGCCGTGACACAAGTGGCTTCGCAGAAAGGACGCATGTCGGATCGAATGATGTCAAATAACCAATGTGCACAGGGGACGTAGCTCACTGACTGATGATCGGATCTTGAAGGAGTCAACTATCTTGTACTCGGAGGCCAGCCTGATCTGATCCTGGGACCTCAGGCTGGGAACACTGTGCTGCCGGGGAAGGTAGGCACGTCCCGAGTTCACTTCGACGAAGAAGTCAGCTTAGGTGAAAAAGATACCGCATGGGTCTCGCGATGGAGGTATCAGATAGTAACACACTTGTTTGTCGAAGCACAGGCCTGCTCATTTTGGGCCTCTGTTTTAAATGACACCAGGGCATAAGTTCTCATCCCACGGCATCCAATGTAGCAGGTGCCTACCTTCGCAGGCCCTTGATGCACCATGCGCCCTTTCCGGCCAGAAGTTAGAATATACCATCTCCTGACGAGGCGATCCGTCCCCAGTCCGTGTCCAAAACCATATGAACTCCGTCAAACGTTGCCAGAGCGATTGTAAGATTCATCATATATGGCGAAATTATGGCAAACCCTCAAGATCGGCCCCTGAACCCATAACTATAGGTGAAAAAGCAACACTTGGGACCGGAAAGATATGCCCACACTTGACGCCCTTCCCCTAACTCCGTCACGTCAGAACTCCGTCGTTGATATCCCACAACATAGCCAGACGTAAAACCGGATATCACCAAGCGACCGAATAATCCAAAATATTAATAATCGAAATTGACATGTCCTAGGTGCGGTAAAGCATCTTTGGCCTCTTGTGATGCCGTCGCCGTTGCGTTTGTTGTCGAGCTCCCGCCCGTATCTGACTGTGATGTGCTAGCATTCGATGGGTGTAGCTCGAGCTGCGGGTCTGTCGGGGGGATACCGCTCTCCGAGAAGCCAAAATCCCGCATCTGTTGGAAACTCCAAGTCGGCTCGAAGGCCCTGCTGTGCCATGCCTGCCCTACCCGCTCGTACATCTCGTCGATCTGCTCCAAACTGATCTTGCTCGTCTCGTAGACCATGCACCACACGAACGCGATGGAGAGCATGCAGAATGCACCCCACAGAAAGAACACTCTCGAGCCCAGGCCGACTGATCCCGCCGAGGTGTCGACCAGATATGGCGTGCCGTACGCAATGCCGAAATTTAGGAGCCAGTTGGATGCTGTCGAGACAGACATGGATTTCGCGCGGACTTTCAACGGGTAGATTTCGGAGGTGACGACCCACACAACGGGCCCCCAGGACGCCGCAAAGAAGAATATATCGATTGCAACGAAGATAATGAGGATCTTGTTTTGCGTCGGCTGGTTGTTGTCGCCGTTGGCCGTTGCAAACGCGGCGATGAGAATCTGGCAGATGGCCATGCCTACTGCTCCCACGATGAGAAGCCGTCGTCGACCCCACGACTCCACGACAAACAAACCAGGAAATGTCGACGCCATGTTGATAACCTGCATGATCAGCGAAATAGTAAACGGGTTGTCGATGCCCGCTCCGTTGAAGAAGGTTGTGCCATAATACATGATGAAATTAATGCCGGTCAGCTGCTGCAGCATCTGCAGGCCGCAGCCTGTTAGCGTTCGTCGGCCCAGATGGGGTTCGCCGAAGAGGATGTCTTTGTACGTGTCAGGCCCTAAGGCCAGCTCGTACTCATGGTTTGCCTGGATCTCCGCCAGTTCCTCGATCAGTGCGGGGTGCGTGATGTCCAGGCGGCGGAGGCGGCTAAGGGATAAGGCAGCGGCGTCTTTGAGGCCGCGCTTTATCAGGAACCGAGGCGTCTCGGGAAGGATTAGTAAACCTAGAGCCAGGACGACGGCCCATGTGAGTTGTAGGCCCATGGGGATACGGTAGGCCGCGGCCGATGGGAGACGGTATGTCAGAATGTTGACAATCGAGGCGGCGAGCAGCCCGACCGTGATGGATAACTGATATGCGCAGACCAAAGTTCCCCGAATCCACTTCGGGGCCATCTCCGATTGATATAATGGGACCAAAACTGAGACGATCCCAACACCGACGCCAGCTAATGTTCTAATCCGCCAGAGTCAACACAACTGTAGGAAGTGAATCGCCATACCGACGTGGGACAAATGTACGCACCTCCCTACCACGAGGAGTGCCACGTTGGTTGCGCATACTTGGAAGATGGCGCCGATGCAGAACACTCCGATGGCGGCGATGAGAGACAGCCGCCGACCCCAGCGATCCCCGATCGGGGCGGCCACCAGCGCACCGACAGCCGTCCCGGCGCTGAGCATTGCAACGATCAAAGATACCTGACCCGGATACATGCCTGGCTGCCCGGCGTCGTCGGTGAAACCCGTTGTGAAGTCGTGCTTGAACTTGTCCATAGCGAGAATCCCGTTGATTGCGCTGCGAAAAGCACCCGTGTCAGCGAATCCCGCCCGTCCCGCAACCCGCCCGCACATTTGGAGCCCGCCCAACACAACGAGCTTACCCCGTGTCGTAGCCAAACAGCAGTCCGCCGGTGGCGACAAAGAGCCCGACCATGATCGCCGGCGCTGAGGAGCCAGCGACATTGTCGGGCTTGTGCCAGCCCATGGCGAAAATCGCCATGGTGCAGAGAGGGAGACGCCCTTCAAGCCAGATTTGATGCCGATGCCCCCGATACTGTCGGTGGTTGTCGATGCAAGGTTAAGAGGTGCCGTTCGACCATGGGAAGAGAGAGGTTGTCGTTCGTCTGTGAGTCTTGGTAGTATGGGATGGGAGGGAGGAACTGGGCCGATTGAGAGATCAGCACTTTTAGCCCACAGTCTGGGGGAGCGCGTTGTGATTGGCTCTGGGATCTTCCAACGAGCCAAGGGAGCCAGTGCGTTCAGACAAGGGGGTAGGACACCATCCTGTGCGCATGTCAACTGCAAAACCACCCTGGTCATCAGGCTTAGTGTACCCCTTGAGCCCCCCTTGAACCCAGCCTTTCCGGATGCGTGGAAAAGTCGAGGCGCCGGCGCAGCAATGGCCAGCTAGCTTGCGCCAAGTCATGGCAAGTGCGCTTCCTCCAGGTTGCTCCTACAGCTTGGCACCATTTAGCACAAGCCATACACTGGCGAGCCTAGAAACTTCTTTGTTGCGTCGATTGACTCTTTCAACATCAGGTCCCTGAGTGTCGAAGTGACGCACATGTCAATCCCCATGGAACAGACAGACGGGATCAGCCATTGCTGAGTGTCCACTGTGGGGAAATCCTACCATTGCCCCGCTTGGAGGAACCCGTTGCTCTGCCCAGTGAGAAGTCGAAGCGAGGTCCGGTGTTCATGGTCCGCGCCCAACGAATCAAATGGCTTGCAGCATGAAGGTGGGTCAGCGTAGAAGCTAACCCGTCCTCGTCGTACCTAGTCTGGCCAAACTCGTTGCTTTGCATAAGCCGCGCAGAAACGCTTGCAAGCGAGGTCTTTTTCATTGAAATCCGGGGCCGAGTTTAGCAGCCCGGGAAGCGCCGGCAGTCTCAGCTTGGCAGACATGATATGCCGAAAGCGAACGGCGGGGGCTGGAGGTCCTCGACTCGAGTCTGATATCTGATTGATGATGTCTCACGTGGTGCACCGACAGTGCGGTTGTTTCCGCCCGAGACCTCTCGGATGACACTGTGTACCCGATGCCCTCCCATCTTTGATCGCATAGGTACGCAGTAGCAGTGGTAAAAACGAAGTGAGGAAAATGCAGCCATTGGTTTACGTAGGTGGGTCTTGTAACATTCCTTCGGGACAATGCGGGGACGACAATACAACCTTAAGCTCACAGTGCGACAACTATCTCACGTGCTAGCAAGGGAGTACTAGTACCTAGTAGCTTGGTTCTTCTCAACGAACTAGGTGTGACTGCACAGTGCAGGAGACTCAATCCGAAACTTCTCTCAGTGGCTCAGTTGCTTCGGAATAACGCTTTCCAGGCGCCCATTTCGTCCATCTAGCCAACACAGCGGTGCGGAAATCACAGTGTCCATTACGTACAGTACCGACCTGTAAGGATTGTCTCTCGTTGCTCCATGACCGAAGGCCAGTTACGTCGTCGGCAATCTACAGGATATCCCTCTCTCTCCGAGGGCAGGCAGACATTCCGACGACTGAAGGGCCTACCGATGGGAAGATCTTGAAGAACAGGTCGAATATCGGACCGCTGAGGATACAGGTTTGAGTGCAGATGCCCCCAGCTGTTAACCCGGGGACCCAGCGCTGTGTCACCAAATGGCCGAAGCACCTTACCTGGTACCTAGGGCCAACGACCGGTACAGGGCAGAACCCCAGGGCCTCAGCAGGAGGCCAGTGCGTGTGCGCTGTGCCTTCACGGGTGCCAGTTTCTTGACTTCAACCAGCTCCAAGCAACTCGCTCTCTGATGCGGGATGATAAACAAATTCTCAAATCAACGAGCATCGTATCTTGTCAACTTTTCGCTCTGACTGCTCGCCGGACGTCCTTCTGTTTTCCGAAATGGATATACCATCCCTTTCCTCCACGTTGCCCCGACAGCCTGTTCTTCATTCTCATGTCTACCTAGCAGTGCCTAGGTAGGCATGTACTATTATTGCCGGCTGAGAGCCAGGGTCAAACAGATAACTGGTCGGAGAGAGTACAGACGCAGCCCTGCCTGGCCAGAGCGGCACACCAATCCATGGGGTTTCCGCCTTTTGAGCTTTCTTGGAAACGGGCGGTCAGTGCTTGGTATTGGCTGCCACGGTCACGCTTCCGTCCACGCCGCGCATACGCAGCCCGGTTCATGGACCTCCAAGTATCGAGGACGGCTGACTGGGCTGTGGAATCAAGCTCTTCGGCGACGTACATGGGGATTCGTGTCGTGGCACTGACTGTGGGTTCCCGGGACGCATACACACAGTATAGCGCGGTCCTAATGGACATGCACCTCTCGCCCTGCCATCGGAAAAGTAAAGAGAGAATGGAAGGACCCGAAGACTGATGAACTCACCAAGTACGTAAACCCAGGTCAGAGGCATACATGCATCTGTCCAAGACTCAGGGACCAATGTGATCCCGGTTCCCCCAAGCTGGCCACGTCTGCCCGTGTGCAGGCAGGGCCCATCATTGGTCTTGTTGAACCAATCTTCTTTACCTCAACGCAGTGAAACCAAAAACTACAGGTGTCTCCCACTATCTAGGACCAAACTTCTGATCTAAGACACATCCCGCCCAAGGCGTCGTTGGCTTCAACGGAACCGGACATCGTCTTGTCCCGGTTCCGATCGCTCCTCAGTCCCAGGCCGACATCGCAGCAAGCAGCGGAACAACTAAAGGAAATAAGCAGTCAGTATGAAAACAGATGGGAGTCGCTTGTTCATCCCGCGCGTTCAAGGCCACCTGCAGCGTCTGCTTGCTGACTGTTATGCATGTGCGTATGTACTGTGCCACGGCCATGTAAGATAAGCAATATCTTGTCACGCCTCGCCAACACTTCACGAACCCCCCAACAACGCCCACAGTACCAGTAGGTACCCTGCTCAGTAAGTGCCAGGACTAGATTGATCCTGTCGTACCATTTCCTAAAGATACCGAGCATCCCTTTCCATCAAGGTCCATGGCCAGAAAAGACGCGAGGGCAAGGGAGAGATAACTTCGCCGGGTGCACCCGAGAGGGAACAGGAGCAGCTGTCATGCATGGTTCCGTCAGGGAAACTCCCTTTCATGGGGAGACACGACACACACTAGGGAACACCAAGCCACTGTCCCGAAACACGAAAGGGCTGTTCCCGTGATGCTGGAAAAGTCAAGATCTGCTGATAAGCTGCCTAAGGCTACCTTCGCAATGAGATCCGACGAAACACAAACGATGAAACCAGACAGATAATATTGATAATTCACTTCATTACTGAAAAAGCACGCTATCGATACAGAGCAGGTGTCTGTTCCTGTCAAACCGGCGTTTTGAACCGTATCCAACTAGTGTGAAGGCTCCCGAGCGATAATCCCGAAGTACGAAAATACATATTCAGCCCAAGCCACCCAAGCCTAAGTCGTCAGGCGTCTTATTGGCCCAGCCGTCCCAGTCTATCAAGTTGCGCCTTGCCAGAGCCCCAAGCAGCGCCGTACTGTGTGTGAGAAGTCATAAGTTTCAGATCTCCAGTGTGACCTTTTGGCCCTTGACCCGCCCGATGACCTGCGACGGCGCATACTTGGGGATGACCTCGTCGTCGTGGAGCATCTCGAACTCCTCGGTGGCGTCGCGACCCATGAAGTTGAGGAGCGCCTGCGGACCACCCGGGTGCTCGTCGAGCCAATTAGTCAGGTCAAGCACAACGCCCTTGACAACAACCCAGAGGTCTTCCTTCTTGTTGTGCTTGGCAACCTCCTCCATGGTGTACTCCTTGTCAGGGATGGTGAAATTCTTGGGGTCGTTGGTCTTCGTCTCCTGCTTGGGGGCGCCGGCCGACACGGGTTGCGCCTTGGGGGCCTCGGTGCCGCTAGTAGCACCAGCCCACTCAACCGAAATTTTGCCTGGCGTTGAGGGATCAATGTGCAGGGCGATCTGGCCAAGGCGGGACGCGCCGGTAGAGCCCTTGAGCACCTGTTGGAAGAGGTAGTTGCTGGCAGTGTCACCGGCGACACGACCGTAGACGACGCAGCCAAGGAGGGATGATCCACCAAGACGGTTGGCACCGTGGACACCGCCGGCAAGCTCACCACAGGCGAATAGGCCCTCGAATGGCTTCCCCTCCTTGTTGAGGACTTGGGCCTTGTCGTTGATCTCAATACCACCCATGGTGAAGTGGAGCACGGGCTCCATCACGGCGACGTGGAAGGTGTCGCTGATATCAAGGGGCATGTTGTGGAAGAACTTCTTGCCCCAAGGGTCCTTCTGCTTGCCCTCTGCGATGGCGTTATAGGTCTGGAAGGTCTTCTGGAGGTGCTCTGGGGTGCAACCAATCTCCTTGGCAAGCTCCTTGCCAGACATCTTCTTCATGAGGCCACGGCCGGAGTAGTGGCGGGTGTGGAAGTCGAGGGTGTTGGAAGCCTTGGAATTGAGGATGAGGCGGATAGGGAACTTGCCCTTGTCCTTCTCCTTCCACATCATGCCCGAGACGTAGTCACGGTGGCCGAGCTCGTCGCAGAAGCGGTCACCGTCAGCGTTCAAGAGAATACCGCCCTCGCCACGAAGAGCCTCGGCGGCCAAGAACTTCCACTTGGACCCGGGGTCCTTGGGATCGACAAGTCCAGTGGGGTGAACCTGCACCTTGTCCATGTCGATTCCGTTGCCGCCAATGGCCATGACCATCTTCTGGCCATCGCCAGTGGCGTGCGAGCCGTTGGTGGTAGCCAGGCCATAGGTGTCCGGCCGGTGCTGCTTGAGCAAAGAGCCCTCGCCGAAATCGGCAGCATAACCACCGGTGGCTAGCACGACTGGGCCCTCGAGCGAGAGGGTCTCGCCATTGTGCTCATACTTGACACCAGTGATGGTGTTGCCCTCCTTGTTGAGGCCGGTAACACGCGCCTTCTTGATGATCTGAACCCGGTGGGGCTCGGTCTCAGCGAGCTCCTCGAGTCTCTGCATCAGAGCATAGGTGATTGCCATGCCGGGGAACTTAGCATCATGGCCACGATGGGTACGGGGCTGCGAATGGCCACTGTAGAGAGAAGAGTTAGACGCGGGCGTAATGCGATCGAGCGCACGGTTGAACTTACCCCAATCGCGAAACGAGGGTGAGATCGAGATTGAACACATCCTGCAGCCACTCGACGGCAGCAGCGGACTTGTAGGTCAGTACCTTGATGAGATCTGGTCTCGCCTTGTCGCGGGCGGACTTGAGCGTGTCATCGTAGAACTGCTTGACGCTGTCCTGAATGCCGTGCTCGACCTGTGTCCTCGTGAGGGCACCGTTGATGCCGGAGGTGGCCTTTGTGGAGTTGCCGCCGAAGAAGCCCTGCTTGTCCAGGACAACGACGTTACCGCCGGCGAGGTAGATAGTGTGGGCAGCGCTGAGGCCAGACACTGCGGCAAGAAACACAGTTAGCGGTCTGGACGGAAGCGCATCACATGCGATGACGCCACCCCGCATTGAAGGAAGATTGACTTACGGCCGCCGCCAACAACGATAACTCGAGGTGCCATTGCGTCGGGGTATCTGCAGAACGATGGATGGAAGGAAAGGAGGAAGTTGTCGCTGTCAAAAACGGAAAGGCAAGAAATGGGAGAATGATGTCCGATGGCGGGATGCACGAGTAATGTAGTTGTCTGGATGCTGGGTTGTTATTTGCCGAGCTACACTAGCAGCAGCGCCGATCTGGTGTTGGAATTGCTGGCTCGCTGATTCGTGAGCCGAGGTCAAGCCTGGGGAACAGACAGGGGTCTGTCGCTTGAACTTCCCGTCTTTGAGACCCGGGTCCTTTGGCAGGAGCAATGCCAAGGTCCTCCAGAGACGACCTGGCTCGCTAAACTTGTGTATAGGTATTCCTTCGAGTCGCACGACTGATGATTAACTATGAGAATGTGGACTTTTGATGATTCTCACCGAAACGGCTGAAGGGCAGCTTTGGCGTTCACTCTCTTCTCTCGGTGATCTTTGGCCGAGGGCAACCTGGGAGAAGTGGGGCTACTTCCGGAACCAGCACGAGAATGGGCCGAGGTTTGCGCACCCCAGACTTTTGCAACGTGGAAGGGACCGAAGGCGGCGAGGAGCGCTTTCACAAGTGTGGGGTACTAGTACTGTACGGAGTATGGACGTTCACTACCTTTTTTTTAGACTCGAAGACACCCAGCGTCCTCTTCTGTCAGCAGATGGTGCCACCGCCCGCCGATGCTCTGAAACCTCCCGCGCCTTCTTATGCAGTCGAGGCTTCCCCACAGTCCGTCACGGGGCGTCAGCCCAGTTGAATATTTGCATGTGATGCAGCCTACCTGCTGTCACACGGTGTTGCTCGGAGGCATGCGGCAGCCGGCCATCTGATCGCCCAAGTCGCTGACAGGTAACTTGCTAAATAGAGTGATCAATCGTTATCCGTAGCGCTTTGCTTATTGAGCGAGAAGGAGTCGAGGGATTACGAAGTTTGCCAAGAACGAGATGGGGGGAGCAGTGTGTAACTTTTTAAGTATACGGAGTATCCGTTGCCCAAAGTTGTTTGCATGTGATTGACACTCAACTACTACTACCTCGTGGTACTCAACTACGGACAACAGTACACTCGTATAGGAGTAGGTAGTTACCAGCTGTATCTCATGCTTCTAACATGCAAGGAGGCGGCAACAATGGCCAGCACGGCGATCTTGAGCCACACTCTCTCCCCGATCGAGTAGCGACGAGATTCATCCCGACAAGCCTACGAGCCGCGCATGTTCCGACCCTGTCAGCATAGTGATGGCAAGAGACGATAGAACTGAGGTGAAGTACTCCGGGACCACGTTACGCGGCCGATATTGAGAACTCTACGCTCCTCGCGGATCTTTCTTCACGATTTCGTATGTACTGCCAATGGGACTGCGTTGCATCAATATCACCTGGAACTACGTCACCGCCATGCAGCCGCAATGGTATTTTCTATTATCCAATCAACGGACACTTCCAGTTTGGCAAATGCCCAACTTCCAAAGACGGCGTCAACAATTCATATGCTGTTCACACCTACGTGTCTGGTTGAGAGGATAGTGAAAATATGCGACTAGCCCTCTTGCCACTTGTTGTGCTAAGTGGTACTGGTTCTGCCCAACTTGTGGTACCTTTGTTGCGGAGCACTCCGGGCTTCCAGCCCATCGATCACGAACAAGCGCCCCTTATGGATCCTTCTGGCGTTGGCCCGGTAATGCCTCCCTCGGGCGACTCTCCTGCTGAGCCGCCTTCAGGCGGCGGAGGCAGTGTTATGCTCTCCGACGTGATGGGGCGGGATAGGAGCATTAATCTTTTCGCGGGGTGTGTATATGCTTGCGACAGCGAATTTCTTGACACCAGCTTACCTGGACTGCTACAGGTTCCTGCGAGACATCGAAAGCGCGTCCCGCCGAATTGAAGACTCGTCGCAGAACACCACGGTTCTCGCTCCACTCAACTCGGCCGTTGAAAAGCTACCCCGGAAGCCGTGGGAGGATCTCCAAGACTATGGCGCCCTCGGTCCCAACGCATACGAAGGCGGGGAAGGGCGTGAAAGGGCCCAGCAGAACCTCCGCAAGTTCGTGGAGGCGCATATAGTGCCTTTGAGCCCTTGGGCCGAGGGCCAGAAGGTCAGGCCTATCGGAGGAGATCGGGAGATCTGGTGGGAAGAAAGAGATGGGGCGAAGCTGGTGAGCACCACAGCCTAGGCTTCCATTGGAAACTCTTCAAAGTAAACAACGCTGACATAGGGCCCTGCAGATTCAGCCGGATGCAATAGAAGTTGTGGGCGTCGCAGGAGAAGTTGCGAACGGCCAAGTGGTATGCCCATCGACCTCTTCGAATGGGGTATCTGGCAAGCTAACATGCTGAATCCTGGCAGTGGATAATCAAAGGAGTTTGCCATCGCGGCTAGATGCGCCGAGACTATACTGGAAAGGACTATAGGTATGTGAATTGAGAGGATTCAACACGGCCCAGATAGCGATAAATATGAACCTCGTTTATTGAAACCAAGCGTTCCAACAAGTGTCTGATATATACATCTGAGCTACGGCTGCATGATCCGAACATGTATGTATAGCATAGATACACAGCTCATGCGGCTTCATTGGCTGATGTTTTGACTTGGTTCGCGTTCGGCTTATGATTTGGTCCGATTTAGCATGCAACTTCTGAGGGGTTGGCGCCTGGGATGGGCCATCCTTTTACCCCTTGGATGAATAGGGACTTAACATATACGGTGGAAGTTGTCAAGAACGTAGATCAATCATCATCCGGGGGACGAGCAGTAGCGCTACAGACATACAGCAAGATGGGTAAGCCATATGCTGTCGTCGACGGAGAAGGGGTTCGTGGCTAAGCAAGCCGACCCTCAGCATCCCAAGTTATGGATATCACAAGCTGCCAACCGGAACCTATTTCGGTCTTCTCCGACTCCTTCCCGACGACGGCGTACGGCTCGAATGCGACTTTGCAGCCTACGCACTTGATGGTGTGAATACGCCACGCTATACGGTTCTCTGCTACTGCTGGCAGAACCCAAAGTTTGACGACTTTGTAATCGGCGGAAACCGCATCCCAGAAGATAACGCTCCCCGTTCACAGAATCTCGTCTGCCACCCCTTATAGTGCAGCGAGAGGCAGATACTGATCTCGACGAGTCTCCGTGACGCACTCCGCAAGCTGCGGAGCCAAACTCAGCCTGTCACAATGTGGGTTGATTTCCAATGCATGGGAGAGGCTGCTGGCTCTCTTTGCCCGTCCGTATTTCCGGCGGATCTGGAATCGTACAGGTGACGATCGCTGCGCCTCTCAGCTCGAAGCTCTACTGTGGTGGGTTGGATCCCGTAGCCTGGACCACTGTGACCGCGGCCGTTGCCTTCCTTGATCATTCCGGCTGGGGACCTGCTGTCGAATCTCGCTATGGCGGCCAGAAGAACCTCTCATTCATCCTAATCACCCTCTCCATCGGCATGGCTTGGATGCAAGGTGCAGTGACAACAGCAGATCGACTTCTTATTCGACGCAAGGCCCAGCAGACCAGACGATTCAGGCCTCGGACTCGAGAGACAAGGTCTTCGGCCTCATTGGCATCATCAGCGACTTTGGCCACAGGGATCTTCTGAGGAATGATAGCCCATGTATGACCGGCCGGTAGAGCAGATCTTCACCGAGTACACCATCAAGTGCACCCGAGATAATGGGAATCTCGACATTCTAAGCGATGTCGAAGACAGCTCGCTCCGCACAATCCCTGGGTTGCCGTCCTGGGTTCCCGGCTTCAGCTTCCCGTTGACCCTGACCCAATGGCTACGTGGAAGACAAGCAAGAACGAAGGTTTCTAATCGGCATCTCGGTTGCCAAGGCGGATGGAGTGCTCAGAATGGCGGTGCCGATATAGCCCTCGCAGGTTGCCCGATTGGTGGGAGATTCGCTCTCGCCAGCAAAGAGTCAGCGGCAGAAAACATGATCATACACCAGCTTCAGGAGTGGGCGGCCATGATCGAGCCGATGCCTGCCGACTATCCCTCCGGATGCCACAAGGCCCTAATCCGCGATCGCGGTGACGAAGACCAGTATCCGGCTCCGGTCGAGTACGGCGATTACTACGAGACATTGCAGGAATTGATCCAGCTGAACCAAGACCTCGACCGGCGCATTGAATCGGGAGAGGACGGAGGTGCGGCGGCCAGAATTCTCTGCCAGGGATCTGGCATTCACCCTGCGGACCTGCCACGGTTGATGGCGGAGAGCGCCGAGTTCTAGAGGGCCATGGCTGAGGTTATGCTAGGTAGTAAGGCGACTGTTGGTGACGAAGAGAGGATACATCGGCGCTGGCCCGTCGTCTGTGCAGGTGGGAATGCCGTTTATGTCCTTCCTGGTGGACATGTTCCGTTGGTTTTGCGGGCAAGAGTCTGGTAGGGCGGGATAATGACTCCAATGTTCCTCTGCAGTTAGTAGGCGACTGCTATGTCCACTGAATGATACAGGGAAAGTCACAGAGGTGGCCCGAGTTCTGCTTGAAGGAAACCCGCCTCTGTTGATATTACTCCGTACTAGTAGTATTATTTACTGCAGCCCCGAGACCCATTGTTACGTCATTCACATTACGGTCCGTGCCGCGCGCAATCTTGATGTTATGGGTACAGAGAGTTCGGACGGAAAGGATGGGAAACATCGAGCCAGTCATCATCATGTCTTGTGACGGTACTTGTGCGCATGCCAAACTTTGGTTGTTTTGCTGCGTCTGTGTTGGTGAACAGTCTGGCGATCGGCAAACATCACGCTCATGATCGGTTACACTGGGCAGAATACACATTCTAGTTATCGTTCTAGTTATCGTAATACCCGATGTTTTGCCGCCCGCGCTTTATCTTATCTCCCCGACCCAGGGGAAGAGATCTGCGCCCTCTGCTGAGCCTTGGACAGCACAACTGCTCACGCACGATCCCAATTCTCGGTGTCTTGCTCTCTCAATCTCAGCATACTTGCGCTCTCTTGGGGTCGCAACCCCCTGGCAGCATCTCCAGCCTCGAGCCGGGGCGACGTACAACCGAAAGGCTGCGACGGACCATATGAAAGTACTACTAGTAGGACGAATCGCAGCTGTAAGTACGAGCTCGCCTACGGTCGGCATCTTCCTTGGCTCCTGAGCTGTCGCCCACCGACGTCTCCCCAATTCCCGGCCAGCCCTCACCTCCACCCTACCTACCATGTAGTTATTTCTGTCCGTTGTGCTGCGATATTAATATCTCAAAGAGGCTTCGAGCAGCCACTCGAGATGAATAGCCAGTCGTTGCATGGCGGGAGCGGCTTTGACCGCGACCGAGACCGCGACCTCGATGAGCAACGTCACCGCGCCCTCCACCAGGATGACATCGCAAGACGGGAACACGACCGCGACCGCGACCGGGACCGCGAAAGAGATCGAGACCACGAACGGGAAGAGGCCGAGCGCCAGCATCGTGAAGCGTACCCGCCGAACGCTCCCCACCACAGCAGCGCCGGCTCTCTTCCAATCCACCAGCCCGTCGCATCCCGAATATCGAACTCGATTACCGGCCCTGGTGGCCTCCTGGCGAACCACGGAAGCTCAGGCCCGTCCCTACCCATTGGCGCACCTTCGGCGCCGGCTCCTGGCTTCGGCGGGTCGCTCCACAACGAATCAACACGGCCTCCGCAGCAACACAGCGGCCCAGGAACCGCGTCAGCGCTACCTCACCAGCTCTTCGCGCCAATGGCTCATGGCCCAAGCGGAACGAACCCTCTCGGCGGATCGGGCGGGCCCGCCATCTTTGGTGGTCCCCTTCAACAGGAGAACAACCGGGCAATGCCGCAGGACGGCCCACGAGGATTGCAACAATTGCCTTTCGGCTCCAGTATGGGCCCCGCGCATCCTATACCTTCTGGGCCTGGCGGGATGCCCCAAGGACAGCAGCCGATACTGAATGTGTGTGACCCGCTAGCGAACCTGCCGCTGCCCTTCATATCGGACCCGAGCTAATCTGCATGTGTTCCAGGATGCGCTGAGCTACCTCGATCAAGTCAAAGTTCAGTTCCATGAGCAGCCGGATGTGTATAACAGGTTCCTGGACATTATGAAGGATTTCAAGAGCCAGACGTGGGTGTAACCCGCCGGACTAGCTTACTCCAGGCTGCTAACATGGGCTAGTATCGACACGCCGGGTGTCATCAGCAGGGTCTCCGAGCTCTTCGCCGGCCATCCGAACCTCATTCAGGGCTTCAATACCTTCCTGCCTCCTGGGTATCGTATCGAGTGCGGACTCGAGAACAACCCCAACAGCATCCGTGTGACAACGCCATCGGGCTCGACTATCCACTCGATCGGGGCTAGCCGAGCGGGTCAACACGAGACGGCGCAGCCGGCAACTGGTCCTGCGCAAGGATTCATGAACACGAGAGCTGCATGGCAGCCACCGCTCGCCCACAGTGTTGAGAGTCCGGAAGCGACGTTTAGCGTGCCGGCGCAGAGCGGCCCGTCGGGTTTCTCCGGATCGACCCAGGTTGCTACGTTTGACGGCACCAGTCCGATTCAACAGAGGTCGGTACCGGCCGCTCAAGCCGGCACCCCGATGAACCACGCTCCTGCACCGCGCAGCGCCCATACACCTACACCAGCAGCTGCCGGCGCGCCCAGCGCAAGCAGCAGCGCTGCTCAGCAGGCTAGTTTGGAGAAGCGCGGCCCGGTGGAGTTCAACCACGCGATCAGCTATGTCAACAAGATCAAGGCAAGCAGGCCCCTCCGTTTTGCTCTTTGTAATTTGGCCCGTTGTACTTCTATCCGAACTTTCAAAGGAACGGATGTGGCGGACATGTTTTGGTGGAGACTTTTTTGTGCCATCGACTCACTCAAAACACCTGCTAACTGCGACCCAGAACCGCTTCCAGGATAAACCCGAAATCTACAAGCAATTCCTCGAAATCCTCCAGACATACCAACGCGAGCAAAAGCCCATACAGGACGTGTATTCGCAGGTCACCAGCCTGTTCCACACGGCGCCCGATCTTCTTGAAGATTTCAAGCAGTTCCTTCCCGAGTCGGCGGCGCAAACCCGCTCAGCTGGTCAGCGCCCCGAGGAGGGCATGTCCATGGCAGTCACCACACCCACGCCGCAACCTGGTCACCCAGCTCGCGACGGTCCCAAGATGCCTCCGGTCGGCAATTTCGCCCCGCCGGCAAGCGCAAGCAAAGAAAGCAAGAAGAGACGCACAGAAAAGGCACCTCCTGTCCCCGCTCAAGCCACTCCGGATCAACCGCAAATGTCGTCGTTGCGAGGAACGCTTTCCGCCGCGCAGCCTACCAACAAGCGTGCCAAGCTGACGCACAAACCGAATACTGCCGAGAGCGCCTGGGTCGAGCCGACTTTGGTGCCCGTCATGCCGGTGCCACTCGCGCCTACGCCGCTGGCCGTGTCAACCCAGGACGACCTTGCCTTCTTCGAAAAGGTGAAGAAGCACATCGGCAACCGGACGGCTACTACTGAGTTTCTGAAACTTCTCAACCTGTGGAACCAGGACTTGATTACCAAGGAGGTCCTGCTCTACAAGGCGAACCAGTTCATGGGTGGCAATCCCGAGCTTCTAAACGCTCTGAAGAGCTTGATCCGGCAGGATACTAGCGAGGATATCATTGAAAATCAGCCCGAGCCGCCGACGGGTAGGGTCTCCCTCAGCAATTGCCGCGGGTTCGGTCCCAGCTACCGGTTGCTGCCTAAGCGCGAGCGCCTCAAGCCCTGCACGGGCCGCGATGAACTTTGCCAGTCAGTGCTCAACGACGAATGGGCGTCGCACCCGACCTGGGCCTCGGAGGACTCGGGCTTTGTCGCCCATCGCAAGAACGCTTACGAGGAGAGCCTCCACCGTATCGAGGAGGAACGCCACGATTATGATTTCTTCATCGAAGCGAACCAAAAGTGCATCCAGCTGCTCGAGCCGATCGCGCAGCAGATGCTGTCGCTACCTGCCTCGGAGCGGCCAAACTTCAAGATGCCGGCCGGTCTTGGCGGACAGAGCACGTCCATCTACAAGAGAGTTCTTAAGAAGATCTACGGCCCGGAGAAGGGCTGCGAAGTTGCCAATGATATGTTTAGGAGCCCTTTCACTGTCGTGCCCGTCGTCATGGCACGCTTGAAGCAGAAAGACGAAGAATGGCGGTTCACTCAGCGGGAGTGGGAAAAGGTCTGGCAGAGCCAAACCGAGGCGATGCACCTGAAGAGTCTGGACCACATGGGCATCCAGGTTAAGAGCAACGATAAGCGCAGCCTCGCGGCAAAGCATCTTGTCGACGTGATCAAGACGAAGCACGAGGAACAGCGGCGGATCCGCATTGCTAAGGGCAAGACCCCTCGCTACCAGTTTGCGTATCTATTCCAGGACGAGGACCTCCTCTTGGACCTGCTCCGCTTCATGGCCATTTTTGCGACCATCGGCGGCCAGCACAATGCGCAGGAGAGGAGGCGGATCCTGGAGTTCTTCGAGACTTTTATCCCGGCATTCTTCGATCTCCCAGAGGATAAGGTTGCGGAAAAGCTTGCCGACATTGACCAGGACTCGGCAGAGGAAGACGAGGATGATCCGACGCCGATTGAGCTCACCAACGGGCGTACGCGTCGCAACGGCAAGAAGTCGGACCTGCTCCGCGGCGTACTGGACCCCGGCCGCAACGGCAGCCGAAGCCGTGGCCAGAAAGAGGGCAGCGCGGCATCCGGCAGCAAAGAAACCACGCCAGAGGTCGGATCGGCGAACGAGGAAGAGATGCCGGATGCACCGGAGGACTCTTCAGTCCCAGAGGTGTCCAATGGCCGCTGGCTGCCCACCGTACCCGGCCCGATCATCGTCCAGAAGAGCAGAGGTGGTAAGGGATCCAGCCTAGTTGATGTGGACGGCGAACTGAAGGCGGATGCGCCGTTCGCCCGTTCTTGGTACAACTTCTACTGCAACCAGAACATCTACGTCTTCTTCACCATCTTCCAGACGCTGTTCAAGCGGCTTGAGGACGTCAAGCTGAGCAAAGACAGCGTGCTCGAGGAGATACGGCGGGAGAAGGCGGAGAAGCCGGCTAAGATCTTGGGTCTCGTCCACGAAGGCATGAACTACTTTGACAGCGATGATCCGACCACGTTCTGGCCCAAGACGGTTGAGCTCATCGAGGATTTCATCAACGGCGACATCGACGAGAACCGCTACCAGGACGTTCTGCGGCACTATTACCTCCAGAAAGGCTGGAAGCTTTACACGATCCAGGACTTGCTCAAGACGCTATGCCGACTCGCGCTAAGCTGCAACAACCCGGATGCCAAGGGTGAGAAGACCAAGGAGCTCGTCAAGGCGTTTCTGGAGAGTCGGCAGCAGACCGAGACAAGCTTCCAGAACGAGATCAGCATGCGCAAGTTCGCCGAGAAGTGCATCAAAGACGGCGAGATGTTTGTCATTGCATGGGTACGTGGCTGTTGAATTTTGTGTTCCCGTCAACACCTCAGTGCTAACAACTACCCTCCTCTCTTAGTACCCCAACAAAAAAGAAGCAACAGTCCGCTGGCTGCAGAAGGATGAAACGACATTCTACATGGATGAGATGGAGCGCATCCAGCAGTGGCAGTACTACATCTCGTCGTACATGCGCGTCGAGCACACCGAGGGCATCGTCAGGTCGCGGCTGCAGAAGGTGTTGCTTGAGCGAAATCTGCCCTCGGATGTTAAGGACTCCTCCGAGGGAGAGTACACGCCCAAGCCGCTGGTGATCCACGAGGGCTTAGTGGTCAGGATCTGCCTGAACTCGTCCAAGATGGTTTTCGAGAAGGGCACGTCGGACTACTTCATTTACAACAATGCCGCTGCTGGGCAGGCCGGTCAAGAAGAAGAAGCAGAGTATGAAGAGAAGCAGGCTTTCCGGCGCGAGATGCGGGCCGAGAAGATGAAGGAGACGACGGTTACCAATAATGCGTGGATGAAGGGGCTCAGCCATGAGGAGGTGCAGAAGGTCAACAATGAGTTCCAGAAGTGGAAGCAGATTGATATCCGTCCGTCGCAGGAGGATACGGCGGACGTGACGATGGAAGCTTGAGACGAAATTGTACACCCAGCTTCGTGGCAGGTACTACACTGGCAAGGTGACTGAATCGACTGTATGCAACACAGGGGCGCAGGGGCGTAGCGGCGATCGGAAGCATCAAGAAGGAAGGGGGGGAGAGAGGGTTAAGGGGGGGGGGGGGGTGGCGCAGGCACAGAAGGAGGGGATTATGGAGAGCTGGTATGATCTTCGTCGCCTCCTGTCATTTTCTAGCAGTCTTTTCCATCATTGCTTTTTTTTACCCTCGCTTGCATCGGTTGATGGGACCGCATACCGTAGCTTATAAGCTGAGCGCCCATAAATTCACACTCCCAAAATCCCACCAAAGCTTACCATGTTCAACGCATAACAAAGGGGCATAAACAAACATCGGAAAATGCAAGAAAATTCTCTCTATGGAGATGTTTATGATATCAGTGGCCTAGATAGGCCTTTGTTGCTTCACTGACAAGAAGTTTGTGTTGCTAAGGAAGGTCATCGTTAGAGGGAGGCGACCTAACTCCTGTCAGGGCGAGAAAGCTCGGACCACACTGTATCTAAACAAACAGCGATTCAGCATGCAGTCGAGAACTGAATGTTGAAGTCTTGGCGTGCAACTTCCTCCACGAACCACCAGGAGCAATCACAGCTTGAGCTCTCACAACCCGGCATGAGATGACAATATCTCGTGGTAACTTAACTCATCACAATGCAAGCCCCGTTGAAATCCTCACGATGTTGGGGCTTTAGCTGCCGCTTACGGCGGGGTTCCGCCATGCTGGAGAAAGTTATAACACCGACACAAACAGTGAGGAGATACACTCTTGCTGTCGACTGTTCAACACACAGACCGTCATTATCGCCAGCTCGGAGGCCATGTCGTTCGCTGCTTCTTCGGTTGGGCGGGTTTAGCTCGCCATATGCGAGTCCACAGGTCGGAAGGACTGCCTTTTCAACGGGTTCCTTCCGGAGATCTGCGGGCCGAGAAGACGCAACGGAGCCGGGTGAGGAGGGGACACAAGGGACGGCGTCCGGTGGGGGCAAAGCTGGTGAGGATGATGATAGCGGCATTGAATCGGGTGGGATGCTGAGTGCTAATCATACGGGCCCTTGACTTGGTCCATACAGCCTACCCGGAACGACTGATTATCTACCACGCTGGCACAGGTAGTGAGTGTAAAAACCTCGGCGGGACTGGGGAGGGTCACTTCAGACAACATGTGCATGGGTACTCACTAGCATGCCGACAGAAACCACATTCCTCGCCTGTCTGAAAGTGACGACCCTCTTTCTCTTCGGCTTCTTCGACATGATCATGACGCCAGCGTACATAGCTGCGGGCGAGCCTCTGGTCAAGACAGCAGGCGGTATGTTAAAGCCCCCCTTCTCTCCCTTCCCTTCTCTTCTCTTGCCCCCGGGCCCCCCGGCCCCCCGCTTTTTTTTTTTTTTTTTTTTTTTTTTTTCTCTCTAACACACTTCAACAGTCGCCCTCTGCGGCGTGATCCCAGCCGTCTACGTGGCGTGGAGCACGTCACCCTTCGTGGCGGCCATCCACATGCACCTGCCGCCGTACGCCCGCTGGTCGCGCGCCATCCTGGAGCGCTTCGCGCGCACGGCGCCGCCCAACACGCGCCTGGACGTGACGACCATGAGCCTGATCGGGAAGCCGCGCGTGAGTTCCATGGTGCTGTCGGACCTGCGGCCGGCCAGGCGGCGGTTCGGCATCGTCAACTACGTGCGAGATACGTCGCTGCTGGAGGCCAAGAGGAGGTGGTGGCGGTTCAAGGCCGTCGGGGAGTTCAATGTCCAGGAGGACGGGGATAAGAAGGTGAAGAATGGGTGGGTGTGGAGGGAGGTGAAGGAGGGGATTGCGCGGAGGGGTAGTGCGGCGGGTCAGGTTCAAGGGGAGAAGGGGAAATAAGGCTGGCAAGGGCTCACTCAGTACCAGGGGCGTCCGTTCTCTTCCGCAGGGTGGGTGGCTGGTTATCTCTGCGTAAGGTAGTAGGTGTCCTCAGTGTATTTGTAACATGTGCATTACATTACAATGTCTGATGGGCTTCGAGTCAGGATGCCTACCTACCTTAGGTATCAAACCTGATAAAATAAAATTCTCTGCACATATCTTACCATTCTTTCGACAAACGACCTACCTACCTACGGTACCTTACCCGACAACCCCGTACCTCACCAACCCCAACGCGGCACCCAACACAATCGCCACGGGCGGACTGACACCAAACCAGCACCCGCCCACATAGCTCGACGCCGTCACGACAACCCACCACGGATCATCCGCCAGGCTCGTCCCCCTCTGAAACCCCTCATCGATCCAGCCAATCTGCCACAGCCGATACACGGCCGTATAGATCAGCCCCACGGCCGCGGCATTGATGCCCCTCAGCGCGCTCCTCACCCACCGCCAGCCCCTGATGGCGCCCCACACCCCGACGGTGCCGTGAACCGTCACCAGGCCGGGCGCGAACATGCCGACGTAGCCGAGCACGGCGCCCAGCGCGGGCGAGGCGCCCCTCCCGCTGGCGGCCAGGGCGCCCAGGTACACGGCGAAATTGAAGTTGGGACCGGGGAAGCCCTGGACCAGCGCGAGGCCGATCAGGAAGTCGCGCGGCGACACCCAGCCCTCGGCCACGATGTACTCGCGCAGCAGCGGGATGACGACGGGCCCGCCGCCGAAGATGATGGTGCCGGCGAGGTAGAAGTTGGCGAAGACGCGGTAGAGGAAGACCGATTGGGATTGCTGTTCCGTGTTGCCGGCGTCGTTGCGCGAGAGCAGGCCGCGGGCGATCATGATGGCTGTGAAGGACGCGAGGAACAGCGCGATGATGGTCAGCCCCCACTTCCAGGTTAGGTGCGGAGCTTCGAGTTGGTGGGATGCGGGGACGGTGCGCTGCTGGTCCGAGGGCGAAGCGGGCGGTGCTGCTTCTTCTTGCTCTCGAACGCGGTTATTGGTGGTGGTGGTGGTGGCGGTGTCTTGGGTAGTCAGGGGCAGGCGTTGCCGGGTGGATTTGCTGGATTGCGGCCGAGCGCTAGTCGGTGGTTCAGATGTGGATGTTGTTGATGCCGGTCGATGGGAGAGCTCGACCTCCTCCTCCTCCTCCCCATCCCCCTCGCGCTGCTGCTGGGCTTCGGGTTCGTCCCTCCCCACCCTGTTACCCCTTCCCCGTGCCTTCTTCAGCAGCCGTACCACCCACCTCACCGGACCGTGGAGCCAGCGGAAGTCGTAGATGACGGTGATGATGCCAGCAACCATCATCAGCAGCGGGAAGTACCACAGCGCATTGTACAGCAAGCCCGCCGCAGCCCCCAGGAACACCAACAGCCGCGTGAGCTTGTCGGTGATGGCCTTCTGCGCCAGCTGTACGGCCGCAAGGGCGATGATGCCGACCGTGGCAGCATTCAGCCCGGACAGCAGCGCGTACACGGCACGGGGGAGAGTCTCGCCGATGTTGGAAACGCCAACGGCCAGGCCGAACATTCCCAAGCCGGCAGGCAAACTGATCGGTAGATACTATTAGCACCGGTGACCGAAAAAGGGGGCAAAGAAAGGAAGAAGAAAAAAAGGAAAAAAGAGAGCGAAAAGGAACTCACCTCCAGATAAGAAAGCCCAGCACGGCTGCCAAGAACCCGTCGTGAATCAGGTTGATGCAGTACAGCATCTTGGTGCTGCCCGGGCCCGAGAAGGCCTGGCAGACGCTGAAGAGCTCTTGATACTAGTAGCCCGTGGGCCCCAGTTCAGCCAGCTGTTCCCCCTTTCCTCACGCAACGTAAAAAGAAGAAGATAAGGATGGCTGCCAGACTCACCACCTGCTCGTCGATCCATTGCACCTTGTTGACGAACTTGTCATGGAACTAGACCGCAAAGTCTCGTCAGCTTCTGCGCTAACTCCAGGGGGAAGGGGGAATGCCAAATCGTATAGAAGGTAAGACGTACAATCTTGAAGTGCACCGGCGGCCCGCCAAACGAGGTGAAGCCCAAGTACCATGTCTCCCTGACCGTGTTCCAGAGCCTCTGGGTGACCTTCCATTGGGAGATGGAATCCCAGGTCAGGCTGGGTGGTGACCAGCGGTCTCTGACACCCATTGTTCCTGCGTACCTATGTTGAGGATGGAACCTTAGATAGGTAGTTGCTTAATCCAAGCCTCAGTCTCCCGAGCCTTCTGCTCCACAATGGCTAAGATTTAGAGTCGGGCGATGGGAGTATGGTCTCTCCTTCCTGTGAGGCGGGCAACGAGAGCCTGCAGGCGACCAGAGAGCCGTCTCTCATTATCGCTTCCTCGGCTAGTTTTATAGACTCTCATTTTCCCAAGTTGTAGGTTTGCCACTTTTTCGGCGAGCCAGATAAGGTACGGCGAGTCCCGTTCAGCCTCCCGGCGCCAAGGTCTTGGGGAAGAGGCTATTGGCCTCTCTCTTGAGCATGCGAGAGCACGTGGGTGCAGCCGCGATAAAATTGGGGCAGGGATAAAATTGATGTCTTAACAATGGAGTGCCGGGAGTACTTATAATTCCAAGTCCGTCTTGCTACTGATAGCTTGATGCTAATACCTAACCAGATGATCATACCTACCCGAATGTTAGCTAGTAGCATCGACCAGGTTCTACGGAGTAGGTGCTGTACCTAGTTCTCCGAGACAAGGTGGATGAGCATCATAACGGAGGCATACCTAAATGTACTACGTACTCCTTTCTCCATCAGAGGGCATCATGCTGCTACTCAAGGCGAACGCACGTCTTCGACAATCTGTGCTGCATGTGAACCGGCCAACCTCGCCTTCATTTTGCCTTTTCCAAGAGTCCGCTGCCCGCCTGTTAGTAACAGGTAGAAATAGTAATACAATGTGATAAGAAAGTTCAAATGTTCCGTTCTTTCCCCAGATCCAACGACCAAAACAAAGAAGATTCCGCCTTCCATTTCCCGGCCTTTTCGCCCCTTCGAAATCCAAAAACGCCGTCCTGGATATCTCCAACCCCGGAACGTTCCCTGTCCCGTCGAATGTCTTTGCCGACACCCACCGCCTACAAAATGCGATACATCCCGGCCAAATTTCTTTTTTTGATGCCCGTGATTCCAATCTCCCAGGGGAACCCGCCACAAGAGAGAGCACGGCCCCCGTAATATGCAAAAGAGTCGTCGCCCCGTAAAGCATCAACACAAAGCGAGCTGTTTCGAATCCGGGTAACTGGAGGAAGAGGAAGGGATCGGGGAGAATCCAAAAAAGGGAAGGAGAGAGATTCTCCACAATGGCCGTGGTCTTCAAGAAGGGCGGACCTTAGCTTCTTTTCGTCAATGGCGTTTCACGGGCATGTGCCCGTGTCCATCATAATCCCACGCGCGCTTGAGCCCGCCCTCGTAGACGCTCGCCACGGATTCCTGCCACATCGCGGGGGTAACGAAGGTCTGCACGGGCGCGGTCGGGTACTGCGCGGCCGGCATCTGCGATCCTGTCCGATACTGGCCCTGCGCGGCGTAACTGTCGTGCAGCATCGGCGCTGTCAGGGGCACGGAGGAGCCGGGGCCCAGGGAGCTGGGTTGGGCCGTTTCCGACGACGGCGATGAATGGATCTGTGGCGCGCCAAACGACGTGTTCCACTGGCTGCATGGGCTGTTAGGAGATCTGTTTTATTCATCATTCCGCTTGGAGTACGGAACGTCACTCACTCAAAGATTCGCGACGGGTTCCAGGCGGGCGCCTCGGCCGGTGGTAACGTCTGCGTCACGCCCGAGGCCTGAGACACGTGACGGGCGGATGCCATCGTGGTTAGCGTTTGCACGACAGGCGAATCATCCTTGCTATCCAGTGGGCCGGCCGAGACAGGCGTGAGGGGATGGTGGTTGGTGTAACTACTAACTTGCGAGTGCGGTATCTGCGTGTCCAGCTGTCGACCAGGCGGGCTAGGGTGTGTTGCCGAGTGCGGGCTACCGTAGGGGAAGCTCGGCTTCAGGACGAACGGCTTCCTGATATCGGCTGAGAAGGCCTCCCGGACCGAGTCGATCTGCTTCTGCATGTCGGGCATGGGCCACGCCGACATGCACTTCTCCAGGATCCTCATGTGGCGCGTAAAGTACTCCCGGGCTTCCGAGTTCAGGTCTGGATCCGGTGAGGTTATCGCAACCTAGCAGCAAGGAGTCAGCAACCCCGAGGACATCCTCTTGGTGGGAAGTGCAAGTAAGTGTACGCACTAGATGTAGGACAATGCAGCCCAAGATCACATAGATGGTGAAATTGATCCCCCGCTGCATACACTGGAGCCCGTTTAGTCCGAACTGGCTCATCACTGCCTCCTGGAGCCTGCACGTCATCTTGGCCGCGTTGTACGACACCATCATGTGCCGTTTCCATTGTCCGCCCGGCCCTGATGGCGAAAGGACTGCTAGTTGCGGCCTGTTGTATAGGATGATCGTTAGGTAGTAATACGAGTGGAGGTTGCCGACGAAGGCAGACGGCAACCAGGGCGGCGACCCATCCGCAGGATAGCTGACGGTCAAGTCCGCGGGGAGTCCGGCTAACCAGGCATTCAGAGCCGGGTCGAGCTGGAGGAACTCGGGGTCCACCCCCCAGTCCTTGCTTTTCTTCAGCCGCCCATAGGTTCTCGCCATCCGGCCAACAGCGCGGACTACTTTGGCGAAATAGGTGAAGTTCCGGGAGACGAGGTACTCGGACTCGTCAGCGTTCGGCAGTGGCCTCGGGACGTTGAAATCGACAGACTCTTCTTCGATCTGGAAATCGGTCCGTCCTGCTCCGCTCGTCAGCGTGTGATTCTCCCAGTCTCGTGCCCCGCCGCGCTATTCCTTACCCTGCGGGGAGCCAACCATCAACTCAACCACAAATAGAGTTTGCCAGATCCTCGTCTTCAGTCCACACTCCGCCTGGCTTGCGCCGCAAGATTTGCCGGCCTGGTGTTCGGCGAAGTGTTCGTCCAACCCCAGATCCTTGCCCAACTGAACACACTGCACGATGCTCATCCACGACCTGTAGTAGTAGCCCTTCTTAGGCGCTGACTCCCTCGCCTTCAGCAGGATCATCAGTGCCTGGAGCGTACTCAGTCTTGGCACATCCATGAACGAGTCGGCATGCCCTGTAAACAAACGTCAGCTGCCAAAAATCAGGTGGCTGATTGGTGACGGGCGCGATCATACGTGTAGCGAGTGCGAGCCATTGCTGGCCCTGTGCAGGTTCATCCGCCAGACGGCCGGCAATGGCAAATATTGCTTCGAGAAGGAGCGGCGAGATGGACTCCCTGTTGTTGTGCCACTGATGGTAGAAGTACGCCTTGTCCAAGACCGGCACGTACGGATGAGCATTGACAAAATACAGATCGAGATAGTGAAGAACCGTGTCGTCGTCCGGCATCAGCTCTGGCGGAATACGGATCTTGGAGCCCGGGCCTGTCGTTAGCGGGGGCAGCGGGGTTTCGTACTCGTCTCCTTCCAATGCCGGCTCCTCGTCTCTGGTGGACCGCATCTTGCTGTTGAGGTAGGGCGCCGTCCCCGCCTCATTGACCTTCAGCGAACCCAGGAGATCCGCCAGGTCCTGCTGCCCGTACTCAGATTGGAACGTGTCTGCAGGAGACGCGGGGTTGGGAGCGTGTTGTAGCGGAGGAGTCGGAAACGAGTGGGGCTGCGTCGTGTAGTGCTGGTCGACGATGCCAGCAGGGTGATGGTGTACGGGGGCGTATTGAAGGTCGTGAGGCACAGGCTGCGGATCCCCGTACTGAACCGGGTGGAAAAGGCCCGAGGCATCTTGGTAGGATGTCTGTTGCGCGTAGACGGGTCCCGGCTTTGGCGCATGAGCAGGAAGCTGCTGGTCCTGAAGCGATAACTGCGGCCTGAAGCTGTCCGGAACTTGCGTACTCTCAAACTGAGATCGAGATGGTTCGTAGACTTGGGAGTCAGACCCATCGAATCCGTTCGGACGAACACAGTGCAGCTTCAGACGGATACATGCGGAGCAGGGCCATGTGTTCGTCGTTGCTGCATCGCATTTGATTTTCCTCCTTCGACAACCCTCACATGCTCTCATCACTGTGCACCCAAGGTCAGCATGGCACTTGGGGATATTATAAGGTGAGGGCAGATGTGGCCCATACCCTTCAGCCGCTTGTGGCGGTTGTGCTCGTCAACAAACACATAATCTAAGTAAGAAGCCCCAGTCAGCATCGAAATAGCAAGAAGCTGGGCGGGAGGAAGTTTGATGGTAGTCGCACTTTTTTGCGTTTCACGCGGGGGCTGTTGGTAGGCTTGCGGCGCAAAGGAGAAGCTGTTCATCTGCGAAGTTTGCGGGAGCAGCCTGCGTGCTGTGGGATCGTTGGACATATTGAAGGCTGCGGCTTGCACGGGCGCTCACGGCGGCGCGCGGATGAGAGATGAAAGCTCGTCGACATTCAGGTCATGGGTCGCATTCAATCGGACCGGCGATGTTGATGCAGGTTTTCAAGTAGCCCTCTTCTCTATCTCTCACTACTGGCGGGGTTGATGATGCGCAGACGGAGACGCTGTCGTCGAGCGTTGCGGCAGTGTAGGCGCAGAGGGGATCAGCCAGTGAGACAACGTCAGGCCAGTGTGGACGTGCAGAGGGTTTTAGCCAGCGCGTGGCCAGACTGGATCTGCTGGATCTGCCCCGGTCGGCGGGCACGAGCTAATGAATGCGAGTGGCCCAGGCACCGCTAATAAACGAAGGGGCAACCTTGCTCCAGTTGACTCGGCGCTCGTCCGATCAGCAACAGGAGCCTGCACGGATCTGACGGACTTCCGTTGTTGATGGAGACTTGGTACCTTACCTACGTATACATACGAAGTTGGATGACTGTGAAGAGCAAGGCTACCAAGGTATTAGTAGGTAGTTGTCGTCGTCTTATTAAGTATTGACAATAACGTCGCTATGTATCTCGCATTGACAAGTACTACTACTTAGTAACGGCAGATTCGCATAGCGCGCTGGGATCCCGTATGCTGTATATGCTGTGTATGTGGTGTAGGTAAAGTATCCGTAGATACTAGTACCCCATATTCTATCCCAATTTTACCGGGCCGGTGGATGGAGGGGAGTGTTTGGAGAACACATCGAGGCAAACACACGCGCTTGTGATTGAGGAGGCTGCCAGCGCCAGGGAGGACAGGGATGGTGGGACAGGGCAATCAGTGGGCTCCCCCCGGTCGAAGGAGGGGTGGTGAAAGTGACGGTGGGGTGCTCGCTGGGAGAAGGACAAAGGATGCCCGGGCTTGACATCGCCGCCCACCTTCCGCTGCGGCTTCCTGGATAAAAAAGCATGGGAGACTGTGACCGGGGTTTTGCGGTTTGCCCTCCGCTCTTTATTACACGGCGATGGCAAACATGGACCGACGGATATGTACAACAGTGGAATATCATCCAGCGAAGCTCCATGCTGTCATGAATGCTCCGATTCCACACAGTATTCCATGCCGCCGAAGACTGCAGATATCTTACTACATAAGGTAGTGAGAGGGTAATTGGAGATGTGTATTGTACGGACATGTTTAAGAAACCGAGATGTCCGTGTAGAGTACTATCTCCATGTGTATTCTCTATGTAGAGTTTCCCATGGATATTTCTATGTATGGAGCATACTACTACTAGTAGTAGTATCCTGATAGAAGGTACGGTACATACAGTACATACATAATTGCCGTGTAGCATGACCAGGGCTGATGAAGGGGTGGCAGGGTGGCAGCACAGATGCTTCAACCTCTCGTTGCCCAGGTCCATGTGGGATATCGGGCATGCATCACTGTACTGTGCACGAGGCATGTCCGACAAAACGTTAAAAGCATGAGCGGCGCCGTTGAATACCCTAGGATCCTATACACATTGGCTATTGTCAAGACTCTAGAGACACCTTGACCGCTTCTCGCACCCACCTTTGGCAGCATAGAAACGCGCCGAAGTGCCGACTACTAGACCCTAGCTACTGCAAGCCTGGTGCCCTGTGTTGACTGCAGTCGAAAACTCATTGGGAAAGGCGCTACGGAGTAAAAGTGTGTGAAAGCCAGATCCCGACGAATGGGTGAGTGCAGGGGGTTGCCGCATCAACACCTGGAGAGTACCGATACCTTGAGGGAATATTTCCCATGTCTCGTCTACGCACATGTGCAGTGCTTCGTCGCTTGCCTCTGGCGCGCTTCTTGATGCATCACTGTGCTGAAACACACTGCCAGCATCTTCTCAAACGTTAGTCAAAGTTGGAGGCTAACGCCTCTGATGGGAAACAATGCCCTACACTACACTACTGTGCCTGGCGAACACCAAATGGATCCATTCCCACCCTGACAAGATCATCGCTCATCCTGCTCGTCCTCTTCTTGGACTAGGGAGATAGGGAGGGTGGACTTGACCCTGTTCTCCCCAAACGGCATTGGCTGTGGAATCCTGGTCGAACTGAGCATTGCGACCTTCTCGATCGGCTCCTCGGTCTGGACCAAGCAAAGGTGGTTGTGCGGATCGATCCCGCGCCCCGGAAACCATGCTCCTCCCGAACTGCTCCCTGCCCCGATGCAACATCTTTCGTCAACAGCTTTGCATCCACGCATTTCCGGGAAGTGATGGCGTTTTCACGCAGCACGCGATGCCAAGAATGGAAGGCCCAGGAAGGTGTCCTGTCCGCACTATCGCCCCGCCCATAGCCGCCCATAGCTGTCCTCGGTGCGTAGTATGTACGGAATACTATGTACTGTACAATAACTACATGTATGGAAAACTGCAATGGGTTCTTATCACATGCGTCCACTTGATGTCTCACAGGCCGGGACTCGAAATGATCGTACCGCTGCGTGCCGAGGGCATCCGGTGGCGTCTGGCTATTCCGCTTCCATTGTCAGCGATTTTTTGGCATCGAGGCAGTCGAGCGGGGTTGCCGAGAAGAGCCGCTGCTGGACCGAGTGAGGAGGCGTTCGAATGGTCCGAGGAGGGATACACCGTCAATGGACATTGTCCGCAGAATGTGTATGTAAAAGCGACTCATCTGACCGCAAGGCGATGTCTAAGGTGCACAGACGGATGGATTGCATAGGCTCTTCAGGTTGTGATGCTTTCCAAACCTTCGGTTCCATTTACACTAAACCCTAGGACATAAGCCAGGCGGAGTTCGCTCAAAGAAGACAAGGCCCGTCATGCCGCACCAGATGCAGGCACAAGGCCTGCTTCCCGCAATGCGATGATTTAAGGTTGGAGATCACGGATCGGAAGTCTCCTCTAAGTTCTGTTGCCTCAATCTCCCAAACCTATTGTAGAAACAAGTCCGGAAGGCGCTGCGTCATTCATCAATCAACCTTGGACATGGGATGGCTCAATAGGTACCCGAAAACAAAGGCTGCCAAGCCTTTCCTTCCACAACACAATGCATGCTGGTGTTCTCTGTGGCTTCCATTCGGCAGGCCCGGTAGAAGGCCCACGCGGTGTATTCGGTATCTTGCCGACATCATTGGATGTCTCGGATGCAAAAAGTAGGCACGAGAGGCCGGTAGCTATACCTCTATGAACAAATAAGCGGCGAATGACGAAGGCAAATGGAGCCGTCCGTGTGCTGCATACACACCTGGTCACTCTTTGCGACCAGAGTCTGAGGGGTATGAGGAGGTAGGTAACAGAATTCGGGTTGGGGCAGCGTTGCGGTCCGGGCTTGGGCGAGAAATCCCGGCTGACCTACCGGTCCCACCAGCGTCAACCTTCGACACCGAGCGTTGGTAAAGTGGGGCTAGGTAGCGCAACCGCCCGCCAAATGATGAATAAGCCATAGGCGGGCGTGCGAACTTGTGTAGAATCAACTTGGCCAGCTCTAGGAGCAAGTGTCAACCATCTTCAAGTGCTTTTGTCGACGAACCGCTCCGACTTCACATCGCATTGAATATTGAAGCCGGGGCCGGGATCTACCTCTCACACTGCAGGATTAACCACCTACGCCCGCTTTGCGGTTCAACCCCAGCCCTCGTGAACCCCCTGACTGTTCAAAGAAATTACCCAAAGATGGAGAGGGATCTTGACAACGCCAACCCCACAATTCTGAGTGTCTCTCAGCTCCCTAGCAGGAGCCGAAAGGGGACTGCCGCAAGGCACGGACCCGATTCGAAATGCGACAGCATTGTCTATCCCAAGCATTCTTGGCCTTACGGTTCTAGTTCGTCATCGGACGAAGAAGACGACGCTGGGGAAGAGCCCATGGATGAGCAGGATATCTATGGTGTGTACGGCCCCTCCAACGTATCCTTCACTGCCCCAGGACCATCTACTATTACTTCCTCTTTCCCTCCTCACGGTGCAAGGTCGAGAATATGGAGTAGGCTGCTGACTTCCCATAGATCTCATCTCTACCATATCGGATCCCGAGCATCCCCATACACTGGGCCAGTTGTCTGTCGTGAGACTCCCAGACATTCACTTGAGTCCCTCGCCCGCCGAGGTCACGGGGCTGGATTCCTTAGTGACGGTCCTTGTCGAGCTCACTCCGACCATCAACCACTGCTCCCTCGCAACCGTCATCGGCCTGGCCGTGCGGTGCAGGCTCGAGCAGACACTGCCGCCCAACTACCGTGTGGATGTCAGGATGAAGGTCGGATCGCACGCTCAAGACGACCAAGTCAATAAGCAGCTAGGCGACAAGGAGCGAGTCGCCGCCGCTCTGGAGAACGACACCCTCCAGCGCATGGTGGACAAGATGCTCGAGACCTGCGTCTGAGTAGTGGTGAAAGCACGTTGCTGCGTCAGCTCTCCGAATCCAGGACTCCAGACACCGGACAGATTGCTTGATCACGCTAGCGAAGGAATACTCAGAGCACACGGATGACAAGCTGAACGCTCTGGGCCGGAGTACTCAACACTATGTATGCACCCCGAGTGTGGCCGTAGTTCAACTTATTCAGGACTGTCGTTCGGACCCCATCACCACGCGTCAAGCACATGCAGGAGGATGAGCTCGGCTAGGCGGGGCCCGAATGTGATTGGTGGGACAATCTCGGTGAACTGGCTCTTGGTCTGGGGGATGCGCACCCACCCACTCGGGACAGTCCCCTGGCTCGGCTGGTTCTCTTTCCCTCCCGCATGCAGGGGATGGGACGGAAACCTTGGACAGTGTAACGTCCCGTCCGCCGGGATACCTCGCGGCAATCGCGTGCTAGCCCAGGGTAGAGATGAGATTGATGATGAGAGTCGGGCGCATTATAATCATAAGTTATCAATCTACGACGTTATCTTGGAAAATGCCGCGTCATACAATGCAAGGGCATAACGTTACTTGGGGAGAAACGATAAACTTTGACAGCTGGCCAAATAGGCTGGGATCTAGCATTGGGATGTGATGTTGAATGACAGACCGTACTCCCTTTACTGTGCAATATGTTTCAGGCAACTGTCTACCCCTTCAAACACATTCCGACGATCACCTCGAACCATCACGCGAGGAGTCCTATTTTAGGCGAGACACTTGTTGTTTCTCATCGTTGATGATGGTGAGGGATGAATGCTACATGTCCAGGTACGGAGTACTAAGGTATTGAAGCCTCGCGCCCTGGCGTGCCTGGGTACGGTACCGGCTCGGTGAGTAGTACACAGACACTGACAGAGTAGTAGTAAGTCCACCAGGTAGTGCCTATTGTGTATGGCATGAATATATGGGTGTTGTATAAGAATAGTATGTGCCGTATCACAGTCGTCGCATATGGGTAGTTCATCTGCGCAACTACCGAGATGCTTTGCAGTGCATAATCTTACACATGTCTATCCAGTGTTCTTTCTTTAGCCCCCATGTTGCCCTGAGCTGAAATATCCCGGAGTCCCGTCACTTGATTTTTTTTTTCCTTAGATGCTTACTGTATCTCTTATTCCTTAGCTGCTTACTGTACTGGTACTACATACAACACGAACGCATGCGCATCTCGCCGAGCTCCGACAGCGAACGTTGAACGCCTGTTCGACCTCAAATTCCGCAGTCCCGCTCTGTCGCCGGTCTGCCCAGGACCCATGACAGCGGAGCCGAACTTGAAGATGAGGCTACGTATTTCTGGGGCAACCAACTCACCGGATCGCTGAAACGGACACGGATGTTCCCGGTCGTCTAGATTCCTAGGTACAGGCGCATGGCGTACTGTGTACGGAGTGCGAGAGCAATGAACTCTTCTTCCAACTCTACTCGATGGTTATCACCTTGATTATCCGCCATGAACAGGCTGAGGCGTACATGAAGAGGTTTTTGGCTCATTAACTATCGTTCTTCTTATTCTTCCCAAACCGCAGTCACCCGACGGACCTTGGAGACCTCCTACAGAGACACTAGAGCCCACTCGACCATATCATATGATGTTTTATGAGAATCGCTGCCGGCATTCCAAACAGCAAAAAAGCCGCACCACGGAACGTCATATTGCGGTTCCATTTTCCCCCGTATCTGATCCGCTGTAGCCCCAAAATGCATTGCTTGTCTCAACCGGACCCCCATCCGCGTAGCCAACAGCAGGCCCAAACCGAGAGAGTACCTACCGGTTCCCCACGAGTTTTGTGTCGTACATACCTAGGTCCCTCCTTGTCAGTCTCTCTGAGACATAACTGCTCACATCCGACACCACACGCACGCCACAGAGTTGCAACGGCGCCAACAAAGAGGGAAGGCAGAGAGATAAGGGTGGGATGCAGAAACATGGTGGTGGTGTTTCTGAACGTTCCCCTCTCTTCCTGGTTCGCCCATGCAGCCTAGAGCTGCACAATAAATAGCAGCGACCTACATGTAAGTCTGAGCCAGTAAGAAATAAGCCGAACCCTTTAAGGCCGTAAAGTCAAGATAGTCAAAGTAGGCGAGTGCACTAAAACGGGTGAGCTACTACTGCGTATTGTCCGGGCTGGCCACAACCACAAAGTATTGCAGGCGGACGCTGAAACCAGTCCCTTCCCCAAAGACCGACTGAGATGACCTGAGGTGCAGCTGATGCTGAGGTGATACGCCGACGAGAGTGTGCCATGAGACGCACAGATGCCTGATTCAAGATATCCACGACTGTCATGGTCTAAAGTAGCCATCTGTAGAACCTATAGCCCCTTTCCCGGTACACGGTACAGTAACGCCTCCAACACCGATGTCGACCACTCAATCACCTCTCCACGAAAGTGCCATTCGCCACCAACTGCTTGTACAGATCTGGCTCCAAGAACTTCTCCGCGCTGACGTCATCGCTCAGTCCCTTCCTCTTCCTCGTCTTCAGCATGAAATCCCTCGCCGTTGCCAGCGGCGCCGCCATCTGCAAGTTCCGCGTGACCATCTCCCTGTCGAGCGGATCGCCCGGCACGATATTCCATCGGTCAAACACCAGGCTCACCATGGCTTTGCCCTCGGTATGGATCCTCAGGTCCGTCTCAAAGCCGAAGCCGTCGATGACCGGCATGAGGCCGTTGACCCGGTGAAGTGGTGTCCCCGCGATGGGACCGTCGAAGAGCACATGGCCGCGTCGCCGGGCTAGGATGTTGTAGAGGTGGCTACGGGCGTCATCACGACATGTTGCAGAGACCGAATACACGGGTTCCATAAGCCGGGGGCCGGCCGCCAGGAAGGCAGCGTAGCATGCGCGACGAGCGGTCGGGATGATTTGCCCACCGCCACGGAAGATGGCTTCTTGTGCCAGCTGGACGTCGATGAGTCGGAACTTGGCGTTGCGTATGGCTGCGGGAAAGAGGGTGGTTAGCTGGACGCACTACAAGAATCTGATTTGTGCTAAACGGGGTTGTTGGTTCAACAACGGCGCCAATTCCACGGGTTTAGCTTCCTAATGCGATCACAATAGGCAGGCGGGCTGCTTGTCGTGCAACCCACTACAATCTCGCATGGCAGGTTGCTCCGATGACGCTCCCAGTTTGCAGCAACACAGCTCAACTCGGAAGCAGCAGCTGCGGTCAAGGTAACTCACGTTCTTCACATAGTGGGCCTTCTCGGGTTGCCCAGCTGAATCCCTGCTTGATGGACTCTTTTACCGTCATTAACCGCTTCTTGTCAACCTGCACGGTCCGTTAGCATTCTGGTTACACACGACAGCCTGGTTCCGGCGACCCGCGGAAGCCGTGGCCCCAACAGTGCCATCCCTGGTGCGGAAGATGCACCCCGGAACTCACCTCGGCCGGCAGTGTGTCATCCTGTAGGATGTTCGGCCCCATATCGTCGGGACCAAACGCCCAGATGCTTCTGGCCGCGAGCATGTCCCATCCGTACTTCTCTTCGAAGAACTTGGCAGTTTTCCGTGGAGGGTCCCGGATCTTCACCGCCCCCGATTCGATGTCTTTTGCAATCCCGTCATCCAGCGGCTCCGCCGCTATGGTGATGATATTCTTTTTGTTAGGCGTGATGGCATAGCAGCCGGTTTCCGACATGTCTTGGACCGTTTCGCAGAACCGGACGACTGGGTCCGACACCCGGACTTCCATGTCAGCGTAAAGCCGCCGAAGGTCATGCAACACGCAGTCCATGTACAGTTCGCCGGTCCCTAGGATGATGTGCTCGCCGGACTCCTCCACTTTGGTGGTGATTAGGGGGTAGCTCTTGTTGATCTTTCTGATACCATCAAGCATCTTAGGTAGCTCAGACGGGTTGATGGGCTCGACGGCGACCTTGACGACGGAGTCGGTAAAGTGGGTTAGCGGCTTGAAGATGTAGGCATCTTCGTCGCTTTCAAACTTCTTATCCACAATGGTGGCCGTCTTAACGATCGAATTGTCGACGCCTCCCAGAAGAACCCAGTTGCCTGCCGGCACGCCGTCCGTCGGGATGTTGTATCGCGTTTCAGCGATGAAAACGTCCGATATCTTCGCCAACACCATGTCTTCTTCGTCGTCCAGTGAGTAACTCTCACCAAGAACTCGAACTTCTGTTCCTGGTCGTGCAATGCCGCTCATAACGCGTCCGAATGAGTAGAAACTCTTGGCATCGGCGGTGTTAAACAGTTTGGTCACGTAGACAACTAGTGGCCCGTTTTGATCACATTTCTTCATTGACTCTGCAACTTTGGTGTCGAGAGGACCGGTATAGTACTGCCCGATCTTCTTCTCGGCGGCTTCGGCAGGTGAGGGGATATGCTGGCAGACCATATCCACGAACCCGGTTGATGGCCCTAAATATCAAGTCAATGTGTGAGAAATAGGTCCATGAGAGAAGGACTTGACTTACCGAAGAATTGTTCGCACGCCAGTTTCAGTAGGACTTTCGGATCTGCCTTGTACTGAGATGGCTTGAGTTCGATCCCCAGTTTCCCCAATGTTTGCTTCAGGTCTTCCGGGCTATCGCTGATCGTGTGGGAGAAGAGCTTGTATATCGGCTCCAGGACAAAGTTGACGAAAGACCTCTTTGATCCCTCCTCGATCTTCTTCCTCGTAAAGTTGCGTTTTTGGGGGTTGAAATAAACATCGCCCCACAAGCGCCGAGCGAACTCATCAACGTTGACTCCGCCGAAGCTGTCCGAGTACATCTTGGCGAACGACCGCAATGTGAAGCACCACCCCATGGAAGTGCAGGCAAAGAGAACATTGCCCTTTTCGGGACTTATTCTCTTCTCCTCGCCCCGTCCAGGAATCGTGTTCTCAATAACGGTGTTCACCTCCTCCACAACGTGCTTCAGCTTGAAATACGCATCGGAAGGCGGCAGTTTCAGCTCCAATATCAACCGATCCAATTTGTTGATGATCAGTGTGAGGGGGATATCTTCGAGAACGGCGTGCTTGATGATCTGCTCGGTGTTGACCTGCACTCCCTCTATCACATCGACCACCAGGCACACGCCATCAACCAGCCGCAAGGATGCGGCGACCTCGTCAACAAAGTCCACGTGGCCGGGAGTGTCGATGATGTTAAGAAGATGCGACTTCCCCTTGGTGCTGGGGAGAACCAGGCTCATAGGCGCGGCCTTGATCGACACCCCCCGGTCCCGTTCAATAACATGGACATCGGTGTATCTGAGCTGCTCATCACGCCTTTTCCCTGTCCGCTTTTCCAACCTGTCTGTGATGGCGTGCGTCTCGAGAACAAGCATGTCCATAAACGCCGTTTTGCCGTGATGTAGATGTCCGGCCAGAGCAATGTTCCTAATCTGTTCCGGGTAGTTCATGAGATCAGTCATGAAACTGCGATCGAAATAGACTGGGGGTAGGTCGGCCTCCTCGATGTTGAACTTCTTCTGCTCGATGGGGGCAATTATGGGTTGTGTCAGCGGTTGCGCATCTTCCTCTTGCACCAATGTCTCGACCTCCTCGCCGTACACCTGGGCAGCGGTGGGGTAATATTGCTTGTCTTCATGGAGGACTACGGCGTTGGAAGGCCCTTCGTCTGGTTGTAGGGTTAGCTGCGATCATACGGCACATTGAATCTGAGCGGCGGCATACCGTCGACGTCCATGCGATCCTCAACGGGGGCTTCCGCGGCCGCCTCTGGGTATTCGTCATCGTAGGCATAATTGCCCACATCTACGCCATGTTGCGATTCTTCTTCTGAAGCTTCGGCTTCTTCGCCTATGAAGTTTCCGAACTCGTCATATAGATCGTCATCCATGGTTGCTGGCGGGATCTGTGATTCGTCTTGTGATGGACCCAGATATCGCTTTTCCGTCGCGTCGCGTGCTGCACTGGGTGATGTAAGACTGCGCCAGAAATTTAGGCCCAGAGCTGTTGTGGCGCGAACTCAGGGGTCGGCGCACTCGCCACAAAAGAGGCAGTGCCCCGAATCTCCGATGCACGTCCGCTGGTCGGCATGCCCTTCCTAAACGGGAAGAACGGACCCCTGTTCTCGGCGAGGGGCATATCTTATCGGCACTGGTCCCCTGGCTCAACCATCGTTTAAATTCCCCGCCACACACCGACAAACCCAAGTTCCCAACTGTTGTTCCAGAAGCCCTGGGTTACTGTCACAGATCGTCAAGATGGCCAACCTTCCTCCTGTTTACATCGTCTCCGCCGCGAGGACTCCAGTAGGGAGCTTCCTCGGAAGCCTCTCCAGCCTCAGCGCAACCCAGTTGGGCTCACACGCGATCAAGGGTAAGAATCAGGAGCTAACCCCCAACAAAGGCGGTCTGCTGACAAAACGACACCAACAGCTGCCGTTGAGCGTGTCCCCCAGATCAAGCCCGAGGATGTGGAAGAGGTGTTCTTTGGCAATGTTCTGTCGGCCAAGTAGGTGGTCCTGTCCATCCTTCTCTCATTCGGATGTATCCTGACAGTCTCCTCCACGCAGTCTCGGCCAGGCTCCTGCCCGACAGTGTGCCCTTGGTGCTGGACTCTCAGAGGCTGTCGTCTGCACAACGGTCAACAAGGTGTGTGCGTCTGGCATGAAGGCCATCATCCTCGGTGCCCAGACCATTATGACTGGCAATGCGTCCATTGTCGTCGCCGGCGGCACGGAGAGCATGTCCAACACACCACACTACCTCCCGAACCTCCGCACCGGTGCCAAGTACGGCGACGCCTCGCTCGTTGACGGCGTGCAGAAGGATGGGCTCCGAGATGCCTACGGCGAAAAGGAGCTCATGGGAATGCAGGGCGAGCTCTGCAGCCAGGAGCACGGCCTGACCCGCGAGATGCAAGACGAGTACGCCATCAAGACATATCAGAAGGCCCAGGCCTCAACGGAGGCTGGCCTCTTCACCGAGATTGCACCTATTGAGGTTCCCGGCGGCCGGGGCAAGCCTCCCATCAATATCGATCGGGATGAGGAGGTGAAGAACCTTAACATCGACAAGCTGAAGACGGTCCGTCCCGTCTTCATCCCCAACGGCGGCACCGTCACGGCTGCCAACGCGGCTCCCATCAACGACGGCGCTGCTGCCGTAGTGCTCGTTTCCGAGGCCAAACTCAAGGAACTGGGCATTAAGCCGCTGGCCAAGATCCTGGGTTGGGCCGATGCGGCGCGGGATCCGCCTCGCTTCACCACTGCTCCGGCGCTCGCCATCCCCAAGGCCATCAAGCACGCCGGCTTGACGGAGAAGGATGTTGAGTACTACGAGATCAACGAGGCTTTCTCGGTAGTCGCGTTGGCCAACATCAAGCTGCTCAACCTTGACCCGGAGAGGGTCAATGTGTTCGGTGGCTCGGTCGCTATCGGCCACCCGCTAGGTGCCTCGGGCGCCCGCATTGTCACGACTTTAACGTCCGTGCTGCGGGAAAAGAAGGCCAAGATTGGCGTCGCGGGTATCTGCAATGGCGGTGGCGGCGCTTCGGCTTTGGTTATTGAGAACCTGCAGTGAGTGGCTCGTTCCGGTTGTGGCGCGATTCGGCATCGGTTAGCGTAATGGAATAGGGGTTCGTATTGGTGTTGGTCAAAAGGAGGACAGGTTCTAATGCAGGACGGTCATGTCAACAGATCGATGGCGGTTTCACAGCTGGCCAAACCCAGCCTATAGCATGTTGGTATAGCCGGGTTAGGTAAGAGGCACGGTGTGGACTTTACCAAGCCGGGCTCAATCTTAAGTGAAGCATCGGCGCGGCCGCCGCTCTCATATGCTGGAGCGACCATAGGCACTTGCTCTATGATTGGGTCCGCGGCTGCCTCGAAAGGCCTCCAATTTTCGCTCTTGTCTAGTTCCCGGGCCTCCAAGCTTTGACACACCCATCCTCCCCGGCAGTAAACACAAGTTGCTGCTCGTCATAGAAGCAGAAACTCCTGACCAACTCCGACTCGTGCGCCCCAGGCAATCCAACAACCGTCTCCCTATCCAACACCCAACCTCCAGTGCCCTTTGCCAGGTGAAACAACTGGAACATATCCTGGCTATAATTTTCTACCATCAGCATGCCGCCACTCACCAAACAGTATGGATGCTCTCATCGGGAAACAAAGGGCAAAAACTTACTCGTGCGTCCCAACACCCACCACAGCGCCCATGCCCCCCAGCTTGGGCGCCACGGCAGCAAGGTACTGACACCCCAGCAGCGTCCGCACGTCGCCGAAGTCAACGGTGGCCGCGCCGGTGTGTGTCTGCTCGGCCATGTCGTAGAGCGCGAACTTCTCGTCGTGCGAGGCCGCGAAGACCTCCGTCTCGTTGAGGAAGCCGGCGCGGTGCACCGAGCCGTGGTTGAAGGTCTGCTGCACGGCCTCGTCCTCGTCGGCTATCGAGGTGTCGGTGATGTTCACCAGGCCGTCGGTCGAGCCTGAGAGGAGGAGGGATGGGTTTGTGGGGTGGTATGTTAGCTGTAAAATAAAATAGACGGACGGGTTAGTTCCTTGGGGGAAAATGGTAAGAAAGGGGATGAGAAAGGGGTGGGGGTGGGGAGTAGAAGGGCAGGGAGTTTACCTCGGTGATGTCGTCGGAGTGGACTTCGTTGAATTGGGTCCTGGGAATGGAAGGGGAACGGAGGTCCCTAAGTTATGTTGTCTTGTCAGCAAACACTATGGAGCTTACCAGTTGTGAGACGTGAGGAACTCAGGATTGAAGACGGACCAGATGATGATGGATGCTTGGTGGTCGGCTAACTCTGTTCCCGCAGCAATGGCGTTGGTCTCATTTGAGCATGCCAGTGACAATAGACTTGACTGGTTCCCTACGTCTCTCATGCATTATTAACATATGTGCCGAGGACGGCAACGACTGATAACTGGAACCTCACCCCCTATTTGCAGTGCCTGAGCCCTCCCAGGGTCGAGGCGCAGGTCCCAAACGGAGACGGTACCATTCTCTCCTGTCGAGCAGATGATCGAGTTGGCGGCGTCGTACACCTTCGCAGCAGTAAGATTCCCATGGTCTGTCCGGAGCCTCTTCACCGGCCCTTGGCTCAGTCTCAGGGGGTCAAAGAGACTGAGTGTCTGGTCTGAAGCTGTTGCTGCAAAACCGGTCGAGACAGGCAGGATGTCCAAGACAAAGATGTCATGTCGAGGATAATTGAACACGTCTGTGTTGACGAGCTGGTACATTGCGCAAGCTGCCTTCACAGGCTTGGCTTGAACACCGTGCCTTTCGCTGTGTGTAAGTCAGCGGGGAATTTCGACCTGAATCTTTTGATACGAATGGTAAACACAACTTCAATATCGATCGAATACTGCCTCAGTGCAAAGGCTGATATGGCACTGAGTGAAAAGCGACTGACCGGTTTATTCCTCCAGTTGGTTGACTGTTAAAACTCGTTACTCTGAGCTTCTGTCCTCAATCAAACCGTCCTTTTCCAAACGGATCAACTTGGACTTCAAGTTCATGAGAGTCCTTCTGCCTTCGCCAGTCTTCGGCCAGCCGCCCGGCAGCTGACAGCATGCACCCGATGTGGTTGCTTCTGGGCGAGAGAGCCCCTTGCCGCCAGACCCTAGGCGAAGGCTTAGCTAACGTCAACGGTGCATCCTTGAGTGGGGAGCTTCTCTTCTGGACAGCTTGTAAGAACGACGGACATCGCATGAGCTGCCGCCAGCTCTTTGCATCGCTCTCCAGCTTCAGATTATCTGCACAGCCATGGCATGACCACGCTCACATTACATTCCTTTGTTTAGCAGCCGTCGATCATGAAGGGGCTTTTTTGGTTGTTCCGTAAGCTTCCAAACCCTATAGTTGCCTATCACCGGCTGCATCCCACTAACACCATCCTCCAGTGCTGCTGCAGGCCGTTGCCTTTTCGTACGCCGAAGCCCAGGCTGCCCAGCACGTGCTTGACGGTGACGCGGCTGGGAAAGGAAACGGCAACACGTTTCGCGCAGAGATCTCTACACAAAGCGGCGGGCAAACGGTCCGGGAACCGGGTACGGGACCTTCGTGGAATTGACAGCCCAGACAGAGAGCGATTGCTGACAGACCCCAGGCGCCGACCTCGTTGACTCCGCGCTCGCCGAACTGCGAAAGATACAACCACCGACACATCACAGGACCCGGAAGCAGAATGGCGTTCTGGGTACTGTGCTACACTTCGCCTTACAGGCGCTCCCAACCCTCCGCCTCAGCGCCCCGCCGCCCGAGCCGTCCCATAAGAGCGCGCTTAGTGGAAAGCTTCTACACGCAACCAAGCTCCTCGAGCAATCCGCCCGGCAGAACAACTCAGACGCGCTGTATATTCTCGCCGAAATGAACTTCTACGGCAACTTCTCGTACCCCAGGAATTTTGCCGCCGCCTTCGACTACTACCATCAGCTGGCGTTGCTCAATGGGAACAGCTCGGCGTTACACATGCTCGGGCTCATGTACTCGACCGGGGTCGGAGGAGCCGTGGAGCGCGATCAGGCACGCGCACTCCTCTACTACACCTTTGCCGCGAACCGGGGGCATACCAGGGCCGAGATGACGGTAGCATTCCGGCACCACGCGGGCATCGGGACGCCAAGGAACTGTGACCTGGCCGTCAAGTATTACAAGCGCGTTGCCGACAAGGCCATCGCATGGTATCGGTCGGGGCCGCCGGGTGGGATGGGCTGGATTTCGGAAGCCTACCGAATCGCTGACGAGACGGGTGGTGTCTACGGGGAAGGGGCTAGTGTTGCCAGTGCCGGGACAAATGCCGTCAAGGCGCACCCTAACTCAGATGCCTACGCATCGATCGAGGACATCATTGAGTACTTGGACCTCATGTCGCAAAAGGGCGATTTCAAGGCCTCGTTCAACCTGGGGCGGATCTATTACGAGGGCCAGAGGGGTCTCGAGAGGAACATGGCGTTGGCCAGGAAGTACTTCTTTGATGTCACGCAAAAGTACTGGAAGAAAGGCCGTGAGACCGACAACCCAAAGCCCGGACTGGACAAGACGGCTGGTAAGGCGGCCGGCTTCATAGGGCGCATGTACATGCGCGGCGAGGGCGTTGAACAGAACTTTGACCGCGCTAAGTTCTGGTTCGAGCGCGGGGATAAGCTCAAAGACCCCCAATCTCAGTATGGCCTGGGTCTGCTGTATCTCAACGGACTTGGCGTCAAAACCGACATCGTCCCAGCTACCGATAAATTCAAGGCGGCTGCTGCTATGGACTACGCCCCTGCGCAGGTCCAGCTTGGAAGCCTGTACCTGGATCAGGGACACAACGAGGATCTGGTGGCTGCCAACCATTACTTCGAAATGGCCGCCAGATGGGGCAACATCGAGGCCTATTACTACCTCGCGGAAATGAACTTCTTCGGTGTCGGCCGCGAGAGATCGTGCAGTACGGCAGTAAGCTACTACAAGAGCGTAGCCGAGCGGGCCGAACCCCTTGTCTCGTCCTGGGCGGAAGCCAATCTGGCATACGAGGACGGCGACACGGAGCTGGCACTCCTCGAGTATTTAGGGGCGGCAGAGCAAGGGTATGAGAAGGCGCAGAACAATGTGGCCTACATCCTGGATCCGGACAAATCTCGGCTGCCCATCGCTCAGCTGCTGTCCTCCGGCGCCCCTGCATCTCCGCTCCTGCAGAACCCTACGCTCGCACTAATCCACTGGACACGCTCCTCCCGTCAGGGCAATATCGACGCGCTGGTCAAGACGGGCGACTACTACCTGTACGGGATCGGCACGGAGCCCGACGTCGACAAGGCAGTTCAATGTTATACCGGAGCGTCGGAATATCACCAGAGCGCGCAGGCGCTGTACAACCTGGGGTGGATGCACGAGCACGGTGTCGGTCTGGACCAGGACTATCACCTAGCCAAGCGGTACTACGACGCGGCGCTGGCGACGAATGAAGAAGCCTATCTTCCAGTCTCCCTCAGCCTGTTGAAACTGCGAGCCAAGAGCGCTTGGAACACCCTCACGCATGGCAGGATCAACTCTATCCAAGATGAGCCGGGTAAGTGTCCCGTTTCCCTGACGAGTTTCTGGAGGTCACGAGCTGACAGCAGGCTCTGCCCCAAAGCGCCGAAGAAAGATTGGTCACTCAGCGAGTGGATCAACAACTTCCTACAGGACGACGCCCAGTATTACGACGAGCTCTACGAGGAGGTCTACGATGATACCGGCATGCCCGGTGGTGATCCCCTGGACTTTGACGACGGCGTGATGGAAAGTGTCGCGATCCTTGGCCTGGCTGCCGCGCTGGCCTTCCTGGTTATGTACCGCCAACACAGGCAGCAGCAAGCAAGGCGGCGGGAAGAGGAGGCAAGGATGCAGCAGCAGGGAGGACTCGGTAACGGTAACGTGAACCAGCAGCAACCGCAGCCGCAGCAGCCACAGGAAAGGGCGTTCGTCGCCCGGCCTGGGGATCCTGATTTTGTGCCGTGGGGTGTTGGGGGGGTAGGGCATTGACGTGCGAGGCTTGGAAATGTATGTACACACAGCGCTAACTTCCGCTAAGGGCATTCTTGGAGCCGCGGCGTATCAGGTTGGTCCATTACATGATGTTATGAGATACTAGTAGACTGCTTGGGTGCTTTTGTGTACTGGGTAGATAGGACCCTTAGTCGGAAACACCAGCTGTTACCTACTGCTCGTACAATACATATGTAGGTACATACAAGAATATGGACAGAATTCGTCCAAATCGTTGTGAATGCAGCATTGGTAGGTAGAAATCTGCAAGTCGGATTCAGTTGTTGCGGTGGCTCAACTTGGATTTGGCAAACCTTGAAGTTCCGGGCACAACTTGGAATTGAAGGGCGGCAGTTTCCTTACAGAGCGACTTCATCCTTCGGGCAACTCCCAATTCGACAACCTCGACCCTGCACTCTCTGCACTCTCTGTCAACATACCTCTGCGCAACAAATCAGCTGTCTGGAAGAGGATGTAATCATTTTCTAACTAAAGATGCACTGCCAGCACCCTTCTCAAAATGTCATTCCAGACTCCCGGCGGCCCAGCCGCCAAACGCCGGCGGATTGAAACGGCCAATGCAACCCTTCGGAAACCGTTTAGGTCACCTATGATAAGCCGGCAACAGAACCAGTTCGGTACCGGAAGCACGCTTGAATCACCCAGCACCAGTCGTGCTGGCCCAGCCGCGGTGTCGACGCCCCAGACACCGGCGACGCCTGCATCACTCCGCAGTCAACGTCCTGCTCCTCCCGCCACTGCATCTCCCCTATCAACCGCTCCGAACCTCACCGCTGGTGACACCCCCGAACCCAGGCGGTCAACAAATCTGGATCTCGGCTCGGGTCGCAGTATCAAGGCCACCGGCTGCGGCGCTGCCAGTCCCGGCGAGCACGAAGCTTCTGGAGCTGACCTCCTGCATCGAATTCTCGCCTCGCAGAGGGAGATGCAAGCCCAACTCCGTGAGACACAGAAGCGGCTCGACCTCGTCCGCCAAGCCGGGCGGATCGAGCAAGCTTCGTTTGCGAAGCGACCGGGGGAGCCAGTGGATGCCGAGCTGAGGGAGCTGGTGGAGAAATGGAGGCGGGCGAGCAGGTTGGCCGCCGAGGATCTATTCGGGCTGATCAAAGACCGCGTGGAGGGGATGGGCGGCGCGAGGGCGTGGAGGGAGAGTCGGAAACGCCAGAGGGGGGGAGGCTTCTACGATGGGTTTGGAGATGGGGAGGGGTCGGGGAGGGATATGGGTGGTGAGGAGGAGGGTGAGGAAGAAGTAGAGGAGGGTGGCAGCGAGACGCCGGAGATCGAAGAGGAGGAGGAGGAGAGCGAGGAAACTGTGAGTTCTGAAGAAACGGGAGCGGCCACACTCGGTCTGGCAAAGCTAATGTTTTTTTTTTTTTTTTTTTTTTTTTTTTTGCAGGAGTTCACGATGACCATGATGCTCAAGAGCCTTAACATTGACCCGGATGCGTTGGGATATGATCCTGTCGAAGACAAGTGGCGGGATTGAAGTCAAGCAACTGAAAAAACCAGGTCTACGGAGATGGCATCTATTTAAGCTTGCCGTCAAGGCGTCTCAGGGTGAGTTCTCCTGTCCATTTAATCTCGACAGAATCAAGCTTGAAAAGGAGGATGAAGTTGAAGGGCTGACATTTATCAGTTGACCGAGCACGGGATATGTGACCCAACAGAGTGAGCACAGTCTATCCCAGGTATAGAGAAATCCGGGGATTTTCTGTCATGACATTGAGAGTTGGTCGGGACCGTAACGCAGCCTTCACTCCTTGACTCTGGAGCTTCGCAATTGCCGGCTTTGAGAATGTTGCCAGAATCGATGGAGTCCGTAGCTATGGATCCGCTGAAGTGCATACTGTGAGATGCCTTACATAAGCACGCTTGGCCCATCCCGTCACAGCCCTTCGGGCGTGCACGGCAGTGTGCGACAAGTTGCAATTGGAATTCGCAACGATTTGATTCGTTCGCGACTAACCGAGGTTCCGGGGAACCGAATGTGATCGCTAGAGTCCACCACAATTTGACGCCACTAAAACGCCACTAACAACGTAACTTGCCGCCCCGAGGCCTTTTCAAGTTCCGACAGTCCAATTCTGCCCCCGCCAGCGACGTCGACGCCGCAACTGCAAAGCGCATCAATTGCCCGTGTCGCGACCATGGCAGCTCTCCGCTCTTCCGCCTCCGTCATGCTCGGCGCTGCGGTGTCAAGGCCTGCCTTGCGCTCGGCCACTGCTGCTCCCGCTGCTGTCCGCGGCATGGCCCAGCTCGCCAACGGCGCCCAGCACAGTAATACGGCGTCTGGCGACCAGGCAAGGCTCAAGACCTTCCAGATCTATCGCTGGAACCCTGACACACCAACCGAGAAGCCGCGGATGCAGAGCTACACCCTCGACCTCAACAAGACCGGGCCAATGGTCCTCGACGCCCTGATCCGCATCAAGAACGAGATTGACCCTACCCTCACTTTCCGCCGCAGCTGCCGAGAGGGTATTTGTGGCAGCTGTGCCATGAATATCAACGGGACCAACACCCTCGCTTGCCTGTGTATGTTCGGGGGGAAGCCAGCCGAGAGGCAAGAGTTCGTGAAGGCTAACAACCAATAGGCCGTATTCCAGCCGAGAGCAACGCGGACATGAAGATCTACCCGCTGCCGCATACCTACGTCGTCAAGGACTTAGTTCCCGATCTTACCCAGTTCTACAAGCAGTACAAATCGATCAAGCCGTACCTACAGAGGGAGACACCTGCGGAAGACGTAAGTTGGCCAGGAGCTTCGCGCGTTCCTAGTTAGCGTTCGACTGACACAGCATGACATGACAGGGCAAGGAATACAGGCAAAGTAAGGCGGACCGGAGGAAGCTCGACGGCCTTTACGAGTGCATTCTCTGCGCATGCTGCTCGACCTCGTGCCCGTCCTACTGGTGGAACTCGGAGGAGTACCTCGGCCCTGCTATTCTGCTGCAATCGTACCGGTGGCTTGCCGACTCCCGGGACGAAAAGAAGGCGGAGCGTAAGGAGGCCCTCAACAACTCGATGAGCCTGTACCGCTGCCACACCATCCTCAACTGCACCCGGACATGCCCCAAGGGTCTCAACCCCGGTCTGGCGATCGCCGAGATCAAGAAGGAGATGGCTTTCTCTTGAGTGGCGGGCTGGGAGCAAGGGATGGTTGGCGGACACGGCGTTGGGGCCGGAAAGTGGGCGGCGGTATAAGTCCTAAACATCGGACTACGGTGAATATGTAAACTGTACCCTTATCTCCTGCATGGTCGGAGTTCACTTTATCACAGTACAGCAACAGGATTGGCTTCTTATGTTGCCCATGGCCGGTCATTTGAGGCGATATAAATCTGATGTCGTCCACTTCTCAGATGATAACAAACGAAGAAAGAATCCAAAAGCCTTTTAACGATTCAACGACCGTCTTATTTCAGTATTGACAACGAGCGACGGGGTATTTGGGAAGTACAGGAAGGTGATAATCCAAGTATCAATACATCAAAGGATAACTTTTCCCAGTTCACACAAGGACCTCAGAATCAGTACTCTGTATTCAGAGGTCCAACCTCTTGATTGCCTCTTTACCAGCCATCCCAACCATCTCAACCAGCTACTCGCACGTGCCCGTCATCGAGTCATACTACTCATCTTTGACGCGCTCATACACGACCTGGACGGGCATGTATTCCTCCGTCGTGAACGCCTTGGCTATGTTTCCCCCCCGAAGCTCAGTCAGCAAACAACCTAATCAACAAACATCACACAGAGCAGGAAAGAAAGAGGAATAGTGTCCAAAACTCACCGCCCTTCCACTTCACACTCCAGCCGCCCTCAGCAGTCACGTCAGGGAACGCAGCCCAGCCGCCACCGTTCTGGGCGCCTTCGCCCGCGTACCGGAGCACGCCGCCCTGCTCTTCGTCGTCCAGCCGGAACGAGGTCCAGTCGCACTTGCCGCCCTCCGGCACGGGAACCGCGGCCGGGTCCTCCAGGCTGGCAAAGTCCAGCAGGCCGTGCTTGCCCACGACCGCGAGCGTGTTGCCTGCCCCCTGCGTGCGCAGCTCCGCGAGCCCCGTCGTCGGGTTCTTGACCGGGTACACGTGCAGCCTCTCCGCGGCCGGGGTCGGGTACACGCCCAGGGTGCTGCCGTTTGCTGAGGTGGTCAGGTACACGCCGTCGAGGGTTGCCACGCGTCTGTTTTGTGTGTGTTTTGTTAGTTGGGGTTTTTTTTTTTTTTTTGGAGGGGACCATAAGGCGCTGGGACGAAGGGTGGAGGGTGGATGGTGGACGGTGGAGGATCGAGAATTCGCCTGGCTAAAAAACGGAAGGGGGTGTGTCATACGAGGAGAGCCGCAGGGTGTAGACTGCCTGGCCCACGTCTCTGCGGACGGGGGTTGCGAGGCCCGTAGCAGCGAGAAGGGAGAGGGCGAGGGCTTGAAGCTTCATGGTGACGGTGTTGCTTTGGGGGTGGTCCTTGGGACGGTTGGCGAGTAAGGGACTTGTTTGCAGGACTAAGCTAATTCAAACAGGTCTAATTGCTGCTGCAGGTCGAAACCGTTGATAGCTGTCAACAGCTGAGCTCATGCAGTTTCTCGGAAGGAGCAGCACTGGTTTATAGTCGTGTAGGTTGAGCCTTGCGCCTCCCTCACCTCATCTATGACCTCCATTGCAACAGCTTGGACTTTCTTTCCATCTTCCATTGCACCTTCCTCCCTTGAGGAACTGTGCAAACGACTTGAACCCCCACCGTCGGTGTCAGGTGTTTGCGTGTCACACATTCCGGCTCAACATTGAGGTTGGCACCTCCGAATGCGTGGCAATACAGGCAAAATTAATGGTGAAGCTGAAGGAATCTTCTGCTATCAATTATCAGGTTATTAAGGGATGGATTGTCAACGGCACTCAATTGATTAACCCAAGTCTCGGCCTCTTATTTTTAGCACCTCGGCCACGTTTTTACCTTTTCATCCGGGTTCTAAAGCCCTCTGGCGACGCCGACGATTCTCAAAGGCAACTTCTACAAAGTTCCACAGCATATCGACAGATTGCCTCTCCGCCGTGACCGCGCGGTGATCGTCCCTGCAGAGCCGACCTCATCCCTTCTTCTTGCGCGCCGGCTCACCATCAGCGCCGCCCGGTTCTAGAAAGCATCAAAACTGGCAATTGCCGGCCTCGATCCCCATCCTCTGTCAGATGTTCCTGACATTAGCAGACAGCCCTCCTCAACTCCCGCCTGTTCTGTTTGCTGCGGCCTGCCTGATCGACAACGGACCAGACAACCGCGTGGATGTAGTCAATTAACAGGAACCATCGAACCAGACTCTGGGCATCATCTTCCCGAGAAAAGCCGGCGCCAACCGCAGGACTCGCTTTGACTTTGACTTTTCAATTGGTTGATGTTCCTCGTCTGAGTGAATCGACAACATTCGTTACAGTAACACCAACTTCATCCAGGCCTTCACAAGTTTCGTACGCCACGCGGCCACCGCATGCGCAGTCCCAACGATTTAAAGACTCTGATTGGGGTCGCAACCGTGCCTGTCTGGGTAACGGAGAATTTCGTTCCCCAGATCTCCCCATCCGGCCCTTCGACTCTTCGACCCTTTACCCGTTCCCGAAAATCCGGGGTTGAGCTACCTTACTACCTTAGCCTATTCCCCAAGTAACCCTACCTCGACTCCAGGGCCCTGCAGTCAACTCCAGCCTATGCAATAGTGACCTTTATTAGCGGAACTGGCTTCCTCGTTCCCCTTTTCTGCCACGGCTGTCTCTGAGCATCCGCCTTGGCTTCCATTGCATACTCGCCAAAGCACGGATACGAGAATGCTAATGAAAGACTAGCCTCCAGTAGGTTAGAGGAGAGCCTTGGTAATGCAGGTTGCCCGGCTTGCCTTTGCTATGACCACAGACTGTACGCTGTATGGGCTGATGAGTCGTTTATAGTTTCTCAGGCACGCAGCTACACTCCAGGCCTTTGGGCTGTGGTGATTAGCCTGGGCACGGGCGAGACACTGTACTATATGTCTGCTTTGCTGGCCGTCTCTTGATACAGACATAATTCCCTCTCACTGCTTTACCATCTCACCTTCCTATCCTGGGTTCTCCAAGTCTGAAAGTGTCCGAGAAGCCGAGCAACATGCATCACACGGCGATCTTGCCCCTATTGTCACCCCTCATGCTCCTCGGAGGGCTAGTTACCGCCGTGCCCGTTGCAGAGCCGTGCCAGTCACGGATCGTCTGCATAGATGCCGTCAACCAGTGCGGGATGAAATATGGCGGGTATGACGCTCAAGTTGCATTGGAGGCATAAAGCCGTTGCTGAGATAGCGTGCCCAGATGCTACGATATCTGCGATGTTTCCGCCAAACCCGTGCCCCCAGCGTGTCCCAGCACGAAGACAACAGCAACAACAAAGAGGATCCCCACGCCAACCAGCACGACGAAGAAAGTGACCACGAAGAAGCCGCATCCCACGCCCACCAGGAAGAGCACTACCACAAAGCCGCCCAAATCAACCGTGACCTCGACCAAGAAGATCACCACTTCCATCACCAAGCTCACCAGGACCTCGTCCAGCAGCTGCTCCGCCACCGTCTCGGTCTGCTGGGACGGCATCAACGAATGCGGGATGTGGTATGGGGGGTATGTGTTCATATCCATCATCATCATCATCAAAGCCCTGTATTATGCCCTGCTCTTTAAGGGTCTCCAAGCTGATCTGTCGGTTCCCCGTAATAGTTGCTTCCCGGACTGCAAGCCCTGGCCTACCTTTACGCCGCCACCTTGTCCCACGACGGCGAAGCCGCCTGCCCTTACGCCGCCTGCTCTTTTGGCATGAACATATCTCTGATTGAGCCTTGGGTACTGTAGGTAGGCTCCAAAAAGCCAAGTGGGCTCGTTCATAAACGCACTTTCAGGGGGTTCTGGCTCGATTGCTACCCATCTAGTAGTATGTACTTCGCCGTTGAATGGCACATGATGGGTTTCATATCCACGATGCGTATTCTTGTGTGTTGATGGACTCATAGCCAAGGCTACGGCCATGGAATGTTGCGCGCCAATGGCCGATTTTATGTCGAGAGAAACCCGACTCCCAAAACCAACGGCAAAACGTATTGATATCTCCTTGCAAATAGCCGCCACACAGCCTTCCTTTCTTATGACCTGAACCCCTTTTGCCACTCCCCCCATTTCCGCGGTTCATTTCCCCTTGGCAGCAAGGTACTCAATGTCTCCAACCTCGCGCAGCTTACCTCCCTTGACAATGACCTGCTCCTCCATGTCGAGTTGATACCGCCTCATCTTCTCCTGGTACTTGGGCATGAACGACCCGAGGATACGAATGGCCAGAAGCGCCGCGTTGGTCGAGTTGTTGATGCCTACTGTGGCGGTGGGCACGCCTCTCTGTATTTCTCACTTTTGTCAGCCATCTCAACCAACTTCCCCCGGAACGCCACATCGGTTTGCTTCTGGAACGCTGAGAAAAGGGTGTGTGTGAAAAAGACTCACCGGCATCTGCACGATACTCAACAAACTATCCAGCCCATCCAGATGCGTCGCCTTGACCGGCACGCCAATGACCGGCAGCGGCGTCTCCGAGGAGAGCATGCCGGGAAGGTGGGCGGCGCCGCCCGCCGCCGCGATGATCACCTTGATTCCCCTGCCGGCCGCCTCCTCGGCCACGCGCATCATGTACTTGGCGGTGCGGTGCGCAGAGGTGATGTCCAGCGCGTAGGGCACGCCGAACTCGCGCAGGATATCCAGCCCCGGCTTGAGCACGGGCAGGTCTGAGTCGGAGCCCATTGTTACTAGCACCAAGGGCGTCTCTTCTTCTGCCGCGGGGGTTTGTGCTGGCGCGGGGCTGGGTTTGCTGGTGGTGTCCTGGTTGGGACGGAGGGTCTCGGCAGAGGCGGAGATGCGCTCGAGACGGATCTCGTCGACGAGGTCGATGAAAGGCTTGGCCTTCGCCTCGAGTGTCTCGATGGGCAAGGACCCGGTCAGGGTGATGTGGCCGATCTTGCGGCTGGGCTTGGACTGCTTATTGTAAAGGTGTAGATAAACATCCATGTCGTCGAAGCTGTTCCTGGCTAGTTCCACCAGTTTGAGATGGGCCGAGGGGGTGGCACCGCCAAGGATGTTGAGCATGATTGCCGAGTCGACCCTAGGGCTTAGTGTCTGGGGAATAGGTAGGTCGAGGACGGCGTATAGTTGAGCCTTGTACTGTGACATCTGCGGGACCGCCTCGATTGTGTAGTGGCCCGAGTTGTGAGGCCGAGGAGCAACCTCATTGACCATCAAGGAGCCTTGTGGATATTGTTAACGCGAGCAGTAGAGTGAAGGACTTTTTTATGGGGACTCACCATCCGCGAGTACGAACATTTCCACAGCAAAGACGCCCCTGCCCCATAACGTGCTGACGACGTCGGTAGCCAGCTTCCTTGCCTTGCTACACACCTCTTCCGGCACGCCCCTGGGAGGCATAAAGACTTTGGTGCAGATGCTGTCTTCGTGGACAGTCTCAACAGTAGGATACGCGACACAGCTCTTGAGATTGCCCTTGGCGTCCTCTGTCCTGATGACCATCACGGCCAGCTCCTTGACGAACGGCGCCCACTGCTCGACATACAAGTCCAGCCCCGCAAGCGCCTTGAGTGCCGGCTCAATGTCGGCTTCGCTGCTGACCTTGAAGTTCCCCCTCCCATCGTAACTGCCCTTCCGAGCCTTGAGCATGAAAGGGAAGCCAAACTCCTGACCGACGGAAGCGAGCGAGGAGTGGTTGGCCGAGTCGATGGCCACCTGCTTGGTGACGGGGATCCCCTTCCCACTGTCGAGGAAGTGCTGCTTTTGGAGGTACTTGTCCTGGATGAGACGGAGAGTTCTCCATGAGGGATGGACAGGCGGCCTGTGAATTTTGGCGGACCCGTCCGTTTGCTTCACCTCGACGCCATGCTGTTCGATCTCCTCGAGTACCCCGGTCTCGACATGCTCAATCTCGACCGACAGGTAGTCGGACTGTGCAGCGAGCTCCCGGATGCGGGCAGGGTCCTTGAACGAGCCGGTGACATGGCGGCTGGTGTCGTGCGCCTGCTTGGCCGGGGCCTTCTCCTCATCCAGGACGGCAATGTCGATCCCCAGCGGATTCGCCGCCTCACAGAGCATGCGCCCGAGCTGGCCGCCGCCAAGCAGGCCGATGACCGGATTCCTGGTACTTGACATGGTGGGCTGGTTGTCTGGTTCGTGAATGCTGATTATTGCAGCGGCAGCAGATGGCTCTGTTGAGGCGTACCTCAGGAGTTTGAGACCAAGGCCCAGATCACGGTAATAAATGACTCCTCAGGTCCAAGTTTTGTAAGTCACTCACTGGAGTCACTGCAAGTAGCCTCTTTCAGAGGGGTTTTCCCTTTTCAGCCAATCATGCGCGCTGGGTTACTTGGAGCCGGTATTTCGGTACGCCGTGCGTAAGAATGCCTCTCCCCTCGTAAGGAGGACTTGAGGTCTGACATGACTGCTAGAGAAATGTGGACAGGCCAACCAATGCAGGGGAATTGGACAATGCAGAAGCTCCCGTCCCATAACCACTTTACTGGCTTTTCCACTGGGGCGCCGCAATACTACTAGTAGTTGACTTGGAGCTGTCTTGTGGCCGGGACCAAACAGGAAGGCGCGATAATTACGGCTCCGAGGTGAGCTCGACCCGGTGGGGCCCAAGCACTCAGTTCAGGGAGCGCCTCAAACCAACAAGCCACAAATCGGGCCTCTTCCACCCTCTTGCGGGATGCACAAGTAGAGCGACCATCCATTACACTCATTTAGATATATCTGTTGATCCTCACTCGGTCGGTCTGCGAATATGGCAGGGACAATAGATTTGGATTTCATACAGTAAGCTGAATATTACCCCTGAGCCTCATTCTCAGAGTTAATCTGCTCACACCTGATGTTGTTAGCCCCCTGAAACTGTTCAACATTGCCAAAAATGAAAAGAGATTTCTCTATACATCAGCGCCTATGGTGCGATACAGCAAGGCGAGTAGCTCTTGGGATACATCCCCACCACCCACGCCCCCCCCTTTTTCGCGGGCACGTCCTCTGATCAGTCAGCAGCTCGCCTTTCGTCAGACGGTTTACGCATACGGCACGGATCTATGTTGGACACCCATGATCTTGGCTAAGGAGTTCAATAGGAACCGGTTTGCTAGGGATAGTGGTGAGTCTGTGACGGCTTTGTACTGTACGTCAACTTTTCAAGGCGTGACCCCTGACAGTCACAGATTTCACCATCTCAACAAACGGGCCCCAGCCACCAACCATAGTCCAATTTGGTGCCAATGTCCCACAGGAACTTGCGAGGGCGTCTTCCCTCGTGGCTCCGTTCTGTAACGGCGTGGACCTGAATTGCGGCTGTCCCCAGTCATGGGCCTGCGCCGAGACGCTGGGAGCAGCCTTAATGGAGAAGCGGGAGTTGGTGCGGGACATGGTGGTGGAGACCCGAGAACAGCTACGAAGAGATGGCTGGGGAGTTGGGAAGGAAAGGGACATAGACAATCCCAAGGGAAGGAGCGTCAGCGTCAAGATCCGAGTGCACAAGGATCTGCGGTGAGTGGCCACCTTTGTATGCGCAATACATAGGTACAGAACGCGGTCGAAGGGGTGTGAACTGACGACTCCGCCAGGAAAACCATTGACTTCATCACCACCGTCCTCGGTCCCGACCAAGACCGACACATCGACTGGCTGACCATCCACCCGCGCACTCGCTCAACTCCCTCCAGCACGCCGATCAACCTCGAAGCCCTCGAAATCCTGACCTCCACCTTCGGTGACCGCGTGCCGATCCTCCTTTCAGGAGACGTCTTCGCTCTCAACGCCCTCCCCTTCACCTCGCCTTTCCTCCCCACCACCACCACCAACCCCAACACCGACGATTCCGCCACGACTCCCACAGCCGCCATTGACAATCCCCTGATCCACATTCCGAAACTATCCGGCCTCATGTCCGCCCGCGCCATCCTGTCGAACCCGGCCCTCTACGCCGGGTACGACGCCTGCCCCTGGGAAGCAGTTGAGACCTTCATGAACAACGTCGCGCGCTGCCCCTTACCCTTCAAGCTGGTCCTGCACCATATCAGCGAGATGTGCAGTCCGGGCATGGGCCCCAACAAGAGGGCCCTGCTCACGAGGCAGGAGCGGGCGGCGCTGATGGGGTGTGGGAACATGCTGGATTTGATCGATTTTCTAGATGAGAGGAAGGAGGGAGGTCTCAGGAGAGATAGATAGTAGTGATACAGTTATAAAGAGAACAAAGAAAGCCATATCAACGACCAACTATGCAAGGTGATTGACCAGCTGGCGTGTGTTCTATCTGAACCGAGCTGGCCGCATACCTATCTATGTGCTGCACTCGCCCTCAAACTGTAAACACTAATAAGCCTGGTACATTGCTAGCATGAGAGGCCGGATTCTTGACCGAGGAAGACTCGTATTAGGTATGTTGGCCAGTAACACCGCGGTATGTCACATGTCGTATGCTATGCCGCCATCAAAATTGCCCCATGTTGCGCCTCATCAGCATACCTCACCGCCCGTCATCCTCCTCCCGCTCTCAATATACATCAGGGGTAGCGGGCCAAGTCCTCTGAGAAAGCAATGAACGGGAAAAACCAGTAATAGTATTTACGAGTACAATGCAAGAACCCCTAGATGAGCAGCGCGCAGACGGCGGCTGCGAAGAGTATGACGAAGAAATGACCAATAGAGAGAAAACAATGGTCAAAGAAGCCACCCCGTAAACCTGGTCCCTTTACTAACCCCCTCTACGCCAATCCATAGAAGTAACCACACCCGACCGGATCCGAAAGGAGAAATGATGACGATGCCGTAAAACAGGAAAGCGAGTTCCCCAGATCAAGATCCCTTGATCTCCCCCTCATCTTCGTCGTCCAGCCGTGGCCTCTTCAACTCCCTCTCCTCCGTTTCTCCCGGCTCCACACTCCTCTTGATCTGCGGCGAGACGAGGCCTCCCCCGCGACAATCCCCGTTGAGTGTACTGCTGAAGCTTCCTTCGTGCGTGGACAGGTCGTTAGCCGCCAGCTTCAGCGCTGCATCCGAGTCGCCCCTGCTCGCCTGGGCGGCCAGGTCCGCACCCGTCGGCGGTGGTGGCGGCGCGTCGTATTCCTCCTTCTTAATCGCGACATCCTTGGTGTTGTCGCCGCTCTCCCGTTCCGCCTTGCCATTTATCCTTGCACCTGCTGCTGCTCTCGGGCTCTGGGTCCCGCCGCGGTCCGTCCCCAGCGGCGTCGGCGTGCCGTACTGGCTCGAATCGAGGTCCATCTGGCTCAGACTGAGCTCGCCACGGCGTCGAGTGCTTTCGAGGTTGAACTCGGGCGAGCCGGGGACCTTGGTGTCTTGCTTGCGGAGCGGGTTCTCCTTATAGAACTCGGTCATGAGGCGGACGGCGCGCACGGTGTTTGTCTCGCTGCCCCTGAGGAAGCGCCACCACGGCTCGCCGTTTACGTCGTCGATCTTCTCGCGCGTGACGCACGTGGCGAAGAAGATGGCGGCGATGGCCATGTCGCGGGCGCCGAGCATGAGCGGCAGCACCGTCAGGCATGCGTCGTTGCAGAAGGCCCACATCGAGTCGCGCAGCGCCTTGTTGTGCACTAGCTCGAGCTGCGTCATGCACTCGTACATCTGCCGGTATGGGCTGTCCACCATCAGGTCGAACGTAAGCGCCTCCAGCATTAGCTCCTCATACGCTAGGATGCTATCACGCCACTTCCAGTATTCTTTGCTCTGTTCGTCGATGATGAGCTTTGTGTTCTTCTGGGCCACCTTGGCGACGGCAATGATCACGTCTTTTGTCTTGCGGCAGTTTTCTTCCGTCTTGTTGGCGAGGAAGAGCGCTGTTGCGGCGATATTCTGGTGTCAAGTCAGCAAGGTTGTTCGCCTGGTCCCGATGAGCGAGAACGGCTTACGTAGTGATGTATCCCTCCCTTCTCCTCCACCATGCTATAGCGCATGTAGAACCGGTGAAAGAATACACCGGCGACCCATAACGTAATTTGGGGCAGCTCAAGCAGGATGCCCGCCTGGTAGATGAAGTTGACACCCTTCGCCCTCCTCAGTCTTTCCTCTGCTAGCGGCAGGCCTTCGATTATGCTAGGCGTGCTTGCGACCTCGTCAGCGGTGAAGTACCACTGGTTTGACTTCGATTCTGATGATCGCAGCGGGCTTGATTGCGCGGGCGAGGGCGCGCTTCTGCGCGACTGTGGCTGAGGCGGGGATGTCCTCGAAGAATGTGTTGGTGGAGAAGGCACAGCCGGGGGCACTTCGCGACGTTTCGTTGGCGATCTTGACGAGCGGTCAACGGCGACTGGGGGTGGTTTCGGAGGGAGCGAAGGCGGCTGGTAGCCTTCTCTTGGAGGGCGATATCTGTCGATGGTCGACATTCCTTCTACGTCTCCGAAAAGGACGCGGTAGACAATGGGATCAAGCAGGGTTTCCTTCAGCTTTTGCCAAAGAGTGAGTGTGCAATCAGATGAGTGGCATTGACGATTCCGATCGTGTCGGCAGAGTCGAAGGGAGGATGGTTGAGGTAACAAACCGTTCAGAAGTGTTCAAAGGTTTGCGAACATGGACTCTAGGTTGATATATAGTATCCGCTTATCGCCCACTATCTGCTGCGCGTGGGTGTCGTGGTCCGTGCGCGACGCGCCACTCTAGTCTCCACCGCAACGCTGAATTTCGTCATACACATGCTTTCGACCCCCCCTTCTTGAACATTGCAGGGTTCTGGGCTTATTAGGTAGGTACCTACCAGGTAGTTACAGTGTGCACGCTTCGTTGGTAAACAGAAGTGATACTCACTCGTTGCTTCTTGTTATAATCCCTACTATATGAGGCATTGGAATTCTCCTCTCCTGGTTTCCATAGAGACTCATATTTTAGGTATATAGGTGCGTTTTTTCTGTATAGTTTGCTAGCACTATTAGTAGTTTCTACCAATCGCCAACCGCAGTCTCCAAACACTCTTCAGTACCTGATGCATCATGAGTTTTAGACGCTACTCAAGCATGGATGACGAATGAGGTACAAGTACATGGGTATCAATTGTGTTCTCAGATTGGAGATAACGCGAGAATCCTGCCTATTTGTTCGTTATCCTCTAGTACCCTACTCGTCGCCGTACATCCCGGCCGAGTCGTTTCTTCCCCATAGCTTGACTGTCCGGTCATGGCCACCGCTTACGATCCATCTCCCGTCCCTGCTCACGTCCACACTTGCAACAGGGCCAGTGTGGCCGGTGAGCGACTGGACCAGAGCCCAGTCATCCGCCGAGAAGATGTTGATTTTGTGGTCGAACCCTGACGAAACAAGAAAGGTGCTCGACTTCTTGGGAATCTGCATGCCCTTCTCATCCTCGCCCGGCGGGGTTCCCTCCAAAGGGTCATCAAGGCCCCTGAACCACTTCACATCAGACACCGCACTTGTGTGCGCGCCGATGCCCGCCGTCCGTTGCACCTTTCTGACGTCCCAGCACTTGATCCATCCGTCAGCGGAGGCCGTCAACACGCGGTGGCCGTCCGAACCCCAATCTAGCCCATAGATAGGCTTGATGTGGCCGTCTGTGCCGCCGTCCAGGATCATGACGGTCCGACCCGAACGCAAGTCCCAGATTCGCCCAATGCTGTCTAAGCCTGCGCTGGCTAGCAGCGACCCATCAGTGTTGAAGCTGACTGCGTAAACGCCGCGCGAATGACCCTCCTGAAGAAGTAGCTCTGTTGTCGTCTCGACGTCCCACAACCTCCACGAAGTATCCTCTGACGCCGATGCCAGGTACTTCCCAGAGGGATGAAAGTCAACTCGGCATACCCGCTGTGAGTGTCCAGACAGCGTAGAGAGAGGCGTGTCCTGCGATAGCGACCAGAGGTGGATCTGGCCCTCGGCACCCCCTGAAGCCAGATTTACTGTCTCCTCCGAAACGTTGCGCTCGGGTAAGGTAGCGCCGGGCATCCACGATATTCCGCTGATTTTATTCGTGTGACCCCTTAACGTTCGCTTGTGCTCGAGACTGGGAATGTCGATGAGCTTGACCTGGCCCCCCCAATTCCCAGTTGCCACTATCTTCCCGTTTGGCGATATCCGCGTCATGCTGACATGTCGGTCTCCTGCTGTCTGACTGCCCTGGAGCTCGAAGGTTTGCAGCCGTTCCTTGATCTCCTTCCGGAACTTGATGTGTGTGCGTAGGGGAATGGTGGACTCCTTCCTTTGGAACTCGATACGACGTTTCGCCCGTCCAATGGAGTACTGGGCGATGTTTATGCGTGCCTGGAGAAGCTCGTCTGTTCCCCTGGAGTAGAACTCCTCCTCTTGCTCTTCGGCTTCCTCTTCCTCATCCTTCTCCGCATCCGCCATCTCCACATCCACGCTCTCCCGGCTGGCCGTTTGCTGCGCCTGCGCTTGCTCCGTGAGCAGCTCCCGCAGTCTGTCGCGCCTATCCGCTGGGCCTTCGCCGAAGAGTGTGACTGGCTCGCCCAATTCCCGAAGCTTCGCCCGTACTCGCCCATCGTCGGTGGGGACGGCGATCGTTGCAGCTAACCTCTTCCGCTCGAACTGCGATAGAAGGGCCGAGGCCTTTTCAGGCGCAATGCCACTTCCGGCCCCTGGTATATCATAGTCACGATCGATGGCTACCAAGCAAATTAGCGAGTCGCGGTGGGTAATGGCCGGGTTGGTAATACATACGGATAGAGTTCAGATCAATGCCACCTCGATCCTTGATGCGACGAGGCCGGTCAGTTGTCAAGTTCCCTACCAATGCTGAGAAGATACAGCAAGGAATGTGGAGCCACATACCTCTGACTCTGCTTCCTCTACATATGCTCTTCTCGAAGGGTGCATCATGGTTGCGGTTGATTATGAGGATTTCTTGTTCTGAGAGGTTGAATCATGGCCGAGCTGTCTTCCAACGCGCTGCTGCAAGAGCTGCTTGGTTGGTGGGTCCTCACGTTGGATTGCATTATCGTGTAAGTAACCGTATGTCAATACGAAATACGTTAAGCACTTTGGCAGCACACAATAATGCTACATACAGTTACGGCGTTCGTATTGTGTTACAGTACGGAGTACTGTTTCTTAACCCCAATAAGATCCGGATTGAGGCCATGTTCCCTTCTCCTTCGAACCTAGATAACTGCCTGTAGTAATATTGGAACAGTATCGGGGTTTTCAACTTTTGACGAAAAATATCGGGCTAGATACCTAGGTATGTGGATGGGCCGAAGGTCAAATCAGGCTACCTACGTACTTGTGATGATGGATGCCACACACATCGGTGACGACTCTTGTTCTGATTCATGATCTGTCATTGGACGATACGGGCAACGGATGCATCACCACAGTAGCCAGGACACTGTACTCCCAGGTGCATCTAAACTGATGGAATTTCTCTTGCTTGAGGCTGGCTTGCCAGAGAGAGATACTTCGGGATTGTGGTCCAATTTGATGCCTTCGGTCTCGACTCCGAGTCGGTGGGTTCGAGATCGCCGCTTCCCCGGATCCATTGAATTGCTAACAGCTGGAGCGCGTTTCAGGCGGCCAAACACAGCTCACAGGGCTTTTCAGGGCTGAGATCGATCTGGGCATGACAACGCAGCCAATGGAATGGCAGTTGAGTTTTTTTCAGGTTACTATTGTGGAGCCTGGCACAAATGCATGTGAACCCCCATTGTGCCAATAAAAACGGCTGGTTCGCCCGCTGGCTTCTTCTACCTTCTCACTTCCCTAAGTTGAACGCTTCAGTTCTACCAACGCAGCTCACCGGACTCACCTCCGCCTCCAGCAACCTCTACTCAATGCAGATCAAGCAAGACAATTCTACATCATTCTTCAAATACCAGATGCGTGTGATTCCAACCCACAAGGGACTCAGCCGGACTACTGAAACTGAAAGGCGCGCGGACGCTGGACGACGTCGTGGGAAGGCTTGAACGTTGGACTCAGTGTCTGTCGAACCCACAATTTGAGCTGGGAGCAGAATTGCATGCTTGCAATTTGAGCGCTCCCGACTTATCTTGATTCGACGATAGACGGACCTTTGACCGACAAGCGGTCCAACGAGATTCGATGTTCCCACCGGCGACTGCCGCGCTCGCGACAGTGCGCGGCTTCAACGGATCATCGGTGGTTTCTGGTGACGAGGACTCAGACTGCTGCACTACCCATGTTATCAAAAAGCAGCTCGCCACACCCGACAAAAAGCCCCATGTCATCGAAGATATCGTCAGCGCCAACTGCAGCCCGGCCCTCAAGCCGGCTGTTCCGCCTGGCGGCATGAGCGGCATCAGCAGGCTCCGAATGCAGCTGGATGCGCTGAACATTGGCGCTGACAGAAACGCCAATACCACGGCACTCTCATCGCGTACCGCTTCGCTGACCTACAGCGACAGCCTCCGCTCCCCTCCGGCCAGCGATACTACGGCCAGCAGCGGCCGGGACAGCGGGTACAAGACCCGCAGCGGAAGCGTGAGCAGCAGCGATGCGGACTCGGCGTCTGGCAGCCGCACCCGCTATGAGATCAACTTGGAGAACGACTTTGAGAGTGAGGCCAATGGCCGTGCCGCGGAGGATCCTGTCCGTCCCCGTGGTAAGATGACGGCGGACGACTTTGAGCCTCTGCGGTGTCTTGGTAAGGGTACCTATGGGACGGTTTTGCTGGTCAAGCAGCGCACGACCGGGCGGTTGTATGCCCAGAAGCAGTTGAGAAAGGCGTCCCTGATTGTGGAGAAGAAGTTGGTCGAGCAGACCAAGACGGAGCGGCAGATATTGGAAAGCGTCAATCGCCATCCGTTCGTCGTCAAACTTTACTACGCATTTCAGGATCAGGAGAAACTCTACCTGATCCTCGAGTATGGCCAAGGCGGCGAATTGTTCCACCACCTGAAAGCAGGCGGGATGTTCTCCGAGGAGACCGCCGCGTTCTATATGGCCGAGATGGTTCTGGCGTTGAGCCACCTCCACGACGACTTAGGCGTGGTCTACCGCGACCTCAAGCCCGAGAACTGCCTGCTGGACGCGCATGGTCACCTGCTGCTCACAGACTTTGGCCTCTCCAAGGTAGCGGTCGACTCGGATGGGTGCAACTCGATTCTCGGCACTCTCGACTACATGGCGCCCGAAGTGATCCTCGGCAAAAAGTACGGCAAGGCGGTGGACTGGTGGTCGCTAGGCGCAATCGGTGTTGACATCATGACGGGTCAGCCGCCCTTTACTGGGAACAACCACGCCAAGATCCAACACAACATCGTCCGCCAGAAGCTCTCTCTGCCGTTCTTCCTCAGCCCAGATGCTAAGGACCTCCTCAGTCGCCTGCTGCGCAAGGACCCCACCAAGCGACTCGGCTATAACATGCCCAAGGATCTGGCCACTATCAAAAAGCACCGTTTCTTCCGCAAGATTGATTGGAAGAAGTTGGCCGCACGCGAGTTGGAGCCGCCCATCCGCCCGCTCATCACGGACCCCGAGCTGGCCGAGAATTTCGCGGACGAATTCACCAACCTTAGCCTCAGCCCCTTGGTGAAGCGCTTTGCCGACGTCGATGTGCGCAGTCCGAAGGACATCGGCGATGACCCTTTTGGAGGCTTCAGCTTTGTGGCACCCAGTAGCCTGCTAGAGAGCCACGGCTTCTGACTTTGGGGTTCAGATTGGGTACTCGATACTGTGGCAGTTCCACTCTGTGCCAGGGATCCATGGTTTCAGGCGTACAATGGATGTATGGTCCGTGGCTGAGACTCGCAACCACCAAGGTAGATGCAGATGAAGCAAAACTCTGGAGAGGGGTTGGCGTTGAATGCTGGTGGGGAGGTTTATTGCTTTAAGGGATTGGGCTTTCTGTATTCAGTATTCTTTGGTTGCAGGTTGATCCTTGTGAAAAGTCAGCAGGATCTGCGGTATAACGTTAGGCCTTTAGCTATCATGTCTATGGTCCTTGATTGACACTGAACTGGATGCTTGAGGCGCATGGTGCGAATGGGTGTGTGATGGTTCCCTTCTGGAAAAGGATTAAGCAGTTATCGCCGAGTGACTCCTCGTAATGTTAGATCCCAGATGTGAGGTACGATAGATGTGAGGTGTGATGGGCTACACAAGCTCACAAGGTACCTTACGTTGGTACGATCCGATGGAATGAGGAGTTCACCGATGACCTTCATCCTCCCGCTCCCTCACTGCCTCAAGGCCTCTATCCTGGGCCGAGCATGTAGCGGTGATGACGCGTCCTGCACGGCCCAGTTCCTGCTGGGCGGGGGTCCAAACAGGTAGGAGCCGTGGCGGGACGAGAAGACCCAAGATACACCCATACCACAGGAGTATAAACTAATGTTGATCCGCATACAGAGCACAGTGGTATGGTAGGGTGGTACAAATACCGATGTAGTATTTGAACGTATGTGGGGGGTTGCTTACTATTTTGGAAGAAGACGACGGACAGGACATACTAGTACCTATCTGAACCAGAGCCCCGGAGCCAACCCCGCACCTCTCCCCGATGCAGCCCATGAAACTGCACTTGCTGTATCTGTCCCGTCCGGTCGTGCCCATAATGGTGCCCACAAAGAGCCGGAGGCCGCCTGTGCGACGGTGGTGATGACGAAGTCTTTTGCGGCGATGATCGTGGAAGGATCCCAAGATATCCAATTGAAACTGCGCGGCTCGGGACAAGTAAGCTCGAGCAAGATAACCTTGCTTCTCCGGTGAACGGTGCCGAGCCTCGTCCCTTACTCACGACTGACAAATGGCTTGGCTCTCGCCATCAGCAACACAAGTTGACTGAGAGCATCTAGATAAGGCAAGTCTTGGAGAAGGTGTTTGGAGCCCGGGCATTGAGACGACAACTCGGTTGGTAGTTGCTGTGCCACTCAGGTAGGGATTTGAGGTGGACCGGTATGTACCATCTTCAGGGCCCGGGTTCCTGCAGGGCACATTTGGCGAGCCAGTCTTACGGAGTAATCCGGTTACGGTTTGACACGGTAGGCAGATGGCGCACAGTCCGAGTCAAGAAGCGAGATAGCTGTTCGCTCCTCAGCTTCCTCCGTCCGAGTGTCTTTGTCCAACACCCGTCATCTGCGGGCATCTGACGTGAGTTGCTTCCAGTTGTGTCCAGTTTCGCCAGTGCCGCGCAAACCTTCGAATCCAGGTACCTGGCATACGGGAGCGAGGCTGGGCTCGATCGCTGGAGGCGGTCTAACGTTAGCGCACGGCATTCCATGCTTACACTAAGCCGGATGTGGCTTAAGGTGCATTCTAAACCGAGCTACCTTACTCCGTAAAGCCCGGGGAATGGGGGTGGGGAAGTATCCATAATCCTCACTTTACCCATTCGCTTACCAGGTACAGTATGTAGGTAACGGTACAGGCACTGTCTGACCTCTACGTATGTATTGTATGTACCCCCACGATGGAATCAGCCCAAATACATCCATACCGCGCGGATCTATCAACCCACTAGAACGGCTATTGTGAAGAAGCAAGGGTACCGGCTGGTCTCAGATGGACAGCTCAAGGTTGTCTCTCGGCCTGCATTGATGATCTGCGCCTTGAATGAGAGGCCCCGCCGACCAGAAAGTATGGAATCAAAGAAGCCAAGTCGAGCCTTATCTGACGCGTGTACGTAGATGTCTTGGACGGTGGCTGTGTCCCCACGGCACACTGAACATCCGGAGTCCGGGACTTTGCGTGAGGAGAGAGAGCAATTGGCGGCATGTTCATGGTAAGGCTTGGCGGGGATCGCCCCGTTGGGGCTTGCCGGTGTCAACGTGTTGGCATGGCTGACGCCGTATGCGGCTGAAGGTGCCTCCTGCATGGGAGTTTTGCGCCGGAGTACGGATACTGCACCGGGGTTCCCATCGACTAGCACCGTGCGCCACTCCAAGCCGTCCCAACTCGGGTGCGCAAAGTCGGGAGATCAATAAGGCGCCGTCTGCTCCGGTTTGCGAATGTCCCATTCGCCATGGTAGTTGGGACGCTTCGACCGTTTCGGATTACGACACTTCGACTGACCTCATCGCGCTGGTGTCTGCTGTCGGTGGCGAGTGATGCCCATGCGCTTGTTGGCATCCCGTTCCCCATTTAAACTCCGAGCCGTGCCACCCAACCTTTGAATCTCTGGACAACTCCATGAAGCTTTCCATCGTTCCTCTTCTGGACCTGCCGATCGCTTCCCGTCAGAACGCAATAGCTTCCAGCTCCGAAGAGCTTCGATCTTCGAGAACCATTCTTTCCAACCATTTTCTGACCCCAGTCTTGCCTTTGCTAAGCAATACACGATGAAGGCTGATATCTGGAAGCCATTAGCCACCCTCCTGCTGCGTAAGAATGCTCTTCAGCATACGAACAAACGCAGTTGGCTAACCTTTAGTAGACGTTGTTTTCGGGGCTACCAGCCCAGTGCAGCTTTGCCCCTCCAATTCCGGAGGTGTGTGTTTTAGCATCGCCGTTCCGACTTCGTCGGCGAACGCTGGGTCTGGAAACATCTATTTCCAGATCAAGGCGCCAACGTCGTTGCAATGGGTTGCGTTGGGCACTGGTTCCTCCATGACGGGGTCCAACATCTTCGTTATGTACCGTATGTCTGCGCCCGTCTAGGGAACACGAAACCCCCAACGTATTGACGCACTGCTAACATCGTTCGTTAGAGGATGGGAAAGGGAATCTTACTCTGTCTCCCCGTCGGGGCACGGGACATTCCATGCCAACCCTAGACACAAGCAGTACCGCCGCTCAACTCACTCTTCTCGCCGGGAGTGGAGTGGAAGGCTCGACCATGACAGCCAATATTGCTTGCTCCAACTGCCAGACCTGGAATGGCGGAGAAATGTCGCTCACGAGCACCAGCGCCGCTTGGATTGGCGGTTGGAGGCAGGGGTCGTCGCTCGCGACGACTGACAGAGGCGCGAGCATAGTGCAGCACGACAGCCACGTCCAGTTCAACGTGGATTTGACACAGGCAGCCGTTGCTTCCGACAGCAATCCGTTCGTCGCCACGAGCGAAGTTGACAACAGCGACGGATCGGGCTCAGATGGGAACCCCGCGAGCCCCAGTAACGGATCGGCTCCGGATCCGAACCCCGGAATCGGTGGGGGTGCCGGTTCCGGCGGCATTACGGTAACGACCGGCATGAGCAGAGGCACCATCCTGGTCGCACACGGGGTCATAATGGCGCTTGTCTTCGCTGCCTTATACCCGCTGGGCTCAATGCTGATGCCGCTCTTCAGGAAGTGGTGGTTACACGCGGGCATTCAGACGATCGCCTTCTGCCTTATGTGGACAGGCTTCGGCTTGGGCGTCGAGACGGCACGGGAGCGGCGTATGGTAAGTGGGCTGCAACTGAGTTCCCAGTTCCCGAGTTCGGTGCTGACAACCACGACTGTAGCTCTTCAACCAGGCACACACCGTCCTCGGCACCGTTATTGTTGCACTGCTGGGCATCCAGCCAGCTCTTGGATATCTTCACCATCGGCATTATCTGAAGACGCAGGGGCGGGGCGTCATCAGTTATGTACACATCTGGTGGGGCCGTATCTTGATCGCGCTGGGTGTTATCAACGGTGGGATGGGCCTGCGGTTGGTTGGCGAGCGCGGCGGGCTGGTCATCGCGTATGGTGTCATTGCTGGTGTCTTGTTCCTGGCTTATGCCGGCGCAAAGATATTCCGCTTGTTCCGTCAGGGTGAGCGGCTTGGCCCTAAGCCCGCCGAGATGAACGGGCGGCCTTCTAGAACGACGCACATTGGGCGAAGGAGGTCTGTACATGGCATGAGGCAACAGCATCCGGAAAGACGGGCTGGTGTTTGAGGTGCCTTGCATGCTTTGAGTCTTTGATAGCGTACAATACATGATCGTTTGAACCGGTTGCATTAGGTACTTCGTCCATCAGAGTTTCGCTGCTGGATAAAATGAGTCGTCTCTTGATTAGTCCTGGATCAAGCCATAATGGATCAGGCAGTTGAGATTGTTGAGCGCTTCCATCGCATATCTACTCCGTACATGAATATGCCTTGGCTAAATCCGAGATTCCGTCATGAAGAAGCCATACACCCTTACACGGTCGTTACACTTAATTACATAGTGGAAATTACATCACGTGAGCGAATGCTACCGATCTCTCCCGAATCATGGCCGCGCACGGGCCAACGAAGCTAACCGCCAATGGATCTTGGAAACAACGCTGAGCCGGGGCATTTTTGAAAACCTCTCAGCGACGGACCTCCACCTAGCCTCTGAGCAGCAGCAGCCGCAGTTGACTGCCCACTGTGCCCTTAACTCCAGCCGTGTTCAATTGCAACACCGCGCACCACATCAAGATGTTCTCCAGGGCTTCGGTACGTTTGCAATCCATGTCGATGCCCCTTCGATTTTCCGCATCCCTGTCCCTTGGTGACTTCATGATAACGGAGGAGCTAACGGCTGATTGTCGCGCCATCACAGAGCGCTCGCAAGGCCGTCGCTGCCGTCTCCAGGCTCGCGACTCGCAATGCCGTCCCAATGAGGACCTTCATGGCCCCGACCGTCTCGCGGAGAGGTACGTGCAACAGCAATTCTTTGGGAATTAATGTGGGCTGGAATCCCGCCCGCGCGGAAGGGCCGGTAGCGGCGGCGGAAGTTGGCAGCGAGTCCGAATTGGCTATTGACGACACCAATTGAACGGCCGACCGCTCGAAGCATCAGCAATACATCTCCATGTCCAACCATTTCCCCTCATGCGGCCCTGGGTGCCATCGCAAACAGCCAACCCGCTCCAACAATCACCATATCCGCCGACCGTCCCGCCCCTCCCGCGACCCGATTTCTACCCCCCACCTTCCCGGCCTTCATCTCTCTCACCCTCTCGGGCCTCTGCCCTTCTACTAACACACATATTCCGCAGCCGACTTCGTGCAGGAGCTCTACCTCAAGGAGCTTAAGGCGTACAAGCCGACCCCCATCAAGGAATCGGACGCGGCCGGGCAAGTGGCGACGTTCAGCCTTCCCAAGGCGCCCAAGTCGCCCGAGGAGGCCGACCTGGCGTCGAGCCTGAAGGAGTACGAGACCATGGCGGTCGAGGTGGAGGGGCAGGAGATCACCGCCGCCGGCCAACCGGCCACTCCCGCCGTCGACGACTGGCTCGTTCTGGAGGAGGAAGAGCAGGCGGCTCATCACTAGATGATAATTCTGGCATCTGGAGGGATACTGGGCCTAGAAAAGACGGGAAAGGGGAGTGAAAGGGGTACAGGACGCGGGGGCGTGCAGGGAACTTGGTTCTCTTGTTGCCCTGCTCTAACTGGAGAATCAAAACCAGGGTTCGCTGCAGGAGGAGAGAAGGAGACCCAAAGGGGGGGATTTTTCCCTTTACCATGCGGTTGAGGAGTGAGTAAGGTCGGTTAACGAGGCCGGCCTTCATGGGGGTTGTCCTGGGGCGGGGAATAATCCGTGTACATTGTTTCTTTAGCCTTGTTACAATATCACGCCCATCACAGTGATACACCTCCATTCCAAGTCTCAGTCATCCATGGATGTCGCTCGTCCCTACAGAGTACCTACTTTAGAGACCCTACGTATTGGAGGTCCTCAACGCCGGAGTCCATGCTCGAACAATAGTAGCCAAGGAAAACGCACACCACTCGCTCGACAAGTCGACTACCTAAGAGACTCATACCAAGGAAAGTACCACCACAGTGCTGTGAATACGGTATGGATTTCCCCTTCGAATTAATATTAAACCGTAGGCGGTAGCTGTACATAACCCCTAGGCTGCTCCTATCCCTTATCGCTAGGTGCCTAGGTAGGTAAGGATAGCTAACAACTGTAGACACCCGACTGTGATTATGCTACGCACACACCAGCAACCCAGCTAATGTAGGTAGTACAGCGGTTCAGGTTCCAACGACATCATGTGTCCGACAAAAAGAGCGGCGAAGTCTGACATCGACGTGTCCTAGACCGGATATGGGACACGAGAAGGTTCAGTGCCAACAAAAAATAGCGTCGTCAGGCAGGAAGAGAATTAGAAGGCCGTGTCTCCCTCCATAAGATACTAGTACTCCGCAACGGGGACTCTTCATTCTTTACAACCAAGTCAAATCATTATCCGGCTGACTGATCACCCTTTCGCCAAAACGCCCTGTTGTCTTTGTGTGTACGTCCAGGTCAGCCAAACAACCCAATACCAATGAGCCCGCCCCAGAATGCAACATGCTAAGTGGTAAACCGTAATGTAGTCATCAAGAGGGATATCTCTTTTTTCTTTCAGTTCTTTTTGAGTGCCACCCCGGACCGAGACAAGATGGGAAAGAAAGACAAAGAGGAGTGCGCGCCATAGCGAGCAGTAACCGCAGGCAGCAGCTAAGGTGCAGACACAGGCGAGATATTACATATCGAAACTTGATGCGCCAAACATTTGCTCGTCATTGGTGTTGCCCCTCACAATGCCGCTCATCCGGTTGGTGCTGCGGGTATCGACGTCGTTGTCGTCCCAGTCGTCATCCCTCTTGCGGTCGGCGTCATCCATCTCCTCATCTTCGTACTTTCCGTGCCGATCCTTCATGTGGTCCTCCAGAGCGCTTTCGTCAACGAATGTGAAGCCTTGGAAGTTCGCCTGTACCGAGGGTGAGAGCGGCGTCGATGTTGCATAGCCCCTGGCGAGGGCTGCTGCGCGCTCATTAAGAGACCCGTTGGTGTCCAGTGCATTGGTGAACTCTGGATCGAAATACGAGACATCGGTATCGCTCTTTAACTGCGGCTTGAACGGCGGAGTGATCAGCTTCTTGGATAGCGCGTCCCAGTCAATATCGGCGAAGAAAGCGTGCCGCTTGAGCTCCTCAGCATCGTCCGTGGCACCAAGACGATGCTTTGGATTCCTGTTGAGCAGGCCCTTGACGAAATTCCGTCCTTCCAAGGATAGCGTGTCCCGAGGAAACCTGACCTTTCCGAACGCGATGTTTTTGTACATCTGCTGAGTGTCTTCTGCATAAAAGGGGCTCCAACCGCAGCACATCTCAAACACAAGAACGCCCAAGGACCAGAAATCCACCATCTTGGTGTAACCGCTTTCATCCAGGAGCACCTCTGGTGCCAGGTATTCGGTCGTACCACAGAAGGTGTTGGTGGTATCGTTTTTGGTGAGATTTGCCTTAGACAGGCCAAAGTCACATAGCGCAATGTGACCGTTAGCGTCGAGGAGGATGTTCTCGGGTTTCAGATCGCGATACACGATGTCGTTCTCGTGTAGATGTTGGATCGCGAGAATCAGCTCGGCGATGTAGAACTTGGCGCGTTTCTCCTCGAACTTGCCGTCTTTTTGCAGATGCCAAAAGAGCTCTCCGCCCGACATGTAATCTGTCACAAGGTAGAGGTCGGAAGGCGTCTGGAACGAGAACTTGAGACCAACGATGAACGGTGAATCCGACATGGCGGTCCGCACCAAGATATTGCGCTCGCCAACCGTGTGCGCCACCTCTTTCTTCTGCACGATGACCTTCTTGGACAGAACCTTCATGGCGTAGATGCGCCCAGTATCCTTTTTCCGTACTTGATAGACTTGGCCAAACGTCCCTTTCCCAATGAGTCGCAGTATCTGGAAATCCTCCGGTCCGAAATGCTTCTGCTCGGCCCGCTGGAAAGATGATTCGACGTAGATTTCGCCTGTGGGCGTGTTCTCGGCCATGGTGTCGGCGTGGCCTTTCAACGAGAACCAGCCTCGGACGGGAGGTTCCTTCTCGGAAATGACCGCTTGGAAGTCGACATGGCCCAGGAACTCCTCACCCGACTGACCACGGCCGTAGACCGAAATGTCCACAAGTTTATCCGAATCAACGACATCGCTGTCGATGCGTCAGCGAGATCCCTAGCGTGGCCTGAAGGGACACTTACAAGATCGCTTCAGCGTCCCATTTGGGGTTGGTGAAAGACCGTCGCGAATTCCGGTTGCGGAAAGTATTAAACTCACTCAGACTGGTGCTGCTGCTTTGCCTGCTTCTCATGGGAATGGCCATGGGCCTTCCAGAGTCGCTTCCTTGTCGCTGAATCGGAACACCGCCCATGGCGACTGAGCTAACAGCGGCGTCGTCATCGTCGCCAGAAGGGCGGGGACCGGAAGAGATCAGCTCGCTGCGCTGGAAAACGACCACCACATAAGGGTCCTGGCACTTCCTCAGGCCCCTGGCCTCCGAGACCTTGATGGTAAGTTTGCCCTTTGCAGCAGGCGCCTGGGCTCCGGGGGGCGTCGGCGTGCTTGTCGCCGTCCGGTCAACTTTCTCCCCGTTCTCAGGTCTTTTGTTCTCCTGCGATGGTCGTGCTGACGACAGTGCACGCGTCGGCGTCGAGGCACCGCTCTTTTTACCCGACACATCTGTTAGCTTCTGCCTGAGAAGAACCATGGACGTTGACTCGTAGGAAAGATTCCCATCGCCGCGAGCATCCGCACAAGTGGGAGAATTAGTGACTGAAGCAAGTACTGCAGGATTTGAGAGGTGACAGGCGGAGGCGCTCGACTCATCGACCGTGGTTGTCAAAGGAGCGAGCAGAGATGATCCCTTAACTTTGCCTCGCCCGATATCCGAGACGCTCAGATGACGGAGGCTGGCAGATCGAGAGGTGGGGGGAGTCCCACTCCTTGACTTCTGGCCGGACGAATCGTCGGGAAAATCACGTAGCGAAGAGGACTGTGAAGAGGGCTGTGAAGCTGGAGGAGTGAAATACGTGTGCAAGCGGTCATGTTGCTGAAGCGACGCCTCCGTGGCAGGTCCCATCGTCTCATGGCCCAGGAGACGAGGACCTCCGTCCGACGAGCCGAGCGACAAATCCGGCTCACCGGGGGTGGGGGGCAGCTCAGGCAGTGTTGCAGCTTGCAACCCTTTCTCGACATCGGGCGTAGCGGGAGTCGAGGTGGTTGCGGTTCGTCCGTTCCTCCTAATGAAAGAACCAGGCAACAATCGCTGAATAGAGCTTGAACGAACCTGGTTGAAGTAACTCATAATGCCGGGCAGTCGTCTATCGTGGAGGTCTGGCTGCGGGGTCGCAACGCCTGACCGTGGTGAGTCGATTCCAATCTGATCTGCACCATCATCCTCTGCTGTGGCAGACCTGCTTCGTTGGTTAATAACACTGTCCATATCAACGTTGAGCTATTTTCGTGAGGAGTCGGAAGAAGCAGGGACGTAGGTGGAACGCGGGGAAACGGAGCCAGGGATGAGTGATCAGAGGAAAAGAAATGAGAGAAGAGAGAGCAGACGCCCTGGAGCAGGAGCCGCTACCTCATGATGATTTGGATCGGGCAAGGTAGCAGGTTGAGTTGGGATGAGGGGCGAGTACACGTCTATGTAAGTGGCAATTGAGGGATGTCCGTAGAACTGGTCGATAAGCCCGTGCCCATAGCGGAACGTCTCTGCGAGGTGCCGTCACAGAAGCGATGTGACAATGGGTTTTTCATGTGCAAATGAAAGAAGTGCCCAGGGTGCGGCATATTTTCTTATGTCGATGTACCGGTACCCGTGGTGTGCTTGCATGCATGTGGGCCACCCATGGATCTCCATGATCCGGCGGCCGGATCCAGCTACCCTATTCGCAAACTGCGGTGACGATGACGGGCACTGGCCTAGCTCAGCGTCATGCCACCGCCAGTTGCTCCTGTGAAGCATTGGATATATATGGAGTGGCCTGCTTGAGCAAGGGGCATCGAGGGCAACTTTCCAGATTCAATGCCTCCGCCCTGTTTCGGGAAAACAGGCTCCTCGGTCTGAGGTCCACTCAAAGGACCAGCTTTGGCCCAGGAGTGTCTGATGCCAGGCACCACGTTGAGCCCACATTGTGGGTTACCCGCGAATTTGTTGGAGGTGAGTGAAGCCGGGTCAGGAAGTGTTGAGATTTGTAGGAAACAGTGGTTGGCTAAAGGCGACGCCGAGCTTCTGGAAGTCCCGAAGAAGGGTGAAGCAACCGCCTGGCAATCTCAGGATAAAGTGATAATAAAGGGAACATAAAAAAAGGTGTCGGAACCAATAGGTTACATCCCGATGAGAGGAGAATAGAAAACAGTCATCATGACCAAACGTACCTTGACATCATGGCCTGCGTGGCCCTCCGTAAAAGGTCGAACCCTCCAGTACCGCCGTTCGAGGACGCACCAGCGCCTTCGACCGAGTTCCCGTTGCCAGACATCGTGCTTCCCAAATGCTACTCAAACTTTGCAAGTGTTCCAGGTGAGGACCTGGTAGTCGGTGTGCATTCCCTGTCCGACCGCCTCGGACCGGTTTGTGCGAAGAGGAGGCTGACTCTGACGTCGAGTGGGTCGTATGGTGTGGGCAAAATTGTGAAGACAAGAAAGGTCGAGTTGAGCGAACTCGAGGATAACTCTCTGTGTCGTGTAAAAGTCTGATAACGGGGTTTCGCGGTTATGTTGGAATTTGCATCGGCTCGGGGAAAAGGGCACAGGGTGCAAGGGGGTTTATTAAGAGCAATGCTTCAAAGTCGAGAGGGGCTGACTGGGAAGCGCTTGAGGCTTCTAGCTTAGGTTCTGCCCAAGGCCTCACTCAAAATGCCCTGCCCCGCGCTCTTGACGCATCGACCACCAAATCGAACAGGGCGATGCAGTGGGGCTCGCCGCTCTTTGGTGAAGTGTCAGAGCTTGTTCGCCGAGATCGCGCCAAATATATGACGACGAATGACGGATGGAGGGACCTCCTCAGAATCGCATACGTAGTGGACGGAGGTGCACCGGTGTGTAATAGTCGCATGTGATAGTCAGTACGTCGTTGTTGGTCAGCGAGCCCGGGCTGTCTGAGTTGGTCAGTCACCCCGCCTATCTAGCAAGAAATTGGGAATTTGAGATGAGATCGGGTTGGGTCGGAGCAAGGGTCGGGCAAGGGTCGGGCGGTGTTCCCGAGCCGCCCTTGTCAAAAGAAAACGTGGTTTATTAGTACGGTAGTACTTGCCTCAAATCGGGAGGTTCAACGTCAAATATAAACTTGAAGTCCATCTGCATCGACTGGCAGCAGATCCATGCCAGGGTCTTAGTACTCAGAACACACTCCGTAGACACAAGCTGGAGGGTTGGATTTGTTTAAGGTGCCTTAGTATGGAAAGTGAAGCCCCTTGCCCTGTGTCTTACATGTCCTGTGTTCTTAATATTTTAATCTTTCCAGGTTGTGACGGTCATCCACGACGCCGGGTCGACACCGGCGGGCCAACATCAACTTGCCGAATTGGCTGGCGCCTTGGCAGTGTTGGTTGCGGGCACACAACACAGTTAGGTACCTACCAGGTACTAGTGGGTAGGTATCTTATGTGCAATACCTAAGTCACCATTGCAGTCTCATTTGCGCAGATTCTGTCTAAGCCAGGTCTCGCACGTTCCAGCACAATGCTGTACACTACTAGCTCAAAGGGTGACACTTGAACTGCAAGGTGATACTTGCATACCAACTATTTGGTTGCCGATTTACAGTAAGGTGGTACATTAGTACTGTGCGTTTACCCTTCAGCTTTCCCACTGTGCCGCGGAGTCAGAACTCGGCAGTCCGGGCGGGAGTGGCGTATTGGATCTCCTCCTTCCCGAGAAGATCGGCGCAAGCAGTGCTCGCGAAGTTAAGTGGTACGCATACGATGCTGCGCGTCGCTTCCCACCATGCCCGGCCATCAGACTGAGAGGCACCTCCCGAGGGCATGAATGCAAGGACCTCGCACTTGTGTGACGGTAAATCCCACACGCTACCTTGCCGTATAGGACTGTATATCACTCTACCACTCTGCCTACACACATCCCCTGGTGTTACACAGTGGTGGACTACATGCTGGATGTAACATTAGCCATTCGTTCTCTACCTGCAACGCAAGAACAAGTTCACGCTGATTTTTATTGTGTGGGAGCCAGCGCTTAGGACATAAGTCAGACGCAAGACCTGCAAGAAGGAGCAGTTGTAAGGGAGCACCCCAGTGTTGGTGCCTCTCCTCGTGCCCTGCGCCGGTCTCAGTCCGGTTCCGTCTCCCACTTTTAATACGAAGTTCATGTATCTCGATGCCTTCACGGAGCTACGAGTGCCGGTATTTAACGACACTTCCCAAAGATGCGATGCTTTGCATGTCGTCCCGTCCAATCATTCAACCGACGTAGAGTCGTCTTAAGCTGCGGACCCTGCGCCACCACCAGCCTTGACCCGAGCAATCAACTGCTGCAAGTTTCTCTCCAATTCAGGGTCCGTCCCCTTGGGATACTGCTTGGGATGGGGTGGCCATGGTGCAAGCGGGTCTGGGTAGTCGGCTGCTCCCGATTTATTAGTACACAATGTTTCCATTGTACAATGGTTTTCCATGAATCCTATGGCAGAGCACAACCCACCAACACTGAACTTCTGATCCAGAAGACGGTTCTTATACGTCTCGTATTCCTCGCGAAACTTGTTCGTGTTCCAGGCCGCTCCCTTTGACTGTTGTTGTGATTCCGAAGAGGGGTTCATCGCGCCGGCAGGCTCAGCCATGATTTCGTCTGAGTTCATGGTGTCTTTCTCTCGCTGTGCTGGATTTCAGAGGAATATCTTGTATGAGCTGCGGAGTGAAAGCAGGAGTGGGCCTGAAAAGAGTGTTGTTATTGATGAGAAACTTTAATAGTGGTGCAGAAACAGGTTGACAGACAGATCCATATGGCACAAACTCGATCTTGGAAAGCGTTCATTTGGTACCTGTCACAGGGAGCGAGTTCACTGGCGCAAATTGGAGTGTGACGCTACCACTGAGCTCCTGCTTGCTGATAATTACCGTATTACCCCCCCTGCGTGAAGTGGGCGCATACACAGCCCATGAATGTTCGTTAGCGCCCGACTTGAAGACCCAGAGTCTACCCCAAAATCTCGATCTCACATCAGAACAGTCAACTTCCAATCTCTATAGAAAAGATGTAAAGATAAACTCAGCATTTGATATTATTGCAAGTTTCTCTATTTTTTCTGCGTTAAATCAGCTTCTTTCGTAGTTTAGGAGTGTTGTTTCGGCGTTGAGAGCAGAACCCTTGTGGCAAGTTCCACCCTAATAATCATTCAAGGGTTGTTCTGTACAGCCCCACTCACAGCTGGCAGGGGTCGGTAGTTATGGCCTGTGCGTCCTCGAGGCGTCTCCAATCTCCGATCTCCATGGGCTGAGGTGGGGTTCAGTTTCTCAAGTTATTCATTGATAGGTAGATGCCAGCATCCAATATCACCATATTACTACCGGTTCGTAACCGCTTACTCCTGGTCCAGCGAGTGCACATACGGGTTTCAAACAGCGGCAATGGGCAAAGACCACAAGGTCCCAGACGCGTGGGATGACGACGACTGGGAGGTGCAAGCCGATCTCGCGGCGAAACAGGACCAAGACCGACCCAAGCAAGAAGAGCCTCAAGTGCCCATGACACGTGCCGAGCGGCTGGCAAAGCACGCCGAGGAACAGCGCAAGCTGTGGGAATCAGCGTACGCTGCACACTTCCGCGTCTCGCCCTGTGTCTAACTTAGCGCGCAGAGAAAAGCCCGACGGACTACCTTTCCTGCCTCCAACAACCAACCAAATACCCCTCACTACGCCTTTCAAGCCTGCAGTGAAAGTCCTGACACGCAAGCCTGCGCCACAGCTTATAGCCAAGAGGGATCCAGTGACAGGACTCGACCATTTGACGCTACAGGATGATGAAGATGAAGAAGCAGAGAGGAAGCAAGAATCGCCCGAAGAGATCCGTAAGCGGCAGCAGAGGGAGCTCGAGGAAAAGCAGCGTCGCTACGAAGAAGCGCGAGCAAAGATCTTTGGCGAGTCGACTCCCTCATCCGGGCAATCTTCTCCGCGCACCGGAACCCCCCCACTGGGAATTGATGGCCGGCAGAACAATAGGGGACGAGGTCGGGGGCGGGGCGGTAGGGGACGGGATCAAGAGAGCGGGCGAAATGACCGAACACAGCCGTCAGACCGGCAGTCTGGCAGCACCAGGGAGCTGTACGACCCCGGATACTCGCCGAAGCCGGGGTTCAATATCCACAAGCGCGGCGACGCTTCTGTTCAGTCTGGCAGTCGGTCGAACACGCCCCGCGTAGAGGATCAGGTCATACGGGAGCCACGAGGCCCTGACGGTAGCGGAAGAGGAGGTTTTGGCTTCGCTCGTTGTCGAGGGGCCGAGCATGGTTGATTATCTATCGACTCTACAGCGCCAGTAAGGTTTTCTTACCAACCGCCGCCTATCTTGCCCGCCAGCTGAACCACCCGCTCGGTGTCGCTGATCTGCTTGCCCACATCGCTTACCACCTCGCGATAACTCGTGTACACCAACCTATCCAATTGTATGTCCGTTATGTCCGACCAATGCGCCAGGGTATCTCGAATGTGCGAAGGAGAAATGCCAGCAACAAGCTCTAGAGAACGACCGTCGTCTATCCCAGCGACAGGACCAGGCGTGGAATCTGGTTCATCAGCGGAGAAGTACGCCTCGTCGACTTCCGCAGCCCACGCCTTCTGCTCGTCGAGCCCAGGCTTCTCGATGAAAGCCTTTCGTTTGGCAATGACCTGATCATCGATCTTGATCTGGCCACCCCCATTTGTGCAACCGCCGGGACATGCCATGACCTCAACATAGGCATATCCCACGCCGGCCGACTTTCCAGCGGGCTTTCTTGCACCGCCGATCGGCTTCCCGCCAGGCATACGGGAGGGTCTTGCCGGTTTCAGCTTCCGGACGAGATTCTGGATGTTGCGGAACCCGTAGTAGCGTGCCGCTTTGAAAACGGACTCTCCGGAAGACGTGATGACGGCGAATTCCACAACGTCGGCGTTCCTACCCCGCGCCATCTGGATTCGCGACCCGGGGTGTCTCGACTGGACGTCCTGGAGAATGAAATGCAAATTCCCGCCGGACGTGCCCGCATCACGCGGCTGCTTTCGTCGATGGGTTGGGAAGAGGAAGCGTTGGATGGTCGAGTCAGGGAACGCCGGTTGTTCCTCAAGTGCCGAGTTAGACAGACTGAAGAAATCTACCGCTCTCGACTCGGCGAGCGTGAGAATTTCCTTGGTCGTGATGACGCAATCCACGTCCCTCGCTCCTCTCCCAGGCTTTCCATCGCCTTCCCAGACAGCATCTGTTAACTCCTCCCGACTCGCCTCCAATTTCTTATCGAAACAAGGCATGACCGCAAGATGCCATATCCTATCTGGCGGAACGCCCAATACTCGACTAAGCGTTGTCTTGAGGAGCGTACCCATCAATGCTTGCGGTGATTTGACGCGCGACAGATGCGGTAACACATACGGATGTGTCTTTTCCGCATAGCATACCCAGCCAGGGCAGGACGACGTGAGGATTGGTGTCCTGGGCTGATCAGACGGTTGGAGCCCGCCCTGTCTTAAAACCTCATCCGACCCAAGGACGAGGCACGCCTCCCTCGCGGCATTGGTATCCACGACCCAAGTAAATCTGTTCCCGTACTTCCCACCAGCAGCCAACCCTCTCTCGCCTGCAAGCAACTGCTCAATCATCAGCCCGGCTTGCTGCTCCGTCACACCGCCTCCGCACGCCGCCGCCAAACTGGCTCTTGTCTGTGGTGAGACGCTGGCAACGAATAGCTTGGCGGACGGATCCTCCAGCCCTGAGACTGCGTGCTTCCCATCGCTGGTTTGGGTGAGCCGTAGCGCGGGCGCCGAGTCTAGCACGCTGAGCACTTCGTTATGGCTTTGCAAGCTAACGAGCACAGCTTCGGCAGAGGTGACGCAGCCTGAGCAGGCGAGGCAGTCGGTGAGAGATATCTGAGCTGGTCCAGTGGGTCGCTGCTGCTGTTGCTGCCCGTCTAGGATGACTTCGTGTTCGAGGGACTGGGGTTCGGAGGAGGGCGCTGCGGTGGGGAGTGTTTCGACGGGCTTGATGCAGGCCACGCCGGGGCTGATGAAGTCGTTGAGGTCGTCGGCGGAAAGGATGGCGGACATTGTGGGAGGCTAGCGAGGCGGCGCGCCCGTGCTACGCCAATGCCTACGATTTCGAATTTCGAAATATGCAATCGGCCGTCAGTACTGGCTCGGTTGCTGCCCTGACCCCGCGATATGTGAATTATGAAAGTCTAACCCGACTGCTAGACGAGCGACTCTTCGGCAATCTTCAGAAAGGAGAGTTGAATAGTGGGAGGCGAAAGATAACAGGGCGTCGTGGGGGCAATTCTGATTTGATCGGAGATGCATAAAAAGATGCAGTGATTGCTTTGAAATGCGCCTGCTGTGCGACATCGGCTTCCCATGGTGGCGGTTTGATGCCCCGCTGAGAACGGGTCTGGCCCGTGGCTATTCACACTGTACACTATGCTGTAAATGTACCAATGACCGTCTCCGTATTACAGGCTATGCCACGGGCCGTCCCCGATGACGTAGTTACCGTACTTTACAGGGGTCTTTAAGCTTCACTCTATGATATGAACATGGACTCAACTTCAACACTAATATCGCAACATCTAAGAGGTTGAAACGGTAAGAATCGAGTGTAATCCGGGCTTCCTTCTCACTCGTCATCTAATCAAATTATCAATGGATGTAGGTCCCCTCTAACGCCCCTCCGCCGCCATGGGGCTTGTTAAGCTAACCTCCCTAGGCCGTGTCGAAATACAGCCTCGCCAGCCTGGCCTGGCTCAGCGCGCAAGCAGTGCCACTCATTATCTGGCCCTCCCTTGTCAGCACCCTCCTCCGCGCCGATTCCCCGCAGCAGCCAGGCATCCAATACAGCCCCGCCAATGCCGCGCTCGAGCAATACTTTGCCCGCTCCCTGGGGCTCTCTCAGCTCGCCCTAGGGAGCTTGCTCCTCGTTCTCTCCGGTGTCCTCCCGCTTGACTCGGCGGTAGAAGGTACGTATATCTCAGACCTTAGCAACAGATCCAATCCAGAACTAACCGTCCCTGTGTTGCAATTGTGTAGCTCCTGAAGATGTAGCAGCAGGCGCCACACCCATAGCCAACGCCGCCGTCCTGATCTCTGCGCTCTACCACGCCGCCGCGGCGTCCTACTCGTATATGCGCTACTACGCCACGGGCCAGCTGGCGTACCTCCTTGGCTGCTTGTGCGCCAGCGTGCTGGCGACGTTTGGATTGTGGGTGCTGATGTTTGCCGGGAACAGGCGGTTGAGCCGACGGACGGGGGCGGACAAGGAAACGAGCGGCTGGCCGTTCAAAAATGTGGAAGCTGAAAAGAAGAAGAAGAAGAGATTTTAAGAATTGTGGACTGACAGTCCCGATCTCAACTCCTCTCTCTTTTCTCCTTCCCCGCTCTTCCGTCTATTCGGTTGGATTGTTGAGTGTACTGTTGGGATAGGCGTTGTGGTTGTCGCGGATTTGTGTGCTGTTTGGCGAATATGACGGGATCACTCGGGGGTGGTTTATACAGAGGGAGCAAAACGCGAGCTTGGGGTTTAACACTGATACGGAAGACATAATTGGAACCAGACAGCCATGCCATGGCCAAGCCAAGAGCATAGTCAGAAACTCGAAGTCGCGCACGACCTATTTGGCGAGAAAAGCTGATGATACGGCAATGAAGATGTCCTCCACTCAGAGGAGTATCAGCACTCCAACTCGAAGATAAAGAGGTCCAACTTCCATCCGATTAGCGAATGCAAGAACCATTTATGGTATCCACAGACTGAGCGCACCGTCTTTGTTGATGTAGCGAAGATTCGACGCCTGTAACCATGTTTGCCCTGTGTCCCTGCCTGCGCCATCCCGTAACTCCTCGTTGGAATCATAACAGACACCTGTCCCGGTTCCCGTCCCAGGTCCCAGGAGCAGACCATCCCACCTCTGCAGATACCTGGCATCAGCAAGGGGTAAATACCTCGAACCTCCAACACTACGAGCTTTCCTTCGACTCCACGGGAGCCACGACAGCGTCGGCCTCTGCCGCAAGCACCGCTTGTCGCCGTCGAAGCCACGCCTGCTCGCTCTGCACCACCTGGTCGAGCAGCACTTCCTTCTCGAGCCACTCCTGCCTGTACAGCTCTTCCCACCGCTTGCACTCGTTCCGCAGCCTCTCTCCTTCCTGCTCGGCCCATTTCACTTGCAATCGGCATAGCCTCATAAGCCGTTCGAGTGCCATTGAAAGTTCCCTGGGTGTGAACCCTTGGTCTTCTGTTAATGGCGTGAACATGTCCCCAGAGGACTCGTCGCCGGCACTGCCATCATCTGTGGCATCGTCGTGGCCGGCGGCATGCGACTGTGGGGTCTTGATGATGATCTTCAGATTTTTCGATTTTCCTCCAGCGCCGGCGCCTTGCATGCTCTTCGGGACCGGGTCGGACGGTCGCAGCGCTTCGGTCTCGTGCACTGTTCGCATGTGCTTGGCGAGGGCGTCAGATCTTGTGAACGCGCGGTCACATTCTTGAGAGCAAGAGGTCAGTATCGTGTCGAGAATAGGCAAAGAGCGCCGGGGACCGACCGGGTAGGTAGCAGTAGAAAGGCTTCTCCCGTGTGTGGCTCCTCATATGCGCCTTCAGTGCGTAGCCGCTAGCGTGCGGAAGGCTCTTCCTCGAGCAGCCGACCCATTCACATGTGTATATCTTTTGCCGGCCCTCGATATGGTCGTTGTGGATATGCTCGACGAGTCTGTCCATGTTTCCCATGTCCCCAGCCCTGCACCCTTCCCATGCGCAGACGGTGATCTGCTCCTGATGGTCGTCCTCATCCGGCCGCGCATTGGTTGGTGAGCTCGGGACATCCCCGTCGGTATCGGAGGAAACATCAGACATGCCCTCAAGCGGGTCAGCGTCTGCTTCTGTGTCATGGACCACTGCCGAGGGAGTGTTGGATCGCGCAATCGTCTTTATGCGCTTCGCCGGCGGCCCTTCGTCCATGACCTCGGTTACCTCGTCGGGGAATTCGTCTTCGGAGGAGGACATTGAGGAGAGCGGGGAGTCGTCCATTGGGGAATCTGGCCTAGCCATCGTGGCGGGAGGAATGGCCAAACAAAGGGATCAAGATCTAAACGTAAGCGACGACTCAATGCCGGCGCACCTTGATTGGGAACTCCGGTCCCAGTCGTTGATGCGCTGCGCGGACCAGACACGAAGCTTGGTGCAAATACGAAGGATCGACCGACGTCGGTAGGAATGCGTTGGACGATTCGGCAGAGAATGCAGGATGGGAAAGAGTTGAGTGAGTCGCCTGGTGATGCCTGGCGAGAATAATACCTAGGTACTCTTTGGGTAAGATCGCGCATAGCGCAGTCTGGCAGCCAACACCCGCGACGCGGACAATTAGCGACACCTCGGCGTGCCGTAGTGGGCCTGCACAAGATGACTGAACCATTGCAAGGGGAGCGAATGGCAGCCAGCTGTGGCCAGCTGCAGTGGACACTTCAGCCTGCTCAAACGTGGTAGTTATTTTGCCCCTCCCCCACCATGGCCCAGAACAAATAAACGAAGTTGGGTCGAGACTCGCTCCTCCTGCGCCGCAGCACCCGACTTCCATTTGTTTCCTCGCACGTTTTGCAGTAGACGCAAATTGTGCGTCTCCAGAAATTACCGGCTGGTACGCTGGCATATTTGTGTCATCATTTGAAGAATGGCTCCCTCTACCAAGATCTTCTCCCTTGAGGGGAGGAGTCTGAAGCTGGACACGGCCGAGGACCTGGAGCCTCATATTGCCGCCCTTCGCGCCATGGACGATGTCGAGGAGGTGCACATGCTCGGGAACACTCTTGGAGTCGGCGCATGTAAGCTTCTCGGAGAGGTTCTTGCGACAAAGAAGACATTGCGGGTAGGTGTGGAGTCAAGCCCAGAACGCCGACTATTTACCTGGAGTCTCACTCACTGATCGGTCTACTAGGTGGCCAACCTCGCTGACATATTTACCGGTCGACTCCTCAGCGAGATCCCGGAAGCCCTTTCCTCCTTGCTCACCTCGATTCTCAACCTTCCCAGCCTCAACACCATCAACCTCAATGACAACGCCTTCGGCCTCAACACTCAGGCGCCACTGGTGGCCTTCCTCGCGGCGCACGTGCCCTTGCAGCATCTCTACCTCAACAACAACGGTCTCGGCCCGCATGCAGGCATTTTGATTGCCGATGCGCTCTCCGACTTGCATGCCAAGAAGGAGGAGGCACGGAAGAAGGGGCAGGATGTGCCTTACCTCGAGACCGTCATCTGCGGTCGCAACCGGCTCGAGAACGGCAGCATGACGGCTTGGGCCAAGGCCTTCAAGCTTCACAACAGGGTCAAGGAGGTCAAGATGGTACAGAACGGCATCCGCCAGGAGGGCATCTCGCATCTCCTGAGCGAGGGGCTGCGTCACGCTTCGCGGCTCGAGGTACTGGATCTACAGGACAACACCTTCACCTTGCTAGGGGCCAAGGCGCTGGCCGAGGTCACCCCCGGCTGGGCTGAGTTGCTGGAGCTGGGCGTTGGCGACTCGCTGCTCAGCGCAAAGGGTGGCGTGCTGCTGGCCAAGGCGCTTGGCAAGGGCAAGAACAAGAAGCTCAAGATCCTACGGCTGCAGTACAACGAGATCACTGCACCGGGCATCAAGGCCCTGGCTGAAGCTGCTGAAGACGCGTTGCCGGCCCTGATGAGGTTGGAGCTCAACGGCAACAAGTTCACCGAGGACGACGTTTCCATCATTGCCCTGCAGGACCTCTTTGAGGCGCGCAAGGAGAAGCTGGCTGGCGACATCGTTGTCGAGGACGACTGGGGTCTGGACAGCTTGAGTGACTTGGAGGAGGAGTCGGAGGGTGAAGAGGAGGAAGAAGAGGGAGAGGAGGACGAGGAGGTAGAAGAAAGAGCCGAGAAGCTCGTCAAGGAGGCCGAGCAGGCTCAAGAGCAGCCCGTTGCGCAAGTGAAGGACAAGGAGGTGGATGAGCTCACAACGAAACTGGAAAAGACGGGGATTTGACCTTCGGGACTTCTCGGTAGATGGCAGTGGGTTTCCATTGTGAGGGATACAGACGATACCCAATACCACTGGTATAGGAGTTTGCGGGATGGTTACCTGGGTATAGAGCAGACGTCACCGTGTGGGAGGTTTGGGTATGGGTATAGTGTAGCTTTGGCAGCATGGAACATGAGCATTTAACATCATCGCAGGGTCACTGTCTGTTCGGTCTTGGTACTGGTGGACTTGTGCAGGCTCTGGCGATCTGAAGCGCAAACAGGCGACTGGCGATACGGCTGTAGGTTGAAAGTTCCGACTCAAAGCCTCAGACCTTACACTACATGCCAGTCGTGTCCGGAGGACATGCGGTGAATGTTAATGGCCTGGTGGTGTGATGGGTTCATCACATGCTGTGAGGGGTTCGGGCAATCCTTGACTCATGACGGGACAACCACAGCCACGTTAAATCTAGAAGCCATCTAGCATGGATAATACTGCTAATGCTCTGCTTGCAAGTCTGGATCAGCCCACCAATCGTCACCAGTCCCAGACCTATCGCTAACAACCGTATCATAGGATATCACATTAAAAACGGCAACGCCTGCATCACGCCATTCGATGTTCCCATCGTTTTACCTCGTTCTACACGCATAGTGACGGGAGCCAGACATAATAACCCCTTTCCTTCCCAAGGCAGAGAGAACGAAGTGCCTAAGGTGGACATCATCCTCTAGTCTTTGCGGAAACACTCGGCTTCACCTACCGCCCGCTTCATTGACTGAAGAAGGCCAGAGCACACTAGCCAAGCTACACGGAATACGGATTCCAATCCGGTCGGCAAACTCATCTACTGATTTATTACCGCGCAAGGCCTTCAACGAACAAATCCGTCCATCTATCTATCCATCTATCTATTCATCTACCACTACCGTGGCCACCTCCAACATGTCGAACAACGACAATGATTCATCTCCCAAACCCGCGGTATCCAACCCACCGACGGCATCACCACCATCCACACACAACCACTCAAGCCCCGGTCACATCCAGCCTCAGCCTCCTCCTCCTCTTCCTCCTCCTCCTCAACAAGTGAAAGAAGGAGGAGAAGAACCTCCTCACCTTACCAGCAGCATGTCCCGTCCCAATCCCAACAAGTGGTGGCCCGCACTCTCATTCTCATTCTCGTTCGCGCCCACGACCACAGACAACGTGATCGAACTCCTCTGGGACGTGGCCCTCGCCTTCTTCGCCGTCCGCCTCGCGCTGCTGTACGCCGCCCTCGTCGCGGGCTCGTCTATTCTCCTTCTTCTTCTCCTCCCCTTGCACTTCCCTGCACCTCTCCCGCTGCCGGTCCCGGTCACGGTGGTGCTTGCCTGCTCGGCGTTCTGGGCTCGGGTGGTGGTCAAGTGGTGCGAGGTGCCGCCCGTCGCGGGGTTCCGGCTTGCGGTGGGCGGGGCGGCTGTGGTGCTGGTCTTGCTGGCTGAGGGAGTGGGCGGGTTCGTGTGGTGTGAGGTGCTGAGGAGGCAGGGGGTGGGGATGATGATGATGGGTGGGTGGATGAGTTTGTTGGGAGCGTTGGCTGGGTTTGGGCTGATGCCGGCGTTGTTGATGATGGTTGGGGGTGGAGGGAAAGGGGAGAAAGGGAGGGCTAATGCTGCTGCTGCTGCTGCTGGGCTTGGGGAGGGAAGTTGGGAGAAGTAAAATGCGGGTTTTGTTTGGTTGACCAGGAAATGGTTCTGTACCGTTCCGGAGTGTAGGTACACTGATTACCTAGTATGCAGAGGGATGTATGTGCCCCGGCGAGATTGCTATTGGTAACAAGTGGGCTATGAGTCAGATGGGTGTATCCGAAGCACTTTCCCCATTTGCCTCGGGCTATCATCTTGGTACAAAACATCATTAAACATACTCCCGTTGAAATCAGGGGGACCTAAACCGGCCGCCACTCGTAGTGGTGAGCTCCTTTCCACGTCTTTCCTGGGTCCTCGCCGCGTACACGTGGTCTGTCATAGGCATGGGCGCCAAAGAAATCCATCCGGGCCTCCATGAACTGGGTTGCCAGCATGCCTCCGCCGACATACTTCAGGGTACTCGAGACCGGCACTGAGAGACGGGACGTAGGCGTCCCATTTGATACCCCTCTAGCGCGATCTTTGCAGAATCGGGTTTGAGAAGAGCCCGATTGGCGCAATCAACAGCCGGGCGTCTTGGACTGCAGATTCGCGGCTGCAGTGTGCTGTTATAATAATAATAATAATAATAGACTAACCCCGCCCCTCCTCGTTGTAGGGATTTTCTTGAACCTTTTTAGCTTTCTCGGTCGGCATGGCTCGTTGGCACAAGTTAGATTGCACGACACCGGACGTCGTAGTGGACGATGCCACAGGGATTCCGTCATGCAAAGCATGCGGCAGTGCTCCGGACCTTGACGAGGTTATCCGCCAATAATCATACAAGAGCTCCGTCCCCGCGCCGCCCCCCGATGAGCCTCTTGGTCAGATGAACCTCTGGTGGCCGCGGTCAGTGCCGTACTTCAACAACAACAACACCAAAACGCCTTCCGAGTCCGACCCTCAACCTGACTTCTCGTTGTCCACAGTCACAGGTCCAGCTCCCAACCGGCCCTTTGAGCCATCTCCTGTCTACCCGACCCAGCTAAACCCCGACGAGATCCGCCTCGCATGTTTCCAAACCACCACAGGATACCCGCCGTCCCCTGGCAGGCCGGTACACCTCACGCTGGAGACATACTTGATCTCCAACTGCCCGCCATACGAGACAGTTTCCTACTGCTGGGCCGGCGAGGACGGCAATGACGCCCGCACCCGGCCCGTCTATATCGGGCCCTACTGGGATGTAATGGTACATACCCAGAATTGCTGGGACCTGCTACGGTTTGTGAGACCGGCCAGAGGGTTGCGGCTGGTTTGGGTCGATGCTGTTTGTATCAATCAGGGGTGGTAGGTTCTTTTTTTTCTGTGTAATTATCTGCTATCGTGCCGTTACCTTTTTTTATTATTTCTTTTTTATTTTTCGAAGAGGAGAACATGGGACATAGTGGTGCCCCCAGAAAAGGGAAAAAGCGGTTGTTGGGATGTTTGTTGTTGCTTCTTTCCTAGGTATTTATCTGGTCCCCTTACTCCCTAGACAGATTTGGCCGATGCTGATCTTCGCCTCTCAGTGACGAGGAGAGAGCTGCACAGGTAGCTCAGATGGGAAGAATCTACACCATCTGCATGCAGGTTCTCGTCTACCTCGGTCCCGAGGTCGCGCCGCTGCTGCCGACAGGGCAATATCCCCGCCGCGCCAGGCTGCAAGACCTGAGACTGATGAGAGCAGGCAGGTGGAGCGGCGTGACGGATGTTCCAGTTCCCGGAGGAGTAAAGGAGTTGTTGCAGAGGCGATACTTTAGTCGGCTCTGGGTGGTCCAGGAGCTCATCCTCTCCCCTCGCGTGGTGATACGCACCGGGGACGTGGACTTCCACTCAGACGGCGCGACCAGTGGTAAGCTTTGGAGCGGAGAGCTGGGCGACCCTGCTCACTGGGTCCAATACACCTTCAAAGCGGCTCCGCTGGAGTTGGACCTCCACCAGGTGATGCGCCTGACCTTCTCGGCCGGCTGCGCAGACCCGCGAGACCGCGTCTTCGGCGTCTTGGGCATCATATCTGGAGACTCTCCGCACTTAGCGCCAGATTACTCGCTTTCGGTGCAGCATGTGTTTATCGACCTTTATTCACACCTTATAGCCGCCAGAGGTATGGGCCGCCTCCTCGTGCTTCATCCCGGAGTATCGGGTGATTCGGGTCCCGCCTCGACGCCCTCGTGGGTTCCTGGATGGGCATCGTGGGAGAGATGGCAAGCCGTCTTTGACCGCCCACCGGAACTGGGTGCCTCCGACCGGGATGTCATCTTTAAGACATCCTCGGCTATACAGCAATATGACCCGACTATCGATCGTGGAGCAGCCACCATCACCTTCCTCAGGCTTCCGGTGCGCTACCGCTGGGCAAACCTCTCGCGCCGGGGGGCGCCGTTCGGGGTGGATTCCGCAACAGGTACCCTTCGAGCTTCAATGGTCCGCCTGGCGGTCCTGGACCATGTTCCGAGACTTGTGAGTCAACTAAAGGATGCTTCTCTCATGCTTTTCGAGCTTCCGTGTGGGAAACACCACGTCTATCTTGTCTCCAGGCATCGGCTCGATACTGTCGTGGAGCCCGGAAACGATCGACTGTACCTCTTCGCTCTCAATGAAAAGGATCGAGCACCTGGATTCTGCATTCTTAGAAAGGATGCAGGCTATAAATATGGTGATGCCGTCCGGGTTGTCGCCACCTGCGAAGTTGCATTTTTTCGACTCCTAAACCCGCCTAAGCCGCCTACGCCGCCTTCTGATATGAACCATTTGGGCATGTCGGGCAATGGGATCCATATTCGCCGTCCCGAGGAGATCGACGCGATTCCGTTGCCCGAGCACAGACCTTGGCGAGATAACCTTTTGGATAATGTCTGTGAGGAGCGGGAGGATCCTCTGGATATGACATATCCACCTCTGAAACGAGCAGTGATTGGAGATCTCTACTGGACTGTGGACGAAGTCATCGAATCCGTTCAGTCTTGGCTTGACTCCGCGCTCGATGCAAACGAACAGCTCCTCTTTCTCCCACGACTCAACACGAAGCGCAGAGATTTCCTGCCCGTTTACACAGCTGTCATGATGTACAGAAACAGGGATTCCTTCGATGAAAGGAATGGTGTCTGGGATATATACCAACAGTATGCGACAGACGTGTTGGGCGCGGAGCATGGGTTTGATAGCAGATTGATCTTCGTTCTGACAGCGCCGTTTGAGGCCTTCCACGACTTCTATAAAGATCATCCCGACACGTTGCGATGGCTGACATGGGGACGGATAGAGCAGGATCCAGCTACTGTGCAGGTGGTGTTCAATAAGGGGACCATAATGGGGATATTAGAGACATCTAGCGCCGGATGCCGCCACATGCTCTCGATGACAGCTGACAAGGTCGGAGAGTCTGTTTATGATGAACTGCTATTCAGCACCTCCGCTTCCGCCGATCGTCCGGAGAAGGTGCCAAATGGATGGATCGGTCAGACCCTGATAGAGGAGTGCGGATGCGACGGATCAGTCGAGCTTGTCAATATTCCTTAGCGTGGAGGTTTGTCTGAGTGTTTTCTAATAGAAGGTCAGAAAGTCAAAGCTTCAATTAGCACAGAATCGGGGAGGAAGGACACCCTATGCAATCCGAATCTGACAGATTGCTGGTATGAATTTTCAAGTTCACGTCATGGAGGAGATCGATGTCTATCTCATTTGTGATTGCAGTTGAATGTACCAACATCTCCTATGGTGTCAATTCAGAACTCAAACGGTTGACGTCAATATGCTACTCCTACATGCACGGATATACGCCCAGAAACATCAACATGACACCTACGCTGATTAGTTTGGAATTGACTACGATATTAGAGATATACTTGATATTTTAGTACGCAGTAGCTGGCCGGCTTGCGGGCTAAGATAGCAACGCCGAAACCTCAGGTAAGAGTCGTGTATGAAGTTCAGTGATGAACGTACCAGCAAATGGGCTATATCGATGTACATGCTTCCAAATCGCAAGTGACAGCTCAATGTGGGGTTCTGAGTTAAATCAGAAGTTTCTAGGTGAAAGCGTTCTGCAGTTCAAGTCGAACATCAGATGGCACGGGTCCAGCTCATGTCTCATGGAAGGAACAATCGAGATGGAACGTATCACGATACCATTTCGCGGCTACAATGCTGAGACTCAAGGACAGGAGATTGCCACGCAGATTCAAGTCCATTGTCGGTGACAATTATGACAGCTAATTTTGTTTACTTTCCATGCTGCAAGGGACTACTAGTCCCTATGCAGTCGCATTGCAGTGCCGAAGATTGGCACGCCAGGGGATAAGCCGCCATTATGCAACCACTACTACCGGCGCTGCAACATCTGCGCCATCCAACAAAGGTCTGCGATTGCCGGAACATCGGGATAAAGAACCGCATATCTCCTGAGGTCAAATTGAGATTGGATTGACCGTTCTCAAAGTCGGCCCGCGGAGACGCACATCTATGATCTACCTCCCTCGATCGCAGAGGGTTAAGGTATGCAATAATGCGATAGGGCGATGCTCCCTTGATCACTTTGCATTTTGCCTTTAAATCATCTCTGTCTGCTCAAAAGGGTCCAAAACTGGTCGCCCTGAGGTCAAGAAACCGCCGCCTTTAAATAACAACGAAGACAAGAAGATGTCGCTATTGTGGGGAGGCCGTGAACGTGAATCTGAACTAACTAGTATTTCACTTTCATTTTGGGTCAAGCTGCTGACTCAGCAAAGTTCATGTCACGTGAAGAAACGTTACCTGATGACTGAAACGGTAGGGAACGCGTTCGCGCTCAGTTTTCACCCCTCCGTTTTTCAATTCCGTTTTCCGACTTTTGCTGTGGTGTGAACCTAGGTAATGTCGCCTTGTTGTGACCACAGTTTCACCAACGGCCAGCCCAGTTAGCCTTAGATAGCCTTGGTGGTGAGAATCCTTCTTCAGCACTACAATCAAGATTAAGGAGTTCTGGCCAGAGTGCAGTCCCACACCATCTCCATCTCCTGACTGCTGCCGTAATTTCTCACAACACTTCCGCCACACTTATATGTACCAGCCAGTCAATTCGCCCGTCCATTTGACTCCATGGACACGGCCAATGCATCCGCCGACAGCGGCGAATGGGTTTTCCGACAATTAAGCACAGCCGGCAAGCGACTCTTCTGGAGGCTCAATGGCCCACTCGAGGGCGCTATCGAGGTCGCGCCGTCGGAATACTACGAGCCGGGCGCCGTGATGGAGCCGTATTTCGGCCCGGACGGCTCTCTCCACCCCGTGTCGCAAGCGTCCCTCATGGAGCCCCCGGTGTCGTCCTATACCGTCCGCGTCCAGTGCATCGACGAGCGGGAGCGGGTTTGGGTCGACCAGCACTCGCGCTGCCACGACGGCCCCCTTTACCAAGGGTACCCGAGACGCCTAGGGCCCCGCCCCGGCGACGAGAGCTTCGACCCGAGCATCTTCGTGCTGGAATGCTGCGGGCAGAAGCGGCCCTGGTCCTACGACACATATCTCCAAGTCGCCGCCCAAGGCGAATTCCTCACCGTGCACTCGTATGTCTCGGCCGTGCACTCGTGGCTGATGGCTATGCGCGATACCCTCCTGGACGCCCGGGGCAAGATGGATTACCAGCCCAAGTGGCCGCCTGAGACCAAGCTGACTGTCGTGAAACTAGGGCCGGGCCCGTTATATGTCGATCATGAGGACAAGTGGGCCTGGTGGCACAAGAAGCCGCCCGTGCCCCGCCCTGCAAGTGATCAACCCCGGATTTCGGATGAGGAGCGGCAACGCAGGACTATGGAGAGGGCAATGGCAAGATCTGCGGCAATAATACGCGCGCGAGAGGAAGCGGCACGAGTAGCCGAGATGAAGAAAGAAAAGTAAACTGGGACGGTCTGCAAGGCCTGCCAACCTGCATCCTCCAAGACAGTGAAAATCACCAGTTCTCTCTCTTCTGTTTCTTCTGCGTGCGCAACACAAGCTCAGTACCCTCTGCAGTGCGAGACCTTGGGTTCGCCCAAGGACTCCAAATTGGCCCCAGGAGCCCCGCCTCCAAACCAAACTACGCGGTCGAGTTCGTCGAATTACCGGTCGCTCTACCTGCCAACCCTGTATCCACTCGCGATCGACGATCTCGGTAGCGTATGGGGCAACAACGTGCATTGCAGAGCTACCCTGGCGAGCCTGGCAAAGAAGAGCTAGCGAGTGTGGGCATTGACTGGCTTGGTATGGAAAGGACGACCTGGGCGTGGGTCCAGTATTTGACTGGGGCCAGAATTCTCTGGGCATTGGGCTTCCTCTTCTTCTTGCAACATTCTTACCACCTTGCTAGTCTGGGCCTTGGTTGGGCCCAGTACAGTTTGAACCCTCTTTCGCTCTGATGATTAGGAGCACTATTTCCAGTTATCCCAGTGTTTCTGGCATATATATACCCAAAAGAGCCCCCCCCCTTGTTCTTGTTCTTGTGCTTGTGTAAGCTCGTGGGCGCGCTATGTTTAAGCAAGTAAGAAAAGGGCCTTATTCTGGCATCAACAGCGCGGGAGCCTGGGTGGTTTAGACGTGGACTCACAGAATAGCCGCGGAAACCATCAAGGAGAGCACCTCTGCTCAGGGGTTTGCTGTTTACCGGGCAGGTTCGGGCGACCAGGCTACAGAGTAGACTGTGACCTTATGGCCTCTGAGCGTCGCTACACACTCGCTTGTTACAGGATTCCAAATCTTGACAGTTTCATCGTCTGATCCCGATGCTAGCCGGGCTCCATTGGGCGACCAGGTTACCGACTGGATGAACTTGTCATGCCCCGAAAGCGTCGTTGTACACTGAGCATTGTCTAGATCCCAGACCTTAACAGTCCGATCGTCTGAGCCTGACGCGAGACGAGCTCCATCGGGCGACCATGCTACTGACCCAACTGAGGCTGTATGGCCCTCGAGAGTCAGTGAACTCGTGCAGGCCGAACCCCAGATTTTTATAATCGTGTCATCCGGTCCTGACGCAAATTGGTATCCATCGGGCGACCACGCTACTGACAAGACTAACTCTCTAAAAGGCCTCGAGAATCATTCTACACCAGGTGGTTGTCAAATCCCAAGTCCTGATTGTTTGATCTTCTGACCCTGATAGGAGCTCCCATCCATTGGGCGACCAAGATACCGAGAGGACCGAGCTGTCATGGCCCTTAAGCGTTGCGACACACTGGGTAGTCGCTAGGTTCCAGATCTCGATCGGCCCGTCGCGCGATCCCGACGCAAGCTGGGTTCCATCGGGCGACCACGCCACTGACAAGACTGAGCCTGCATTGCTCTCAAGGGTTGCTGTACACTGGCCGGTTGCCGGATTCCAGATCTTGATAGTCCCGTCAGCCGATCCAGACGCAAGCTGGGCTCCGTCGGGCGACCAGACTACCGAGAAGACCGATCCGCTATGGCTCTCGAGAGTTGCTCTGCACTGGTTGGTCGCCGGATCCCAGATCTTCACCGTGCCATCAGCTGACGCAGACGCGAGCTGTCCGAGGTCTGAGTCGGCTGAGTGCAAGTCGTCGCTGTGCTCGGGAAGATCTGTGGTTGCTGGGTCGGAGTAGTCTGCCCGATCATGGTCGCACGCTTCCGGCGCCGGGGGTCCTGCGCTCTCGCAGACCGCGGTGCTTATCGATTCTTGGGCATTTCCATCATCTGTGCCCTCCCGGACGGGCGCTGTGGTTTGGGCCATGTTGCAGTGCCGCGGGCCGGTCTCCTCGGCCTAGGAGGAGTCTTTCAGCGAGAATATAACGATATGGACTCAATGACCTGGCGTGTTCGCGCTGCGAGTATCGGCCCAGGCCCCGGCGCTCGTGAACCTGAGCCAGCTGGCCAACATCGAACTGGACGCGACCGTGGCTCATACGGACTGACCCAGCCGACCCTGATGCTCGTCGTGGAAGGAAAACATCGACCACACAACAGAGCCACGCGAGCCAGGAGCAGAGCGAGACTTAGCAATTGGCCAGTGGTGGGGAGGCTGGGTGCCGTTTTAGGAGGCCCAGCGAGTAGTTGGCAAAGAGCGGGTCCATAACGTGAAGGTGGGGCACACAGGTGGGGCCCACCACAGATGGAGTACACCATACAAGCTTCCGGCATCACAAAGGTTAAATATTTTGCTGGCAAATCACCTTAAAGATAACTTTTGTGATGCTGGAACCTTGTATTAGATGTTAGTGCGGAACCTACCCCGCCCACTATTCCAGATTCATCAAGCCATTGCATCAGGATCAGCATACAGGTCACTTTTCGAGCACCTTCCATAGAAAAGTGACCTCTCTCGAGACCCATTCAGCCAGCCCACCAAAATTCTACTCGAATCTTCAACCTTGCATCTAGCATCAAGAAGACCCTGACACTATCGACGTCGACGCCATTATCAACCACAAATCTGGCTCAGCTTTTCCGGGCTGTTTAGGAGGCTTAGAACATGGTGCTAATTGAATTCTTATAGCGACTGGCTTATTCAATGACCCGACGGCTCAGTGCGGTCATTGTAAATAGAGGAGGAAGAATTGCGTACTAGGTACTTTAGTTGTAGTAGAGATTCTATGTGTTTCGAAGTGTTTCGACTTTTTCCTGGCTCGTGCGCTGGCTTTGCCAGCTCTGGTTAGTCGGTGGGGCAAGTACCGAACTAACGTCTAATATGCTGGGGGAGGTGTAGCCCTGGAGGGTGGTGACTATCGAGGTCCAGTGGGTCCCCCATTTCCCTAGGATCGGAGGGCTCCGATTGGACCAAAAAGTCTGGGCGCTGACCCCCGGTCATGTATCTTTTCCGAGAGTGCACGGACATTTTTAAGGACAGCGAAAAACATCAACATCATCGCCAACGAAAAAGGTCTCACACAACGCTTTTTTTCCATAAAACACACACCCGAATTCTAACCAATTGACCCTAAGCCCTAACCGCCAATCCTAACCGCTAATCCCAACCACTAACTCTAACCAAGGCGCGTCTGTTCGACGCGCGGAAGGCTCGCTAACCACTAACCCTATCCGGCTTTGTACCTTTTGACCCCGGGAAATGAGGGACCCACTGGACCTCGATAGTCATCGCCCCCTGGAGGATAATGTTGGGTCGGGAAAGAGCTACCCTGGTGTGTGAGGATAAAACAGCTGTCGGGACTCGGGAGGAGCCAGAGCCAGGACCGGAACCATCACCTTTTTACTATGTACATCCAACTGTTAGCCCACCTTGGAATGCATCATCATCACCAGCCAGCTGGGCTGGCCTGCATCAATCAATCGTTTTGACCATCTGGCAGTCGGTTCCATCAACTACCTGTCTTTTCTGATAACGCCAAAAGTGCCTCGATGCGCCCAAATAGACTTGGATCAAGCCAAAGGTCGTGTAACGGGCTGAGACTGGAAGCCCTCGTCTAACCCTAACCCTTGACGAGGGTTTCTGAACATCTGCATGTCGAATAGCGATTCGGTTTCGGCGGGGCTACTGTTCTGCGCCATACACTAGTTAGGGTGGCTCCCCCTGAGCAGAATAATTGATACAGGAAAACCGGTCTTTCAGAACACCATCGCAATTACATTAGCCACAGCACGATGTAAATAAACTCTTCATCATGCTCCTTTCCTTCTACAACATCACATCCTTACTCAATTTCTATCAGAAAAGCTAGTGTTCAAATTGCATGTGTTTTGACCTAGCTGTGTTGACTTGTGTGGTGGTGGATTGATTTGCCTGTATCAATTATTCTGCTCGGGGGGAGGGTGGGTACTCGTCTATTATCCCGACCCCAATGTGTTTCCATGCATTGTCATTTCCATACATTGTTCAACCCCCCACCTCTGCGTCCTCTACGCCGCATACACGCCCACCTCGGGCACCCGACACTCTGGGCAGAGAAGATCCAAGTCGGTAAAACCAAGCGCAGAAGCCAAGTCCCGCTTGATTGGCGAACATAACACAAGACTACTTTACCATCTTGGGGGGCTCTCAGTCTCGGTATTACTGGGTGCGTCCTCGTTTTATTCTCTCGCTAGCCGTTAATATTGTTTGTTAGATATTAATCTTTGAAGCCTGCTTGTGAGATCAGAGGGAACTCTCTGCCGTTCCTTACCTACCTACCCTACATCATATACTACAGTCTACCCTCTTCATAGCGATCGGGTCCGGGCCAGCCCTCCTAATCGCTATAGCCCGGGAATCGTTATGGCAAGTGCCCCACATATTTCCATATTTGGTAGGTGTCGAGCTTTGGTGGCTGTATTGCAATGAAACACCGTGTAAAACTAGCCCCCTGAAGCACTGTAAATGGTGGAAGGTGATGTAAGGTGCATGTACGATACGAAAATTTGTGTAATTGGCCTACTTCGCGAGGGAAAAGTACCGGCAAAAGGGGCCAAGAACGGTAAAACTAGGGGGTCTAGCTCCCTGGATATAGCGATTTGTATGGTGACTAAGCAGAAAAGTAATCGTATATGCCAATACCCAGGGACTAACGATTTCCCATACAAATTTGGCCGGGCCAGAGATATTAAACGTTATATCCAGATTATCGTTATGGCTCGGAACGCTATGGAGAGGGTAGACTGTAAACAGACCGACGATACACGACATGAGGAACTTGGAACAGCTAGAACATGTCAAACTACCCAAGGTACCTACCACGATTTATTCGGGTCAAACATCCAACTCAGGTAATTATTCGAGCCATACCCGCCCTGCTTGCCGTTCTCGCCGCCACAGTCGCAGCTATCAACCGGGGTCTTGAGGTACCGTAGACACTCGTCAAAGTCAAAGGTCCACGCGCAACCCTCCTTGACCTCAAACGTCCAATGAATCTCCTCGCTCCCGCTGAACGGCAACGTACCCTCGGCCATGAAGGGCCCCTGCAGCTCGCCCGTCGCGCGCTTTCGGCCCGAGACCCCGGCGTGCATGGCGATGTTGTTGCACGCGGAATTGCGCCCGTTCTGCAGCCGAAACGTTGCTCATCTTTTGCCCGCTGTTGAAACAGTAGACGGTGTTCTTGTTGGGATCCGCCCGGTTCTTGGTCGGCGTCGGGGTCGACGGCGCGGTCGTATGTGTCCGGGTTGCCGAGGTGGTGGTGGTGGATGACTCCGGGAGATCGCACGGCTCATAGTCGCCGTACGAGGTACCATTGCCCGTGATCTCCGGCACGTCCCAGCCCCAGCCCCAGCCGAAGCCGTCGCCACCGCCTATGGGGATCTCGCCGTACCCCGGGCCGCCGTACCCAGGGCAATCTTTCGCAAGATCGACGTCCCAGTAGCTGGGATTTGCGGCGGCCTGCCGGCACAACCAGTCCTGGGCAGTGTTGTTGAGCTCGGCGTTGGGGTCGACGGCGGCGGCGCGCACCACCAGCGCCTGGCCGGCCAGCCGCCCATTTGCGGGGGCGCCGCGCCGGGCCCGATGGACGGCGGGGGCGTCGGGAAGGCCCCCGTCGGGCTGGCCGTCGAAGTCTTGCCGTCCGGGCCGCGATAGACGACGGCGGGCCAGTTGCTGGTCGTGGCGGGGACGGGCCAGACAGTCCCGAACGCGGTACGGCGCTTCAGCCCCCCGCCACCAGCACCACCATCGTCGCCCAGCGTCATAATCTCGAAGCCCAGCTTGGACAGAGTCATGAGCGGCACCGTGATGGTGCTTGTCCAGGCGTCCTTGCTGACCGTCATAAGCGGGAAGTTGACGACTGAGGTGGCGCCTGTATACGGGGGCAGCTTGACCCTGCAGGGCGGCGCGCACAAGATCTCGGGCTCGTCCATGTTCCAGATGTCCGGATGGACCCAGAGGATGTCGTTGAAATGGGCGCCGTCGCTGGCGACGTCCAGAAGCGAGATTTGCGACCAAAAGGGGTGCGCGTCCACGTTGAGGTTGTCCGCGGCCAGGATGCCCTGGCCCTCCATAACGGCCATGTACTTGGTGCCGATGGTAACGAGGTTCTGGATCCGCACGCTGGCGTGGTTGCCCTGCAGCAGCATCATGGCCTTTTGGCATGCCTGCCCGTCGATGCAGTCCTGGGCGTAGGCCGAGAACCACGAGTACAGGCCGGCGCTTGCGACGAGGATGTCCTCACAGCCGCGCATGATGACGCCCCAGGACTCGTCGCAGCCGTTGAACTCACCCGGGGCGCAGGTGTAGTCGGGATCGCCGGGGAACTTGCCCACAGCGCCAGCAAACGGAGCGGGAGGCGGGGGGGTCGGCTGGTAATAGGGCGACTCGGTCTGGATCATGCTGGTGAAGATGGTGGAGGCGTTGTGGAAGTTGTACTGGTAATAGACGGCGTGCTCTGACGCCGTGGCATAGAGCCAGACGGGCGCGGTGCTCTCGATCAAGAAGCTACGGGCCGCGTAGACCGAGTTCTGTACCATGGTGTTGTTGGCGTCCTCGAGATCTGGATCGTCGATCATGTGGTCGGCCACCCACAGCCACATATTCTCAAAATAACCCGACGCGCCCGGCTTGAGGTGCATCATCAGGCTGGCGGCGTTGCAGCCCGGTGCGATGCCCGAGGTCAGGGGCGGACACTCGGCCGGTGTCAAATCGGTCCCGGTAGCACCGCCGATACGGACGTGACAGTCCCAGAGGGCAGCCGACCCCTTGGCGTCGGCGGCCATGTTCCACTCGAGAAGCACAGCGCCGGCCGTCGGGCCTTTCGTCGTAAAAAACAAGTCCTGCATCTCCACGTTACCCACCTGGCCGGGGGTCACACCCACACGCACCATAACCTTGGGGTTGTTCGCATCGGAAAAGGCGGATCCGAAGGCCACGAATTGCGACCAGGTCTCGCCGACCATCTTGACGTTGGTTGGCACGACCACGGTGTCGGTCAGTATGTAAGAGCCGGCGTCCACAAACAAAATCTTACCCTGGCTGGAGTACAGCGCGCGCTGGACGGCGGCGGTGTCGTCTGTCACCCCGTCGCCCACGGCGCGGTTTTCGTACTGCGGCTTGGGACGCTCAAAGTAGTTGCCCGACGAGTCGACGAGTCCGCCGTCTCGGCGGTACCGGCCCACCTTACCGCCCATCGAGAAGGAGCGCGCGCCGGCCGAGCCGTCGTACACGGGGCCCAGCACCCAGTGGTCGATAAGCGACTGGCCGGCTCCGGACAGGTGCGTCGTGCCGCTGGTGTCGGCCACGACGGCCATCACACCCGAGACGGCCACGTTCTCGAGCACCAGGCCCGTACTGCGCGAGGCCACGTCAGCCGAGGGCGGCGACACGAGGACGGCAGTGCCAACGTTTGAGAAGGAGGAGTCCAGGACGGCCGCCGAGCCAACGGACCCCGACGGGTCCTTCACCACGAAGCGGAAGCCGACGTTCACGTTGGTCATGGTGACCGACTTCCACACCCAGCCCCAGTCCCAGAACAGGTGAACGGCCGTGTCGCAGCCGTCGAAGCGCAGGCGTTGCGCCGTGAACTGCTGGGCGCCGCCGTAGAGCCCGACGTCGCCGCCGCTGAAAACCACGTCCGAGATCTGACCGCCGCTGCCGTTCTCGGCGTACATACCCTTGGAGCCCGGCCCGGCCCGTAGCTCCACGTTCTGCAAGCTCGTCGCCTGCGCGACCTGGTAGTGCAGGCACGCCGTGTCCTCGCCGACGGGAGCATTGCGCACGTCGATAATCACATTGCGGATTTGGCGGTAAAAGTTGGCCGTGTTAACGTACCACTGCTGGTCGCCTCCGTCGGGTCCGGTGCCCCCGCCGGTGTACTCGTCCGTGGACAGCACGCCCAGGCCAACAAACGACGACGAGGAGGCGATGATCACGGGCCGGTCGAGGACGTCGCCGATAACCTGCGTGCCGAAGGGCAAGGGCATAGTGCTTGAGACGAGATAGGTACCCGGGGGGAAGTACACAATGGCGTTCTTGGTGGTGGACCCGTTACACTTCTCGCCGCACCGCCAGCCGTCGTTCAGGGCCTCCTTGATGGCGGCCGTATCGTCGGTCACGCCGTTTCCGGTGGCGCCGTAGTCGAGCACGTTGCGGAAGACCTTGTACGTTGGGTCGTCGCCCCAGGGGACGGTGCCTTTGCGCGCGATGGTCTCCATCCAGTACGTGCCTCGGACAGGGGCCCGGCGCTTGACGCCGCTCGAGGTCGAGTTGGATGGAATAGGATGGGTGGTACCCGAGTTCACACCCCCGGACGGTGCCTCGGCCTCGGCCTCGGTCACGAGGGCGGCGGCCCAGGCGATCTCCTCGGTGATTGCGAGGAGCGGAGGGGAGGACGTATCGTTGTCATCACCACTCTGATCTCGTCGCTTGTTATTGTTGGGCGCTGTTGCAGTACTGCCGCCAATTACGGTTCCGGGTTTGAGACGGTACCGGTTGCGCGCCGGGTTGGCCAGCCGCGCCTTGTTTCGCTTGGCTGAGGCAGCGATAGCATCGGCCACGATGCTCCGGGCTCTGGCGAGGTCGGCCGCGGACGCAGTCTTCAGTAGAGGCTTGCCATCGGTGGAGTTCCAGCTGGACGTGACTTGGCGTTTGGGAACGGCCTTGGGAGTTGTGGCTCTAGCAGCGTTGGGTCGCGGCGTCGCTGTGCGGCCGCTCAGATCGGCGGAAAAGCCAGCAGCTCGTATCCCAATGCCCCCCAACCCGCCCAATAGGCCCCGCTCGGCGGTGCTCGCCCGACTGGGGCCGGTGCTGCAATGTCAACGGCGTCTGCGGCGTGAACCCGGCCGACTGCTATGTCGAGCGTGGATGCCAGCCCGCCTTCGGAATCTGCGCCTCCAACTCCAACTCCACCACCACCTCGTCGGCCACCTCTACCACCTCCTCTACCAAGACAACTTCATCCTCCTCCACCACCAGGACGACTTCATCCTCTTCCATTACTAAGACGTCTTCAACGTCCACGACACCATCGAGCACTCACGGGACCACCACTGCCCCTAGCACTGAAATCCCAGGCGTATCCAACTTGCCTGCGTGTGGCCAGACCTGCTTCAATAACATGCTCGCGCAGTATTCGGCGCTGGGTTGTTCCAGCCCCCAGGACTCCTACTGCCTATGCAACAACGCCGATTTCAGCAACGGCATCCGCGACTGTTCCAACGGCGCCTGCGGAACCAGCGTTAGCAGCACCGTGATATCTTTCGGCAGTGCGTATTGCTCCACCGCCTTCGCCACGCACACGGCCACGACCACCGGTCTGGCTGCTCTACCCTCCTGTGGGCAGACCTGCTTCAACAACATGGTGGCCCAGTACACCGCCCTAGGCTGCTCTAGTCCTTCTGATTCCTATTGCCTGTGCGGCAACGCCGACTTCAGCAACGGTCTGCGTGACTGCTCCAACGGAGCGTGCGGCACCGTTGTGGGTAGCAGCGCGATTGCGTATGTGAGCGCGTACTGCTCTGCCGCATCGGCTACCCACACGACCACGGCCACGGGCGTGGCTGCTCTGCCTTCTTATGGCCAGACCTGCTTCAACAACATGGTAGCGCAGTACTCCGCTCTAGGATGCGCCAGTCCCCAGCCCTCGTGTCTCTGCAAGAATGTCAACTTTGGATACGGCCTGAGGGATTGCGCCAACGGTGCTTGCGGCACAGCTGTGGCCTCGACAATCATTTCTTATGGAAGCTCATACTGCGCGTCTGCAACAGCAACAGTCAAGGGTTGAGTGAAGGGGATAACTCAAGTAAGGGAGGGAGAAATATCGAAAGTACAAGGATTTAGTGTATACGGCGTACATGTAGGACTGTGCGAGGACGCAAGTCTGCCGGAGCGCCATACCCGATTAGGCAGAGCGCCATTGTTAATTCCCTGTCTGTGGAACCAGGCCCAAGACGTGTGGGGCGATTAGCTGCGGGGTAGTCTTAAAAAAATGCCTTGTCTCCATCGGCATGGGCCTTAAAAACAAGGTGGTAAAAGTGCTTGAATTTGTGGAGGTCGGCTTGTGTGGTTTTGTTGTTAAGGTTGGTAACAGGAATTGGTTCTCCAGTGCCCGAGAAATCCTTATAAACCCACGATGTGGGCTGCAGCTTCCAACAGCCTGCCCGCCCTGCAGCCTCTTGTTGGAAGTTGTGGTACTTGAAATACGGAAGCTTGGTTGCCGGCCTCCGTCGCCGGTGCCGTTTGGGAGTTGTTACGGAGCCGGCCCCACTCCAGGAACGCGAACGGGTTTTGGACCGGTAGAACTTCGGCCGAGTCTTGGTTCGTGCTTGATGAGCCATCAATTGCAGTCGTGCAAAAGGAATGATTTTGCCTGTGGCCTAGGGAGAGCAAACAAGGATGTTCAGCGATTCTCTTCACCGTTCAAGGGCGGAGTGCTAATCCGCGGGATGTTTCTGGCGGAACGCTTGCATAGGTATATGATATCCGGATGTTCGGCCAAATATGGACGAACCTCTCCCGCGCCGCCCCGTCCATTCGTACGACGCGGATATCAGAACGGCCAGGTGCCCCTCGGCTTCTCGAAGGGAGCTAGAAGGCCAGACGGGGTCGGTCTCCCCGCCCCTTCCAGTCTCCTGCTCACCGGCATTTCTTTAATTCAACTCGCGGGCCGATACCCTGGAACTCTTGGTCCCTTCAGGCTAAGATGGTCTGATGATACCGGCCCTCTTGCTTCCAGCATGTGCCAAGCGGTATAGGAGCCAGTCTTCATATTACATTGGCATGAGGACTCGATGGAGGCAAGCTGAGGGCCACTCCGTGCTCAACCCGCATTCCATTGCTGAGATATGGTCTGAGATGTTGTGCCGCATCTCCACTAGACGAAGTCTCCTGCATTCCTTGACCGAGCGTGTTCCGCCGTGACTGACGCTTATATACCTCCCGTTCGACCATACTCTGGTGCCTTGTCCTTGTACAACCCTCACGGTACATTGTCTCTCGGGGAAGCAAGATGCCATCTTCACTTTCTCTTCTCGTCGCTCCTTTGCTGCTGTTGTCCACGGCCTCGGGCCTCCCGCAGGTGCAGGATATTGAGCTTGGCCCTGGAGAAGATGTCGCCGTGGCATGCGAATGCCCGGAAGTGACGGTAGTGACGGTAGTGACGGTAGTGACGACGACAGTATGGATGACCGAGCCGACGAGCATTCTGAGCCCTACTAGTTCTTCTGGCTCCACGACACTCACCTCAACGCCCCTTCCATCCACCACACCCTGCTCATCGAGCATTACCGAGACCTCTTCGGTGCCTATCGACCCGACCCCGTCCTCCCCGCCCGGCAACGGCAACGGCACGGGTAGCCCACCCCCTTCTGGATATCGCAACGCTCTCTACTTCACAAACTGGGGCATCTACGGTGCCAACTTCCAGCCCCAGCAGCTCCCTGCAGACAAGATCACGCACGTCTTGTATGCCTTTGCCGACATTGCATCCGATGGCGAGGTGTAAGTCATAAAATCTTTCTGGTGGCTGTTCTGGGAAACCTTTGACTAATGCCCATGCAGGAAATCGTCGGACTCGTACGCCGACCTGGAGAAGCACTACCCCGGCGACTCGTGGAACGACGTGGGGCTGAACGCCTACGGCTGCGTCAAGCAGCTGTACAAGCTCAAGAAGCAGCACCGGCAGATGAAGACCCTGCTCTCCATCGGCGGGTGGACGTACTCGCCCAAGTTCGCCCCCGTTGCCGCGACGGAAGCCGGACGACAGCGCTTCTGCAACTCTTCAGTTACTTTACTCAAGGGTGGGCACACGCACATCTCTACCTACTAGTAGTCTCTACCACCTTTCTCGCCCTCCCTACTTTAAAACTGACCAACCCCTTCTTCTATGCAATACAGACTGGGGCTTCGACGGCCTCGACATCGACTGGGAATACCCGTCCGACGCCCAGCAAGCGCAGGACTTCGTCGCGCTGCTGCGCACGTGCCGCGACGCCCTGGACGCCTACGCCGCGCAACACGCACCGGGCTACCACTTCATCCTGACCATCGCGGCGCCCGCGGGCCCGCAGAACTACAACACCCTGGCAATGGAAGCCATGGACCCGCTGCTGGACGCGTGGCACGTCATGGCCTACGACTACGCCGGCTCGTGGGACACGACGTCGGGCCACCAGGCCAACCTGTACCCGGACCCGACCAACCCGCAGGCGACCAAATTCAGCACCGACCGCGCCGTGCGCGACTACCTGGCGCGCGGCACCCCGCCCCACAAGATCTTGCTGGGCCTGCCACTCTACGGCCGCGCCTTCGAGGGCACCAAGGGGCTCGGCCAGCCGTACACGGGCGTCGGCCAGGGCTCGATCCAGAACGGCATCTGGCTGTACAAGGACCTGCCGCGGCCGGGCGCGACCGAGCTGTACGACGACGTGGCCAAGGCGAGCTACAGCTTCAACGCCGCCGCGGGCCAGCTGGTGTCGTACGACACCGTGGGCAGCGCGGCCGTCAAGGCCGGGTATCTGGTCGAGCACGGACTGGGCGGCGCCGTCTTCTGGGAGGCGGCCGGCGACAAGAACGGGAGCGAGAGCCTGGTCGGCACGCTCGCGGCGGGCATGGGCCAGCTGGAGGCGGCGGCGAATCTGCTGAGTTATCCGGCCAGTCGGTACGAGAATATTCGGAAGGGCGTACCCGGCGAGTAGAGAGGGCTGGGCATTTGCATTGCATTGCATTCTGCCGGGTTTAGAGGGGTTGATTGATTAGGAATGATTATTGTTTTACGCGCGCTGGCTCTGGGTGTTTTTGTTGTTCCGGCAGGCTGAATACCTAGCTGACCTTATCTCACCTAGCTACGTGAGCTGGACATGCTCTACCTGGCTGGTTGGCGTGGAGTGTATTCATATTCCATTGTTCCTCATCAATCTTCCCACAAGCATCGATCTGCATCTGGACATAGGACGCAATAGACTTTCCGGCTATTGATCGATAATCATTGTTCAATAACGCACCTGTGTTTCTCTCCCATACAGTTAGTAGTGGATCTGAAGCAGAATGCGCGTTTGGAGTCACAGGGTGCGGCCGTGTCTTGGTTGCCCTCCCCATTCGCAAGCCACCGGCATGCGGCCTGGAATTCAAAGCGGGCATGTTCTAGGGTACCGGGAATGAAACAGCCATATTTGCGCAAATCAGAAATGTAGGGCTTGATACCTGATCGCAGGGAATGAGAAGTGCGAGGCCACGGTGGGAGTCACGCCGACCCCGGTCTGCCGCCCCTGATAAATTTATGGGACGGGTTCGAGAGACTCTAAGGGACGGATATATATCTTGGAGCAATACGAGAGGGGATAGCAGGCCCGGCCAAGGCTAGGGCTAATAAGCGCAGGAACTGGCTGGTTATGAACTTTTCGTCCAAACGGCAAGCGCGTGGCGCACGTGTGGTTCTAGTCGTCGAATATGCCCATGGTCAGTTCTGATCCGATCACCGTACCTTCAAGGGGGTTTCATACATGTAAGCACACTGCCTAGACTTACCCAAATTTTCAATCTTAGGCTCATAGGTATACTAACCATATATACTGCTACATATATGCCGCTAACCCAAACATCTTAACTCCGGGCCGCTGTCCGGGTTGGTTAGGATGACCTTCGTTTTGGTGCCAATATCGCTTATCTTATATATACGTAAGCGTACCTAAGCTTGTCATTTTCCCCAGACCTAAGGCAATCGTATATAGTAACCCAAGTTAGCGTGCTATATCGAACCACCAACGACGTGACATCCAAGGTTCGCTCTTCTGTTAGTAGTTCATTCATAGTTGTTTCTGCCTATCCTAGCGCTACAAGAAGCTCGTCATGCCTCCGTTGTCAACTTCCCAACACCAGCGCGTCCCAGACTGTGGATGGCAAACCCTGAAATTACCAATAATGTAGACTTGTAAGAAAACTGCCCGCAGCATGGCCCAGCCAGAGAACTCAACTCAACTCAACTCAACTCAACCGACAAACTCCCTCTCCCCTCACCTCGAACCCCTTTGTTCCCCAAAAGTCCCACGTTCCCCCTCACACACACACATACATACACACACCCTACATCATCAACACCCCCAACAAGCCCACCATCCCACCCACCACAGCCACGACCACACTCCTCACGCCCGGCACTCCACTCTCGGCTCCCGACCCGGCTGCGATGCCGCCACTCGCACTCCCGTTGCTCGCCAGCCTACCAGCACCAGCACCAGTCTGCACCGCCACAGCCGTCACCAACGTGCTCGTGACCCCGTCGCCGCCGACCGTCGTGAGCGTGGTCAGCGCCGAGGCCTCACTGCCCGACCCGCCAGCCGCACCGGTACCAGTCGTGGTCGGCAGGAGGGCGGTTACTAGCAAGGTACTACTGCTACTACTAGCCTCCACGTCCGTGGCGGTTCCGCCGGTTTGGGATGATGCGTTGGGCAGAGGTCGGAGAGAGCCACTTGATTCTGATTCGGCGTCCGGGGCGCCGGGGAGGGGCCGTAGGTTTGTGAGTGAGGAGTCAGTCCCGCCTTCGATGTTGGTGAGGTTGTTGGTGGTGGTGGTGGTGGTGGGGAGGGGCATGAGGGAGCCGGACGATGGGGACGTGGTGGCTTCGTTGTTCGGGAGAGGGGCGAGGCCACCTGTGGCGTGGGCGACGCCCGAGGGGGATGCTGCGTCTGTGCCGTTGGCGAAGACGAAGCCTTGAGCGGGCGCCGCGAAGCTAGAGCGCGCAGAGCTTGTGGAGATCTGGATGAAGGAGCCGATGACGCTGGCAACGCTGGTGGGATCGAATATCACGGCGGCTGTGGTCGGATCGACCACAATGGGGGTAAAGGACGCGAGGACTGCAGTGTAACTAGTTGATGATTCCGGTACTGCTGCGGTGGTCGACGTCTCCACTGCCACGCTCGCTGAAGGCGGGCTGAGGATCTGGGTAAAAGATCCTACGGCCTGGCTAATACTTGATGCCGTGGTTAGCTCGGCAGCCTGTCGTCCAATCGGTCAGTAAGCGTCTCTGAACGTCTCGGCCGCAATCAGATGACTGTTCATACCGAGCTCGCGACGCCTGGTGCGTTCGGTAATGGTGCAAGGGACACTGGCGCCGCCTTGTCGACGCCAGGGGGCGGGGCCAATGTTGCGGAAGGACTCGGCGCTACAACCGCCTCAAACGGCGTTTCCACCGTCGCCGCAACAGACGACGCCGCCGTTGATGGTTCCACAACCGGCGGAGCGATGGCGGTATCCCCAGGAACAAGTGCGGGCAGCGGCTGAAGCGAGACCGGCGATCCGTCGGCTTGCAGACCCGGAGGTGGCTTCAACCCCGATGCTGCTGCCGCCGAGTTGGCGGCGGCGACAGCGGATGCCACAGCAGCGGCACTTGACTGTTGGGCTGCCAGTACCTCTGGAGGGATCGGCGTGGCCGCGGGTGCCGAGTTGGAGACCGTTTGTATGCGGAGACTACCCGTGCTCCCATCGCCCGCCACCGAGTTCGTCGCGTCGTTTCGCTGAGCTGTAGTCCTGTCCGGGGCCACGGCGGCCAGGAGGATCGTGACGAAGATACTGGCCGAGAGATGCATGGTTGCTATCCAGTTACTGGGCTGAATAGCAAAGAATACCTATTAAGCCGGACTGAAGCTGGCGCGATATAAGACTGTAGTAGAAAATGGGCCGTAAAGAAGGTCGAGAAGCAGATATGCTGCCCTGCAGCCACGGAGTAGGGACGTAAGAAGGAAGAGAAAGTAAAGCACTAGTCACCACAGAAGACACGGGCGACTCAAGTGCAGGGAGGAGAGAGGAAGCAGAGGGGCCGAAGCCGGATAAAGAAGAGGATATATCGCATTGGGATGTTTCTCATCGGATCCGCGACACCATGAGTCTGAGCGACACCGCTGGATCCCATCATGCTGGCTTGCTCCCATCGTGTTTGCTTCCAAGGATACACGGCAAAGAGCCCGCAAGAAGTAGGCGAGTCAGGTACCTGACTGAGCCCCTGAACACGGCATCGATCCCGTGATGGGTCGAATTGTAGACGACTGCAATGCGGATCACAACTCGGGAGACGGGCTCTGCTGCTGCCCGCCAAGAGGTCGCAGAGAGCACGCATCAAGAGATCGGGGCCGCATCTGGAACATCCGTCCATTCTCCGACTTGGGGTTGCGGCTCGGCGAGTCAAGAGCTGGGAGACGCAAGGGGCCTGAGCGCGGCTCTGACACAGCAGCCCGCGCCGATGAAACCCAGCTCCCGCCCGGCAGCCGAAATCTAAAGGAGCGTGCGCATCTATGCCGGGCTTGACAGAAATTAGGTTTTTGGCAGAGTCGTTGAAACATCTTGACTGACGGGAGCTTCTCACCGATGAAGCAGGCTGGGATCAGCGGCGAAGTCGACAACATTCGGAGATGCTCAGCGTGGTTGTCGTTTGACTGATCCAAGACTGTCGAGGCTGCCCGTCATCAACTGTCATCTCAAAAGATCAAACAGGGACAGCCAACTGCGCCATCTTATAGTTTAACACTTTGGGCGCCGATGTACAGTAGAACTTGATCAGCAAGTGGAAGCGATGCTTATCAGCGTAGATATCGCGCCTATCTAACCTAATTATATGCCTCCGAACTGCGAGTTTGTGCTCGACGATCTCGAATTGTACCCTTAGGACTGGTCTAAAAGATTCGACCTAATTCATGCTCGTATGCTAAGTGGATGCTTCAAGAGTCCTGAAAACATCGTCAAGGAGGCCTATAAGTATGTAACATGTGTGGCTTTTGATTCAATGACTGACTATGCGCACCAGGAACCTGGAACCCGGCGGGTATTTCGAGGTCAAAGATATTGTGCCCATAAAAGCTCCCTGTCTATATACAAGAGCCTAGAAATGGTAGCTATAAGGACAAGAAACCACACCCTTTGAACAATAACGAAGACCAAAAGCTATCGTTATTATAGCGAGGCCGAGAACGTAAACCGGACCTAGTACCAGGTAGTTACAGATTCTTTTTAGGGTCGAATGCTAACTCAGCAACACTTAGGTCACGTGCCAAATACGTATTTCTAAGGATTAAACGGTAGGGAACGCGTTCTTGCTTACTAGAGTTTTCACTATTCTGTTTCTACCTCCGTTTCCCATCTATACTACCTAGGGGTATAATCCTAATACCATTACGCTTATAACCACAGATTCCACCAACGCATGGTAAATCATACGCAAATCACTATCCGTAAGCGTCTAGGCAAACACGTTTGCAGCCTTGGCCATAACAAAACAACCCTACATTTTCCAGAGCACCATTAGGTACCTAGGTACTCGGGGGTCCAAGCGTTGCTTACCAGGGGACAGCCGAGTACCAGAAGCCTAAAACCGCTTACCCTCTAGGCGAATATATCCCTGCTAATCAAGTCTATCAACGGTTAGGTACCTGCTCAAGCACACGAAGTAGCTTAAAGTAGGAGACGCTCTTTCCCTTAAGCTAGAAGCCAACTGCTCTTTCCTCCTAGGTAGTTTCCTTATAGCTCAAGGAGTAAACAGCTCAACTGTTACAGGGTGCGGAGTGAACCACTGCACCAACAGACCAAAAAGTCCACCAGTTCTGGCACTTCGTGCCAGAACGCTCCGCACCGCTTGCTTAGATCACCGGTGCCGTACGCAACCCGTGCCGTACGCAGCCGACGGTGACAGTCTCCGACTTTTGGCATGTCTCCGAATTATTGCACCCCTCTTTAGAGGGGGCCATCGGTAGAATAACGCTCGGGCCCCCAAGTATCCTTGCTATCCACCTCGCAAAAGGACCCTCAATCCACCTCCCAAGCTCCCCAACCGCAGCGACAAGCTGATACATGCCACTCAGCGAGTTGGTCTCGCCGAGCGTCATATGACCGACGATCTCCAGCCTGTCCCCTCGGTCGCAGGCAAACGACAGCTGCCAGGCGTGCTCGTTGACCAGGATCAGCGGGAGCGTCACAACGCGCTCGCCACCTTCCCTCTGGAACCGTTTCACCCGCTCGTGCCATGCCGCCGTCCAGGCGGCCAGCTGGGTCCGACCCTCTACTGCCGACGAACCGCCACCCCCCGTCCTCGTTTCAATGCTCACCGCCACCGGTCGGTAGCACATCGGGCCGTACAGGCTCTGGTTGACCGTCGCTTCGCCTACGGGCTGGGATTCGACAACGCGGTTGATGGTTCCGTTGAGGTCGCTGTACCAATCCTGTCTTCCGTTCCCCTCCCCTGCTGCTGCCGCCAGGTCTAGCACGAGTGCAAAATCGACCATCTTCTTCTCCACGAACTCGGTCGCCGCATGCTCGCCCATCCTCGGGATAAAGGGTTTGGCGATCGCAGCCGTCGTGACAACCGCTGTGTTGACGTGCGGCGCGTGCATCTCCAAGGCGTGCTGGAGGATAGGACCGTGCACCAGGACGTTCCGCTCGGCGTCTGAGCTGCCCATGTGCTGGCATTGGACTGCGGCCCTCAAAAGCTTCCGTAGCAGACGTAGCTCGGCCAGCGCCCGCCCCTTGTCTTCCTGCTCTTCTCGCCGCATCCCTGTTCGGCCATTTCCATCGCCCTGTTGTTCCTGTTGTGCTCCTCTTACGCCGGCTGCAGCAGCCCGGAAGCAGAACGGGGGGAACTCCGTCTCAGCCGCCTTGTTGATCTCGGCCTCCGCTTCTCCAGGAAAGATGTTCATACGGTACGTGATGTTGGACAGACTCTTATACAGCTCCGTCACGTCCTCGTGAAGAAGCGCCTGTGCGCCGTCGCCCATGTTGACGAAGAGGATGGGCTTCTGGAGCGCGCGGAGCTCCTGCGGCTTCTTGGTCGGACTGTTGCTGCGTGCCGACGCTCTGGCCTTGCCGATGTGCTTGTGGTGCTTGCCCAGCTGCCCGACGTGGCCGATGATCGGACAAATGCAGCCTCGGGTAGCCCAAGGTCGGGCCTGTTGTTGCCTAGCAAGAGGCTGCCTCCCTCTCACTCAAGCCCTCATCGCGGTGGTTCTCCCTCTAAGAAAAGGAGGATCACCCTCCCCGACCGCAGCAGCCGCGGCGGCGTGGACATTATAGGCTGGTGAGCCGCGAGGTCGTCGTTGTCGTTGACGATGTCGGACCGGGGGGCGAACTTCCGCTTGCGCTTCTTCACGGAGCACGGGAGCGACAGCGACGATGCGAGAGGTGTATCGGCTTCTGAAATAATAATCGAATCGAGCCACTGGTTGACAAAGAGCCGGCGACCGGCTTGAGATGGATCGTGTTGCATTGGCTTATTTCTTGCTTGTTGATAGCGCGGGACAGAGAGGTAGATGGCTGTCCAATGTGTTTGCTTTGTTTTGAAGTTGGTATTTACGCGTTCGGCAGCGAATTGACATGTCGAGCAAGGGGCGAGCATCTTTCGTGATACCGGTCACCTCGAGACTTCGAGCTTTACACAATACCGTACACAGTGTCTGTACGGTATTGCACATCTGAGACTAGGGCGCAGGGCTTGTGTGGATGTTTCTATTGGCTGATTTTAACTAATGTGGGCACCACCGGTACATCCACACAATGCCAAGCGCCCAGTGTGACTGAGACTGGGATTGGACGGTCACAGTCGATAAGATAAGGTAAGGTGCGGTCCCTTGCACAATGCCAAGTCGGCCCACCATCTTTAACAACGCCGATGCGACGCGCTGTGCGCGAATGTCACTACATGTAGACAACGACACTGTCGCAGCCGGCGTCGGCTACGCCAGCGACCGCAATGGCCACGGAAACGTGACATCTTTTGCCATTCCCGACATGGTGAAAGAGACGGAAAAGCGCAAAGATGATCCGAACCTGGCACTCTGGAGGCAATTGACTACCCTCTGGCTCTGCCGGAGCGGTATAGATTGCAAGAACTACCGGCCCGGCATCGATGACCCTGAGAGGATGTTTTGCTATCACGTCTACGATGACCACTACCGCCTTACGCCCGCAGACCTGGCCACTTGGGTGCCGGCCATTCGACAGGGCCGCGCGGCGGTCGACAACCCTCCGCCCGTGGGTTTGGCGACGATGGTTGATCACCGCGGCCGATGCGATGGCAGCCGTGGCTGAGCGAATCGAAGCGGCAGACCTAGCCACCGAACGTGCCCTGGCCGCGCCCGAAGAGTATTGGCGCGAACGCGATGAAGACGTCGGTCAGATCGATTTGAATGTGAATGTGAATGTGAATGGCGCGGCGGCGGTGAACTTCCAGGGCTCGAGAAACGGTCATGTGAACATCAACATCCACAACTTCAGCAACATCCCGATGGTGCCGCCTCACTACCAATATCTCCCGGCCGACGCGCACATAATACACGCGCCTCCTTATCCAATGCTTCCTTATCATGGCATGGACCCGCGGTCCCAACCGCCGCAGCCGCCGCCGACGACGATAGCCCCATCGTTACCAAACGCTGTAGCGCCGGCTGCCATACATTGGGTACCGCCGCAGTAGACAGCTAGGCGCAGACTGCAAGCGAAGGTGACGTTATCGAGCGGGAGGATCACTAGCGGAGCCCGGGGTGTCACCCGCGAGGCCGTCGTTTCGGGGGCCTGGGAGAGCATTGCGAAACCGGACTATACGGCGAGAAGGTCGAGGACGTAGTCGGAGCTTCTGGGGGCTGCTTACTGGGCGTTTGGGTTTGGAATTTGAGGGCGGCTACGGGCGCGGGCGCCATCGTAGGGCTAGCAAGGTTGCTGGCAAGATGGTAATCAGTAATAAACGGCTGGCATCAGCGATCTAAAGAAGTGTGTTCATCGCCGCGTCCCCGGGATTGACGTCAAATGTACCAAGCCATCAGAATGCCCGAGATACGTTGTTTGAGTGTCGTGATGGGTGGAACATAAGGCATCTGTACTGAAGGTCTTCGACTCTCGAGAGATTGCCAGTCTCGAGGCAGTCTAAAAAAGAGAGCGGGGTGCGCAGCGATCCGGACATGCTGGTCTTGGCATCGGATACATCCCGCTCTCTTTCTGCCGTTCTTCCCCGCCTAAATTGCTAGCTCCATCGATGATCGTAAGCTCATCAGCATCAGAGCGACCAGACGACGACGAGACAGTGAAAGTTGGCCAATCTCGCCCGGGAGAAAGCGCAAACTCAATCTCACAATGGGTTGGTTCGACGGGTGGTTCGGCTCCGACAACAGCGGCTCCGACCCGCTGAAGCGGCTGGACCCGAAGCTGCGCGAGTTCCTCGAGAAAGAGTCGCCTGTCAAGTATAGCAACACCCCTGCGCAGCAGCCAACACAACCGCAGTCGCAACCATCGCCACAGCCGCAACAACAACAACAACAACAACAACATCAACAACAAGCCCCGCAGTCCTCATCCGATACCCAACAACAACAACAACAAAATGCCACCCCTCCCGCCGTCCCGCCCGAATCGCTCTTTCAAGACGGCCGCTACGCGCACCTGTGGAAGACGTACCGCCCGCTGGCGGCCATCGAGGCCGAGACCAAGTCGGACAGTGAGAAGCTGTCGGACGTGCTGGACGCGTACAAGGAGCGGCGGGCGCAGATCGGGCGCGCGGCGCTGGAGAACTGCGCCGAGGAGCAGTTCACGTGGGCGACGTGCATGAAGAGCGGCAGCTGGACGGCGCGCATGACGCTGTGCCGCGACGAGGTGCATCGGTTCGAGCGCTGCTACAGCGCGCAGAGCCGGCTCCTCAAGGCGCTGGGCTACCTGAGCGTGCACGGGCGGGACGCGCGCGTCGACGAGGACATCCAGATGCGCGCCGACGAGCTGTACCACCGCATGCTGGACCAGGAGCGGGAGATTGAGAGGGCCAAGGCCGAGGGGCGGGCGGCGCCGGCCTTTAAGCCGCTTTTGGAGGATCAGAAGCCGGTGGTGCCCGCCGCTGCTGCTGCTGCTGCGCCGGCGATCGTGGATGCGGCAGAGCCGAGCGCTACGACGGTCGCTGCGTGGAAGGAGAAGCTAGAGAAGTTGCCGCCGGAGGAGCGGGAGGCGGAGGAGAAGGCGCTGAGGGCGGAACATCGGGCGAACGCGGAGATGGCGGCTAGGATTCAGGGCTTGTGGCAGGAGCAGGCCAAGGAAAGGGAAGCGCGCAAGGCGGCAGGGAAGGAAACCATCATGGACAAGTTTTCGGCCATGGTTGGGACGTGGACGGGGCCGAAGTCGAGTTGATGCGCCCTCAAGAGACATGCTGTACGGAGCTCTCATTGTACAAAAGTTCCCTTCATCTTGTGTCGTGGATATGTAATCATCGAATGGTCTCATCAAGTCATTGCTGCGGCATGCCGTCTCTGAGAGGGCTACCTGCGCTCTAATACAGCCGCTGTCCGCTCAAGGAAGGCGTTGAACTCCTTGATCTGTTTCAAAGCCCCGCCTCCATCACTCCTGGTACACGCTTGATCAGCCACCTGGCTGATCAGCAGCTCTAGGTTGGCCAGGTCCGCCTTCTTCTGCTCCGCTGGCGAGAGTTCTGGGGCCGCCTGCCCCTTCTCTACCGCCATGTCGATATCGTGCATTGCCGATGAGAGTGAAATGTGACGCTGGGGCGAACAGGGTTAGTGTATCTCGCGTCGGTACTAGATAAGGACGGGGAAGAAGAGCTTACCAAAGCCTCCTTGCTGTCGGCTTCGTGCCGGATCCGAATCGCGTCCATCCGCAGCGCCACCTGCTCTCTCTCTCGGCGAATGCGCAGAATTTCATCTCGCAGCGCGAGCTTCTCCTTCTGTGCCGCGCGAACCCTCTTGCCGAGAGCATGGAGCGTGTCCAAGGCGATAGTCTAGAACCGCTGTCAGTACCCAGAGCCCTGTCCAATACAACCCATTCCCACTTACATGCTCTAAGAGCCTCGTCTTCACCTCCTCATGGAACGCCTCCAACGCGCGGTACATGGTCTTCTGCTCCCTCCTCGTTGCGGCATCCTCGGCGGCTCTCCCGCGCTCTTCTAGCTTGGCCATATACGTCTCCACAAGCTCCTCGCATAGCTTAGAAAGGACATCAACGGCATTGACGCCTCCGGGGTTCGCAAATGGGATCTCCCCGTTCAATAGATCCCCACCGGGTTCGCGCTCGCCATCTGCCGTATATCCGGCGATGCGCGGTTTAGTGAAGCGCTGCACAGTCACGGCCACGGAGCCGGACTCTTTTTCTTCCCCGTCCTCTTCGTTCGACGCTCTTTTCTTCTTAGCTTGTTTCCTCGGCTTAGCCTTCGGCTTGGCTTGGCGTTGGGTCTGGGGTTGGGTCTGGGATCTGTGCGGCCGCGGGTCGTCCTGATCTTCAGGTTCATGGTCAGGTTGAGGTTGAGGTTGAAGTGTTGGTGGGGGCTGGGGCCTGGGTGGCGGTCTTCCTCTCCGCGGCTTTTTAGCAGGCTGCTGCTGCTGCGCTGGACTGGCAGGCTCTCCCCTCCGCCGTCGTTTCGAAGCCGGTGAACCCCCTGTCAAGCTAGAACCCAGCTCCGGGGACGGGGCCCGCAGACTCCTGCGGGGGCGCTTCCTCCCAAGTCGCTGAGCGGTCTCTTCCTCCCCTACCTCTTGCGCCTCCTCTTCCTCTTGCTCTCCTTGCTCCAGCTCACGACCCTCTTGCTGTCGCTGCACTTCCCCATCTTCCACATTCTCATCCTCGGCAGAGGGGTCAGTCGCTTCCTCCGCCGCTTCTTCCTCCACGACGCTTAACTCTTCCACCCCTTCCTCCTCCACCACCATACTTAATTCAGCACCCGCTGGCTCCTTCTCCGCCACCACCTCACTCTCAGCAACGACACTACTACCACCACTACTACTCCCTTCAACCGACAACCTCGCACTCCTTCGCCTCCTCCTCATTGCACCCGTAGGCGAACTACTTCCTTTTTGCGCCCCACCACCACCACGACCACCAACACCACCAGTAGCAGCAGAACCCGAAGCCGACTCGGCGCTCATCCTCGCCCGCTGCGCCCGCCTCAACTCCCCGCTCCGCCTCGTCGCCACCCGCCTCTCGATTGGCGACGAATTCCCCATCCCCAGGTGGCTATGTTCCATGTCCATGCTGCTCTCGCCATCCAAGTCCTCCAGCACCTTCTGCAACAGCGCACTCGACTCGACGACGGGCGTGCCGGCGCCGATGCGCGACAGCGGCCGGCGGCGGCCGGACCCGGGTGCGTCGGCGGGGGACTCGGTGACTTCCATTTCTTCCGGGTATGTTGGCTGTTGTGCGGTTTGTGTCCTCGTACTCGGCGGTGAGGAGGAGGGGTCGAAGGCGAGGCGTTTTGTGGCCGAGATTATGCTGGATAAGGGCCCTCGTTGTTGTTGTTTCGGTTGACCGGATCGCAGTTGGCGTGTGGAGGGCGGAACGGACGAGATGGGAGGGGCGTCGGTCATGGGTTGGTCTTCGTCTTCTTCCGCTGCCACATCTTGCGCATGGTCTTCGTCTTCTGGGGCGGCGGGTGTCGGCGCATGGACGGTTGACCCCGCCTGTGTGCTGTCGTCGCGGAGGCTATAGATGTCGGAGGCTGCGGCTGACGGTGCTGCTGGCGGTGGTGGTGGCAAAAGATTCGACCCGAACGCATCACGGTTCAGGTATTTCCGTTTCGCGGATGTGTTCGGGGTCGGTCGGGTGGCCGTGGTTGTGGTTGTGGTTGTGGTCGGGACTGGACTCCGGGGCGACTCGTCAACAACTGGCGCCTCCTCTAGTAGGTCGTCTGCAGCCTCTTCTGCCACGGGGATGATGAACCCAAAGTCGACGTCTCCGACATTGTGTCTCCTGAGTACTGAGTCAGCTTTTGCGAGCAATTCAACGAGGCAGCCCACTTACCCTGCCCCGCGCATGCGCTCCCGCATGCGCTCCTGTCCTGTGCCATGTTAGTTCGGTCAATTGAGGGGAGGTTGACACCCATACGTACTTGTCGCCATTGCTCTGAGTGTCTAAGGTACCGTATCGCAATAATACTGCCTTTCTACCCATACAACCATTGCAGACCGATCTCCATATAGGTACGCTCAGGATTGCTGGTGTTGGCGAGTGACGCGCTCTGCAACGGCAACACGCGACGTAACAGGGGTTGGGGGCTATTAGTGGAGCTTGCCAAGAACTGTTCGGGCGTTGATTAACCGCCCGTGGAACTTGTGCGGCAACGTGCCCGATATTCCAATCGTTTATTTACTTCGGTACTTAATTGTGAGGCATGACCCCTGATGTAGAAGAAGATGGTTGCTGCACCACTAAGCTGGATACACGGTAAGGCTAACGTTCTCTGCAGAATACCTACCAATTAACAAGTACAAAAGTCATGAGCGCCGCCAACGCAGCTGAGGTGGAGAGTCGGGCCCTTAAAAGGCATGCCCAACCTTCATGATTCGTCGCCCTGGCCATGCTGGCCAGATCCACCATCAAGGTGAGATAGTCCTGCCTGGAGCCACGTAGTCCAGCAAGGGAGATGTTATCTTGAGGGGTTGCTTCATGTTTGACCGCTTGCAGTAATGCGGGGAGCAATGTAAGTAACTTGAAGTATGAGGTGCTTTGGAAGGTTCACATGTCATCACATGTAGTAGGTATAAGAGTGTGACTCACAGGCAACAAGCCGCGGATTGAGGAACGCTTACGCACCGACGACCTTGATGATTGTCTAACTAAGAGTTTACCTTACTGATCTGCTCTGCGCAGTCACGAAGCCAGGAGGCAAAATGGCCCTCGGACAGGTCGAGTTCACCGTCCTTCTTACTGTCGTTTCTGGCTTCCTCATCTTCACCCCAGAACGACTGGTACTCCTCCGAAGCCTCTGCCTCTGGGCCGTCTCCGTCTTAGCCGCCTGGCATGGGTACGCCTTCTGGAAAGCAAGCCCATGGGCGCACAGAGTCACTAGTGCCTTCACCACGGGTCGCGGCCTGGAAGACATTGCAGACCTGGCATGGAATGAAGCCGTCGGCACCTTCGTCGATCAAGCAAAGCAAAACCTGCCCTTGATCCCGCGGAAGTGCGTCGAGTTTGTCTTCGCCGCCTTCGGCTGGACAAACGGTCAGTTTCTCTCCTAGAGTGCTTCGCGCCCATCCGCTCTGACTCCTCCCGGTTCTAGTTGCACGTCCTCGAGTGTCTGAAGCTCGTCTCCGCGCTCGCCATCCGGTTCCGCCTGCACGGATCCCTCCAAGATACCTCGCCATCCTTGTCACGACGCCGCCCATCCACACCTATGGACCCGTTAGTGAGAAACTGTACACTACGGCCGATGAGCCCAAACCGATCCCGTGGACGTCGACAGATGCGGAGACCGTCCCTTCGATGATGACGTCTCTGGCGTTTAGGCGACACTTTGCGCTTTGCCTCGTCGACGAAAAAGTCTGGAGGTCCAGAAAAACGACCGTCGCAGAGAAGTTGTCGGGCCAGTTGTTCTGGGATTATTGTGGCGACAGCGAGACGAACCTCGGCGCCGGGCCATCTTCCTGGCCCCCGTCTCGCATCGCGCAAATAAATGCTCTACAAGTCCTAGGAGTGGTCCCCGGGAAGGGTGATGCCACCTCGACTTGCACGTCCTGTAAGCCTATCACTACACTAGTACTCCTTCCACCCCACGACCGCGAATGCCAAACCGGCGTGAGAGTCACTCCAATCTCGAGTCCCGCCGTGGCTGACTGTGTGACAGTGTACAACAGGCTGAGAGACCTCTGGGGTGAGTACCTGAACATCTGGTGGAACGACGCCGACTTTGCGCTGGTCCTCGCCTATCTCCTGGTCGACTATGCGGCTGCTCCCTTGTGCTGTGCGATAATGCGGCGCATGCAGGACCTGCGGGACACCGAGGTCACCAAGGCCCGGGGCGAAGCATGGCGTCGCAATGCTACGGCCGGTGCCGGCATGTTTGTCGGCAGCTGGGTGTTGACCGTTGCGACCGGGGGCCTCGCCTTGCCGTTGACCGGGCCAGCCATGGCCGGCTCGTTTCTGTCGGCTGTTGGCTCTGCTGTCACCGAAGATGCCTTGAAATCAGCCGAGCTGACGCGCGGGAACCAAAGGCGGGAGGCATGCGAAAGGCTTCAGAAGCACTTCCCGCGCCTACAGGAGCTGCTCGCTTGCAGAAGAGAACCCCCATCTAAGGAGGCTTTCCTGTAACAATCGAGAGTGGATGCAGACGGGTCCTATAGCCATAAACTTTGCTTCGACTATAACGCCAGATTCCAGTAGATGTACTCTCTGGTATCTAGGTCGTCATCTTCTTGCATCGTTCTCGATTGCGTGGTTGGCATCCGACCCTGCCCGTTCCCGTTTAGAGCGTCGAGTCTTCCTTCAGTAACCATTGCATTCCGTGCATTCTGTCCCGAACCACTCGCCGACTGTATGAAGATGTGGTTAGCTGACTGGAGTGGGAGAGGCAGCACTTAGAGCAGACTCTCACCCGTCCTGCTCGGGGTTGGCCAACGCCTCCTTCCCGTATTCTGCAACAAGCAGCTCTTTGTACCGGTACGGTATCTTGGCTGGCACACCCCCGAACGTTGTCTTTCGCAACGGGAAGAGGTATGTGTCCTTGAATCCAGGTTTCAGCTCTACCTAGCTCCGGCGTGAAAAAGGAACTTGACGAATAGGGGTACCATACCTTGATCTCGCTGCCATCCTTGCAACTCAACATTCCCTCACCTCCCGGATGAGCCAGGTTGTACCGCACCGCATACACGTTCATGAAGAGGCCCGACGAGGTGTCGATCCACCGCGCATCAGCAGCACTCGATCCACCGCTCTGTTCGCGGTCCCTAGCATGCGGGCTAAGTTCCAGCAGGTATCTGCGTTCCCTCGGTATGTCGGCGCCCTTGAAGTGGAACGTGGACATGTTGTAGTACGCAGCGAGGAAGAAGATGCCGGGTTCTGACACTTGGGCGCTGACGTCCAGCGCCCAGGGCAATACCTGGACGGATATCAGCTCTCAGTCATACTTGGCACATCTGACGACGAGACCTACCCTTTTGCCCCACCACCACCCAAGAAGGGTGTCATGAACCAGCCATGTTTCGATGCCTAGGTCATTGAGGGTGACGAGGTATGTCTGAACGAGCTTCTTCAGTGCTGTCGTTCGTTCGCCGTGCGGTATCTGCCTTCTATAGAATCTAGGCGCCGTCTTAGCTAGTCCCCGATGGCTGAGACACGAAGCTCATGTATTTACCTCAAGTCGTCTATATATTCCAGGTCAGCAGACATACCCTAGGCTTGAAGCTGAATCACTTACAGGCGTATTCCGGGTGTAGACTGTTGGAAGTGTCTTTCAATTGTCCCGCTGGGTGTCTCCCTGATGACGAGTCTTCCCCGGCTGCGTCCTGAAGAGGAAGAGCCTCGCATATCGACAACAGTACCAGACTCAAGAGCAAGGGGCCCAGAAGCATCTCGAGAAAAGTTGAGGAAACAAAGTACCTAATGATGCACGCTTCGCTTTCGGGAGGCTGCTTACCGTATGGTAACTCGGAGCTCGACTGTCTCACCACGGCAGTTCAGGAGACGCTCAATGCAAGGCCATGAGCATATCACTATTGCAGAAGATAGGGGACACTGGGACGAGATGGTCTTGTCAGAACAGGACATGTGACGGAGTTTCGCTTCCATCCGATCTTTCTCAGGCGCGGTATTGGTAATGGATCGCCCCCACAACCCGGACAACGGCAAGCGCCGGTACGCCTCCCGCACAATTTATTCCAGGAGCAAAGGTTTATGTCGGGCAACTCACGACAGTCCGAGTCCGGTACCTTAGTTCATCATCCCACTCCTGGCGATCTAACGGCCATGACATCGCCATCCTTTGAATGGCTTCTATCAACTGCTATGACTTTGGGACAACAACATTGCAAGGCAAAGATGTGGTACTGTCTTCATGTTACACAGTCGTTTGCAGCACGGGTGACGGAAGAGATCGAGGGGGGAGGCCGCGTCATCGCCGATCCACTTTCCACAACCGCTCATGTCCGATGCACTGCGGGGATTCTCACTTGAAAATGGAAACCTTCCGCGACGTCCTTCCGTATGGGTAATCATAGATATGCCGCTTCGCAGGATTTTCTCATTGCCCAAACCTTACCCATGGAACATATCTTAGGGATAGCGATGCAGCATTGCGGCCCCGGATCGGAAGACGGGACCCGCTGGGGATCGGGCTTGGCCCGGCTGGCGGGCCATATTCACTGCCTAATCTAGAAGGCGACTCCGGAAGCCAGGCCGGAGAGCCGGATCAACGGACGGGCCGCACTCATCGCCAGGCTGGCTGCCGACATTAACCAATGGGACTTGTAAGCACAAAATAGGGAGTGTTAAGCGGATTGTAGATACGGAGCCTCTGATTGCGAGATATCTTCATAGCAGACAGAAACATGATATCTGTACTGTAACAACGACGAGACAAAGTTCCAAACCCTTGTCGCAATTCTTTTGCGCCAACCCTAACCTTTGGACGTCTCGAGCTGCCAGCTGCTATGGCAGCTGACACCTACTGCAACATCCGACCTAGGCCGCGTCAGGCCGCCCAGGCCGTTTGGGTTCCCGCGCCAAGGAGGTTGCTGCACCCTGCCACCAGTCATCAGTTCACCCATCCATGGCCACAACATCGACGCGAAACCACGAGTAACGTTGTCTCACCATTCGATTGCGAGGCAAACCACCAGCACGCGCTCTTTGGCCTTTCCACGTCTGAAGACAATTGTCCACGGGCCGAGCATTGCCTGGTCTTCGGCTCCACTGATTTGGTCTCAGCCAGGCTCCAGCTGTCCCTGCGGTACCGGGAGTGATGCAATCATAACTCCCCGCCGATAGCTTTCATTCTGCTCCCGACGAGACACCGTCGCCATCAGCTCCCGGACACCCAGAATAGCTTCAGCACGAGAGTCCTCTTCGATACGAAATGGCTTGGACAGTGAGTCGTGATGGATGTCCTTTTCTTGCCAACGGGCACGGCGACTAACAGCACGGGCAGGTCTTCAGGATAGCGGCGGACTTGTCGCATATCACGGCGAAATGCATCCTCATATTCTCCATTCATAAGAACAGGAGCGCTGAAGGTTGGTCTACCCAAATACTCCCCTCCATCGACGCTGGCGGCCAAACGTGGATGCTAACGTCTCATCCTTTCCTGCAGGTGTCTCGCTCCTGACCCAGCTGTTCTACGCCCTCGTGTTCGTGGCTCGCTACACAGACCTGTTCAGCGAGTCCTACGCATGGAACTACTTCTTCAAGGTCTTCTATCTACTCTCATCTTTCTATACCATTGCCATTATGCGCTTCATCTACCCGCGCACGCGTGAGCGCGAGGTGGCCTGGAAGCTGAGCGCCGTGATCCTGGCCGGGTGCTTGGTACTCTCCCCATTTGTCATGCTCATCTTTGAAAACAAGGCATACTGGAGTTTTCAAGAGGTACAGTTGCCCCATGCCTTCTCCCCTTACCCTCCGGCTCTCTCTAACGCCGTCTTCCACACACTCAGTTCCTCTGGGTCTTCTCCCAAGTCCTCGAATCCGTCTGCGTCCTCCCGCAGCTCCTCCTGCTCCGCCAGACCACCGTCCCGACCGTCATCACGTCCTTCTATATCGTCTTCCTCGGCTCGTACCGCGGCCTCTACCTGCTCAATTGGCTGTTTAAGGAGCTCGACACGAACATGAAGAAGCCGAACCCGATCTCGGTCATATTCGGCATCATCCAGACGGCGCTCTACGTCGACTTTGCCTGGGTGTACTGGTCGCGCCAGCGCGTGAAGCTGCGCAACGGCGGCATCGTCGACGCCGACGATCTGTCGCGCGGCTGGCTGCTGCGGCGCATCTTCGGGAGCAAGCAGTTTGCGCGCGACATCGACGGCGACGCTACGGACGACGAAGAGAGCGCGCCCGCTCTGGGCGCCAGCAGCAACACCAACAACCAACGAGGCGGCGTGCCGCGGCCTAAATGGGGATCGCGCGGCATCTCGATTAGCGCCGACGAGGGTGTGCTGGAGCAAGACCAGGAGCACGAGCAGGGCGTGACGGATGCGTCGACCGTGGACCCAGACGCCAAGATGCGCGATCCGGATGAGCTGGCGCGGGCGCTGGACGAGGAGGAGGATGACGATCTGGGTGCGCTGCAGTCATCATCCTCGTCCTCGTCTGCGCAGCAGAGCAAGCAGGCGCATACCGACTCTAAGGGACAGCCGAGCGGGGTGCCCAGCGGGGTGCGGAGTGGGGAGGAGTGGGATGATGATTGAGTCCCTCTTCGTTGCGATTGAGCCAACAAGATCTCGAGATGAGCCAGAGGATCAACCAAACAGCTGCATTGGTGGGCTGCGCAACTGTTTATATTGCCATATCACCCAAAGTAATCTTCCTCAAGCAGCAGCAATCGGATGGCCGATGGATGGTTGGATGGAGGCAAGGCTCTACTCCGATATTTCAAGTGTGTTGAAAAGAGAACAGTGGATAGGGTGCTGTATGTTAGTAGTCTGGTCTGGTCGTTTTGGATTTCTGGTCACTGGGTTATTTGTTTATTCGGTAAAAGGCTTCTACTTTCGGGTACACTGGCATTCCGGTGCCCGGCATGTCTTGGGTGTTGGGGAGTCTGGTACGGAGACTTTGTTCGGAATGGGGATTCAAGCTGGGGTTGGTCCATCTCTTAGTTGTCCAGAGGGACGACAGCTGGTGGTGTATAATGCGAGAAAAACGAACCAAGCTACCTACCCAGTGGTGGTAGGTGTTCTGTCCCAAGGGGAGTAGTTACCCAGGAGTCCTTAACGAATCGATTGAGGAAGGATATCACCACTCAAGTAAGGCTCAGCCATCAGAGACATGGATAGCGTAGTGTTATAGGTTTACCTGAAGTGTGTGATACTCATTCAGGTTTCGCGACCCACGAAATGGAGGTGAAGGAAGCTACCTACATTACATAAGAGGATCATTAGCGAATATTTAGGGTGGTAGGTAGCCTACTCAGTCCAGTGTGCGGTGTCCGATAGTGTCCTAACGCACCACATAATCCTGCTGTAGCCATTGACCCTCCAAAGCATATAAGCATCTCACATTATTCGGCGCTTCGCTAACAATCATCTCGAAATCACATGCCCAGCACTCACTCAATCATCGTCCCTCAACCGTGAAACATTCGGCCCGGCCCTTGCCAAACTCGCCCTCAACATGGCCAGCGTCCCCTTTCTCTTCGCCTCCCGTGCCCTGAGACCCCTCTTCTCCTCGTCACTGTACATACTCGGCTTCTTCCTGGGCGACGGCGTGCCCGTGCTGCGGCCAGCATACGAGGCGACCGAGCTCGCCAGCACCGAATCCTTCATCCCGCGCTCGGGGGACATGATGACCGACCGCCTGTGCTGGGGCGTGACAAACGGCGAGCCCTCGCGGCTGCGCGGTCCGGGTGTGCCATTGCTGCCGCCGCCGGGCCCTACAGAGCCCAGACGCAGCCTACGCATCTGGTTCTCGAGCACATCGACGTCGCCGCTGCGCTTCTCGGCCATGCTTGTCATCTTGTTGATTGTACGGAGGATGGCCTCAACGGTCGGGACGGGCGCCTTGCCGGATGCGCCTCCCGCCGACGCAAGCTTGGTCTTGAGCATCGTCAGGGCCTCCTCGGTTTCAGCGAGGAGTTTGGTGAAGTTGGCGTACGACCTGCGCAGTTCGTTCTGCTGTGTGGCTTGTTCGGCGCTAAGGGGTAGGGATTTGGCGACGGCAACTTGGTCCGGGTCAACGTATGAGCGGATGATCTTACGGATATCTTCTTCCCTTGCGCGGAGTTTGGCGAGGTCCTTCGCTAGGCTCTGTATGGCATACTCAGCGCCCTCGACGTCTTTGATGCGGCTCTTCTCGAGAGGCCGTGCCAATTCCTTATCAATTACGGCACCGAGATCTTGTGCCTCCACCAGCACCCAGTCATCTGCGTTCTCGAGATCTTGCTTGTGTCTGCCGCCCTCTTTACGCTCCGTCGTATGTCCCAGAATGAATGACTGCAGGGATCGCGAATTGAGGCCCAGTCTGTCGATCATGCGGTTGATGTCTCTCCAGAGCGTCTCGCAGGCCGTGGGCACTTCTTGACCCGACCTCTGCAGCATCTCCAGCTTCGAATCGACAGTCAAAAATGCATCCAGTAGCAGGGTCGGCTCGAGCTCTGAGTGCAGCATTCGCTTGATCCCTTCGTCCTCTGGGTCGACAAGCACGTGTTCTTCCGCCTGCGCTTTCTGTGCGAGCTTCCGCTGCGCTTGCACGTTCGGATCGATGGATGGCCGTTGTCCGGTGCTGTATCCTAGAGCGGACTGTGGAGGCGCAGCCTTTCTGCCCAGCGGTTGGGGTGCCGCCCCTGGCGCGCTAAAGGACCGAGCTGGTTCGCTAGGCCTGAGAAGGCTGCTTCGTGGAGGCCCGCGTACCGGACTGGGCGAACGAGGGCTTTGCGGTAGGGGTACCGACTTTGGAAATAAGGGCGGCGCGTTTCTGGAGATTTCACTAAACAATGGCCTCGGTGGTTCTGCTTCGCTGCGGGAGATGGTTGAGAACGTGCTCCCCGCCATCCCGCCAAATGAGCTCTGCGGCGTTGCTCCAGGAGTCTGACCGCCGAATCCGGTCGTCGGGCTGAGGTCCTTGGCAACATCAACGCCGCTGCCTTCACTAGCCGCCTCCGACCCGTACTCGCCTTCCTCTCCCTCCTCTCCCTCCTCTCCCTCGCCTTCCTCGCCTTCCTCGCCTTCCTCGCCTTCCTCTCCCTCTCCCTCTCCCTCGCTTTCCTCTCCCTCATTCTCTTCCCCTGAGGCTTCTTCTTCAGATAAGTCTTCTTCAGCACTATCAGGCACAGCAGGGACTTGGTCAGCAACCGGGGGCTTAGATTCCCCTGCTTCGGCCTTAGACTTGGTAGAGACGAAATCAGGAGGCAAGGGCGCAGATTCGGGCGCATCTTCCTTTGTGGAAGGTTTGCCGAGGAAGTCTGGCGGTAGCGGAGCATCTTCAGCTTTTGCGGACGGCTTGGAGACTATAGTTGGTGAGTACTCCGATCCTGAAGACGAGGAACTCGGAAAGAAGTCCGCCTTACTAGTTGTATCAGGCGGGAGAGGCGCCTCGGGGATCTTTGATAGATCTGCCGTGTCCTCGCTTTCCTGCTTGATCTTCGGCGTGCCAAAGATCGAAGGTGCCGGCTTGGACTTGAACAGGTCGGCAGAGGCAGGCTTCGGAGCCCCAAAGACGTTAGAGACGCCTCCAGACCCAGCGGGCCTGGAGCCGAAGAGACTGGTCCCAGAAGTAGCTGCGCTCTTAAAGTCAAACTTCTGCGGAGCGGGTGTGGTGGTTGGAGTTGTTGACACCGGGCTGAAAATTGACTTCGGCTTCTCTTCTACCGCTGGCGGAGTGGTGCTCTCCATATCCTCCTCTTTCGATACAGGGGCAGTTGGTTGCTTCGATGCGCTGTCTAGCATATCCCCAAACGCGCTTCCGAACATGGGTTTGCCTGCCCCTTCTTTCGGCTTCTCATTGTCGTTTGCCGTGGTTGGATCCGCCTTGAACGTCGTTCCGAGAACGAAAGGCGAAGTGCCAAGCGAAGGCTTGTCAGTTTTGGCACTTGGAGGGGGGAAGGCTGTATCTGTGTCCATGGAGACCTCCGGTGCGCTCGATGTCAAGGCACCGCCAGGCTTAGATCCGAAGATGCTCGACCCACCAGAAGCACCGCCCAGAGAGGCGAAGCCTCCTTTGTTAGCAAAGTTCGCAAATCCAGCAGTGGCGGGTGCTGCAGTGCCGCTACCGAAGACCTTCCCCGTGTTCAGCCCAGAGTTAGAGAACCCAGATTGGCCAAACGCTGGTGCGGCACCACTAGTCGAACCCGACGCCCAGGGAGAGACCTTCTGTCCCAAGGCCAATGTTTGGCCAAATGCCGGAGCTGCTGGCTTGTTTCCAAAGCTAGGTGTGCCGAAAGTAGGTCCAGCCGGGGTAGCCGCCGTTGGTTTGGCGCCAAAGGGACTAGAACCAAAAGCCGGGGTTGTAGACGTACCTGCGGCCGTCGACCAGGGGGATGCCTTGGCTCCGAGAGCAGAAGGCCCCCAAAAGCTGGCGTAGGAGCGGACGGGGATCCAAATGTCGGAGTCTTGTTAGTAGGAGCGAACGGGGATCCAGATGCCGGAGTCTTGTTAGCGAAAGATCCGAAAGCCGAAGGAGTGGAGGTGGCTGGAGCGGAAGTTGCAAAGGCCGCAGGAGTGGCGTCTCCGGCAGCAATGCCGGGGTACGTCGTGCCTGATCGGATTGACTCGTTGTAAACAATCCACCATGATGCCAGGACACCTTCGTTATTGAGTAGCCACAAGCCGGGCAAGGGGCCGGGGGACATGTCGATCTCGTCAGCCGGAATCGGTTTATACACTTTATCCTTGGCGGACAAGTCAAGTGCGGCCCCAACTGGGTAAGTCTCGTTGTAGTCTTCACCCATCGGCAGTTGCGCTCGCTTGGAATCGTCGGCCAACTCGGTCGTTGTGAAGACGTTTGTGATGGCTTCGGCTGGCTTGTCAGACGCCAAAGGGGCCTTGGACCGAGAGAGCAGGCCAACACCCTCCGTAGCCGTCGATGAGACTAGAAGGAGATCCTGTAGGTTTGGGGGGAAGTCCTTGAGCCTCAGGATGGTATGGTGAGGGACCTTGTCGAATGTAAATGGCATGACTGGATCGGTGAGCTTCTGAAAGGTGAAACTGGGCGGACCACCAGCCGGCTGTTGTCGAGTGATCAAGTGGAAAACGGCCGGGTCCTGACTGTTCGTAGGATTGTGAACTACGAGGAATACGTGGTTCTCGAGCCATGCGACCGAAGAAACTGCGAGAGTCAGCACACAGGAGCAGGGCTCTCGGAGTGATCAAGATGGATCTTACCGTGGTAGTCGCCTAGGCTTGGCGGTTTTGGAATATGGCCCTTCTCTGCACCGTCTGGCGTCATCTGATATATCGACCCGTCTGCCATACCTGCGACTAGCTGCTTGCCTTTGGTGCTCCATCCTGCACAACTGACCTGTGAGCGCAGGGTTGGCCCATTGGAACCCGACATCAACTTCCTTTCGGCCAGGTTCGCCATGAAGAGGTTGCCGTTGTTCGTGACGATTGCACAGAGCCCAGCCGACTCGGGCATAGGATTCGGAACGAGGGCTCGCAGCGTTTCGCCATTTGTGCTGAGTTCGAAAGCAGACTGCGTTCCTCCCTGCACGAGCGTTTGGACATCGTATACTGCAAGACCACCACCTTCCTCCGCCGAAAGAATGAGGTACTGTTCGTCCGCGGTGAAGGCGAGCTGCGAGATCCGAAATGGAAGCGGCACCTTTGCCTGAGGAGCGAATGGCCGCACGTCGCTTTCGCCACTCTTCTCACCCTCGAACGCTTTCCGTACAGACTCTGTCGTAGCGATGTAAACGGCATCGGGTCCAGCAGCGGCGACCAAGCCTTTGCGAGAGGCAATACTGAGGAGCGATGCTGTAGGCGCAGGAGGCGGTGACCATTTAGAGGTGAGCTGGACTTTGGCGTCGCCAGCAAGGGAGAGAAATCCAAGCCCCTGTAAGTCACGCTGTCAGCGGCATTCTTCTCAAGCCACATGTCAAGGGGAAGGGGCATCAGACCTCTGTTTGGATGACCTCAAGGTCCTTGCCCTGCGTCACTTCCCCCGTGCCACCGCCGGCAGCGCCGGTCATGGCATTGGTAACGCTTCCAAAGTTGAAAGCCATGGCTCTCGTGGGTGTCGCCTCCTTTGGAGACGGCCTTGACTTTCGCGAATTGGTTCAATTCATTTGCGGGTGGTATGGCGAATGTTAATACAGGGTTTCAGCGGCCGCCGCGGATCGAGTTGCAAGCTGATAACTCTTGCGTAACAGCTGAACAAATCGGTTGTGTTGTCAGGTCAACGATGTGTCGTCGTGATACTCGACTTTGTTCACGAGATTCAGATTCTCAATAGTTAGTCAAGCAAGCAAGACAGGCACATTAGTTTCATAGGCTGTTTGGAGGAATTCGAGATTCCTGTAGTTGATAAGGGAGCTTCAATGCAGACGCGACCACGATTTTTCTGCCTGCCAGGGTGCTTGACAGTCAACCCATCCACAGCCGTCACCCGTGGCACCCCTGCAGCTTGATTTACTGCCGCTTTGGGCTAGCTACGATCACGTGCATCGGAGCTTGGGCGCGCTCTCCAGCCCCCACCACTTTGAGTTTGGTCCTGGACTCCTGTGGGCAAGGTTCTGCTGTGGAGTCAGGCAGCATCCCCTTGGCGCGTCAACGGGAGCTCAACCGCCTTGTGCGACGCCTGTCGTTCAAGTGGAAGGCAGCTTTGGCCCCGTCATCAGCTCCCGCCAACAACCATCGACAACGACGAAACAACCACGACGCCCAACCCCGAGGTGCCCTTCTCACGAAACAACACACAACACGGGCGATTGAGTCTCGAATCCTGACGAATAATCGGCTCTCTGGTTTAAGAACAGCGCCCTTGCCAGAATGCCCGGTTTCGACTTCTCGAATTACAACCGCAATGCGGCGTTGCATGCTCGGGGTGTGCCGCTGCCCAAGGCGACCAGCACAGGAACGACCATTGTCGGGTGCATATATGACGGCGGTGTGGTGGTGAGTTGACAATGGTCACCGGATGCGGGGTACCGACCCAATCTAACCCGACCGCCTTGCCTTGCCTGGGTTTGTAGATCGCCGCCGATACACGAGCAACCTCAGGGCCAATCGTCGCCGACAAGAACTGCGAAAAGCTGCACTACATCTCGCCCAACATCTGGTGCGCCGGCGCCGGCACAGCCGCCGATACCGAGTTCACAACCGCGCTGATCAGCTCGCAACTCGAACTCCACTCCCTCTCGACTGGCCGCAAGCCGCGCGTAGTCACCTGCATGACGATGCTGAAGCAGCACCTGTTCCGCTACCAAGGCCACATTGGCGCGTACCTGGTCGTCGCAGGTGTCGATCCAACCGGCACCCACCTGTTCACCGTCCACGCACACGGCTCGACCGACAAGCTGCCCTACGTGACGATGGGGTCTGGTTCGCTGGCGGCCATGTCGGTGTTCGAGACGCAGTGGAAGCCCTCGCTGACTCAAGATGAGGCGGTGAAGCTGTGTGCTGACGCGATCGAGGCGGGCATTTGGAACGACCTGGGGTCGGGTAGCAACGTGGACGTGGCCATCATCACGGCCGACAAGACAACGCTCAAGCGAAACTACATCAGGCCGAACGAGCGCACGCAGAAGCTCAAGAGTTATACCTTTGAGAAGGGCACTACGGCCGTGCTCAACGAGAAGATCATCCGGAAGGAGGACATTAGCAAGTTAGTTAGCGTGCATGAGTTGACGACAGAGGAGAGCGGCGATAAGATGGAGGTCGACATCTGAGCCGTTGGGCCGGGAGCTAGATATGTTCATGTACAAATAACGGGATCATGAAAGCAGTGGGTGACCACTCGGTAACCCAGAAATGAATTGCCATCGTCGCACTGTTTTGCTGCACCGGATGCTTGCATGTAGAGCTAGAACCTCTTCTTCTAGCCTTTTTTCTCTACTTTGAATCCTTAGTATTTGAGAAGCCTAGCTGGTTGCTGGTTCTCTAACCCAAGATCTATGAACAACCTTGATGCCCTTAAATACAAGAATGGTAAACCCAGCCCATGCTGGGCAACATACATTGATAAACGCCAATTATCTACAGAGAAGTTATGTTCAAGAAAGGTTACATCGATCCTCGAAAGTGTCAGCTCTGTACAACAGAGGAATCCGAATCCACCTAGCTGGCCCCGATATCTGTAGAAGAGAATTAGATGCGCGAGTAGAGGATCTAAAACTGACCCTTACCCGGCGTAATATGCGCTGGCGAAGTGAAACTGAACAAGGAAAGTCATCGCAAGCTTGCACCCTGGCATGTGCGTGAGGCAAGAAATGCTGCTCAGAGGCCAAATTCGCGATGCCGACAGAGAAGCGTCCAGAGAAGAAAGCAATAGGCCTCAAACAGGCGTCCAATAGACCGGCGGTGATATTTGAAATCCCAGACGATCATAAACGCCTTACTTTGCCACAAACCGACTCCAAGAAACTCCGCGAAACCCAAGGGGTATGTCAATATCATGCCAATGCATTGTCGTAATCGTCAAGGCGTTGAGGCGCAAAAAGCGCGAGAGTGGTTGGCTCCGTTGTTCAGTCCTTTTTCCGGCTGAAGATGCTCTTTCTCGACCTCGACTTGGACCGCGACTGCTTGTCGCCGTCCTTGTCGTCGTCGTACTTGGCCTTGTGGATCCTGGTGATTGTCAGTTATTGTGCTGGACCGCAAGGATACAGGGTCTGGGCCGGAACATACCAACTGTTGCCGACCATGCTCATGCCCTTGGCTTCTGCCTCGCGGTAGAACTTGGCCGCCTTTTTAAGATCCTTCTTGCAACCGATGCCTTGGGCGTAGCAAAACCCGGCCTCGGCAAGTGCATCAACGTCACCCCAGGCTAAGCACACGTTAGAACTTAGAACATGATCGAGCGCGGCGCGGTGGCTGTTCAACTTACAAGCTGCGATCTCAAAGCATCGCAATGCGAGAATCTTGTCCTGCTCAATGCCCCACCCGTTCATATGGCTCACGCCGAGTTCGTAGATGCTCAGTGCGAACTGCGCCTTGCGCGTCTTGCGCTCAACAATATCAGCAGCTTTCCCCTCCTTGCTTTGGCCTTCGTCATCCGCCATTTCCAGTTGAGCAGACTCGGCTGCTTTTCGAAGCCATTGAACCCCTTCGCGGGGGTTTGGACGCATGCCCCAGCCATGTCGGCACGCAAGGGCATAGAGGAGCATGCCCGTTGGATGACCCTGCTTTGCTGCGTGCCGTAGGTGCCAGGTGGACTCCTGGAGAGAACCGTTCTCGTGGAGGGCGATGGCCTTGTTCACATGCTCCTCCGCCGACAGGTCCGACATAGTCGGTACAACGGAGTGCATGGACTTGCCAGCTTTGATGGTACTGGCCGAGTCGCTCGTCGCAGCAGACCCAGGTGATTTCCCCGCTGCAGCGTCATGCAAATGTGAAACTAGGCTTCGTCCTCGGTGCTCTTCTTCCGATGCAGGAGCACTCTCCGTCGATGGTCTGCTGGGATTCGGAGAAGGATGCTGCGCGGGGCGGGTAGCTTCGGCATCCAGGTTGCTGCTCTCTTGTGATGGCCCAAGAGACGGCTCAGTCTGGCGGTTTGGTGACGAACTAGACGATCGAGTCGGTGGCGACGGCGGAGGCTGCCCTATCCCCGGAAGACTTTGGTTGGTGCTGGTTGGGGATAGAGGCTGGTCTAACGAGGGCCGAACTGGCGGGTCGTTGAGCATGATGATCGATGATCTATCCACGGCCTTGCCGCGAGGCAAAGAGAACTTGGAGTATATGTATGACGGAGCAGCCGAGGCACCTTCGTCGACGGCGGCCTCCCGGGAAGCTTCGCTGTTCGTACTGATGGGGGTGCAGGCAGGTTCGTCAGCTGGAAGGAAGGACCCCTGACTGTCGGACGAGAACTGTCGCGCTGGTGGGTCGAAGGTCGGAGTGCCTGCTCTGCTCAGCGGTCTGGAGAAGTTGAACTGCGGCCGAGGCAAGCCAGAAGCATCCGAGGCGACCGAGGGAGAGCGCTGATATGGTTGGTGGACGGGAGATAGGACACCGCTGCTGACAGAAAACTTGCGAGAGCTCTGGGAGTAGATCGAGGCACTCATAGTGCTGAGACATTCCTCATCGGTGGATTCGAGCGGCGACGACATTAGGCTCGAGGTTCGCTTCGTGAACATTGGTCGAGGAGGGACAAGGCCTGCAGCCTCGAAAGAGTTCTTGGCAAGCCTCTCAGGGGACCCGGTTATAGAGGAGCTAGTCATCGGTGATCGCTGGTGCAGGCCGTCCTGGGCCGTGGATCTGCCCTCTGCTTGTTTTCCGGGAGAATGGCCGGAGCCCATAGGCGACGGCGACCGCTCCCTCCGCGCCCCAACGCCAAAGAAGCCTCCTTGTGCACTCGTATCGTTTGACTCCCTTGCTCCGAAGGGGTTGGCTTTCGTCTTGGGTATCGCGGGCACTGGGATGGACTCGTCAGGTGTGGGCGGGATATGGCTCAAGCGCGGGTGCATGGACTTTGGCCGGTTTTCGAGATCAACCTCGGTCTTCAAGCCAAGGCCCACGTTGTGAGGTACCGCATGATCGTCTTCTGAGCCGGAGTCCTGGGACAGGGAGCGGAAGTATTCTGATCTGCCCTGAACAATTAAGGGGCTCTCGACCGTCAACGGAGGCAGCCGGCTCATCCGCCGGCCTTGCTTCGCGCTATCTTCAAGCTGCTTGGCAAGCAGTCGGCTCTGCAATGCAAATGCATCGAGGGGCGAGAGTTCGGGCGGCGCTTCCCCAGCCACATGGAGACGGGGTGATCTTAGAGGCCGTGAAACGGAAGCTTGCGATTTTGACCTAAGGTCAAGATTATCCGGTCGTTGCTGCGACATAGCGAGGTTTGTGGCGTAGGATGAGTATACGATGTCTGGGGGCCGGACGAAGCGATGGTGGTTGACCAGGGTATTCTATGATGCGGCGCAGCAGGGGCGCTTCGCACCGTGGAATCTCGCGCCGGCGGTAAGACACCAGAACAGTCGCGGCCGCAACAGCGTCAGTGGGAGTCGAAGGTAAAGTGGCCGTATCGCGCGTAAAGGTAACGTCAACTCGGGCCACGACCGCTTTAGTCGCGTGCGATCCCAACCATCCGGATCAACCAGGCGGCGCGCGAATGTTGGTTCTGCGAGGGCGTCGATCGGGACGGTAGACTAGTGAAAGGGTAGCGAGAGACGTCTGCGGCTGTATCCCCTTAGGGCGGCCCAATATCCTGATCCGTTTCGAACTTCTAGTCGTCGGCGAAGCCACTCGGTTTCTAGGTCAAAAGCCGGCTCTGTGGCTGGCGGAAGCAGCGTACAGAGACACCAATAATTGCGTAGGCGATCGACGTTGAACAATGGGCGGCTTTCAGCCACTGGCACGTCGAAGACGCGGTGCACAATGAGTGGATGGGAGGATCGAGTGTCGACAAGGACATAAACGAAAGTGGTGTTGAAGTGCGGAAGAACACTAGAAAGAGTCTGGAAGAGGGTCACAACGATGGGCCGAGGAAGGGGGAGAACAGGGGAACAACCCGCGAATGGGGAAGTGGATAAGGATGGCTGACAACGGCCCTGACCGTTGCACCAATGCCTGGAAGTGGAAGAGTTCGCGCAGACGAAGTTCCAAAAATGCAGGCCGCTAGTGCAAAACAAGCTAGCGATTTCACACCGTTCCTGGCGGTAACGGCCCAGCTTGTGACATTCCAGCCACACCTGCCCGAAAGATATGGGGTACAGGGCACTTCCAGGTTACGCTCTGCCCCTTTACAGAAATGTTTTCTTCCCGCCGGACCGGCCTGGCCAGCCTGCAGGTCGGCAACGAGGTCGGCAGCGCTTTTAAAAGCTCATCTTTGTCGGTCTGAATATTAAGTTATTCCGTACCGCAGACCTCGTTCACTCGCAGCAGTGGCTTACGAAGTGGCTACAAGCCCTACCCCTGGATACCGGCTCCTACTCTTGAAACCTCAGACGGGATCTCGAGTTTCGAATCTGCTCTGTCAACTGCACACTTATTATTCCCGGCTAATAAGCTTCGAGCAGAACGGACCTCGGACCCAGTCGCTCTTAAGTCTGCCATAACGATGACTAGAAGTGAAATTCGTGCGATTCATAGCACATGTTTCCAGCTGGTCTCGCAGTGTTCCACTCACATTTACATACTAGTTAGGTATTTATAATAACTAAGGTAATAATAATAAGCGTTGAAGGCCGACTATCCACCACGGTCCAGACCGACCAAGTCTGTCCCGTGGGCCTTGAACTTCTAGCGTCTCGCCGATCATCCGCTGTGGCCAAGCGGTCAAGACCGTTTTGACTCGTCGCGCGTTAGAATTATTCCGTACACAGTATGAGGGCGAAGGGCCATTTGTACTCTTTAGCGATTCGAAGCTGCAAGGGCCTGGCTTCAATATATAGAGCGACATAAAATATCAGGTATCGCCCAACCTCAATTGCCTGAACCGGAGGGTCGGGATCACTTGAAATGAAAGCCCCGCCAATGGGGAACAAGCGATTCACATATGCAAAGCATTTCTGTACGAACCTCAGCTCTGCAGCAATCCCGGTCCTGTGGAACAACATGAACACTTGAAATCCGTTGGCCATCTTCACTCACCGTGCAATACACAGGGACCCTGACCGGCAGTGGCTGGATATCAGAGCTTCTTACAGACACGTGCCGGGTTACCTGATCCCAGCAGGGTTCTCCACGATTGCCTAGCAAAGCTGACAACCAAAGGGTGCATAAAGCAAGTCATTTGGTGGCATCGATTTTCATCCGAACTACCAATATGCTTGCCAAGGAGATTGCCCCCTTTTTGGCAATGTACCCCGAACTGTTCTCAGTATGCCGCATACCCATCCCTAGGTGGGCTCGAGGTACCTAGGTCAACAACTCCAATACTAGGAAGGGCTTCCGTACCTCACCAAGCATGCCATACTAAAAACGCAGAGCGAAGGAAAGAACTCATTTTTGAAACTGCCTAGCCGTTAACTCCTATTCCATGCACATCTAGAATCCTGGTGTAGTAGCCAAAAGGCTCCGAAACCGACAATAGGAGCAAAAGCAAACAACATACACAAACACACCAAATGACCGATATATGGATACATCACCACGCTCATGTATACAGAGACAGTTGAAATTTCAAAGGTCCTTCGACCTCAGCTTCTTCAGGCGCGCCCCGCCCTCGAACAGGGCACGATCAACAGCCGCCGCGACTGTCAGGGTACCACCTACGATGGCGCATAGACCTGCCATGAAACCAAGGAAGGTCTTCGCCCGCTCTTCCCTATTGATAACTCTCATGGGTGAGATGTCCTATTGGTTGGTTTACACATTAGCACAGACTGTCGCGCACACCCCTTTTGATATCAGCAAACTCACGTAGGAGAAGAAAACGCCAGGAATGCCATTCTGGGCATGCAGCCGTTCCGGATGGCCCTCCGCAGCATCATCACCGCCGGAGAGGCTCCGCTTGTGGCTGGTGACCGAGTACTGGTGCGTCTCAACGCTGCCGTCGGCGGATATGCCGAAAGCACCGAGCTCGGCATGGTGCTCCTCGCGGAAGCCCGCCCACTTCTTCTCCCAGCCGAGCGGCAAGTACGATGTCGGCACAATCTTGACGAAGTACATGTAGTTGTAGTTGACGTCGTCCGTCTCCTGGTGGGTGCCATCGAGTGGGTTGATGTGATGGTTTGTCCAGGGTAAGTTCTTAGTGCCAAGCTTCTTGTTTAGGCTATCGGGCAGCTGCGGGCCGAAGCGCAGGTGGTGGATCGTGTGGGTGAAGGTATGCTTGGTGGGAGTGTCCCAGTAGTTCCTGAGGTCGTGCACATGCATGTTGCCGTTGCTGAAGCTGCGACCGGGCGCGATGTGGAAGTTCCCGACCACCTTGTTCACGCGCAGGCCGCCCTCGATGCGGCAGCCTTCGCGCCGCTGCTCGTCCAGCTTCTCGCCGTAGTGCTCGCGCTCGCACTGCTCGATGCCGTCGCCCCTGCCGAAGGCCCAGGCTTGTTGTGCGTATGCCTCCCTAACCTCGTCGCAGGTATTGCAGCACCCTGGCTTCTTCGCATTGCTCGGCGCCTGTGCACCGTAGCAAGGGCCGCAGTATGATGGATCGAGATGGGTGGCCGCCTCGTCCGCTGAATGCCTGTAGAGCGTGTTAGTTAGCTGCCTGTGGCGGTGCGCCGCCATGAGGATTAACCTACAGATCAAGAGCCTTCGTGTCTATGTCACCACCGCCTTCGCTCAGCGGGCGCAGCCTCGTCTTCGTGACACCGTGCTGGACGCCATGCTGCTGCTCTCCAGAGACATCCATGACGTCGAGGGTGAGCAGCTCGCAAGGGACTCGAGGAAAGGTTATGTTAAGGTGGATTTCCATCCGCTCGCCTAGTCGCAAACCCCCCGTGTCAGCGGCAGCGGTGCTATTGGCCAAGTCTGAGTGTCGCCGTACCTCTCGCCTTATCCACGATCAGCTCGGGATGCACGACTATCCTCCGGTAGTCTGCCCACTCGCCCCAAGCAAGCCATAGCACCACGATGAGTGATACGATGGTGACGATACCACCCGACGTTGTCCTAATGCGCGCATCTTCGACAGTCTTGGTGAAGGCATCTAGCCTGGTAAACCTCGACTTTGGAGGCATCCTGGAAGTTGAGCGCGGTGCGAGCGCCGGCCAGCTTTAGGATCGCTTTCAAGGTTGCACACCCGGGGGCCGGGTCTTGGAAACTTTAAAAATAAACTCTAGAGTGACCAGAAAACACGCGATCGAAATGAAGTCAGAAATCCGAAAGGAACGTCATCAATTGGGGATTTGGGCTAAAGAACGAGGCCGTCGACAACAAGCTTTCAATCCTCCCCACGATCTCATCGGCGCAGCTTCAACAGCATCACCGAACATGGTAGCTCAAAAGTTAAGGCCACCTTACAGTCCGCAGCCGCAGCTGTTAGTGCGTCAGCTCGTCTGTGATTGGTCGCCGGCCCAATCGGCTGCGAAACGTGCTGCAGGCGGGGCTCAGGCTGTGTCAGGGTCCGGGGCCGGGGAAGCCCGAGTCAGGGCAGGGACCAGCAACTCCACCACCGCTCCGGACCAGCAATGAGGCACTTCTTGGCGTTCAGCCTACCAAGGTAGCAGATCAGAAAGACGCGCAAGTCGAAGCTAAGCTAGCTTCGCATGATGTACCTAAAGGCCGAGAACGTATGGAAGGGAGTGGTGCCGTTTGTCTATTCCCCGGTTTCGTATTCGATAAGTCGAGTGGCGTTCCCCGAGTAGAAGTTTGCTATTGTTCCCCAGAGGCATCTTAGTATTGTTGTAGGGCCTTTCAACGATAGTGGCGCCTTTACATTCTTTCATTCTCTATCCTTGTTCCCAGTCGACCACCGCTCATATTGAACGATATCTTTGGAGGACTCTTACCTATATAAATGCCCATGGCTTTGCAATAGTATGTAAAGATTACGTTTCTCTCGTCTTCCCCTCCCTCCTTCCTCTTCGGGTGACGGCGAGTGACTCACAAGTCTGGTCATCTTTCACATTGACCGCTCAACGTATGCCATATATAAGTTTAGAACTACAACCCTTGCGTTCTTACTCCGAGATCAGATCCAAACATATCCCCTGTTAGCGAGAACTAGCCCACCGACCTCGTCAACATGTCCTCCCAAGCGGAATCCACCGCCCGCCCCCCTCCTGCTCCCGCCGCAGCCACGGCTTCAGACCCCCTCCCCGAACCCATCATTACCACTCCAAAATGCATCATCCGCCTCCACCACCCCTCGGATATCCCCGCCATGCAGCGCGCAGCTAACTCGCCCGCCGTGGCCAAGTACATGACGTACCGCTTCGCGTCGCCCTACACGCTGGAAGACGCGCGGCAGTGGCTGGGGATCGCCATGAACCTCAAGGCGCCGGGGACCGACATCCTGACGTCGTACGCCATCTGCGATCCCGCAACCAACAGCTACCTGGGCGGGATCGGCGTCAAGACGCGCGACGACATCGAGGCCAACACCTTCGAGGTCGGGTACTGGATCGGCGAGGCGAGCTGGGGCAAGGGCATCATGTCGGAGGCGCTGCGGGAGTATGCGAAGTGGGTGTTTCGGACGTTCCCCAACATCATTCGGTTGGAGGGCTATACGTTAAGCGGGAATGCGGCGAGCGAAAAGGTGTTGAAGAACGCTGGCTTCGTGTATGAGGGGACGAGGAGGAAGGCGGCGGTCAAGCATGGTGTCGTGTATGATCTGTTGATGTTCGGCTTGTTGAGGGAGGAGTGTCCGTTGGATAAATGAGAAACGGGATACTGCCAAGTTGGTGAAGTTGGATAGGTATTTCATGGTTGAGGCTGTGGAAAGAAGAGGTAGATGATCCCTAATATCCTGGGACTGGTTTCACTCGTTTGTGTGCTGCTGAGACTCCGATGAAGCCGCAATGCCAGATTGCTGTTACATGTACAATGTTTACTCGCCCCTCGGTGACAAGTACACCTCGTATAAGGCTTTGGGCCTCAGGCCTTCAGTCTGGCACTGCTAGCGATGTCTTCCTGTGCGTCCTTGACAAGGAAGCTACACGATTATCAGCAAATCAACACACGCGGGGGCCCATCCAAAAAGAATAATAAAAAAGAAAGAATAAGAAAAAAAAAGAATGAAACTCACTTATACCACAACACCGCCGGCGCAATCGTCCCCAGATGCCACAGACTATGGGCGTCAATGCTCCCCCAGATAGGCGCGAAGTCAAACAACTCCAGACTCATCGCCATCATGACCCACGCAACCACAATGCCGGGCCACGCCGCCCACGATTTCCTCGTGCTCGCATACCTCGTCCAGCTGAACCAGCTCCACAGCAGGTTCTGCACAAACCCGCACACCACACACGCCGCCGTATTATACGTGTAGTCCCACCTCCACAGCTGCAGATACGCCACATGCCCCGCATACAGCAGCGCACAGAACGCCGTCCACGCCCTCAACCCTCCCTTCGCCGCCGGCGTCGGCCTATCCAACCGCCACAGCCTGACCACGGAATAGTACATGCCATACAACACCGACGCGCCCGCGGCAAAGTAGTCCAGCTGCTCGGTAAGCGGGAAGTCCCTGGTATGGAACACGGCGCTCAGGAACCAGGTAGCCATGCCCAGCCTCGCCAGAAACACATAGAAAGGTCGCATCGTGTAGGACGGCGGGATGAGCGGTAGGACCCTGTGGTGCAGGCCGTGGTAGTGCGCGGCGAGGTTGCCGAGCGAGAAGAGCACACTGGCGGGCTCCTGCATTCCCAGCAGGCGGCGGAAGGGCCATTTGCCGTGGAACTGGACGACGGGGGCCGGCGGGGCGGCTGACTGGCGCCGGTCCGTGATGATGTGCTGACACGTGTAGTCGCATTCGGCGGGGCAGGTCCAGAGGAGGAGGCGGCGGTGGAGAGCTGGAGTGAAGCGAGAGCGAGGGGTGGTTAGCTTGGGAGGGTTCACTGAGAAGAGGTGCACGGGGGGAGCATACGGATGTGAGTCTGGTGCTTTGCATCGGCGCCGCAGTTTTCCTTTTTACATATCTATCGCCATGTCAGTCTAGCAGTCCTAAGCCTAACGGGATACACATGCGCATCGGGCTGCCGCTGTGTGGATGGAGTTCCCCAGTTGAAGCACGAACCTCCACACACTCTCTGAACTCGGGTAGCTGATCGCCAATCGAGGCCGCCGACGGACCAGCGAGCAAGAGAAAAGCCAAGACTAGCAGTGGCAGCAGGGCAAGCCGCCCGTGCCTCCCCGATGAATAGCTCAGCATAGTGACAGCATTTGCTCTGTGATATCTCGGGACTTTGTGGTGGGTGGTCTCAGGAACAGCACCGGAGCGCTGGGATACGCGCATTCGGTCGCGAAAATGCCGGGCCCACTTAATAACTAAAGGTCTTGTTTGATGAGCCCGGCTATTCTCGCACGCCCCTGGTCGGGTCCCATCGCTAGCCACCTCTGGCATCTACTGCCCACTGCAGTAAGCCGCTTGCGCTAGAGCCATTTCTTCGCCCAGTTACTGCCCTATATGGTAAATCCCAGCCGCACTGGCCAGTTCTGCAGTACCATACCGCATTTCTTTCCTCCAAGAGAGCCAAAATACCGCCGAATGCATGGAAGAAAGACAATGGTGTTGCAACGCTTAATTGAGCTATATTACGCACTTCAAAATGCATCATTTCTAATCGCTGTTTTGGTAGGCTTTTTGCATGTTATATGCAAGTCTTACGTCCTGTCCTGTCTTCTGTCCATTCTTTTCGTGATGTCTTAGGGCCTGATTCCGATCAGGCTTTTCCAGTACCGTACTACGAATCCAGTGACTTTTCGGTGGGTGGGTCGTTATATGACGTAGGCTATCCTAGGCATACCGCCTTCTGTTCTGGGCCACTACCTTTGCGTATCCTTCTCATAGTGGCCAAAGTAGACTGTCGACTTCGCTGTCCTTATCAGCGTTAAACCTATTGCAAATAAGCCTAGTTTCATACTAGATCTCCATTGGAATGGCCGACGCAGAGGACACCATAGTTGTAGAGAGACCTATCGACTTATCAGCCATCTCATGAATTGCTGATGATACTTTGAAGAGTGTTCAGGTTGCTGATGATCGCACCATAAAGGAGCGCAACCGACAGCTGTGAATGACGTCATCGTGAAGCATCGTCTTGCTCCTCCATCCAGCACTTGTCTGCTAACAAAAAGCTCGTCCATGTTCCTCAAGGACAAGTTCAAACTGTAACTTGTAACTCTGCAGCTCAGGCCCTTAAATACGTCTTCTCTAACTACTCAATTGGCAATTAGCTATCCAATTGAGTTAAAAACCATCGGCAACTCACTCCCACGACTTACACCAGACTCTCCCTCCCACCGACGGACAGACCAGCGGTAACAACAGACAAAGCACAACCATGTCTGCTCGCACGTTGATCAGCACCACCACCCGAGCCCTGCGCCGGTCAACCCTCTCCTCTCCCGTCACTTTCACCGGCCGCCGAACCCTTACTCAAACGCCTTGTCTTGCCCTGAAAGAATCATCATCCAGTACGTGTTACCCCCTTGTCTTCCTCTCCCAGAATGACCGACCCGGTCCCTAACCTCGCAACGTCGATAGCGGACCCCAACCCGGAGGATTTCGATTTCCACAAGAAGGACTCGCTCGAGAAGCAAAAGAAAGGCCAAGGCCACTGGAAGCCCGAGCTGGCGTCTGTGAGCGAGGAGAGCATCAAAGCAGATCGGATGAGCCCCGAGGAGGCCGGGGAGGCGGCGATGAAGCGGCTGCAGGATCAGACGAAGGGACATGCGGAGGAAACCAGCAAGAACAAGACCAGTATGCGGGATGGTCTCTGAGGAGCCAACATGCATAAGGAAGGGGGGAGGAGGGGGAAAGGTCTTTTGGTAAAAGGGCGCATTAGATTGCATGGGGCGTACAGTGTCCCTTTCTACGAAGTTGCGTCATATCATATCGAGGGTTGTGAAGGGGCGCGTGGACGACCAGACGGGCGCAGTTTTTCTCAGCATGATGCATCAGGGGTTCAGCAGTGATAAAATGCATTAACTGACGTTTGAAGACACGGCATCTTATTGCAATCTCATTATTGTGCCGAGTTCATGGCCAGGCTGCAAAGCTCCCATATTACTTGTGGTACTTGGCGAGAGCCGAAGACGGAACAGCTAAGAAAACAAACCGATCCCCCTTTGACTCGATCCTTGTGTCTCCCCGCATCGGAAAACAAACCACAGCCCTGTAACATCTTCAAAATGAGACAACACAATAGATGTACCACACCAACCTCACATTCCCCTGCCTCTTCCCCGTCTCCGTCCCCGTCCCCGTCCCCTACCTCTCCCTCTTCCCCCTCTGACAGCCGTTCCCCTCCCCCGACTTGCCAAGCCCAGTCCGCCTCCGTCCTCCTTGCGCGCGGGTATATCTTCGTCATCCGAGTCATCCGAGTCAGTAGGCTCCTGCGCGGCACTCAGTCCTCCAGACTCATATGCCGACCCTGACTGCGATACGCTGTCGCTCGCATTGTCCTGGTCGTCACCACTGCCACCATAGTCATCTTCTTCGTCCGAGTCCATGAGCCTAACGATGGTCGGGCCGGAAGAGACCCGCGGTGGTCGTGGGGTTGGGGACCGGACTGGAGACGGGGAAGGCTCTGCGGGCGAAGATGGTTCTACTGGAAGAGAAGTCTCTGCAGTCGGTGATGGCTCGGCAGGCGGAGACGGTTCGGGAGGTGAAGGTGAAGCTTCCTCTGTAGGAGGAACTGGAATGGGAGCGGGAGCTGGAGCTGGAGTGCCTGATATACTCTGCGTAAACGAACCAGGCTCATCCCGCGCGGGTGGCGGTGGCGATGGGCTGCGAACATCATCCGAAACAACCTCTTCGGCATTCGGATCGAAGTCTTCATCTGCACTGTCCGTGCCTTCCCGAGCAACCAGTTTTCTGGGCTTATTCCTGGCTTCGGTGACTGCCTTCTCACTAGCGGATGCTTCTTCAGCCAGCAGGGGCGGGTTGGAGGCAGATGGACTGCTCTTCCTAGCCGGTACGTTGTTAGGCGTGGCAGTATTTGCACCACCGGAACTCTTGCGCTGTCCGACCTTAAACTTTTTGCCCTTGAGTCTCATCCTCTCGGCCATCGACAGCAAGGGCTGAGATGGGAGTTCCACAGCCACTTCCACCTTCCTCGTTTGGTTCTCCGGATGTGTGTTGCGGGGTGGCCGGCCACGTCTCCTCGTCCCGGCGAGTGTTGCAGGCTCAGCGGGAGACGTAGCCTCTGGTTCCCGGTTGATGACCTCGCCTTCGTCATCGAAACTCTCGAGCTGCTGAGCAAGCTGAGCATTAAGGTCTGCGGCAGAAGCGTCATTCTCGTTATCCGGTTCCGCCCCAAGCGAAGGGCGGCCTCGAGGTGGCCGGCCACGCCTCCTCTCAGTCTTCGACTTCTCCGCCGGCTCAGGATTAGGAGCAGCGCTTCTTCCGGGCGTCTCGGTTTTCTTTGGCCGACCGCGCTTTTTACCGGACGGTGGCGGTGCGTCGGGCGCCTGGACTGTAGACCTGCTCGCCCCAGCTGTTGTGAGAATGGCCGCGGAAGCCAGATCAAGCGGATCTTTGTTGGCATCCTCTGGGTTGTAACGTGTGATACCTTCAGAGGGTCTCTGCGACCGAGGGATCAGAATCTCGTCAAATTCATCCTCGTCGTTCTCCTCGTCAACGTTGTACGAAATCTTAGGCCGCGCGTGTCGGAGAGCCGGTCGATTGGGAGAATAGGGACGAGGTTCGTGGGGGTCCTCTGACGCTTCCGCTAACCCAGGCGCTTGCTGAGGGCCTTCCGCCGGCGCCTCAGGCTGTGCCGGGCGAGTTTCGTCTGCAGGGGTCCTGCTATCGAGCATCGCCACGTCACCATTAAATAAGGCCGGATCCATGTTGCTCAATGCAACTTCCTGCGGATCACGCTGCAGCTCGGGGTCGAGCCTAGGCCTCTTTCTGTGGTGAGAATGTCCTACCCGGAAGTCGGGGTCATCATCCTCTTCTCGCCGGGCCCGCCGCTTCGCAATCCGAAGTTGCTTCTTGAGGTACTCCGACATCTCGGGCTCGTCATCAACCGCCATGCTCTCTGCCGAGGGCGCCTGGTAAGGGTCGAAGAGAATCTTGTCAGGGCTGTCGTCCTGTTCGTAAAAGCCCATACCGAGCATGCGTTCGCGGGCAAGCATCGACGGGTCTGGATATGACGACTGATCCTCGCTCGCGACTGCAACTATGTTGGCCAACCCTGTGTGATTCGCGCGGTCACCAATCGGGTGGCGTCCATCGCCGGTGCCGGTGAGTGCACTGATCTCCCCCGCGGGCGCTGGGCCGGGTCCAAGCGCCCCATTGTGATCACCGTAGCCGTTGGCAGCGTCCATGCTTTCCGCCAATGCTCCGTCGGGTAATGCGGGAACCTGGCCGGCCAGCTCCGCTTGCTTTGCCTTTTCCGCCTCGGCTGCTTGTTGCAACCTCTGCATGCGTTTGCTTGACAAGCTTCTGCTTTCATCGCCGACGCTCTTGAGCCACATTAGGTTATGGCCCCGGAAGTCGACCAGAAAGTCGACGCTACGATCGTCTGCGATCCGCCGGGTGTCGTGTCCGAGGAGGGTGGTCTTCGGGATGTAAGGAGTGCCGTTCCCGGCTCGACGGCACGCGGCGCAGTTGCAGATCTTGAGGCATCTAGGGCACTGCCAACGCTCGTTCTGCATTACATCCTGAGGCATGAGGTCGAATGCCCGGTACAGCACCCCGTAGCAGTAGGCTTCTGGGCAGGAGGAGCAGAAGGCGACTTTGTACGTGTAGTCTTTGTGTTGGCAGACGTGGCAGCGGTAGAGGTCGCCTTTTTTCGCCCGCTTCTTTTTCTTCTTCTTCACTGGCCGGCCATTGTCGTCAACCTCGATATCCGACTCCTCGGGCTCAGAAGGCTCCTTGACCTGCGTGATATCCTTCCACGGCCGCATCCGAAGTTGCTCCTGGCAAATCTGAGCGACTGACTTCTTGCCAAATCTCTTTCTCGCCAGCTCCAACGGGAGCGGGGAGCTATTGAAGCTGATATAGCCGTCATTCTTAATGATCAAAGCACGCCAGGTCTCGTAGCGATCTACCAAATCAGGCCAGCGCCACTGCTCACACCAGCTGAGCTCCGAGACACAGAAACACGAACGGCCCATGGCGTAGCACTCCATACAGATATCGTACGTGTCCTCGTCGCCGTTGACCAACTGGCGTACGCAGTGCTTGCACGTCAAGAAGCGGTTGAAGATGTTGGCCCGGCAGTACGAGCAAGTGATGTTGGAGTCGAACTCGATATAGTCGACATTCTTCTCCTTGGTGGCAAACATTTCGTCGACAAGAACTTCGGTATACAAGCGGAAGAGCGCCTTAAAGTCCGCGGCCATTTGCTTCATCCTTGTCGAGCTCTTGATCAAATCTTGGCCAAACCCAAGTAGGCCAATGTCTGCCGTCTTTTCCATCTCCACCATCTCCTTGTAGTACTTCTCCAGCGTGTAGTGGATGATGGCCTTGTTTTTATACTGCTCGTCACGGCAAACCAGGCGAGCCTTAGGAAGCGCTTCGTAGAGGGCCAGCTGTAGTGTCTCAACTGTTGTCCTGTTCCATGCGACCTTCATCGTCCTGGTGCCGCGGTTCCAGACCTGGTGGGGAGCCAAGGGAGGAACAAGAATAAAGTCTCCGACTTTCTGCTCTACGATGTAGACCGGGAAGGTCGCTTTCTTCCAAGCGTTAATCTGAGCGAAATGCTTCTCTATCTCGATGTCGTGGCCCAACATGGACAAGAAGTATTCCCTCACCACTTCGCGGTCTTTTGTCTCGGTCATGAACCAGATGGAACTTCCCGGCTTCTCCCCATTTTTGTCACCCGACGCGTCAACCATGATGTTTTGGCCCAAGCTGGCGCACATCTCGCGGTGTGCAGGGGTGTAGGTGCCCTCGTGGCCGATGTAGCACATGAGGTTCTGGGCGCGCATCTCTTCGGGTAGACTGCTCATTAGATCTCCTGCGGGGGCGGGAGACTTTCCTTCCTGGAACAGATCCATATCTTCGCTGCGACCCTTTGCCGCCCGCTCGTCGACATTGCCGTTCATGTAGTACAGGTTCGGAGGGATGACTTTTTGAAGGTACTCTTGCCACTCTGGCGGGCAGTCGATGTCTTTGAGATAGAGCCGTTGCCGTCGCTCATCGCGGAAGTTGTTCGGAGTCCACTGGTTCGTCAGCTGCTTCATAGACCGCAAGTAGTGTCCTATCGTCATGGGAATGTCGGTTTGGGCGACGATGTCGCGGACATTCTCGGCTGCCCGGAAGGTTAGCTTGCAGGTCCGACACAACAGGTGAAGCGACGCCTAGAACCTTTCTTGTTGTAGGTGGCCTCGAGCCATTTTGCGCTGAATAGCGTCTTGGGCAGCCGATCGTTCCATCTCTCAATGACCAGCGGCTTCCCGCCGTGAATGACATGGAGGAAGACCAATTTTTCGAACTCCTGTTGCCCAATGTTCCGGATCTGGGCTGCTGATATTCTAAGGACCCAGTGGAAATTCGGGGTTCTCTCGACAAGCGCGTGCAAGTCGAGGTCGGGGGGGATCGGATCGAACTTTGCCTGTGGATGTTGCGCAGGCGGCATCGTGGCGACTGCGACACCTCAAAGCGTCGATGATTTGGAGGCGGGTGCGGTGGATGCCACGATGAAGATGGCTCGACGTCAGCTGCAAATTGCATGACGCTGGTTTTGTGCGTGTTGAAGCAAGCGGTGGTGGTGGCCCTGATGCGCAACTAAGGAAGCGCGACGCTCGCATCCAACTTGGGAACCCGTGTTTGGTTGAAATCGTCATGGATCAATTGCTGCAGCTTGATTGACGAAGGCTGGTGGGGCAAGTCGCTCACTCACCAAGCCAATCAAAGGACAGGTGGCTGCGAGCTACCCCGGATTCCGCATGTGGCGCTCAAATTTGCAAGAGGCTGAAAGAAGCCACCATGCAGGTTTGAGATCAAAGAGGTTGCCTTGCCAGCGTTGGAAGTCGGGACGAAGATGAGCAGATAGTCAGTTTTTCTTGGATTTCCATACATTCGTTATCATGAATCTGGCGTGAAGCAACCTGCTCAGCAAAAGCAGAAAAGGGTCACTTGAAGTTGAGGCGTGAGACGGTGAGAGTGCAACTCTAGCAGTCTCTAGGTGTGTGAGAAGTCCTTTCTCAGTCCCGTCTATGCCAACAACCTTACACACAACGTACCTAGTAAACAACACACAATGCCTAGCTGCCGGCTGCTTCACAGGCTGCCTCTACGGCCTGGCACAGTCCGGTACAGCAAGCCATGGCTGCCAAGTCCTCGCGGTGTCTCGGACCCGCGAAGACTCGCACTGGAGACGTACAAGACAAGTTTATCACCACCATACTCTCTTATTGCCTATCACACCACCACCAAGCTTGCGTCAGCAACAACAACAACAACAGCAACAGCAACAGCAGCAACGGTCGCTCCTCCGCCTGCTCCTGAACCTTACAGGCCCCCCCGAACCGGCCTCCTCTCCTACCTTCCTCCGTCTTGGGTGCCCTACGCCGAGCTGATCCGCCTCGACAAGCCCACCGGCTCGTATTACCTCTACTTCCCATGCCTCTTCTCCACCCTGCTCGCGGCACCACTCGTGAGCCCCATGGCGAGCCCTGCCACCGTGCTGGGCACCTCCCTCCTCTTCCTGGCGGGCGCCGTCGTCATGCGCGGCGCAGGCTGCACGATCAACGACCTCTGGGACCGCAACCTGGACCCGCACGTGGCGCGCACGCGTCTCCGGCCCATCGCGCGAGGGGCCGTCACGCCCTTCCGCGGGGTCGTCTTCACCGGGGCACAGCTGCTCACGGGGCTAGCGATCCTACTGCAGTTCCCGACGTCCTGCTTCTTCTACGCGACGCCGAGCCTGCTGTTCGTCGCGACATACCCGCTGGCGAAGCGCGTGACCTACTACCCGCAGTTCGTGCTGGGCCTGACGTTTTCCTGGGGCGCCATCATGGGGTTCCCCGCGCTCGGAGTGGATCTGCTGAGCAACGGGACTGCGCAGGCGGCGGCGGCGCTGCTGTACACGTCGAATGTCGCGTGGACCGTGCTGTATGATATGATCTATGCGCACATGGACATCAAGGACGACGCCAAGGCGGGCATCAAGAGCATTGCGCTGAAGCATGACAAGGAGACGAAGCAGGTCCTCACGGGGCTGGCACTCACGCAAGTAGCACTGCTGGCTGGGGCAGGGATTGCGACGGGGGCTGGCCCGGCCTTCTTCGTCGGGAGCTGTGGAGGTGCACTGGTGACGCTGGGGATCATGATCAAGAGGGTCAACCTGAAAAGCGTCAAGAACTGTTGGTGGTGGTTCGTCAACGGCTGCTGGATCACGGGGGGCGTCATCAGCCTGGGGCTGGCCGCTGACTACCTTGTTCGATATGCCCACAGGGATAACGAGGAGTCGACGTGATGCATTGGGCCCTGTTGGGGCTTGTATGATAGATCCCGTGTACCATAAACCCTTCGTGCAGACCCAGCCCCAAGGCTCGCGTTGAGAAACAGCATTATACATGACGCCATTCCCAAGCACATGAACCGTTTGCTGTCCTGGGTTCCGGCTTGATGATCTTTTTATTCTTTTTCAGACCATGTCTACCGTAAATGCCCAGAGTCCCCAGCCTGGTTATGGAATGCCAATGTCAAAGAGAGCCTCGCAAACTCCTCATGCCGAACCGTGCCATTTTCCGTGCGCCCCGCGTTTATGATCTCGGCTTCTCCTTCTTCTCCTTCCACAGAGCAAGCAGACCGACGCCAGAAACCTTGACAACTGGGAGGAGTTAGTGACCATCGACACTGCTGATGGAAAGCAGGGATACCGACCCTTGAACCGCACACCGGGGATATCGCCCTTCGCCTTGCCCTTGCGACCGAAACCAGCCAGGAGGACCTCGTCGTTCTCGTCGACGAAGTTCAAGCAACCGTCGTTGGGGACTGCACAATTTCGTCAGCACCTGCCGCCTCTAATCACACGAATCGCAACATCGATCGCCTCTGCTGCTCCCGCGGAACTGGGTCTGTCGTACCGAAAGCAGTAACCTTCTTGCCGTTCTTGATGAGCTGAACCCTCACGCACTTCCGAATAGCCTGCAGGCCCGCTGGTTAGCCGTTATATCGTCCATGAAGTCGAGACTGTCGGAATCCGCCGGGAGGTTGACGTACGGAGTTGGGCTGCTTGGCTTCGACGCCGACCTTCTCAAGGACGATTCCCTTGGCGTGGGACGAACCACCGAACGGGCTATCCTCCTTGTCAGTCGCCACTTGCGCCTGAATCAATCACCGGGGTTGGCGTTGCGCACCTGGACTTGTAGGCAGTGCCGAGCGCACGCTTCTTGTACGCCAAATCGGCCCACCGCTGCTCGCGGCGGTTGTTGCGCAGCTTGCGGGCCGCGTTGAGACCACGGGGCTTTCCACCAGACATGATTGCTGCACGAATTGATCACGTTAGATAATGTGGTTGTTATAGATGGGCGCCGAGCGCATGGACTACGGCAGCGTGGTGGAGGGCATTACATACCGACTTGTTGATGATCGCGGACTCTGGGTGAAGTTCGTGATCCGGAGTTGGCTTCGCGGCTTACCGAATTTTTTGGCGGGCAGCGAGTTTCGCCAGTAGGGCGAGAAAACCCTAGCGTCTCGATTGGACAGATGCCTCCGCCTCAGGCCAGCCGGACCCACTGATGTGGCGGAATGAAAGCCAAGATTGGCCAGTGCTCAAAATATGATGCTCGGTTAAGTCAATCGCTACTCCTACAATTGCATACCAGTAAACTATCTTCCCGAGCTCACCGTCCGAGACCGTCACCTCAGTATCTCATTTCGCTGCTCAGCTCATTCATTTGGAGGAGGCACGTTGAGCCTCACTCACATCACAGCTACCGACGAGCCATCAAAATGTAGCAGCCATGTCCCATCTCCTTAAAGGCAAATCCAAATCCCGCGACCCTCCGCCAACACTCTTCCAAAATCCATCTCCCTCCGCCTCCCATGCCTCCCTTTCTATACCCGGTCCGGGATCTAAGATCCCGCCTCAACCCTCTACATCGGCATTCCCCTCCCCAACTCCAGCCACCACCACCGCCGCCGCCCCGCAAGTTGGCGGTTCCTCCCAAACGCACACGGGAGGACTAAACATCAACATCCCCCTCTCCTCAACCAAGCCATCCCGACAGAGAGGCTCCAGCCGCGCAACAACAGACCGCACTGATGCCCTCTGGGCGGAGATGCAGGCGACTCTCGAAGCCGTCGAACTCTCTGCCGGCGCCGCCGCAGCAACCGCAACCACGACCACCTCATCTACGTCCCGCGATGGCAACGGGGGTGGTGGGGGTGGCGGTGCCGCAGCAGCAGCAGCAGCAGCAGCTCGTGTGTTTGGTGCTGATCACGAGCGCAAGCTGGACGAGCTGCGCGCAGCACAGATTGCGCTTGCGCAGGCGTGGGCCAGGAGCGAGGCGGATGAAGCTATTGAGACTACCGGTGGTGGCGGCGCACTCGGTGCAGGAGGAGGGGCTGGGGAAGGGGGGATGATGGGTGGTGGTATGTCTGAGGGAAGGAGCGTGGCTACGGATGCTGGGGGAGGAGCGGCAGGAGGGGGAGGGGGAAGGAGTACGGTGGGGACTGGTAGTGTTGCTGCTGCTGCTGCTGCTGCCAGGCCGGGGAGTAGTGGGGTTGGAATGGGGAGTGGGCAGCAGGAGAGGCTGGGTGCTGGGGCTCATAAGATGGAGGAGGAGACAGAGGCGGATATTCTGTTGGCAAGGAAGCGGCGGGAGGCGAATGATCGGTATTTCCAGAGGGTGAATCAGGGCGTACTAGACGTGGTCGCCAAGCTGGAGGAGGTGGCTATTGCGATGCGGGCAGTTGAGCAGGAGAGCAAGGAGCTCTGGGGCGACGAGATTGAGAGCGCTCCGACGAGCGCGAAGGCTTAGATCGAGGTTTCTACTGTCTCATACTATGGGTTCTGAGGTTGATGGCTCCGGGGGATCGAGGAAGGCGTCTTTTATCGGGATATGCATTACATAGGGTAAGCGACAGGTCGCCTGAAGGTTAGCATTGGTGTGGCGTTTAGGACACAGGGACGGTTAGCAGGCTGAGCTCCCAGTGCGGATTGATTACTATGTCGACTCTTTTCTACATCCTGCATGCCTTCCTGGTTGTCAAGCTGCAGTTTAAGCATCTGAACCGCTCCGAGCACCAATCGGCCAAGCATCCTCGGCATCGGAGCCGGTTGGACGGCGCGCTGCTGGGGCTTGGGCCAGCAAGGCCCCGACCAATACACGGCCATTGCTCTTCCATTCATCGACAAACTGCTACGGGGAAGGCAGAATGAAGCCGTTCATATGTCCAACTAAACCCTCTACACATTTGAGAAACCGAAGTGTTGAGCGACTTTGAGTGAGTGTTCCTCGTTGTGGGGCGCCAGACATGTCCCTGACTCCCTGCTTGCTGTTGCCATTCATCCGGGTTGCCCGCTCGGCGGCTTCCTGATTTGCAGGGTAGTGTAAGGGTGTTCATCCGGAGGTCAACCTCGGCGGAATGGAGGTGCAACGCAAGCAGGCGGGTCTGTATGATACATACAGCCGTAAGGAGAACAGAAGCGCAATAGAAAACAGAGAAGAGGGGCGGGGAAGTCAAGAGTCCGTTGGATCTCGTCACCAAAGATATTTGATTCAAATCTATAACTACCTAGGCAACTAGATAGAGAAGAAAGTAAATAGTTCATCAGATCGCTCATATGTACTTCGTGAGATCCATTCGTCCATGAAACCGCTTGCATCACACCATCAACCATTTGTCATCTTCTTTTATGCATGACTCTCATGTTTTTTTTTTGTCTTCGCGGCCCAACTCCAATCTATCCGAAGATGATTCGCCAAGTAGGGTTGTACGCCGGCATAATGATCGTTGAAGCGGCCAGAAATGAGTGAGCGCCCCCGTAAGAAGGAGAAAGATGGGTGTAGCATTCGTAAATCAGTCGTGACGGAAGTCCAGTGGTTTCCTTCCGTCGTCATATCCGTCGTAAACTTTTTCATCAAGTCCGTCCGTCATGAACCTGTTGGTAAGAGAGAAAAGGATGAAAGGGGAAAAAGAGTCAAAAAAAGAGCGAGTGCAAATGCGAGGGTGTGACATAGGAAATGGCTCATCATGAAACCACCAAGCCTTCCTTCAACTGCCCACCGAGTGGGTATAAGAGAAGCATAGCCAAACAAAAACTGCAAGCAGACGCCCCCACCGTGATATGAACAAGGCTCCAAAGTCATATATGTTCAATCCAACAAGCGGGGTATTTCCATCCGCATCATTAAGCCTTCATCATAGCATCAATCCAACTGTCCTGACGTGTTTCGTGTAGACGTCATGAGCATCGTAGAACAACATGGGCGCTGTTCCAAATCGGAACTCATCACCACAAAGGCGGGAGGTCAAATCATACAAGAAAAGGGATATACCCAAAAGAAAACGCAGATCGAGAGTAGGTAAGCGGCCAAGATGTCTGCTACAAGGCGGGCTCGGACTGGTGACTTGGGTCCTTCTGTCGGAGCTCCTTGAGGCGCTGGTCGATGTAGGCCAGGCGATCGGCCAGGTTGTTTCGCGAGAGGCCTGCGCCGGAATCGCTTGACAGTTCCTGCACTGTCGCAAACGGCCGGCCGAGGACACCAAGGTCGATGCTGCCGCCCTGGTGCATACGGTGCACCCTGTGGGGGAAGCTGAAGCTGGAGCTCTCGGCCGTAAAAGGGGAGCCCAGCCGAGGCGGTGGGGGCAGGGCCGACACGTCGACTTGGGCGCCCACGTTCGGCATACTGATCGACGATGTGAGCGCAGGCACCGGCGGTGCTCTCGGTGTAATAAATGTATCGCCGTTGTAATTCGGTAGGGTGGCTGATTTGGGTTCCTTTATCGCCGTTGTGTCCGCTGCTGCCGCTGTCGCTGCGTTGATAGTATGTGGATCAAGCCACAGATCCGAGATGATGCTGGGCCGGTGTCGCGGGGCACCAGATTGTGTGTGCCGCCGTTTCTGCGTCCCTGACCTGCTCAAGCGCACAGGTGATTGCAGGGTCCGCCGCGGCCCGACAGTGTGCGACTGCCTGCGTGGTATGGAGCCGCTCAGGCCGAGAACAGCGGCGAGAGAGCCGGAAGAGCTGGGCCCGTAACTGCTGGAGCCGAACGGCGAACCAAGCCGGCGGCGCTCAGCAAAAGATGGCTCGTCGTCGAAGGTGCCCAAAGTCTGTCCGGCGAGCATCGGCGAGCGGCTTGGCTCTGGCGGAGGTTCTGGTTTTGATGCTGTGAGCTGAGCTAGCGGGCCGTTGGGTTGCATGCTCTCAGAAGTGCTGAGAGCAAGTGACATGGACATGTCTTGAGTCGCAAACGGGACCGGCGAGCGAGCGGGCGTCGAGCGCCGGTTCCAGTGGCGGGCAGCGGCTTGGTTAAAGGGGGTGATGCTTCGCGACATAAATTTGTAGTTGTTGGCCCTGGAGCTGGCCTTCAACCTGCAAAGCTCACGCAAGTGCGCGCGCGTGGCTGCGCAGGTGTGAGGCCACTGAATAAACGTGCCCGAGCTCTCCGCCGTGGGAGTGGCACTTCCGCTCTTCGCGCCCTCGCCCGAGTTGGCTGCTTTGGACAGAGCCTTGGAGCCCTTCCAGCTTCTCTTGGCTTCCCGCGCGACGCGGAGGCAGACCCCGCTCGGTGGAATGCCGCTTTTGCCCATGCGGAAGGGGGTAACTTTGGGATCTTGGAGGTACAGCATGAAAGTCGACCACAGATGGTCGCTCATTGCTTTCGTCCACGGTGCTTTCCTCGCCTTCCCTCTAGGGCCCGCTTGGTGGTGAGACGGCGCATCCTCAGGGAGCGTGAGCAGGCAGTTGTCGTCGTCCTTTGCCTCGCGCCCAAAGGTGTCAGAGCGGTCCTCGTGCGAAGCAAGCGAAAAGTGGCTGAACGAGGATGCGCTGGTCTGCGTCGACCGCGACGTTGAAGGCCTGCTGGACTCATAATCGGGCTCCGGCGTCGACTCCAAGCTGCTGATAGAGTCGACCGTCCAATTGGGGTACGCCGTCGGTGGTAGAGACGGCTCGAGACCTGGCATTGGCGTCTTTGGAGGAGATAGTCCCTTCGGCCGAGGCCTGAGGAAGCGCAAGTCCTCCTCCTCCTCATCGCAGCGAAACTGTGGGAAGGGGTTAGGACCGCTCATATCGAAGTCGTCGGACGCGATCTCCGGCTCCTCGATGCTGGGTATTGGCACGTCGGCGGCAGCAACAGAGGCTAAAAATTGCTGTGTTGGCGCAGCGAGTTGCGACGCGACGCGCCTCCTCAACTTGAGGCGCGGTTTGGGGGGTGAAGGTATCTGAGCATCCTCGAGCTGGGGGAACGGCTCTGGCGTCCTAGGCATCTCGTAGTCGGGACACCTGAAGCCCCGCGGAAGGGTCGCGGGGCCAGAATGTTGAGTCATCTTGTCTTAGATCTGGAATGACGGGGCGTCATCAGGATGTCCGGAATCCGGATAGGCTACTTTGCGGATAGCGCTCAGACAGCAAGCGAGCCCACGTCGGCGGCGCAGAGGTGGAACTTTGTCTGATGGGTAAGGTAGGCACAAGCTCCTGTGACGATTGCCTGCAGGAAACGCGCAGGGGGCTTTTGGGTTGAAGGCGCAACGGCAGGGGGATGCGCCGGGCGACTGGATACGTTTGCGCAAGCTGCCCTGGCCGAGCCAAAATCGGATGGCTGGTGCAGCAGAGCCGTCGGATCGTCTACTACGAGTTAAGCTAAACCGCGCGCGCTTGAGTCGCAAACTGTCGGCTCTCGTCTAAGTAGCAGCGCTTGATAGAGCTAGTGTCGCATCGGTAGGAAATCTTCCGCGAAGAACTTGCGAGGCGAAAATAGGCAAAGGAAATCGGAAACGAGGACAATGAAACAGGCTGTGGTCTAGTGAGGAGAAAGCGGGAGAATTGGTGAGCGCAGCGCTTTCGGTGCTGTCTGTGCTGCTGCTTGTCGCCGTGTGTCGTGATGCCGTGGAAGCACCCGAGACCCTGCGCCGAGCGCGACTGGTCGTTGACTGAGTCGCAAAGGAGTGACTGCGCTGGGAAAAGGGGGGAAGAGGGGAGTTGGATCTACGAGGATGGGGTGCGTGGGAATATGTAACGGCTCATGCAGGAAGGGGGAGTGTGGGCGAGGGTCTGGGGTGGTGTGGGACGGCCGGGTGACGGGCCAGAGTGCTTGCCAGCGCCCAGGGGCCACCCACGAGCTGAAAGAACGCTGCTGAGCGGCCAGTGAGCGAGAGACACAGAACCCCGGCGCGCGGGCGACTCGAGTGGAGAGCTCCTTGTCCGCTCACACTTGGATCCAATTCAGGGTCCCTGTGTGCTGCAAATCGACAGATGTTGTATGTACTGTACCGTGTCTGGACTAGTGGAAGAATCTGCCATTTGGTACCGCTACTGAATACGAAGGTGGCCGCGATAGATCGCCACCGTTGAAGGGTCTCCATGGAGGTGATTGATGAGCGGGCCGACTGCCGCGCGAGCAGCGACTTGGAAGTCTCGGCGGTTGGCGGCCAACCGTCGGGCAGCGCAACGATGGCCTGGCAGCGACGCGTCAAGCACCTTGACAGACGTGGGTTGGTTGAGAGCCACCTGGTGGTTCTGGTGTTGTCTACCACAGTTTAAGTTCCGGCCTGTGGGCTGTGACCAGTCAGGCGCTACACTGCAGATACACTACTCCCAGGGGCCACGGATTCGACAGCTGTGGGAGAGCGGGGCTCGTGGCACTAATAAGACTGGAGACTTGACGGTGCATTGTCACGCGTCGCACAGAAAGATAGCACGTCGAATTGTGCGCTGTGGTCGAATAGACGCAGCGTTGTTGAGGATCGAGGCGGAAATTGAGAGGCTGGGGAGTGTTCGCGACCTGCAAGGAAACGGCATCCAATACACACTCTGCATGACTTGAAGGTGCGAATGAAGTCTGCCCCGCGGGAATGACCTCGGGAGGTCCCCTTCCCAAACAAACCTCGTACTTAGCTACCCATTCATCCCCAGAGAAAGAACACAACCGGATTATTGCAAATTGCACACAAACACACCAGCAGGCCTCGAGATTTTCTGATGGTCCCCGACGAGATTTTTCTGGGCAATATCCTACTTAGTGTATGAGTGCAGGTTGGGCTACTGCGTATGGCATATGCGCCGAGAGGGGCGGAAGCTCGAGCTGGTGTGGACCCACAGTAAGCGCGTTTTTTCGCGTCTTTGGGGCACACGAAGAGACGCGACTTTAAGTGGCTTCTGTCCAATCAAACCCACCCTTCCTCAACGTCTGCCGCGCCCATTCCCACGCGGTGCAACACCTGAGTGACCTGATGGAGGAGCTGGCATGAGGATCGAAATGGTGAAATATCATGTTGTTATGAATGGCGGGATGAGTTTTGTCCTGAATTATATGGAGCGTCTGGATAAGATGATGCATTAGGACCGCCAAGGGCGTGTGTGTCCGTCGTTGGTGTCTATCCGAAAACTAACGTTATAGTAGGTCCAAAATCGACTAGGTTTTGTTGATGAGCCGCCAGGTACGAACGGACTGCAGAAGGTGTGACATGGTCGCATCGCGCATTTTTGGCAGGCCGGTGCGTCACCGGATACGCTACTTCAATTCGTCAATCCGCTTCGGTTCACCGCTTCGAAGCGCAACAGGTTGTCGTTCCACACCGATGGTGAAGATCCCAGTTTAAGAACAGGTTCTCACCAATCCATTCGGTTTTCGGCCTTCGAGGTGAACGGTGATTCCCGCAGGGATGTGCCACACAGTGACATCTCGGCCGAGCTGCAGAACGGGAAACCCTACCTTATTTCCTAGCTACGGTTTTTGAGAGACGGATGCACGGCGTGAGCACGTGGCTGCCGTCATCGTGGGCTCCGACTCTCCGAGTCCGGGAGCAAGAAACTAGTAGCCCAGTACGTACCCAGCCGGACAGCTACACTGCTGGTGATAACCTGGAAGGTATCCTGTGTAAGAAACACCTCAACCCTCCATTTGATGGCCCACTAGCAGTAGACAACGTCTTTGCCGTCACTAGGGCTTTCCTCGGGATAGACGTCTCATTGTATTCACCAAATGCATTTGAAGACTGCCTAACGAGGGAACGACAATCCTAGTGTTAGATGTAACCGGCGCAGCAGAACAGAGTGATGCGCGGTAACGTTGACTAGAGATAACAGTCAATGCTTCTTACGTACCTTAGGTTTTCCAAGATCTGCTCTCTCATCTAATAAGTAATAACGATCCCAAATCCATACCTAACACAATATCATGGCCTCGCTCATCAACTCCGAAGTGACCCGGGCAGCGTTAGAGAATCTTAACGTTAGTACGCTAACAGCTCGAGACTGGGAATCTGAGCCTCGAAGATATGCGGACATGCCATCCCAGCTCGAGAATCGCGACTACCATGGAAAGCCCACCTGCTATTTCCGATCCGACAAGCGTCCAGTCGAGCTTGCCCACGTTTCCAGTTTCTCAAATGCCAACATGACGTTGGGTTTCGCTGCCACTAAAGTAGCATGGAAGGTGCGATGTTGGGCACACATGACTTGCAGGTCTGAAAAGCCCCACACCGTCCGAACCACTCAACCACCTCTCTGCATCCCTTTTCAAGACAGTCTCACCTCGCGAGACTTGCAGCCCGGCCATACCTAACCTTCCCTTGCAACCCCTGGTTCTCGCAGGATCGTCCTCTCAGTCCATCATCTTCTTCCTAGATGCTTCCCTGGGTTGTGGCGGCCAGAAAAAATGGATGAGCTCGTTGACATCATTACGCTCCAAAACTTGGAGCAGAAGATGCCGCAATGGGATGCCGCTAGTTCCAACCAACTGTATGCTTTGGTTGACATGGGAAGGTAAGTTGATTCTCTTCACCTTCACTGCGGCCGTGGGTCGAGTCTGCCGTCTCGGGCAGGACGAACTCGCCGGTCTGACTCGTCGCTTAAGCAACGGCATCCGATTTTCCATCTCAGACCTTTCTCCTCCCCGAAGCAGACTGCTGAGATGTATGTATCGGGAGCGCGCCGCCATCTCGTTGCTCGATGCCTTAAGTGGGCCATCATTGGCATTTCCCGACGAGACTATTAAGCTGGTCTCGCACACCCTGGCACGCTTCAGGGCTATTGCTGTCGATGACTATGGAGTTCCTATTGAGCATATGAGAGTGTTTGCGACTGAGGCAATGCGTCGGGCTCAAAATGCCACAACCATGCTCCAAGCTATACGAACCGCTTCTCCAGGACTATCCGTGTACATCCTCGCTCCCGAAGTGGAAACTCTTTTTGGGGCCGTGGGAGCTCGTTCAGGCTTCGATAATGTGAAGGGGCTGTTCCTGGATCTCGGCGGCGGCAGTGTGCAGATGACGTATTTGGACACCTATGCTGCGAAAGCCGGTGCTCAAGGGGATGCTTTCAGCCCTGAGGTTGTTGCTGCGCTTGCCGGACAGAGCTTGCCTTTCGGTGCGGCCCGCCTGATCAAGATCTTCGACAGCGGCGATTCTCATGCCCAAGCGGCAGCAATATCGCAACTTCGTGGGGGCCTGAGTGCTGCATTTCAAACCCTATGTGCCAGGTTTTCATCTCTTGCGACAGCTGCGGCTCAAGCCCAGCAGATCACGGATGGCATGGAGGGTGAAGACAGGTCGGGAATCGACATTTACCTTTGCGGAGGAGGCTTCCGAGGCTATGGAAGCATGTTGATGCACAAGCACCCGATCCAACCCTATCCAATCCCCTTAATAGGATCCTTCACCGTCTCCGGCCAATTGTTTGGCAAAACCAAGGACATGCTCGAAGCCAACGAGTCCTTTGATGGAAAGATCTTCGGAATGTCGAAGCGCAGGCGTGCCCAATTCCCTGCTATCGTCGCCGTGGTTGACGCGCTAATAGCCGCGGTTCCCCATATCCGGTCTGTTACGTTCTGTTCCGGCGGCAATCGCGAAGGGGCTCTGATGATGAGCTTGCCGCCAGATATTCGGGATACCAATCCTATGACGGGCTCCCAGCATATCATTGAGACTGCGCCTTCCGATCGGGGCGAACAAGCAGCGAGCATTCAGGATGTCCTCGATACGTTACGCTCCGCGTTTCCCCCAGATATCGACTTGGCTACGACGACTACCATCTTCGGTCTACAGCTTGGCTCCTTCTATGCCAACCAGATCTGGACCCGTCTGGGGGACGATGCGGTTGCAAACGCATCAGCCGCTTTGCACAGTGCGGTCAGCTGTCCGGACCAGCCCGGGCTAACCCACCTAGCCCGTGCTGTGCTCGGAGTAACACTCTGCGCGCGATGGGGAGCGTGTTTGGCACCTATAGATGAGCAGCTGCACAAGAATTTGCGAGCTCTGATGAAGGCAGCAGACCCAAACGCACCATTCTGGGCCGACTATACGGGAGCCGTCACTGGAGCAATGGCATTGCTGATAAGAAAGTGCCCCAAAACGCAAGATGCTCTCAAGCGCACGATCAGGTATGCAGGAGCCCGTGTCTCTTCTCATGTTACATCCAGCTGAAACAGACAGGTTCCGGTCAACTGCAGAGCACGGCAAAAAGTTGAAGATACATCTAGATATTCTTGTGGGTGAAGAGGCAGCAAGGAGGGTTGATCTTCAAACCCTAGTCGAGCTTTTCAATAGCGTGAAAAAGCAGAAGCATGGGGGGATGAAGGTCATAGTCACCGTTAACACATCAGTGTAAGCATGCCAATAGGCTTGAACTCATACTTCATCAGTCTTATGACCCGCTAACTTACGGCCGTAGAGATCCGAGCCACTTATGAGTCGAGGCCTCTGCCAAAACCTCGTACCTTGGTTCATTCCCCCCTGCCAGTGTTGGCGGTGCAACCTGTCTCAGACATTCTAGATCGCCCACAATTCCTGGTGCATAAGACCGTAGTGCGTCCCTCGTCACTATCGAACAACTTCATCCCACTGGCACCATCGCCACAGCCCGGCTGCATGCGATCGGCCATTGATGGACCCTAAGCCCCCAGCCCGCACAACCGTTTTTATTCATCCAGAACGCCAAATCATTCATCATCAACATATCGGCGAGGGAAGAGCGAGTCCGCCATGATCACGAAGGGCAGCGTCACCTTTTAATCCATCCACCTCCATCATGCGCATTTCCGGGCTGGGCGAGCCTTCGCTACGATGTCCGTCTCCCTTCCGACAATGTATTCTATAAAGAGCTTGTCGGTGGGCGAGACTTGGCCTGACGCCTGGTGATCTGATGGAATGCGGTCAGTACGACCTGATCATCGGCCAGGTAATCCCGGAGACTTACAGAACTCAGGCATCGCCTGCCAAACCGTCCTGTACGTTTTGTACAGTTCCGGGTCGCCTCCGAAGACCTCAGGCCCGGCGTCTCTGAGACTCTTGACAACGGTTGCCTTCTGGAACACTCCGGAGTAGATGACGATGATTGCATCCAACAGCTGTCTCGTCGTCTCTCGGAAGTTGTGCCTCTCATCCATTGGCATGACTGAATCCTCAATTAGCGTGCGGCAATCTTGGTGCCTGGGACGCATACTAACCAGTTATCGGCAATGGTGCAGCATCTGTTTGTTGTTGTTCCATCACGAAGCTCAACGACTGACGGTAAATCAAGATGACCTGCCACAACAACAGCCATTTTGAGACATTGCAGAGACTTCGCATTTCCGGTGCCGGGCGGGTTGCATCTTTCTCTTTTTTGACGAGATGCAATTCGATCTCAGGGATTATCTTCCGTTCAAGTTCTGATATGGCTTGGGCCGCGTACAGACGAAGCGAGTCTTGAACTGACGCGAATGACAAGTCAAGGGGGAACAAACGGGGTCCAGACCAGACGAAGAATTGCTTGCAGCTCCAGACCTTCCACATACACCGCATCTTGAGAAGATTCGACAGCAATGTCTCGAATATCTGCGGACATTGGCCATCCAAAGGCTTGGTGGACTGTGATCGGCGGACAAATTTGACGAGAAGCTTGTCCATCTGAGCTTCAAAGTCGCTTCTGCGCTCAGCCAGGATATGATCCTCCATCCATTGATAAAGCGCCTCCTCATGAGGCTTGTCGTCTGGTGCAATTCCAAAACGGGGAGCGCTTGATTTGCCCTGCTCCTTTTGATTCGGCAGGATGAAGGGGCCGACCACTACTGGTAGCCGAGGACTGTCGGTACTATCAGAGCAGGAAATGTCGAGGATGTGACGATCTGCAGCGAACTGGTCACGGCCTGGCATGAAGAATTTGGGGTCGTTCCAGTTCCAGCGTGCTTGACGGGAGTCAGCTCCTGAAATGAAGAGGGGGTTGGATAAGCATACCGAGCACTGCTGTGACCATGTCCCGCAGCGATTTCCGGATGCACACCATGTCGGATAAAGGACGCTTGTGGCACGCCGGACAGACCGATGAGGGTTTACACTGACGACGGATCGGTCAGCACTGCGTGGAAGGAACGTGGATGACCATGCAAGAACCTACCACGGCCTTGTTCATCCTGCAGCGGTAGCAAGCTCCAACCTCTCGAACTTGGCTCGTCTCTTCCGGATTCTTGACCGTCCGAGTCCTTTGGCTTGGAGACGAGGTAGCCCGGGACTGTCCCATATCGCTGGAGGGTGGTGGTGAGGGCGATGTCTCGACCTGGATGCTCTGGTCTCGTGGGGGCTGGGGATCCACGAGCCTCGGCCAGACGTGGGGAAGCTGAGGTGAGGAGGGCTGAGGGTCCAGGGATGGGGCGTCTGGCATGGCACAATCATCATCGTGGTTGGGCACAGGGGCGGCGGGAGCAGCCGATGTCTGGACTCTGCGTCTGGCGATGTGCTTCACTTCCGAGGGGACATCGGACTGGATGGTTACATCCGTCACTTGATCACCATCCGGGAACGCATCAAAGTCAAAATATTGGGAAAAATCCTCCGATGGCGTGGAGCTGCTGGTACTATCCTGGATATGGACCCTGGCAAGGTCGCTGTGGGGTGGATACTCGCAGGACGCATCTCCCGAATCGGTGCCCCCATGGAAGCGCCTGAAGCGGTCTGGGGTGGCTGACATGGTTGGTCGGCGTCTTTAAAAGGTGCTGAGCTAACGGCCGGTTGGGCTTGATGTGCAGCCGAGACAAGCAAACCAGCATACGGCGGGTCGAACAACACTGTCCAAGGCAACACTGGGATAACCAATTGGTCCGACAGACTTGGGGATACGGTGAAGCTGGGGATGCTCGATGAAAAGGGAAGATTTGGACAGTCAGCTGGGGCTCCTCCCGGGTTTTCTGGTGCTCCTTGAGCAAGTCGATGAGGCTCTCTTCGCCCTCCATCTCAGTCACTTACACCAAGGCGAACTTCACAACGGCTTCCAGAATCGCTCACGACAGGGGTTATGATTGGCCAATGCGGGAGCGGCTTGGAGATCTCAAGCGAACTGGACCCCCCCTGCTTGACCGAAAATACAGTTGCACAGAGCGACCGGTACAGAAAAAGGGGTTGTTGACGGTGTTGGCAACAGCGCGTGTGACTTGCAGGGGACGACACCGTTCGAGCGATCCTTCGCAGATGCGCATAAGACCTTTTCGCTTCCTCTTCGACGCTGGTTCTAGCACTTCTAGGCAGGACTCACAAATCGTGATCTGGAACCGCATTCTCCTTCGAGCGCGCGATTTTGATTGTTCGACTTGTTTTCGAAGCCTCGGCGAACGGATCTTACACCTGTACTACATCCCTCGGGCGCCACAGCAGTGTAAAACATCCGCAACTTGCCTCTAATCTTCTCTTCAGCCTACCATTGAATCCATGATAGAGGAGTCTAACCTGAGACACTGAAGTTCGAAGACGCCGCTGAGCTACAGCGAGCACAACATTTATTGTTCCGTTCAGCCTCGTGAGCAGACAAGCATGGTTGACCGTCTTGGCACTCCCCGTGCCACCCACCCGCATAAATAGGGAAACCCCCATCCAGTCCAGGTTCGCCTCTTTCTTTACGGCAACCGGTATTCCCTACTGTCAGGCCTCGACGGTGTATGCCGGAGTGTATTTTGGCAAGCCACGGTAGTTGGACGTCCCACGCAATCGTAAGGGCCCCAAATCCATGGCAGGTTAGCTTGGTGTCTACGTCGGGAGCAAGAGGATGCTGGAGTAGGTAGCAAAGTTCGGCGCGTCTGCGCACTACTATTCAGGTCCAAAATAGGAATGAGGTATGGGCATACTATAAAAACAGTGTGCGCATCATAAGCTGGAAAACCCAATTCTTATAAGCATGTACGTCATGGCATGGCTTTGTATTTTCCTTTCTGAAACGGGCACCAGATGCGGGCTAGCGCGGTTGCGCTCTAGTGTTGCGCAGACAGAACATGTTGGCTGTGTAACACACACCCCTCTTCAGGCAAGGTTAAGGTAATTGAGATTCTGAAAGAAAGCCATGTGTAAATTCAACCCATGCCTAAGATCTGCCTAGGGATCCTTTTCTATATGCATGATCTCGGTCAACCTTGGTACACACCTTAGATTCGGCCTTGTTTTGGCGCAATAGATGGCGGCCTCCAACGGTGGCTTTGCGAATTCCAGCAGTTCTACGAATCTTTACCTATGTAGGTACGTACGGAGTAAAGTTGGACTACAATCTCGGGTTGGTCCGCATATGGAGACAGCTCCCGTAGAACTACGAGTATATTCTCAACTTGTCAACTTGCATGGACTCCATGCTGTGGCGAGTGAACATGCGATGTGGATTCAAAGTCCGACAATGATTCAGGGCCCACTGCACGCACGGTACTACTACACCGAATACTGCTCAAGGTGTACTAGATGTTAAAAGGCTTGCCGGCTTCTTTTCCATCATCAGAGAGGTACCTCGCTCAGTTTGACTTTTCACATTACTTTTTTCTACCCCGCCCTCCCTATCACTTCCCCTCTACATAAAGGTTACTACTACTAGCAGGAACCCTACGAAATCCCACCCAGAGATCTTCACAGATCAGGAACCCACCCCCGGCCCTCCTCCACCATCCCTAGCCGTTGCACCCGATGCCAAAAAAAACTCCGGGAGAGACCAGAAAAATGCAGCCAAGTTCCGAGCGAAGCCAAAAGACCATCGAAAAGGGAAAAAAAGAAAAAGAAAAATTAAAAAGGGGTATCGTCTATACAAAGTATGTCAAAGCCAGACAAGATTAGGACCGAGATGCATCTTTCTTTTCTTCTTCAAAAAGCCCTCGGGGTACGGGAAAGGGCCAGAAAGTAAGAAAGGAAAGTGCCAGCTCAAAAGAACAAGCTCTTCTTCTTCTTCTTCCCGTTATCCATCCCCTTCAGGATATCATCAAACGTGCTGCCCCCATTAGAGTCACTCGCGCCATGATGTGCACCAGCACCAGCACCAGGTCCGAGACTCGACGGCCCCGGCCCCGACCCCGGAAAGCCGCCGTAGCTCGACTTCCGCGGCTGCTGCTGCTGCTGCGCCGCATTCAGGAACAGCTCCCCACTCCCACCCCCACCAGCGCCTGCACCATTGAGATTGACCGCCGAGCGACTAGCTCGCAGGCCAAGCTGGTATCCCTCCCACGGCCCGCCGGACACGGGGCTGCCCGGCCCTACGACGGGGCTCCCCGGTCCCGGTCCCGGGCTGCCGTTGCGGCTCCGTATGCTCATGCTCGCGAGGGACCCGGAGCTGAGCACGCGCGAGGTGCGGTCGAAGTGGTGCACGCCGGCCGGCGGGGGCAAAGGCAGCGGCTCGAGGCCGATGGCCATGCTGGCGCGGAAGGCCTGGCGGGCACGGTCGTTGACCGATCCGCTGCGGGGGCGCAGGTGCGGAGAGCCGTTGGAGGGCCGCAGGTGGGGGGAGTTGGAGGGCGAGCCGGAATTGGCGGGGCTCTGGGAGCGGCTCGGAGGGTTGCTGTTGTTCATCATTGGGTCCATGTCCCGGAACGCCGGGCGCGGGGGCTGCAAGGGGGAGGTCTGCAGGTCGGGTAGCTGCGGGGCGGCAGGGGGAGGGAGCGACGAGGGAGGGATGGCGCCGTTGCCGTTGGCAATGTTGTCGTCTAGGGCGGCTTCCCATTCCTTCGCGGCCAGCCAACAGTGCGATCGCATGTAGATGCCCTCGACCGAGAACATAACCACGTCGGCCGAGAGTTCGACGATGTTCTGGTCGGCCGTCTGGTACCAGATCTTGCGGACCTCGCCGGCTTCTTCGGTCCAGGGCGGGTTGCCTTGCGGCGCCTCGCAGAGGAAGTCCTCCACGCCTTCGGTGTAGCGCAGCCCTGGCGCGTCGACGACGAGCATGGGAAGGGATTGTAGCACGACGTAGAGAAACAGCCAGTAGCCGAGGCGCTGGTCGGCCAGGTCCTGCGGGCTGACACCCTTGGCTTCTCTGAGCTCGAAGTCCTTGTAGGCGAGCAGGAAGGGGAACTGCAGGGCGTCCGTGTCGATGTTGCGGGATTTGAGGAGGATGAGCTGGAGCTCGTGCGGCCGTATGGATCTGCTGTATTTGGCCTGCTTCTTGGCGGGGAGCTCGTTGTAGTTCTCGTAGATGGCGGTCATGCTCGGGATCTTGGGGACATCGAACGGGATCGGAGGTAGCACAGGGGGTGAGGACTTATCAAACTCGCTGAGCACCTTGCGAAGCGCCGATATCTGGGCCTCGCCGAGCTTCTTCTCCTTGGACTCTTTGGAGTCTTTGGAATCCTTGGCATCCTGGTCAGGCTGGTCATACGTCTCGCCGATAACGCGGGGTGTCAGCGCGTGCCGGTCCACCAGGAGGTCATAGAGGGCGCAGAAATCCGAGTAGAGGATCTTCAGACACTCCCGGTTGAGCCCACTCTGGGAGAAGTAGTTCTTGCGGCTCCTGGCCCTGGGCGGCCAGTTGCCGAACAGATCTTTGTAGTAGCTGAGGACAAAGCTCCTCATCCTGCTGTACGAGTTCCTCCATTCCTTGAACCTGACGCTCTTGTACTCTTCCATCGAGGTCGAGCTGGCGGTGCCGGCGAACAGCGAGGGGAACTCGAAGGCCTCGAGCCGTGTGTTCAGACTGGCCTGTCTGTTGGCCAAGTCCAAGTGGGCGCGCTCCAGGCGCTTGCGCGTGTTGACCGAGATCCTCTCGTAGAGGGGCGACTTCAGCTCCATGAGCGATTCATACTTGCCCACGGCATGAACGAAGGCCTCGTTGTAGAGGTTCCACGACTTCATTTGCTCGGCCAGGATGAGCGCCTCCAGCGTCTTCTCCCGGCTGTGGCGCACATCGGCCAGGCCGACCTGGTCCACGAAGAAGTCGAACGCTGCGTCAACCGACTCGCCAAACGAGGAGCCATCATAGCTGCTGAAATTAAACCGTCGGAGCAGGCCGGCGATCTGCAGAATGGCCGAGAAGTAAGTCGGATTCTCGGGCGTCCCCACGAGAGGCTGGTGCGTCAAGAGGGCGAACAGGTTCCGCGCTGCAACAAGATGCCCGAGATCGGTGTTCTCCAGGGGGAGGTACAGGTGGCCTTCGGTCACGGGACCGGCCTCCGGTGCGACATCAGCGTAGCCAGCGTCGTGAGACATCCCCGCCATCATCTCCGACACCAGCAGCTCGTTTAGCACGCCCGACAGACTGAACATGTGATCGGCCACCTTGAAACACGGCCCGCGGCCGCTATCTTTCGGGTGGAGATAGACGTAGACATTGCCGGACTCATTCCACAGCTCGGGCACCTGTACGTGGTCAGCGCGCTGCCGCAAAACCCGCCAACAACCGACCTGAATAAAAGGACAACGCGCACCTTTTCGCCATGCACGAGCGGTGTCGTGTTATACTCGAGCTGGTTGTCGGGGGACAAGATCCACGCGGCGTGTCCTTTCGGCTTGTTGGCGTCCGAATTGGCTCTCGACCGGATACCGGGGAACCAACTCTTCCTCTTCTTCCTCTCCGACGCGGCAGGCGGACTGCCCTCGCTGGGAGGCTTCAAGCGGGACGAGTCGCTGACTGGACTGGACACCGCCCGCGAGCCTTCTACAGACATTCCACGGGCTGCTGGCGGGGGCTGTGCGGACACACTACGACCGCGAGGATTTGGGGCCGGAGACGGAAGCCGCGTCGTCTGGAGGCGGGCCGGCTGCAGCTTCGCCCTCGTCGGCGGCCGATCGGGAGAGCGGCTCCTGTCACCGGGCCCGCTCTCTGTCGGAGGCGTCGGTGTCGCGTCGGTCCCAGTGATGTCCGGGATCCGGGGCGGTGTCCTACTTGGCACGGGACGGGCCGTGGGAGGCGGCGGTGGTGGAGAGAGCGGCATGGCTGGTGGCGCCTTCTGAAGCTTCGAGGTTGAGCGCTCGAAGAAGCCGCCTTGTTCCGAAAAGGGAGAACCCGCGTCGATGGGTGAGAGACAGCTGGACTCGGTGCCGGCCCCGAGTCGGCTCGACGACTCAGAGGCCTCGCTGGTCCTGGCCGTACTTGTGGCCATGGTCGGGACGGTGCTGGTGGGCGATGTGGATGACGAGGTCGAGCTGTCCGGGATTGGTTTGTGAAATGCTTCCGAGGACGACGTGTGCGAATCTGCGCGGGATGTGAGCTTGGGAAGGTAAGAGGTCAACAACCCCAACCGCGACATTCGTTTTCCCATCCCCATTGTGTTGGCTATGTCCGTTTCCAAGTTTTGTCTCTTTCTATTTTCCTCCTCTTGTCGAGCGAGCAATGCAGCTAGCTATGTCACCCGCCCTCCCGTACTGTGTCATGAAGGTCCTGGGGTGAGGTGATTGTGCTGGCTCGATGTCCGCTTCTCGTGCTCTTTCTTTTCTTTTTTTCCCCTTCAAGTGAGGGACTGGGAGCTGACCGGTCCTCCCTTTTTCTCTCCGGTGCAGCTCTTTCCTCCTCTTGCCAACGCGGAAGCCTAATAGCAGGGGTGACAGGGGTGTGCAGCGAGGGGCGCCATGCGGGCGTATTTTTTTTAAGTTGGCACTTACTACTGGGTACTGTGCACCATGCCAGACAAAGGTGGTGTGTCTCGGGACTCTTGTCGCCCGGATCTGGATCGCACAAGCGTTCACGTAATGCTTCCTTCGATGATCGACGGCTCACATCCGCAGGTCCGAATCAGTCAGTCAAACAGTGCAGGACGACGTTCGAAGGACAGCACAGCCGAGCGCGAAGGAAGAATGGATCCGCCGGTGCGCATGTGGAGTGTTGAGAGGAGAGCAAGCGAGCGAGACTGCGAGAGTGAAGGGGTTCGCAACACTGCCTAACTAGGGAGTGGCAGGGCTCCCTGGCGTATGTATTGGATGTAGGTCTCAGCTTGACGACCTGCAGCTAGGTTGTTCCGGACCAACTGCTAAGGTAGGTAGTGTATACTGTGTAGGATGCCGTGATGTGATGTGTTCTGCCAACGTCTTATGAACAACAGCTAAGAATAGCTATGGCGGTGGGCTTGAAGGAAGGCAACCGCAGAGGCAGTAGACATAGCCCTGCGGACAACTCAACGGTCAGGCACGCAAGGGGTGACAGAAGACCGACAGAAGACAGTTATTAGGGAGAAAGTGGATGAGCAGGAAAACCCGCAGGCCACAACCTGAAATCGAGAACCCAACATGACGGGTCCCTTGCTGCAACGGACCAAGCAAATCAGGGAGAGCTCGGGTCGGCATAACGATAAAACCCGGGCCCTGCCGCAGTGTCGGGTCTTCGCTCCTGAGCCAATAAGTCAACCAGCACGTCTCATCCGGGCTCGTGGGCGCCGCCGCGCTGTGCACCCTAAAATCGGGCTCAGCCGCATGGAAACCTGCACCATCGATACCCACATGACAGACAACAGCGACGACTCGCATGAGATCCTGTCATCTACTGTCTTATTACTGTCTATTGACTTCTCACCCGGCTTGCCCACTAGTGTAGCTGTTGGGTACGAGGGGAGAGTGTCAATTGTGCATATTTACGACAAGGGATCGAAGGAAAACGGGCGAAAAGTGGTCAAGTGTCCGATGAATGTCGTCATTGCTCCTGAACTTTCGATGGAAAAGTGCAGGGGTCCTGCCTGTTATGTATAAGCGTCATCTTTCACGGGTCGTTGTAACCCCACCACGACGAGACTTCAAGGTGCCGTGGGTGCCAGAGCTGCGTGCCTGTGGCGACGAGAAAAGCTCTGGAGGCTGGAAATCTGCCGAGATCTCGAGCGTAATTCCCCGGATTTTGATGCACTACCACCTCCTTGCCTCATCCTCACTCACAAGGTTGACATGCGCCGCATTTTAATGCTGAAGTAACTATTTGACGAGTCTATACGAGACAGTCCTAAAGAGAGGAACATCCAATTCCTGGAGGCACTGCCATTACAGCTCATGCAGCCCAGCTCCTACGAAACGAGAGCTCTCCTCAAATAAATAAAACGCTCCACATCCAATTGGAACTCGCGGGATGCGCATCGATCCTCTCGGCACCGCCACGCGCCACGTCAGTCGGGTTGTCTGTTAGGATCTTGAATTCTGGATGAGAATTGTTCAGAGAATCCAGTTTCACTCGGTTCTGCATAACCATAGGTATGTATCCGAGCATTTAACGCCGATGCGCAGCTGCGCGATTCCCTCCTCCACAGTTGTTGGGGCGCCAACGTAAGCTATGGGCCGATGGACAACACACCTCGTGGGCCATGGGATGACGGGAAGTGGGAGATTCCCGTTGCTACGGAGCCGCCTCGGGTTTCCTGCCATACACCACGCGACGGAGAAACCAGGACCGGATGCTCGAATCGCGTACCTCGCGCCGCAGGTGGGCAATGTACACCTTGATCTCTTCGGGCTTCCAGCCCATGACCGAACCCCATATGTAGAGGATATATCCTAGGTGGATAAAATCGCCAGAACGGCCCGCCGTTAGCAAATGGATTTTCGATATCCCGGCTTACGCAATCCTAGGTTTTAGTTAACTAAACAAAGCGTGCACGTACCGTCAATATCGGATTCAAGGGCCATGCGAGCAAACAAGCCGAGCTCTTTCCTGTCCGGTTCTTTGGGCCAGTCGCCGGAGGGACACGGAAGGTCCCTGACGACGATGTCCACGAAACCGGCCTCTTCCATGTACTTCTGCTGGAGGCCCTCGTCGACGAGAGAGAAAGTCCGTCCCGTCTTCCTGCCGGCTTCCTGGAAGACCTTGCCCCATTGGCCCATGGCGCTCTCGTCCCTGATGCCCAGGTCGGAGCGCCACAGCAGGGAAGCCTCGTGGCTCTCCATCCAGCCGCCCGGCTTGCAGCATCGGAAGGCGTTGCGGTAGAACTTTTGCCAGTCCGAGATGCTCCCCGCGAGGATGCGCGCGTGGATGAAGTCGAAGCTGTTCTCCGCCCACGTCCAGTCCAGGTTGGCGTCGTCAATCTCGAACTTGACGTTGGGCGGGACCCACGCTGGCTGCATCGGGGACAAGTCGGTCCCAATCACTTCGGTGTTGGGGTGTTCGTCGGCGAAGTCGCTGCAAGAACCGGACTGTCAGATCACATCCAGCAAGGATCTTGCATGGCATGGGACGTACATGGCCCAAATCCCGGTGCCGGTGCCGACATCAAGCACTTTCTAAGAGGACGGTGTAAGACCGGTTTTCAAAAATAAGGCTGGCTTACGGGGTACAGGGCGCAGGATCGAGATTACGTACATACCTGGGGATTGTCTGCGATCGGCGCCAGAAAGAGCTTCCCACCTAGCAGAAGGGTGCACATGTGGTGACTTTTTTTTGCTCTGCTTAGCTAAGTTTTCCTGCTAACCCTTCTACTGGAGGGTTAAAGCATCGACGTACTGGATATCCATGGACTCGGCGTGCGCTGCATCGTTTGGCTCCCATGCCTCAGCATTGCCGACAGACCCGTGGTAGGTTCTGCCATGGAGGCTCCGATACTCGAGGATGGTGCTGGACAGCGAGGCCGTGCTGCTTAGCATGTCGCTGTAGCCCGAATCATCGTCGCCGAACTGTTCTGGCTCGATCTAAACGGTCAACCAAAGGCATTTCTTAGCCAAGAGGGATCCAGCCCGCAGTAAGAGAGTACGGTTGGACGTACCTGCTGCCAGTGCGACGCTGGCAGGATTTCAGCTTCAACCGGCGAGCGTGAGGGCTCACCGGCCGTCTTAACGGCCTCGTCCATCTCTGGAAGCGGTGCAGATTTGGCACGATCCGCCATGTTGTGAAAAAGAGGGGGGGGTTCAAAGCGAATCTCGGCTCAGTTCAGTCGACGAAACCAGAGGTCTTGTCAATCCACAAACACTCCGAAACGGTGACCGTTGGACATATTGAGCGAGTCAATTACATACATGGCCTTGAATAGTCCAGGGGCTTTGCGCTCGAATGTCTCGGGATGGCAGAACTGATAAAGCCGCGGAATCAACCACTCGTCCTGCCAAACCTCGGGGCTCGCCGGCCTCTTCACCGAAGCACCCTACCCCGCCCGCATCGCTTCAGCGCTGTTGGTGGTTTGGATGAGTTGGCGGTTTCTGTGATTGGCTGTATAAATGTTGTATGCACTGATAATGAAGAACCGAGAAGTTCCTGTCACAACCGGATAATGTTCCGAACAAGCGTTGCATCCCGGGGCGGGCCGGACGCCGTTGGTTAATGCCGTACGACGAGCTATCGACAGACCGCAACAACCTACCTAGTGGGGATAATACGGGAAGCGAAAGGGGATTGGTTCGTGACGGAGCGTTAAGGAGATATCTGGAAGGCATAAATCTACGAAGTAATGCAAGTATAATCCGGATAACTTTGAAGTTTGCTGGGTATCCGTATCTCTCATAGTAAGTAAGCACCCTCCCCGGTTCATGTCGTGTGCGTGGACGTGCAACATCTGCGGTTGCGTACGGATATACGTGCTTCCCAGCCGTAAGGACAAATATAGAAACAAACACAACAACACTCTCAACCCATCTGCCCAGCCACTCCAATGTTGGAGCACCCAATCGGAAGTATGATGTTCGCCACAACTCTCAGAGGAGCGCCCGAGATTCCACCACGGTCACATTCATGCGGCCAGCACTGGCAGTACAAACTAGGTAGGTAATAGTCGCACATTAACACCCCTACATCGACGCGCGACTATCTCACGACCGTGATGCCAAGCTTTGAAACTACTAGTAGGTAAAACCAACCATCGCCTCAGATTTCTACCTAACTGGAGGTGTCTCGTACTAGTAGTGTAACCACCAAGACCGCTGCCATGAAGTTGCCCAGACTCGGCCAAGGCAGCACAGCCAACCCCAGGTAACCAACCACAGCAATCCCAGCTCCCGTTCCTATCCACAGAACGAACCGCGATTCAAACACCAGCCCTCACCCCCAAAGCAGGTGAATATAAAACTACCAGACAGCGGGCATGACAGCCTGCAAGAATGACAGCAGCTCGCCAGTCTGACAAGCCGAAGAAGTAAATGCGAGAACGAAGACAGAAGAAATCATGGAGCAAGCCCTGCCGAACACAGAAAGAAAAGAAACATCGCATCAGCTCTTTGCCAGCGCCACGTTCCCTCATTCTTATAAGACCGCAACTGGTGCGGTCCTGGCCGGCTGGATTTCCAGATCATCAAGGAGAAACACCATCTATATGTCAGTGACATGAACGAAAAATAGGAACAACCAATGGACGAAAACGAGAGGAAGAAAAAGGAAGTAGCCGGGCCAAACGCCGTGGTTAAGCAAGACTATAGTCATCAAAATCCCGAATCCACCCATCCAATCCCATACACCCCTACCCTGATCACTGCTGGTACGCTCTGTACCCCGGATACCCGCCGGTGCGCTGTCCCTGATTCTCAGCAGCCGGACTCGGCTGGCGATAACCGCCTCCCCCATTCACGGGACTTGCCGGCGCAGGAGGCGGGCGGCTATAACCACCGGAGCTAAAGTTGAACCCGGCTTCACTCCGCAGAGGCGTGGGAGAGCTTATGCCGTTGCTGTTGCTGTTGGTGGAGTACTCACGCCGGGGCGGCGCTCGGGATGAGCCGTACCCCGTGTTATTGTTGTAGCTGCTGCCACTATTGCCGTAGTCGGCCTGGGGTGCTGGTGACCGCCTCGCATAGTCGCCCTGAGGTGCGGGCGATCGTCGAGCGTCAGCCGGGTACGGCGCGGAGCCGTACTGGCCTTGCGGGACAGGAGAGCGTCTCGATTCCGCGCCGTATGAAGCACCGTATGGCCCTTGCAGCCCGGGTGATCGAGGTGGGTTAGCACCGTAAGGGGTGGCGTCCATTTCGTGGGGGGTGTTTTGGCGGGCGATGCCGTAGCCTTGGTTTGTTTGGGAGCTGTAGCCGTCGTAGTTGTCGTATGGTTGCTGGTGCGCCGCGGCTCCGTAGTTGCCATAGCTGCCTTGCCCGGTTGGGTAGTTGTAGACCTGTCCGTGGCCTGCGTTGCTGTACGGGTCACTGTACCCGCCAATATCGAAAGCGTGCGGCGACCGTGGGCCCGCTGCTCCGCCTGCCGCACCGTATCCTGGTCCCGACTCGTTGTAAGCGATGCCTGGCTGATTATATCCCGGCGCTCCTTGCGCGTATGGATCGTTTCCAGATACACCATAGTACCCATTGGATCCGGAGGCAGGACCTGGTGGCCCATACGGACTGCGGTTGACTGGTGATCGTGACCCGGTCGGAGATGTCGCCAGCCCCGTGGCAGCTCTGCCCATTGCGCCGGCACCAGCAACCTGCCCACCAGCTTCGGGCTTCTTGAGCGCGTCCATCTCGACCGCTTCTTCCTCTTCGAGAAGAACTTTCTTGCGCTCGGCTCCCTCCCAGCTGGGCATCTCTGGTAGAGCATCTTCGTTCTTCTTGCCGCTCACGTCAAACTCGGCATACTGTGGGAAGTCTGGCTCCTTGCTCGCCGCCGGTACTGCCGCGGTGCCAAAACCCGTGTGCATGGGCTCTTGCGATTTATATCCCTGGCCATGGTGTGGGGGTATGTATGGCTCGTCGAGATATTTGCGTCGGCTGCCCCTTGGCGGATCACAGCAACCGCAGCAGTTGCCGCAGCACTTGAGGCAAGAGAAGCATGAACAGCAGCAAGACAAGCCGCAGCAGGCGCAACGGATGATGCACCAAATCACAGAGAAGATGATTAAGCCGCCAATGATTATTACCGCAATGACAGGCCACCTAAAAGGACGAGGGTTTAGTCTCGGTTCGCAGACGGGTGTCTTGGGAGCGTGTCAGGGGTTGACGTACTTGCAATAGGTGACCTGCATACAATTGTCCCAGCTGGAGAAGGCCGTTTTGACGTCTGTGAGCTGTCCTGCTAGGTCCCTCCGGCCAAGGGCTGGCCGTAAACTGGCTACCACCAAATCCAGAAACCCCCTCCTCAAACTCCTCTCCATCGCCACATCGATCGCGGGCATCTTGCCGCTGATATGTCCAACCACCCGCTCAAAGGCCGCGGACTCAGGTTGCGCAATGCCGGTATGTGCGAGATCGAAAAAGAGCGATCCGCACTCGCATGAACGGCCCAACGCTATCCAACGAACGTGCTACAACTCCATTATGCGGTAGGTCTAATGTTTGTGTGTATGATCGCCTGAAAACCGACGTGGTCCCGCTACCGCTGCGAGCCCGCCGGTCCGTTTCTGATCGCGGCAGAGCCTGGCGAAAGTCGGATACCCAAATTGGCGCTCGAAACGACCGTCTCCAAAAACAACGGAGCGCAAATGTTAGGCTTGGAAGTTCCCTCGTGGATCAATAGCCGTGTTGATTTCGAAGAATGACCGGTACTAAAGAGCGACAGAAACAAAGGTCGAATGTGGGCGCCTTGGGAACAAGGAATGAGTGTGGTTAGATTCAGGTAGGTAGGTAATAAGGTATGTACGTAGTACAGGATGGCGGGCACAACGATCGCCGTCAGCGTGGTCGCTTTTGGAGTTTGGCGCACTGGAAAGGTCTTGATAACGAATGACTGAGAGTGGCCCTGCGCGTCTCACCTCTGGAAAGGATGAAACTACGAAGGCAACATTGGAAGTCAAGTCAGAGCTGGGGCCTGGGGAGATTGAGAGGCGCGCGAAATCCTCTCGCCCGCAGCAGCAGGTCGAAAAGGGTGCGGGCTGCCGAACTGAGCGATGCGCGGATTTGCATTGGCCCGCCCCTCGTTCATCTTCCGTTCTGCAAGGTACCAACGCTTCAAGACCCTGCAACAGGGGCCAACCGTTTTCGACTTGGCAATGGAACCTCAGGTCCAACGCCTCAGAGGCATCGAGGCTGTGTTTCCTCGACTAATAACTCTCACTACGAAAAGAATCCATGCCACTGCATTTTGTACACTATAGGATTGAGGCTCTACCCATGGGCTAGGCATCTGACTCGGGCTTTCAGAGATCGAATCACGTAGTGACGCGCAGCCTGGCTTCAGAGGTTGATGAGTGGACGAGGGCGGGGTTCCGAGATCCGAACTCTCCACTTGGAGCAATTGAACTCTGGTCCCTGCTTTTGAGTTTTGCATCACCGCAGCCGCCAAATCGGCATCGTCAAGCAAACCCCCGGGACCCGCCCAGATCTCCACGAACCCCCGATGCTGGGTCCGTCAAAAGGAGAACGGAACCGGCTTCGTGAAGACCAGGGAACGAAACCGACATAAAACGTTGAAACCAATTGGTTGAGAGACGCTATAGGATGATATTAGTACCGTCGTCAACTTCCGTAGTGCCGTGTTGTACGGAGTGTAATACATAGAACTTCTGCCTCAAGCCGGGTTCAAGGTCTTGGTCTGCAGACAGTCAAACAATCAGATATTCGTACCCCCAACATAAATCATGTGGAGAAGTCCTACTCTCGAGAGGCCTTGCTCTTCTTCGCCGAAGCATGTCGTCCAGACGTCCACTGGTCTTGTGGAGTCGCTGTATGGTTCTTCAAGAAGCTCTAGAGCTTTATTGCCACACGCAGCGGTCCGGACAACAGCATCTGCTGGGATCTCGCTCAAATCGCTGATCGATTACAGAATCTACCGACAGAATACAGTTTCAGATTGTTGTTTAGAGGGAATGCTAAGCCACCGATCATCATAACGAGTGCCATTACTCATTCGTTCCGAGACGTCACGTCCATTGACCGCCCGAGCATGCCCAGATATCCAGGTAACGCCAGCTCCCGAACCTTTCTCCCTTCACAATAGAAATAACAGTAATCAGAGTAACGGCAAATAGAGGTTTTGCTTCTCCTATCAATGGCCCACTGATGCTCGGCCCAGCGCCAATTTACTTGCCGTGGTTGGGAGGAGGCCCGGGAGGAGGGGCGTAATCGGCATCGGGACGGTGGTAGGCGCTGGAGGGTTGCTGAAGCTGAATGCCCTCCTGGTTTCCATACCCATCACCCTGACCGTACTTGTAACCGCCCGGCGGCGGATTCCCGGCATGCGGGTCCTGCGCGGCGTACTGCGGAGGCGGAGGATAATATTGGGGAGGGGGTGCCATCCAGCCGGTCCCGTACATTGGCTGTAATCCTAGCTTTCTGCGCCGGCGCGAATTACGGCTGTTTGAGGACGCGTTAGCCAGTCGTTCGCTTGCGCGGGGAGGATAATGGAGGGATAGTTAAGGTGACATACAACAAAGAGAACAAAAGGAGGATGACGAAGAGGATCGCGAGGGCCGCGAAGACCCATCTCCCCCACCAGTACCATCCTGAGTATGTGTAGCAGAGCCCATCCCTGCCACGATAACGGCCGGCGCCGCAACTGAAGAGTGTGTTGTTAGCCAAGGGTGAAGTCGGAGTGCTAGTTAGCTTTGTACGTACCCATCCTCGCGCTTCACGAATGCGGCTACCTGCTCAGTGAGAGGCGCCATCGTAGTGTACTGCTCCGATAATCTGGATTGCGGATTATGTTTGCGCGGGAGCTGCAAAAATTATGATTGAGATACCGGGACACGTGGGTTGAGTGAGAATGGTAATGTTAAACGTCGGTAACTGCAGGTGAGGTTTAGAAGTCGGGGAATGTGGCGGTTGAAGAGGCGGGAGTGTTGGCAAGTTGAAGTATCGATGCGACAAAGCCGCAGGTGACGTACGTCCCACAGTTTCAGTACTGCGGATCAATCGGCCAATCACCGTCACGCCAGCCTGTGCACTGTGGGATTCGGGCTTCCCCACTCCGAACTTGGGGATTTGTCAATTTTGTGGCTGAGCTGCTGGTTGTGGAATGGGAGGCAGCCTGCTCTGTGCCGAGCCTGCCATGCCTCTGCTGATATCTGGAATTCTGTAATGCAGAGGAGCAAAACAGCCATTTCCCGCTCCTGTTGACAACTGCCTTTCGAAAACCAGCGTGGCCAAGTGTGCTCTACAGCCAAGCCTGCCATTACACAGTATGCTCACAGGTTCACTGCTACGGATACACGGGAGCACGAGGAGTTCCTCTCACCCGCGCGGTGTGAGGCGCAGAAAGCTCGGCCACAGATCTTTCCGGTTTGGGGCGGCTCTTCAAGGCACCACCGAAAAGTATGGCATGACACACGCTCGTAACGCTCGGTTGCCGGACGCGATGCAACTGGCACATCAGGTATTCATTTCCTTTGTGGTCTTGTAGACCTTCATTATATCCAGATAGCAAAGAACAGCGATGTCATAACATTTCTTCGCCGAGATCTTCTGCATGATGTGTACGGATCGAATAGCTTCCTTCATAGTAATTGCCGGACTTACACGAGGTAGAGACCCACCCGGTTAAGGTATGTAGATCTTGGCGTCTTGCGGCCCGTGGATTCTACGGACGCAGGCGGGTTGGCATAGGATCCGGAGACCCCACTTGCCTGAGAACAGCCACATCCTCTTTTGTTCAGCCACAAAGCAAAGCCACGTGATTGACGCTAGCCCCATCTTGAATTCCCCTCCACACACAAAATTTGGACAGGGAGAAAAATCCAGCCACGAACTAACAAACAGGAAGGTATCTTGCCATCAAGTCAACATGGCGACCACCCAGGCAGTTCAGGTGTTCGGCAAGAAGAAGAATGCAACAGGTACGGAATTTTGTCTGGAGGAAAACATTCGGTGGATCGCTTTCTGACAGCATCGCAGCCGTCGCGCGCTGTGTGCAGGGCAAGGGCCTGATCAAGGTCAATGGCAAGCCGCTCAAGCTGTTTGCCCCAGAGATCCTCCGGGCGAAGCTGTACGAGCCTGTCCTGATTCTCGGCACGGATAAGTTCGCCGAGGTCGATATTCGCATCCGGGTCGCTGGTGGTGGTCACACTTCCCAGGTCTATGCGGTGCGCCAGGCGGTACGTTTCCCTGGCACTCGTACATGGATCCTGAGGAGAAGGAAATGCTAACTCAGGACATCGACAGATTGCGAAGGCTATTGTCAGTATTCCGTGCCCGTTGCACCTCGATTGCGCCTCGAAAACGGATATGCTAACGCGAAAGTGATCTAGATCGCCTATTACGCCAAGTACATCGATGAGCACTCCAAGAACCTTCTCAAGACCGCCCTTATCCAGTTCGACCGCAGCTTGCTAGTCGCCGATCCTCGGCGTTGCGAACCCAAGAAGTTCGGTGGAAAGGGTGCTCGTGCGAGATTCCAGAAGTCCTACCGTTGATCGGGGTTTTGGTCATGTTGGGAAACGGGGACTTGCGTGGACACGGACGGCGTTCGGCATTGCATTGATCAGCTACGAGTCGATATCGGTCTCCGACGATGGCCTGCTGAGGTGTTACTTCATGGCGACTTGGGAGATAGGAATAGGACTCGAGTCTACCTGACCCCCCTCACGATGCTCCTGGCGGGTCTATCCATATGTGGATCATGTGAAATCCGGGACCGCTGTTTCTTGGGCAGGGCGAGCATTGTGGCAGCAATAGAACAGCTCGGGTCACCACCTGGCTCACCCATACCAGGGCAGGAATACAATTCAATTTCTTCCAAGCTGGATGCCACTTGACGATGGCAAAATGGAAGATCATGAGCTGTGCGGCATGCTTGGAAGGCACCGGGACTTGTTGACTCGTTTACAGTGCATCGGTTTGCTCTACACACAACCAGTCGAAACGCCCGGAGAAGGATTAGTTGGAAGCACCACTCCGCACAGAGACAGGCAGATATGACACCTTTGTTTCGATCTGCGCGCTCAGCATCGGCAAGTACAGGGCCATCAAGATCAGGCGAATAATCATGGGCCTTGGAGGGCAAACCTGGCCTGCTTTTAGCCCACCACTTTACGAGCTATCGCACTGTTTGGTCAAGGAACGAGTTTAGGTGGTGAGGATACAGACTGATGGCGAAGGAGAGTGATACCACGTCTGGATAGGCAGGCCACTCGGAAGATGTCTCAGGCAGGCATGCTGTGCAGAGGCGGTTCGACACTTGCCAGGATTACGTCCCTCTTGATTTCCCTAGGCTCTAGCGAACCATCTCATTGTGGACTCGGTCACGGTCTTGACGCTATCCCGCCCCCTCGGGTACTACATCTCAGGCTGAACGATCGCATTCCCCAGTATCGCGTTTTACCGGGCTAGAATAACCTGGAAGCTTGTATCCTGTAGGTGGAGCTGCGTAATATCTATATACGGTGGTAGGTGATACTACGAGCGTGATAACGCCTGGACGGACACCTCCGACATCCAAAAAACGTTGACTGAACTTATCAACACCGAGCACCGAAACCACAAGTGAACTCGGAACAGACTACAGCCTCAGGTACAATACAAGGATAGATATAAGGTAAAAGACAGAAACGAGTACTAGGATTTCGGAAAAACGAGGAACCATATGGCAAAGTCAGAACTGGCTTACGTGCGAAGTCAGGTTCAACAACCCCTCCCTGCCAGGCCTGCCCTGCCCCTCCGTCGTCGGCGCGTGTCTTGTCGATGGATTCCCCAAGCAAGCAAGCAGCCAATGATACCTTCACACGTCAATGGTCCAAATGGTCCGTGTGCAAGTTCAAGTACTTCATGCTATGCAGTCCCCTCTCAACACGAGGAGATCGCAGCTTTTCTTCGGTCCTCCCTTTTTCAAGCGGAAAGCTCTCTCTGTTCCTGTCTCAATCTTTAGTCGACTCGTCTCAAACTTTCCACTCTGATTTCCGAACCTACGCGCTGGTGCTCTCAACACCAGCGCTTAGCTACTTGCATATCACACACGTCCCAATTTGGCGGGGCGGCCATCCATCACGAACATGGGGGCGTCTGCGCAGCAGAACCGCGAACAGCAGGGAGTCTGTTGTGGCATCTCTCAGTGAAAGTCCCACTCAGGCTTGTCTTCTTTACGGTCCTCGTCTATCTTTTGGTACATCAGTTACTGCAATTCTCGTCATTCAATCGTCATAAGGATTAAAATGCTGGCTAAATCTTCGAGATACAAATCACCACGCATTTCTCATCACGCCCTTGCTCTCCTTGCTCGCGGCCGACCTGTTTCAGAAAAACAGCGCCTTTTCTGAAACTACCTTCATGATTTCCTCCCCTCCCCATTGCGCGGTGTGTGGCAAGCGCCACTTAACGATAATACTGAACCATGCCCGGCCTTGCGGCTCCAGTCTGCGCTCGTCTAGCGACGGCAACGTTGCGTCGGGCTTCGTGAACGGACCTAATCTTCGGCATATGAGACGGCGCGGGCAACGTCGATCTATGAGAAAGGCTTGATAACATCGCAGACTTCAAACGCCGCCCACATGAACAGAGGGAGTTGTTGAGAGAAGAGAGTTGTACGTCGCCGGCCGATAATTGGATACGTCTTTGCCCCGAGACCTGCGTCGAACACCCAAGTGAAAGCAAACGCAAAGCCAAATCAAGATCACCGGAAATCAAACCGACGCAAAGCCCGTGCGAACCGAATCCTCCTCGTCGAAAGCTGGGTATTCAAGAAAGATCCAACAAGCTCACAGTGCAGAGGCGCTCACCTACTGGCGTACTTCATCAGCCATTGGAGGACAGCCTCGAGGTTCGTCTCTTCCTTGGCCGAGATGCCATAGCAGGACACGTCGCGATGCGCAATATTCTTCAGGTCCATGGCGTCGATCAGCTCGTCCACCGTGAGTTTGTTGGGCAAGTCCGATTTGTTGCCAAGTACGAGCAGCGGAATGCCCTCGAGGCTTGGTTGTTGCATTAGCGAATGCAACTCCTCGCGGGCCACGGGAAGCAGGTTCAGGTCGGCAATATCAACGATAAAGACAATCGCGTTGACATTGCGGCAATACCTCTCCCACATTGGTCGGAAGCGGGGTTGGCCACCCAAATCCCAGCACTTGAGTGTCACATGCCCCCGTTGCACGCGCTTCATGTTGAAGCCGACTGTGGGAATCGAGCTGCAAGAGGAGGTTAGCCGAGGAATGCCCATCGAAATGGTGGGCGGAACTGCTCCCGGGGACACCCGGGAAAGTTGTGTGGGAAAAGGACGGATGGCTTACTCGATCGCGAACTCTCCGCCCTGGCGACGAAAAAAACTTGTATCAGCAATACGGACTACGTTGATCGAGCGCCCTGTCGTCTACTCACTGAGAGCACGCGGAGAAGCGACGTTTTGCCGGCATTTTGCAACCCGATCATGGTTACATCCATCTCAGTCGCCCTATGTCGAATTAGCACCGAACTCATGCATCGCAGCGGTGTGCTGCCGATGAGATGCGGCCGGGGAGGGCCCGCAGCTTTGCAGCGCGCGGGGCATACGTAGCGGTCAAACTCACCAAAACGTCCGCAACAGCCAGTCGTACACTCGCCTGAAAAGTCCCGCCATGGTCCGCTGCGCTTCGCGCTGGGCGATCGGTGTTCAAGACGAGGGGAGGAAGCTTGAGGGGCGTGTCAGCCAAGGAAGTCGCGCGGGCGTCTGCGGTTCAAGGGTTCGCAGACGGACGGTGAGCCCAGCTTCGATGTAGGTGAGGTTGGGTAGCTGATGGGCTGATGGGCGGTGACAGCTCTAGCAGGGCCTAGTTTGAGTATTGTGCGCTTAGACTCTCTAGGAGGCGCAGGACTGGGAATGAGAATGTTTCGTATGGAGTTCTTGTAAGGTTGTTTTGCAAGCCGCGAGAAATAGGAGCCAGAATGGAATAGGTTTCTTTTTGTGATCGGTGAAGGAGAAGGCGCTCGGCGGGGCCAAACGTGGGTGTGCAAGTGACCAGGCCCACCTAGCAACCTGGGGAGATGCCACCGGGGAACACAAAAGCTAGGTAACTGTTGTGCAAGTCAAAGCTGTGGTCCGTGCCTCGGTGCGCGAAGAAGACGATGGATGTTGAACGAGAGGGCGGTTAGAGGTCCAGGGATGTGGAGCACTAGGACGGGCAGATGAGACGTCAGTTGTCGACAACGACGAGACGAACGGCTGTGGTCATGGACGAGGATGCGGCGGCTGAGATCGCTCCTAGGTTGCAGTCACCGTCAGTGCGGCCCCGCGGCGCAGGCGACTGCGCGGCAGGGGACGGCGTCAAGTCTAATAAGCAGCGAAAAGAGGTCGTAGAGGGCAGGAGGGCGGAGCTGGAAGAAGGTTGCTGCAGGATGTTGCCGCTGTGGATGCTGCAGGGACCTGGACTCTTGCGGGCGGTGGTCGATCTATGTAAGGATGGGATGGAATGCCGATGAGACGAAATTGCCCCCCTTCGGTGGCTCCAGCTTGCTTTTGATAGTTCGAGGTCCAGTCCTGGAAGGTTGCCGCCAGCCAACAAGGGTTTGGCTGTCGCTCTGTCGAACCGCCGAGCCAGTGCACCTCAACCCACGGGCTAAGGAACGGAACCCGCTGTTCCTAGTATCCCAAAACTTTGGCAACCGAACTCAACAGCTTCCCGTCTGGCAGATTGTATTGGTAGCTTCCAACTGATTCCAGAGAAGCAAGACGCCTGAGATGGTCCTGATGACTTTCGCAGCGGGATGGACTTGTGGAGGTTCTCCAGCAGAGGCAAACCAACAGCAGCGGGGTCGCAGCTGCAAGCTTCCCCACGCCGAGAGAAGAACTGGTAGGCTAAAATAACAGTATACGATACCAGACAATATGTACATACAGTACATGTAACGCCTGTAAAGTGAAAGCTCACCGGTAAGGTACTTTTAGCTAGTATGTAACGTACCTTTACGTACTAGTTAGAGCACATGCGTCATGCACGCTCCAAATCTCCCGTCGGTGTGGCGGTGCATAGATGTAAGGTCATACCGTGCGTACTGCAACAGCAACAGTTGCTGCTTGGATCATCATAAGTAATTCATCGAGGATGAGCTCATTAGATCACATGCCTATTGAGACACTTGCAGAAACCGGAGAGACTTGACCAGCACATGCCTATAAAGCTGACCGGTAAGCTCCAGGTCTAGCTGAGCTCACCTATGCAGAATGGCTTGCTCCATACCTACCTATCTGAGTCTCAATATATCCAACAGGGAGAGGAAAGGCGTGGTCCTCCCCAGACTCCCATTGCCCTACAGTCCTAATAAATCCGAGGTCATCGTCTCAGCTTTTGTCGCCAAGTCCAGCATCGGCCTCATGAGTCCATAAGGATCCTTGGAGGTTTAGTTACCACAGTAGTAGAATTTGGATGTACCAGTGGGACGTCCCCACTTGAACATCTGCGATACCTCACTACAGGAGAAGATTGAATATAAGGTTGCCGCTGTCAAGCTGCAACTGACATTTGAGCGGAAGGCGGTTTAGTGATCTGAAGACATGACAGATCTAGGACGCTTAACATTATCGTATTATTATACAGTAAGATGGGCGTGAAGAACCGATGTTGGGAGGAGTCAGTGGAGCAAATTATCCTGGCCCCACCCCCACCGATAAGCGATAAGCAGTCAAAAAAGTTCACCCCCAAACCAGGTACGAGACAGAACCAATTCCCGGTCTGCACCACGGGCTAGTGAAGGTGCGACTCCAGGAATGATTAGACAATAAACGCGACTCCAGACCGGGATAAGCGGCTGTTGCATAGCCTGGGGCGACCCGACTGTATCGCATAGTACAGCAACGAGCTCCGCCCTGCAAGAGAGTCAAGATGGCTCCCGAACGCACCAATACGTCGTGGGATCATGAATACAACACGATCCGCCGTGAGAAGCTTTTCCGGAACCCTCCAACCGATCGGACGGCCTATCCTGCGCTCCAATTAGCCGTCGACCCCCATATTGAGGCCTTCAACGCCCTCTTCCGAAACGACGGCAAACCCGGTCTCCTGGACCATGCACTGGCCGAGATTGGAACAAAGACGTTTCTAGACGGAGACGAGAGAGCAGCGCCGGCGAGCAGGAATAAGCTGACGATACGGTACAAGAGCGTCACTCTTCAGAAGTCCCAGGTTCCGCCATCCAACAAATTTGCCAAACGGCGCGAGATCTTCCCGGCCGAGTGTCGGGAACGGCACGTCTCATACCGGGGGAAGCTCACGGCCGTGTTCGAGTATCGCGTCAATGATGGTGAGCCTCAGGAGTTTGCTCGAGAGCTCGGGCAAATGCCAATAATGGTCAAGGTATGTCGGCGCCGGCCCTAGCTCCTAGCGCCATCTCCGGCCACGCTCGCTGACCCTTCCTAGTCCAACAAGTGTCACTTAGAGAACAACCCGCCGGCACTCCTTGTTCAAAGAAAAGAGGAATCTGAGGAGCTTGGTGGATACTTCATCGTCAACGGCATCGAGAAAATCATTCGGTTGCTGCTGGTCAACCGGAGGAACTTCCCACTCGCTATCATCCGTCCGAGTTTCACAAACCGGGGCCCTTCATATACGCCATACGGCATCATAGTACGATCCGTCCGGCCGGATGAGACCTCCCAAACCAACGTGCTCCATTATCTGAACGACGGCAATGTCACCTTCAGGTTCTCGTGGAGGAAGAATGAGTATCTGGTCCCCGTCATGATGGTCCTCAAGGCGCTTGTCGAGACAAACGATCGGGAGATCTTCGAAGGCTTGGTGGGCCCGCCAAACTCGAAAGGCATCGAAAACACCTTCCTCACAGACCGAGTGGAGCTGCTGCTCCGCACCTACAAGACTTACGGCCTTTACACAAAGACACAGACTCGGGCCTATCTGGGAGAAAAGTTCCGGGTTGTGCTCGGTGTTCCCGACACCATGTCGGACTACGAAGTCGGCACAGAATTCCTCCGCAAGATCGTGCTCGTCCATCTTGGAAGCGTCGACGTGACGGGGGAGCAGGATCTTGACAAGTTCAAGATGCTGCTCTTCATTTGCCGGAAGCTCTACGCGCTTGTGGCCGGTGATTGTGCCGTCGACAATCCAGATGCCGTACAGAACCAGGAGATCCTGCTTGGTGGTTTCCTCTACGGCATGGTGCTGAAGGAGCGGCTGGAGGAGTTGATTTCCGTATCTCTCAGGGCTGCGCTCCGCGACTACCTGGGGAGAAACCCGACGGTCGCATTTACGAGTTCCACTTTCGCAAAGGATTTCCCACTTGCCATTTTCAGGCGGACAAATGAGAACATTGGAAATTCTCTCGAGTACTTCCTGTCAACGGGCAATCTCCAGAGCCCCTCGGGTCTCGACCTGCAACAAACATCGGGTTTCACCGTCGTAGCAGAGAAGCTCAACTTCCTGCGCTTCATCAGCCACTTCCGCATGGTTCACCGTGGTAGCTTCTTCGCACAGCTCAAGACAACGACTGTGAGAAAGCTGCTGCCCGAGTCCTGGGGCTTCCTGTGCCCCGTGCACACTCCCGATGGTGCGCCGTGTGGGTTGTTGAATCACTTGGCCCACAAGTGCAAGATTATGACAGACTCGGTGGACGTCTCGGCTGTTCCGGGGGCGGCCATGGAGCTTGGGGTGAATGACTACTCGTCCGCGGCAACCACGGAGAGCGTTGTCGTCATGCTCGATGGTAGGATCATCGGCTGGTGCACTCCAAACGGTGCCAAAGCGGTCGCCGATACCCTGCGGCACTGGAAGGTTCAAGGCGGCCATGGAATCCCGGTACAGCTGGAGATCGGCTATGTTCCCACGTCCAAGGGCGGGTCCTATCCTGGTATCTACATGTCTTCGCGTGCAGCCAGGATGGTCCGGCCCGTCAAGTACCTGCCACTCGGGAAGGAAGACTTTGTCGGTCCCCATGAGCAGCCGTACATGTCGATCGCATGCACCGAGGGCGAAGTCATTCCGGGCGACTCAACGCACGTCGAGTTCGACCCAACGAACATCCTCTCCATTCTGGCGAACATGACCCCCTTCTCCGACTTCAACCAGTCGCCCCGTAACATGTACCAATGTCAGATGGGTAAGCAAACAATGGGCACCCCAGGCACGGCGATCCGCTATCGGACGGACAACAAGATGTATCGCCTGCAGACGGGCCAGACGCCCATCGTTCGCGCTCCGCTGCACAATACATACGGCTTCGACAACTTCCCCAACGGCACGAATGCGGTAGTAGCCGTCATTTCCTACACGGGTTACGACATGGACGACGCCATGATTATCAACAAATCGGCCCACGAGCGTGGCTTTGGCCACGGTACCATCTACAAGACCAAAAAGATCAGCCTCAAGGACGACACAAGGACGCGTACGTCGAAGACCATCACCAAAATGTTCGGCTTCGCTCCTGGCAGCGCGGTCCGGGCGTCAGACCGAGAAATGCTCGACGCCGACGGGCTGCCTTATGTTGGACGTCTGGTACGAGAGGGGGACATCCTCTGCGCGTGGCACACCGTCTCGGCCGACTACAGCGGGCAGCTGATCAACCGTGACGGCATCACCCACTGGGAGAGATACAAGGAGGCGGAGGACGCTTTCATCGAGGAGGTGCGGGTGATCGGGAGCGACACGGGCAACGAACCTTTGCAGACCGTCTCCATCAAACTCCGCATTCCTAGGTCGCCTGTCATCGGTGACAAGTTCTCATCTCGTCACGGCCAGAAGGGAGTGTGCTCCCAGAAGTGGCCGGCGGTTGACATGCCCTTCTCCGAGTCAGGCATCCAGCCCGACGTTATCATCAACCCGCACGCTTTCCCGTCGCGCATGACCATCGGCATGTTCGTCGAGTCTCTCGCGGGCAAGGCAGGCGCGCTGCACGGGCTGGCGCAGGACTCGACGCCGTTCAAGTTCGACGAGGAGAACACAGCAGCGGACTATTTCGGGCATCAGCTGATGAAGGCGGGCTACAACTACCACGGAAACGAGCCAATGTACTCTGGTATAACTGGCGAGGAGTTTGCCTGCGACATCTACATCGGTGTGGTCTACTACCAAAGGCTGAGACACATGGTAAACGACAAGTACCAGGTCCGCACCACGGGTCCGGTGGTCCCGACGACGGGTCAGCCGATCAAGGGCCGCAAGAAGGGTGGCGGTATCCGTGTGGGAGAAATGGAGCGCGACGCCCTACTGGCGCACGGAACCGCTTTTCTGCTCCAGGACCGGCTGCTCAACTGCTCAGACTACACCAAGTCTTGGATATGCCGAGACTGTGGGTCTTTCCTGGCGGTGCAGCCAACGGTGTCGCCCTTCATCGGCAAACGCAAGCAGGTTGGCACGGTCCGTTGCCGGAATTGCGCAATGCGCCTGGATCAGATTGAGGGTCTTGATCTCATGAAGCTGGACGGCGAGATCTGGGAAGACGGGCAGGGTGTGCAGTGGATAGGGGGTGAGAACACAACCCAGGTGGCTGTGCCCGGGGCCTTGAAGTTCCTTGATGTCGAGCTGGCGGCGATGGGGGTGAAGCTGAAGTACCGGGTGGATACCAAGGACGCGATTCGGAGGGGCCCCCTGAGGCCAGCGGCGCCCAAGGCATTAACAAACGGGATGGTGGCGGCGTGACGAAATATGCAGGGTTCTTCCAGGTAGACAGGCCATATGTCTACAATGTATGAGTTCCAGGTTTCTGTCGGTGTCTCTACTCGGGCATGACGGGTTGTGTTGAGCTGCCTCCTTGGGTGCCCCCGATGTTGCACATGGCGAAAACAACAGTAAAACATCGCCTTACCGAGGGGGCTTTGCAACGGCGTGAGACATTTCCCATGCGATAGCTCTATAGATAGCTTCCAAATCGAGGCTGTCGTGGGAAACACGAGGGAAATGAGAGGCCGCTGCGGTGATCCGGACACAAAACAAACGGCAGCCGATGCGCTCGCGGCAGACGGCTGTGACGGTCTATATCATGCAGTGTCCCGCACAGATTCCTCTGGCGTCCTTGACCACATCCTCTCCAGCAAAGCTGATCTTGTCTGGCTAGAGAAAAGACCTAAAACACTCAGGCCACTTCCACTTCGAGTTCTCTACGGAACCCCGTCGTTTGTCACGGAACCCACGGCAACAACCTGTTTGCCCCCTTCCCCACAGGGAAGGCGCGACACATTCGATTCCGAAGTATCGAGACCTGGGTTGGTTAGTACCTCGCCTGAATTCACTTTGATTGCTCCTTCCCAACTTCCAAACCACCTCAAGTGCTAAAAGTACTAGTACGTTCGGTTTCTGAACTGAGAATTAGGCACCAGGTGGGTGTCTCGGCCCGCTCACTCCCCCAAGGACCTGAAGACTCTCTCATCGGCCGGGCATCGGGAAGCGGCAACGGGGAACCCGAACGCTCGGTTTCCTTCTACTGACCGAGGTGAGCTCATTGTGGGCTGATGAAGAATCTTGTCTTCCAGGCTATCCTCCGTTCCTGTGACCGTCTTCAGCCACCGACTCTCCGTTCTCGTTTTGAATACACACGCACAAGTCCGTCCAACTTAACTCCCTCACCGCGCTCTTAGGTTATCCCGCCCCCCTTCGCCCGTTACAGGGAGCAAAACTCTCAGGTCACCAAACGTGACATTAGCGTGCGACGGAAGCAGTGAGCACAGCACAGAAAGCCGGCGGCGATGGCCCCCTTCCGGCTATCTCTTGTGGTTGTGGTGTTGAGCATCGCGCATACTCTGGTGTTCGCCCAGCGCGCAACCTACGACTATGGCTTCGACGTCACCAAGATAGCGAAACGCCAAGTCGCCCGAGGTGCACGCATAGTCGTCCGAGACAAGAGCGGCGGCGACATCCACCTGCGCCAGGAAATTCGGCAGCTCGAGCAGGACCAGGACGTCTGGACGCTCTACGTCCTGGGCCTTAGTATGATGCAGCACACTGACCAGTCTTCGCCCACGTCGCACTATGCCATTGCAGGTCTGTGTCGCCCTTCTTCGCCTTGGTGCTTTATCAGTCATGAGAGACATTGTTGCGTGCCTTTAGCCCGACTTGCTACAGGGAAAGTTTCTGACCCTTTGTCTTAGGGATACACGGGATGCCTCACCAGACTTGGAACGACGTGAACCCGGTACCCGGGAGTGAGAACACCGGATATTGTACCCACTCGTCGGTCCTGTTTCCGACATGGCACCGGTCCTTTATGGCTCTGTACGAGGTACGACAGATCTGTGTCATCTCGTATTCTGTTGTGGCCATTCGCGGGACCTCGCGGGCAAAACCGTGGCATTGCTGCTGACTTTGCTGACTTGGGTGCCACAGCAAGTCCTGTCCGAACAGATCCAGATGATTGCTTCGCTCTGGCCTCCTACGGAGAGGCAACGCTACCAAGACGCCGCCCGCAGGTTCCGAATTCCCTACTGGGACTGGGCAGCCGCGCCGCCTCCGGGCGAGAGCGTGCTTCCCCGGAGTATTGGCGGGAGTCCGTTTGTCGATGTCGACGGTCCCAATGGCCGCCAGAGGATTGCGAACCCCTTGTTCAGCTACACCTTCAATCCTCTCAATGCCACCGCATTCGGCTACCACCCCGTATGTCATACTCATGTCTCCCACCCCCCTCCTCCCCCATTAGCGGAGTTCCGCTGACATGTGATGGGCAGTGGAATTACTGGAATCGCACGCTCCGAAGCCCGTCGAGTGGGAATCTGGATGCCGTGTCTAATAACTCACGGACCGCCGCCAACCTCGATCAGAATCGTCCATCCATTGCTCAGCGACTATACGCCTTGTTCTCGAGCTATGACAATTACACCACGTTTAGCAACAATGCATGGGGACCGCAAGCCGATTCGATCGAGTCACTCCACGACACCATCCACAGTTTGACGGGCGGCGTTGGGCCTGGCGAGCCGAACCCCGGGCACATGGCCTTCATCCAGTGGTCTGCATTTGATCCAGTCTTCTTCTTGCACCACTGCATGGTCGACCGTATCTTGGCCATGTGGCAGGCGCTCCACCCCAACACCTGGGTTTCGCCGTCGAAAGCCCTGGTCAGGTCATACACAACCCGCCAGGGCCAAGTCCAAAGTGCCAGTACCGCCCTGACACCTTTCTTCTCTCACGAGAACGGTACGTTCTGGACGTCGGACGCAGTCCGCGATCACACAGTGTTCGGATATACCTACCCGGAGCTAGTGCGCGGCCCGTCTCGCAGCGGTGACAACGTCAAGACAGTGTCCCGCATTTCCAGGCAGGCTGTGAATCGTCTGTACGGGTCTTTCAGTCCGGCCAGCCTCTTCATCAAGGAAATGCGAGCCCAGGGGTTCAAGGGCAGCCGCCCAGCGACCTGGGCCGGCAGGGAAGTGGGCAGCGCCACCAGACTCCCTCCTCGCTCCGCCGCTATGGAAGGAAAGATCTTCTCCGGGGACCGCTACAACGAGTGGATCGCCAATGTCCGGGTTGGGAAACAGGCTCTGGGCGGGAGCTTCTCGGTTCATTTCTTCTTAGGCAACCCCCCTCGCGATCCCGAGGCGTGGCCGACAGCCCCAAACCATGTCGGGACAATGGGCGTGTTCGCCGCCGCAGCCGCCCCGGGAGATGGCCAGCAGGGGGATGCAGGCAGGGACGGCACGCATGGCGCAGGCCAGATGATGATGGATGACCATGACGTGTCTGTGTCCGGCACCGTCCCCCTTACGGCGACGCTGATGAAGAACGTTGCCGCCGGCAGGTTGGCTAGTCTGGAGCAAGGGGATGTGGAGCCGTATCTGAGGGAAAATCTCAAAATGAGCGTCTTGGGTCCGAAAGGCGAGGTCTCTGCGGGTGAGTGTCTGCTGGGGATGGGAATACAAATCGTCAAGTCGGAAGTCAGGGCGCCATATAATGAGGAGGAGCTGCCTGAGTGGGGAGAGGCAAAGGCGTGTTTCGAAGTGTGTTGAATGGTGTTAATATGAGGTCAGTTCTCTCCTGGTTCATGATGACGGGTTAGTGGTGATGATAATGAGTATGTAATGCGCAAAGTTGGGTCGCTGCTACTAGTAGTTACTAGTAACTAGCTGCTTCGATCTCGGTGATGGATGAATGGGCGTACACAGGTTGGAGCTTGTCCGCAACTGGTGTTTATTCTACTTGAACTTATTCTATCAAGTAGGGCTAAGAACTCATTTCTATCCTCCAGGTTCCTCCTGCATTTTCTGGGGATTACTGTAGGTTAATGTGCGATGCCGTTGTTTACATGGATCTAACCCGCCGGAAACTCTCTGACTTGCCTAGTTCTTATAGGAGGAGCTACTTAGGTAGTTGTGGCGGAACGCAGTAGCTTGGGTTACAGCGCCATCGGCCCCTCCCGTTCAAGACTCAGGCTCCAAGCATACGGCAGATTTAGCTGAGTACTCCAGCTACCGCACGTACAGTTAAAAGCAGTGCCGCTACCTCGCGATACCCCTGAGTCGGGGGCGGTGACGCTAACTGTAAACAACAACATTACAGCTACCACCAAATAACTACCTAACCACGACATCCTCGTTGGAAATCCACCGATGTCATAGTCCAGCAGGTTCGTCTTGAAATGATAATGCCGTGGATGAGGCGTATGTTCGAAATCGTGCGTGACACCATACCGACTTCCTACTCCTAGTCATCTCTCCTACATGGGGCGAGGATTAGCACGTTTCCATGCCATAATTATACCTGCTCAGCATTTTTCTAGCACCATCAACCATGTCAGATCTTACTGTGGGATCTAGTTTGCGACGAAAATATATATCTACGCTTTGACGTCTCTGACCGAATTCGTCGTCAAGCCGTCCCAACTCGGGCATGCTATTACCCCCATACGCGCAACTCGCCCCTGGGAAAACGTAAACAGACCATCAGGCAAAGACACCCAAGACATGCAAATTATGGTATGCATACCTTATATAAACAGTTGACGCACCCCATCCCAGCACACTCATACTCCGACGACTCTTACCACCCACGACACGCAACCTTTCTTGAAGCCCCGGCTACGGACCAAACACCGTGACGGCTCGAGGAGGTCGAATACAGAACCACGGACGGCCCCCCTTCTTCCGGCGAGTTCTAAACATTAATAAACAATGTGCTGCTGGCGGTGGGCACTCCCATTTTCTTCTCTTGTTGAGCAGGGATGGGCTGGAGCGCGTACAGGTGATGTAGGTATCACCAGATCAATCTCCAGCAACTTACGCTTTTTCTCGTCGACCTGGACGGCATTGCTCTGGGGTCTATCGAGCACCGCGTTAATTCCCAACATCCTCAAGGCCTCCTCGTCCTTGTCCACCGCTTGGTAGAGGAAGGTGTTGCATGCGGCGGCCCAGTGAACAAATAAAAATTGAGTTGAGATGCTGAGCGAAGTACCCTCGTACCCCCGGCGCCCTTCCATCGTTCGGGTCCGGTGGTGGGGGGGAAAGGGGGCGCCGCGTGGCTGTGAGTTCTTGGTTGAGCCGGTGTCTCCGTTATCGCATCCACCACGTACTGCACTCATGTCTCCACGACCACAAACCCTTGCTGATCAGTGTGCCAACCTCCTCGGCAGCGAGGGCGGGGATGGCGTCGGCGATGAGACAGGCATATTTCCACAGACTTGCCAGGGGAATTTCTGGTCCCGTCGAGCTGAAGTAATCCCCATACCTACCTCCTCCTCCCACTCCGCCGCCACCGTTCGATGTTCCTGCCTCTCTGCCCATGCTGTACTGCCTGAATGCGCCGCATGCGCCAACGGACGTTGGTACCTGCCGACCCCTTCGCCGGACCACGCGCGCTGCGGCTGCGGGTGCTTGCAATGGCGGCGACTCGTCCGTTCATTAAATCGATAGTAGGGGGAGAAACCCCCGGCGGCGGCGAGAAACGTAATCGCGATCTCCAGCGGCACAGTCAGAACAAGGGCATCGACGCCGTGGCTACCCGCCGCGGTGTTGGGATTTCTTGAACGGGTTACAATACCGTTCTTATCAAGCTTAGACGGATGTCTCTGGTAACTGCGGTTAAGGGGCTCGTCCTCTTGGCATGTGTCCGGAAGAAGAGGGGCGAGGGAGGAAGAGGGGCGACTCTTTAAGAATCTTGCCTTGTTGGTGTACGGCTTGGCTTGTCCATGGGGAACGTCGAGACTCGAGGATTTGTGGGCAAATTGGGACGGCATAGGGGAGATAAACACGGCCTCCATTCATCCTGGGAGGAGAAGTCAAAGGAAAGAAAATACATACCATTTGCTGAATACTAGTAGTTCCTCAACGATAGGTGTCAGAATGGAAAAATGTCTGCAGTAGATTTCGACGCCGCTATGCTTCAACCCAAGAAAACACAACCCGCTGCTAACTTGAACGATACGCCCAATAAACCTTCTAAGAGACCAGGACCCGATGCCTGCTGTATATGACCAAGGGAAACACCATGAGTGAAGATGCTAGACGGGAAAATCGGAGAATAATGCACCCCATGCAAAGACGCCCGCACAAAGAAAGACAAAGTTCCCAAGTCCAACTAGGCCCCGTTAAAGTAATGCAACACCAGCCCCTATGCAAGCCTGACCATTCACTCAGGAGGAATCAGCTCCTTGGGCAACGCTCCCCGGCTCGAGACGCCACTCCTATTGCTGCCGATGACCGTCTGACTGTCGCCGTCCACGGCCGGATCGTATTCGAGCTCGCGGCTGGGCCGGTTCTTCCGGGCACTGAGTCGTTTCCTCGCTTCCTCCTCGTCGTCGTCCTCATCACTTTCCTCGCTCGCCGAAGCCGCCAGCTCCTCGTACACGACCGTATCGCCCGCGCCCGCGCCGGCCTCACCGTCGGCCGAGAGGGCGTCCTGCTTCTTGATGTAGGAATCGATGATGTAGTACTGTAGGGCGTTCATGATGAGGGGGAACAGCATCATGACAAAGACGATCTGCAGTTTCTCGTTGCCCTCGGTCCAGCGCAGCGCCCAGTCCCCGACGTGGGGCAGCCAGGGGAATATCATGAAGATGATGAGCACGCAGAACTTCATGCCCATCAGGCCGCAGAAGTAGATGAAGCTCTGCTTAAGCCACCACAAGGCGTTTGGCGGATTGCCGTAGTTGCCGCTCTGGATGGACTCGGCCGGTTTGCCGAGAGGAGTGAAGGCCAGTAGGCGGGTCAGCACCCGCACGATGACGATCAATATTGGGATGCCGAGGGTTGTCTAAGCGCCCTTCGTCAGTATTTTTCTTCTTCTTCCAACCCTGTTATCCACGTTAAGGACGGAGGGAGGGTGGGAGGAATACTCACATCAATAGCCAGGTTCAACAAATAAAACGAGCACGGATTCGGCACATATCCCTCCTCGTCACCAGGTCCTCCCCCCCTTTCACCCTCTGGGGGACCCTGCCTGCCCACCAACCCAACACTCATGCCCATGCCCATGCCCATGCCCATGCCCATCATCCCTCCAACCTGCACCGCCCGCCTAGCGATCCTCCCGGCAACGACAGGCATCGGATCCACCCGGAGGCTGAACTTCCCGCTCGTCAACATGGACATGAACACGTTGGCGCCGTGCACCAGCACGCTGCCAACCACCTGCTTGGACACGTCGAACCACCAGATCTTGATCGGCCGCTGCGGCCGCTCCCGCCAGCGCTTGTACACCAGCGACAGCAGCGCCAGCGCGCCGAGGGAGAGCTGCACGAGGATCGCGAACGGGCCCAGCAGGCGGCAGTCGTTTGGTCTCTCGGGCCCGTCGATCGGGGAGCCCTGGTTGCTGCTGTATGCGTATGTCGGCGTTGGCGTCGAGGACCAGGAGGAAGTAGTGGCGGGGGACATGGTGCTGGTCAAAGACAGGGGGTCCATGGCGACTGTGGCTGACACCCCTTCACGGCGATATTGGGATCGAAAGAGTCTATCTTCTAGCGTCGGCGCCGGCACTTGCAGCGATAATCGGATCCGGCCCCGGTAGGTAAATAAAGAGTCGACGTCGGTGCGGAAAAAGCGGCGTCGGTAGGTAGGCAGAGGAAGGCAGCTTGTGTGCTGCTACCGCTGCGACTGACGGCACGATAACATCTGGGATATGCGGTGCTTGAACGACTGCTGGCACGAAGTAGGCAGACGCAGCCTTTTGACCCGAGTGAAGTCACAACCACCCAGAGAAAAGGGAATCTCTTTTGTTTCGTTTTCGGCCCCGCGCGTGGGCGCCAAACAGATGATTAGGGGGGGTTGTCTCCTGGTCTCGTGTCTTGGTGTGTTTCACCGCGACCTGGGCTGAAGCACGGGTTCCGCTCAGTTCGGCAAGCCGCCCGTAAACGTCATAGGCCAGCTACTTGGCTGTTTCCTTCGGGTCGAATGTCAAGTTGTTATGTACGCTTTGCGTGTCGCTTGAAGATGTCTAAAAGGAGGGGATACGAAAGGCAGTTGGGGTACAGAGAAGAAAGAGCTGGAGAAGAAGCGACGTTTTGGTGACTGCGAGGCCTGGAGGATGCTGGGCGGAGGACGCAGACCGGGAGGCAACTTGAAAAGCACGAGGTCATTCAGCCGTGACCTCTGCAATGCCCCTATTGGCCGCCCAGTGTTGGCCTTCTGGGTCTCGACCTATGGGGCTCCACCAGCTCCCGTCAGTGGGGTTCTACTTTAACACACTGGATCCACTCGCGGCTGCCGGTTGCCGGCGAAAGGCAACCGTGCCCAACTTCGGTAGTACCCATTCCGGGACGCCAGCCGTGGTCCCGATCTGCCCGGTTCACCGTTCGGATGAGGTCCCCTGGTTACCTGATTACAACTATATGGTATGGCTGAAGTGTGGACAAGGATGCAAAGGCGACTGGCGTTGGGAGGCCCCGTCTCTTGTTGCGACAGTAACAAAGGAGGATGCTTCAGCTGCAGCTAGACCGTTCCAGCGAAACGGTTAGCTCACATGGGAGCTTGGTTGACACCAGGAAAATATTGGTCATTCTCAGAGAGAAAAGAATGCTTCGCGCAAGCGTTTAATGTTGCAAAATACCATCGCTATCCTCCACGGCCTGCTGCCATGTCCCGCCCCTTGGTTAAAGTTTCAACATCGTGCCCTATGAGGAAGTGAGAGCAGCAAGCAGCCCCAAAGAGAATCAGGCAGTGAGGGGCTGCCATCCATCGGCTTGCTTGCCACCGAACCGCAATCCCAGTTTATCCTTGATCCTCCATAGCCCTGAAACCGCAGCGAGGAAAGGGTCAACCACCTATACACCGCCGAATTGGAAAGCAAACTTGCGAGTTACGTGAGTGGAGCTGTATCCGCTTGCATCTGCGCCAGGACGCCGCCATGGTACATCGAACTTGTTCAAGTTTGTAGAACTGGTCGCAAGGGAACTGTGCTTAGGCGCACTCCGGCACCGTGGGAAGCAGCTTGCGCACGAAGTGAGGCATTCTTCGCACGTGCATGGCGATATCCGGCCTGCCCTTCTTGAGGCTCGACTTCGGCGCTCTGGGCGCCGACGCCGCATGCTTCGTTGTAGCGGAGGAAGATTGTGAAGAAGACGGGCCTCCAGACAAGTTGCGTCGACTCTGAAGGCTGTCCGCAGGCCCGTCTAACTGTCAATCGATGCCGTGCTGTTTTTTGAGACGTTCTAAATCCTCCTTGCGGGCGTCCAAATCTTGTTTTGTGCGGTTCATCATCTTGTCAGGCTGGTGGTAGAGTACTGCGAAATGTCAGTCGCCGAACGGGATCGTCAAGGAAAGAAAAGGAGTAACACACCAACAAGGTAACGGTTCTGGAAGTTGTAACCATTCAACTTGTCACATGCTTGCTTCGCGTCCATCACGTCCTCATAGACGACGAAGGCGGTGCCCTTGGTGTTATTCGCGATGCCCTGTCGCACCTGGCTATATTTTCGTGTAAGTAGGAGGTTTTGAGCTGCCAGGAGACGGACCATTTGGACATACCGAATTGGGCCGTACTTCCCAAAGAGGTCGAACAATTCCTCTGGAGTAACGTTATAGCTGAACTATGGTCAGGATACGATGGTTTCGGTAACAGAATGCGATCCGCTTGGGCAACACACCTTAGATTCTTTACGAACAAAGCTCTATCCATGGATGCAGCAGTTAGCTAAGCTTTCGTGATGCACTGATGCACTGATGCACTGATGCAGCATGCGGACCCGAGATGCCGGAGGCCGGAAGAGCCGTCCGGCGCGTGTCGGGTCATGGGTGGAGAACGAGGAAAGGCAGCGGCCATCCGAACTATGAAAACCCAGATGACTCACCGATTTACCTCCGGGCCAAGTTTGTTGGCACGACTCATATCTCGATGTCGATATTGGATATGCTCGACACGATATCTTCGATGGATGAACGCGTTGGTTGCGAGTGCGGGTCGCGGGTGCAGTGCGAAGCGCTGTGGACGGGTTGACACGGAGGCGAAGAGGAGAGAATGGAAGTTCGAAGATGGAAGGTGATGATGTGGGGCTATTCTACTTTTGGCTTAGCCTACCACGTGATGTGGTATCATCGCCGTTCACGTTCGAGCACGTGTACGACAGCATAATGCCGGTAGACCACCGTGATAAGCTCCGTTTTACCCCCGTACCTCTGACACCGACATACACAGTTACTACATACACGTGTAGGTACTTACTGTAAGATACCTTACCTGATTTTTGATCCCTACTCGTATATTTCATTAGTTTGATTTGTAGTACATGTTTGATTTCTACGGTCACGAAGACTTTCAGCGAGACTAGACCTCTAGTTCGCACGACTGGACTACAGCCAAAAGTAACATATAGCGGCCAGATGATGGCGCTCGCCCCTCGTACGCAGAGTCGCAGAAGTACAGGCTATGAAGGAACCGTGTATCACTACTACTAGTAGTACTTCTCGTTCAGAGACGCTAGTAAGTATGTCGGTGCTCAGGCTGAACCAGCTCTGATGCTCCAGGGGCTCGTCGGCGCGTATACACGACTCTGCAGCTCGCCGTTCTCCGCATTGGACGGTCAGGCCACTCCCGACTCTCTCGTAGATTGTAGCCTTTGTCCTTGTGTTTGTGAACAGACTTTGGTTGCTATTTGTGTTGCATGCTAAGCACACGCGCCCGGTGAAGCCATCGACCTTTATCAGTGTGTCTTTGCTCTTGACCTTGCTCTTCGACTGCGCCATCGCCAGAACGCCTAACAAAGATGAAGAATTGAACTTCAAAAAGCTCACCCAACTCGGCGTCCCGAGCTGGGCTACGAAAACCGCGTCCGGTTTTGTATTTGTCTTGCCTCCAGTCCCGGAGCTGGGAGGCAGCTGATGTGGGGAGACTGATCTTCGGGTCTTTTCTCACCCCATCAGCCATGGCTCGAGTGGCACTCGGACTATTTTGGGTTCCCTCAGCCTGAGGCGAACTGATGACCTCTCCTTTGTTGGGGGTTCTGCGTTCCTTCCAGCTGGGTATGCCAACTCCTTCCCACTAGGCCATGGCCCATGCCCTTGCTGGGCTATATCAGATGATGCGGGACTTCTACACATACCGTGGTTGATTGTCGGTTGTGTCAAAGCGAGAAAATTTCAGGCCAACCGCTTGGACCAGGGCGAGGGGCCTAGGCGTTTCTGTGGCTGCTTGAAGGAAACGACCTCTAGGCCTATAAGAGCCTTGATCGTCTTGTCTAGACCGAACCTTGATCAAGTTCACCCCGGCTCGCCTCATTTCGCACCGGTACGCCTTATTCCGCGCCGGACCTGATCGCCGTGATCGGACAGTCAGGCTTCCACTAAGCCCGACTTCATGTGGATGGATGTTGAGCATGGCATGCTTGACCGCTTGACGCTTTTCGTGTACGTCGTTACAGCCCTGAAAAGAGCCATTAATACCGTAGCGCCAAGGTACCTTATTCTTCCGAACCACTCCATCGGCCATGTCAAGAAAACGGCAGGCTTTCTCCCCAGTCGCTGTGGCTGAGTCCTGCTTTTACGGTCTGAGATTCCCATGGCTTCCAAGGATTTTGCACGAAACCAACGGCCAATACCTTGACCTGATGTTTAAGTTCACTACGATATCATATATGATATATAGCACGCAAAACGGTGTTTCTTGACGCGGCAAACCCATACGTAGCGTCGTCGAGTTGCCGCAGATGATATCTTCGCACTTACGCAGTTGTAAGAATGGTCGTTTTTTGCGATTGAGTTGGAAAAGGGGGCGTATTAAAGAACTTAGATGGTGGCGTCCCCAACAGGCCTACCCCTACATACTAGTGCCTACTAGTACCTAACCTGCGGCCGGCATAGTTTAGGATTTTAAGCGTGTTCCATATCCCTCGATCTCGTGAGACTGCACCCATTGCAGGCCGAATAGCCGACCGCAGTCCCATGCAGTTCCCATGTCGAATGGCCCGAGACGTCATGGTCTCGTCTCAACCTCCTTCGAACCATGCTCTGAGACTCCGCATTTTGGAATTCAACCCGTGCTGTGCGATAACGTCTCGTCGCGAATTTTGGGAAGGGTGATCGAAATTCGAAGAGGACGAGAAGTGACTGCCATTGTGGAGAACTTCCCTTCAAAGTCTCACATAGAGGCAAATGCAGTACGAGACTGCGAGTTCAAGCTGTCTCCATATAACTGCTTTCAAGCACCCTTTCTAGAAGACTTCTATTTCGAATTTGGGTACGATGTTCTTGAAGGATCACTTGCTAGCCATATGTGGATCAGCTTATACAATGTATGAATCCAGGTTGTAGCCTTGTAGGTATGATCCATACATACCTACACTTCCATTCGGCAAAGGTATCGCCACCGCTTGTAACACCAATTCGAGAGACTATTCGGCCTTGGTGTTCGAGGATCCCCATTAGACGAGAGACTTCATTTTTCCATTCATCATTCACACTCACTACGGTGTAATTAATCAATTCTAGAGCCCTAGTCTCCAGACTGTATTATCAGAGTTCCTTTTGATCACAATGACAATCAAGCCCGCTGGGTAGGCCTTTCTAGGCAACGTACCTAAGTCAAACGCTGCTTCCATTACTGCGTCGCAGTATTTGACAATGCAATGCTATCGATATGATTACGACGGGAGTCGTCGCGATGCAGAACTCGCTCCTCTTCAAATTAGTACTATCAATAGCTTCGTTGGAGTGAAGCGGAAGTGCACGCACCACGTCCACAACCCCCAATCACAACGTTACGCGACCCCGGTCTCGCAGGGGCAAGCACAGGAGAATCTCGACTCCACAACCTGCATGCTCACTCGAAGCCCTCATCTCTAAAATCATCCAATGTTTTCCTGTAAGGCACAGAACTGACTTCCTCCTTGAAGGCTGAGGCGGGCATCACCACCAGTAGCTGATCAAAAACATAATGCCGTCGATAGCCCAGGAATCGCCGACGGTGCACGGGTCCAAGAAGAGGACGCGTAAGGTCATCCCCATCCCACCCGGCAAGCGGCGACGCCGATCGGTCGACATAGACGTGGGAGGGGAGGGAGGAGATCCCATGCAGCAATCTCCCTCGGGCTCTCCTCCTCAAGAACGTCAGCACCAGCAACCACATCAATTACAACGGCGTCAGCAACCTCGCTCTAAGAATACGTCCTTGGAAGACGATGCAGAAGAAGAAGAAACCACCAGTCCCGCCAACCTCATGAGCCGCTGCCACATCTGCTTTCGCCGGCCAGACCTGAAGACTTATAAGAACTCCTTCGCCGACTGCGAGAGCTGCGGCCAACGGACGTGCTATGTCTGCATCCGCGAGTGCCTCGGACCGGGGTCCAACATCGATACTATGCAGGCTGCTGAGCCGGTCCCGCCAAACACCATCACCACCACCACAGCAGCAGCAGCAACGACGACAACCTCCTCAGTTGAAGGAGACACATCCTTTACCATGACCGACGCAGACGCCGAAGCCAACAACGAACAAGTGTGGACAAGAGAAAGTGCAGCAGGAAGCAGGCACCGGCGGATGGTGTGCAGTCGTTGCTGTGTAGAGAGGGGTCAGGACGGGGAGGTCGTCTGCCTCGGGTGTCTGCAATACCTCGAGGGCTGAGCCTTTTGACGGACCCTGGCGAAGACATGCCTTTTTGAGCCGTGTACAAGCCAGGTTTGTATCATGGCGACTTCAGATCGTAACGGTTGAGCTCGTCTTCTAGCGGGTCGATCCAACGATCTTTGTCTTGGAGATTGGTATCAGGGGAACTGGCCAGCGAGAAACGGGACCTGAAGTTCGGCCCGCTTGCGCTGCTCCTGGACCCCGGGTGTCGGACATCGGACGAGACATACGCCATCTGCGACTTCCCACGAGGTGGTGTCAGACTGGCGCCCCAGCTCTACGCGCCGCAGGGAAGATGACAGGCTGGCAAGATTCTCGATCAGAGAAGGAGGGCATGGGTCCGGCCAAATTGGAGGATGGAGGAAACAGCGCATGGGAAACTGGATTTCTAAGGGGTGGGGGGCATCAAGAGAACCCATTCTGTCCGGAGGCCGCTGTCGGAGTAGTGGGTGATGGGCCGACCACCACCAGGGCACGGTATGGCGACACCGATCTTCGTTTATTATCGACGTTTAGGCCGTGGTTGATCTTAGATGGGGAGCTGGGGTGCGTGGAAAGATGGAGCGATGCCTTCCCGGGCCCTTCCACTGTACATTAACCTAGGCACACAGTACGGTCAGGCATCAGGACACACGCCAGCGTTTGCATGCATTAGTAGCGACAGAGGAGGTTTAGGCATGTCTGGGAGCCATGGGAGAGTACGTTAAGCATCACTCAAAAGAAGAACATATCATCAGTACTGTTATATGCTCGTGCTGGTGATGTCGCTGTGACTGCTAACAACATGTCGGTGAAGTGATCTCTATTCATACATGCCAGAGCCGAGCCCACTACTAATTGTACTGTGCGTACGCAGCAGTGGAGTTGAACTTCAGGTTGCCCTTGATGACCTTGTCGACGGCACTCAGGAAATCCTTCTCCGTCGCCACCTTCCTCCTCGCCCGGATGGCAAACATGCCGGCCTCGGTGCACACGCTGCGTAGCTCGGCGCCCGTGGCATTCGGGCACAATCGCGAAATAAGCTCCCATCGGATGTCCCGCTCCACAGACATGCTCTTGGCGTGGATCCTCAGGATGTTGGCGCGGCCTTCGAGATCGGGGAGTGAGAACTCGATCTTGCGGTCGATACGCCCCGGCCTCATAAGCGCCGGGTCGAGTGTGGACGGTCGGTTAGTGGCAAACATAACCTTGATGTTTCCGCGAGCGTCGAAGCCGTCCAGCTGGGTAATCAGTTCCAGCATGGTTCTCTGGACTTCATTGTCGCCACCGGCACCATCATCAAAACGAGCACCGCCGATAGCGTCGATCTCGTCGAAGAAGATGATGCACGCCTTTTTGGTACGAGCCATCTCGAACAGCTCACGTACCATCCTGGCACCTTCACCCACGTACTTCTGGACCAACTCGCTACCGATGACGCGAATGAAGGTGGCGTCTGTCCGGTTGGCTACGGCACGCGCACAAAGCGTCTTGCCCGTGCCGGGTGGTCCGTAGAGGAGGGCGCCCTTCGGAGGGTCGATGCCCAGATTGCCAAAACGCTCAGGGGAGAGTAGCGGCATCTCAACAACTTCGCGCAGCTTCTCGACCTGTTCCTTGCAACCGCCCACATCGCCGTATGTGACGTCGGGCTTCTCCTCGACCGTCATCATGGTCACGCTGGCGTCGATCTTAGGCGGCAGCGGGAGTAGAATTTGGTACTTGTTCCGATCAACACCGACGCGCATCCCCTCCTCGATATCTGTTGGGCTGACGCGATCGCCGAGGTTGACGACGAACTTCGCAATTTGTTTGACGTTAATAACGTACTTGCTCTTGGACTCGTCCTTCTCGTCTGGGATGATCTTGGTGCACCGCGCTACCTGAAGCGGTTGCTCTTCCGACATCCGTTGACGATCGGCGGCGACATCCCAGAGGTGAGGTGGCGCTAGGCCGGTATCTGATTCCTGAAGAGAGGAGTCAGCGTGGAGGGCGTCTCGGCCCATGTTTAGGCGCGTAGCATGGCATGCCTACCTTCACGCCAATCTTCTCGTCCACGCTCTGTTGCTTCTCCTTTATTTGCTGTTCGAGCTTCTTGATGGCGGCACCGTACGGGGCGGCGCCGTATGTCTTGAGCACTTGGATATCCTCATCTGATAGCGGGGTGATCTTTTTTTCTTCTATCTCGTCATCGGCGAAGGTTTTCCTGTACTTCTCCCAGTTTTGGCCGGTAGCAGAAGGCTATGCGAAGATTAGCATGCTGGGAGCTGTGGTCCAGGTAACAGCCAGAACGGGGGAAGCCGCTTGCGGGTTGGCGTACCATGGTGACAACAAGCCCCGACGCAAACTAGCGTCGATAATGGCACAATTTAGGAGGATGTCAGGAGATTCGAAACCAAACGATTGCTGCAGTCGACAGAATACGCTGTGGCGACGCCGGCGGTGACAATGGTGGCTGATGTTGATGAAGCTCGAGTTGGAGGCTGCGGTTCTGGATGCAACCGTCGGGTCAAGGCAGAGGAAGCTGAGATGTTCCGTAATCCATGCTGCCTGGGCCCACCGCCCAGAGCTCTGCGAGGCTGAAAGTGGCCTAGTCCCAAATCGGCTAGCTCACCTGGACACCCCGCCTGCAGCAACACCCATCTGGAGATTCACCCCACTGACGGCTTGGGAACAACAGCAGAAAAAAACCCGTCCCACCTTTGGAGATAATAAGAGCACTTAGTGGGCGAGCTGCCTAGAAGTCAACACAACGAAACCACACAGTTTGCTGTACCGACGCAACACACCATATACTGACCGATCGCTCCTGCAAACAAATACACACAAGCTTGCAAGATGGCGGCAACGATGCAAACCGTTGGGGGGGTGGAAATACAACGTTCAGGGTACAGACCGCGTTCTTGATGGCTGTCGGGCAGAGCTGTTGGCTGACCATTCGGTGCAGGATAAGGAGAAACCACTGGCTGTCCGTTCTTCCAACATTGTCGCCGCCAGAGGTAGGAGCCCAGTCAAACCACTGTGCAGCACCGCGACGCTGATTTGCTGCAGCTGTTGCCGACGCGATTAGGACATCACTGGGACCGCGGGGTATGGACAAGATGATCCGGAGCGGCAAGGGCGAGACCATAATCACAAACGATGGCAGCACAATGCTGAAGAGCATGTCGGTCATGCACCCCACAGCAAAGATGCTTGTCCAGCTGTCAAACGCCCAAGACGTCGAAGCCGGTGACGGCACAACCTCCGTCGTCGTTATCTGCGGGAGTCTGCTAGGAGCCGCCGATCGGTTACTGTCCAAGGGCATCCACCCCTCCGTCATATCCGAGTCCTTCCAGAGGGCCGCTGCGGCCGCGGTACAGATCCTCCACGACATGTCACAACCCATCGTCCTCACCGATACCGCTGCTCTCCTGCAGGCAGCCAACACCTCCCTCTCGTCCAAGATCGTCTCCCAATACTCGAACCTCCTTGGCCCCATGGCCGTAAACGCAGTCACCAAGACGATCGACCTGAAGACAGCAGACAATGTCGATTTAAAGAATATCCGCATTATCAAGAAGGTTGGCGGAACGATAGAGGACAGCGAGCTGGTGGACGGCCTGGTCTTGACACAGCCCGTCATCAAGAGCGCAGGGGGACCGGTAAGGATGGAAAAGGCCAAGATCGGTCTGATCCAGTTCCAGTTGAGCCCGCCCAAACCAGACGTAAGTTCCTGTCGCCCACTAGCTTTCCGACATCTACGATACAGTAACTAACCTTTACCTCTCTTTAGATGGAAAACACCATCTCCGTCAACGATTACCGGCAAATGGACAAGATCGTCAAGGAGGAGCGCATGTACCTGCTCAACATGGTCAAGAAGATCAAGAAGGCCAAGTGCAACGTCCTCTTCATTCAGAAGTCGATTCTCCGGGACGCCGTCAACGACCTCTCGCTGCACTTCTTGCAGCGCCTGGGCATCCTGGCCGTCAAGGACATCGAACGCGACGAGGTCGAGTTCATCTGCAAGTCCACGGGCTGCAAGCCCATCGCCGACATCGACAGCTTCACCGAGGACAAGCTCGGCTCGGCCGACCTCGTCGAGGAGGTGCAGAGCTCCGGCAGCCGCATGGTCAAGGTGACGGGGACCAAGTCCGCGGGCAAGACCGTCTCGGTCGTCGTGCGCGGCGCCAACAGCCTGATCCTGGACGAGGCGGAGCGCTCGCTGCACGACGCCCTCTGCGTGGTGCGCTGTCTGGTCAAGAAGAAGGCGCTCATCGCCGGCGGCGGCGCGGCCGAGATTGAGATCGCCTCGCAGCTCAGCAAGCAGGCGCGCTCGCTGACAGGCACTGAGGCTATCTGCTGGAAGGCGTTCGCCGACGCCATGGAGGTGGTCCCGACGACGCTGGCCGAGAACGCCGGGCTTAACAGCATCAAGGTGGTGACGGACCTGCGCCACAGGCACGAGCTGGGCGAGAAGAACGCCGGCGTCAGCATCAAGAGCGGCGGCGTCAACTCGAACATTGCCAAAGAGAACGTGCTGCAGCCGTTGTTGGTGAGCACGAGCGCGATCGAGCTCGCGGCGGAGACGGTCAAGATGATTTTGCGGATTGATGATATTGCGTTGAGCAGGTAGATCCGTGAGATATAGCGGAAATGGCCAATGAGAAAGAGGAGCAGTCTCCATGGACTGCATACCGATCTTATTTTATGGGATATACCGTGACAGGGAAAATAAGTGCTTGCAATCGATGATTCACTGCCTGGTTGTCTACAACTGGAGACGGAAAGTAGAAACCAACCCAAACTGGCATGGCATACGAGCTGCGACGTTTTGCAGGCAAAGGAAAAAGGAGACATAACAGAAATGCAGCGGTTTGAACTACCGCGTGATGATAGAACCCTGCCGGTCGACTCGATGCCGGTTATTCGCTATTCGTACACAATGTAAACAAAAACTTCCCCTCGAGTGCATCCGAGACAAAAAGCACAGAAGCTCCGTCCTGTCTGCCAGCTTTTGAAAAGAAAAGGAAAATCCATAGCAGCGCAATCAGACCTTCCTGAGAAACCATGAGTAATATCTCCGCCGGCGTGCGGAGAACCGCGACGCCCTTTTCAGTTTGATTTTCAGTTCATCGTAGTTGAGTTGGAGGACGCTACCGCCCGGCACCTAATTGAGGTCCTTGTAGCGCTTTGGTCGCGGCCCAACTCTTCTCTAGTAGTTAAGCTCGCCGCCACCACCCCCGGAAACCTGATCCAGGTCCTCGTAGCTTCTGAGTGTCCGGCCCTGGACCGCCTCGCGAGGAGCGGCCGCAGCACCCGCGCCATCACCCCAGCGGTTCGCCGGGCTAGGACGACCGCGCCCACCACCCACGCCACCGCCCATCCCGCTGTCACCACCGTACCGGCCGTTCGGACGGCGGTCATACGGACCGGGACGGTTTTGGAACCGGCTGCCACCTCCGCCTGACATTCCACCACCCCGACGGATCGGACCGGGTCCTCCACCACGCTCGTCACCGCCGCCAGGAGCGTGCCAACCGGATGTAGCGCTGAGAGGATTGGCGCCGCCCATCATGTTCGGGAAAATGGCCATGGGGAAGCCTGGCATGAACATGCTGTTCATGGCGTAGTTCTGCAGGTTGAAACCGCGCGGGGTGCCCGTCGGCTGCTGACCGTTGGATTGAGGGAAGTGGCCATTCGAATTGGCATCCGTGCGGGAGGGCGCAATATGTGCCGGGTCAATAACATAAGCGTTTATCAACGCGAACTGTGTTTCTGCGTTTAGCGAGAGCGATGGAAAGGGGACAACCAGAAAAAAGTCATTCTCTCACCTCCTCCTTTAGCTTTTCGAGCCATTCCTCGTGGCGCTTCTCGACGTGCTTGCGCCAGAAGTGCTCTTCCTTGAATAGCTTGGTGCACTCGGGCACCTTGCAGCGCCACTTATGCTCGTCTTCCTGCTTGACGTGCTTGGCGAGCTCGTCGCTTACCGCCTCTTCCACGGGCTTGCCGCCCAGCTTCCGGAGATCGACTGTCTCAGGACGGAGAATCTGGTTGATCTTGTCCTCGAACGTCTTGACCCAGTTGTAAGCCCGCTGCAGCTGCTGCTCAGCTTTGGACGAGGCACGGAACTTCCGGTCCTCTTCCGGTGCCTCTCCCTCTTCGACATCCTCGGAATCCTTGCGTTTCTTTGCTGGGAAGGGCTCGCCGCTTGCGCTTGCCTGAGCAACAGCTTTGGCGGCCGAAGACAGAGTGCTCCTGGGTCTGCGCAGATGACCACCGGGACACTTCCTGGTCAGCTCGTGGACCGAGTCACTTTCGAAAACGCAGAAGAAGCAGAAGCTGAAGACGCGGCGTAGGTACTCGATCGTGAGATCCAGCCGCTTCTTTGCAACAAGGAGATCCATGTCGTCCACTTCATCATCCACCATTCCCTCATCCTCATCCTCATCATCCTCTTCCATTGCCGCGGTAGCGTCCTCCCCTTCTTCATGCTCCACGTCCAGAGATTCGTCCGTTCCGATAACCCGCTCCTTTTTCGGCTTCTTAGCCGGGGATGCCGAGGCAGGAGGCTGGAGCTTCCCCTCGAGACGCATCTTCTCAACATGTTCCTCGATTTGGAGAGCGGCGTTGAAATCAGAGCCAAAATCGCTCTCGAACTTGCCGACCAACTCTGTGGCGAGCTGAAGATCTTTGCGAATCCGATCTGGGTGTGAGAACAGATCCCAAAGCGCCTTCTTCCTCAGATGCGTAGGGGGGTGGTGAACGCCGACATGGCACGTGAAATCACCACGTAGCTCATCTTTGACCGTCTTCCCGTTGATCGCCTCAAGAGCTTTATCAGCGGTGGAGATGGGAGCGCTAGGCTTGGACTCGCCATCTTCTTCCTCTTGGTGTCCCTCACCGTCCTCGGCGACTGGAACTTCAGGGGCGGGGTGCAACATGATCCAACCGATCCGGTGATATCTCTTGGACGGGTTCGGGTCGCTCAAAGACAGCCACTTGAAGCCGCCTTCTCCCTCACCGAGATGTTCCTTACAGAATGCCTCGAGATTCTGGCGGCTTACGGAAGGTGCAATTGTCTTGATGAGGAGGGTTGGCTGATCCAGGCTGTCGTCTCGGATCTCGACAGGGCTGGCAGGCACCAGGTCACCAACGCCGAGCGTTCCATCCGCCGCGGTTGCTTCGCCCTCCTCCTTCTCGACCACACCGCCAGCCCCGTTGCTTTCACTCTTAGGCATGCCTTCGAGAGAGAACTCGTCAAAGGTACCGGAGGCCAGGTCTTGCTCCCACCGGGCGTATGCGCCACGCCGAATTTCGTTCAGCTGCCGGCGGAGCGGATCCCGAACCTCAGGCACATAGCGCTCTTTGAACCATTGTTCTTCTTTGTGCTGCCTTACGAAGGTCGATGCCATCTTGCCTTGGAGTTCCTCTTTATATGCGTCATATGCAGCCTGGATCTTGGCCTTTTCCCTCTCCCGGTCCTCCTGTGCTTCGCGGGGGCCGCGCATACGCTCAGGCTCCCGGCGTCGGCCCGTTCTCAATCGTTCCTTCTCCTCCTTGATCTTCTCGTTCGTTCTCCACCACTCGCCAAACCACGAGAAGCCGACCTGATATGGCAGGGTAAGTGGATTTGGAAGAGGGTTGGTCAATGGCTGCGGCGGCGTTGAATCTTGGCCTGGGACATAGCGATCGATAATAGGGTGGGGCGAGCGCCGACTGCGGTCATCCCTATCGCGGGTGCCGACATACTCGTCACGGCCACGGCCTCTAGGCTCGTAACGATCGACAGCAACGGGAGAACGGGACCGCCGTCGGCTACGGTCGGTACCTAGAGAATGTAAGCGGATGGGTCAAGCATAACTGAATGGAAACGGCCGACGTAACGGCGTGTTGAAGAACGAAAGGATAAGCGCGACGAAGAACCAGGACACACCAGGGGATCTGCTGCGATAAAAGCTGTCTCCTCTCTCATCCTTGACCCTCGCATCATCGCGGCTGCTCCAACGGTCGCCGGGCGAGCGAACTGAGTCGCGGTAGTACGAATCCATTTCGGCCCAACAAGTGTATTATTTCGTCGACGTCAACTCGAGTCCTTAGAAGGGCGCGGGACCCGTCGTGCGCGAGGAGGCCGATGCAGGTGAAGAAGGTGCGAGCGAGCTGCTGTTGGATGTAGCAAGGCGCACGGTTTCGTTGTGCTCCCTAGAAACGTTTGTCTGTCGCTTGCTAGGTGATATCAGAAATCGAATGCGTGATTGCTGTTTGAAGTCGGCGAACACTGTTTGGCGACATGATTGCGGTTAGAAACAACGGATCTCGGCGAATTCGGGCGACGGCAACGATGAGGAAGAAGCGGGCTTGTGAAAATGATTGAGAGCGGGCAATGAATAAATATGATAGCATTGGCGCATGAGGCCAGTAAAAAGGATGAAGAAGGTGAAGGCGACGGAGAATAGGAGGGTCTCGCCGAGGCTGCTTCGTTGACGGTGACGAATGCTAGGTGGTGAGGTGGGCGAGGATAGCAAGACAAGCCAAGAGAGTGCTCGCTGCAACTCGAGATGGACAGGAGCAGATAACCAGGGCCTGAGAAGAGCAATGATTGGTAGGAAGACGTGAAAGGAAACGTGAACGAACAATTGTATAGGGTCCAGTGTGAGCGGCAACGACTCCCGGAGCAGATCAATGTTGCGCGCTGGCCTGTCCTGTTGGATCGCGCGACGGCGTGGAGTTGATGGAATGGAACAATGACTACGGCAGTACAGCAATACGCAGATGGCTGCGAGAGGTCCCACTATGGCCCGCAGGACCAAGAGGCTGGCTTTGTCACGTGACATGTCCACAGCTAGAACGGGTACTATCCAATCATTTCCAGTTAGCCGGGCTTGGCACCTTCTGGCCGCGGGGGGTTAACGAAACAAGTGGCAACACTCCTTCCTACCACCTGCATACTTAAGGTATTCAATATCATCTAAGCCAGGCTCTTTTCAAGAGCGATAGAAAGTGGCGGGGTTGCTGAACTGATTACCTATCAGAGAACCAAGCCGGTAAGGTCTCAGCAGGATGTTGATAGAGCACCAATGCGCTCCTTGAAGTTTGGAAACCTACGACAAAGCTTCAGATAACCTCAGCACATCGGTTGCCACGGAGGACCTGGGTGTTTTACCATGTATAACGCTTTTCTGGCAAGCAGCAATGCCTAACGTCTCGCTCTCCCCATATCCTCCCTGTTTCCCTTGGACATTCATCAACTTGCTACTTTCACTGCGAAACTGGCGCGCAGTTACATCGAATGTTACCCGCATATATAGTCCCGGACAAGGGAACAGCGGGCGACGTCGTCATATCTCCATCCCGCTCGTCGCTCGCCGCGGTTTTGAGGGTTGATTATAAGTATTAGTAGTCTGTAGTTTCAACGATTTCCTTTTGAGAAACATCACTCAGTATTAGATTTTGAATATCCCCTCCACCTTGGATTTCTTCCACCTGTTATCCATCGTAGAATCCCCTTTAGCCTCGAATACACAGTGACCGAAATGACGACCTACATACCTTCACTCACGCTGCCTGAGGCAGTCTTCAACAACCTTCCCGGGTCAATACTGTTGCCAGTCGTCCTTGGGACAGCCGTAGGTTTCAGCACCAGACGTACGTAACATTTCGAGGTTTCGTGTCAGTTCACCACGCCATGACCTAACAACAGCGCCCTTTGCAGCCGACAGCAGCCATCGCGAATCCGTCACCCTAAAACATCCCCCCTTACGCCCCCCTGCCGGGGTCTTCGGGCCAGTCTGGACCACGCTCTACGGTATGATGGGATACGCCGCATACCGAGCAGTGAACCCAGGCAACCTGGCAGTAAACTCTACCGTAAGCCATTCCCCTTTCCCGCCGATTCTCTCCTTGAGCTTTGTCCCCTCCCAGAAAACTAACAACACGAAAACCAAAAGGAAACAATAACCGCTGCCCGACATGGCGCAACTCTCTACACGATCCAGCTGGGCCTGAACCTAGCCTGGATGCCGCTCTTCTACGGCTTCAACCACCCTATCCTGGCCACCGCCGACGCTGCGGCGCTGCTTGGTATCAACTCGTACCTGGCTTGGTTATGGGGCACCAAGGTGGACAGCACGGCGGGCTGGCTGCTGGCGCCCTACGTCGCCTGGCTCGGGTTCGCGACCTACCTCTCGTTCGGGACCGGCTACCTGAATAACTGGGATCTCAGCCCCATGGTCGGTGGTGGGACTGCAGGGGGGAAGAAGAAGGCGTAAAAAGGAGGCCTCGATTGCGAAAAAAGGGCAGAAAGGGGGAAGCAATGGCAAAGTCCGTTGTCTATCTGGTCCCACCCTGGCGTTTCTATGCAAAATGTAGAAATAGCTTCTGTGGTTGGGAAAAAGGATCCGCCTTCGCCTGCAACTGTAGGCGTCCTTTTTCTGTTATGTGACCACAGGTCGTCATGAGTTTATGACCCTTCTCTCCCTCCGAACGTACCGGAACGCCACAACGCGCCGCTAGTGATGAGAATGAGATGCCGCCCCGTCTATACCGTCGCCCGTTTCCTCTACCCCCCCAGTATGAATTACCGCAGAAACCCACCGCACGTCCGTGTCATTGCAGAGGGAAGTACGTTTTCAGCCCATCATAGACCATGAAAATGACCGCAGAGCTCGGCACCGACCTCAGCACGGTGATGCCGCACCCGCGATAAAAGCCCCTCAAGCCGGCCTGCTTCCACAGCGCCGCCGTCTCCGCAGCGAACGACCTCTGCTCGGCCGCTGCTTCGCCGATCGGCGAGGTCTGCATCCTCGACTTGACCGTATCCGCAGGGAAGAACAGGAAGTTATACGACGCGCCAGCCGTCGCGCCCGCCACCGCCTGCTGCCACAGCGGCAGCGCATCCGCCGCCCTCGCCCGTTCCTTTTCCTCCTGCGTCTGCGCGGACCGCTCGTTCCACTCCCGCATCAGCTTGGTCACCGTCTCCTTGGACCCGAACCACGCGGCGCACCCGCCCGACTCGCGGATCAGCGTGCCCAGCTGGCCGTGCCAGAAGCCGCGCAGCCCTTGGTGGCGGAAGATGTCGCGCATGACGGGGATGGGCTTGAGCGGGGCCCTGACCACGCCGCCCTCGGTCTCGGGGACCTGGATCTTGCACTTGACCAGCTCGACGGGCGTCAGGATGAAGGAGGTCATGGCACCGGAGAAGGCGCCCGTCATCCACAGCGCCGAGAGCGGGAGCGGCTGGTCGCGCGGCGAGTAGCCCGATGCGTAGATGGCGGCGCGGCCGAGGCGCTCCCAGAAGAAGAGGCTGCTGTTCTCGAGCGCGGCGCCGACGAGGGGCGCTGAGATGCCCCGGTACAAGCCCAGGACGCCATCGGCGCGGATGGACTGGCGGAAGCAGTCGATGGGTCCTTTGTATCGGAGCGGGAGGTGGTCGGGCTGTGACTGGAGGCGGACCTTGACTGTGTCGAAGGGGTATTCAATGTATTTGCCCACGACGCCGGCAACCTAGAACGGGAATCAGCAAGAGTCCTAGGGAGGTGCATTGAGTGGTAAACACTTACAGAGCCGTAGAGAATGTCCTCGATCGCCTCCATCCCCGCAGTCCTGGCTTTCAACTGTATGGGCGCAGAAGTGGCGTCTGAGAGGGGCTTGAGGCAGCCTTCTTGAGTGGTGGCCGGCTCCATGTCTGTGGAAGGCGAGACGAAATGTCGAGAGGCTCACGACCGGCACAGTAGCCAGACTAACACTGTGCAGAGTTTCTGAGTACTGCGTGGTGTGAGCCTCGATGGTATGTGCGAGCGGCCCCCCTGGGCCTTCGCAGTCCGATGCTCGCGAGACGCGCACAGCAGAGTGTGACGCGCAACCAGCAGCGGCGGGGCAATGTAATGAAACGGAGACGTCAACGCTTTGTTTGCTCCCACAATGCAGCCTGAATGCAGCGCGACAGTATCCAATACAGATCACACATACGGCTCGGCTCGTGGTATGTTGGTCATAGAGTCACCGCTCAAGCGGGGAGAACGTGAATCAAGTCCTGATGAGCGGAGGAGACTACCTTAGCCAAGAAGATGGCCGGGCTTTGTCTCAGCTGTTGGAGATGCTCGAGACCAGTGCACCTTGCCGTAGGGGCATGAAAGATCACAGGAAGATTTCACATCATAGGGTCGGCGACAGTCCCTTCAACTTGGGAAGCCTATCCGAAATCCGCTCGGGCACATGCTGGAGTGGCACTGTGACTCTCCGTTATGTGTATCCGGCAGTGGGACGGGCTGGAGAACAACCAAAAAAAATTTGGAAAGCGGCCCGGCAGTGCCCGGCTCTTGGCAGCCAGGGGTTGCCTTGATTTCGGCGGGGATCAAATCATCAAACAGTGTCAGCGCCAGAACAGCCGATTCGCTCATCCATGCGACACCAATAACCTACGTGCCTACCAAGCTACACGGGAACTAGGTATGTACTGTACTGTACCGTACGGCCCATGCCTAGCCCGACTGTTCGGGCAATAAAAGTTTACCCCGGCAGGATTAAGAAGAAAGAGAAGAAAGAAGAATGAGAAAATGAAAAGAAAGAGGCGAAGCGGGGGAGGACGAGGATAAGGAAGATGAGAAAGGCCAGGAACAAATGACCTTGTCCCGTCTTGAAACTTGTATAAATAATAGGTGCTTTTCCTGGACGGCGTCCGGGTCTTCCAACAAGCCTCATCACCATATAAAACTACCTGACTCCTTTGGACATTATCGTCGTTTAGAGTTTTTGTTCATGGAGCGAAGAAATGCAAAAGCAAGGGTCTGATTCAACCACCCCTATTATACATTATGTTGCGTAGAAAACTCAGAAGCCATGTACAACACCACCTAGAACCGGGCATGAGCCACCTTTTTTTGCAAACCCACTGGAATCATTCAACTTAAAACTCAGAAGCCATTAAGAATACAACAGCTGGAAACCCTATTCCCACTACGCCCAGTAACGGTACAATACGCCCTAGAACCATGAGCCACCTTTTCCCGCAAACCCACTAGAATCCTCCAACTTCTTCTGACCGCGTGTCGGTTTCGACTGCGCGGCCTCATGTCGCCGCAACTCCTCAGGCACCTTCGAGATTGACGACTTGGATATGATTTGCTTCAGGTCGTACATGACATCTGTGTCTTCGTTACCGAGGAACGTGATTGCCACACCCCTCTTGCCCGCACGACCAGTACGACCAATGCGATGCGTGTAAGCCTCGATGCTGGATGGCATGTTGAAGTTGACGACCAGCGAGACGTCTGGCACGTCAATACCACGGCCAGCCAAATCTGTCGCAACCAGGATGCTCGACTGGCCGTTCCGGAGTGATGCCAGCGACGCCTCACGCTGTTCCTGCGTTTTGCTGCCGTGTAGTGTGACTGTTGAGTATCCCCACGACTTGATGTCTTTGGCGACCATTTCGCAGTTGCGCTTGATGTTGACAAAAACAATAATGGGTGGTTTGAACTGCCCAGAATTGAGGATTTCCTGTAGCCGCCGCTTCCGCTTATCCTCGCCGCTGATGAACTCGACACGCTGCTCGACCGTATCAACCGCCTCTCCGGCGTTACCAATCGTCACGATGGCTGGCCGCCGCAAATACTTCTTGGCGATCTTTTCAACGAGCGGTGGCATGGTTGCCGTGTACATCATTGTCTGCCGGTATCGGTCCTTTCCGGCAACGTAGCGTCTCATCAGCTGCGGGTTCTCGGCGTCGTCCGTGTCCGGTTTCTCGTTGGTTACCGGAAGGGCATCGAGGATCTTAGTCAGAGGCTCCTCGAACCCCTGATCGATCATTCTGTCGGCTTCATCCATAATCACATAACAGCATTGCGAGAATACCAGCAGGCGCCTCTCAAGGCAGTCGACAAGACGGCCCGGCGTCGCGACGATGATCTCTGCGCCGTTGCGAAGTGCATATGCCTGCTCTTCCAAGGAGTGACCACCAACGATGCTGACAACGGTGAAGCCCAATGGGCCGGCAAACTTTCTGGCTTCTGTCTCGATCTGCTGCACCAACTCTCTAGTTGGCGCAAGGATAAGCGCATACGGTCCGTCGTTCCTGTTGTCTTCGGTAAGCGGCGGTAGCTCGGAGATGTATACGAGGAGTGGCAGCAGAAACGCGGCCGTCTTTCCGGAGCCTGTGACAGCAACACCGATCAAGTCGCGGGCCTGGAGGGCGATCGGTATAGCCGCCTTTTGAATCGGCGTCGGTTCGTCGTAGCCTACTTTGTGGACGATCTCGAGCAGACTTCGTGGCAGATTCGACTCTTGCCAGCTCCGCATAGGGTTCGGGATGGCACCGCCTTTGGTAGCTATAGCGAAGTTCTCTTTGAAGATACGCCAGTCGCGTTCCTTCATCTCTTCTAGTTTCTTTTCCGACCAGTGTTTCCCGAAAGTTCTGCGCTCGACCTCTTGCTTGGCGCGCTCGTGTCGCTCCAAAATATCCCTTGCCCGCTGCTCTCCGGTCTCCGGATCGCTGCGCCGGATAGATTCGACCTGCCGTCGCACCTTCTCATCGGGGCTGAGTGCTGCGTATTCGTCACGTCCTGCGTAGATGGGGTCGTAAGGTCTGCTTGTATCGTCTTCTGGATCCCAGTCGAAATTGAACTTGTTCGCCGCAGTCCTCCTCCTCTTCTTCTTCGCCGAGAAGGTGGATTGGTTGACCTCAGGGCCGAGATACCGGGCGCGTAGCGCTGCCGCATCCGCTCGTTCCATCTCGGCGCGCTTTTCCTCCTCTTCTTCGTCTGCCCGAGAACGCTTTCCAATCTGCATATGCTCCGAGCCATCGCCGGGTTGGCGCAGAGCCCTGGGGCCGGTCGGTATATCCTTCGCCTTTGTCTTGTCCGTCGCGAACCAGCCCAACCCGTGCTTCTTATTGTACTCCCATTGTTCAATCCGCTTCTTGCGCTCTTCCTCCTTGGCTGCCTCTTCGGCTGCCTCCTTCGCCGCCTTCTCTGCGGCCATGCGTTCGCGCTCTTTCTTGGGGATAAACCTGGGTTTCCAGGCAGCTTTCTCAGCATCCCGTTTGGCGAGCATCCGGAAAATGTCAGGCGGTCTTCTTGGGTCTCTCCTTCCCTCGGCTTCTTCCATTTCTCTCGCCTCGGCGGCGAGTTTGCGCATGGTTTCTTTGTCGCCCAAATTGGGGAAAGACAATTTACTTCTATCCATGGCAATGACAGAGGCTTGTATTGTTTTTGAAAGGGTTGATAAACGATGGGATGACGGCTGGGAGAGAAATGGGGGCAGTCTTCTAAGAAAGTTGTGTGTTGGAGGTCGAGTGGCTATTATAAGAAGCGGATAGCAGGAGCGTGCGTGGGGTGAATGTGCACCGAAGGGTCCTCGCGGATTACGTAGTACAAGGTGGCACAGTCGCAAACCTTATTACCACACTGTACAAACTCGCGTAGCCTGGTGCGATGCGCGGATCCTATTGGTGGGCTTCAGCGGGCACGGCTGTCTAGTCAGCTGACATGTCATGTGCCTCCGCGTTCTCAGAGCCCGTGCGACAAGGATGGGCTTGATCTGACCTATCAACCCCGCGTAAGCACCCTGCAGCTCCACGTAGCATTTGCCACTTTCGCGAGTTCGCACGGAGTATGTTACATTGTACTGCCACCTTCTACACTACCACGACCTAATTAGGCTCAACGTCGACGACAGCTTTGAGTAGCTCCAACGGCCTCATGCTTTAAACTTTCGAGTTTGATCACTAAGATATACTGATAGTACGTAGCATAGTCAGTACCTAGTAATCTCGAAATTCTTAACCACTACACCTACCTCCATATTTGTAACGGCCACTTGCATACACGCCACGGGCCGTAAGCAGATGCCGTATGCGCAGTACTACTCTACCGGTATAAGGCTTCTTCGGACAAGCGATGGCCTAGTATTCTAATAGCCACAGGAATCCTATTCTTTCTCCTAGTGAGTCTACTAATACTATGAAGTATGGGGCGCTAATGTTACGACACTCTTTAGAGTGTGCTAGTGACAAGTGTATCGGATTAATCACTTTCTGTGATGTTACGGTACCTTATAAGATCATGTAAGTTACTACTAATACAGTACTACTAGTAACGTTAGTACACCTAGGGGTCAGCAGGGTTAGGAGTAACTGTGCTACATCGCCGCGGTCACTTTTTTCAGATTGCGCGTGAGAACCTCTTTGCCCCGGTTCGTCACTTCGACATCCCGCGCCCCAACCACCAATGCAATGTCAACAATGGCGACAGCGGTGTCCAAGAACGTGCAATTAGCACTGGCGCTTCCAGCGCGACTGCGGACTTTCCTCGCACGGTATCCTCCCGCCTCGATCCTGCCCGCGGGGGTCGACCCCGAGACACACAAGACAGCCTACCAAGAAGAGACACCAAACCCGTTCCTGCCGACGAAGCACCCAGTTACCGGCCGATGGCACGACCCGAAATACTCGATGCGTCGGCAGGCTGAGCTTGTGAAGATGGCGCGCGAGCACGGCGTCGAGGAACTGCTGCCCTACACCCCTAAGGGCACCGAGGTCAGGTTACGCAAGCGGGTCGAGCTGGGTCTCCGTGTTAGGGGTACCGGTGTCGGCCAGCAGGTCAAGGGCCACAAGCACGAGAGACAGTTGGGAGTCAAGTATGTCTGCGTTGTACCGCCGGATGTCCCACGCTTGCTGACTTAGTGGTTCAACAGGATGGAGAAGAGAAGACAGGCTATGTTGGAGATGCCGGAGCTCATCAGAGAATGGAAGAAGGTTCGTTCTCGGGCCTTCCGGTGCACCCTTGGCAGCCCTGCTGACTGGTCTTGTTACAGGTTGGGAAACGGGACTGGACAAAATTCCCGAAATAAGGCACTGTACGCTGTGTGCGGGAGCTGGGATATCTATAGAGTGTACCAATACCAATGTACAAGCACAACGTCCCCTTCAACCACTCTGGGAACCCGAAAGCCGCGGATCATTAGCAAGGGCGGACATCCTGTCTCGCCGTTCCGGCTGGCCCAAGCTCTGGGACATATTTCCGTACTCTCGGATCGCGCCCCACCATCGTCATCGGGCTCTTGCTACGGTGCCCGAGTGGGCAACTGGTTGAATTCAGCGTGCCTTAGCCACCATCTCGCCGTCTTGACAGCTCATCTTCGTCTGCAGGAAACAAAGGCACTCTCCCTTCCTCGACGGAGGCTAGATGGGGATATCGGATAGCTACGAAGCACGTGATCCACTCTAAATTGTTATCCAGAAATTTCCCCTCTGAAGCTCAAAGCAGATTACTCCGGCGGTACGGATTACCATCACCAAACTCAACACCAACTCAACTCGCCCACTCGAGGGGTACCAACACCGCTGAAGCCATCCACCACAATGCCACCAGCCCTTGTTCCAAACTATTACGAAGTCCTCAACCTCTCCCAGGCAACGCTCTCCACCCACGACGAAGCCACAGCAGCAGCCCTGGTCAAGCGCGCATACCGCCGGGCCCTTCTCAACCATCACCCAGACAAGACTAAACACCAACACCAGCATCAGAACCAGCAGCAGGGGAACACCACCGTTCCCACCTCATTCACAGTAGACCAAATCTCTTCCGCCTACGCCACCCTCTCCCGCCCCGGCCAGCGCAAAGCCTACGACCGGACCCTGCAGCTCCAGCGCCAGGCGCAACAGCAAGGACCCTCAACAGCCGGAGGAACGCCATCAGATTTCCAGACCGGGATCGAGAACGTCGATCTGGACGATCTAGCTTCCGACGGCGAGGCGGATGGGACGACCGGGTGGTACCGCGCTTGTCGGTGCGGCAATCCGCGCGGGTACCACTTTACCGAGGCCGATCTGGAGGACGCAGCGGACTTAGGGGAGCTGATGGTCGGTTGTACGGACTGTAGTCTTTGGTTGAGGGTGCATTTTGCTGTTGTGGATGATGCGGAGTGAGGAAACTTGGGAGGATAAGCAAAGGAACACTGAGCGGAGCCATGAAGCCTCAGCTAACAACTTGAAGACGGAAGGCGAGTTTGGGAGTTGGTGACTTCTGAGGGCGGGGTGACGGAGTGTGTATGTTGCTCCGGTTGGAAGCTGTCCCGGATCCTGGGGGGTACGAGACAGCTAAGCTTCCATAACATCAACAATTACCATATATGAGCTGCACCTAATCACACTGACAGCACTCTTGGCACCAAGGTGAAGGCGGTTTGTGAAGGGGTTTTATATTTCCTTGTCTAGACGATCTTCGCGAGCCAAGAGTCTAAAAAGCAAGCAATCTGAGAAAGGAAAGGAAACCCTCCAAAATGCTGCACTCTAGCCCTTAACTGCCGCGATAAACCGCCCACCAAGTCTCGTGTGTATCTGTCCGTAAACATGCAAAGGTACGAGGGATCTCCAGTCCGCGCTCCAAAGACACCGTTTCCACCGAAGGTTTGCCAAGATAAACCGTGGGTAATCACTACCAATGAGACTAGAAACATGGAACGGAACCGGCTACTCGGCCTTAGGCTCCTCCGCAGCCGTCTCCGGCTTTGGCTCCTCCTGCTGGGGGGCGTCGGCCTGGCCTGCAGCAGCGGGGGGCTCGGCCTCGGACGACGTCCAGAGAGTCTGGAAAGATTGTTAGCATAATGCTACGTGTGGTTCCGGAGCGGATGATACATACCAGGTTGTCGCGGAGAAGCTGCATAATCAGGGTGCTATCCTTGTAGCTCTCCTCGCTCAATGTGTCGAGCTCTGCAATGGCAGTGATTAGAAGCGTGACCGCATCTATGGGCCAGAATGTGTTTACTCACCGGCAATAGCGTCATCGAAGGCCTGCTTGGCAAGATGGCAAGCCTGGTCCGGTGCGTTGAGAATCTCATAGTAGAAAACGGAGAAGTTGAGGGCAAGACCAAGGCGGATGGGGTGAGTGGGCGGAAGCTCGGTCTGGGCAACTTCGGTGGCCGCCTTGTAAGCCTCGAGCGACTTGTCGGCCGAGTCCTTGCGCCGGTCGCCAACGGCAAACTCGGCAAGGTAACGGTGGTAATCACCCTTCCTATTCTGATGTCAGACGTGGCGGACGCCATAGACCGCGGAGGACATAAGCACTGACATCTTATGATAGAAGACCTTGGACTCCCCAGTCTTAGCGGAGGGAATAAGGTGCTTGTCGAGAACGCTGAGGATGTCCTCGCAGATCTTGGCGAGCTCGCCCTCGATCTTCTGGCGGTACTCCTTAATCAGGGAGACCTGGGTAGAGTTGCCCTTAGACTCCTCCTTCTGCTCGATCGAGGTGACGATCCTCCACGACGCGCGGCGGGCGCCAATGACGTTCTTGTAGGCAACAGAGAGAAGATTCCGCTCCTCGACGGTAAGATCGCGATCCTCAGAGGCGACGATCTTCATGTTCTCAACCATTTCTGTGCGCGGGGTGGAACGTCAGCCTCGATTCCGTTGGGTTGTTCAGCATCCAGGGATACATGCCCTCATAGCGCTCGGCCTGCTCGGCCAGCTTGGCGAGGTAGACGGCATCTTCGTGGCCCATTTTGTTTGAGTGGAGGTATCTGGAAGATCTAGATTAGCGGTAAGATCAGGGTCCAGGCGTGGTGAGTCGGTCAACTGGAGATACGGGTCAAAACAAAACAGGGGATGGAAAATCGAAGCGGTAAAAGCCAAGTCGCGAAGACCGTAATCAACACAAGCAAAGCTGCCACAATCGGACAACTCTGAGATGTGCTGGCTGAGTGCGCCGTCCTGACTTCATGGCTCGGCCTCCCCGCTTTCGGTGTGGGGTGAATGCGCAGCCCTGTCCAGACTTCAAGACGCGCTTTTGCGTATGAGATCCAAGAATGGCCGCGCAGCGCTAGCAGGAATTGGGCTTCGAACCCCAGACGGCGGAGGGTACGGCGACAACGATTTCCATGGGTGAAGTCAGGTTCGGTCGGGTCGACCATGACGCCAGCGGCCCAGATACGGTGCGGTTGATGGTGCAGCGGGTTGACGGGCAATAAGCGGAACTCACCTCGTGCAATCAAGTATCTGAGGTGGTGTCGGTCAGACAGTAGCTTGCGAAGAAATCGCGGGTTGGAGAGTGGGTGGAAATGGGCTTGCGATTGTGGGTTGGTCGATTGGTGTTTGGGGAAAGAAGACGAGGATGGGTAAGGTCACCGGTTTTGGATGCAAAGTTGGAAATGAGGGAAGGGGCAAGGCCGAAGTGCAGCGAAGCGACAACGCAAGGCGGGATGCGTGGGCTGTCGACCAGTGAAATGTGGGCTGGCACGGCCACCCAACGAGACCCCGCCCTGGAGCAACACGTGACGGCGATTGGCGCCCGGCAGAAGCCCTGGCGCGGTACGTCACTTTTGGGCCAGGGCTCTCCCGAACCCAACCAGGGCAACCTGGAAGTTCCAAGGTTGCAGACTGGAACGAGTGAGGGCGGCGTCGGCTTCTGAGCCACCTCCCGAGCTAGAATAATGACAAGATCCGTCGGCGGTTTTCCACCCAACGCAGTACCACCTGATCCGAAACAGAGAATGTTCCAAGCTCGTCGCCGTCATTGATGGGCATCAGCTACACCAGCAACAGACGCAGAAGGTCGCTCTGAAGGGGGTTTCTCTCGTGTGGCTCTCCCTTATTATTATTAACTGATGGATTGTGATGTGCAGTCCGTTCTCCCTACTGTAACAGCACGTCATTCTAGGTCTGAAGCAGGCGTCCCACGCACACCAGGCAGATGATTGCGCCACAACCTAATGCCTTACCAGAACGCAACCCTGGCGATGCGTGTCTGCATTCCAGATTAGCTCCATGTGTTTCGACTCCAGAACTGGAAAAACTCATGTACACTAGGTGCCGACCGTTCGTGGAAGCGCCCTCGCAACTTATTAACTAAGCGGCGCGGATCCTAGGCTATAGTATCCCACTCTCCCACGGCTACCTACGTTATATCATGTGTAGAGATGAGCTATACCATTATGTAGGGACACGACGATCATCGTCAAAAGACACAGCCAAAGCGAGGTTAAGCCAAGCAGAGCTAGTTGATATCAGTGACGCGAAACCGACACTGTTCCTGCGGTCCTCCTTCCAATTGAGCCGAATGTGCACCTTTTGCGGACATGAAATTGCCCAGAGTCCAATAGGAGATGAGCAGCCAACATCATCGTCGACCTGAGACCTTCCTCTCCAAACTTTAGTTATCCTTGACCAAATGGCCGAAGTTGCTCCAACCCATTCAGTACGTCAAGTCGGTGCTCATCCATGTAAAGCGCAACGAGAAAGCGAACAGAGAGTCCTGGCTACTCTGCCTTTATGATGAATGCTGAATGGAATTCGTACTTCGATAGCCAACATGCTAACATTTGAGTCTTCAACCCAGGGCATTGATGGTCGGTCGAGCTGTCAAGCGACTCAAGCTGTCGTGCCTGTAAGTGGTTGGTCCTCCATGAACATACTCTCCGCAGTCTTGTCTTACTTGGGTATGACTTGGGTATAATCAAGACTCCCGTTTCCTGTCGGACGTCAAGAAATACCCACAACTCAACTCGGCTTAGGGGGTCTATATAGACTTACATAATACACTTCTTCTTCTCTGTGAGTCCCTTCAGCATCCTCGCTCATTGCCAGGTCGGCTTCTCAATAATTGAAGCCATCTTTCCTGGAGTGAGTGTGTATCACCGAACTGGCGGAGGTATGTGATACCAGTCACCGGCGATAGTTCCACGGTAATCCAAAATACCGGTGGCGACAGATGGCTCTGGTGGATAGACATGGACGTCAGTAAACGGCTCAGTTTCAGCAAGGAAAATCTAAGACAGTTGAACGCTTTGTCTCGCTGATCAGACGATGTCGGCTCATGACTGTTTCGGTCTTTCCGCATTGTGCAAGAGCTCGGAATAGGGAACATTTCTATGCATCACTTGCAAAGCTCTCTGGATTCTCAACGACAAAAGGCCGGACTTACTTCATGGTTCGTCGTACTGGTGCAACACTGACACTATTGCCGCCTCGGGTCGAAGAACTCTACACGCCAGAGGACAGACAGGAGAAAGGATGTGAGATTACAGGTATATATATTCCTATACTGTGCTGTCTATATCATTCTCCTAAACCAATGCTACTCACTCTGCGGGTCTTCGTAGCGTGGTCTTGGGTGCGCTCATCTCCTCCAACTTGTACACATTGTGAACCAGGATGATTCATTTACCTTTAGGGTAAGCTACCGTTTATGGTAGCCCGGGAATTGCGGCACATGTTGACTTTACTACGAGCTATGTATGATACCGGGCCAAGTCAGAATGATTCATACCTCCTTTATAGGTTCACCCCCACAGCGACGACCAAAAAGCTTACATGCCACCACCGCTTTTGGTTTCTCAGAAATTGGATACCGGCTTAAAACCGACTCAGGAATATACCGAGTAGAAAATTGGAACTCTTCATAAGGACTCAGGCGAGGTCGGCACCATACCAAGTCTTCTCAGTCTCTCAGATATACAACAGTTAATAGAAGCTTAGTTAAAGAAGTCCACCACAATGTCGACCGGTGCATCGAGTTATGTGTTGGCTCGAGCCTGACAATACCAAGTCCCATGCCGCAGTTAATCGACGCAGTAAGACGACTACGCTGCCAGAAAATCAAAGTTCCCGAATACCGCTAACCTGGAAAGCGATAAATAAAGGAAAAGCTGGAAGGCGAATCAAGTGTAGATGATTCCCCCGTCCACAACATACGTCTGGCCCGTGATGTAATCCGCATCCTTACTGGCCAGGAACGAAACCAGACCAGCGACATCCTCCGGCACGCTAGTCCGGCCCAGGGCAATCAAGTCATCGCTATACTTCCTGATCATCTCGCCCTTCTCCTTCCCCTCCCTCCGCCCGAGCCCCTCGTCGATGAGCTCCCACATCTTGGTATCCACAATCCCGGGCGCGTACGCATTCGCCGTGATCTTGTGCTTGGCCAGCTCCATCGCATACACCTGGCTCAGCCCGCGCACCGCCCACTTGCTCGCGCTGTAGTGACCCATCAAGGGGAAAGGCTTGAAGGCGACGATGCTCGCCGCCGCGATCAGCTTGCCCCGTACCTCGCTCTCACCTTCACCTTCACCTCCGCCTTCTCTTTCTCCATATTCTTGGGAAATCATCTGCTTCGCCGCGGCCTGGAAACAGTAGTGCACGCCGGCGACGTTGACCGCCAGCATCCGCTGCACGTCCTCGGGCGTCAGCTCCAGCAGCGGCTTCACCTGCGCGATCCCCGCGTTGGCCACCATGGCGTCCAGCCGGCCGAGCTCCGAGACCGAGCTGCGGACCAGGGCTTCCACCTCGGCGGGGGAGGTGACGTCTGCGGTGTGTGCGTGAGCCCGGACGTCGCCCCCGGCGGAGGTTTGGATCTCGGACACGAGGGAGTCCAGCTGGCCTTGGAGAGCGGGGAGGTCGCTGGCGGTGACGCTGTAGCCATCCTGGGCGAGGCGCAGGGCAATGGCTCGGCCGATGCCGCGGGCTGCGCCTGTGACGATGGCTACGCGGTTGCGGGTCTGGGCCTGGAGTTTTGGAGAGGTGGTGATGGCTCGGACATGGTGCGAAGGAGGACTGGGCTTGTTGGTCCTGAGCCTGAGCGGGGAAGAGAGGGGGGAGAGACGGAGGGGGACATTGGCTCGATGAAGCAACATGGTGGTTTTTGATACTATCCGAAGTTGAAGATGAAATGTTTTGTGGTTGCCTGTATGTAATAGTGAGGGTCCTCACTTAAGAGAGGAATCTCAGGTCGACCGATCGTAGTAAAGGGTCGAACTGGCTCATTAGATAGCTGGGCATATCGGGATGGACCTCGTGGTGGGGTTACTACCCGCCGACGGGTGCCATCTGCAACCCGGGCATTGCCCGGGGACCTATTGGCATACGACCGCGGTCTCGATCCCGGGCTGCTGCCACTTACACAGTTGCCCGCACTGACACGGCAGCGTCAGGATGCGGGGTTCGATGGAAAGGTCTGGATCTCATCGCAATGCAGGGCCGAGAATGCGATGCTGGCATAGGTAACACGAAGTGATAAGCCCTTGCTAATCGTTGTCCGCGAGGGCGATGGGTGTAATGAGACGATAGAAGCCACATTGGGAATTCAACTTCGGGCCCTTTATTCCATGGAGACTAGGATCAATGAGCAACTGAAACCGAGAGTGTAATAAGGTACCTAGCTAGACAGTCTTGTCAACCATTAGTAGTTTGTGGACGTAACAAAAATAGACGGGTTTGAATTCTTCTCTACCTCGAGGGGCTCGACCGTCGAGGCTGGCTCCGGACCTCCGGTATCATCTACCGATGTCATCGGTCACAGGTCAGACCCAGGCTCCCTAGTGCACCCTGCGGCAACTGCACCGTGGGCAGGTCGCTAGCGTTCAAACTTGGGTTCAACGAGTGACGGGAACGGATATACTAAAGACAGTATAGGGCATGGCAAAAGCCGCGAGAACTCCCTCAATGCAGGCAGCGGTAGGTCCTCATTCCTCAAGGAGTCAAGACCAGCGATTCTCGGCGCATTGGCAGGTACGGCCTGCGCTCTCAGGCTTCAGCTGGTCTGTTTCTTGTCCTTGACCTAGCTCGAGGCTAGATAATTTGGAACTTCAAGCTGACGGCACTGAGGATGTGTCGGATTGACAGGAGTCGAGGGTGATTATTATACCCTGAGTGAGGTTATCATTTATATACATCCAATATAGGTACCATACAACTGTTTCTGCCTCAGGCATCCCGCCGTTCCGTCATAATCCGGGAGAAGAGTGGGCCCCGAAACAACGTCCAGCTTCCGGGAAAAGCTCTCCACAATTGGCGAGCTGCCCTGATCAGACCACCGCAAAGCTGCGACTATCACCTGCCATTGACCCGTGACACAAGCTTATTAGAGACGACTCGAGGTATAAGAGTCGCATTTAGTTCTTGCTCCCATACCGGCGATCAGCAAAACCACCCAACCACAAACAACCGACACAATGATGCGCACATCTATCACCAAGCTGGCCCGCCCCGCTCTGGTCTCGCGGACCTTCTCGACGACCGTCCGCGCCATGGCCGGCGAGACCGGTGCTCCGCCCAAGACCGGCGGCCAAGGGTGCGTTTTGTCCCCCAACGGAACACTCACTCTCACACATCTCCGGGGAGGCCGAAGCTGGGAGACGCGGGGCTTGGGGGAGGTGGTCATGGTGATATCCGGAAGCAGCGGCCCTTGCTCGGATATCACGGGCCAAAGCGCCGCCCCCCTCCAACAAACCCCAAAGGACCGATCGGGCCTTCACCCCGCAATCCCGGCTCTGCCCATCTTCCCAAGAATGAAACGAGGAATCACCTGATCCGGAGAGCTAGCCTCACAATGATGCTAACGGAGCATTTTGCCAAAACAGGGACGCCTTCCAAAAGCGCGAGCGCGCCAACGAGGACTACGCGATCCGGCAGCGCGAGAAGGAGAAGCTCATGGAGCTGAAGAAGAAGCTGGCGGAGCAGCAGGCTCACCTGCAACAGCTGTCGGACCACATGTAAGAGAACACTCGCTTCCCTGTATCGCAGGCGTATAGTGATCCTAATGCGCGGGTTCAACATCGGATAGTGACGAGATCACCAAGGATCAGGGCGGCGAGCAGAACTAAGTGTCTCTGTTCAGGCATGAAAAATGAAAAAGACGAAGAAGCCATGAACGATGGAAGCTATTCCGTATCCTCTCTTGTGAAAATAGGGAAGCGAAAGCGGAGACCAGTAAGCAGGGGCGTTTTGGCGACGAGAGGCTTGTCGTTGTTGGATACTGCGTGATGAGGACATCGCCCCCTGATTTCTGCATGTGCTCCAGCGAGGACATCTACTTCGTTCACCCTGTACAAGTACATATGCAAGTTCCGCCACCGAACCCCTTGTTCTCTGCAGTTATGACCTCCACCTCGACTTGGCGTGACCATACTCTTTTGCCTGGTTGCCGCTTAAACACACATGCACTACCCCGACTCATTACCATGGCAGTATGATCCCCTTCCTAATCCCTCTTGGCCTCCAAAGAACCCCATTCCTTCATTTGTACCCGCTGCGGTAGGACCTGTAAAAGCTCTCGGCCACATCTGTCTCGGCGCTCGAGACATTAGTTCCCATGTTGCCGCTCGCCTTCTGCGCGGCGGCAACCTTGGCCTGGAGTGCGGCAGCGTTGCTGTCGATCCATTGTAGCTGGGCCAGGTGGCCGTTCAAGACGCGCACAATCTGAGTCAGCTAAGACATATCAGTGTTAGCATTTCATACACCACTGCTATAGGGACGTGGGAACTACCGGATCATCAGGCTTGCTGCCCTTGCTGAGCGTGCCCGACATGTCATTGATCTCCTTGATCATCTTGGTCAGGTCCTTAGTCATGTCATCCAGCCGGTCTGTCAGCTTCTCCGCCAGCTTGTAGGTGCGCTCTCGCTCCTGGTCCGGACCGGCGACCTGCTCGTTGCCGCCGCCCTGTTTGGCGAACAGCTCGTTGAGGTCGGACTCGTAGCGGTCTAACCACGTCGTGAGTTCCTCCTGCTGGCTCTCCACGTTTGAGAGCTGGCGCTCGATCTCGCTGCTCGCCCGCTCCGCTTCGTAAGTGGACGTGTACAGCTTCTGGATCTTTTCGCCGTTCTCGACCAGTAACCGGTCCCACTCGGCGATCTTCGACGCCTGGTCCTTGAACTCCTTCTGGTACTTGGTCAGATCGGTAGCCCAGCGCGTGATGATCTCGTCCATCGTCTTGTTCTTCAGACGAGGTAATTGAGACGGCGGACCTGCGGTGGAGGCAGAGAACCCCGAAGTCGTGGTGCTCTTGCTATCCTGTGCCGGCGTGGCGGCTGTAGTGCCGGCGGGCTTAGTGCTCCCTAACAAGCCCATGGAAGAAGCCGCCACGGTTTGAGGAGCAGTTGCGGTAGTAGATCCAGTTGTTGCGGTGGTGGAAGCGGCCGGTGCGGCAGTCGACGTCGGAAAGAGCGAAGTTGTGGCCGCGGGAGTCCCTGAGGAGGTCGCGGCACTAGTCGTTGCCGGCTTCGACCCGAACAAGTTGGAAGCCGCAGGTGTCGAGCTAGCAGGGGCCGTGGAGGCGGGAGCAGTGGTACTAAACAGGCTGGGAGTCGCTGCCGCCGAGGAAGCAGCCGGCGTTGTGCTTGACGCAGCAGTGGTCGTGAGATTGGCGCCCGCGGCATTCCCAAAGAGCGGCTTCGCTCCTGCTGCCGGTGCAGCTGTGGCAGGCGTGCTGGTGCCGGGTGTGCTGGCCGCAGGTTGATTCCCGCCAAAGATTGGCGCGTTGCTCGTAGCTGATGTCTGGCCAGGCTTGGACCCGAAAAGGTTGCCAGCGCCCGCGGGCGTGCCATTGCCGGACTGCGCTTGCGGTGCGGAAGAAGCAGGGGTGGTAGACTGGCCAAACAGACTTGTAGTAGCAGCTGCGGTAGCCGCCGGCTTGGCCCCGAGACCGCCAAACAACCCAGCCGGCTTGGAGGCATCCGACGGGGGTGCGCTGGCTGGTGTGCCAGCCGGGGTGGTCGAGCCAAGCCCTGCAAAGAGCGGCTTAGCTGGGGTCGCTTGAGCACCCGCTGTCGTGGTAGCAGGAGTGGTTGATCCGAACTGGAATCCCGTGTTATTGAATAGCCCCCCGGTTGTCGAGGTTGTCCCTGCTGCCGGCTGAGAGGCAGTGGTTGCGGACCCGAAAAGGCCGCCGGTTGTCGCGCCCTGTGTGCCTGCGGAGGGAGCAGCAGTTGACGCTGCGGGCTTGTTGTTGCCGAAGAGATTCGGTGTTCCCGTGGGTGTTGCAGTCCCTGATGCTGGCGTCGAGGTATTACCAAACAGGCTCCCTGCAGGCTTGCTGGCATTATTACCAAACAAAGGCCCTCCGGATGACGCACCCGTGGTTTGCGCCTGCCCAAGCAACGGGGTGCTAGTCGTCGACGGCGTCGTAGTATTGCCCGCGTTTCCGAAAAGACCTCCAGACTGACCAGTACTCGCCGCCCCGCCAAACAAACCGCCCCCGGTTTGGGGCGTGCTTGCTCCGCTTCCAGCTGGCTTATTACCGAATGAAAACGTTGGAGTCGCTGATGTTGAGCTAGCAGTGCCGAACAGGCCCCCCGCAGCCGGCGCTGTTGTTGTCGTGGACTGGCCCGACGCCGCGCTCGATGATGGCGCCCCAAAGGTGAAAGACATTTTGGCGACCTCGCACGAGCAGTGGCTCGCTGTCTGGATAAGGTAGGAAGGTGGAGGTGCCGCGACTTGGTGCAAGTCGGAGCTGAAGCTGTCTCCAAAAGCGCGGTCAAAGAGGGCAGGGAGAACCGCAACAAGCAAGTCCCTTGGCGCCGATTGTGTCGTCTGCGACAATTGACTGGACCCGAATTGTGTTAAGCGCGCACCTAAAGAAGATGCCCGTGGTGATCGAAGGACACTTGGTTCTTTCGTCGTGCACCTTCTTTCTGTTTTCAAAGGCCCAAATCGGGCAGACCTCAGTGAACGAACGGACCGACTTTTGGCAGCTGCCAAAGCACGCGCCTCGAGAAAAAGCTTAGCCAGCCTCACGTTTGGGCAATGCGAAGCTCAGCACGCCACATGCCAAGTAAGGTTGTGGCTTGGTCTCTCTCTTAGATTGCTCCACAATCCACATGGATCCTGGCTTGCCGCTGGAATGAAGCCCACACGGTGGTCGATGTCACCACGGTCTAGACTCTTGGATGTTACACATGTGTGTGCACTAATACCCGATCACCGACGTCTGAAGTATTTGATCAGCCATAAAGTGCGGCCAAACAAACAGTTGTTTGACACTGGTTTGCACGACGTTTCAACTCTGCAGCGGGGCAATCCAACACCATTATCCCAATAAGTCCGCGTGGGGGCCGCCTTACCTCCCGGGCCCTTAAGCATCAGACGATTTCTGGCGGAAAACCGCTCGTGCGTTCTTGACGGCAACACGATGTCAGAACGGCGAAACAGCCTGTCGCCGCCAGAGCGGAAAGACACAGTTGATCCGGGTGCTCACGAGCTTGGTACTGCCGAATGCCATGTCCCCCGCTCCACAACTCCGCTAACAGCCCCTCAGCAGAGGCATCCGACTCCGAAGAGCACTACTCCGATGCCCGGTCCGGCCCAATGACGCCCTCACGGGCCTCACCCATCCCGAGAACCAGAGTCGAGAGGGTGGACGACAAGCCGGCGTACGGGGAAGTCCCTGGTACACAGGCCTACCGCATGAGAGAGGGGGACGCAGCGCCGGATGAGATAGCCATCATCCCCGACCCGAGCAATGAATCGGCTGCAGAGCCTGAGGAACCCCCGCGGTCCCCGACGCCCGGCGGGCAGCCCATACCCAAGACTGTGGTGGAAGAGACACCAGACGTCGAGGGCTCAGTGACGCACCCGGAGAACAGGCAAAGGCGCAAGTCGGATGCACACCCCGACCTGGTTGTCAAGGCCGACGGGAAGGTAGAAGGAGGCGGAGCTGCAAATGGTACGGACGCGTAGCATAACCTTTTTGTGCCGAGCGCTCACCCCTTGTCTCCTTTTTTTACTTTTGCGCCTATCCATAGTTTGTATTGACTTGTCCTTACCTGCGTAGATACTCCAATATCACCGTCTCCAAGTACTCCCACTACACCGACAGGCGCAAAAAGGGATTCTTCGCTTGCTCTGAAACAATCTCCGTCAAATCCTGGCGTCCCGGACCCTGAAGGCGCTGTCGCTGCTAATGAAGAAGGTAATGGTGGCGATGATGACTTCGGAGACGACTTTGACGATTTCGAAGAGGGTGGTGAAGACGGCGACTTTGGTGACTTTGACGACGACTTCCAACAAGCCGAAGAAGCTCCAGCACCACCACCGCCTCCTCCATCGGTCCCTACCGCTCCATCCTTCTCCTTCGTAAGCCACAGCCTCTTTCCCATTCCTTTTTGGCCCCTCTTGCTAACCATAAACTACCGTCAAGCCAATCCCCACCTTCGACGACCTCTCCCCTCCCGAAATACACTCGCTCACGCAACCCTACCTCGACGCCCTCTTCCCGCCGCCCGACTCCTTCCCAACGCTTCCAGCCCTCTCCGCAGAAGACAACCCCGTCTTCCTCACGCCGCGCTCCGCCTCGCTCTGGTCCCAGCTCGTCGCCCCGCCCCCGCTGCAGCCCCCAGACTGGATCCGCTCGCGCATCCGCCGGCTCTTTCTCGTCTCCCTGGGCGTGCCCGTCGATCTCGACGAGATCCTGCCCGCGTCCTCCAAGCAGAAGAAGCTTGTGTTGCCGTCACTACATCGGACAACCTCCACCGGTTCGCTGCGCAGGGCATCGAGTGATTCCCGCGCCAAGACGACTGCGGAAGGAGTGGCGGCCGGGGAAGTGAGCGGCGCACGGAAGAGCACGGGCTCACAAGCCGGGGGCGAATCGGGGAGAAGCAAGAGAACAGATGGCGGTGCTGGTGGTGGTGGTGCGGAACGGGAGAGGAGTCCGGAGCGGAATTTCGACCTGGTCTCGGCGCGGCAGACCTGTATGCTGACGGACGCGGCGCTCAACGGGATGACGGACGACGAGCTGCGGGAGCACATCAAGCGGCTGGAGGCGATGCAGGGCATGGCACAGGGGGTGCTGACGTACTGGCAGAAGCGGACGGACGAGCAGATTGCCGAGCGGGAGGCGTTTGAAGGGGTGATTGAGAACTTGGTCAAGCACGCCCGGAAGGTGAGGAAGTAGGGAAGCGGGGATGGCATAAATAGAAATGAAGAAGAGAAGTACGGCGGTCATAGTCACTTGCTAGGGACATGGCGGTGGAACTGCAGTCTGCAGGCAACGTCATGACTGCATAAGAATGTCTACAGACCCGAGGCTCCGTTTCCTTTTTCATCTACCAGTGATCGCATGAAGATAACAGGGCTTTAGACTATGCTGGTGCCCACCACATCCTTGGTCTGCTATGCGTGATCTCCCCGCCCAAGGTCATCTGTCCAGCTCGCAACCAACTCGTCACTAAAGAGCCACATGTAAATCAATCCCCTGATCCTTCATAAACTCATGGATTCTCACTGCCCTCGTCGAAGGGATATCTCATTTGGAGGTGCTAGGCTCGAGCGTGACACCACTGTAACGTCTGGTTAGTGACAACTAATGGCGTGTTGGATCCACCGCGGAAACCTACGCTGCGATAGTAGCCCAGCCGATCAGACGCCAGTGCTTCTCAATACGTCGGCTGAGAGCGACCTTCTCGCCAATGTTCGTGCATGCCGGGCTCGTGAGTTGGAGCTTGGCGGCGTCCTTCTTGATGGCCACAACCTTGGCACCGGTCGAGGTCGAACCGATGTTGACCATGATGACCTCGTTCTTGGCCAGCTTGTCGACCTTGGCCTGCTTGCCGTCTGCCGTCCGTACACCGAGCAGGCGGCGGAGGAGGTAGAAGTTGACCTCGATTTCGCTGTAGATCTCGGGCAGGCGACCCTTGAGACCCAGAACGAAACCAACTAGACGATCGGCACGGCAGAGGGTAGGGTCGATGCGGGTACCAACACCAATCAGGCCACCAGGGACGGCGTACTTCAGGTCATTGGCCTCCGAGTTGAGAGAGACAATGCGGCTGAAGATAGGCGTGCACTTTAGGTTACCCTTGTCGTCACGAGACACAATACCGGGCCTGATCTCGATTTCATCACCAAGCTTCAGGAGACCGTGCAAGATACTACCACCAGCGACACCACCCTTGAGCTCATCGATCTCGGCACCAGGTTTGTTGACGTCGAAAGACCGGATGACAATCATGTGCGGATCCTGCGAGAAGTCCCTAGGAGGGATAGGGATCGTGTTGACAATAGCATCGTTGATAGCATCGATATTGAACTTGAGCTGGGCCGAGATGGGGATGATAGGCGACTTGCCAGCCACAGTACCTCGTATGAACTTGAGAATGGACTCGTAGTGCTGCTTGGCGGCCTCTTCCCGCATGAGATCGACCTTGTTTTGGAGGATAATGATCTTGTCGAGCTTCATAATCTCGATAGCCGCCAAGTGTTCGGACGTCTGCGGTTGTGGACAAGATTCATTGCCGGCAATAAGAAGCAACGCAGCGTCCATGACTGCGGCACCTGACAACATGGTGCTCATCAGAATATCGTGCCCGGGGCAGTCCACAAATCTGCGATCAGTTAGACACCCGTACCTTGAGGATACGACTGTATATGGGTTGAGATAACGCCATAGCTGGGGGTACCTACGAAACGTGACGCAGTAGCCTGTATGTCCCGGAGCATCCTTCCCGTTCACAAGGAGGGTCGACCTCCTTCTCGCTCTTGTAGCTCCGATAACATGTTGGCCGAGGGCACTCCGGATTGTCACACTTGTAAATTTTGGCGTTGGCGTAGCCAAGCTTGATGGTAATATTTCGGATGAGCTCGTTTTTGAAACGAACGGTTTGGACACCAGAAATAGCTTTCACCACTGTCGACTTTCCGTGAGCGACATGGCCGATGGTGCCGATATTAATGGTCGCTTGCCGCGCAATGATCTCGGGCGTCAGGGGATTCAGGGCCTTGACGTCAAGATCTTTGGGGTCTGTCTGGGGCGGCAGTGGCGGTCTTTGAACCGCGGGCGCGGGCTCTGTCTTCTTGAGAGCGCTTTTGAGGGGCTTCTCGTTGATCTCGTTGTCCGAGTCGTGCTGCTCAACCTGGGACTCGTTTCCGGAGTCAGACTCGGACTCGATGTCGTTGCCGAATTTGTCGCCGTTGCTCGCCATGGTGAATCCGCGGGGTAACGATTTTTTCGGGCCCCTCCTCTTTGAAGTATTTTCCCTTGATGGGTTTCGGTCGGCTTTGGCGAGGTCGCGATGCTCGACTCAGAGATGGATAGGTGCGATGAATTCTCGACGTCGGCGGCCGGAAACAGTGGAGTGTCTGTCTGCGAGAAGACCGTTGTCGAAGTATGACTGCAAGTCGATATTTCTCACGAATTTCGTGTGCAGTCAACAAGCCTGCGACTCATCCTGGCCAGATGATTGTTAGCGCTGTGCCGCGCTAGACATATCCGGTTAGCGCTGTTTGCCCCACGGCTGGCTGATAAGGATGATAAAGGCTGGAGCAACCATATGCGGGACATGCCGAAGGGGCACAATACTTAGCTTCCCAGAATCTGACTTCATTGTTGTTACGAAAAAGGAAAGAAATATGTGGTGAGACTGCGGACTCGATTGAGCCAGCGACAAAGGAGCTTCGAGGTTCTGCGATGCTTCAACGATCCCCGGCCTCATCACTACAATTTACGTTCTATGAATCTTGTTACAAGGAGCCTGAACCTTCAAGCCTCACAAATTTCAGTCCAGAACAGATGCTGTTCCCCCTTGTGTAGATACTTGATGGCTGAGGCTACCTAAGGTAGGTACTTTTTATCGGCTCTCAACGAGATCGCACTCATCACAGAGGCTGGGCGTCGAGCAGCACCGACACCAATGTGAATCGGTGACCAGTAACCGTCGATTTCGAACATCCGTAGATTTACCTTCACAAATTAAAGCCAAGCAAGCCAGAAACCAGCTTCGCAAGCCTAATGATGCCGGATGTTGGGGCTGGAATGTTTGGCCTCGTCACCGGGGATGTCACGGGCTTTACAGCACAGGTATTCGCCCTTAAGGTAGTTCAACGAATGAAGGTAGGCTGAGTGACGAGGGGTGGCTCTGAACTACTAGTAGTTCCATGCTTCAGCTAGGTTGCTACCTTGCTATATGAGGCGAACCCGACATCCTCGAATCCTAGCCGAGGTGCGACTTGGCCAAAATAGTGCTCTGTGAATGGGGAGGTACTCCATGGTAAGAACATATACAGGGATGTACGCTCGTTCCTATTGCCCAAACTATGTAGCCCCCAAGAGATTACTCGAGTCGAGCGTCAATAGAGAAAGGACAGGGGTTCCTTAGACAGCTAGGCAGGGAGCTGGCCCGACCGATTTGGGAGGCCCAGCGAGTAGGGCACTGAGTATCAGGTGTCTGAAGTTGCGCGCCTGTCTTTGGGAGCAACCCTGCATGGCGGCATCCCTTGGCCAGTGGCTATGAAATATGAACGAGGCGGACCTGCAGCTTGTAGCGCCACACAAAGCTTTGAGCCTTTGACAAATCTGCGAACATAGTTCTAGCTCCCGTGGTTTTATCGGATGTTGGGCAGCAGGACATGAATCAGAACTCCCGTCTCGGGTTCCCTACGTGCTGATGTAGGGTCCAATGGTAGAAGTCAACCCTAGGCCGATGAGCGAATCTAGTGGCACCCTCACCAAAGACCGTGGTACAGTTGCTAAGATGATGTGAAGTTTGGGCCCCAAGTCACAAGGCTCGATACCTGCCACATTTTGTGCATGGGAAAGTATACATTATGCTGGGACTCCTAGAGTTGCCCCCCAGATATCTGATCTGTTTCAGGTGCTTGTTTATCAGCCGCTTTACTTCTCTCGGCCTTGACGGGGTTGAGGGCCTTGAGGACTGTACCGTTCAGCCATGAGCCATCACCTGGATTGGCGGTAGGCGTAGTTCTGAACAGAAGACAAATACCAGACTCAGCTTTGACGGGCCGTCGCTGCTCTGTTGGATGCAGGATTGAGCATCAATAAAGGCAGTTCAATCGATGCCGGCTGAGCCTGCCAACCAGGGGTTAATCTATGCTCCAGATCACCACCATTACTGTAGCCAGTACCTCTGTCCTCACGTTCTCCGCGTCCCTGAACTGTCAGAGCTTGTGCTTTATGGTGGGCTGTTGCCTGAAGTAGAGAGTGGTTCCGATTGCAACGGGCGCTGCTGTAGAAACGAAAACATCCGCAACAGCAGCCGGAGCTCCGCCAGCTCCAGCGCTCTGCATGAGGGAAAAGATACTCCCAGCTTGAACCTGGCCGATCATGGAGTGGAGAGCTGCGGCAGCAGAACCTGCGCTTCAGTTAATCTTATATCTTGTGATCATGACCGTTGATACACCCACCTGCAGCAACACCATCAGCGGTAAACCCCAGGCTTTCCAACACAGGCACCGTCACCAGGTGAGGAGCGAAGAAGACGACGCCTGCAACGATAAGGAAAGCTGTCTGAGCCGGATGGTCGTCGATCCATTGGACGATTTCCTTAGGCAGGATGTCTTGCGGAACGCTGAAGACCTTCTCCGCCGCAACTGCGACGGGCAATGCGAGTGTTTTCGCAATATTCTCAACCCAGTCCTTTGCCGCCTGCGATAGTTTGTCCCAGTCGACCCGTGAGACTTGCTGATGGAGGTTTTCGTATGCTCCGTTGACGGCAATCTCCGTATTCTTGCCAATATGATCTAGCGCTTGAAGCGTTCCGTTTGCCGCGCCGAAGGAAATCTCTCCAGCTTTGGCCATGCCGATGCGGACAGGGTGGTTAGGGTCGAACTTTCTGCCCACATCCTTGCCCCAGCCATCGAGGGCAGCGCCTGCATTCTGTCCAAAGCCATTCAGGTCGTCATGAATGGCTTTGCCTGCAGCGGCCATTGCGCGGCCGACATTCCGGAACCAAGCACCCATGGTGTTGATAATCGATGACGAAGCCGATCTGTGATTGGAAAAGTTGGTGACTGGGAACTGTTGAATCGCGGAAGTTTTAAGACTCCTAGTCAGTGCCAACCCTAATCTCTTTGAATCTTAGTTGTGTTACTTAAGTTAGGTTGCGTGGCAACTGGCAACCAGTGCCAACCACAAGGTGGTGCACACACAAGATGCTTTTTAGCGACATCTTCTTATCTTCGTTGTTGTTCAAAGGGGGCGGTTGCTTGTCCTCAGAGCGACCAGTTTTGGACCCTTTTGAGCGGATAAGGAAGATTTATGGGCAAACTGTCACAGCGTCTTGTGCGTTCCAGCCCAACCGCGCTAAAATCTACTGAATCCCGTGCCGTTGCGGTCCGGCGATGGCCTCAGACGCACCGTTTCCACGTGTTGTCCTCGAGTTAGGTATTCATATGCTACTTCACTACACGACACCCAAGCGTAACTTAAGTTTCACTTCCTCGGACTGATAACCCTTCTATAACCCAAGTCCTTGGATCGCATCGATTTCGAGCATTGTAACCGTGCGTGTCGCCCAAAATACTGAGAATAGTGCTTGATGCAGTCAACAATCGTCAGATACACGGGCAGTTCCAATCTAGCTGGGCTCGCTCCGTCCAACGTTGAGCATTCGCACATTTCAAAAGTGCCGCATCATCGCCGAAGAGGTGGGCAAAATCAATGAACGTATTCATCCCATGCATTCTTTCAACATCCCAGAACCAGATTTTTGCCCACCACATTCACCATATTTTTAGCCCTCTTTTTCGATATTGCAACGCTCAGCAGCCGATGGGCGGCGAGGGCTGGTTGATTAGCACCACATCCGTCATCCCGGTGATACCTTGATTGCCCAAAGTGGTCGCGTCGTGTAACTGGAAAGAGAAGGCCAGGCAGAGTGATATGGTGGCTTCCAATCTGCCGGACTTTCGGACGGCTTGGCAGTCTGCAAGAGTCTGCTCACTCTATCCCGCTATACTAGTACCCTCCCAATCTACATAGAGTGTTGCTCTACAGCTTCGTCTGCTAATTATTATAAGTATAACGTACATGATAAGCGAGCGACGCAGATAAGCGAGCGACGCACTTTCAGTGCGACGCGCCTCCTCTAAACTTTTCCACCAAATACCACCGCAACAAGCCATGCGTAGCCCCTCAAAAGAAGCCAGGCTTCTTTTAGCCCTCGAAGCTATCAAACAGAGCGAGAATCTCAGTATCTGGGCGGTAGCCAAGCTATACAACGTTCCAGAAGCAACGATTCGCCACCGGCGCAAGGGACGTGCTGCAAGACGCGATATTCTAGCCAACTTGCGTAAGCTCACGGATCTAGAAGACAAGTCAATAGTTCAGTATATAACTGAGCTATCTACACACGCATTCCCACCTAGATTAAGTGGTATGGAAGATATGGCCAACCACCTACTACGCGAATGCGACGCGCCCCTTGTCGGCAAACGTTGGGCTTATAACTTTGTCAAACGCCAGCCAGAGCTCCGTATATGGTATATACGCAAGTACGACTACTAGAGGGCTAAATGCGAGGATCTATAGGTCATTAGCGAGTGGTTTGCACTTTGTGACGAAACCACAGGCAGTCCTGCCTCTGAAAGGGTTCGCCGGTCGAAGGTAACTGCTGGTCGGACTGTAGGTCTCGGTGAAGCCAAAAGGTTCACAACAATGCTTGCCGCAATGTCTGCACAATAGGTATGGGCTATTGCTTGTAATATTGCTCACTGGAGAACTCCCAGAGTCCTCCATAACGAATGACTATATACCTAGCCGATCCTGTTGGCTCGCCGTCGTTCGACGGCTACCGTGGTCTACCTTCGATCGCCTTGGGTAGGCGGCTACCCAAGTCTATCATGATCGCTCTCGCTCGCCGGCGACCCTGAGCTACCCAGGTCGTCCTTATGCGGCCGCCTGCGGCTTTTACCCCTGCTGATTGGTTCTGCCTGTTTCCGCTGTGCCCTACCGGGTCTTGCTATATGGTTGGTTCGTGATACGATGTCCCCTCTCTACGTCTTTCGTCCCGAAAGACCCAGGTTTGCCGGACATTCATACTTTAGCGCTAACACTCCCGGTTCCCGTTGTAAGTCCTTCTGTTGCCCTAACCTTTTCCCTGTTCCTTCCGCCATGGCTGATCCTAAGGATTATAGTTCCCGTGACTTGAAGCGTGAGCGCCGTGCTTTCGCAACGAAAATCGAGCGAACGGGCTTTGAAGTCGCTATGCCTTGCGAGCGTTATTAGAATACAAAGCCCCAGAGGCGTTATATAATAATAGAGGGGTCGAATAAGTGCTCGAACTATATTTGGGCGGGCAAGAAGTATAGTAGGCCTAATATAGCCAATGCATATAAGTATTATGCTCGGGGTATTTTTACTTGGTGGTTAATAGGTGGTAGTACTATCTAATTTATCGGAGCAAGAGAAAGTAGCAAAGGATATTAAGGAAATAGAGCGGGTGCTAGCTAAGACCCTAAGTCGTTTATCTTACCTTCGCTCTTAGTAGTGTTTCCTCTGCGAGCGTAGGGTTAAGATATTCTGTTGCGGAATAACTCGTTTGGAGGAAGAGGAAGAACCTGATTCCCCGAAGCCAATGTCGGAGGAACAGTCGTTGGTTGGCCAGGTATAAGTATTAGGTGCCGCTAGTATAGTTGATTGGGAGGCTATAGGCGTTATATCTTATAGTTCTGCTGGCGCTATTCCTGATTCTCCTAGGGGTGGCTTCGACTAGTTGCTCTGTTCTCTGGGTGGTAGTGGCAGCGAGGTCCCTGCTTCTCCTAGTTCTAGAGGTCCTGCTCTATCCGGTAGTACCAGGGGTTTATAATAGTGGTCAGGTCTTGGTTGCGCCTGCTATATATGTCGTATTATAGTGTGGCTGCCTATAGCTGCTCTTTCCTGCCTGGGGTTCTCAATCTAATTCTTATTGCCTGTTTCCTAACAAATGAAATGGCTTAGTAGTACAGCTTGGTTATTATACCTAGACGAATGCTCTAGGAGGTTATAGGTTCAAATCCTATCTACGCCCCTTCTCTATATAAGTGGCTTAACCGCCGGGTCGAGCTATTTATAGGGAGAAGATTTTTACGCTTTCTTCTTCTCTGGCCGATCTGGATTCTGTCGATAGAATTCCTTTAGTTTTTCCGTATAGCTAAGGTATTCTACTGGCTCCTATAAGTTATCTTCTGGTCCAAAGTCGAGCTATTTGATTAGGTACTCTAGCCTTCCGTTAGCTATTTGCGAATCTAAGATCTCCTTAACGTCCTATTCTTCTTCTTTGTCCTTGGCTTCGATATCTTTTGTAACCTATACGTTCTTAGGTACTGGTTCGAGGAGCGAGATATAGAAGACGTTAGTATATAACTTTATTGTTGGTAGTAACAAAAGTCGGTAGTTAGATGTCGAAATTCTTGCGTTAATCTTGAACGGTCCAATCTTTCTAAAGTCGAGTTTCTGGCTTGGCCGTTTCATTCTCAAATTCTAAGAAATAAGGTAGGCTATATCCCCTCTCTTAAGGCGAGGTCCCTCGAGCCAATGTTTGTCGTAGTACTCCTTTATCCTGAGCCTAACGAGCTCGAGTTCTTCTTTTAGCATTGTATATAGCGTATATATTTTCTCTGCCTTGACTTTTGCCCTAGGCACTATAATATCTGGTCCCTGGCGTAAATCTGCTTTATAACTAAAGTTTGCGAAGAACGGAGTAACCTTTGTTATCTCTATTGGCGTTGTATTGTACGTAAGCTATGCCGCTGGTAGTAGATCAACCCAGTCGTCTTGTTAGAAGTTGACGAACGTTCTGAGATATTGTTCGACGATCTGGTTAAGCCTTTCTATCTGGCCATCTGTCTACGGGTGGTATGCTATTGAAAGCTTGCTCTTCGTACCCAAACGCTTTATAAGCGCTTGCCAAAACTTTGATGCGAACTTAGTGTCTCGGTCTATGATTTATTCCTCTGGCCATCTATACACTGATATAATATACCGGTAGATTGTATCCGCAAGTTGCTCTGCTGACTATGATTCTTTATACAGGAAGAAGTAGCTCTACTTAGTGAGTCGGTCAACTATAGTAAGAATGCTATCGTACTTTGTTCCAGTAGTCGAGTCTTTCGAAAGTGGTAGTTTGGTAATAAAATCTATTGTTACCGAGCTCCATGGTCGTTCTACAACTGGCAACGGCTCCAAGAGCCCGTATAGTTTATACCGTGCCGTCTTGCTTCTATTGCAGAGGTCGTATTCCTATACAATAGTCTTGACTCTGGTCCTAAGTCCTAGGAAGTCGTAGTATTGCCGAACCTTGGCGACTGTTTTGGCGATTCCCATATGTCCTCCGAGTTTCGACTTATAGATTGTCCTGATTAATTCCGTTTGATCCTATAGTGCGACGTAGGCCTTGCTATTATACTATAACGCTCTATCTCTCTAAGAGATACCTACCTTCTCGTCTATATCGTTCTACTTCCGGTCTTAGAAGTCTTTTCCTAGCCGTTCTTCCCTAAAGATTACGTAGCATTCTTCAAACGGTTGCAGGGGTTATATACCGGGATCTTCGTCCTATTATAGAAGCGTGTCGTTATCGAGGTCTTCTATCGGTTAGGGAGCATACTATAGGGAACCATCTGGCTATTGTTAAAGTAATAATGGCAAAGCTTCTAGTTAGCTATTCCTAAAGTGATCTAGCCTCCTGCTCAATGCATCTGCCTATACGTTTTCTAAGCCTTTCTTATAGTTGATTTTGAAGTTGAACTCTGAAAGAAATTCTGCCTATCGAGTCTGTCGTCCGTTCAATACCTTAATAGTAGTAAAGTACCATAAGTTCTTATAGTCTATATAGACCTGAACTTTATAGGTTATACCGCTAAGGTATAGTCTCTATTCTTAAAAGGCCTCGATAATAGCTAGCAGCTCCTTATCGTAGATTAGGTAGTTAAGCTATAGTCCTTCGAGCTTTTTTAAGAAGAATACAATTAGGTATAGCTTCCCTTATTTGTCGCGCTAACTAAGTTGTCCCCCGATCGTATAATCGGATGCATCGGTTTCCACCTCAAATGGCTTCCATAGGTCTAGTAACTAGAGCACTAGATCGGCAATAATTATATTGCGGATCTTCTAAAACGCTTATTTATGCTCGGCTTCCTACCGGAACTCGATATCTTTCTTCGTAAGTTCGTGCAATAGTCGTATAAGGTCGCCAAAGTTCCTAATAAACATTCAGTAGAAATTGGCGAATCCAATAAATTCTTATACCTCTATCGTTATTATTGGTTGTGGCCATGTTTTAATCGCTTCGATCTTCGCTAGCTCTATCCTGATTCTACCAGGCGAAATTTTATATCTAAGAAACACTATTTTTATAATATAGAATTCGCTCTTGTCCTTGTTGACTGACAATTTATACTTATAGAGTGCGTTTAGTACTGCCCTTATATATTCCTTATATTCCTCGAGTATTTTGGAGAAGATAAGGATATTATCTAGGTAATAGACTGCGAATCGGTCGAGGAATAGGCGGATCGTATAGTTAACGACCGCCTAGAAGGTTGCCGGTGCGTTTATCAATCCGAAGGGCATTATAAGGTATTCGTAATGGCCGTAGAGAGTACAAAACGCTGTCTTCTATTTATCCCCTTCCTTAATACGAATATAGGCGTACGCTATTGGAAGGTCGAGGCAAGTAAAGTAACAGGCGCCTGCCAACTGGTCTCAAAGCCGCAAGATAAATAGCAAGGGGTACCGGTTCTTTACTATCTCTCTGTTCAGCTGTCGGTAGTCTATATATATCCGAAGCTTTCTATCCTTCTTTAGAACAAATAGGACTAGATAGCCTGCCGGTAATATCGATAGTCTAATATACCCTATCTTAAGATTCTCCTTAAGATATCTCCTTAACTTAGCATCTTGTTTTTCGTTAGTATAGTATACCTTAAAGAACTTTAATTGGGCTCCTTCCTTAAGTTTGATTTCGTGATCCCAAGGTCTACAGTCTAGTAGCCCCTTAAGATGCTTTGCTTCGAACGCCGGGTGTCCTTAGTATTCCGCTGGGATTTTGCCTGTTTCTACGTTCTTCTCTATACTCCGGTAGTACGAGAACTTGTCTCCGGCCATAATACTAGCTGCTTCCCTCTAGGTAACCTAATCCTAGAATTTAAATTCTCCGGTCTTATCGATTGAGATAATAGCGATTTCGATATCGTCTATGTCTCTCTAAGCCGTATAAGGGTATCGTCGCAAGTAGCGTTGTCTCTAGCCTGGTCTTGCCGATTCCCGCTGTTCTTCCTAGTGACTGCCGCCTCTTCCTAAGTCCGTAGTGCGCTGCCTAGTACTGTCTATCTCTTGCGGTGGATCTATAGGGGCCGCCTTCCGGGGCGATCTTCCCTACTGCGATCTATCGTCTGCGCTTTCTATCTCGTTAGTCGGATATAGCCTCTATTCCCGAGGTCGTAGGTGGCTATCTCCCTTCCAACTAATGTCTGGGTTATAGTCTCGATACTATAGGCGTCCTAGAATTATATCCTTCTTAGGCCCTATTTTAACAATGTCAAATACTACTCTAGTGGTTTTCCCTTCTACCGTAATCTTAAGTAGTTCTATTTCCTATTATACCTATTAGGTGTCGAATGGTCCTTTAACGATATACTGTTTCTTCTTGATCCTCTACGGGATCCTAAGTCGATTGACAAGTATTGGCGAGATAAGGTCGACCTAAGATCCTCTATCTACTAGTGCCAATATTTGGAATCCTTTCTAGTATACTATAACCTAGATTCTATTATCGGGCTTATTATTCTAAATCGCAGCGGCTTCCTTTTTGTTCACTAGGAGGTTATAGATCCTTTTCCTTGTATAGTTCTTCCTACACCTGTAGATCTATCGTTGTTATAATGGATTTAGTGGTTTCCGGGCCCCTTGGAGGGCCCTAAGCCATTTCCTAACTCCGTCCTGGCGTCTGGATAGGCGTCCCTATCCTCCTGTGCCTCTTGGTTGCCGTCCTATAGTCCAAGTCTCGGGAGTTCTTCGAATAATTGTCGAGTTTCGTTGGCTCTTCTTCCTTCCTTTTATCGTTCGTAAGGCATCATCTATCTTCGTGTATATATCTTGCGTTCGTAATGCTCTTAGAGCTTTGCTTATATATGGATTAAGCAATCCTGGCTCTTGCACTATCGAGCGCTATTAGGCCACCGCTAGCAGTCCTCTGGCTAGGTTCTTTATAGTATCACCCTAATTCTATCGTATGCGTTAGTCCTCTTGACCTTCTATAGGAACTAGTCGGCGCCGGTCCCTATATCCTAAACCTATAGGACTAGTCGAGGTTCTCCGTTTTGGTCGGTAGGCCTATCGGGCCAAAAGTCGTTATCAAATTTTAATCGAAAATGGTATCGGCATTTGTACGCGATATACTAGAACCATAGGACGTAGATATAGTTATATCGCTAGGGTTAGAGTCGAAGTGCGTCTTGTTTATAGGGTTCGTAGCGTGGGCCGAATCCAATCTAGATGCGCACTGCGTTGCTATCCCTGATGCCGTTATACAGCTTCTTATTCTAAAAAGTATCCTAATCTTATAGTTCCTGCCCCTTAAGTCTTCGCTAGTTCTAGGCCTTCTGGTATTCAGCCTTGGGGTTCTTAATTCTATTATTCCCCCTGCCCTAGCTTAGGTCCTATGCTAGTCCATCCCATAAGTTCGAGTAATGCTTTTCCTAGACCCTGACTAACTTGGCCTTGACAAATTCTAGTTGGCTTATAGCCTAAGCCTTTTCTTCTGCGAGTCTTCGGGTAATTATTTGAAGCTCGGCTTATTCCTCTTTAGCCTTCTAAAGGTGCTAGGCGAGAAAGATAGGGTTTGGGCCAATAGGTTTGTTATCCGATTGTTATATCCTCTATTGACCTTCTTTGTTCTAGGTCAACTGGAATCCCCAACCTTCCGCGAGTTATAATACTGCGGCGGCAGCAATATTGTAGCCTATAATAGGTTCTTCGAATATAACGTAGGGGCTATTGCTTCCTGACTAAGAGAAGTTATTAATGCTT